CTAGGTTCTAATAGGACGCCCGCGTACTCTAGCGCTTACTCCTTTTCCTTTTCTTTAGCTATTACGCGCTCTTTAAAAGCGCGACTCTCCTCGACTTTATAATTAACGGCGTCTAGCTACTTTTATAGTTTTATCTTTTTAGTATATACCTAAGTAAGTAACTCCTTCGTTTTATCTAGCTCGGCTAATAACCTCTTTTACTAGTCGCCTAGCCTTTTCTATTTAAAATTAGTAACTTTAGCGTTATAGTATTTTGCGTTACTGCGATAGTAATTTAAGTACTTTCTAGAGGAAATATATACTTAATATACTAGACCGTTCTTCTAATAACGAGAATACGGCTTTATAACGACTTCTCTAAAGCGTTCGATTCGCGTAGCGCGGCGTTTACGGCCTCGTATAGATAGGGCGTCGGTTAGAAAGATATTATCTAAAAGAAAAAGAGATATTATTACCTAAAGTACACGATAGAACAGGAAGTACTACGTACTTATTATAGTAGCTCGGGGCGAGCTAGGCTAGAAAGGGAATAGTATTACGGATCGAGTAGGGTACGTATAGGCTCCCTAGGATCGACGTACGTAACCGCTTTTTTACTCTATTAAAAGAGCGATAGAGTACTCTCCCTCTTATCTCGTAGAGCGTAGAGTAATACGCTTCTCCTTTATTATATAAGGAACGATATTATAGTTTATATAATAGCGTTTAACTTACTATTTAATTTTACTATTTAGTTTATAATTATACCTAAACCTCTATTTTAAGATTATTTTAGTAGTCTACTAACTCTCTCCTTTTAATAAGCTCTAACTAAGGACTTAAGCTTAGTACCTATACTAAGTAAGATTCTAGGATTAGCAAACTAATCCTAATAATAAAAAAGTAATTTAATTTTTAGTAGACTATTCTAGAAATATTTTAAAAGTAAAAATATTTAAGTAGAAATAATTTTCGATTAAACTAGGATACGTAAAACCTAGAAAGTAGCTAGTTTTCTATATATAAAGTCCTTTAAATATATATATTATAAAAGAGCGATTCTATTTAAGTAGTAGTTTTAGTAGCTACTAGTAAAAATTATTTAGAAAAAGTATAGTATATAGTATACTTAACTACTATTATATACTATTATAAACTACGCTTTATATAACGCTATACTTAGTAGAGGCTTTAATAAAAGTAAATCCTCGGTTAGTAAATATAACTATTAATAGAAGAGGATTTTTAATACTCGCCTAATTTTAAGTTCTTTATTTTATATAATACTATTAGTTTTTAAGCTTATTACGCTTCTAAGCTAGAATAAAAAAAAGAGGCTAGAACTAGATATAAAGTTCTACTTTTCCTCGTTTTACTATATACTACTTAGTTCTTTTCTATCTATATTCTCGTATTAGTAAATACTAGTTTTATTTTAATCTTTTTACTTTTTACTTTTTATAATATTAGAATAGGTTTTTTATAGCTAGCTTTCTTAACCTCGTCTAAGATATCTACTAACGCCTCTAGACCGTATCTAATAACTCTAACCGGTAGAGGTAGTTTATATATACCCTTCTCTACTAGCTTCGTTATCTCCGCGATTATTTCGTTTCCTCTAGGTCTATTAAGCGCCAAGTTTACTAAAGTAACAATCTTGTTTACACCTTCTAGTACAGGCATATCAACTCCGGTAAAGACACTGCTGTACCTCTTCGACCCGTTCTTGTCCAACGCATCGCAAATATCGGTCTGGCTGGCGCCCGCTGCGACACAGTCGATGATAATATCAACGCCGATACCGTTGGGCGAAGCAGCTTTGATATCTGCAGTGACAGAGCTAGACTTGTAGTCGACGACTTGGCTGGCTCCAAGGTTGGTGATATGGGAGTGGTGTTTCGAAGAGGCCGTAGCAATGATAGGCAGCGATGGATATGCAACTCCCAGCAGCTGGACTGCGTTGGCACCCACAGCCGATGCACCGCCGAGAATGAGGACTGACGATGGCGGTGATCCTTCGGCAGGGAGGCTGCTGAAGAACGGCAGCGGAATGTGCAGGGCAGTGACAATGGCCGAGATCGCCGTGACCAGGCAATCTCTGACGCTTGATATCAGCATGCTCCATGTGCGTAGAGGAAGAGCAGAAGTTCTCTCACGGCATCGATGCAGCCTCCACCAAAGTCAGATTGCTTGGTTTCTTGAAGAGCATGCCCTCTTTCGCAGCCACTCTTTCCTGAAAAGCTTCCCACTCCCATCCAGCCACCTCATCGCCAACTTTGAATCTCGTAACTCCGTCTCCAACGGCCTCAACCACACCGCCGCCCTCCAGTCCTAACACACACGGGAACTTGCTGCTGCGGACAGCAAAATCTCGCTGTTTGGTGTCGACCAAGTTGAAAGCGACCACCTTCTGGCGAATCAAGACTTCATCTTCCTTCGGAGTCGGATATGGTACATGAACGATCTCCAATGGTCCGCCTTGTTTCATGCATTGGAGCTGGACCGTCGTTGTAGGTGTTGACGCAGGCATCATTGCTTGAGTTGGTATTAAATGCCGAATGGCGAATTTAACAACGCCTTCGATTCCATTTTAATATATGCACTGCGAGAGTATGCAAATGACAGAATGACTGAGCTCGGCCATGCCTATGTCCGGCTTACGGACGCTATATCGCATCGACCTGTGAAGATGCTTAGTTCAATGCACATCGTTTGAGGAGTACAGCCGGCCAAGAACGGACGAGAGGCTTGGACAGGAAGACCGAAAGCCGACCAGGCAAACTCTCTTGGCTCTATGTGGATGGCGGTCGCACATAGCTTTGCTGTGTCAAGTGCAGTACTGCAAGGCAGCAGAGTGAGGATTTATGTGAATGCATACTCTGACAAATGTATTTACCTGACAAACCACCAGCAGGCAGCAGCCACAAGAATCCACCACACAGGGGCAACATTCACTCCACCACTGGACTTGCTCGCGGGAGTCGCAGCCGAGCCAGAAGTCGACGATGCTCGGAACGATGGCCCTGCGGCTGCAGTCTTGGGTCCGTAGGTAGAGAAGGAATCAGTCTGCGAGTGGTCCACTACCGGTCCTTCTGGGCCGAGAGAGAATGTGTGGCCATCGATCGCCACAGGCGAGGCTCCCTCGGTCAGTGACGTCCCGTCAATGACAGCCTCAGTAGTGGCCTTGCCATCATTGCCCGTAGTGACAGTCTCTGATGCCGTCAGAGTCGTTGATCCGAGTGTGACCAATGCACCAGTTGCAAGAGCAGCAGCGCCGGTGATCGGCACAGTCCTTGATCCATCAGCCACGATTCCTCCAGCTCCTTCCCCAAACGAAAGAGTGTGGCGATCCAGCGTGAGCGGCGATCCACCCTCAGTCAGCGTACTTCCACCTACAATCGCTTCCGTTGTGAGATGCCCGTTGGTGCCAGTTACTACGGCGTAAGACGCAGTGACAGTTGAAGAGCCCAGAGTCAACACAGCGGCACTCCCCACATTGGCCGTAGGAAGTGCAGAGACGGCAGCAGTCTGTTCCCCGTCCACAACCATTCCTCCGGCACCGAAGGATATGACATGCCCGTCAATCGTCGCTGCATTGCCGTTCTGCAGCAATGTCGTACCGTCCACGACTGCTGCCGTGCTCAGTTGACCGTTGGATCCCGTAAGAATTCTTTGCATCGCATTCAAAGTCGAAGATCCGCCAAGATCGAGTATTGCTCCAGAAGGATTGGAGCCGGAATTTGATCCAACTGCAGGAGTCACAGTCGCCGCAGTCCCGCCGCTTCCAATGACCACGCCTCGGCCATTTGTGCCAGCACTGACGGCTTGGCCACCGAGTGATGTAGCTTGACCGGGAGCAATGGTGGCTGTTGTGCCGTCTGCAGCAACAATAACACCAGCGGACTCTCCAGCTTGTGCGTTGGGCTGAACTGTGAAGGCTGACGAGCCCACCGTGATGACGGATTGACTCTCGCCTGAGCCGCTACCACCGGGTGATGAACCTGGTACATCGTTCACGCCAGGACCGCTTTGGGGGTTGCCGCTCGAAGAGCCAGGGCTGCTATTTTGCGAATCGTTCGAGTTTGGATTGTTACTTGAGCTTGGTGAATTGTTGGGAATTTCGTTGGATCCTGGACTGGGATTTGGATTGTTGCTGTTGGCTGGTGATGGATCGCCGCTCGAGCCTGGACTTCCGTTACTGTTTGGATTGGGAGTCGACGGGGAATTGTTGTTGTTCGAGCTTGGGCTGTTGTTCGTGTCTGGACTGCTGTTCGGATCTGAATTGTCATTTGTCCCTGGGTCGTTACTGTTTGAACCTGGACCTGGGTTGCTGTTTGACGGTTTGCCATTCCCGTTATTGTTCGAGCTAGGCGTCGGTTGAGGGTTGTTATCTGCGGGCGAGTCATTGCTCGGGTTGTTGGGCGAGCCTCCTGGATTCCCATTATTCGGACTTGTCGGGTTGCTGTTTGACGGAGATGTGTTGTCAGGAAGTGCAGTAGGCTGACCAGCCGCAGGCGTGGTGGTCGCCGCTGTAGGGCTCGGGATACTTGGGCCAGGCGTGCTGGCCGGGCTGGCTGGCGTGGTCTGCTTGCCTCCAGGCAGCGTGACACCATTCTCTGTCAGGGCTTCCGTCAACGCTTTAGGAGGATCATACAGTCCGTCAAGCGCCACAGCACAGCTTGCCCAAGCCGGATCCAGCTCCCGGATCTGCGTTGGGACGACGAGCGTCGGATAGTATGCCCAATCGATGATGGTGCTCTGGCAGGGCTCAGGAGCGAACTCGCCGTTAACCCAGTCGTAGTAGACATTCGGGTATGGAACGCCTGGCACTGTCGCACAGCCCGTGTCTAAGTATCGCACGGTGTTCCACGCACTGTAGGGCAAGGTCGGCAGCAGATTGGCAAAGTCAAACGAGCGTCCATAGTCGTAACAGTTTCCCTGTGTCACATAATAGGAGTGGAGTTCGCTCGAGGCAAGAGTAACCCACCCGCCGCTGTGTTGAGCACCAACAATGCCACAAGCGTTACTTGCATATGCCGTGGCGAGCGAGATGTATACTCTATTCTCATAGAATGTCTGGCCAGCCGAGACAACATATGGGCCTGTTGCGTTAATCAGTACTTGTAACAGTCAGTTGATGAGACGGGTGTATTGCTCACCGCTGTTGGACGTGGAGGTGTTGGCAAGGTAATACGGGCAGTTGAAGTATTCCAGGCAAGCGTCGTGGCTGGGAGCTGGTGGATTGTACGGCGCTGAGGTTGGTCCCAGAGGACATGTCGTCGCGGGCTCGTCTGAGGTAGCGCAAAGGTCGCGGGACACGCTCGTTGTGATTGGAAAATAGAGGAGTTGAACCTGTCCGTGCGTCAGCAATCTGACAAATTCAAAGGTGGAGCTCATCAACACACCTGTCCACCGTAAATCGTGCAAGCACCGCAGGTTGATGCATTGGCTGTCTGGAATATCATCAGCTACTGGGTGTTCGTCTTGAGCAACTGTCCTAGGTTCAGGCTTACTCGATTGCAATCGTACGAGTACGGAGTGTCAGGTGGAACGGCACTGTTCAAATCAATCGTCCGCGCCGCGCCATCGACAAAGTCATAATTGTCGTCTGGGCGGTTTGCATTGTCGGGGTAGTAGGTGTATACAGTAAGACTGGACGGATCGCCAGCGTCCGACGTAACTCTTCCAGTCATTGCTTGTCCTTTCAATGTCAGGACCGGAGGAGGAGTCATTGCCGCATTTCCAAAGGACGTCGTGCTTGTTGTGCCGTTGCCAATAACGGTGAACGCCGTCACCTGCGGTGCAATGGAAACGGTAGTCTGGCCAGCTGAATAGGCCGAACCGTATGAGGACCAACTGCTCGCGGACGACGCATACAGAATGTCGCAGTCGCTGGGGTTGATGCTGCATTTGGGGGGCGTAGGCGCGGTTCCTGTAATCGTGGAGCTGTAATCCAAGCTTGAGTTCACCCCCGTAGCCTGAGAACGAATGAGTCTGGATGCACATGTTGAAGACGGCTACTCAAAATACATACCACAGGCGTAAAGCTTCCCACGAGCCGAGGATATGTGTCACAGCCTCCCAGCGTAGTCGTCTGAGCCGTCCAATTGGTTAATGTCCAATACGTTGTTGTTGTAATCTCAATCGCGCCCCGTGCTTGAGTCTCCAGCACGTCCGAGTAAGACAAGTAGAGATCCTGGCATTGGTTTGCGTATGCGCTTCCGCTGCCCGTCGGGGCAATCGAAGAATTGTAAAACGTCGAAGTGGTCGAATTCGTCCCGAGCGTGGTTGTGGGTGCGGTTGTGTTTCTAGCGGGGGTACTGGTGGTGTTCGAGCCAGAGAGGCCGCCTCTTGCGATTGAGATTCCCACAGTGGTACCAGTGTAGCTGTCTATGACCGCGCTCGAGTTGTACAGAGCACAAATCAGAAGCCCAGGCACTTGAAAGGGACCGAACTCAAAGAAGGCGCAGTCGCTATCGGCATCACATAACGGAGCGCATTGAGTCCAGTCGCCGCTGCCGTAGAGCTGGACGGAGAGGGGGTCGGCCTGTGTAGCTGCATTGCAGTACATGGTGTATGCCATGCCGTTGGGATCGATGTATTGTGTCCCATTCACACAAACTGCAGAGGAGGAAGTGGCAGACGCGGTAGCCGTGTTAGAAGCATTTGTCTGGGTTGTGCTTGGGACATCTGCAAGCACCGTGCTGGAGATATTTGCCAAGTCAAGAGCCAGATGTGCCAGCGAGCCACTCGCTGCCGTTGACAAGAGTATTCGAGCGCCCTGGCTGCTTGTGGTGTTGGAAGTTGACTGTAATACCGATGACGAAGCGGTGGTATTTGTCGAGACTGAAGATACTGCAGGGCTCGAGGAGGTTATCGGCGTTGTCGTCGACGAGGAGCTGCCCACTCCGAGGTGGACAAAGAATCCAACTCCATGGGAGGATGTTTCGGAGGAGGTGGAGGATAGTGTCGTGGAGCTCGATCTGAATATGGAGGAGCTTTTGGCGGTAGTCGAATTCGCTACGCTCGTTGAGTTCGCATAGCTGCTGGTGCCGTTGTGGTCATGGACTGACTGAGCGAGAACGAAAGGAACGCTCACAAGGAGAAGTGATATCAACTCCATTCCGAACACTGACAGCGAAAGAAAAGAGATGGGAATGCTTGGAAGAAGCCGCTGTCTCACCAACCTTACCTGCTGCGGTGGGAACAAGACCTGAGATGTAGGAGAGGGTGCAGCTGCAGGGCGCCATAGCTGCGGCGACAAATCTCCGACCCGCGTGGAGTCTGACGGTCTTTTGGAATATGGTGATTGGAGATCTGGGGCGTTCAGGAGGGTTTATTTAGAGGCGATGTCTCTGACAAACACGAAGCGAGAAGATGGACGAACTTTGAAAACATTCAGCTGAGGTCCGCTTCTCGGGGGAGTTCCGGCGCTAGCACTTTCGTGCCTCAGGCAACACGGCCAGAAATGAACGACGTCTACATGCGTATGGTTCATATATGAGGCCTGATTCTAGACAGTAGATCGAGGCTGCTCCCTGCTAAACATCGTCTGTCATGAAGGACGGGAGGATCGAGCTGTCTGAGCATTCCACAGATGTAACCACTTCTTCTCAACCACAGTCTAGACCTTGAGAAGTATTAGACTTTGGCTTACGTGAATTTAACGAGGAGCTGAAGTGGTTCTTCCGAAATCGTTGAGCACTTCCTGATATATCGATCATTATCCTCGCCTCCCAATCTCAGCCGCTGCCGATGGGACCGGTACCACAAGAGCAACAACACCCTCGCTCGCAGGAAGAAGTCTCAAGTCATGTGGAGTGGCTGATCCGAGCATGTGCAGCGTCCATCAACAATCGCACCTTCACTCAGGATCGATGCTGGCAATACATCGACGAAAACTATCTCGTCTCGCTCGACACGGGCTATCGAGGCCGATCTTCCACCAGATCCGACTTCATTGCGGGCTTCCAAGTCGTCTGCGACAGGTGCCCGAACTTCTCTCTGCATGTCTCGTCGTGCGTGGTAGAAGTCGACATGCATGAAGGTTGTGCCCAAGTCTTCGCCGATATCACCGAGGCTGGAGGACCTGGGCTGGAAGGGCTGTCGAGGCAGCACATTACTGTCTTCCATTTCGCCAGGGACAGCGCCGGCAGATGATTGGCCCAAAGGGAGTCGACCTTCATGGGCGCTAGATATGGTGACATTGGAGGATGATGCACTGAAGGACGGTATCAGAACACGCTCGATCATTCAGCTGGGAGGTTCCAATGAACGGGCGAAGGCGTTGAGGTCGGGCGAGGATGCTCCAAGAAAGTCGACTGAGCAGCGGTTTCTGCTCGAACTGGCGAGCCAGCACTCCCAAAGACTCGTCATCGTGGTCTTCTTCTCGCCACCTGCTCGTCTCTTCGGTGGCGCTATTACTTCACGGAGTAGCTCACTCTGCTGTTTCCCTTCGATCTCGAAATCTTCTTCACAGCCACCTCGCCGCATTGTGAGCTGTCATCTACGTGCGTACCTCCACATGGATATGTCTCCAGGCCCACGATCTTAACAACTCGAAACTTGTCTTCTCCAGGCGGCAGCAGACTGCGGTCTGGGATCAGGCGTGCCAGTCCTTCCCGGCGGAAGTCGTCCTCGCTCCAGAAGTCCACCTCGACAGGTACTCCACGGCTAACGTATTCGTCCAAACGTTCTTGTATGGCGGCCTTGTGCTTGCCTTCAATCAGACCTTGAAACTCGCATGCCGCGCTGTCGGGGAAATGGGATGCTTTGAGCTCGTCGAAGTTCTCGACCTGGTGTTCCAACAGGTGGCGAACAGCCGCGCCAAGCACATGTCCGGCAGTATGTAGACGACTGTACAACAGTCGCTTTTCGCCATCAACATCCTGTCCGACAGCCTCATTGGGTTGAAACTGAGCTGATGCCGGACCCACGAATCGTCCAAGATGCAGGGCTTGTCCGTTGTTGCTGGCATCCATCCTCACCGATGTGACCTGGAACTTGGCGTCCGAGTTCGATATCGAGGTCATGGTCCCTTCATCGGTTGGCTGTCCACCACCTATGTGTGGGTTAGTTGTGATATCGACATCTTTCATCAGGAGACAGACCTTGTGGGTGGAAGATGGTGTCTTTGGTGATGACGACAAAGTCTTCGTCGGTGAAATACTGCTTGAAGACTTTTTGATTGTCTTCGCCAAGCTGTTGAGCGGCTTGTACGGATAGCATTTTTGTCTCCAGGTGCAGCAGATGTCCGTCGTGCTGGAACGCCATGTACGTGGGAACGGTGTTGTCTGCCATCTTGACAATAGATTGAGGTCGGAACGCTTTGTGCAATGCTGGAGGCTTGTGTGTTTTCGTTCGTATGGGTATAACAGGCTATATGTATGGTGCCACTGCGGATGGTATGACTGAGATGTAGTTCTGCGCAAGGGCGCGGTGTTTCTCAGCCTGTAGATTCGAATGGAACTCGCGAGAAGACGGCGGCCAGAACGAAGTCCGCATCATTGCGGATGAGTCACCTAAAGGCCGCAACTATGAGACGCAGATGACACCTTTCTACAATCTTTCAATCAAGGTCAATACAACCCAATCAACATTTGGCTAATCGAAAGATTCATCGACGTACTCAAAGACACCATACCGCTGCTGTCCACATTTGCTGCCCATAAGCCAACGCAATCCAACCGAATTCTTCCTCTTCCTTCAACACCAGAACGGATCATCGTTCAACCCAAAGTCGTCGTCCGAGCCAAAATCAAAGGCGTCGGCTCTTTCGTCGGGATCCATCCCATGGTATATCCAGGTCACGCCTCCGCAGCCGCTGCACGGAATACTCACGCCGTAAGTGCACTTGTTGCACTTGCCGCAATGCCATTCACGCCATTCCATGCACTCCTTGCACTTCCGGCAATGCCAAATGTTCTGCTCCTCCGCCCAATGATCCATACAGAAGGAGTAGGACCAAAATCCACCCTCGGAGCCTGAGGACTCCTTGTACAGTCCGTACTGCAGCAGCTTGTTATAATGCCCAGCCATATCCGTCTCTTTTAGTCCCCTCTTTATCTCCCTCCAATCCTTCAAGAAGTCATCGAATTTGAAGGCATCGGTCGCCTTGCAATGGTCCATCTTCTTGCCCAGCTGCGTCAGGTCCAGGGTATTCTTGGCTTTGCTCGCGTATGTCGCAAAGCAGGGTGTCACGACTTGATTTTCGACGCCCAAAGCTTTCGCAATGTCGCTGAGACGGTTGCGGCACCGGACCTTCTCGTTGCTCGAGTCACAAGTCTGGCAAGCGCAAGAGCTTCCGCAGCCTGCGCCAGCCTTCACGCACTTGCAACTGCCCTTGCAGCCTGTCTTACATGAGCATTTGATTGTTTCTCCAGGTTCTCTGTCTACCCGGCCGGTATCTGCGTTCTTGTTGACGTCAGCCAGAGAGCTTGAGTGGCACGATCTCAACTCCGTTATGATTACCTCTGTTACTCGCCGCTCCTCTGGCCGCATCTTTTACGGTTTCGGCCTCGGCGGACCTGCTTGGTATCGGCCATTGATGAGCTGGTCGAGATCGATGGGCAATTCTTTGCGCTTGCCAGACATTGTGACTGATCTGAAGATTGGAGTAATGGGGTTCTGGGAAGAGAGTGTCTCAAGAAGACTTTAACGTTCTCTAACCATGGCAAAGCCAAGTCGCGGTGGACGCGTCGCGCGTTTGATTAGACCGGGGAATGGCTGTTGGACCTTGGTAGGTATGGTGATTCATAGGTCGGCTGGATACGGGCGCTAGTGGCTGCTTGCATGTGAAAATTGAACGACGAGTAGCTCTCCCTGGTCCAGCTCGCCGTCCTTCTCGAGACGCCCTTCAGCATCAACAATCTCGTCCAAAGCACCATCGCATTTTTTGCCCTTTGACAATACTGCCGCAGACTGTTGACCACTTCTGGCTGTATCAATCAGCCCTTCATCATCAGTCCGCTTACTGCTTTTCGTCCGACCAGATGCTGCTGCGCCTGGAGGCATTCGAGATGACCGCCCAATCGCAAACTTCATCCGCAGTCTTCGCAGCCGAAGCCCAGCAATTCCATTTCACTTCCGAGAAGAAACAGTGGTGAAGTGGTCACAACCTCGAGCCAAGTTTGGTGCGGTATGTTTGTAGTGGCTGGCAATGATGAGCATGACGGGCTTCCGATCTTAGGAAGAGCTGCGACCATGGTCATCTTGGATCCCAGAATACATCATGTGCTACTCCAGCAGTGTGCATTGCTGCGCTCCTGCTCTCAACCGATCTGAGGCAGCATGTGAGCTCCTCGTCCAAACGATGGACATGCTTTCTTCACTATCTCGTTCAGACACCGATGCTGCAGTCTAGCCCTATCGGTGCAAGAAACGCGGAGTCACGGCGTCTGATAAGGGAACACAGTCACACGACTTATCCCACTGGATGGACTTGTGCTATTGCTCGGAATGGAAATCGGGTCCTGCTTGCAATGCTAACTGTGGGCGCCATGTTGCGAGCACTCGAGCATCGAATCCTTTCCTCTTCTTACTTCCTCGCCCAGTTTCCATACCACCCAATACTTCTCCCACACAGCAAGGCAAGCAGTCAGCCACGGGTCTAACACGACCTGGAGTATTATCTTCTCGCCACCTTCAAGCACAACATGGGATCTTTGGATCATGGGCTCGCCCACGTCGAGGATGTTTTTGATCCTGCGGCATGCTTCCGTACACATATCAATCGCAATGAACACTGCTGATAGTCACGTCCAGATACACCTGGCGCCATTGACCACGGCTAGCACGTTCACGTTCGCCGATCTGGGCATGACGGAGCCTGGGGATGAAGCACGAATAGCCGGTAGCAATCCATTCCCTTTCCTCTCTTGGGAAGGGGTCCTGGCATATCGCCGCTCAATCCTGAGCTCAGAAGTGTTGAAGAACTGTGCCAGGTCATTTGGTAAAGGTGCTCTCCTCCTTCGTGATGTCTCTTCGAGATCTAAGTTCATTAAGGATCTCTGGACCCATCACAGAACCCTCAACATTGTACGGAGTGCGCTCGGCGTCGATGTCGACATCATCATGCCTTACGAGATCGGACACACCAACATCCAACTTGCTAGCCCCGACATGCCTCTTTCCAATCTCCAACCTGAGCCACAGATCCAGGCGGTGGCTCTGACAGAAGAACAGAAGAACTACGATCCGCTGTCGGCAGACTCGGTGATACCGTGGCAGTAAGTCGTTGAGGTTTGCTTGGCGACGCTGAAGCTGAGGAGTGTAGCTACGATTCCTATCCTTTCGTGGCCATCATCATGCTTAGCCATACAGACTCTATGATCGGAGGCCACACGTATATCCAGACAGCGGACGGAAGACCACACAAGGTCAGCCATTTCACACCTCCATCTCCTCTCTACTGACACAGACAAGGTCGACGGCCCGTCTATCGGCTCTGCGGTAGTCCTTCACGGCGGCCGAGTTCGGCATCTAGCGTCTCGCTCCTTTGGCTCAAGCGAGCGGATCACAGCAATTACATCGTTCAGACTCTCTAAACCCGGCGTTTGGGACGATAGCTACATCAGCAATGTCCGCCCGTATGATGAGCTGCCTGCTCTGTACCGCGAGTGGTCACTGTATCGCCTGAAGAAGATGAGAGAGGAGATCGAGTTACTGGAAGGGCGGCTGGTCAGCGACTCCCAGTCCTTTTTCGACGAAGATGTGACTGCGCTTTGCTCACAGCTGGCCGACTATTCAACCAGGACAGCCCGACAGATGACGAGGCCATCCATTCGGGACGAAGTCGTGGCCAGATTCGGCCATTCCAAGGTGGCTTCCACCATAGACGCCTGGCGAAGCATTCGTGGCCGTGCAGATATTCAAGAACGAACTTTCGGCGCAACAGAGAGCACGGCTGGCGACATGCCCGAGCTGAAGCCATATTTGCTCGACTGGCACCATACCAAGGCTGCCATCACACTTGGAATACCTCAGATTAGCGTGGGTGGGCCGTTCGAGTGGAAGGAGGGTGAGGAATACTTCTTCCCCGACGAGCTTGGTCGACAGGGTTTGAATGAGTTGTTGCTGCTATGGCTCGATCGATATGGTTTGGTGGCCCAGATGTGAACTTGGAAGGTATTGGAGGTAGAAGTACTTCATCCGAGAGTTTTTGCAATGCCTGAGTATCTCAATCGTCTCCTCTGACGAGTCGTCGCTGAAATCAAGCTGCAGGCGTGTCGTTTCAAGAAACAGTCCGACAGGAGAGTGTATTCCACAGTCTGCTGCCATACTACCTGCCGTTGCACCAACGATATAGTCCGCCAAGTGGTGGTTGGAAATCCATGCTGATGCCAGATTCGTCATCTTGAGAGGTAATGAAGTTTTGGCGAGGCTTTCTTGCCCGTCACAGGTGCTTGAAAGACCAAAATTATTGAAACCTGCATGCAACATCATCTAGCCGACTATCATCCAAAATTGAGACTGACATGAAGAAGACTGGTAGAGTCGCCATGACTACGGATCCTTCCGAATCTTTGCGTTCGACGGGATATAACCGTGGTACTGGTGAGCGTTGCTTGGTACGCTATTTTCGTTTCGACGAGACATCGTTATTGGAAGACACATGCATCCAGCACTTCAATAACAGTCTGGAAATGCTGGAAGCAACACCTTGATCGGGCTCCAGGCGAGATACCAATGGTTCGCTTCCTACTGCGCGGCACTGCCATGCGCCAGCTTCAGAACCTCGGTCGTCCAAGAACATTCAAATATGTTCTACTACCGCTGAAGTCAACAAGGTTGGTACGGCAAACGGTCTCTTGGAAGGAACATGTTCAACCCCCTTCGCCGCCATCGGCTTTATTGGCCTACCGTACGGGCACTTGCGTTGTTGATGAGTCTTCCAGAGTAGCCTTTGGTAGAGATGTACAACGGCGAAACAGTTGATATGAGATAATTGGACCCAGCAAGACAACAACGATGCAGAGCTCGTAGTAGCAACAGCAACATCACATCCCCATCAAGAGCAATAACCAACGTCGCCCCTTTGACTTGGCGGCGAGGTACAAGAAGCTGAACTACGCCCTTTGCTTCTCACCATCAGCATCAACAACTTCCGCTTCAAAACAATCAACAACTTCCTAATACACCTTCAACCAACCAATCCACCCTCGCTCTCAGCCACCATGCAGTTCACCATCGCCGCCGTCCTGGCCGTCGCCACCACTGCCTTCGCCCTCCCGTCGTCTGACGGTGGTAGCGGCACCTGCGCAAAGGGATCTGACATCTCGTGCTGTGTCACCGACAGCAGCGGCAGCGGCACCGCTGGCAATGTCTTGGGTGGATCATGTCTCCTCAGCCAAGTCAGCTTGTTGTCTCGTACGACTTATAGCCCACGATCAATACCAAACGCCTTACTGATTTCACGATCTAGTCCTCGACAACGTCTGCCCGGCTGGAAACACTTTCTGCTGCCCTACCAACCAAGACGGCACCCTCAACGTCAACGCAGCCTGTATTCCTGGTAAGACCTGATTCTGCAAGTCAACTTGAGACGCATCTTTACTGAGTTCCAATGCAGTGAACGTTTAATTGCAACTTCGGGGGCCTTGGTCGTCTGGAAGGCCAACTGGAGAGGCAATCGAAAACACCACGAAGTCGATTTTTTAGCGATTTATAGATCAAGCATTAATGTTTAGCGCCATGGCGGCGTATATTCCTACCTGAACCATTTCAATCCTCATCGGAATCTCAAGCCCTCGATGATTGCAGTCTTGCGTCGACAAATGCCTTTCAAATCCAAGACCAAATCGTAATTACAACACCGCAAGCGGACCGGACTCGCAGCCTTTCGGACCTGCCTTCCTTATTGACAAATGGTCAGATGAGCTAACTGTCCCAAGGCAGTGCTCTGTAGCTGCCGACGACTGGCACCTTTTGGACATCTCGTCGACCCATCGGCATCCTTGCTGCCTCGCGATGTATGTACAGAGTATATTCTCATAGCAAACGGCCGAGGGAATCGAAGTCCACCACAACCACCGATGCTGCCGATTCTGCCTTCATCCAAAGCCTGTCCATCAACTGCTATAACAACTCTCTCTCACCATGGCCACGTCCACAACGACACTCACCCATCCTGCTGAGAAGGACATTCGTGAGAAGCAACGGCAATGCAAGTCGAACACGATCTTCCAGCGTCGTAAGGAGAATGAAGCGGCCAGCCTTGCTCTCGGTGTTAAGCTTCAAGGTATCCCCAAGTTCAATTCATTTGAGAAAGAGCGACGATGGATGCTTGGACATATGGCAGCCGCGTTCAGGGTGTTGGCTCGCAAAGGCTTTACAGAAGGACTTGCTGGCCATATCTCGCTCCGTGATCCTGAATACAAGGACTGCTACTGGACGAATCCGCAAGTTTGCCATTTCCACCAAACTGCGACCACATCGCTAACGATGTATGTATTTCAGGCTTTTACGCCATTTCGGGTTGATGAAAGTGTCTGACCTGGTCTTATTGAACCACAACGGCGAAGCAGTCGGCGGCGCGACACATCTACCTGTAAATGCCGCCGGCTTCCAGATCCATGGCCATATCCATCGTACATATCCACATGTGAATGCTGCCTGCCACGCACATTCAGTCAGTGGACGAGCATGGGCTTGCTTCGGCAAGCGGCTAGATATGCTCCATCAAGATGTCTGTAACTTCTATGGTGATTCTCACCAAGTGTACGACGACTTCGGCGGAGTCGTACTGGATGCAGACGAGGGCGACCAGCTTGCATCTGCGCTGGGTCCCAACGGCAAAGGCTTGATTCTGCGAAACCATGGACTGCTGACGGTAGGAAATACTGTCGACGAGGCCGCCTATCTTTTCTGCCTGATGGATACATGCTGCGAGATCCAACTAAGGGCTGAGGCGGCGTCTGTGAATGGGGCCAAGAAGATTCTAGTGAGCGATGAGGCGGCTAAAATGACGTTCAAGGCAACAAGTATCGCAGTAAGTTTCCATGCAAGCGTCAAAAATGAGCTTACACGACCCTGACATTGCTCTAGGAAGGGTTGTACTCTGACTTCCAGCCTGAGTATGAATACGAGCTCGCAATTTCGAAGGGCGAACTCTTGGAGTAGGGCAGTGGACGATGGTCCAGTGTGGTTTCTATACCTACTCTGTCTGTTCTTTCCACTATATATGTTCCAGTTCATATCTTTCCAGCTTCCCAAAGCATATCCCGTTACCTATCGTAGTAAAAGCCCGCGTACGGCGGCTAGTTGGGGTCGATAAAAGACTTCATATTGTCCACAAGGCTGGCTTTTCCCCTGACCGGTGGGACGCATCCAGGATATTGAGTGTGACTCGCTGCAGTGTTTTGAACGCCGCCTTCAAAGATTGTATCAACATTGGAATGATACAACAACTTCTTGCCTTCGCTAAGTCTGCCTTTCGCCAGGAGAAGGGCCACATTCTGAAGCAAGTTGCTTACGGTTTGGAGTCTAGCCGAGCGAAGGTCTTTCGTAACAAGTGCAGCGTATATAGACAGTATCGAGATGTCGTCTGCGTTCCCCCTTTCCCAGTGAAACGGGGCCTCGATTCGAAACTCTACAATCGACTCAAAAAGGCTTCACCTTGGATCACGGAGAGATGCTCCTTGGAGATTTCGGATACTGAGCTGCAGCTGCCAGAGACGGTCAGTGGTGGACGAAGGCATTTACTGTTACCGTAACTCACCCGCAAAGCGCCATGGTTGTGCGGAACTCTCTGGTCAGTATCTTCAAGGCTAGATCGACGCCGTCTTCTCCATTGTACTTTCCTGATCATCAGTCCAATGTCCATGCAGAACGTTTGATCCAAAACGTGGTCGCTGACTCACCGCCAGTCCCCACAGGGGTATTCTGCCGGCAAGGCAGAAGTCTGCCCCAAGAGCTAGGGCCTTGAAGATGTCGGAGCCTCTTCGAATGCCCCCATCGACTGCTATCTTGATCTTGCCTTTGGCAATTGGTGCACACTCTCGCAATGCATCCAGGCTTGCTGGGACGCCATCGAGCTGTCTCCCGCCATGATTAGATATGACAACCCCGTCCACGCCATGTCCCACGGCGAGTGCGACGTCTTCAGGCGATGTTACTAGTCAAAATGTAAGTACGATCCATTCGACTTCAACATGTCACGTATTCAGCTTACTCCCTTTAAGCCAGATCTCCATGTTGGTGTTGAAACGAAGCCAGGGGATGAGCTCTGACCAAGCGAGGGAATCATCAAGAGCGAGTTCCTCTGGATCTGTAGGCCCGGTCTCTCCTTCGTCTTTCAGCATTGGTATTTTGACGTGGGTCGGGATCTTGAAGTCATTTCGATACTCGCTGAGCCGCAGTCCAAGAACGGGAATGTCCACGGACACGATCACGGCCTTGAAGCCAGCAGCTTCTTCATGTCAGCGATGCATGGCACACTATTGGCCTGACGCTCTTTGGAAAGCCACCCACCTTCGGCTCGTTGAAGGATCTGCAAGGTCTTCCGTCTGTTCCTGTAAATGCACACATGAATGGCATAGGGATTGCCTTGGCCTTGCTGCATGACATCTGTAAGATCGTAACTCGCGTACGCGGACAATGCCATGGCTATGTTGTTCTTCGCTGCAGCTCGCGAGGTGGCCACTTCCCCATCTGGGTGGACAGTTGCGTGATGCCCAGCGGGAGAGAAGCCGAACGGGATGGAGACCTGCTCTCGATGAGACAAGCTACGAGAGAGGTCGATCACACACAGACCTTGGTACCAAAGACGGTAGCAGACATGTCGAGGTCGTGGACGTTTCGCAGCGTTCGGGGGCGAAGCTTGTAGCGATTGTAAGCTTCCTCATTGTCCTTGAGGCTAACAAAAGGTCAGCGGGCGAAGACACGCTCATGTGGTGTCTCGAGACCAACATTATCAGGTCCATAGCCCCTTCTTCAAGCCATTCTGTTTTGACGAAGTAAGCAGGGGAGGAAGCTGGAAGGTTGCATTGTCCAGCATTTTTCGCCCACCTCGAGTAGCCACGGGAACCCTAGTTCCGGCTTTGGTTTTGAGATCATTGATTGTCAATATATCTCTATCGAGGTAAGGAAGGCGATGCGACATGGTGGAATATATGAAGAGTGTACGACTAAGGCCCTGGATGCGCTTCTTGGATATGATTTCGTCTTGTTCAAGATTAGATTCAATCAGACTGTACGCGTCTGTAAGGAAGATGATACCAGTGAGAGGTCGCTTAAGCTGACTGAAATCCTACGTGAGCCCAATCGCTCCATCCTTCCACCAAGTTGCATTCCCGCTGATAAGGGCAGCTCTCGAAAAGGGTAGGTCGAGGCATTGCCTGCCGAAGTCGGGCAGCCTTGCAAATGGTCTGGCGGACCCCAGTGTGGAGTTCTAATATCAACTTGAGAGCAGCCTGCACCCTCTCTGTTGCATTCACTACCTCTCCGTCGCCTTCGACAACGAAAATGCCATCTTCATCGGCGAAAGCAGTCTTCACTGCAGAAGCACCGGCTCCAAGCCCTTTGATGCCACAGGCAGTTGTACAGAATGGGATGGTGTACTGTTCAGGATCTTTGGGCATCGACCCAGCCACAAACGACTTTGTGAAAGGAACCTTTCAAGACCGAGTGGTATGTGTTGTCGGTCGTCATGCAATCGTGAGTGGGCGTGCTGAACAACTTGACCAGAGACAATCACTGGCAAATCTCGAAAAAGTCCTCATGGCCGCAAATAGCAACCTGAAAAACGTTGTCAAAGTCAACATCTTCATCACGAGCCCGCAGCTTTTCGCTCCCTTGAACGAGGTGTATGCGGAAGTTTTCAATCAAGAAGTAAAACCTGTATGTGGTTCCAGGTGGATCCGAGGATGTCACTGACATAATAACAGTGCCGCTCCTGTGTAGTTGTAGCAGCATTGGGTCTAGATGCCGACGTTGAGATAGAATGTACTGCTTTTGTCGGCGGCACCTAAGTACCGTCGCAGGATACTATATTGGCCCCTTTTGGGCGAGACGGCGACCAAGCCCTTGGGATCTTTGAATCGCCACTGGACAGCTTTGATCATATCCAAATAACGCGAAGACGTGGAGTCGGAACCTCAGCCTTGTCCACTTCTCGCAGTGGCACTCCTGCCAATGAGACAAAGTCATCATTTAGCGTCGTTGGTCGGTTTCAAGGCTGCAGACGATGACATGCATATCCTAGTGTGGATGCGGTCACTCTTCAGTCTTGACATATCTATGCAGGACAGCACCCTCATTGCACAATGGAGCTTTTCGACAAGCGTACTCTTCGTCAATCTGTGGCTGACCCTTGCAGACGTCTTTGATTACAAACATCGCAACACCTCAAGAGAGCGCTGCGCAGTAAAAGTAGCCCGCCGCTTAGCATACAGTTTCCCTCGCAACACCTCGTCGGTTCCGTCGTCTGCTACATCGTCATTCAACGAACATGTCCTCTCTTCTCCCCAACATCCTCATCATACCAGGGGCTTGCGTTCCTGCCCTCGGCTACAAGACTATAGTCGACCGACTTCGTGAAGAAGGCCTCAACGCGAGCGTCTTTGAGCTCCCCACGGCCAACGGCGCTGCTCTCGGACATGCTGCAACAATGGAAGAAGACGTAGCGTTCTTCAGCGGCGTTCTGACCGCAATGTGCAGCACCGGGGCCGACGTTGTTGTTCTTGCACACTCTTACGCTGGATGCGTTGCGAGCGATGCGATCCATGGGTTGACAGAGAAGGCGGCCGGAAGAGGTCGAGTCCATGGTTTGATCGCCCTCACAGCGGCGCTGCCAAAAGTGGGAGAGAGCATGGGCGGTCTTCTGGCCCATCTCAGCTTTGACTTGTTCGAACCAAAGGTATGGGAAGGTAAAGGCCATCATTAGTATGCTCCAGAATGGCTGACTATGAAAAGGGCGACTTTGTTGCGCACAAGGACTTCAGCCTCTCCGCTCGCATCCTGTACAATGATTTACCACTCGAAGAGGGAGTGAAGTGGGCGGAGACGCTGAGGCCTCAATTGGCAATCAGCTACTCGGGAAAAGTCCAGCATGCTGCGTATCGCAATGTCGAGAAGCTCTTCTATCTCCGTTGCTCAGCCGACGAGTGTCTGCCGCCCAACTTTCAGGATGAGATGATCAAGAACGGCACGGATACAGGGCATCATGTCGAGGTCCACAATGTAGAAGGAGCAGGACACTGCCCCAATGCCTCTATGCCAGACAAAGTTGCTCAACTTGCTGGTGGCATAGTCAAGAATCACTTCATATAAAAGCAGAGGTCTCGCGAGAAGACAACAATTGGTTTCGTCTAGTACCAGAGATATCCCCACTTCTTCCCAAAATCTCGACCCATGATCCACGAGGCCGGATCATATCCCAGGCCATTGGGTTTGAGGCTAAGACCATCCATGGTAAATAGGTCGCGGAGGAACTCTTCTTCATCGATAACGCCTGTGAGCCCAATGCGTGAGTTGCAAGGCCGTTGGTTGTAATGATGCTGGAACGTGTGATCCTTGCCTTGATGATTTGTGGGGAACGATGAGCCCGCATTTGAGACCCATCATCTCCCCATTCTGGAAGAGGGCTGTGTAGACCGTCACGGGTACTGAGGTTACGAGACTGACTTGGGGAGTAGAGGGCAACGAAAAAGCAGCGTACTGGAGGCCGGTTAGAGAGGAACGCTCGATTGTTGAGATAGGCGCATTATTAATCGCGACAGCTTCGTCCGGCTTGTCTTGTCGAAGGGGTAGCGGTGGTTCCGACTCCGGCACAGTGGTCGAAGATGCGGACGAGGATGACGAGTACAGACCAGAGGAGATGTCCAACGCTTTGTGCTCATCAGGACAGCTAGTCGTCTGCTTGCCGCGGTCATCTCGTCCCGCAATTCGCTTGCGGCGGGTACGCTGAGCCACCCTGTTCTGTATGCGCCGACGCTGAACAGAGTCGCGCACTCCGTACCAAGACTCGGTCTGGTTGGCCTCGGCGAGCTGCATTGGGATCATGCTGTAGCGGTAGTCCATGTATTGCTTGTCAGATATTGTCGAACGTTTGTGCAAAGAGCAGCTTTTGCAAGGCAGAGGCTACTTGATGACATGTCAGCCCCTAAATCCTGACACCTGCGCTAAATCCTGACACCTGCAGGTACATACGCGGGGCCTCCTGTTGTCCCCAAGACTTCGGGTTACCTGATTGTTCAACCCCTTCTGTATGCCTCAGAGAGCCGTCTAAGGTCGTAGTCAAATCATATTCGAAAACTTAATCTCATTGAACTCGTTTCGGTGGCACGTCAACAAGTCCTTTGGCCTCCTTCAACCTCCATTGAACTGCTTTGATCATCTCATACATTGCACGGAGATATGGCGTGGGGATCCCGACCTTCTCGGCCTCTCGTAGAGGCTCACCAACGAGATATTCCACCTCCATCAAATTGCCCTGAGGACATGTTAGTCCCGCCTCTGTCAAAGGTTTTGAAGCCAATGCATCGCCAGTCTCTATTGCTTACCTTCTCCAGATCGACTTGCATGCTGGGTTTGAGATAGAGGTCCATGGGGTCGAGGTTGATCATCGTGTCAATGATGTTCTCAGGCAGATCATGTCCGAGCCGTTTCGCGGTATCATAAACCTCTTGCATAGCAGGTCTGGCTATTCCTTCAATAAGCGTGCCGGAAAGCCTTGCCCTGGCTGAGTCGAGCTGGGTAATGGCACAGATGGGATTGAGCACGGCGTTGAAGATTAACTTCCGCCATCGTGACCACGGAACGTCCTCAGAAAAGTGGACTTTGGTCTTCCCCGCCGCACCATACATCTTGATGAAATGGCGCGCGGCGGCAATCTCCTGCTCGTCTGTTTGGAAGTTAGGGTTGTGAAAAGCCCCCAAGTAGAGTATATCATGATCTTCGTGGTAGATATCTCCCGGCTCGACTTCGTGTGAGTCGATCATGGAGACGCCTGAGAGGACGATGTTCTGCGGGAACTTCTCGAACATAGCTCTCTCGATATTTAGGCGATTCTGAATCATGACAATAACGGTATGTCCTGGGGTTACCGCTGGTGCGATGAGATCGGGGAGCATTGGTTCGACATCCATGAGGTTTTTGGTGCTAGTGATGATGTAGTCAAAAGGCTCCGCCGTCTCAGCCTCGATCGAAGGCACTTTTTTGACCACTGTAGGAGCTGTCAATCTCGATTCGCATGACGCTGGACATATTCAGCGTACCGCTCGATGGTCTCCATGCATTCACACGACCATGATCGATACTTTCGATATTGTACCCTCGATGTTTGACCGTTTCGTAGTTTGACCTCAGCACCGCCGTGACCTGGCCAAGCTTGCCGGCTTCGATATTCAAGGCCGCAATGGCGCCCACTGCGCCGCCGCCAAATAGCAGGACGTTTGATACGGGAGCGGCTCCCATGGTGACAACGACGTGAGACCTTTTGTCACAAGATCCGCTTGGCGGCTGCTCCTTCAAATATCCGACAAGCTCTTCAACTGAAGAAGCGTCAGACTGTGTCTGCTGCTGTGATGACTGGAAGTAGCCGAGCGTGCTCGCATCATGACCCTGTTAATCATGAAGTCGGGGAATCCTGCCGCCATCGCCAGAAGTGTGATGGCCATGAGCATACGATAAGCAGAAAGGTGGCGCCATCGGCACTGGGCGCCGACCAAAGAGGAGTCTCGCCTTTGACCCCGACATCGCCTCCTCCTTCATCCTCTTGCCTCCTCCGAGCTGCTGTTCATACTTCTCGCTCCTCGATTCTCGTTCGGGCGTCGCTCCTAGCTGCAATTCTACAATCGGCTTCAAGGCATGGCTTTCCTTTTCCTCTCGTCCCATTGATCAGACCCTGCACGACGCTGCCTCTTTTCGACTGCTGGACACTTTGCAATCGATTGTTGCTACAGAAGCATGGGCAAATCATGTCGATGCGGAAGAGTTATACAGGCTGCTGGACCTGTCGTTCCCGCCGGGTCAAGTGTGACGAGCAACGGCCTCGCTGCACTCGATGCACGACCAAAAACATTCCTTGCGAGGGTTACTCGACCCGCCTCCAATGGGTGAGCGACGTCGATCCTGAGCATGCCCAGACACGTGCAGTCTCCTACCGCAAAAGGCCGCCACGACGTCGTCATTTGACGTGTCCGTCACCGCAGTCCAACATTTGAAGCCTCGGGCTGACACGGCACAGTCTCAAAGGTCGAGGTACTGGACGACGTCGCCTTGTCCCAGGCTCTTGCTGATTTGGAGCGTGCAGCGCTGACTCAGGTTTCGAAGAAATCTGGCCCCTTTTCTTTGCTCTCCTTCGCAGAAGAGGCATCTGAGCAGCCTCAACAGCCAGCCAAACCCGGGCCAGAGGCAGAAATATTTCCAGAAGTCCACCATCTTTCGTCATCACCAGCCGTTTACAATGCTGATCAAGATACTTTATCGAGCGATGCGGTGCAATGCGAGGATCTTGGATGTCAAGTGCCAGATAATGCTGCTTTCCCAAGCAAGCATACTGTTCAGTCAGCCGGCTCCCCCTGTTGCGACCATTTCAGTGCGGATGCGCAAACATCTCTAGATTCCGCACCGCATCTCTTTGGTCTCGACCGATCCACTACCCTGACCACACTGGACGATGTCTTCCTGACCACAAGCGTCAAAGTGTTGCTTCGTCACTACAGCTCCCACGTGCTTCGCATATTCAGCCCCCTTAATCATGACAAGAGCCCATGGCGACTCCTGCATTTTCCTGCTGCTCTGAGAGCCAGCATTGAGCTCGAGATCGTCGGCCACACTGCGCCCTCGCGGAGAACACTGCTGTACGCCATTCTGACATTGAGCGCGTACAATCTGGCCAACACGCAGATTCAACAAGGCAACGTAGAACATCAACGCTGGCTGGCTGTCGGTGCTCACTACGCCGAAACCACCCTTCGCATGCTTGAGTCTGCCATTCGAGAGTCGACCACCACTGAGCCAGTCCCGTCCACGTACAATGAACTCGTTGCGGCCATCCTGTCAATGGTCACAGTCGATGTAAGGGGACTGTGTATCTTCAGCATCTAGCATGACACGTCAAGGTCTGACATTCAGCAGGTCGTCTCTGGGGATGCTAGGTCCTCCGAGCTGCATCTCCGCGCCTGCGGGGCGTTGTATAGACAGCAGCCCCGTCTCAAACTGAGCTGCGATGGCTTTGAGATAACCGATAGCCTTCACTCCAACTTTCTGTACATACGAACCATGCAGGAGGCATCCCGAGTCTTTTGCGGCGAGGATCAGAAGGTATGTGCTGTTGAAATCACACCCGACGTCAATGACGAGGACGACAACGAAGTTCTCCGTGACATTGTCCATGTCAAGGCCCAGCACGATAAGTTTGCATCGTCGTCGTTCGAGATGGTGTATGGCGTTCCCCTGGAGATGATGGCGTTGGTGCGAAAGGTCACCAATCTCATTCGCAAGTTGAACCGGCGAGGCGCAAAACCACCGCCTGTGGAAAGTCACGCTTTGGAAATTCGCCAACTGGAGGCAGAAGTGCTCGACTGGCCCCTGGACGAAGCCATACAAGGCTTCGATGTTGCACCCACGTCTAAAGGCCGTCGACTCGTGATGCAGCATTACACCCGAACATTCCATGCCGCCGTGACCATCTACTTTTGCTGCAAAGTACAGCAAATGCACCCCAAGCACCTCCAGGTCTACGCCAAGGATGTTATGTCTTCCTTGCAAGCCATGCAGGAGGCCAAAGGAATGCACAACATGTTCACTGGGCATATGCCTTGGCCTGGCTTCGTCGCTGGAGCTCTTGCCACAACCCAGGAGTTGAGAAGCCAAGTGCTCGATTGGTTTGATATGAATGCAAGCGAAGGCATTGGCTCATCAAAGCTTGCGAAGGATGCCCTTTTGTATATTTGGCGACAGTCGGACCAAAGGGTTTCTTGGGAGGCGATCGACACCAGCGCGCTCCATCTGGTATTGACGTGATTCTGAGGTACTGGATGCTTCAGAGCGGAGAATATTGCACTAGACCTAGCAGACTGTTGCCTAGACGGTCGGGATACAAGGCAGGGTTCTTGTATCTCCCGGGTTCTTGTATTTTCCAGACTGTCAATTCATGTTCAGCCTTGATCTTCAGAGTCTCGGGCCACCGATCGCGGGAAATGTCGCTCGTCACAGGTGATGATGTCAGTCACACAAGCGGAAGTACATGTGTTACCTACTAATGGCGACGCTTGTCGTTGTGCAGGCGGCCGCAGCACTGTCTTAATAGTTGCTGCGTGTTCGACGGACCGGCGAAGATGACATGTATTTGTAAGGGTCGAGAAACAAGTGCTCCTTTGCTACGGGAGAGAAAGATCTCGTAAGGCAGGCTTCTCAGAGACGCAGCCTGTTAATATGGTCAACGTCGAGATCCTAAAGGTGTACGATGGCTGCACGTCGTTGCGCAGTGCAATGGTAGTTGTGTCAAATCCTTGCCAGAAATCGATGCATGTCCGACAGTCTCGAAGCGAATCTCACAAAGATGTTGGTGTACGTAGGACGGTAGGACAGAAGGAGACGCAACTAATTTGATTTCTCATCGGACGCGATGCTATGATTTAGCCCGATTAGGACACCAGCAAAACGCGAAAACACGTGTGTCTTGGCGTCGCATTATCCATTGCCTCCACTTCCCGGACGTTCTCTTTACTTCCACTTCTTCTCTGCGTTAAAGAACGAAGTGATATTGCCAACACGGCCCTGTGCCAGTGCTTCTGGCCAGTCCTCGCCCCCTTTCTGTCATGACGGGAGTACCACCAAGTCTCCGGAGTCACCATGATGGTTGCAGCGGCGATGGTCGAATGCAAATCAGGCGAAATCCTTGCGGCACGCGAGTTGAGCAAGTTTCCGGCTGCTGGGGAATTGAAGATAAAACTTGCCATGCTGGCTGCCGGCCTCGTGCTTCTTCCCAGCACGGAGGAACGATGATTGTCTGGCCACAATGAGACCCGAATTACCGATACTGCCGGCCTTTCTGGCTCTCGCTGGAGCCCATGGCAGCGGACAGCATCGCCGGGTCAACCATGGCCTCATTGGCTACGGCATCGACATGTACCGACCCCTGTGTGCCTTTGCTTGTCGGGACATACTCTCTACCAACCGTCTGGCCTGCTCGACGACGAATCACGAGGACAAGGCGAAGCGACACAACGACCAAGTCGAATTCGAGACGTCAGCCCACTGTTACGCCGAAGACAATGTCTATCTGCTATCCCTGGCCCAGTGCATCGAAACACATTGCAGTGGATTGGCGGAGAGATGGGAGCTCGACCGCTTCTGGGCGCTGGACGCTGTCGGAAGCCAGTCAGTACAGCCTCAGCCTGCCTACGCCTTTGACGAGGCCCTGCAGTCAGCGCAGAATCACACCGATGAAGCAGGCCGACTTCCATCAGTTGCAACTCTGCATGGAACTCTGACGATCGTCAGTGAAGTCTCCGGGCAAGATTGGCAAATGGCCTTTTCCAGCATCTCCGACTCTGTGTACGTCGAAGAGCGGCATTCCCAGTATGGGTGAGTAACATATTCGCAACGCTATACATTGTACTCTATGCGCTGAACATCAATCAGAATCCTCCTCATTGTGCTTATCATCGTGATACCCCTGGCTGTTCACCTCCTTCGTCTGGTCCGCCTACCCACGCTTTGGGAGCGCAAGACCGTTGCACTGCTCGGACACTCCGCGCTATTTGGAAAACGCCATGCGGTCCCGCTACCCTACGATCTTGGAGTTGTGCCGACCCGAGGACAAGCAGCCTTCATCACATCCATGATCGTGCTAAACTTGTGCCTTCTCCTAATTGGCTATCGGGTGGCCGAGCCGAACATCTACGGGCAGACTGCATCGTATCGGTTCCTCTCCCACATGGCAAACCGAGCTGGGATCCTCTCCTTCGCCAACTTGACCCTCATGATGCTGTGCTGTGGGCGCAACAACCTGGCCGTCCGCTTCACCAAATGGTCGTACAGCACAATGCTATTGTACCACCGGTGGATTGCTCATGTCTGTATCTTCGAGGCATTGGTGCATGGCACTATCCACTTCATCCATCACATCCCGTACCTGGCTCATAAGTTCACGCAAGCCTACTGGAACTTGGGAGTCATTACGGTCGGCCTCATGTGCGTGGTCGTTCCTCTATCTGCCTTGGCGGTCCGCAAGCGAGCGTACGAGCTCTTCGTTGACTCGCATGTTGTCTTGTCCTTCTTCGTCGTACTGGGCTGTTATCATCACATCTATATGAAGTTCCAACACGAATGGGGCTACGAAAACTGGGTATATCTTGCCGCCTTCTTGTGGGCAGGGGATCGGCTGCTCAGAACAGTGAAGCTGTTGGGAGGTGGCATCAGGACCGCAGTCATCACTCATATCGACGACGAATATGCACGAATCGATATTCCAGGAGTCAAGGCATCTGGGCATGTCTATCTGTATTTCCCCGGGTTATCCTGGCGTCCATGGCAGAATCACCCATTCTCGATTGCCGCCTCGGTGCACGAGTCGATCTCTTCGGATGACCATGCGTATGAAGAAACGGCTTCCAATGAAGAGACTGGATCTGAGCATCAACGACCGCTTTTGGCTGAGAAGGCTGATGATCAGAATCAACTCGGAGCACTGAAGCGCGAGTCATCGTCTTCGAGTCTGGCCTCACTGCTGGCAGAGGGTAGCGGTCGATCTTCAAGCACCGCACTCGAGAAGCCAGACGTGACCCCATGGCCGCATGGTGATGGCCAATCTGGCTCTCCACAGTCAACCGGCCTTACTTTTTACATCCGCCGACAGCGAGGCATAACAGCTCAGCTCTTTGACTCGCCCCATCAGGCTGTCAAAGTGCTGGTTGAAGGCCCTTACCGACCTCTGCCCATCCCCAACATCGCCGCCTGCGCAACGCTCGTCTGCATTGCTGGCGGTGTCGGCATTTCAGCAGTGCTGCCCGCGTTGAGAAGTCACTGCCTCGTAGGTCGCTCGGTATTGTATTGGGGCTGCAGGAGCCAGGCTCTTGTTGACGCTGTGGATATGGACGCCTTTCGACGTGCTGGTGTTGAAATCCATGTCAAGATCAATGCGCGGTGGATTGTGCACGAAATTGTGTCTGAAGAAGCTCGAGCAACGTTGCCTCTGGGAGACGTCATTGTTCTCGCGAGTGGGCCGAATGAGATGGCCGACGATGTGCGAGCTGCTGTTGTCAGGGCGAATCTGACCATGTCACACGCTGGACGTGGAAGAGTACGTCTTGTGGAAGAAAGCTTCAGCTGGTAGACGTCCTTGTTACGGCCGCAACAGCCTCTTCCGCATTCCGCTGCAATCAGTATCTCAAACTTGCTACCAATGGCTTCTCTAAGTCTCCGAGTCAGGATCACCACGGAATAGCTGCCCACTCTAAGAGCAATGCCGCTAACCGGTAATGTCTGAGTTTGATGGCGGAGGATGTGCTCGGGAATGGCATACGCTGGATCTTGTGCGCAAAAAAGTCGCGTTTGAACCGGAACAGGTCGAGCAGCACGATAAACGGGATCGAGCAGGTCAATTCAGTGAAGTAGCCGAAAGAGCCTACCCAATCACCATGTCGACGTTACGAGAACACCACCAGGCATACAGACAGCCCTAGGATTTCGGCTCCGAACATCCGCGTAGCTGATCCAGTTGGATCAGCCTCACATTCAGCCCTGCCTGTCGCCCAGTCGCGAGGGATCTGCGAGGAGTATGCAATGCGATGATAGATATGGATTCGCGACTCAGTATTACATGCACTGCTTTTGCTCGTTGTCGTCTTTCTTCAACCTGCGTCGTCTGATAGGAGACCAGACACCATGTCTTCGCTACTAGAGAACATCACCTCTGATAGTATCTACCTAACACTCCCTGCAACTCTTCTAGTAGCAGCTGTCGGGATAATATTTTACCGCTTGAGCCTCCACCCTCTCGCACATTTCCCTGGACCCTTTGAAGCCAAGCTCTCGGGCTCATGGCGAAACAGACATTACTGGCAAGGACAATGGCACGAAGACGTCGTGCAACTTCACAAGAAGTATGGGCCCGCCGTACGAATCGCCCCCAACGAACTCTCCCTCGTCGACGCAGACGCATTGAGACTTCTCTACAACCACGGCACGAAGGCTGTCAAGACCGACTGGTACTGGGTCTGGCAGGCTCCCAACGCAGGCCCAGCGCTGTTTTCCGCTCTGGACAAGAACATCCACGCCTATCTGAGGAAGCGCGTGTCGGCGGCGTATTCAATGTCGAGCATGCTCAAGTACGAAGACTACATGCAGGAGTGTCTAGATCTGATGCTGCAGAAGCTCAAGAAGCATGCCAAGGCAGGAAACGAGGTTGATATGGCGAAGTGGGCAGGTTATCTTGCCTTTGATACCGTTGGAAGTTTGGGATATGGAGCGCCTCTTGGGATGCTCGAAACTGAAAGTGATGTCATGGCTCTGCAGGAGAACATCCACCAGGGGTTCACGTTGATGTCGAACATGGGCCATTATTGGGGTCAGGCGAGATGGTTGACGAACCCATACACGATGAAGATGATGGAGATCCTCGGCGTACCAAACTTTTTCGACATGTTCGACAAGTGGACCATGAAGAAGCTAGAAGCGAGAAAACAAAGTGAGAACAAGGAGGAAAGACTGGATATGCTCAGCCATTTCTTGAAGATGAAGGCGCCTGATGGCGGCCCAGCGGACGACAAGGACGTGTTGATGGAAGCGTTGAATGTCATGTGAGTTGAGCACTAAGATACATATGCCATGGCTAATGAATGGTAGCGGCGCTGGAGCAGACACGACATCCATCGCCATGCGAGCCTGCCTCTATTATCTGTGCAAGACACCAGATGCTTATCGCAGAATCCAGCAAGAGATCGATGAGTACTACAGATCCAAGGGTCTTCGACAGCCCATTACGTACCAACAGACACTCGAACTGCCCTTCTTCTGCGCTGTCACCCGAGAGGCAACCAGGCTGTTTCCGTCTATTGGATACCAGTTGCTGAGATATGCGCCTGCCGACATGATCGTCGAGGGCAAAAGAATTCCAATTGGGACTGTGTTAGGGATGAGTCCAACGGCGGCGAATCGTGATCCACAGGTCTGGGGTGAGTTGATGAATCCAGGTAGACCACCTAATGTTTCGTGGCTGATTTTTCGCAGGCGAAGATGCCGATGAGTTCAACCCCTCACGATGGCTCAGCGACGAAGACAAAGTGCGGCATCTCAACACGCACGACCTCACGTTCGGTGGCACTGGGCCGAGGACGTGTATTGGGCGAAACATCGCTCTTGTCAGGAACCTACCCTTCTCTGCAACAAAGACACCACTAACTTGAACGACAGATTGAGCTGCATAAATTCCTCGCCCAATTTCTTCATCACTTCGATGCCGAATTCGTTGACCCAGAGAAGCCGTGGAGGGTGCAGTGTATGTTCTTCTCCAATCAGCACGATATGCATATGAGGATCAAGTATCGTAATGGATTGGGCGACGATTGAGTACATGTAGGTGAGACGAGACAGGAAGGGTTTAGTAAGGCAAGCACTGGGCGAATTCGTTGATGCATCTGGGATTCGATTTCAAGATTCTTAACGTCAATCGCTGCTCTCAATCGTGCTGACGTCCATTGGAGTGTACAGGTATTCCGATCTAACTGTATGCACCCCCAATTGACTGCAGCTTTTCCGTGAACGATGGAGGGTTTCTGACAGCATGATAAAATGCGAGAAACGGGCCCGATAAGGCAATCCAAGTTCGCACTTTTCCAACAACCTTTCACAGTCATTTCTGGCAATTCAGGTCAGACTCGGTAGCCACGGTTCCGAAGGGGCTGCGGTCGGGACGATTGATGCTCCTGTTCCTTCAGAAGTCGCCCTAAACCTCGGAGCGTCATGAACAGTTCCCGGCTCGCGCTCCGTAGTACGGGTACTCAGATGCTTCAAATGCACATCAGCCTCTTCGATAAACCCGACGAATACAACAAGTTTTACCACCCATAGCAGCAGACTAAAGGCATGACGGACTCCAGCTCCAAATTTCAACCTTTCACATTGACATTGGCAAACTCTGCAACTCTGACTGGCCGCTCTTACACACCCTCTGGAGCTGGCAAAAAGAACCAGCCTCTGCTGGTTCTGCTCCACGGCGGAGGCTGTCACGCTGGATACTACGATGTCGACGAGGACCATACCGCAGCCGCAACAGCCCACGCTCTCCAGATTCCCGTCGTTTCGATCAATCGACCTTGCTACTTGGGAACATCGTCCCTGTTTCCACTCCCAGAAAACAGTTCGTTCCACCGAGAGACTGGCAGATTGGAGCACTCGTACATATTCCCTGCCCTGTGGAAGACGTTCGGCCTACCAAATAACTGCAGCGCCATTGTTGCAATAGCACATAGCATGGCCAATCCTGGACTCTTGGTTGCAGCGTCTCTACATGCGGAAGGTGGAAATCCAGAATATCCTTTGGCGGGCTTGATAATATCCGGATGGGGATGCAGACGGAACTCGGATTCACAGGAGTTCTGGATCAAGTTGTCCGAGGACGAGCACAAGCAGAATCGACATATCGTCATGCTGAGTGATCCCAAGTACCGAACGACCGACGACAAGATGAGACTCTGCCTCCCTGAACAAACCGTGGAGCCACCTCCTGAAGAAGCGGAAGAATGTGTCATCGGACCCTGGGCGAAGCACTTTCCAGATATTGCAGCTTCCATTAGTGTCCCTGTTATGTATGCTGTGGGCGAACATGACTGGCTTTGGGAAGGAACGTTCGATAACGCTAGGGAGTTTGCTGCCTTCTTCAAGAATTGCACTCGTTTCGATGGAAGTGTTGTGCAGGGAGCACCGCATGCCATTGAGTGGAGCTACTACGCAGCAGGATGGTATGCCCGCTGCTTTGGATTCGCCATTGAAGTTGCAACACATTTGACTGTCATGAAAGAGAGTCCGTTCCGCTGAAGGAAGGTAGACAGACTTGGAACCATTACGAGATTCGTCAAACCTTTGTTAAATAACCCTAATTACACTACAGCTTGGGTACAACTCTCTGCCCGAAATGTCCATGATTATATCGACATTGATGCTCAGGTTCAAGGTTGTTGGAATGGGCGGAGGTGTTTTACAACAACGATATCGCTGGAACCGACACTCTCCTTGTTCATTGTCGAGTCCGAGTCTTGTTCGCTATAAGAAGCGCTTCCTCACGTATTCCTTGTGACTCGTACTCTCAGGCCATGGTATTTGAACCCAACTGCCTCATATGCTCTATGTCCACGTTCTGGGAGCAAGGCTGAGCTCTTATCAGTTGCGGAAAGTTTTGCCGGGTCACCGGTATCGACTTCCGAGATGTCGTATGACGTGCTTCTTGATCTTTCGCCTAATCGCAATTTTGGCTGCGATAGAACATCAACACGACAAGGCCATCCTCCATCAGCCCGATCATCAATCATGGGATCTCAGGACAAGCATCGTGTCATACTGGGTCTGATGACCTTCGGCCCGCCAGGGACTGCTGAGTTCGGCACCAGAATCGAGTCCAAGGACGAGTTCAACAAGCATCTCGACACTTTCCAGAAAAGGGGGTATAATGAAGTCGATACCGCTCGGATGTACGTCAACGGACTCCAAGAAGGATGGACGAAAGAGGCCAAGTGGCAGGAGCGAGGTCTGACGCTAGCGACGAAATGGTATCCTCGCAACCCTGGCGACCATGCGAAGGCCATCGTCAAAGAACAATTCGCCAAGAGCATCTCCGAGCTGGTCACCGAGAAAGTCGACATCTTCTACCTGCATGCCCCGGACAGATCTGTTCCGTTCAGCGAGACGCTTGAGGCTTGCAACGAGCTCTACCAAGCTGGCCACTTCAAGCACCTCGGACTGAGCAACTACGCATCATGGGAAGTTGCAGAGATTTGCACGACAGCGAAGGAGCGTGGCTGGGTGAAGCCTACAATCTACCAAGCCATGTACAATGCCATCACGAGAGCCATTGATGACGAGCTGATTCCATGCTGCCGGAAGTTTGGGCTGGACATCGTGGTGTACAATCCCCTGGCCGGCGGTGTCTTGAGTGGCAAGTACAAGAGTACTGCAGCACCACTGAGGGACGCTTCTCCAACACCGCTCAAGTCATTGGCAACATGTATCGCGAGAGATACTTCAAGGATGCGAACTTCGAGGCTTTGAAGTTGGTGGAACCAGTCGCCGAGAAGCACAAGTTGACCTTGCCGCAGATTGCTCTGAGATGGGTGGTCCATCACAGCAAGCTGAACGTCAAGAACGGGAACGATGGTATTGTCATTGGAGTCAGTAGCTTCCAGCAACTGGAGCAGAACCTTGATCACCTCGAGGAAGGCGAGTTGCCGTCAGACGTCGTGGAAGCCCTCGATCAAGCCTGGTTGGTTACGAAAGCGACCTGCCCGCTCTACTGGCGATAGATTGCACCAAGCTCTCGTCAACAGAACCTTAAGGCTCAACTTTATATACATCATTCGTTTCGACCAATACATCGTCAGATTCATGCCGCCAATTACGCCTTCTCCTCGATCTGGAGCTCTTTCTCCTTGCGCTCGGCCTTGATAGTCAAATGCTCCAAGTCACTGACTGGTGGTTTCAGTGAGGCTTTGACAATCGCTGGGATCGTAGAGTGCTGCTGGAAAAGCTCGTCCTTGATCGAAACGTCAGCATCCACAATTATAGCGTTGGGCGAGACAACCAAGCTTACCATCTGTTCGAGCGATCGGCCCATCGTCTCCGGGTAGAAGAAGAAAACGAGCAAAGGTATGCAGCCGCCGAGAACGGCATAAACGATATAGTACTGATAGCCCAGGCTGTCCATTGCGACGGGAGTGATCATGAGAACGGCGAAGTTCCTGAAAGTGATTGTCAGCAGTGGATCCAATTTAGTTCTGATGGTTTTGCATCTCACCAAAGCCAATGGTTTGCGGTCGAGAACGAAGTCATCGGCATCCTCAACCTCGCAGGAGCAATTTCTGTAACGTAGAGGTAGTTGCATCCCAGGAATCCGATGGGCACGAAGAAGTTGAAGAAGAAAACGAAGAAGACCGACGCAATCTGGGCCGAATGGTTGCTCTTCGGCATGCTGTTGGTAATGGCGAGGGCGGCCATGCAGAGCGACATGCCGACGCCGCTGAACATGAAGAGCTTTCGTCGTCCGAAGCGGTCGATGGTTGCGAAGGCCACGAATGAGGACAAGAACTTCCAAGTCAGACATCCACCGGACAAGATCCGTGCCGTCTGGCTGTCCATGCCCAGGCCTTCCTCGAAGATAGTCGTGCTGTACGAGCTGATGAGGTTGGAGCCACACCATTGCTGGAAGAACTGGAGGACGAGTGCTAGCAGGAAGCGGTACAAGTTCTTGTGTTCTCCCATGATGAACAAATCTCGTTTCCTCGCGACAGCCGTTATTTCTTCCAGAGCCAGCTCGATTGCCGCCAACTCGTTCGACACTTCGAAACTGTCAGGTCCCTGACCCCGGAACGCGGAAAGGCTTTGGCGAGCTTGTTCCAAAGAACCTTTCTTGGCCAGCCATCTTGGCGATTCTGGGATGATGTAGATCGATGCAATCAAGACCAGGGATATGATTGCCGGGATTGCCAGTGGCAATCTCCATGATAGAGAACCCGTTTTGATTTGAAAGAAGCCCAGGTTGATCCAAGCTTGCAGGACATATCCCACGCAGATGAAAAGTCCGTCAATGACTACATGCTGTCCTCTGTTCTTCGCTCTTGAACATTCCGACTGCCATACCGGGACTGTGGTCGATAGGGCTCCAACACCAAGGCCGAGGATGAACCGTCCGATGGTGAACTGCGCCAGATGGAAGCTTGTACACTCGAGAACCTCGCCGATGAAAGTCAGGATGGCAGCGAGGAAGATGGTTTTTCGCCGCCCGAGAGGATCACCGATCCACGAACAAGCCAAAGATCCAAACAACGCTCCCAGTGTGCAGGTCGCAACAATTACACCCTGATGAAACATGCGTTAGCCAAGCACCAAGTGTCAACCCACACGCTCCACCTTACCTGCACGGTGCTGTTGTCCGACTTTTGCTTCCCGGTAGTATGGATCGTATCAATTTGGGGAAATGTCTCGACCCAGCTCTCAATACTGAGGAGTCCACCAACGCCAGATTGATTGTAGCCAAACAGAATGAATGAGGGCAAAACAACCAGCAGCATCTGCGCCAGCTCGAGCTTGGCGCCGCGAAGTTCGATCATGTTGCCGGATGAGTTGAAAGAAGCGACAAGAAACTCACTGCAGCCAAGAGGGACGAAGCAAAGACAAGAACAAGGTTGGCGCAGCAAGGTCAGCGGCATTTATATGGCAGAAGATTCGCCATTTCGGCGTTTGGCGTCGAGGGGTGACTCCACGCCCGCGCGAGCCCTCGTGGTCGATATCACGCATCTCCACCATGGTGCCCCATCTGAGCTCACTGTGTGGACTGGATGGTCCCGCGGGGGCTCCACTGGAGAGACGACGGCGTGGAGAGCGGCGATAAGCAGAAACTCATGCACGCACAGTGGACTTTATGCTGGCCTTGTGCAAATGCCCATTGCAATTCCGTGCTCAGGAGAGGCAATGTCGAGGTCTCAAGTCGCTACGACTCTTCCCGACATGCTGGGCGGCACAGCAGGGCGGTCTGCCTCGTCTCGGTGGCAGGGAGAGCGGCAAGCGAGCTGAAAAGGCCAGCGCCGCCAAAGAAAGATTTTTCGTGCTGGTGCCGGTTGGGGATGTCCACTTCGGCACTTGCTTTCCATCCGCCAAGGCCGGCCCGAAGTCACGCCAGGCTCCGTCGTCGGCCGAAGGAGTCACTCACTGTACTTTATAGCCTCAAGTCGGTCATCAGAGTCACGAAAGAATTGGAACCTGCTTCTCACCGCAAGAAACTAATGGTCAGGGTCGTTTCTGCTCATGTCATTAAATTGACACAATACTACACACAAGCTGCGAAGCTCTCAAGCTTCCGCATCGCACCCGCTCGTTCCACGGCGTAGATGTCATGGTGTTTGCAGAAATCTATCACAACTTCACGGGCCTACTTCACTCCCATGGGATCTTGTTGTATGTCATGCCTACCTGGAATAGTATCGTAAAGGGGCCACGAGACGAACACCGGAGACGTTGTTGGCGAGGTCGGGAAAGTGGCCAGCCTGGTCTGCGGCAAAGTCTCAATCGACAGAACTTGCTTTGCCGGAAGGCATAAGGAGTCGGCCTTTAGGGATCACAGAGGCCCGAAACTTTGTGATCATGCCCTCACAGCGACTCGGGGCCCCATGATATTGATTTCCCCAGCAATCTTCCCCAACGGTCTCAAACGCAGCCAAGATGAGATCCTCCAGGACATGGAGGTTCTAGAGTTTCCGGCAGCGCGAGCGTATTCGTTCCGTTAGACAGAGGAAGAGGAGGATCTAGGCGCATGTTCTGGGTTGTAGCGGTGGGGGAACAATCTCTCCGACAACGTAGTGTTCAGCCAGAACGTTGTTCCACCAGCAGGGCGAGATTTCACCAAGTTGGCTGATAACGTCCGGCCGGCACCCTCAAGTACTGTAGCAACTGTGATAAGTGCCATGAGGAACGAAATCTGGTGGTGCGTACAGGTTCTCAGCCATCGCAAGTTATTTATAACAAACCAGAATTCCATGAACCAGCGCGTACTGACGTTCGGAATATGCTGACCACTCACGACAGTGGCCAAAGCCACACCATTCTCAAACGCGATCTGCAGGCGAGCAAGTCAAGCACAGTGGTCCCTATCGACGCCTGCAAGAGCAACTTCGGTTGCTTGGCTGCGTACTGGAGTGGTGCAAGTTTCTGAGTATCTTGTTCCTGTGCCCCTGAGAGCTCTCCATATGTCGATTACCTCACGGTTGTGGAATCGCCAACGACCTTCAAGGGGCAGCCAAAGCCATTGTTTCTTCAAGACAACTTGCAGAAATTCTCTACCTTGCACCGCCAGATCATCCACCGCGTCCCCCACTATCGCACGAAAAGCGCGAGGATGTGGGCTTATCGAGACTTCGGGGATGCTCTCCTCCACGACGTCTTTTCTAGCCTGGGGGGCACAGCTGCGGCGACCAACGTCGGCGATGCCTTGATCTCCAGCGACATGGACGAGCCCATTTGGCCACGAACTGCTTTCGTATTCCGTCGCTGTGACTTCCCATCCCGGTTGGTTTTGAGAAGGGGCGTTTCAGATACCTTCTGGATTGCGATGCTGACGAAGCTGGCTTCGAGGACTTTGAGAGCGTACGCTGATATCATTGGGGCTTACTGGGCTTATCCTCACGGCACTGGTAGCTCCATTCACTTAGCACCGAGACTGTCCTCGTACAGAATATTACCAAATGAGAGTTTCGTTCGTACGACACACAAGGGGAGCAGCACACTGGATAACAAGCACGAAGAAGCATTTCTTTGCAGAGGTGTAAATAGTCATCCATAGGTACAGATTGAAAATGGATAGTAAGAAACGGCTGACCATACATGACGAAGAGGAAGAATAATGATTCGACCGACAATGCGTCTGCACTCGCGCGTAGAACAAAGCAGCTGAGACCGAGTGGGAATTGATCAACCGACCGGTGAGGAGGCGCTAACTGTGCCGCCAGACTGAGCCTCGCTTTAGAAGCCGCCCTTCCCCTTCATCGGTTACTTGTTATCATGTCCACCATGGCTTTCCACTATACACCAGTTGCTACTGGAAACTTTCGACTCCTCAAACTCGCAGCACCGTACCATGGGAGAAAGCACGAGAGGCTGAGCTTCAGCATGGCAGAGTACCATATCAGCCAAGCACCTTCCTACACAGCCGTGTCCCACGTCTGGGGCAGTGGCACTGCAACCAAGGAGATCTTGGTAAATAGTCATCCGCTCCCTGTGCGCCCGAACCTTTGGACGTGCCTGCACTACTTGGCACAGTACAGAAATTTGAATCTGGAGGCCTGGACGCATATGTGGGTCGATTTCATCTGCATAGATCAGTCAAACGTGGACGAAAGGACACGACAAGTTCGCTCCATGGATCGCATCTTTGCTCGTGCCAACGAAGTCAGCGCATGGCTCGGAAATCAGAACGATCCTCGATACCTGTTTCTCCGAGAGGAAGCAGTCATGACGCTCGAGATTGACGATTACATCCCGTATGACCACGTGCCTGAACTTGCCAATCGCCCTTTTTGGAGCAGGATGTGGATTGTACAGGAGATTGTCTTGGCTAAACACGTGCGACTGCACATTGGCAATACCTCTATCGATTTCTCCAGTTTCTCGTCTCAATTGGAGGACTACGAGGGAGCACATAAGAAAGACCTAGAACGCATCTTGGCTTACGTGAAGGCAAGGAGTCTGGACGTAAGGGAGGTTTCCTATCCGCTACTGGAGCTCCTTCTGGATTTCGGGTCGTGCCAGTGTCAAGACCCGAAGGATAAGGTGTTCGCATTGCTTGGTATGATACCAGGTCATGAGCGGAGGATTCTAGATCGATTTCTCCCTGATTACTCTCTGACTCACGACGCTGTTGTCGTCCTGACATTGTCATTACTTCGTGAACTCAGCGACCAAGACATCGACACGAAGAAGGATATGCTATTCGATGCGCTCGGTGTATCGTCTTCGAAGAGCGCCCGACGTCGCTTATGGCAGGCGTCTGATCATGGTGCGTTAGAGAGAATCCAAGAGTTGCTCGACAGGAATCCACTCGACCAGGTACCGGCGTTCCTCGAGATTCACGGGTACAATTACCTCGATGATGTGGTACAGTACAGCACATCACAAGGCCGCCCTAGCACGATATCTTCACTCGTAACACTTCCATTCCGCGCACCATGGACGATGATGACATATCTATTCCAGTGGTCTACAGAGAGACGGAGAACCCCAGGGATATCGCGAGCCGAAGATGGGTCACTCCTGATCCCAGGCGCATGGGCCCGCCAACTCCTTCGAGAGGCCAGAGAAGAGAGAAAGCGGTCAACTCGAAGCCCATACGGGACATGGGAATCTTGATGGCAATATCATCAAAACTGCTTGCATTTGACTTGGACTCCATGCTCCGTGCGTATGCCTTGGGTGGTCTCACCGGCTGTCACGTCTGTGCTCGTCGACTCACGCATGGCGCAAAATTCTGGTCTCAATTCTGATATACTTAGCACATCCCGCACGGATGTCTCAAAAACAACTCCATCGTTGTCCTCGCATCCTCAACGGGACAATGCCCGACCTCCTGAATCGACTTCCCTAAAGGCCGACTCGCACACCTCGCCAACCCCGGCCGTCCACTACACGGCATAAGCCAGCAGTACAGATCCTGTGTATCGATGATAGACGTCCCCTGGCTGTTATCGTCAGCGAGTAAACCTTTACGATAGTAGAACGCCGTGCGATCACCGCTCCCGCCGTGCAGGATGACGGTGCGGTTCGTGAAGATCTGCTGCAGCCACGTCTCGACAATCTCACCTGGGACAGCGCCATTCTCGACTTTGAGATCCTCCCAGTCCACGCCAAACTCAGGGGGCGGGAGACTCACCTCGACGCCTTCCTCGACGGGACACGCGGCGAAGACATCAAGCACGACTTCCCTCTGCTCGTTGACGACGGTGACGTGGCCGATACGGTGTTGGCGCTTGATCTTGGTGCCTTTGATTTTGGCGTCGGCCCAGATGGCGGGGTCTTTCTTGTAGAGCTGGAATTCGATGTCCATGGATACTCGCTCGCCTGCACGCAGCAAGTCCCACCTGGGGACGGGTTCGTGTGCACGAGGGCGGTATGGAAGTGGAGGATGGCAGACTGGGACGTCTGCGGCCAAGTCAGTATGCGCGATATGCGAAGGCTGCATCGTGTGTGAGTTCGCTGCTACTGCTGTTGTTGGCTGTATGTGATGACTGCCGACTTACCTGAAGCCGTATCGGTGTTGGTGCGCAGCGACAGAAGAGCAGATTGACACCATTTATCCGTATGAATAGAACAATGGAATTATTGTTATCGACTCCCAACAAAGCCCATCAGAGCGGACGCATGTGGACAAAGACGGCAAGGACAATGTTATAGACCAATCCCAGGAGACTCATGATGAAGGTCCATCAGAAATCAACGACGGAGACGAAACTCAAGATGCAATCGTATGTAGGCAGACCGAATGAGTTGAGTGGTTCGTGGCATAAAGCCTTTTCAAGGATCGTTTCCGCCAACGTCACGCATGACCGAAATGTCCAGGCCGGAGTAGGCAAGTAGAACTGGGTGTCCGAGTGGACTCCAAAATCTGAAATACAGTTGATATTTGTGTCATTGAATCAATCTAATACCGAGGAAATATGTAGTACTCGTACAGAGTTTGCGGTCCCGTTGCTCCTTTACCCCTTTCCAACTCCACGTCCTATGCCATCCCAGTAGGTATCACAGGTATCAAAGTCTTTGTGTCGGTAGTCTGGGTAGTCTTCACTTTACAAGTCCTTGTTCTGAAGATCAATCGCCTCGAGCTGGATCTGGGCAGCGGCAGACTTGAAGAAGACACCGAGTCTCTCGCCACCAATGATGTACATCTCCGCAGCGATAACGTGAACGGCGGTGAAGACAACGAAGAGCTGGATCATGGCCATCTTGACGTAGGTCTTGATCAACCTCCAGCGAGCGGCGCGGTCGAACGAGCGCCATGCGTTGACGAATAGCTTCTTGTTGGCACCGCGGGCGGTGAGGTCGATGTCGCCGATGAGAGCCTGGCGGTCGAAGGGCACGATGGTGGCATCTTCCTCTGAGAGGAGGAGGGCCTCGATGCGGGTGAGGGTGACAGTTGCTGGGAGCAAGATGGCAAGAGCGACAAAGAGAGCGGTGGCAGGGACGGCCAAGAAGCGCAGGCTGAGGAGACCGAGCATAGCGCAGTCCTTGTGCTGGGCAGCGCGAACGACATGCTCGCCCTGGATTTCTGGCAGGCCCAGAGCGACAGCCACAGCCATTGGGAGGATCCAAGTAGCCTGCTGAGCGGTTGCGAAGACAAAAGCAGGCAGGAAGACGGCCTTGCACTGCTTGCGCGGGACCATGCGGCGCCAGAAAGGCTTGGCGGATGGAGCAGAGATCATGGAATGGGTCCAGGCCATGTGGAAGCGGGCGAGCATGACGGAGGTCAGGATGTACATCAAGCTGCGGCCGAAGAAGCCCATGCCGAGGAGACGCGCGAGGAAGTTGGTGGAGAGCGAGTGCAGGGCGTGGTAGACGACGCTGGCGCCCAGACCCCGCCACTTGGCGCGGAATCCCCCGACCTTCTTCAAGTGTTTCATGGTGGCACGGATGCTGGAGGTCACCGGCTTGTTGTTGATCAAGGTCACCTCCACGTCGGCCTCGGCCTCGGCCGGCATCAACGGCTCTTTTTCGAGCGGCGCATCGGGCTCGTCGGCGTAGGCGGGCGGCTTGTCCTCGATGATGGCGGTGGCGGTGGGCGACTCGATCATGGTGAGCGACGCCATGACCTCGCCGATCGTGTACTTGATCTGGGAGGGGGGGTCAGCATGGGGGTGGTTGCCTGAGGCATGAATCATCTCGGAGACGTACCGAGGCGAGGACGAGGATGGTCAGGACGGCGGTGGCGAGGACGGGCAGCATCTCCCAGTCGTGGATCTCGGCGCCCGTCTTCTCGTACAGCTCGGCGTCGTGCTGCAGCTTGGCCATGGTGTCCGGCGACACCTGGAAGTGGGCGTGGGCGGCGTCGACTCCGCGGCGGACGAGGTGTCCCAGGACGTGGCCGTGCACGCCCGACATGATGGCGGTGGTGTGAATGTGAATGTAAGGTGGTGGTATGCACAAAAGGAAGAGGAAAGGTGAGAAAAGGTGTAGTGAAGAAGGGAGGGAGGCGGTGGTGGTGAGGTGAAGTCGAGGTTGGCGCTGCGTACGCTGTTGCCTCGCAGGATGACGCCAAACGGCTGGAAGTGGCTAGACCGCCGTCACGTGCATCCTATTCTGGGCTGTGCTACAGTCAAACCTCTCTATAACAGTAGCGTGGTGATATCATATTTCTATCGTTATAACAAGGTATCGTTATATAGAGACATCACGTGTAGCAGTCTTAGCATTTAGCCTACTCTAAAATATAATAATATCTCCTACTATTAAAGGCTAACTACGGCTCTTTATTAGACTACTTTCTCGTACTTATTAAAGCTCTATAGCTAGCTACTATTACAATTATTAGATTGCTCTTTATAGAGCCGTAGCTACCTTAATAACTTTAAAGCCTAAGATATATATATATATAGTAGTTATTTAACCTCCTTTTAATCTAACTCCTTAGGGGGAATAGACTTAAACTACTAAGCTATCTACTTAGTAAGGTCGTCGAGGTTATCTATAATATCCTCCTCTAGTACGTAGAGAAGCTATTAAATACTTATTCGTTAACGAATAACTTACTATTATTAGAGACCTTATAACTACTACTTAAGTAGAGTAAGTACTTTACTTACCTAAGCTAGTAATATACTTTATTACTGTATATAAGGCTGTGCCTATAATATAATAGCTAAGTAATTCTAGTAGTTTATAATTGTTTAAGTTAATACTTTATACTAGGCTCTAATTACGAAGCGGATAGCCTTAAGTAGGTTTATTATCTTAAGTAGATCTCGCTCTTCTTTAACCTTATCTACTATATAACAGAGCTAGTACCGTCGATAATAGGCCTTAAATATAGTAATAATACCTTAATCTAGCGGCTAAGACTTACTTATTATATTTAGTAGAAGCTAGATAACTTTAGTATTACGAAGACCGTATTTAGTAGGTAGTGTATTAAGCTCGTTAATAGTAGTCTCGTAAGTACTAAAGTTATCTATAACTAAGACTACCCTTCGGCTACTTATCTAGCTATTAAACTAGCGAAGCTATTATAGTATAATTAGGCTAGTTATCTAGCTCTTCTTATTAGCTCGATAGGTGTAGTCTAGTCTCTTAATCTATACTCTAGTAATAGTAAAATAACGTAGTCTTTAATAGCGGCTAATAATCTATAGCTAAAGCTTATAACTGCCTATTATATTAATATAGTAATATACTATTATCCGAACCTTCTCTTTCTTATAGCTAGGTACTAGTACTGTTAATAACGTGCGATTAGGCACTATCTTCTAAAACAAGCTAGTCTTATTATAGTTATACTAATCTTTAAGGGGGTATTGTATAAGGCGTACTTAAAAGATTATAATATTAGCTATTATTAACTGCTTATTAACTCCTATAGCCTCTCCGTATCTTCTCCTATCCTTAATATTATACCTACTCTTAAAACTAGTAAGCTAACTATTACTAAAGGCTAGCTCTTATAGACCTTAATATTAAAGTAGCTAATACTAGTACTACTTTACTCTTAACTTTAAAAGGTCGCCGTTAATTACGAGTAAGTACTAATAGCGTGTTACCTACTAGGTGAGGGTATTTTTAAGCTCTACGTAGTAGATACTACGTTACTTCTTTCGTACTAGCTATACTACTATATCGCTCTTAAGGTAACGGTATCGGGTACTAAGGATCTTAGAGACTATTACTTGTCGGATAGGCTTATTAAACTAGCTCTTAAACTAAGTACAGAGCTCCTTTTATATAAGTAAAGGGCAGTCTTAATACTACTAGCGTAGTGCGAGCTTCTCTACCTCTAAAAATACGGTCCTCGGAGGCATGTCTATAACGATAGTTTAGTAAGCAAATCTGAGATACGATCGTTATATAGGTATAGGCAGGAAGAACGATATTTTGCAGTAGGAAAGTTAGTAACAGCTAGCAGTATCGCTATAGCAAGGATATCGTTATATGCAGTATCGCTATAAGGAGGTTTGACTGTATTAGCGCCACTTCGTGTTTCCTTGTCCTCACAGCCACTCGTCAACAATCCAACAATCATCCCGTCTTCGCTTTGTTGCCTCCTAAATCAAATATTGATTGACCTCTGCCCGGTGGCATGCTTTCAAAGCAGTCGTCCTCTGCGCCTCATGCCGCTTTGAAACGAGACCTGCAAAGACGATGTCCTGGAATACCAGGATCTGCTCTCCTAGAAGTCCAAAGTTGCCGCAGAACAACTGGAAAAATGTACACGACATCTAACGACTTCCTCGAGACAGCCATGCTGGAATCGCAGTGGCAAGTTCGTCGTATCGCCGGCAGATGGAACACTTGACACTATTGAATCCTTCTTAAGGCTCAAAGTGCTCGCGCTGTACTTTGCATCACGACTCGGACTGTGAACACGAGGCAGACGACTCTGCAGTAGATCTTGTCTATCCACCATGGGTTTTCTCTCCTACCCGTCGTCTCTGCCTTCCACATTTTGACGGTGCGCCTAGGTGTCACGATCTTCCCATGTCTGGGGCGAGGTTGGTGGTGTCCTTCCTCGAAGACTTTCGCGGTGTACCGAAGACGATGCACCGGCGAAACATTGCAAACGAAGCATTTCCAAGGCGGCATTATCTGCTCTTGCAACAGTAACAGAGTGTATGCAAGTATATTCCTTTCACGCCTTCTCCCCACCTCCATTCTCCTTCCTCTCAGGCTCCTCCTTAATACTATCCTCCCACAAACTATACTTCCTCAGCATCGGCCCCCAAACCATCAACACAACAATCAACCCCACCCCAAACAGCTCCACAAACGCAGCCGTCGCCCACACCCACTGCACCCCAACTTTCGCCACCCAGCCCGCGTAAAAGAACTGCACCGCAATGGAAAACGAAATCCTCCACACGTTCAACGCCGTCGAAACTTCCTGAGGGTAGGCTTTCCAGATCTCGATGATGTAGTTCGTCTGCGGCGGCACGGCAGCCACGGCGGCGAAGACGATGAAAACCTCGGCGAGCGCGAGGATTAGGTAGTGCCAGTGGTAGTACAGGGCCGCGCCGAAGAGGCCGCATCCGAGGGGACCGACGATGAGAGATGGGAACCAGGCCGAGTGGAGACGGGACTCGACGTGCCAGACGCCGTGGTTGCGTTTCTGTAGGAGTTGGGGGATGCGGTCGTTGACGAGGATGCCGTAGGTTACGCCGGCGAGGGCGCCGATCCAGGCCGAGAAGTAGAAGTTTGAGACACCTAGTGGAGAGAAGGCGTAGCCGCCTTGCGAGGGTGGTTCGGCGAGGATGAGGGGAATTTGCACGCCGACCATGATGAACCAGCCTTGGAAGATCAGGCCGTAGAGTCCAGCCAGGACGGTGACTGGGGAGAGACCGATGGCAAATGTCGCTTTCAACGAGCGAGTGATGTTGGACCTGCGGTTTGGTGGAGCGACTTTGGTGCCGAAGAAGAAGAGTGCCATGCGGCGAGCCCACCAACCTTGAGGGAGCGGCTTCCGATTCATCGGTTGTTGGTTAGATCGATCCCATCCAGTATCTTCTCCGAAGAGGAAGAACAGGACGGCTGCCAGTCCATTCCCAGCGACCGTCCACCAGAAACATATCGGCCAGTTGACGTACTGCACAATGTAGCCAGAGAACGTCGGACCGCCCACCTGGGCGATCATGTACATGGACGAGTAAATGGCATAAGCCTTGCCTCGCTGGTGGACGAAGAAGAGATTGGCGATGATGCCGCCCGTGAAGACTTGGACTGTCGCGCAGAAGAGGCCGGCGACGAAGCGAGAGGCGAGAAAGGAACCGTATCCACTCGGTCCTGTGCTGACGGCCGACCAGATGGACGTTACGAGTACGGCAAGGGTGGACCAGAAACAGCAGCTCATGACACCCACACATCTCACCAGCGGGACGAGGAGGACAGGGCCGAGGATGATGCCGCCTAAGACGCACGAGACCTGTTCACAACATCAACATGAATTGGCTGCACTACTTTCTTCACGTCCTTACCGAATACGCCGCCTCAGTAGGCGTAACCTGCCAATCTTCAGCTTGCTGCGGCGTCGCCAGCACATTCGCCACGGCCGTAGCAATCCCGCAGAACATGCCATAGACACAAATGGCGAACAATGTCCATTTCTTCACCGGCGACCAATTCTGCAACAAACGGTTAGCCTGACTTGGTTCACCCATAAAGTCTGAATCGACTTACCAACGGATCTCTCGGGTCGTCGCTGGGCTGAGGCACGAGCTCTAAATGCCCATGCGTGGTCATCTTGTGCGTTACAGGAGCCATGTCGTTCGGAGCCCGGCGAGTAGGGCTGTGTGAAGCTGGAGAGATGCCATCTCCCGAAGCGAAGTCCTTGTGTTCGGCGCCGGGGTTTTCTTCATCGATGGCATCTTTCTCCTTGTACTCTGAGGCCATGGCTTGTTGGTTGCAGTGGAGAGGTATCAAGATGCCGATCCTCTTGTGGCAGCCACGTAACTCGGCACGTTGTCTGCTCTTCGTAGTGCGACGCTACGGAAATGGCAACGTGTTGGGCAGTGGGTCGGACGCCTAAAAAGAGTAATGAGAGAGAATGGCGAGGGAGACTAAGAAAGCCTGCTGGGTGGAAGTGTAGAACTCAAGTGTATGAGCAATGCACATACAAAAAGAACATACAGTACACTCACGCTTTGGTCTTCCACCGATGACGTTCGCCATGTTGCATTGGTACTGTTCCGAGCGTCGCATGGTCTGCATGTCTTGGCTGTAGAGGGATCGGACATGTGCTGATGAGAGCCCAGCGGGAAGGAGTCGAAGGAACAGCTGTAGAAGTAGGGGCCGCGGACATGCAATGGTGCTGTGGGTTGGCCGCTGCTTCAGAAAGGAGCCAGTGAGGTGTCACTGTGCAGTGCATATGGGACGCCTTGAGGTAGTCCAGCAAGCCAGAATACTGAATGCCGCTTCTTGTGTGCGGCTGGGAGCCTGATGAGTGAAAGTAAACATAAAGGAATCCCTGTTGGCTTCACAGGAATTTGTGATTGCTCTTCCATGGCTCACTATCGTAATAGTAGGAATCGCATTCCTCCTCACCGCAAGGACGAGTCACCCCCCAAGACCAACCCACTCCTCCCAGCGTCCGCGGGCTTGGTTCCTGCCGCAACTCCGAGCGCATCTTCGGCGGCGTCGATGTCTCGCAGTAGTCACGATGTCGGTCCAGCTCAAGACGTATGAACGTGGAAGTCCTTCATACCCCTTTGAGAATTTGCCGATGATGGATGCGGCTGACGGGGCCGGCTCGTTGCAGCGGCGAGGACGCCACTGATGCAGTTGGGAGTGAATAGGGTTTGGGGTGGGTTATGTTTCTTTTCGCTCCAGTTTTGTATCGAGACGTTCTTTCTTCGACCCTGCTGTGATCCTCAATTGGGTGGACAGATTTGGCATTCTTGTATAGTATCTCAGCACTGTCTTTCCATGCCACAGCTTTGGTCCACAGCCTGGTTCCTTCAAGCAATTGGCTTCGAACTTCCGGAATCATTGCCCACATAATGCTCACGATGTTACCAAAGATGTCCTTCTATCGTGGCTCGAGCTTCCGGGGAGGGATTTGCTTGAAAGGGGCTAGCAGCAGACATCGACTCCCGCAGTTGAGATAGACAACAAAAGAAGGGGGAGAATGGAGCACAGTATTATAAACGTGTGTTTAGTCAATCTTCACCTTCTTCGGTCACGGCATACTCTTCTCTCTTTTACTTCTATAGAAGCAAGAACGACCCACGCAGTCGACACATTTTTTCGCGATAGACGCCTGCAAGACGAAAGTTTGGAAGCATCTGTCGTTGCGTAAGTCAACCACCGCCACAGACCGCATTGCCCTAGGTCTCGCCCTTCTGACCCACACTACCGTCTTCTGACGATGTTTTCATAACACTGATCAGCCTAACCGTACGCAAGGCGTGAACCCAAATCCGACCTGCGTCCAATTCCGTCTCTCACCCGCCTGTCCCAGCCTAAACAGCTCCCCAAAGACACCCTCGCAATGCCTAGCATGATCAGGCTGCGTCATCACAGCAGGAATCCAAACATGCTTCTCGCCACGTCTCAGTCGATCCAGTCCGTGAGCCGCCATCCGCTGGAAATACGAGCAATGGGCAGCATGAAATGACATGTGCGTGAAAGCCTCCAGCGGAAGTCCACGCCTGTCCTGTTGCAGCAGGAACTGTTCCAACTCTGTCGGGTTCCTGATCGGACGGGTGAGCTCTCCATCTTCGAACCATTGATATGGTGTGTGCAAGCCGAATTCAGGGGCACCCACTCCGCCGCCTTCGGTTCCGATCGCTACGCCTTGCAAAGCCTCGAGAGCGAAGGTGGAGTTGTAGCAGCGGTTTGGCGTCCAGAGATTGCTCATGACGTCCAGTGCGCAGTCTTTGGACATTGCTTCCTCCACCGACTGGCCGCATTCTTCTGGCCACTCGACTTGCAGCTCGCTGACAGTCGAAGTTGTGGTCCCATTGCCCGAAGTCTTCAACCGCGTAACCATAGTCACCAGGTAAAAGACAAAAGTGAGAGTGAACAAGACGAGATTGGCCGCTAATATCGCAATGCGGACGCGGTCCCATGGTCGTTGCTCCTCAGATGGCAGCGTGTCAACATCTTCATCCGATTGAGCGACTTTCTCGTACATCTGACCGGTCGCCAGTCGGTGAGGCATTTCTTGGCGGCAACCGGTTCGTTGATTGTCTGTGTTAATCAAATAGCTCACGTAGAATTAGCATCGGGCTGTTGTGCCCGGGAATTGGCGTGTGTGCGATGAAGATCAGCTCAGCTTCTGCGAGGCGCCGAAACTTGTCTGCGGCGCGAGACGCCCATAACATCACGTTTGCCAAGCATCCACCGCTCGACTCGCTGCTAGGTCTTCTTGCTTGCTGCCGGATTCCCTGACTGATCTTTTGCGGCTGACGATCCTCGCGGTATGTATTGGATGATGGCATAGACTTTCTACTCCATCATGGCTGCTTCGTACAAACCCCTGAACACCGCCGACGAGAACTCCGACTGCTGCTCACAAAATGGAGACTGGCATGGCCAACCACTCAGGAGATTATGGTTGTTTTCCTCAGCGAACCTAGTGTTACTTGTTGTCCAGCTCGTTCTTCTCGCTACCCATCTGGTACGAAATTGGGGAAACGCAGGGTCAACTGCAGCTATCCAGGCCACCTACGGCTTTGATGCGAACTACATGAGCATCGAATTCGAATACGATTGGGTATGGGAAGAAGATGCCATCGAGACGGCAGGTACCATCGCTCTACAGCGAGACGATAAAGGAGATGTGACGGAATTCGGGACGATAAGCATGTTCGTCAATGCGCACATTCGGGATGTTTCCTGTTGGTCTCCATTCTGACTCCCAAATGATAGGTTCCACGCCCTACATTGCGTTACATCCTTGCGCCGGGAACTGCAGAAAGCCTGGGAAGGAAAGCATGTTGCGCTGAACCAGAACGAGGACGCACACTGGCCGCACTGCATGCACTACCTACATCAGGTATCTGCCTCTCCAAGAACGACTGAAAGTTTGTGCTAACGTGTTCTTGACTACAGATGATCATATGCAATGCAGATGACTTGATTGAGCGACAACACATGTGGAACCACACGATTCCCTTTGTGAGCGGCGCTGAAGATGTGAGGCAGTGCAGAGATGCTCAGCGACTGTATGACATGTACGAAGAAATGAAACTTTGAGTACGTGCAGATGTACTTGCTCTATGCTCGAGTAATCAGACAGTCATCCAAACATCTGCTTGAACTACATCTCACACCAGTCGTCGTACTATGCCCGGCCAGTTCCCTCTTGACCCATTTGCCAGATCAGGCTCGCCCGGGGGTTTAAAAGTCACACCGTTCCGAGAATATGACCGGCCTTAATTGTGAAATAAATGGTTGGACTTCCCATCGAATCGAGCAGAAAATAAGACCTGATCATCACGGAATGTCGACAACAATGATATGATCGATAAGCTATGCACGACAGCGAAAGACCTTCTCGGCTATATGCCATTTCATTCATCCAATATCCGCCCTTAAATTGCCAGAATCGAACATCTTGTGTCGAGAAGATCGAAAAGCAAGATATCCAGCAGCGAGATAGCTCAGACCACATGCAGCCAGCAGCCATCCTGTGCCATGAACACTCCCTACTCTTCGAGCAGTCTCAAGGATTATACCACAAATGGCCGCAGCCAAGATTTGGGGTCCAGAGATTGCTGCGTTGTGGAGGCCATTCACCACGCCACCCGAATGTTGCGTGGCCCCTGACCGCATGCCAATGTGGCTAGGAATGGACAGGTCGTAGGCGTCACGCTCTCGAGTGATGCGGCCTATTATTGCAAACGGCAGCCAGCTAGTGATAGCAAAAGAGACTCCATTTGCTGTGGTCACTGCCATTGCGAGCTTCCAGCTGGATGCCAATGACAATATGAGCATCAAGGCTGCCGAGAGTCCCAGGCCTGATGACCAGAGCAACAACAGACTTGAGCAGCGAACCTCCTGGTGGAATCCACGGCGAGACTTGAAACGCCCTTTTGACTGGCTGTGTTCGAGGGCCAGCGGTAGTAGTATGGTCGTCGCAAATCCGACAATTGAAAACAGCAGTGTGACAAATGATCCAAGATGACTGCTTGTTTGGCTTTGAACGTGTGGTTCCGGAGACAGCGAATCTAGTAGGCGTTAGTGCTTGTAACATCCTTCAAGAAGTACAACCTACATAAGCTGCTGATGTGACTATTACTTTAAATTAGCTTGATATTGCACCGACAACAAGGAAGTGGCTGGGTACCTTGCATTGTAGAACAAGAAACCAAACCATCCCATCCAACTCAGGCTTTGGATTAGAAAGACTCGCCCCAGCGTGCCTCCAATATCTCGAGCCGATCGAAGAAGGTTACGGAGTGTAGCAGTCAGCGACTGCTGAGTTTGCGTCTTACCAAGACTTCGGGAACCTGGAAGCTCTTTGACGCCCAAGCAAGTGAGCACAACTGTCCCGCTCACCGCTACGATACAGACTGTCGACAACACTCGGAAGGTCATCACGTCGTCGAGAGAGTCTCCGTTGGGATAGTACACAATGCCGGCCACACATCCCACGATCTGACCAATTCCGGACAGCCTTGCGGTCCAGCTTTGGGCCTGAACCTGTTGACGAGCAGGGCACAGATCGAGTGCAAGTGCTCTCAACCCGCACTGTAAGGGCTGAATGGAGAGACTCAACGTGCAGATGGCGAATATGGCATATGCCTTTGCCATCGACTCCGCTATCTTCACATCGTGGTGGATGAGCGCTGCTGTCCAACTGCCAAGAGAACCCGCCGATGCTAGGATTAGGATTGAGAGGATTATGCCGCCGGCACCGACCACCACGAATGGTCTGCGTCTCCCGTAGCGACTTGGGAAGGAGTCGCTATAGGCACCCACAACTGGTTGCATTGCAAAACCGCATATAGCCGGTATGGACCAGATAGCCGACGTCCAGGCGTGAGTCAGTCCAAGCGCTTTGAGGTAGATCTGTCCAGTCAAGGCTCAGTAACTTGATTAAGAGCCGCATAATCTATACTTACGGTACCGTTGGAGAAGATGGTAGAGCAGACGACTTGTAGGCTAAAGCAGTCAGTCAGTATGAAGGTAAAGCCAGGGGTACGACCAACGTACCCTCCCATCCCGCTGGCCATGGCCAGTATGACACCGAGGGAAACAGTATCCTCTAATATGGGTTCCTTGATCAGCTCTTCCTCTTTCTCTTCACCGGTTAGAGCCATGGCTTCGACGGCGACATCTTCGGGCGTCAACATCACGGATCAAGTCTTCACCAACGTGGACCACATCCAAGATAGAGATGACTGTGATGAATTTCGGAGACTCGCATCAAGATGGACGTCAATGTCTAGATCTCGAGCAAGCGAAATGTGCAGTACTGAACGTAGAGTGTTAACCGCGCGGTAATTTTCGCGCAGCTCGGCTACGGATTTGCCATAGCTGTGTTTATGATAGAGTTACTGATAACGCGCACAGCCTCCCGCAGACAATCTAGACCTGCCTTCTTCTTGCGTGACTTCTTCTTGTATACTCAGACAGACTACGGAGCTGGTCCTCATTGCCTTGGGTTTTCTGTGTCTTGATGTACGAGATCGGTCGTCCGCCAATGCTCAGACTTCGATTCTACTTATCTCCGTTCTGAGCATATTTGCTGACTGAATACTCCTCCACCAGGGAGTTGATGGGCTCCAAAGAGCGACATTTGTGAGGAGTCTCCCAAGCACTTTCCTCGCCCACAAAGTAATTATGTCTGCCATCATTCAGTGGTGTGACCGTCGCCTTCTCCAACGTAGTATCCGCTGCGCATAGTATTGCTTTTGAGATGTATTCAATGCAATGTCGAAGGTGGAGTGACTGCTCGACGTCGTCGACTTCTCGACATGCGATCTTTCCTCCTGGGAATAGTGCGTGGTTTATGTATTGCTGATGGTCGTTGGAGTTAGCTCTCCTCCATGGGGAAGTCGATGGCTTACCAGGCAATGGATCTGATGCCACATAGATACGACGTAAGTGCCGTTGGCGTCGGGTTCGACTCTGCCTTGAGTAGTGACATATCCTCCGCCCTCTGCGAGATCATATCAGCTTGGGGAGACGTTCAAGCTCCATCGAATGAACTCACTAGGCATATCTGCCGTCCATGGCTGCCCATCAAGGTAAACGGCGCTTGGTGTAAATGATCTCACTTCTGTAGCGACTTTCGAGTTATCAGGCTCAAATCCGTAGTCGATTCAGCTACTCATAAACGCAAGCAAGGCACTGACCTTGGATCCGGGAAAACTTTGATGTGGGCGACTGTTCATTTTGCTCTTGTCTTGCCTTGGAGTAGGCCCATATGCCGAGTCCTGCGATGAGTCCGGTAATGATCAGGCTACCTGCAATTCTGAGTCTGGTGGATTTGGTCCTAACGATTGCAGAGCCATGAGTGGGCAAGTCGGACTCCAGTCGGTTGTAAGTGCCATGGTTCCATGCATACTTCATGGTTGCGGAGGTTGTCAAGGTCCTGTCCCGCGAGCATACGGTGATTGAAGTACAGCTCAGGGGATATTATTTTAGCTGCATGCTCGACCCGCGGTGAGCGAGCGCCTTGCTTAAACGCTGGCCACGGTATACGCGGCAAGTAGGAAACGATACTGGTTCGAAGACTTCGTCTTGAATGTCACAAGCACACGATCTTGGATTTTCACAGAAGCGCCTTTTCATACTATTGGGTGCATATTCGCGGTTGATCACTATCCATTCAGTCGCTAACTGGATACGCTTCGTTACCCTTATTGTACTTCTCCATAAAGGCCTTCACCTCCTTTGGGTCTTTACAGAGATGCTCAACTTCCCAGCCAACAGCCGTATACTCCAACGTGAGATCAGCGTTGCAAATCAGGCTCTGTCTCAAATACTCGAAGCAATGGCCAATGTGCTGGCCGTACGCGGCCTCAGCGGTGACATTAAGTGTGTAGAACTCCTGACGAATGGTATCCTGCACGGAAAATCAGCCTGGTCATCAGGTAACAAATAGGAGACAGAGATACCAAGCAGTGCAGTTGATCTTCATAGGTAGTCCAGTGTGTCAGCCAATGCCTAGAGACTGAACGATCTCATTTGGAGGAGTACGTACGATACATGGCAATCGCATAGTTCTCATATCCAGGGATAGAGCTCATCAACTCCGAAGCAAACAGTCCATGCTCTTGATGATTGGCGACGTAGACTGTTCCAATGTCGAAATTCATCGTCATTTGCGCCCACGCAGCAGCTCCTCTGTCTTTCGAAAAGATTGTGAAGGGCGTTTCTGGGTGGAATATTTGGACAGTATCGATGCTCACTGATTTACAAGAAGTCTTGATTAGTTCATTTCCGGCGACGTACTGAACAGCGCCATTACTCACTTTTTGGTGGTAGTGCCGGGGCATCAACAAGTTTGATTCGTAGGCGTCCGACGAGTATCAGCACCAATAGAACAAGGTTTGCAAGCAAGACAGTAATAAGGATGAGGTATTGAGCGCCAGTGGCAATCCATGAACAACGACGAACAGGATGTTGTCGATTTGTCTTCTCTGAGCCTCGGTCCCAGTTGAGGAGAGAGTCGGTGGGCTGCGACCCGAGACCCTGTTCGTCATCGCTGAATAAACCGTCGCAGAGAACGGGCCCAGGTTTGCTGTTTAGGGTGCCTTTCAGCCACCGAGGCCATGTCCGCATCTTAGGTGTTGTTCCAGTGCTCAGAATATCGCTCGGGTTGTTCCAACTTTCTAAGCTGAGGTTCACATCATAAGGAGGTAAGTTTGGTGGCGTACAGTCTTGGCTCCAAATGTGAGAGATGGTGAACGAGGCATGTTTGATTCTTTCAGATATTAAGAGCTTGCTCGCGGCTGTTTAGGGCATCCACTCATTGAACTTTCTCTGCACTCGGCGGCAAGGCTCCGCGCTCAGGCTTCGCGCCCGCGGTACCCGGAGCCCCAGGAGCAGATTTGGATTTGGGGATTGCAACATTCATTCTATAGTAGTCTCGACGCATGGAGCTCAATTAACATCGTTACATCTTGCTCGTCTTTCCAATGGAAGCCAATCCGAACTCCAGCGAGGAAGACAAGCTGCTTGAGAGCCGGTCGTCCGAGGAGGACTCTACCGCTGATCCTACCGACAGGCTCTTGCAACAACATCAATCGCAGCGCAAGTGCAACTGGCATACATTCACCATTTCTGGTCTCACAGTTGCTCTCGTCGCGAGCAATTTACTTTGGGCGTCGTTTCCTACCACTATAAGGGAGCCGCCTTTCAACGGAGGAAAATCCGCGGTATACTGTTCGAAACCCCTCCCGAATAGTCGTTTAAAATGCTAACAGGCAGTAGATGGGTCCCCTGCCATGGTAGAGATAGCTTTCGACCACGACTGGAGAGGACTCCTGGATTCCGAGAATGACACATACCTCTACCGGCAAGATGAATGGGGAGACAAGCTTTTCCCGAGTCAGTGCTCATCACTCTTTGTCATATTTACCGCGAAGTTTTAACCTTTGATAGAATTTGGTGGTGTCACAGCCCTGTCCTTAGACTTCGTAAACGAACACAAGCTTCCAAAAGCCGCCATCGCTCCAGATGATCCTAACAAAATGATATACCTGGTCGCTGGCTATCACCAGCTTCATCGTGCTGTTAGTAACATCAAACTCATGGCACGGCAAAGTGCTGACACTTGCACAATGCTAGTCGATCCTGCGTAAAGCCATCTACTTCCTGAACGGCACAATGGCCGAGTGGCCGGATGAGGGTGGGTTTATCTGGGACCATGTGCTGCACTGTATGGATGCCGTTCGTCAGGGACTGGCCTGCAATTTGGATCCAACACTCATTCCTCTGAGTGAGGTCTGGCCAGGCATACCAAATGGGCAGGTGCATAATTGTCGGAACAGAGAGGCCTTACGAACGTGGTGCAATGAGCGAGGCCATGATATCCCAGTGGATCCAAGGTCCTTGAGGGAATCATGAGGAGCATCGCGCGCTTCAATAGCATACATCTGATGGTAGCTTAAATCATGCCCAGCAGCGTACAAGAGTCCAGATCAGTCATTATAGGAACGATGTGAACCAAAGCCATGAAGCTCTTGACAGTCAAGAGAACTTCAAGTGCCATCTCGCAGATGAATATCTCGTGCGGACTCGAGCAGGAAACGCGCTTTCGATTCTGGCTGCTATGGTAGATTGCAAATGAACCGCAAAGGAAATAATGTCAATCCGAAGTACTTGGAGACCAAAGTAGATCGTTTAAATATCATCTCTTCAAGGCTCAACTCATCTCCCATCTCAGGGGCCAGCGAGCAGTTTGAATTACTAGATTAGGCAGTCCTGGGAAAAAGGTTTCTCCGATCCGATATTCTCGTATCCTAACAGTAGAAAGACCGTCTGCTTGAGAATCGGGTTCTGAACAATAGTAAGAGAATGGGAAGAGCTCCTTTCTGTGCTACCTCCGACTCAGACCGTAGAGGAGAAGTCTCACTTCCATTGCGCGGTAAGAAGCTACCGCGCGGTTGCAATGGAGCAACGACGCTCGCGGCGGTAAGCAAATTCGTGGGCACGTGAATCGGCGCAAACCACAGCCGTCTGCAATTTGCAATTGCCCGACGGTCAGTTGAAGCTTTTGGAATTGCGCCAGCTGGAGGGCTTTGGTGCGGATCTCCCCAAGTCCGCACGCCAATGGAGTTCAGCACAATATTGAGAATCTTACTCTTCTCTTCGACATTGGTACTCACAATACTGGTCTACGCAAGCGTGGAGCTCCCTCGAACACATACGCACTTTGATACCTGTTCGAAACCGGTACTCCGCCGTGAATGGCGGAACCTCGCACAACATGAGCAGCTCGCATATTTGGGGGCTGTGATATGTCTAGCGAATACTCCCTCCAGAAGTCGGAGCATTGGCAGTATATACGACGACTTTGCATTCGTGCATATGCAAATTGGGGCGCACAGTAAGACTCATGCATTCGCGTATACATGATAGTTGAAGCCTGACGACACTAGCCCACGAGGCGGCTCCGTTCTTCCCGTGGCATCGCATGTTCTTGCATCTATGGGAGCAACACCTTCATGACTTTTGTGGCTTTGAGGGAGCATTGCCGTAAGTATCTTCAAGTTATGAGCTGCCAATCGAAATCCTGAATACAATTATTCAGGTACTGGGATTGGACGCTTGACTGGGAAAACCTCGCGGCTTCACCAATCTTCAGTAATGTTACCGGATTCGGAGGAGACGGCGGCCATATCATTGCCAGTGCACTGGATGACGGCTCTTCTTGCGTGGGAGACGGCCCTTTCAGAGATCTTGAGTTGCTGTACATGAATTCAACCATCCAGAGGCACTGTTTAGCCCGCGGCTTTATTCGATACGAGGACAAGGCTGATGGCCACATTTCTGGCAATCACGTACGTCCTAGTGCAGTGGCCAGGCTTCTGGATCAGGAGCATTACTACCATTTGAACAATGCTACCCAGTGGGAGATGCATAATGCTATCCACTGGGGCTTACGAGGCGACTTCTCACAGTGGTCTTCTGCAAATGGTACGTCGCAGTGAGACTCGATGCTGGTGGAAACTCATGCGTGAATATAACTGGCTCAGTGAGCTGACGTGAACAGATCCAATCTTTTACCTTCATCATGCCCAATTGGACAGAATTTGGTGGCTATGGCAGCAGAAACGGGCCTCCCGATCAACAGAGTATTATGGCCTGAAGTCTCGGCAGTCTGAGGAGACGGCTTCAATACAAGATTTACTCCATTACCTTGAGCTTGGAAGCTCGATCCCAGTATCAGAGGCGATGCAGGTTGATGCGGGAACTTTATGCTATAGGTATTAGATGAGAGAGTATCATAGTCTTGTGCATCGGTTACGTCGAGGGTATATACATGTCTACGAAGCTCAGAAATGTTAGACAGGTCTTTTCGTGTACTATATGTTGTCAAGACCTCGTTGACTCTCGTGCAACTTTGCCATGGAATTGGCAACAAATGAGGCAGATAATAGATGTGATCGCCATCACGGTGCACCACAAGACCAGGAGCCATGTAATCCAGCTCACGAAACGTGGGTCAGGCGTCTTTGAAAGAACGTAAAGGCCGTGGATCCGATATTGAGGGCTCTCTGCTTGAATAGACGCCGTTGCTTGGCTAGTCAATATAGTTGACTTGCCATCTTGAGACTTGCCATCTTGGATGGCACTGGATATTAGCGGCATCGCTTGCTGGTGCTCCTGTACTGGCGTCGGTCCACCCTCAATCTCAAGACTTCTAATGGCGGTCGGCTCACTCTGAGCCAAAGATTTTCCACTCCCATCCAGGCCCTCAACATAAACCCATGCGATGGCTGTCTCGGACGTGTGATGTAGTTGGGTCTCGAATTCCTGCCTAAGAGCACTCGTCAATGACGACCAATGACCCTCGCAATCAGAGAGACCTTGAGAGTCCCCAGTGCTTCCCGGACTGGGCATGGCGATGCATCCAAAGACTCTCCAGCTAGAAACACCAAAGCCGCCATTCCATGAAACATATGTCGTGAATGAGAAAGCATCACCGCCCCGATGCTCGTCGCTCTGGAGCTTGAAAGCGATGACAGCCGGAAGTTCAGCAGAGGCAATTGCCTTGAGATCAGCCTCCAGTACTTTGAAAGCACGATACGTGTACAGATTGTCATCTCTGAAGCGTGCTTCAACGACGTTCCGTCCGTCGCGGTCGAATTCTGTCACCCAGCCGTGTTGGCTCCAGCAAATTGAGAATCCCTTGTCAGGAAGAGCCTGTACGTTGCCTCTACGATCACTTATTCCACCGTCAGGTCGACTCATCCGCGACAGCAGTGAAGCTGTCTTGTCCTTGTGGTTGAGTGCAACTACAAAACCGGCAGACGTCGTCTCGCTCGTCTCATAGCCATCGGATGCATTGTCCAAGAACGAGATAGTAGTCACGCCAGAATTGTTCAAATGAAGCATTCGAGCATCGTGTTGCGCTGAGAAAGTGAAGTTTTGGAGTTCGAAGTCGCTTGAGGGGCTGTCTTTTCCTCCCAGCCGCCATAGCACTGCACCGTCAACACCGGATATTAGATATATTGTGTTAGTGCCTCGGCCGGAAATGAGATAATCGCCACTGCTCGTTCGATCGACAGAGTTCACACGTCTGAAGATGGGTGACCTGTCAGCGCCTCTTCCACAAAAAGCAAAAGAGCAGCCTACAGAAAATGCATCTCCACAATCTGGGCAAAGCCTTCTAGGTCTACCACTCGCGGCTTCGGTGTTGGGATATGCTCGGAAGAGTTCCAGGAAAAGAGGACGTCACCTGTGTGACGATCGATCTCGAAAACGTGGTCTTCAATCATCTGGAAGCCTCCATCTTGCGGCTTAGGACCTGCAATTGACTTCTCGACCACTATTGTATCACCACTGTTTGATAGCTGCAGATCATGAGGGTTCACTTTCTCGACTGAGCTAGGCATCCTCATCCGCGATACCCTCTGCAATGATGGACCGAGAAACATTGGCTCGGCTCCTCTAGGACTGCTGGTTCGCAGCGTCCCACCTTCCAAGAGAGAAAATTCGCCCCATGGGTGGTATTTAAAATCGTTGACAAAGCTCCATTCGTGTAGATGGGTGCCGCTCCACGCAAGTTCCTACATAAGTAAGAATCACATCCAAAACAATAAGCAGCGACTTACTCCATCTGTGTCGTAGATGTATGGACCTTGCTGAAGTTGTGAGTTGTTCAGAAAGCCAGGCAAGGCTGAAACCTTGCTCTCGTAATGAGGTGCATACAGCCAGTAGCCTGGTTGCATCAATGTAGTATTGTGAATGATAACATCTAGGATGGGAGCGATGATATCTGGTCGCTGCATTACGTCTGTCAGTACTGATGGGGCTGTAGGTCTCAGACGTGCGATGGGCAGACCGAGAGATATGTTGCAAAATTTGGGATGTTCGCCATGCCTGCCAACGATAAAGACCCACATGCATATTATCAGTGAATGGTGGATATTTAGTATTCGTCAAGACACATCTGCGCATGAAGTGGCAAGAGTAGAGCCAAGGTAAAATGTCATCGAGATCAAAAGGCCAAGAACAGACGGAGACACATCCAGCGGCGCCTCGCCCAACACGAATGCGCTGGAAAGTGGGCTCAAATTGTCATTGATCATGTCACCTGAAAATTTACCAAACAAGGGGTAAAAAATTGCTAAAGATGATATCTGAGGGTTGTGTTTGGAGTCAGTTGATAACTTTCGCTATAGTTCTGATTTGACACAAAGCTGTTAAGCGCTATATTACAAACTACAACGACTGGATCAGTCATGTTCAACTTCTTCCCTCGAGAGTATAGGCAGAAGCAAAGCTGACGATCTTGCGTACATCGCGACACTGATGTGTGGAACTGTTGGTGAGAACTCCGCTTGGGCGCCACTTGTGTTCTGGCCCTGGATCAACGTGGATGGTGGCTCTCTCCAAAGCAAGATCTGCTGCACAGATGGTAGTCTGAGTTAAGTATTCGATGCAGTGGTGGAAGATATCGTCACTGCCCGAGTCTTGACGTTGCCATCCGCTGCCAGGGGCTTCCCGCAAGAGTGCGTTGCCAATAAAGTCCTGCGATCGGTCAGTTCCATATCACGGGTTGCCTATGTCATACTTACGATGCAGAAAAGCTGATGAGAGACAGACAATACGTATACGCCATGAGCATCTGGAAGATCCCAGTCTTGACTTGCGAGAAATGCTCGCTCGTCTGGTTGGCTAGCTAGCCTTGTAGTGTGCAATCTGGCTGAAAAGGCAGGATTTAAGAACGAACCGAACGGTATTGTTAGCCCGGCTGTGCGAGCATCAGATACGAACAGTCCATCTGGGTCAAACACAAAGCTCAAGGGTCTGGCCGAGATAGTGTTAGATGGATCAAGAGAGCCTGGCAAGATTGACGAACCATCCAGCCCTGCAAGAACAGTCTCAAGATCCATCGACGATTTAGAATCTTGAGAATGTTTGCTTCCAACGGCCCAATTCATGCTGGAAACCGCAATCGTGACCAGGAGGGCGATGACCACAAACAGAACGAGGTGTTTCGCCTTCCAAGCACCTGGGTCACGCCGAGCCATTGTACCACCTGCAAACGTATGAGGAAGATTCACAAGCATTGGCATGCCCGACCCCTGGCGATTGATGTGAGGCTGATCACGGCAGCGTAGCATCTGCACCGCGTCTTTCCCGCGCTCCTCTCGCCGAACCAAACTTCAAGCTCAGGCGGTTATTTACCGCGCTAATTTCATCACCACGCCTCCAGCGAGCGACCCACGCTTCTGTTCATCTCAGCACAGCTATACAGGAAGCATCATATATGATATGTTCCATGACTGAACTCCTTCACACGCTGTCCACGTCCTGACACAAGGTCCAGCAATCATGTGGATTGCTGTGACGACTGCATTTCTTTGCGTAGCTGCTACAAGTACAACTTCTCTGGCGTTGACGCACAACGGTTACAGTGAGATGGAGTCTTTTGCAACCATTGTGGCCCAAGTACAATGTCAGCCTCGATTGCAAAGCCGCTGCAAGTTGCCGAAATTGACTCGCTTCATGCTGTAGTACCCTACATCAACTATACCTTCTCACCGAGTGCGTTGTACTCAAGAACGAACGTCTCCGCCAGAGTCAAGGTCTTAGGGGAGCTTGGTGAGATTTGCCTTCTGAAAGCCGCGTTTGAGTTCAACTGATTCGTTCTCAAGGGGCTGGAGGAGGCTTCGTAACTGCACAAGGGAGGAGTACTGTTGACATGGACGAAATATATGGCTTTTCTGTGTATCACGGGCTACATTGTATTGTAAGCGCGAAAATGCCATCACGTAGTATAATCACACGGCTGACGTGAAGTAGGAGCTGATGCGAGAGTCTCGATTCCCTGAAAGCAAGGCAGAAGCCGACCACGGATCACCAGCGCATCTTCGGCACTGCATAGAGTATGTACGACAAGGGATAATTTGTGCTGCCGATACGACATTGGAGCATGCAAGTATCAACGTCTCGAGCGATGGCCGCCGTTCTTTCGGTTTCGATACCTCTCCATCGTCACAAGTCTGGGGCACTTCACGAATGTGCCGCAATCTGGGTGCATTGACAGGATTCTCCAAAGCATACTCCGTGGCAACGTATGACGGATGGGATGGTTAGGGGGATGTGCAAAGTAAACAATAATACTGTATTAATCTGACATTGTCATGGCAGTGACCTTGGAATCGACGTTGGTCTCATTAACTCGGAATCTCTTCTATCAAAATGCTTGACGAGCACTCTCACTGATGTTGTAGTCACCCTCTATAACCCACTTCGTCATACAATGCATTCCAGTCTCCGCATGTACGGGCATACTTCTAGGTCTTGCCGTGTATTGGAGACTTTAATATCACTTCTCGATGGCGGTCGGAATGGCATAGTAGCGCCTTTTTCAATATCAGCTGCGTAGCGCGAAAGGTTGGCTTCCTCCTACCTGTCTTATCCAATTGAAGCAATGGCTGATATGTGCCAGATCCTTTGCTGCATCACCACCTAGATCTGTCGTGTCGTTTGTGTAAAGGAAGCTGGAATAGCTCTCTCGGATTGAGAGGAGGCAATGGATCTGGTGCAGCATGCCTAGGCCATAGGGAATGCCATCATTGAAATCGTCATCTTGTCCCAACGGATAAGACGGGAGCATTGATCGCCAGGTATCAGTTGTCGCCGAGTCCCAGGCTTCCCACTCAGTCTTGCTGTCAAACTTGACCATATGTGTTGCAAGATTTGTCGGATGACGACTTGGCAGGTATCGCTCTTCATCTTCGACATACTCTTTCGGAAGCGCGGGTGTAGAGGCTGCATAGCCGGTTGTGCCGCAGCTCGCTGTATGATGCCAATATCTTCCTGATGGCCCAAATAGATCAAATGCCACTATCAAGGTGACCAATACTGCCGAGGATAGGTGAGCTAACGACAGGACTTTCCAATATCTACGGCCGTGCTGAAATGCTGCAGGCATCTTCCCCAGTAGCACAATGATCAAACGAAGTAAAGAGTGCTATCAGGCACGATTAGCACACTGGAAAGGTGAAGAAACCACTCTACGCGAGCCGCGAATATGTGATTTGGCTGCGAGCCAGGGCTTGTGCAAGCCGCCCGGCTTGAAAGTTCAGGGGGGCTCAGGGTCATCTTTCTATGAAAAGAATTGACAAAGTCGATCTGTCAGTTCTACCGTGAGGCCTGTCAATGGAAAGATTGCTGAAGAGACTTTTTGTTTTTGCAGTTTTGTTGAAGTGAAGCTGTTTCGTTGGAGCAGCAGCTGAAAGAGAAGGCTGCGCGGGACGCTGACAGAGTGCCGCGGGACGCACGAGTTTCTCACACACCCAATTCCCAGGATTGAGCAGCAGCATTGTCACCCGTACATTCTTCCAGTTGCGGAATTGTATGATGTCGTGGACGAAAAGGCAGTATCGGGAACCGTTCGATTGTTGGCATAGGGACTCAAGTCTCCTCAGCTACATCATATGCATCAACGTGGCGCTACTATGTGCGTCGTTGGCCATGCTCTCGGGCTCAGTCGCCATGCTAAAACTGGGCGAGCATGGTCGTCGCGAGGCTTGGAATATGCTGCATTCACCTTGTAAGTCCAGCACCTGTCCTTCGAGCGAATGATACTGACGCACGGCAAAAGCGCCAATGACCGAACACCTCCATCTGAGCCCAGACACCCGCACCCTCCGACTGGATCTGGAGCAGAACACTCACAACATATACATTCATCGTCCTCCATCAAAAGAGACTGACGATGCTTGGAACCGTCTTGAACGCGGAGTCGCCTCGTGGGCAACTTCACAAGATCTGGTTGCTGCTGGGATAGACCCATCCAAAAGCGTGAAGCTTCCATTCTCCATGGGGCACGGAGACGATGCATATCCCATAGTTGTGGATGCAAAACATCAAATACACTGCTTGAACCGATTGAGAAAAGAAGTATACTTTGAGCACTACTACGGATCAGACTTCGCTGATACGAACACCACTCGATTTCACACGCTGCACACCGATCACTGCATTCTCGTTTTGCTGAAGTCTCTGATATGCAACGCCAATACGGACTTTGACGCTTTGTCCTGGTTTATGTACTTTCCTCACTCCATGGCGGACTTCAATATCAATCGCAAATGCGGAGACTTCGAGGGCATCGACCGATGGGCGAATGAGAGACAGCTCGACCAAGAAGAGTTGTTCAATCTGCCGAAGCCTGAAAATGCTTTCGAAAGGCCTATGTCTGATTGGGTGCGCCGTACGCTCGCACAATATGACAGCCATGGGGTGGGAGGGGATATCAACCGAAAGAACATCTGAGTGAAGCATGGTCGCAGGCTTGCTTATACTGCTGACTAGTGTTATTTGAATCAGCATCAATGGTGTGAGAAAGGGAGCTATCATGACCATACATTTGCAAGAAGTCGACAGAAAGATCAAGTGTCCTTCACAGCAATTTCACATGGAATAGCTTGTTTTCTACTTTGTTTGAGCGTAACACGAGGAAACCAGATTGACCTTGCCAGCGAATGCTGGAAAAGCCAGAAGTCTCCTTCGCTGCAAAATGGCTCGAAGGAGAAACAGCAGACACATGACGGATGGAGGTCTTCGACAAGAACAGCAATGATATTTCGGATACTATATGACCATAACGTTTCAGTTCGCGGTAGTATCCTATGGCTAGACCCTTGTCTGATTTTACCATTTCCTCCCATTACTCTTATACTTCACTGGGCGTTGAGTGCTGTGATTCGTCCGCCAGTCCTGGACTGACAAGTCCATGCGCACTCTCGACAGTCATCCTGGGCTAATTGGCGTAGGGGTAGCCGCCTGTAACATACGTAAGAAAGGAGCACGGTAGCGAATATACTTCGTTACGATACCTTTATACGCGTAGATGTAGGCTGGGTTCTATCGATGCCCAAATAGACACATGTTAGAGACGATCACTGGAGATAAGGCAGGTTCCAAGGGGCAAAGACTCACGTAAGCCACAGCATCGACGCTGGCGTCCTCGCGCTTGTGAACTTCGGGCAACTCCTCTGGGAGGGGGCCGAGGTGGATGGTGACATCCTTGCCATAGTTTCCTTCGACCGGAACGAGAGCAAAGTCCTGTCCATCCTTGGTAGTGATGTCCAGCTTCGTTGCCTCCCGACCAGCCAAAGTGTTCGAGGTTGGATTACCCGCGCCAAAGGCTGCTGCCAGGCTGAAGAGGGCGATGAGCTTGGTGAAAGATGCCATGGCGGATATGATGATTCTTTGACTTGTTCCTAATGAAAGAGAAATGCGATGCAAGGGAGATGGATTCACATCCAGCGGACGTCGCCGCGGACTTTCATCTGAATCTTACCGCGTGGCCAACACTTGCCAATGTCCCTTCTTGACTTCTCGCGCGAGCCGCGACGAGGCAGGCCGTGCGCTAAAGCAAAGTATGAGCTTTTTGATGTGGGCATGGCGGTTACTGGAATTGTATGATGGACTTGGGCGAGCGCCGTTCGCAAGTATGGCGGCAACAAGGCGGGAGGAGAAACGCTGCCCGCGGACACCTTTCGATGAAGGTTTGTGGAGCTGAGTCTCAACTCTGCGCTGGTCTGGGTCGTTAAAAGTTGAATGTCTTGTTGTCGAAGGATACATCGCTTTGAATCAGGCCTTAACGATCAGGCTTGAATGGACAAGAAACATTATTTAAATCCGCCGGGTCATCCGAGAATTTGCTTGCGGAGAACGCTCGTCTCCAAGCAAGTCAGGATGAGCCGTCGACCATTTTGGCAACCAAAAGATTAGCCCAAGCAGACTGGACTGTCCTTCGAGTAATAAGCTACGTCCTTCCCTGGTCAATAATCGTATTTCTCTCCTTCGACGCAATAAGGGCGAGATCATGGGGCTGGAATACTCTTCAACAAACCAAGCGCTTTTCGTCCCAGATGACCTACTCGCCCGTCCAGTCCGAGATCGAATACTTCGTCAAAACCTTCGATCACAACCTCGTCAACTCGCCAGTCGAGTTTCAGGACCCGGACACTGTGGACCATGCCTGGGCAAGCCTCTACGATGGTAAGACAGATCTTGTTGATTTCACACCCACGCTACTTGCTGATAGTCCATTTGCTTCCTGTAGTAGCTGGAGCAACGGCGCTCTCTATAGATGAGGCGCACAGAATCCCGAATGCAACAATTAGTAGCGATCATGGAGGTTCGAAAGAGTATCTGGTGCAACTAGGTGTCTTTCACCAGCTCCACTGCTTGGTTAGTCTTCTGCTTCTCACGAGATGAGCAGCAGTGTTCTGATATGACGAGTGGAGAATGGCTAACCTTTTCATATCAGGATGTAATGCGCCAAGCCTTGGAGCCTTTATACGGACTCAAAAACGATTCGCTGGCACGTCTGCAGGCCAATGGCGGAACACGACAACGAAAGCAATTACCCAAACGACAGCGAGAGAGTAAGCCATCAAGAGAGTCCCAGCATGACCCAAGACCCTGGAAGCTCATCGGAAACGTCAAGCATTTGAACCATTGTCTCAACGCTTTGCGCCAGGCGATCATGTGTCACAGCGACGTATCCGTACTCGTGTGGCAGTGGTTCGACCCAGTCGAAGAATATGCACCTGATCCATTTGATGAGCTGAGGCCGTTCAATGTGCCTTACACGAACGTGCCGCATACCTGTCGAAACTTCGACAAAATCAGCGAATGGGCCAAAGCGAGACGACCGGCGACCTTGCCAGATTTTACACAGCGGCCCCAAGGAAGTGACCTCAACATTGAAAGCTGGCCGTAAAACGTTCGGATGCAAATAACCTTTGAGCGCGAGGCTACGAGGCTGGGAGCAGCGGTGCCTGTTGACAGAGCCGGCCGGTAGGTCTAATGCCTAATGGCGTTATCCTAAGGCTTTCAAACTAAAACAACCAGGTTACTGCGTTCGACCTCAAAATTCCGACACCAAGGCAAGTAAAGTATCAGAATGAGACCAGTGGCAGGTCGAGAAGAGCTTCCATGGCGAATGTCGAGCATGGAAATCTGGGGACGAATAGCACGTTGCCGCCAGGCTCAGTGAGAACATGCTGTATATAAGGCCTGTACGCAAAGTCCTGAAGGCTTCAATGCGCCATAAACTTTTACATTACAATATGCACATTTAGCTCCGAAATCCACGTATTTGAAAGAAAAGAGAGATATGCAATTGAGAAGACATTCGCTCGAAGCTATGAAGCCGCGTACATTTTTCCCATTGTTTAGCTTTACTTGCCCGCCGATAAACGCTGCTGTCACCCGCGAGATAAACTCTGGCGTCCCGCGGCTTGAACTGGCATTTGATAGAGGCGGACCCATGGCATTGCTCTAAAACCTCAAGGACCTCGCCCGAAGGCTTACTCCCATACTAAGTCTACCTTGTAACATCCCCGTCAAGACTGTCCTGACCAGTATAAGTGACAAACTCACCAAGTACGTTGAATTCCTTTCACAGTACCAGCTCCACCGAGGGCATGCTGACTCGGGAGCTGAATCAAAGGCACGCGCAATAGTATCCTGAGCAACAATCAATATTACTACGTTTCGGTCGACATATTAGAAGCCCACGGATCCCAGACTAAGGATATGGCATTCTCGGCGTACTTATGGACGCTTCACGGAATCTTAGCAAGCGTTGCAATCTTCATTGTCTTGCCACTGGGTGTCCTAAAATTCAGAGTTGGATCTCTGCCATCTTGCGTATCTCACTGGAGCACTCAAACCTTTGGCACCTTGATGTTGCTCATCGCCGCTGGGCTTGGGCTATTTCAAAGCAGCACTATACATTCTGGCCACCAGATCGCAGGCCTCTGTCTAGTCACTTTGTTGCTACTACAGTCATTCCTGGGACATTGCATTGGAGGCTTGACGAACAATGCCGGTAGAAGGCTTCAATCCTGGTCTGTGGCAGCTCACTGTGTCCAAGGCTTCTCCTGTATCTTGCTCGGTTGGTGGACGGTCGTTACAGGACTCTTACTGGCTTCGTTTGACTCTACGACAATCATATTCGTTAGCTTGACAACATTCACCGAACTCGTGGGCGTTACGGCTTTCTGCGTTATTAAGCGGGACTCCAGCAGGATCACACAGCCAACCAAACCAAAGTTTGTCGTCGCCGATGACACCGACGACGAGATGACCATGTATTCGCCCTCGGATGACGCAAATTAATTGGCGTTTCTGCATGAGGTTCGAGGGCAATAGAAGCACGATGACCGTGTAGCGTGTGGCTTAAGATATATTGTCCACTACCTCTCTTCTGCTGCTAGCAAAAAGGATTTTGTGCGTGAGACTGGTCCATCTCAGATTTCAGAATTATCGAACTACGTCCCATACCAGGATTTCAAAATGTTGGATATTTGGAGGGTCGATCCTCATTTCAGATTCATAGTTCTGAACTAGCATTCTCGCTATACTACCACGGCAATAAATCTAGGAAGTCCCTCGGCCAGACCTTGGATAAGCCCCGTGTCCATGCTCATGCCTTTTGCTGCTCGTTCAGAGCAGTGCGTTCCATCCACTCGCTAGTATGCGGTCCTTCAGTCACGGCACTGAACTCAGGCATATCGTGAGCGTGCTCTGAGGTCCAGCGAAAGAGCGCATCGTGGTTTCGGCAAGTATGAGTTTGGTCGTTCGGAATGCCAGGCCATACGGAGTCCAGAGGGATCAGCGTCGGATCAAGACTGCAAGTCACTGACTGCCTGACTGCTTCAACGCAATGGAGAACGTGTGACCATTGGAAGGGCGGACTTGGCCATTCAATCGTGCCATTTAGGTAGTACAACGAGTCTCGGACGACATGCTAGATACTCTCGGTTAGTCAATGATAGGATCCTAATAAGCTCCATCCTCCTACCAGACAATGAAGGACATGGAACCCTGAGACAAGGTAGAGTACCTGGGACTCGTCGTCTGCTGCGGGCGCGGCTCGGGGATCGAGACCAAGTTCTGCCTGTAGCTCTCGGGAGATTGACACCACGGAGCCATTTTCTGTTCGCCACAACGTCAGTCCTTGCCAGCGATATCTTTGTTTTCACAAAGCTACCTGGTGCCCATTCCCCTGGCTGCCAGTGGGCATCACCTTATCTGTAGCCATTAACTTCTATCTCTTCCAATCCGGTCCAGTCATGCTCAAACGGCACTTCGATAGCCTCCGGCTCCCCTTGCTGGAGAACTAATTCCAGTCAGTCCCATTTCTGGTTTACGTCTTACCCACGAAGCAAGTAACTTACAGTAATTGAGATGACTGTTTTCGACTCTAGTCGTTGTAGAAAGCCAACCTCGCCATGCAGCATACCATATCAGATTGTTTAGTACGAAGCCGACAAGAACCGCTATACGGAACCAGCTGTATCGTCGTTGCGCCGACGAAGATCTACGCTGCCGATGTGACAGGCTCCATTGGGACGATATCTGTTCCTCGTCATCGATAGACGGCGCCTTCTCACCCGATACACCCTGGAGTAGCCACGCGGACGATTGAGGGTCCGACATCACATCAATCGAGAGGAGTAGAGAGCAGTCACAAGCAACACGGAACGTCAGTCTGCATAGAGTACATCCGCCTGGTACGAAGGCACCCGCTCGAGTGGTTCTAGTCAGCAACACATGCATGGGTTTACGAGGCGAAACGCGCAAAAGACCTACCGGCGCCTCGTCGACAAACATTCTTCCACCATCCGCGGTAGCAGGTTGAAGAGACAGCATTTACTCGCACTCACGCTGATGACTATCGTAAGCGTGAGGGGAGTCTTCTCCTGCAAATTGAAGAACACCAGAGACTGTTCGTGTTGAGATGCTGAATGATGAAAATGATCTCTGTCTATTCAATAGAAACGATTCTGGACCTCCGTACCTCATTACCGCCAGGACACTCCCGTGCAGCGACCTGCACCCGCGCAGCGCCCAGAGGGACAACAAACTCCGTCTCAAAGCCCATCTTCGGCACTGTAACATATTTCCTCATGTTTCCATCTCCAATGTCGTAGTATATAGTGTACTGTGCCACGTCCGTGGCCCCATTCCAACTTATGTAGCCCCGCCAGCGACTATCTCCAGCACAATGGTCGAGCTGGTTGTGCGTTTCATTGTTTACTCGCTGAATGGTCATCTCCGGTCGGGTAGTGGGCCTGGCATGCCAGTCTTGTTTGAACGCACGATAGCTATGCCTTGTATATGGTAGCTGAGCAGTCCAGCGTACTTCCCAGGTCTTGTCGTCAGGGGCTCGCCCGAACTCTTTCATGAGTGGCTGATCTCCATAGCCAACTAAACGATTGCCATTGGGAAGGACTTGGTGAGAGCCACCAGCACGCGCTACGATTGGACGCTTTGACTCGAAGAGGCACTCTCTCAGTGATGGCGGATTCAGCCTGTTTGGTGGTACGGTCAAAGCCAGAGCCAACGCCACAGATCCGGGGCCGTCGTTGGTTTGCTTATTGTTGGCGAAATAGGTCAATTCCAGTTGGCCATTCCCATGGCTATGCAGACGAGCATCATGCTGCCAGGCCAGAGAGAGAAATTGAAATCAGTTGAAATCCGGTATGGTACGAGAAGTCCTTACAAAATGCCCGAGATCTGGTAAATCCCCAAAGTCACCTCCATCAGCTCCATTGATGCGCCATATTACTTCTCCTTCTCGAGACACCAGATAGGTGGTCCAAGTATGCCTACTGTTGATAAGAAATCCGTTATCCCAGGGCTGGATAGAGTTGATATGGAACCAGTCGTAAGGGTCAGACTCGGTGCCAGACTGCTCAACCTGGCGGTGAGAATGATTCAAGGGGACGTGGTCCATCGCCCGCCATACGAACAGAGATTCGTTCGTTTCTATGTCTACTTCGACGGCAAGGGAATCAATAACATACCCGTCTTTCGGGCCCCCTACGGAAGTCAAATCCGCTCTTGTCTTGTTGTAGACCGTCACGAGGATGGTATTGTCGCCCGTGATCAAGGCTTCGTGATAGTCGCAAAAACAATCTGTTGTGGAACTCATTGGCGTGTCGACGTTGACATTGAGTCTCGGACAGATTGAAGCCACCTTCTCGTATCTATCATCCAGTATCTCCACCGCTCCTGCTCCGTAGCCTTTAACGTGGCCTTTTGTACCGTTACAATATGTGATTACCGGCTTGCCGTAGAGCTGCTGAGGGTGTAGGTTGATTATCATGGCTCCTGGGGAGGCAAAGTTTGCACTCCAGACGAGGTCTCCATCCATTGTGACTATGAGTGCTGCTGGGACCGGCCGTTGGAGGACGTGGCTAAACATCTCGGGAGTAATGAAGAGTAGGCCGGATGAAAGCGATTGCCGTGTTCGGTTGACTCTAATGACTGGAGGCTGAGCCTGCGAAGAGACATATTGCCGATACGAGCGGGTTGGACCATCACTGCTGGCCACTGTCGAGAAATGGGTAGCGGCACACACGGAGACTCCGAGCGTGGCGGTTTCAACAACACCGTATTGGGCGGGAACGCAGCTTTTGGACTCGGCATTGGCAGATAACAGGTCACACCTTGAGAGTACAATCCCGAGGATTCCGAACAGGGAGATGAATCTGCGGCCCGAGCGTGTCATGGACTGGACCAGTGAGATGGAGACGCAGGCAGAGTAAAGTAGCTGTGTGATCAAACAGTGGAAGATGTGGTCATTTAATCACTAGTACTGGGGGGCCGTACTGCTCCTGTGATAGCTCTGGCGGTTACCACCGTCTCGCGGCTCGCAAAAGCTTCCAGAACGTCCGAAGATGGCCGATACACAGTGGTGTGACGCTATCTACTCTCTACTCTATATTACGCGAAGTTCTCGAAAGATCGACTTCTCGCCCAGTCCTGAATCTTGTCGAAATTGCGGCATGTGTGTTCTGTGCCAAAATTGGGCTTATAATCCGACAAAGCTGTCTCCCATTGCCAGACCCCGACAGAAATGTCGCTCGCACAGGATATTGCCTGCCGTAAGGAGTGAATGCAGTGGTTGAGATGGTCTTTCAGATCGATCATTTGCAAGTCTGCGTAGCGGGTAGGCTGCACTGGTCTGGGAGGCTGGCTAGAAATGCCAACAGACGCCGCAAGAGGCATCGAGGGCGGCTTGGCACCTAAATGGTTCAACTCATCCTCGACGACAACAACAGCCTATGTTCCCTCGCTGCACCATCAACTACACTGCCTAGTACATCATCACTCAAAGTCGATAAGATGTGCAAATGCTGACATCGAACGTCTCTCAGGTCCAGTTGAACATTCTCGTGATCGGGCTAGAAGTCCCGGTGGTGACGGAAGAGCATGCCAGTCATTGCATTGAGTTGATTCGTCAAGTACGTAAACGTTTTCCTCCTCAGGCGATGTATCTTAGGCAAAATCGAGCTCCGGTTGACAAGCTATACCAGGCTCTTCTTTGCTCAACCGATCTGTCACTCGAAGGGCCAAAGCTGGTAACAGACAAGAAGTGGAATGGCCTAGATGGATAGGGTAGCACAAATCGTTGCAAAGACTGGAAGGCTGTCGACGCCGTGATGCGGGCTCATGGCATTCCCCAAGCATTATTGATTCGACCGCCGCCAGACCCTGACACTGCCCCATAGAGTGGGCTGATCAATCCGGACTGACTCCTAAGCAGTCGTCGTATATGTAGGAGCAAGAAGTCGATAGGTCGTTCTGTATCCCAGCTGACAGGGCTCGATCGTATTGGAGGGCTTTTGCCGATTGAAGTCGAAGGAGTAATCAGATAAATACCCACTCGTGGCCGAGACTTTCCATCCCATCTATCCAATCGAACGTAGCAACCCTGCTGGATGAGTTGCGCCGAAGCCGTTTCGTCTCCTGTGCAACTTGTAGCGCCCGTAAAACACTGGTGTAATAGTCCTTATCTCTATTGGCGCCTTGTTCGAGACGATCAAAGAATGTGTCGTGTCGTGATTCGGCTAGGCACGCAGCTACACAGATCGGCCATGCCAGCCGTCGTATAAGCACGGCACTGGTCAAGGTCTTCAATGCATCCACCGCCGCTTCCACCGCATCCTGAATGTCGGACACCTCGGGGCTCGCACCCGATAACACCACGTAGAGATAGATCTTAGTAGCAGCAACGTACACTCTTGTTATTGATGAGCATATCGTGCCATCAATTTCAGTGGCCGTCATATCTGGTTTGTTGTTGCGTATCGATTCTTGTGCCTAGCTGTCTATTTCCTGTTCCAACTTCGTCGCACGGCGTGCTAGCTCTGCAATGTTGAGTGCTTGCGAGGCCTGGCGCTCGCGTTTCCAGATACGTAACAAGGTGACCTCAGCTATGCTGTGGAAGACCCAATCCTCGCAGCCGGTAGCTTGCAGCATGTCCCAAGGCTGACCTTCAAGCTTAAGCATGCTTGCAGTTCTTCTACGGGTCGATACAGACCAGATCACGTCATAGGCGACTGCAAAGCCGAACACGACTGTTGTGAAGGCATTGGCTGCGACGAGAGAAGAGTTTGGGAGCGTCATGATCGAATGTATTAAGGTAGCAATACTCTTATGGTCCGACGATCCTCGTTCGATCTGTTATTACAATTTTATTCAGCAAAGTTCGATACTAGTATGCGGTTTCAATGCCGAGCACCTACATGAAGTAGCAGCATTTAAAACAACGAGAATACAACGTCGAGAAGCTCTTTCGCAGCGCTGTGCGGATGTTGGAGCGCTGCTTTAATTAACCTCAGTGCTTCAGACATGTTTCCACGGATAGCGGCGTCAAGCTCCTGGTTGGGCCGGCCGCTGATGCGCTCCAGTCCAAGCTTGCGGAAGAAACAGCTAAGCGCAAGAGCGGAAGTATGTACCATGGATGTGGTGTTACTAGTAGAGCGTACTAGTAGAGCCCTTTCCCGGAGCACGTCTCGAGCTTGTTAGTTAAGCGACGGTAAGACGTTGGGCAGTATATGATCTAAGACGTGATGCACGCATGGAGAGTTGTTGACGAGTACTGTTTGGGGTACGGGGTCTGCGAACAAAGCCGGATCCAGTAGGCCGTTCAGTTCTAGCAAGGGCGAGACTCTATTAGGCAACGGCGCAGGGCCGAAGTCGAAGGACAGACTATCCTCAGGTTCAGGCAGTGGAGTTGGAAATAGGGATGCACTGTTTCCCACTAATTGCTCCTATGTTGCGGTGGTTACTAGAGGGTCAAAATCAGACCCGGAGGCAAGAACCTGTTCGAACCTTGCCAGGCTGTGGTCGTCCGAATAGAACTCTAGATCCTGAGGGGATGTACTGAAGATATCGCTTGTAGGTAAGTCTGCTACACCAGACGATAGCACAGCCTCGTGAGGAGCAGAATTCAAGAGTCGGTTACGGCGAGTGTCTAATAAAGTTCCATTAGTGTGATCGGCTGCGGGGTTTTCTAAGGCTTGACCGGCACCACTATTCCACACGTTGTTACTCTGATCTTCGTCAACGTCGGTCCGATGATTTAAAGCGTGGTTGTCCGAGGCCGAAGCTCTTAACAGCCGTCGCCGCCGCCGCCCCCGTCTGCGCTGGCTGTTAACTTCGGCCTTAATCTCCTCTGCTTTCTGCTTCTCCAGGGGGCCTCCGTCCATCCAGCTGGGCTTGGGTCCATAGCCGGCATATGCGAGGCGTAACGATAAGCATGTCGAGCACTCATGCGGTCTCTCGTCACACTTCTTTCGTCGGACGCCTGGTATGATATTGTGTAAGCCCTCTTTGGATCATGTCTGAGTGACCTACAACGCCCACTGTGGAGAGGCAAGCGCCAAGATACTTACGACATGTCTAACATCCTATAGTGCTGCGACTTCTGGTTATATTGCTTGGAGGGCTTCCAGAGGCGATTGTTTCGGCCATTCTCACAACACTAGAATATTATAAGACCCAGCTCTCTGCTGGCGACACGGACCATTTTGTCGACGTTTTACTCTGAGCGATCCTGTGGAAACTGCGACGAAGGGCTGAAAGTTTGCTCAAAAGCACTATGGAGTCTGGACCTAGTAGGTGCAGCTTCGTAGTGTAAGGTAGTATGGCCAATCAAAGAGTAGTAGCGCCCACAGGCCAACAGTTCCATGATTAGGCTAACAGCTAAGTCATGATCTCGCGGGGCACAACAGCTGGAAGAAAGCCAATGATTTTCCGAAACAGAGCTACAAACAGCGCAGGATTGAAAGGCGGGGCAGCAGCAGAACGAGTTTGTTCAGCTACCAGCCTTGTCGGTCTCCCTCGGCCTCGGGTTGGTCTGAGTGTCGTTTGAGTACCTAATTCCCTCGTAAGCTAATCACGCATTGAAGTAATGGGCGAGAGTGCCTGCACTTGCTACGGTGGACGAAGTGGGGGACAGGGGTAGTATACTTCTCAGCTCGGCTTCGGTAGGCTTCAACGTACACTTTGCGTCCGGACCAGTGATCATGGGCTCATCGTATCCTTTCGAGAGCAAGGCTAGATCTGCAGAGGGCCTTGCGTCCCGTACCTATGCACGTGAGAGGGGCACACACACACACACACCAACTGCATGCATACATGTGCAACTCCTTCGGGATCCGGATGCTCTTTTAGTCGCTTATTAGGGCTGTCGAAAATGTTTGTTACTGTCTTTGTGAAGCGACAATACAGTGGCAGCACTCATGAATTTCTGGCGGCTAGTAATTGGAGCTATCACCTACTGACCCTAATAGACGACAAACAGAAGGTGAGGTTGAAAATACTGAGTTCAAGGCCAAGCTTAGATCGTCTTAGCGTGGGCTCCAAGATAGGAAAGTTTCCCGAGGGAGTCCGGTATGTAGGCCACTGGCGGCGCTGACTTCACCTCCTTTTGAATATCCCAAGAACAATCTATACCAAACATGTTCTATCGATAATGTCGACGTCAGTACTCGGTAAGCGCAGGCGGAGGACCTTGAAATCCTGCATTCCCTGTCATCGGCGAAAGAGGAAATGCGATAGGAAGTATCCGTGTACTATGGCAAGAGTATATAACACATCCCCTTGGGAGCATGGCTGACACACTCTCAGTGTACTGCTTGCGAGTACAATTGTATGTATGAAAGCAATAACAGCAATGGCATCGACACGAGCGAGCCAAAGACTGACCCCCCGGACATTGCTTTAAATGCCGTCAAGCCTACTCGTTCTCCGATGCCAGTTAAGCCCATCGATTCACGCATTGATTCTGGGTCGGCGGACCGTGTTAGCTTAGACGACCACAGCACTACATACGCGCGATCATCAACGGCCAGGATCTTCCCACATATCCTCAGCAGGAACCTAGGCTCTTCCGACGCCAACAACACTGCTTCCCATTCGTTCGCCTACAATTTCGGAACTCGTCCAGAAGAAGCATCCCTTAACTATGGTCTACTAAGCGATCTCATCTCTAAAGAAGATCTCGCATCATATTCTAGCGTATACTTCGCGAAACTCAGTGCAGTTGGCGATTTCATCGATCCGAGAATCTACACCCAGAGATGCAAGGACTATTACCAGGATGATGTAATTACCACCGCCAGCACCTCTTTCATCTTCGGCGCCGTAGCTGCTGGTATCGCCGCTCTCGGCTCATTCTTGTCACCCACCAAGCACTCGTGCGAGGCTGATCTCGTCCAGTATGCAAAATCCATACTCGATGACCCGCCTCCAAGCAAGTTGGGTGTTGATATAGCATATGCTCTTCGAGTGTTCTTCTTGCGTGCCACAGCCCGCCCGACTAAAGCTTGGATTGCATCGTGCACTGCCTTACATCTATGTGAGGCTGTTAGTTTACATGAAGAGGAGAGTATCAAGAAGATGGCAGCTGCCGCGGGAGCAGCCCAACTAGGGCATGATGAAGATCATTTACGCCGCATTTTCTAGATCACGTGGGCGGGTTACACCTTGCTCTCCTATGAGTATAATCGTTCTCCTGTGTTCTTTCGAACGGTCACTACTCGAGACATTATACCAGCGACTGGGTCCGTTGCCGACCAATTCGTGCGCATAGCGCAGATCATTCCTGGTCCCAACTCACCTTTGAAACTTACAAGTCAGCCTAGAACTGAGACAGAGGAACTGTTTGAGCGTCTTATAGCATTGCAAAAGATCAATCTCAGCGATCCACTCCTACTCATCACCAGAGCAGACCTAGCGTTTTGCTTCTATCGACGAGCTTATCAGCTGAGAATGGGCATTTCCGACGATTTCGTTCAGCTTGTCATAGACAATGGCAATGTCGCCGTGGACGCTGGAGCACAGCTCAGCAAGGTGGCCTTCTTCTGGAACATCATAGGCAGTGTCTTCCACTACGCTTGCATCCTCTTAGCAATTGACACGCCCAAGGCTTCAGCACAGATCCCGTCTGCTTTCAAAGCTCTACAGAACCTCGTCATGGCTGCTGACACAAAGTCAACCCGCGATGCGTTCTCTATGATCCAACATTTGCTCGATCTTCACTTGGAAAGGAAACGAAAGGAGTTTGCACAATTGGAACCAGTACATTCCAGCTATCAATCTATTCAGGCGCAACCAGAGCAGCCTGACGCCGATGCCATTCTCAACTTGCCCGAGTTCGGCTACGGGATCGACTGGGATCAGTTCCTCCTGGAGCCGTACCTACCCCTTCTTGGCAGTGAGGTCCAAATTTGAGGGTGGTAAGCACTCATCAGCGACAAGATCACTTGTGCGCCATGAAACCTCTCTCCCAAAATATTGGACCGAGCAGAGACAAAATCAACCGAACATTCGAAAGACGTTACAAAATATACACAAAATCTAAGCTTTACTGGAAACATCCTTCGAAGGTGGCTCAGATCGAAACCGCTCAACGAAAACAAACACCAATGCCAAAAGTACACCCAAGCCAGCAAGCCTAACACCCAAGTACAGCGCACCTCGCGTAGCTATTAAAGTGTGCTGGCTATCCTTGTTAAGCTGCGAATTCACCGTCCTAGCCACACCTAGGCCGATCGAAATGGAATAGTTGACAAAGGTGTTAACGAGGCTGGCCGCAAGCCCTTGCGACTCTCTCGGCATCGCTCTGCTCAGGATGATGGTAGGTGCAGGAAACGACATGTCCATACCCCAGGGGAGAATGAGGACCCCGACGAATGTCTGCGCCTAGTAGATTTGTTTGACGGGCTAGGTTGCGAGGAGGAGACCGCCAGCTAGGAAGAAAGACAGGGCCAGGGTTATCACCGTCGACGCTTTGAGTTTAGAGATGGCGAGACTAGTGGTGATTGCTGCGCATAGTCCTAATACAGCAGCGGGAGAGAACTGGGCCGAAGTGAGTAGAGGACTCAAGCCTCGCTAGACCTCGAGGAAGTCTAGTGAGTAATAAGCAAAGATGCCGATGCTAGACCACCCAGCGGCGATGCAGGCGAGTGTGAAAAGCGAGTCGACTTTCAGGACACCGAAAGGAACTAGTGGATGGCTCACTTTCTTCTCGATAATGACGAAGGCGATGAAGAGGAGAATGCCGACGATGAGGAGGGTGTATGTGTAAGGTGTCTGCCAGCCAACGACCGGGCCTTGATTCCAAGCGAAGTTGAAGAGGACGAGGTTTCATACGCCGGTGATAGAACCGAAAGTATCGATGCGCTGCTAGATGCTGCATGTCTCAACCTTCTTTGGGTCTTTCGACTGGGAGGTCGCGGGTACAATAAGGAAACCGAGAACGGCGGCCAGCAGCAGACAAATGCACATTATCCAGAAAGCCCACGGCCACCACACCCTCTTAGAAAGCAGACTGGCGAAGACACTGCCTAGGACAAATCCTCCCGGAGCTGTGCAACTGCGGATCAAGGTCAGCGTCAATCCTCTCGGACAAAACCGTTTCCAACAACTAACTTACCCAAAAAGCGAGAACGCAATATTCTGCGTCATCCCCGGCTCATACGCTCGAGAAATAATAGCATTAGCATTAGGCAGCATAAACGCTGGACCAATACCCTGCATGGCACGACTGAAGGCGAAGAAGATAGGTCCGCTGTACACGGCGAAACCAGCGAGCAGACTCCACAGACTAAACCAGAGGAAGCCGCCGACGAAGAAGCGCTTGTAGCCGAAGACGTCGCCTAGTAGGGTATTAGCCACGTTGTCTTGAACAACTCATGTATGTATTGTCTTCTTACCAAGGCGTCCGGCGATTAGGATGAACGTCCCAACCGTCAGCGAATAGCCCGCTGCAAACCATGAAAGTGTACCAGGGTCGTTCTCGATACCGAAGCTCTTTGCGATGATTCGTTGCGGAAGAATGGACATAGCCAGTCCAGCCTGTGTGAAGAGCTGTGCAGAGCAAAGCACAGCGAGAAAAAAGATCTCTCTGCCCAATGATCGTGGGGACTTCGCACCAGGCTGGACGGTCTCAACCTGGCTACCGCTGTGGCTGCTGCTGGACAAGGATCCGTTTCGATCATTTGCGATGGGCTCTGTCTTGGTATCGTCTATCTCGCCAGGTCCCATGTTATCCCTTTCTTGCAAAGCCATGCTCGTAGTAGATGGATGGAAGCGGAGAGTGTCGTCGATAAGCGTTGGATGTCTCAGTGTGGAACATTTACAAGAGCTGTTGAGAAATCAGGACTATATACGACAGACCCGAATCCCTCACCAGATCCACGGAGTATGTTATAGTCGCTGATTTCTAAAGTCTTGTCGTCACTGTGGCTTCGCACGTAGCGTTTTTAGTGAATCTTAGGGGCTGTTGCGGCGTTAAGGATGACAAAGTGTGCGGCTGATGCGGCGATATCTTCTCATCCCGCGGCATCTGCGGACAATGGCCGGGGATGTGTAGAGAGGAAGTCTTGCGAGTAGGATATATAAAACATCGGTTGGAGAGCCCTTCATCCAGAGGGTGACAAAAAGCAGCAGTATTCCAAGGGTTTAGCGAGTGTCGGTGTCATCAACTCGGAATATCTCCATCCTCGAACCAAACGAACCGAACCAAGCATGGCCAAATACGCAAAAGACCAGCCATCAGGCTTCGAGAACGCGATCAAAAGAATCGCCATCGTCGGCGTAAGTCAACAACTCCACAAGATCAAACCAACCATCCTAACCCTTCTCACCAGGCCGGAGGCACAGTCGGCGCCTTCATAACCGCCGCCCTCTCCAACACCCCCAACCACACCCTCACAGCGCTCACCCGCCCGGGCAGCACCGCCGCCCTCCCCTCTCACATCAAAACTTTCTCAGTAGACTACACCTCCCCCACGTCCCTCACAACCGCCCTCCAAAACCAGCAACTCCTAATCATAACCCTCTCTCCGACCGCCCCACGAGACACACACAGCAAACTGGTTCAAGCGGCCGCTCGCGCCGGCGTGAAATACATAATCCCGAACGGCTACGGGCCGGATATCGAGAACACGAAACACGGGGAGGACATCCTCCTCGGCGCTGTGGCGCGGGCGCAGAGGGAGGAGGTGGAGAGGTTGGGCATGCAGTGGGTGGAGGTGTGTTGTGGGTTTTTCTACGATTATAGTCTCGCGGGAGGGGAGGCGAGGTTTGGGTTCGACTTTGAGAAACGCTCGCTGACTGTGTATGATGATGGAAATACGAAGATCTCCACGTCGACGCTGTCGCAAGTCGGACGCGCGGTGGCGAAGATGTTGAGTTTGAAGATTTTGCCGAAGGATGAGGATGATGGGAGTTTGACGCTTTCGAGATTTCTGAACAACGGGGTCTTCTTCAACAGCTTCGTCGTCAGTCAGAACGATATGTTCAGGAGCGTGAAACGGGTCACTGGAACGACTGACGCCGACTGGACGATCACCTACGAAGACACGCGAACCCGCTACGAGCAAGGCCTCGCGCTAGTGAAGCAGGGCAATATGTCTGGATTCGGGAAGTTGCTCTACTCGAGGTCCTTCTTCCCTGATGATCCGAGCGATATGTCGGCCAAGTCGCAGAATGAATTGCTGGGTTTGCCAAAGGAGGACTTAGATGAGGCGACCAGGGGTGGTATTGAAATGGTCAAGGCTTTAAATGCTCGTCCGGAGCGGATGGCGTCGTAGGCAGGAACAGTTTCAGTGCCGACGATACTCTATACGATGACCACGGGGATGATGTATCATAGTACTCCGCTCATGAGTTGCGCGAATCAAAAAGCATAATATTTAGGAGACGATCGTGAAGCATCGTGCTTTCATTTCTTATTCGAGTTCATGTGAAAAGAGGAGTAGCAGCATCCTGGGTATCAACAAAGAACAACAAGCATACGCCATGCCGCATCTTCTAGCCCAATGCACCCAACCCGTAGCCTCACGCTATGCAACGCCACGAAATGTTGACTCATGCAGACAACGCCTTTGTCATCCACTTCAACGCCCTGTCCGCTCAACGATGCTTGTATTTCTGGTTCAAAGAGTTAGCATCCAATCAAGTGTCACGAAGGGATGAGGATGGAACTGACGTCTTCGACTCTCCTCAAGTTGTCACGGTCAACCGCATTGCCAACGCCAAGAAGCGTCGTACCAACGGCTCTGGAAGCACCGATGACTGGCCGAAGAATCACAGTCGGAGCGTGTCTCGCGACCGCGCCGGCAGCACTGCCGGGTGTTCGACTCTCCAAGAATTCGCCTTGCACAGCAATCAAGGCATCGCGAGCGGTGAGAAGGTCATGCTCAAGATACTTTCTCGCAGATCGCAAGCCGGACATGAGACCGACAGGCTGGCTGGCGTAGGCAGAGACGGCAGGCTTCTCGGTCTCTTCAGTGTCGGAGATGTCGTGCCAGTTGTCCTGAGAAGAGATACGGCGACTTCCAGCACCAGGACGAGATGAGGAAGGTTCGGTGGGGTTGAGAAATTCTTCGGCGTTGGAGAGGAAAGTCTGCGTGCCCAACGCCACCTTCGCTCCAAGTCTGGCCAGCTCACTCGTGGTAGTCTTTCCAAAGTGATAGGCGCCTTTCTGGATGCTTCGAACCAATCTGCCGTCTTTCTTGTACTCTTTGATGGGAATGGTCACGACTTCGCTAAGGCCAACGCCGACATTGACCACGTTTCTGAAAGCCGCCACTCCAGATATGACACGAGGCAGCTGGTTGTTGATGACATCCGGGGTCCAAAGTCCGTCCAGCTTGGGGTGCAGCTGATCAAACCCGCCTACTCCATGCACAATAGCATGGCGCAAGAGGATGTTGGCTCCCTCCAGCGTCACGACATTCATCAGTTCGGAAGTCTTGCCTGCTCGAAGAGCCATCCAATCCAGGTTCTTGGGCTTGTAATCCAGGCGAAGCTCTACGTCCTCCACTTCGATTCGAGAGATGTAAGGCTTATCCTCCTCTGATGCTTCCGATTCAGGCACCGTCTCATCCTTGAACGCGAAGAAGCGAAGCATGAATTGCTCGGCGTCCTGATCCACATGCAATCTCAACGGCAGGGCGGTGACATGGAGCATGATGTCGGTTGCAGCGTGGCTTCGGATCGTTCTGACATTGTCCAGTTTGATGTGAAACATCGGCTTGGACATCTCCCGCATGCTGGGCTCGTCTCGGTGGGTGAGAAACTTTCGCCAGGTCGAGCTCGGCATTCGGTCGTAGATCTCGAAGTCCTGCAGGCGGATGTCGAGGGAACTAACAACTTCACCGCCTGGAGGCAGTACTACGACATCTACAGCCATGCCTTTGAGCTCGAAGGAGAGCTTGTGACTCGTACCGCGACCCAGCTTAAGCCGCTTGCGCTGTCGTCTCGTAGGTTGGCCGGCGCCAGAGTAGGTTGTCGACGGTCTGGAGAGTGCGGAAGCGGGCACGCTGGCAGTCTCACTAACATCCTCGTTGATGGTGTGATTAATACGTCGTCTGAGCTCTTCTGCGTCGTGGTCCCCAGGAATTCCGATGTAGATGGAGTTGAAAAGGACGTCGCCAATGACCGATCCATCATCATCTGGGTCCTGTCGAGATTGCCGACGTCGAGCTCTGCGTTCCTCTGCTTTCTGCTCAACCTGCTCGACCACTTCCGCAATGCCATCACGCGTGCGTTGCCAGTCATAGCCATCGTGCAAGTGCCACATGATGTTAGAGTCTCGAAGCTTCAATCTGAAGGGAACCTTGGGTGGAGCTTTGCCCTTCTGGGAGCGGTCGCCGATGTATGGGGCATTGAAGCGATTGCCATCTCCCAATGCCTGCTGTCCGCTCAATGCATCGTAACCCAGATCCTCGATCTCATACAAGCCAAGATCGACGGGCTCCTCGCTCAATGCTGGCTTGCATTGTCTGCTGAGGTCTCTGACCAACGCTGCGTCGCCCATTCGAGCCACGGGTGCTTCGGCCATCTCGAACGGATCCTCTTCCAACAGGCTCTCAGCGGTCTCGGGGTAATCTTCGCCGATTGTGCTTTCGTTCTCTGCATCAGCATCCATGCCGAATATGCCACTTCCCGGACCGTACAGGCTGCCAGCCATTTGTGAATGGTAAAGATCCTCGTCCAATGTCGAGGCAGCAATGCTCATCGAAGGCGACTGGGGATCATCATCAACAAGCGGATTGTCGGCATCGTACAGCACTGAAGGTGGGCGATGGTCTTCCTGCGGGACCGCCAGAGGCTCTCCAGTGAAAGATTTCATCAGATCTTCGATTTGCATCGGCTCGGTGAGGTATTTGGGCTCTTTGCTGGGCGGCGTCGGTGGTGCCAGAGCACCCAGAGTCGCGAAGAGCGTCTGCGTTGAATCTGCACAGGTTTCCAGCAGGAGCAGATTGACACTGACTCCAACTTCGATCGTCTTCGAGGTCACTTCGTCGTCATCTTCTTTAGCTTCGAACTTGACTTTCGCGGCTCGCATTGTGCCAATTGACACAAAATTGCGTTCCGTCAACGCCTTTGCGACGTTGCTCGACTGGTCTATCGGCACTGGTCCACGTGAGGCAGGATCCACGGGGCCCTCTACGACCTGTTCTGTGATGAAAAGCGATGCCTGTCGCAACTCCAGATTGACTACCATCGAGTCCGACGGCGGCACCGCAGTCGACAGCTGCGCATCAGACAGGACCAGTATGGCTTTGGATAGCAGCTTTTGGGGCGTCAGACCAATCGCCGAGTCGTGCACAAGGATGTCGATCTGCATCTTCTTTGCAGTAGCAGTGGATGACGGTACAGCTTCGTTCAGCGCCAGATTTGCAACCGACTGTGCCAAGTGTGCCGCGATTTCGGTGGGCTCCTTCTCCTCGTCCATGCTCGTCAGGTCCAAGATCACCGGGACACTGTACTCCAGAGCGAGATTGAACAGCTTGACCTTGATCGCGTCATCTCCAAGCATTCTGGCCATGATGACGGGCAGATTGTCGGCACCAGCGAGTGGTACAAAAGGGTGGATCAGGGTTGGACCGCCCAGTTGGCTGGCATCAACTGATCCAATCGATAATGCGAGCAGTGGTGGAACTCCGACATGAGCAAGCTGCAGTACTTTGACAAATATCTGCGCCTGCCCGAAGCGCTCGTTGACTGGCAATCGAGCCTCAATTGTTCCGAGCCGAACGAGTGTAAGAAGGCCTGGACGCTCGTCCTCTGGCAGGTACTTGGCCACTGCAGATAGCTTGTTGAGATCCTTTTCGAGTGCAGATAGAGTTGATACGAAGCCCCAGTTATCTATCCTGATCTTGGTGTCATCAGCCATGAGCCGAAGAAGTGCTCCTTTGCGTCGCTGGCGCAGTAAAGTGTCCAGCAAGATGTCCTCGTCGTTGTCGTACTTGTCTCTGGATGGTGTAAGCAGTGACAGCAGTCGCTCGAGATCCGTGTCCACCGGCTGGTTCAAGTATTCCACTCGAATTCCAGCAAGGTCGATTGTCGCAGGGGAAGAAGTGTGGTCGTCGATGAATGGCCCTTGCAGCAGGATATGGTCTACGGTTGTCCTCAATCCACCTTCGCGGTAAATAGCCTTCACGGTCCCCGTCTTTGCCATCAGTGAGCAACGCGGGCCGCGTAGATGTACCACCACACCACCGAGTCTGCCGTTGAGCTTGATTTCAGGATCAGAACTTGGAGTCTCTGCCTCGCCAGCGAATCGTACACCTCTCGATGGAGGCTTGGATGCCACTGGAGAGTTCGTTCCACTCTCAGACATGACTGAACTACCCAGCTCCACCATGCCGCTGAGACCACCAAACGATCCAAAGGTGTCGTCAATCAGTGCAAGATCGATTGCCAACTGAATCTGAGCAGTCTGTAGATGCGCCTCCGTGACTGCTCGCTTTTTGATGTCGAACCTGTTCTTCGACACGCGGACCGAAATTGCCGATTCGTCCTTCGAGTTCACCTGTGATGCGCTGACGTTGCCGGGTTCAACGCATAAGAAATCTGCACCGCCCATGAGGATCTTGAGGGTTTGTGTATGAAGACTGGTTGCCTCAGCTTGTCTGAAGACGATGTGGTCCACGACGATGTCGATAGTGCCATGGCGATCAAGAGGCAAGTCCTTCAACTTTGCAGGGTGGTCCAGACGTTCGAACATGAGAATCTGCAGGCGGGATACTTGGATCGAACATTCAGGATTGGTCTTAGTGGTCGTGTCCGACTTAGACGAAGGTTTCGCCTTCAGAGAAGCTTCCACTGCAGCCGCGGCCTTCGTGGACAATGCATGTAGCAGTCGGCCCGTCGGAATGTCGATCTGAGCAGATAGTGTGCCCAGTGAGACTTCGACACTATCCTCAGCGTTGGAAGTGCTAAGCTCCTCTCGTGATGGGAACAACACGCTCTGTGAGGTGGTGTAGACAGAATTCGTACCACGCCTCCGCGAGCCACTCATCTCCGCATATGCAGAGAATGCGCCAGGGGTACCGAAACCAAAGTGACTGGATTTCGCTCGAGGATCGTTTGGTGCCACAGCTGGACCTTCATCGACCGGCTGCTGGCCTGTGGGAGTCGATATGGACACTCTATCCAGGAAAAGCAATTCTCTAGATGCCATAGACTGTGATGGTCCTCCTGCAGCGGCAGGTGGGTCCGCAAAGGCAGGTGTCTGCGCTCGCGGCGTCGCATTGCCAGACGGCAGGTTGGAAGTCGTCGTGTCTTTGGAGGAGATGTTTCCATCCAACTTGGTGATGTCTTCAGGCACTGGCTTGCGTGCGGCATCGGGAGAATCCGAACGCTCACTTTGTACATCTGATGCCCAGCCTCCAGGCATCTTCATCTGAGGACTGCCCGTCATGGCGCTCATGTACATGCTTTGTGCTTCTTCATGGCTGAAAACCCTCGACTCCAGCATCTCGTCACTTGGAGAGTCTTGACGTCCAGGTGGGATTTGCAGCTGCTCAGCATTTGCACGACTCTGCTCCAGGGCGTCTCGCTTGTTGTCCGTAATCTCGTGGCTTGAAGAGGCGAGTACTTGAGCGAGAGGCTCGTATACTCTGTGCTGACTCTGCTCAAGGTTTGGCCAGGATCCCGGACCTGTTTGCAAGCGGTGCCGCTGTGGGCTCTCATCAAATCTTGGCCAAGACCCAGGCGACTGCAAGGTGCGATCGTATGGTGAGACAGGGCGACGGAGTCGTGAAGCAAATGGACTGGTTCCACGGGACGAGTGCGCGGTGGGCTCTGGGTGAATCAACAGCGACTCTGGCAGGTCCTCTTCGCTGGCCATCGATTTCCACAAGTCTTCTGCCGGGGCGCTGGTGTTGCTTCTACGTGAGCCCCAGCTGATGTTGTCGTCGCCAGGGCGGATATCAAGAGCCGAAAACGACGGGTCTCCATGATCTGCGGCATTGTCATCGCTCCTAGCGTCTGCAAAACGGTCAGCATCCATCGTCGCTGTGGAATCTTTCAACGACGACGCAGGCGGTGGCAGTGGCAAAGATGGCGACATGGCATGGCTGGGCGACCTGGAGCTGGTAGATGAGTAAGAACGGTCAGTCAGCGTAGAGGCCGTTGGCCTCATTGAAGCCTGGATGGCGTCGAAGGCTCCAAGATCAGATGCAGGGCTCCTTCCGGGCGATTTGCTGTCCGTTCTCGACGTTTGTGATGGCAAATCCGACAGCTCGGCCAGAAAAGTGTCGTCGGATAAGATGTCGAGGGAGATGTCTTGCAAAGACACGGTTCTCTTTTGATGGACGACAAGTCCAACTTCCGTAGATTGCACCTTGTCGACCGTAGCACCTCCCACATTCAGCTCCAACGCAACAGGGACGCTGTCTCTGACCTCATTCTGGATCTCGGTCTCGATCTTGAGGTGCACATTGCGGACTTCCACCTTGATTCGATCCACCAAGCCCTGCAGGAAGCCGCTCAAGAAGCCAGGCACTCCAATGCCCACTCCAGTGCCAACGTCATCGCTCGCACTGCTCTCGCTGACGAACGACTCTTCCACGCCACCAGCGCTGGCTGCGACGACAGCTTCCAGCTCTTCACGCTCTTTCACTGGCTCCTCCTTCAAAAAAGACTTTGCCACCTCTTGTGTTGTTGGAATGTGCAACTCTTCCTCGGAATCTGACAGACCTCCTGGGTCATATGGCGGTGGTGAAGGTATCCGCCGGTTCGTCTTGCGGTGCTGCGGCGCACGGGCAGTATTTGGTGACCTCGCACGCTGCTTTCCGTGTTGCTGGTTCGAAACAGCCTCCTCTTCCAAATGAGCCACAATCTCCACCCCATCTACTTCGACCACGATGCTAGACTGGTAGAAATCGGCGGGGATGGTGAGGCGGAGTGACAGCACGCGGGCCGTCTCGAGACGCAGGCACGGCGGGAGTTGGGCGAGTTTGGTGATGCGCTTGATGTTCAGGCCGACATCCTTCAGGTCGATGACGTTGGTCTTGCCGATGGTGATGTCGAGGTTGTCGATGTCGATCGCCTTGTCCTCGAGCAGTCCGGTCTTGGACAGGCCATAGCGCAGGCCGTAGCCCAGCACCTTCTTCTGCCACCACGACATGTCTGACTGCCGAATACAGAATCTTGCCACAGCCTAGCGTCTTGGCTATCGCGGTGAAGTGAATGTTTGTGCTTTGGTCTGCCCCGGCAACAAGTCCAGGCCGACTCTCGGTATCGCGTGCCTCAGGCAGCTGGTTGTTCGGTGGTGCATGGCCGTCTAGTGTCGCAGCATCGTCGGGTACTTAGTCGTAGGTGGATCTGGTATTTTGTAGGCGGAAAGGGGTGCAAAGGGAGCGACGCAGGTGGGGGGGAAGGAAATCGCCCAAGAGGCGGTGGTGGGCTGCGGTGGTGGGCGGCGGTGGTTGAGAGAGAGATGGACGACGTGCGGCGTGATGGCTAACATGTGACTCCATCGTCGACATCCCTGCACCGCGGGGCAAGCGACGGCTCGTCCCGCTCTAGCGCCGCCGATCTCCCCAAGATCTTTCGCCGACTTCACCTCGTTAGCAACATCCACAACGCCCTACAACTCCATCGCCGCTGCCATTCCTTCTACTCCCTGATCACATGATTGGGGCATCAAGTGAATATATCTGCATTGCACCCTGGCTCACTTCATCCACAGGGCAGCCGTACGGTGTCTGCAGCAGGCTAGCACGGCCAAGTCCGCCGAGACGGTAGTAAACAAGACTATCTCTTAACCTATCTTCGCTCTTTCCACTCCTCTATCTACTCTCAAACTCGATCAAAATGGCCTCCTCACAGCCAGGCCCAGTGTCAGATGAAGAGTACGCCAAGCAGGAAGGCGTTCCGAGCTACGACCAGCCCTTCATCCAGAAGTACCTCGATGGGAGAGATGCTTTGATCGCACAGGAAAAGGCCCAACGCTACGATCATGCTTTCAGGGAAACACTCTCGCCAATGGCTGCCGAGGCGTCTACTATCGTTTCGGCCATTCGATACGAAGAGCAGCAGACTCTCTGGCAGCCGAGCGTGGAGGACGAATTGGCCATTTCGACCAAAGGCAACATCTACCCCGGCATGATGTTCACTCTCGCCAAGGAGCGCATGGAGAAGAGCAAACTCTGGCAAATTGTCAAGAAGATGCCAAAGGGGGCGTTGCTGCATTGTCACTTGGATGCTACTGGCGACATGGACTGGCTGATTGAGACCGCTTTTGCCACTCCCGGTATCTGCATTCTATCAGAGCAACCTCTCGACACGGCTGAGCGGCGTACCAAATCACTCTTCAAATTCCGCTTCACCAAGTCAGAATCAGTATCAGAAGGCCCATCAATCTGGTCAGAACCTTACAGATCCGACCACAGGATACCAATTGCCAAGGCCGCCGAAAGTTTCCCCGATGGTGGCAAAACTGGATTTATCAAATGGCTCAAGGACAGAATGACAATCACTGAACAAGAATCTATCTCCCACCACATGGGCCCCAACGACATCTGGGTCAAGTTCATCTCCTGCTTCGCCGTGGTAAAGACCTTCCACCGCTACGAACCCATCTTCCGCGCCTTCATCCGTCTCATTCTCAAATCCTTACACGAAGATGGCATCCGATGGGTCGATATCCGAACCGACTTTACCACACCCTACTTCTGCGAGGGCTCAGAGACGCCTGAAGACGGCAACTTCACCTTCCTCGAGCACCTTGAAGAGGAAATCGCCAAGTTCAAAGCATCGCCTGAAGGCAAAGGCTTCTGGGGTGCACGTGTGATCTGGACGACCATTCGGCATGGTGGCACTCGCCTAATTGTGGAAGACATGAAGGACTGCATCGACTGCAAGTGCGAGTTCCCTGAGCTCATCGGCGGCTACGATCTCGTAGGGCAAGAAGATCTCGGGCGTTCGCTTGTCGACCTCCTGCCAGAACTCTTCTGGTTCAAGAAGGCATGTGCGGAGTCCGGTGTCGACATCCCTTTCTTCTTCCACGCCGGTGAAACCCTGGGCGACGGCAATGACGTAGACGAGAACGTGTACGACGCCATCCTCCTCGGCACTCGCCGCATCGGCCATGGCATTACGCTCTACCGCCACCCTCTCCTCTGCGACATGGTCAAAGACAAGAAGATCCTCATCGAATCCTGCCCCGTCTCCAACGAAGTCCTGCGCTTCACCGGCAGCATCATGATGAACACTCTCCCTGCTCTCCTCGCAAAGGGCGTGCCCTGCAGTCTGTCCAACGACGACCCCGCCATCTTGGGCCAGGGCAGCAGCGGCATGAGTCATGATTTCTGGCAGTCACTCCAAGGTTGGGATAATCTCGGGCTTCCCGGTCTGGCGTCATTGGCAGAGAACAGTGTTCGATGGGCGAACTTCGAAAACTGCACGGCGAAAGAGTGGAACGCTGAAATCAAAGCCGGCGCATTTGGTGAAGGTATCAGGGCAGAGAGGATGAAAGAGTGGGCAAAAGAGTTTGAGACCTTCTGTGCGTGGATCGTCAAGGAGTATGGCGAGGCCAGGGAGGTGGAAGGCCTGGACTGATATGTTTTGGAAGATGGTCCGAAGGAGTGGGGGTAGTGGTATGTTGGCTTAGCGAGGTGTTGTGGTGAAATGAACAGGTCTTAACGCAGCAGATGAGAGATGGTGCGTCGTTCAACCGACTTGAGCGAAGTTTGACACAAACTTAGTAGCGTGATGAAAAAAGAGTGTCGCTGAATAGCTGTACCATTTTCTGATGTGACAGACGTCATCAGTTCAGCCGTATCGATCTGGCAGACTACAGACTACAGGCAATCCAAATTCTAATCGACCATGTCTTATTAGTGTGAACACAGCTGTGGGCATTGTGATGTTGTGGGAAGTTGAAATGTGCGTGTATTCTCCTCCGCGAGTGACCATGGCAACAATTTCGAACCCTCCCGAAGACCAAGATCCTTCTCAGTCTCAGATCACAAGATGGATATCACACCAAAACCACCTCGCGGCGCTCAAACGCGCCATCCCAATTCGAATTCGTCAGAGCGCGCTTATCAACATACACCTGCAAGATCCCCAACCTCTCGTAAGCGCCCTTCTTAGTCGGTGATATTCCCAAGACGAGTAAAGCGTATATAGTAAGCTTACGACCGGCAGCTACACCAACAATCATAAGATCAACCAGGGCCGAGAATGGGACGTCTGAGGATTGCGACGCCCGTGCCGCTGTAGTGACGGTGGCCTCCGTTCCGCTTTGAGCCACCTCGACCGCTGTTAAGCACGTATCTGGCACGAAGGCACATCTGTAGCGTTCCCAGCCCTCGTCTTGGACGAGGTACTCGCCTCCAGTCGTGACCTTGGAAAGAACACTGGACTTGAGGCGTGCGAAGAGACGGACGTGGCCGTCTGTTACTTCTCCGTACGGGTTCAGGCCCGGGGCATGACATTTCGCGTCGTGTGTCGTCAGGACATCGGACTCGAAGATGGATTTGCCGTCGATAGTATGCTCCAAGTAAGCGTACTTGGTCCAGTCGTCGACGGAAACCCAGGAGAACGATGGCCCGTAGTACTGCGATGGAGCGGGTCTAGGATCGTCGTTGTCGTGATTGACGTACCATGGAAGACCTAGTGGTAAGTCACCGAGCCACAGACCAGCCAAATACTGATCCTGGAGGTATTGCGCCACATCAGAGACGACTCCAGATAGAGCGGGGAGACGATCAGTCGCTCTGGTGAGTTTCATCTTCGCATAGGTATTGACTACCCGCAGTCGCCAGTCGGCGTATACATTTTCAGCGGAGTCTGGGTTTTGGAAAGGCCGGCCGGTGGAGAGATCGAGGGCCGAGCGATCGCTCAACCTTCGTAACATATCGATGTCAGCGTCGAAAAATTTCGGTAATAGAAGACCGATGAAGTCAATGCGAAGGCTACGTGAGGCTTCGTCAAAGACGAACGGAGTCAAGTTGTGCTCGCATTCGCACGAGACGACGGAATTGCATTCCCAGCGCATCTCGTCGTTGTTGAAGAATACACAGCGCCTCGCAAGCACTACTTCCTGGAGACACCATGCCCGTGATGCGGTATGGCCGGGTTTATGATCCATGTTCTTATAGATGGCAAACTCATGACAGTCACTCAGTTCGCCGGGCTGCGCGATTGGAAGTCCTGTGTACTCGAGTGGGCACTCTCCGAGAAACCCTGCGGCAGCCTGTGGCGAAGAATCTGCAACCACAACCACGGCGGCTTTCCTGTAGATGTTTCCCATCTTGGCAGACTCTCTCTCCCAATCCGAGACATCATCCTGTACGATACACAACACATCGATCCAGACATGTTCGACGCCAATGCCGCGGGCGCACATGACGGCGTCTTTGAAGGTCTGGGGCAGTGTTTCGAGGTCGATGTCGTTGTGTAAAGCGTTCAAGTTGGATCTCGTCGTCTTCATTAAGGTCTGGGTGCCCCAGCAATGCATGAGGGCAATATATGGATAAACTGTATCCGACGTGGTGTGAAGCCTCAAGTGGGAACTGTCGAGATTAGATCCAACATACAGTAGTCGCCCAGGACCTGCATGAGTTTCATCGAGGTCTTCTCGGCATCTCTGATCGACGTGCTGTGTTCTGCATTCGTGGAGCCAGTTACGAAGCCGATGGAAGCTTTCCGGGGCCTTGAAGCTGCGACGGTAACGAGGACCTGGAGTCATGGTTTTCCACGATTGAGAGGAGCCGATGTGAGGTCTGATGGTCGCATAAGTCTTAATCTTGGATAGACTGGACGATATATCAATACTAATTGTCTCGGGCGATATCGTTAACTCAAGCGGGGCAAACGTGCCCACATACGCAGAGCCCAGTGTCGTCAAGCCACGGTGGACGAGAGCGCAAAGTTGACAGCCATTTTGGGAAGATACGTGGAAGTCGGAGGTGAAGAGATCATGTCGTGATGTCCAGTAAGAAGGAGCCACACTTGTGGTGCCAATCGCGGCCTCGAAGTTGACGAGCTTGTCCGGTCGCTGATTGAAGCAGGTCGGGCACCCGCTGCGCGGTACGGACAGACGATAATCGGATCCACGAATAATGCCTAATCCTCCACTTGCGCGGATATCTGCCATTCTCGCGGCGGCATCCAGTCTCGTAAAGCCATGGCCAGAGTGTCCCTCGGAAGCAGTCTTGTAGCAGTCACCACAATAGGAAACGTCGGGCCAGGCAAGGCATTGATAGCGGACAGCGCGAGAGCGCTGTGAGCAATGGCTGCATGTGAAGACATTGGCCCGGAGTTCTGCAACTTCGACTTCGATGGTCTGGTCTGCAGCAGACGCATCAGGCTCGGCGGATCTGAGGGATTGTGCATTGGTGTCCATTGGGGCTCAAGACGTCCCGCTGTACAAAGACAGCGGATGGGCGACAAAACGGCTTCTCAAAGGACACATGCATCTTGGGCTGTAGAAGTCCGGCTTTGTAGAACCCCAATGAGGCTGAGGATGGAAAGCACGGCCCGCTTTGTGTAACACTCACTGACCCTCGTCGTTTCGCTCAAAGTAGTGGCACATGATCATGAATGGCGTGGCAGGTACACGCCAGGGAGTTCAGTGAGGCTGTGAATCGTCCTGCATATTCCCTGGTGGGCTGACGATAGATATGGATGGTGTCTGACTTGGAGGTAGACGGGGAACGTTCACTCGAGAGAAGGTCCGAGCCAAGCATTCCGGCCCGCGCCGCTCCCCGCGCGTCCGTGCTTTCTAAATCTCCGTCAAAACTCGACTCACACCTCCAACTTCTCTTCCTCTCTCCCAAGCGCCGTCCTCACGAAAGCCGCGTTTCTTTGCTCACACACAGACAAGTCCTCGCACTTCGTCCACCTCTTGGCAAATGAGAAATTCGGAGTAATCTTCAACCAACCTGCACCGTCACCTCCTCTTCGGGAGCTCTGACACTCTGCCCGTGAGGGCCTGCCGTGACCCCCACGGCTGCACTTGGCATCAGAAATCTCAGCAACCGCACCGCTCGCATCACGTGCCTCTTCGGGGGTACTGTGCGGCTGGGCGGGACGGCACTGCTATGGGAGCCGGTGCGAAGATGGTGTGTTCATACACGACACTTCAGTGCAATACGCGGCGTATCTGCAGCTTCCTGCGCCTTCCTCGCTCATTTGCTTCGGCGGTGGGTGAGGGGGTGCGGGGAGCGAGGGTATCATTCGATTCCGATTACTCTTGTGAGGACGGCGCTTCACTCTTTTTTCTTCTCAGGTGAGTCTAGAATCAACTTTGGGAGGTTCGAGGATACTGCTAATCAAGTGCTTTTCGCTTTGCTGCGGCATGGGCATCTCGCCACTTCATGACCCTCTTCCTCTCGATCACTCCCTCAACACTGGCATCTCGCTCTTCGACTTGCTCTGCGTACTTTCCAGCGTGTACATAAGATCGGTCCGCATCGTGTACTTCACACCTTGCAAGACATCATCACCAGAATGGAGCAGATCCCGGTGCTGGAACAGCAGGATCCTTCCCGTCCTCGGCATCACATCGAGGTCGCGGTCTTTGTTCATCGTCACCGAGTGGAAGGTCGTGGCGCCGCCGGTCAGTCCCAACTTGGCAAACTTGGCTCTGTCCTTGGGGTCCATCTCCGCCAGCTCCTCCTCAGACGGCCCACCAGCGTTGTTCAGATACAGATGCAATGTAAAGTATGACCTCTCCTTCCGATCCGGTGTTTCATAACTCCCATCGCAATGCGGCCGAAAGTACTCTCCACCCACATACTTCAAGAACCTCATCCTCTCATTCGGCCGGGTCAACTTCCACACTTCACCTCTCTTCATCGGCCCATTCCCAAAGATCCTCGGCACATTCTCCAACCGCACAATCTCCTGCACTTCCGGCAGATGCTCAATCCGCTTCCAGACCTTCGTGGCGACGGTGGGCGAGTCCCAGATGATGCGACTGCAGTTGCGAGCGTCGGCGATGAGTTCCTGGCGGCCGTTGCCCATGTTGATCATTGCCCGCTCCCACTTGCCGTTGGAGCTGGCTTCGGCGCCTTGAAGGAGCTGGTCGCATTCGGCTGGACTGAGGACGTTTTCGAGGATGACGGCGTACAGGCCTTGGTATTCGGGGAGAGAAGTCTGGCTGAAGTCGATGCGGGAGACGGTGATGTCTGGGGCGGGTTTGGAGAGGAATTCCTCTGGGAGGAGAGTTTGAGAGACCATCGTGGCGGTGTTGGTATGGTGCTTCGTTCGTGGCATATGATTTTGATGCGTGAAGTTTTCAGCTGAATCTGAATTGGGAGGTCAGAGGTGGGAAATGGCGTTTGTTTGTTGATTTGTGTGTTGATTTCAATGCACTGGTGCCTGGTGGCTGAGCTGTTTCGCTTGGTGATGACTCAGGCCAAAAGTCGGAGGCGCAGCTTGAGGTGCTTCACCGGTCAGACATTCAAAGCCTCATGATTCACACCAACCTTGATCTAAGACCAGATCCGTATACTGCTGGACTCTGCTGGCACTGCTTGCGAGAGGTTTGGGCTTCTCTGTTGGCAGGTGTACCACCGGACTAATGCAAGGGCTGGAAGCTTATTCCATCTTCATGTGCGGATCCTTCCCACCGCAGCCATCCGTCGATCAAAGGTTTGGCGAATGAATGAACCCTTCAAATACCCTATTATACCTCCATCTACCGTGCTCTGCCGTCGACCCATGGTTCATGTGGAGACGACGCTCATCCTCATTGCGGCCTCGCATCAGACAGAGGAGGTAGCCTCACCCTACCCTTGCACAAAGCCCAAGCCCAGAGCACGTCAACAATTAGAACGTCGAAGAAGCTAAAGACCAGACTTCCTCCGAACACGATTGAGTGATACGTCCAGGCGTCGTCTGTTGTAATGCCGACATAAGACACAACAATGGCCCATGGCAGTACCCAAAGGAGATTGCTTATGAGAGATTGGTACAAGTACCAGCGCGGACGGCTCGACAGGAGAATAGTCGCCAGCTGTGTTGATAGAGCGTAGAAGATGTAGCACCAGTCAATGGTCTTCCACATCTTCTCCGTGATAAGCGACACGACCGTGGAGCCTGAGATGTAGAAGGCGAATCTCCTTGCACCGTAGAATGACAAGAAGAGGCAGAGTGGAACCTCCACGGCCAGAGCTATTGCACATGAGACGAAAGCCGGACGGCAGACTGATACTAGCTCTTTCACCGAAGCAGTTGGACGACGATTGCTTGCGCCTTTACTTCGCCGCCACGCGCCCCAGGCGTGGCCAACGAAAGCCAAAGATGTTGCCTCGAGTGCCTGAACTGGCACCATGACCAAGCCCCATCGTATCGTGGAGAACAGGCCCCAAGCTGTTGCATAGTTCGATCCCATGGCCACGATGCCGCTGACCAGCCACAGATACAGCGCATTGCGAACGGCAGACTCGGCGAATGTGAAAGCGCCAGGTCGGGCAAGCACTTTGAGTCCGAGAAGCGTTGGCCTCGCCATTTCAGAACTTCCGGCAATCGTCCTTGTTTTCCTGTTCACCGTCCATAAGAAGTACACTAAGCCCGCAGCGGATGCAGCCAGTCCACAAGCCAGTTGAGTTGCAGCTTGGGTGTTGACTGTCGGAGTGATGCCGTGCACGTGAAACTTGGATATCAGGATCATATCCAGCACGATATTGATGGCGAACTTCGCTGAACTGATGATCAGTGGGACGTCTGGCTGATCTAACGCTCGCGTCGCAGCTGCCACGGCCGTCTCGATAGCTGAAGAAAGTGCAGAGAATGCGGAGATTCGTACGTATGTGATCGAGGCATCTCGTACTTCAGCCGGTACGAATGCTGTGGCGAACTGCTCCGCAGCTGCGGTGAAGGTGATAGAGAGGATGAGCCCGAGGACACTTTGGAAGAGAATCAAGGTGTAAGATAAGCCATGTCGTTCGGCGAGGGTGCGATTGGACTTGTCCCCGATGATGTTCCACGCTGCTCTGGGGAGGCCTTCGTTGATGACTTCGGATACAACGCCCATATAAGTGTACGAGTCAGTCGTCACCACTAGAGAAGCGTCGATGTTGGCCACCCATAGCTTGCTTAGGGTTTGGTACAGCGCTGGCAAGATGAAAGCGCCGATGTTAAAGATCAGACTTCCATAGTAGTGAGAGCGGCTCAGCACCTTTCGTTTGTCTGGGTCCGCATTATGAGGCTGATGGTCCAGAACCTCCTGGCCGACTGCAGTCGTCTCAACCGTAGTATCATCTTTGGGCAGCATGGTGTAAAGGCGGCGCCAGAGGACATGGCGACGGAAGGCACGAAGCGCCTGGACGAGCATTTGTATGCCGGCGATGTCGCATTGCAGCAAACTGCAGCCAAGAAAATGGCAATGAGTGTTACGCCGACGTGCAGGTGGAGTGAAGAGGAGGCACGGCGATCGTCAACAAAGAGGAGACGAGGTCGGATGCAATGGCTCTTTCGGGCCTAGATCGAGAGCTATCTATCCGTACGGCTACTTGACTCTCCTCTTGGTCCGAGATCTCCCTCTTCCTGACCATCAACATCCGATTTTAGGTATCAATACGGCGAAGAGACGACATACGAGCTGCGAGGAGAAGGCTGTCTACAATATGTCGCTAGCAAAAGCTCACATCCGCATCGCCCGTCCAACAAACGACCTCGAGCCGATCAAGAAATTCTACTGCGAAGGCCTGGGTCTGAAGGTCCTATACGAGTTCTACGACCACGAGGGCTTTGATGGCATCATGCTGGGGTCGTCCACTGCTCCTTATCACTTCGAGTTCACAAGAAAGGCTGGACACGATGCTGGCCGTGCTCCGAGTGATGACAATCTGACTGTCTTTTACCTTCCGGATGAAGCGGAATGGAAGGCCGCTGTTGACCGCATGACCACTGCTGGGCATGCATCTGTGAAAGCTTTCAATCCGTACTGGGACCGATGCGGAAGGACATTTGAGGATGCTGATGGATATCGAATTGTGTTGTGCAAGATGGACTGGAAGAATCCCGACGTTTGATAGCATGAAGTTGGTTCGAACAGTCAACGCTTTTGCTCAGAACTCCTATCCATGCTGAGATGCTTCAACAAATCGCGAACGCCGTGTCCAATGCCTAGAGCGCTGATTTCTCAGTCAAGATCTCGTCTACTCCCAATACTTCTTGATCAGCTCATCCTGCACACCACTCCACCTCGCATACGCCGCCATTACCGCCGTCACGCCATTGAGGAGCGCACCGGTCGCACCTGGGAAGTACATTCCACCCAAGCTACCAATGACCGCAGTGTAAATCGGATTCGTGGGCAGGCAGTCCTTTCCAAGCTGTCCATCCCTTGCGAGCCCAAAGAGAATGTAAATGCTCTTCTCAAACCCTTCGTCTCCCGGTTCGACTCTGATCTTGAACTTTGCACCTTCTGGACCCGCTGAGAATCGATGGAGTGTGCCGATTGGGACGGTGAACGTTTCGCCTGGTGGGAGATGGAGAGGTTCAGCTTTTGGGTCGCTGCCGGTATAAAGCAGGAGATCGCCCTCAATGGCCGTGAAGATCTCTGCGAAGTTTTTGTGGTAGTGTAGCGGTGGACCGCCTCCTGGTACGCATGTTGCTTCTGCTTCAGCGTATTTGCCTTCGGTCTCGTAGCTGTATTTGATAAAGTCGCCGACTTCACCTGCGACTGGGTTTTCGATGATTCGTCGTGAAGGGTCTTTGACTCCTGGAGGAACGCTCATGGGAGTGTGTTGAGTGACGGTGGCAGTTGTAGCAGCCATTTCGACGTCAAAGGTCGTTGGTGTGCGAATGATTTGAACCTACAGGTATGCCGCCATGCTTACCCTTATACATCAGCTGTACCAAACCATTGCCCCCATGTCCTCCCACGCTACGGCCATGCTGTAGGGTTGCTCAATGTCGCCAAACACATGTCGATTACTCCGATAGTACAGCTGAGGCGATCCCCGAGCATCTCGACTTGCCTAAACAGCTCTAGGCTCTGAACTCAGCTCTTCGCATGTAAATGAGGGCTGCTTAGTACACAATAAGCGAAGAGCTCAAAATACGACGGCAACGCGGCAGCCACGCGAAGCTGTACCAATCTACCGATGGTGAACATTACACGCCGAAGTTTCTGTCCAATGTAGAGAAGTACCTGGAATTGTGGAACGCCACGAGACTCCTTCTGCTGTATTTTCTTTTAGGGTAGCGAGATCCTCTTCACACATCGCAGTCAAGGTGGCCAATGCTTTCGTTCGATCCTCTGGCCAGATTTGGTCAACTAAACCGCGAAGACAGTGGGCAGGACGCGAGTATTAGCGCGAGTGCAAAACGAGCCTCATTGCACTAAATGCACAAACTGCAGTCTCCCATAAGCAACACACGCGGCTGCCATGCGAAGAGCATGTGGCATTCACGCCTTGCCCTACCTTATACTTTCCACTCCTTGATGCTCGGTGGAGTCTGCTTGCGGTGGTATGTCCGTAACCTCTTGGTTGTGCAATTGGCCCCATAGATCGCTGACACAGCGCAGCCAGGAACATCTTGCTTTCATGTGCCCTGAACCCTCTCTTTCTGGCCCCATCTTTCAACTCGTGAGATCCGCTCGGTCCATTCTCCTCATTCAACATCACTTCGGAGCAGCACGGCCTTCATAACCCTCTCCTTTCACGACTTTTCCGTGACTGTCGCGTGTACGCTGCGCTGAGCCTTTGCCATCCTCTCGCGAGATCGTTCGGTGGCCATTGCATTGCAACTGGATTCCTGGGTATGGGTCACTTGCGAACAAGAGCGTTGTCTTACGACAATGGGAAACAGAGGCTTCGGCCACAGATCGAAAGTGAGATCTGTTGACCTTTTCACGAGGAAGCGCGAGGCAGTACGGCATACCAGAAAGGCCAGGGGACAAAACATTGATTACTCATGGGCGATCTCGGATCCTTCGCATTTCTCCCTTTCAGCCCCAACTCCCAAGTCCATTACTTACTATCGTAGAGCCACACCTCATGTTCCGACTTTGCGCGCAAACAACGGATATGAAGACATTGGAGATCGAAGGTTGAGCAGCCTAGTGGGCGTAACAGGGGCAAACGAATCTACGACGACCGCCGCCACCGCTGCCTCAATATCATACTGTTCGAGGCATAGCACTCGAGTCGAAACAGAGTCCAAAAACTTCCGAAACGCTCGAAGCCGAGACCACGGACGGCGAGTCGACATCTCATAATGATCCTGCAATGAACGGGAGACCAGTAAAAGTCGGCCTATGGTACGTAACCCTCTATCGTACAGGCGAGAGCGGGCGTTCGGACATATGCAAGCGTCAGTCTTCATTAGGAATGCACGATGCAGCTATAAGAAGGTAGGTTCTCTCCCAGTTCACGCCAATTCTCGCTCTTCCACATTGCACATTGTCGGACGCTTCAAAACATGGCTTCAAGCGTTTTCCTTGTCATATACCTCTCCCTTGGGGCACTGTTCCTGCAGCAAATTGCACAGGCCTTCTACAACGTCTTCTTCTCTCCATTACGCAAAATACCAGGTCCATGGTATGCTTCGATAACTGGGATACCAAAGCTATACAACGCTATCATAAGAAGAAAGCAATCTCGCTGGAGCCATGACATGCACAAGAAATACGGACAGTACGTACGCGTTGCGCCCGACGAGGTACTCATCGACGATGTGGTGGCATTCAGAGAAGTCCACAGGATGGGGACACATTTCCTCAAGACCAAGATCTACAAATTTCTCAATCCAACGCCGCCGGGTCAGCCACCCTACGGACTTTTCCAGGAAACAGATCCAGTCAGGCACTCCAACGTACGGAGAATGGTGTCAAGGGGATTTTCTTTGGGCTATCTCAGAACGAATTGGGAGGGGACAGTACACGAGAGAGTTAAGGCAGTGGTCGAAGGGATGAAGAAAGAAGCGGTTTCGAATCATGGTGAAGTCGACATCTACAAATGGTGGCCTCTGATGGCCGGAGACGTGATTTCAACGCTCATGTTCGGAGAATGTCCGCATGCTGTGGAACAAGGACTGGTAAGCTTTTTTTTTGGAGAAAAAGGCATAGACGTTGCTGACCAGACTCAAGGACGATGAATTGATTGCCGGCTACAAGTTGAACGACGCCGGTAATGGCTTTGCGTACAGCTTTCCTTACATCTATCACATCCTGAAATGGCTCCCCATCCCAAGCTTGAAAAGGGCTTGGGCAGGTAATCCAGTACTTATCGAGCGCGGAAAGAGAGCGGTCGAAAACAGCAGGGAAGTATCTCAAAAAGCCAACATTTTCGCCACAGTACTCGCCGAAGCAGAAAGGGACGACCCGACTTTGAGCGACTTCGAGATCGCCCTGAACGCTGGCGTGCTAGTCTTTGCAGGCACCGACACCACAGCGACGTCCCTGACATATCTCGTCTGGGCGGTTCTTTCGAACCCAAGCTTGATGCAGGACCTAGAGAACGAAGTGGCTCAGCTCCAGCCTCCTTACACAGACGAGAAACTCGAAAGCCTCCCCGTCTTGAACGCAGTCATCAAGGAGACTCTACGACTGTACGGTGCTGCACCCGCTCCCCTGCCGAGATATGTACCTCGCGAAGGCGCTGTGTTGGGGGGCTACTACTTCCCAGCTGGCACGACTGTCGCCACGCAGGCGTGGACACTTCACCGTAACCCAAAAGTGTTTGAGAATCCCGAAGTGTACGTACTTCGTGTGATTGGCTGTACTCTCACTGACCCGATCGAAGCTTCGACCACAAACGCTGGCTCGGCGGCCTCGCCTCAAGAGAAGAGGTCAAGGCCTCCTGGGCACCATATGGCGCCGGCTCGCGAATCTGCATCGGCATGCATCTTGCTGATATGGAACTCCGAATGGCAACGGCTGCTTTCTTCCGTGAGTTCAGAGGTGCGAAGCTGGCGGCTTCAACAACGCCTGAGAGTATGGAGGTTGACAACACCTTTTTGATTGAGCCGCACGGTCATGCTTGTAGGGTTGTGCTGCCGACAAAATGATTTTCAACGGGAGATGAACGGGTTCGAGTGGAGAGATTTTGATTTGATCCAGTCGTAAAGCCCTTCGAATTAGCGATGCATTCATCACACCCTCTCCCCGCTACTTTCTCGCCAGGAACTGACCAACAGCCCGCGATACACCGTAGACGTCCTCGAGAACATGCCAATGTCCCACATCAGGCAGACACTCCAACTCTGCGCGAGGCATAGCACGCACATATTTCTTCGCCAGATCAAGGGGCGAGATCTTGTCGTCCGTACCAGCAATGATCAGGCTAGGCATGTTGATTTTTTCCAAATTGATGATGATCTGCTTGGATAGTGCAAGGGCCATACAGCCCTTGGCGTACCCCTCGGGGTGCGTGGAGAGAAGGAATTGTCGTACCCCTGACATGGCAATGGGGAAGTGTGTCTGGGTCCTGGTGGAAGTCGCTGCTTTGGCAACCGCTTCGGCGAGCCCTGAGGCAGCCATGCCTTTATCTCGGGCGAGAACTGCTCGCTTCGTGAAGACATCAACCGCTGGGTCGGGGAATGGTGTTGGGCCAGGGCCAAGGAGGATTAGCTTCTGGACTTGAGCTGGATATGTTTCTGCGAAACGCATGGCGATGAGTCCACCCAGAGACCAGCCGGTAAGGGAGAAGGATGTGATTTTAAGTGCACTGACCAGTGCGGAGAGGTCAGCCACGTAGCTGTCCAAAGTCGCCGCTGAGTATGTCGATACGGGAGTGAGACCATGGCCTTCGAGGTCGTAGATTATGACCCGGTGTGTCTCTGCCAGCTTGGCTGTTTCGATCAGCGGCATGTAGTACTCCAAGCTGGCACCGAGACCGTGGATCAAGACTAGGGTGTCCGGTCCAGTCCCAATCTCACGGTAGTTGATCAGCCGTGCGTTGCCACAGTCGAGTAAGCCTGTCCCGCCACAAGTCCTATCCAGGTTGTATGTTGGGATTCTTGACGGCAAATTGCTGACTCGTGAAGGCGTAGGATTCTTTGAGGAAGGCGAAGCAATCCGATTTGAGAGTTTCCCGAGCCCACTGGCACTGACCTCGACTAGAGTAGTTGTTAGCCAATTGCTTGCAGGACTCCAACGTTGAAGATGGTGGCAACTCACCTAAATCGCCAGAACGAAGGAATTTTGGTGGATGAAACCCTGCGCCAACGCCATGCGGCGTACCAGTTGCAATGACATCGCCAGGTTGGAGAGTCATGCCGCTGGAGAGATGGCTGATGACTTTTGGAATAGATGCAATCAAGTCTGCGGTGGTTCCTTCTTGTCGCTTTTCGCCGTTGACATGGGTGGTGATCCGAATGTCGTGAGGGAATGCTCGTCGAGGCACAGCAACTGGCCCCTGAAAGTGATATGTCAGGGAAACGGTTATAAGTTGCTAGAAAATTAGTTCCATACCATGGGACAATAAGTATCTGGTGACTTCCCGAGGAAAAATTGCTTGAGGTCTTTTTGCTTCTCTCGCGCGGTGAAGTCTGCATGAGATAACTGTCAGCAGTGCAGCTCCTCCATACATCGAATCTCGTCCCATACCGTTGATGAGTGTATAACCCCAAACGTAATCCATTGCATTTGCCTCGTCAATGTTAAACCCTGTCTTGCCGATGATCACCCCAATCTCCCCTTCGTAGTCAATGCAGTCGGTGAATTGTGGGTGTGGGTAGATGTCATGCGTTGCAGAAACGATACTGGTGTTTCGTTTCGTGAACACGACAGGCATGGAAGCTGTAGAGATGTCAGTACGATCCAAGGAGAATAAAAGTGCCCTCGAAGTTCTTACCTGGATCGCTCGTGCTCCCACCCTCGTCATACTTGGATGCGGAAATCTCTTGGACGTGCTTTGTGTAGTTGTTTCCTATGCAAATCACATCTCGTTCCGGGAAGGGAGGTAAGATTTCAACCTCGTTCAATGCTACCTCTGCGCCAGAACCAATGTTTAAGTTCTCGTCACCGACTTCGAGGACCTCGTACATGTTGTTGACTGAGGCGCCAGAAGGCATCGTGAGCTGAGATATGCTGCAAGTGTCGAAGTTCAGATGGCCGATGCGTGGTCGTTGGAGAAGGTCTTTGTAAGATATGAGGTTGTAGACATTCGCTGCTACGATCGGTATAGATCGAGGAATGGCCGGCGCCGTTGCTGGTCCATCAACCTTGTGCAAGCGGCCGTTGATCATGATCACATTCAGCCTGTCGTGGTCTTGTAGAATCGATATATCATCCAGTGGGTTTCCGTCCACGAGGATGCAATCAGCGTAATAACCAGGTAAAATCTTCCCCAAGTCGTGCTCTTGCATAAACAGCTTTGCGATTCCGGCCGTGGCAGCGATGATAGACTCCATAGGGGTGAATCCTAGTAGCTTCACAAAGTGTTCCAAATCTCGTGCGTACGTTCCGTGCGGACACCACGCAAAGCCGTAATCACCGCCGGGGAGCACAGTTATCCCTCGTCGGTGCATCTCTGCGAGCACTTTGATAGCACAGTCCAGCTCTTTCTTGTATCCGACTTGCTCGGCCTTCTCGAATGTATAGCCAAAAGGCTCCGCATCGTATACAGTCGCATAGAGCCAATTGATCGCCGGGGCAACAACGAGTCTGTCTTTGGCTTTTTCGAGAAGCTCCAATCCCTCGTCGTCGCAGTATGAGGCATGATAGATCACGTCCACGCCGTGTCGAGCGCATTGTATGACGGATTCTCGAGCGCGAGCATGAGCACAGACTCTGAGACCATTTCTGTGCGCTTCGTCGACGCATGCGGCCGTCTCTTCATCACTGAAGAAACACTCTTCCGCTGAACGTTCCTCAAGAATAGCTTCGCCAGACATGCTGAGCTTGACTTGGTCGACACCTGTCTTTCGGTGTTGACGGATTATCTCCCGCATTTCGAGCGGCCCGTCAGCGAAGGCAGTGATACCAGAGGCCAATTCGGCATCACGTTTGGCGATTTCTCGGCCGTTGGCAAGGAATCGAGGACCGGGAAGGAGACCTTCGTTGATGCTGTCTCGGATCACGCAATCCAGCCTGTCCTTTGCCGAAGCAGCACCATAGCACCTGCACAAAGTATTAGTTGTTGAGGGTGGACGAAGCGCAGGGCTGTGCTCACATTGTGTAGCCCGAGTCCAAGTAGCATTTTGCAGATCTGGCGGTGATCAGGGTATGTTCTTCTACCGATACATCACCCAGAAGCTCCAGAGCTATGTTGTTCCATGTCGGGTGAGCGTGGGCATCGCCCAAGCCAGACATCAATGTACGCCCACGACCATCAATGACGCGAACGGATGAGTCTTTCGCGATGATGTCGACATTTGGAACATTTCCCACTGCGGCGATTCGTTCTCCTCGGATATGCACATCACCGCGATAAGGAGGGCGTCCGGTCGAGTCAAGGATCTGGACGTCACGGAAGAGCGTTTGCGCATCTGGCGATGCACCAGCGATGTGGTGAGCCTTTGGCTGGAGGCTTGGATCCCAGTTTATGGACTCGTGAGGTGCTGTTCCAGCACTGCGATCTCTGTGCGGTAGGGACGAATGGCCATTAGTGTAGCCATTGGTGTAGCCGTTCGCGTGGCCAGTGCCGTTCACTCCATTGCCGTATGCCATTGTGCAAGAATCAACGTGAGCACGCTGTGTATGAACCCCGCGAGACCAAGGTTGAAAGGGCATATTTCTCGAAATCTGGATGGATTGCACTCCAATATGCATCATGATCACGGCGATGTCTCTGTCCAATCAACGTTGATGGATACAGCGGAAGTGCGGCAAGGCTGAACTTCCGCACTCTGAGCGGAGAAATCGCGGAGGCGAGGCTGTGGGTGCCCCAACGTTCAAAATCGAAGCGGGGCTTCATTTGTGGGGAGAAAGATCAGCATCAATCTAGGTCGGGGATAGGATCTATTATTGGTCATCTGATGTCTCGTGTAATGTTTGGACGCGAGAAGTCCGGGCAAGAAGCAACGTTGTGCTTGGAGCTGGGGGATTCATCAGCGCCGCGGAGCAAGAGCTCTATCCACTGATTTCCGTTAGCATTTCCTGCAGACAGAACAGCCCAAGCTCTGGACAAAGTACGATAGTCCAAGTTCTCTCCTTCTTGCGCTGGTCGACGAATGTGGGGCAGCTGAGCTTGCCACAGCGATGTGGAAATTCGCAGGCGTTAAGGTGCATTGGCGATATGAACATGATTCCGCTTTGTGGATTTGCTATGAGACAGGGACTCGCCATTGGCAGACGAAGTTATCTCGAACTTCAGGAATGACAGGCCGCTTTTACAGCTCGTAGCTGCTACACAAGACGTGCACTTGATTTTCACCAGTAGCTACCGTACAAAAGGGGGTTTGCCGTTGATGAGGACACCTTCCACCTGGCCGAAAAATTCGCCATATGGAACAGATAGCTCCCGTCGACATTGAAGTGTACATGGTAACTTTACACGCAAGCTAACTCCTCCCAAGGCGGGGTCCCGCAATGTTGACGAGAAACTCCCGCGTCTGGGGGGTATATAGGGTCGCAGAGCTCTCGCCCGCACGCTGACGATTTGCTTCCTCCATTTGCCATCCGCAACACCCGCTATCCACCAAGCGCCAGTAATCGCCATGAAAACTTCCGCTCCACCTGTCCGCATAGAGCCTGCAACAACTCCGCCAGCATCGGCATCGGCGCCAACGGCAGTCACTCTTGACAGGCTTGGACGGCAACGAGTGCAGAGAGCCTGCCGAGCCTGCAAGTGGAGAAAGCGAAAATGCAACGGCGAGCAGCCTTGTCGAGCTTGTCTTCGCGGCGAGTACGAGTGCTCATACTCTACTCCTGAGCGCCAACCCAAGCCCAGAGGAAGACCGCGGACATTCTCACAAAGCCAAACACAGACCCAGAGCAAGCCTGCAGGGTCCACATCACATGCTACTGAGTCTGCCATCGCAGGCGCTCAAGCACAGCCAGGATCCTTGACGGAAGCGAGTCCAGCGACTCTGCCTTCCACTCGTGACTCGAATGTCGTCGCCAACTCAGGCACAGTCTTCGCGCGGATCTTGGGTCTCCAACTAGGCGCAGAGCCCGCTGCTCTGCACGTACAGGCATTAGGCTGGAACTTGGATCTTCGTCCGCAGCCACGCCAGTCAGAGAAAAGCATAGTCTGGATTACTTCTCCAGACGACTGGCAGACGCTGTTCGACTCCTTTGTGCACCACGTCCACCCACTGTATGGTTTCCTCGACCTTGACGCTGTCACAAAAACTGCCGACCGACGATGGCGAGACCCTGGAGCGAATAATGTCTATGACCACGTCCTCTGTGGTATTGCCGCTCTAGGATCTGTATTCAATGGCCATGCAGGGGCGTATCCTCAAGAAGAACATCTCGTAGACTGTGCCAGGGAGATGTGCGAACACGCGACCTCTCGCGCGAAACCTGATGTGAGCGACGTTGAAGCGTGGTTGCTACGTACGCTCTATCTACGGTGCTGCAAATCACCACATGCAGCATGGATGGCTAGCTGCACTGCAGTCCACATGGCTGAGGGCGTGGGTTTGCATCAAGAAGCCGGAAATGTCTCTATTGTCTATGACCGTACGTCGAACCTCGATCTCGACATCGACCGGCAACGAAGATTGTTCTGGCTTGCTACTTTGCTCAACACCTGGATCTCAAACGAATACGGACGTTCTGCCGTATCATTGGAGAATGTGACATGTCAGATGCCTGCGATGGTCGTGGATGATCCTACGACGGATCTTTTGAACCTTTTCACGATATCGGAAAGTCTTGGACCCGCTAAAGAGGCATCAGCAGAAACAATCAAGCACTGCCTCGTCGGGCTTGACGAGCAACGCTTCAAAAACGATGCACTTGTTCTCTCGCAGTGTAACTTGGCGTTCGCGTTTTACCGACGACTACGTGCGAAGAGTCACGACGTCAAACCAAACGTGGTTGATACACTCCTCCGACTCGGGTGCTTGGGTCTCGATGCTTGCTCACGCTTGATCGAAGATAAGCTACCGTGGTGGCATACGGCCAACGTTCCCTTCCAATTCTCCTGCATTCTGCTGGCGATGGACTCTCACCAGTCATACACACACCTCAGCCAATCCATTGCGGTACTCAATCGAGCTGTGGAACAGTTCGGCACACGAATGCCTCGTCAGGCTCTGGAGACAGTACACTTCCTCGTCCAACTGTGCCAGAGCCGGAAACAGCAGGACTTGGCTCTTCTTGCACAATGTGCCGACTCGCCACCTACGACAATGCCACCATATCAACCTTTCCAGACACCGTCGAGTAGCCACGATCCCATGACATGGAGAGATGATGGATCGATCACGCAGAGCAATGTGTTTCCCAATTCGTACTTGCAGACTGTCGACTTATTCGCCATTGACTGGTATAACTTAGACAGCTATCCCAGCGACCTCACAGAAGCGTTTGGTGAGAATTGACTTTCGCCGGTTGGGGATAGGGGTTCACGACCCCGGCGGTGCGTCCTATTCTCATGTTCGACAGCCACTTCTCCTCGATACGCCGGCCATGAAGCGTGTGGAACTGCCCTTTTATTCCAACGTCAGTCATTAGACTGCGAGAAAGCCAGGAGGATGAATCCCAACTTACAGCTGCAGTCATGCCCAGCAAATGCCCGGAAAGGCGAGGCGCCTCCTGGATGTCGGGATATAAAAGTCGTGCAGTCGTAGACGATACTGTCTATAACGATCCCTAGGAGACGCAAATTGAGCGTCAGTAAATGTCTATTCATCTGAAGGACGAAAGAAGGACGTTCACCTACAAGTCGATTGTGAATCTCGACCGTTATGCTTTGACACCTCAGCCTGATCTATGAACGGCAGATCTTTGTTGGCGACAGTCTTTGGCACAATTGAACGCTCCTTCGCCATAATCCAGTGGAAAGTAGATACACGTCTTGATCGGAATTTCTGAGCAGAACCTCTCAGCAGACGGCCGGCATGTTGGACTCAATTATCAACAGGATTCGAAGCCGCAGAAGCGGAAGTTTTGCGGAAGCGTGGAGCCCGACCTGCGGGTGTCAGCGACCCCGTGGGGTGGTTACATGTACGCAGCACTCAGCTACATCATTATCAAGTCGCACTAGTGGTTCTGGACTTCCCATAGGTCATGATCGCGGTTGAGGCAATCACGATTTTGCTCTCTGGCCTACTGTTCTTGGGACAGTAATCAAAGCTTTGCTATACTTTCAAACAAGAAAGAACGTCTCGAGCTTGACCCCTCGCTCTTCCAACGCATCTACTTCAAGTCGTGGATCACGGAGATACGACCGCCACTCCCCAGTGGTCTCATGCTGCCAACACAACGGAGCATTACTCAAGGACCTATCGCCGGAGACATCCTTCCAGCCTGGCCTCAGAGACGGCAGCCTCGGATCCTTGTACGTAAGCTCGCCCGTCCCCGTGTGTCTGAAAGCAGGGAGATGCGCACCCGTATCCTGGTTGAGCACGTTCACAGTCTCGACGTCGTCGGGTAAAGGGCCTAGGATCGCTTCACCGTCCATCAAGCCAGAACAGACGGCTGTGCCGATGACGGAATAATGGCCTTCGTTGGCCAGACGTCGCAGGACCATGATATTGGGACAGCCGAGCAGGACTGCAAGCACGTCGCCGTTCTGCATAGCAGCAGGCCCAAGACCGATTCTGCCGTCCTCGGTGATGAACAGCGCTCGACCGCGGCAATTGAAGAAGCACATGACGATCTTCGCGCGCTCCGGCGGGAGGATATCAGGACCTATGCCCCATAAGGCTGCGATGACATGTCTTTCAGCTTGTGCGAACGTCGGGCGGCTCGACGCTGGGATGTAATGTTCGGCGCACGTATCGTTCGTCATGACCCGTACGACCTGGCGAAATTCCTTACGGTCATTTGGATCTGACTGTGCAGTCTGCAGTTGAACCTCCCTAGGCAATATAGCTTGCAATGGCGCATGCATGGCCTTGTTCCAGACATTGGTGTTGATCGGATGGAGAAGATCATGTCCAAATAGGTGGCTTTTGGCTACCGTTCCTACTTTTAGCCCACGAGCACCTAATCGCATCCCAGAAGCAGGGATGAATGATGCTTGCGAGAAGCCGCTCGCGAAGCCCATGGTCAGTCGCTGTGCTGTGTTGCGTCTTGACCAGTTTGGTACCCATGAAGGAAGCTTATCGATCACTTGCTCCCCTGGATGCGGTAAATCATCTCCAACGTGCGCCAAGAACTCCAGGTTCTTTGTAGAGAGAAGATGCTTGAGAGCAAACTCAAGGTAGACATCTCGCACGTCGACCTTATAATCGATGGCGATCTGGAGCGTAGTATACGTATCGGCAAAAGCCTGGGTCGTGTAGATCCGATCCCTCTGATCCGAGCATTTGCACAGCCTCATGTTGTCCAGAGCGTCCAGGCTCTGGAAGTGTCCAGCGAGCGGGAGATATCGTATGAAGCTGGTCCGTGGTGTCAGACGCAGGACTCCAATGTCGCCGTTGATCAGTTTGCGATTGCAATAGAAGACTGCGGTCATGAGCCACTCCCAGAATGCTTCTTCATGGCCACACTTCACTTTCACGCCTTCGCCGCCCATGCGGACTTCTTGCCAGACCCAGAGGCGATCGAAGTAAGGTCGCTCAATTAGTTGAGCGAATGCCTCAAGCTCATCTGCGCTTGCGATCACTACTTCCTCGGTGTGGAGCCGTTTCGTGTCCGGCGTGAGGGCACGCATCTCCTGGGTGCTCTTATCATACGCAAGCTCATCGCTCACGGTATCAATCCACTTCATAGCCAAACTGCTATCCGCAGAAGCCGGCCCGAGCCAGACGACGACTTGCCAGGCTTTGGAGTAAATCGATCGCATGATCGAGACTTGTCGAGCTCTCTCGGCGAGATCGCCTTGATTGATGCAGATGGCGTCTACCCAGACGACTCTTTCGGTGTCTTCATAACGCAGGTATCGTAAAGCTTCTTCACAGTTTCGAGTGACTGAAAGTGTGGAGACTTTTCCGGTGTCGCGGATGTAAATTGTCGCTGGATTTTGCGGGTTACCCCAGGTGTATGAGAGTGCCTCGTAGGGTTGGCGACTGGGTCCAGTCCCGCCGAAAGGAATAGTCAGCATATGGATGTAGACATCGTCATCGAACCGGCCAGGCTGGATCTTCAGAACGCGGATGTTACTGTTGTCTTCACTCAGTGCTTCATATTCATATGCCAAATCAGCCGGTAACACGTTCGAGTCTTCGGTAGCAGCCCGTTCAGCTTGGTCGACGTCCGACACTTTGCTAGTCTCTGACTCCATAGCTGGCGGTTTCAGGCTCAAGTCTCGTATGCTTCCAGAGTATCGAATTGTGTTAGTCTCGTCAGAACAGCTGAAAGGAAGGTGCAAAAGGCTGAAGAAGACCCCTCGAGCTAAGCTCACGCCACTGCCGAGACGTTGTACGAGGCAAAATGGCGTGAGTAGCGAAAGGAAACCGCCACACAGCAGCTATCCCCATCCTCAGGTTTGAACAAGCCCAGTAAACCTCACTTGTTTGTGACGTGCTCTCAACCGTACTCAGCACCCACAGCAGAGACTGGGACGGCCGCCTTGTGCCCTCTTCGAAGTTCGAACGTATCTGCGACAGGTCTCTCCCAGCCCATTCAGCATTCTTAGCTACCTTGACGACGCTGTCGAAGATACAAGGCTAACATTACTCACTCTAGGTCCATTGTTATAGCCGACTATGTAAGTCCGATATAGGAACGCGGTTAAACTCCAAATCCACCAGTCGGTTCCGAGCCGGACGAACCCAACATCCGATGTGGGTCACAGCCTGATGCTCCCTACCGAAACCAGGGAGCGATTTTCGCCGCCAAACAGTTAAAGCCGGGAGGATTGAGAGCGGTCACCGTATGCAGGAATTGCTAAAAACGACCGCTTGACCTTTTCATTTCTTGGTTCTTGCGACCTCAACGACTCCTCCCATTTCTCGAGGCAGAGAGCTGAAGCAATGCCAACCAACGCCAGCGTCGACCGGGCCCTGGCAGCCATCGCTAAAGATGAATCGAAGAAACTCGGCGTGATAGTGAATGGGAAATCGATTACGACAGGGCAATACATTCCACGAGCAGGTAAGTAGTATTTCACCCACCACACACCTATCAAAATCTCCACTAACACCAACCAGAAGCCCAAACCGCACCCCAAATCTCCCTCCCCACCGCCTCCCCCTCACAAAAATACCTCCTCATAGCCCTCGACCTCGACGCCCCCTTCCAATCCTGGCGCGGCCTCGGCCCCATCCTCCACTGCATCCAGCCGGGCCTCACACTCTCCCCCAACAACAACGAACTCACAACAACCGACCCCTTCATAGCGAACTACATCGGCCCCGCCCCACCGCCCGGCAGCGGCCCGCATCGGTATAGCTTCTATCTCTTCAAACAGCCGGAGAACTTCGACGGGAAGAAATACGCACCGCCGGATGGGAAGAATTTGGGGAATATGTCGCGGATGAGGTTTGATCTCGATGCGTGGATGAGTAAAGCCGGGTTAGAAGACGCCATTGCGGCGAATTATTTCACGAGTAGTTAAGTCGGATCATTGCGGATTTCCGATATCTTGGAAGATTTTGGATTCGGTAAAGATAGTTAGCAGCTGTAGAGATGATAGGGACAGAGCTGGGTTCTATGGCATGTGGAGAGTGAGTTAGGCAGGTGGTGAGCATGAAAGTTACGAAGCGTCTGAGAAGGACGAGGAGGAGGAGGAGGTAGTATTTAATAGGGCAAAATGAGAAATTGAATATGCCCCCTTCACGCGACTTTCTTGAACTTTGCAGACGGGACTGTGCGATGCTTGTGGAGGGACCAGCCGAGGAGGTGTGCATTGTCTAATACTTCTTAGATCAATGTGATTCGTTTTCGATCTGGTCAATCCTCAACCACACGGTCGAGGAGTACGAGGTTGTGGTGGTGGGCCAGACTTTAAGGACATTACATGATCTATTATGACAAAATGTACCTTTCACAGCCCACCCTCCCCCTCCCTCCTCCCCTCCCCAATCCCCACAACCCTCTCAGCCTCCGCTTTCAAATCCGCATTCAACCCCTCAAACCCCCTCAAATTCTTCCACGCAAAATCCCTCTTGCCCTCTTTGACTTTCATCACGGGACTGAGCAGGCCTGTGAAATTCTCTTCTTGGATAAATAAAGTCCCTCCGGGAATCGTTTCGGAGGGAAGGAAGCGATACGAGTGATCGCCCGTGAAGATGAGGGGGAGGGAGCCGCGCCATTTGAGCTCTGAAGGGTCGTTTTTCTTGATGGAAGATGTCAGTCACGAATGCTGTGTTTGATGAAGTGCGATGGATGGGGAGACGTGAGAGTTACCAAGATAACAGGCGTGAACGTCATCTCCTCCATCACAACCTTCAGTTTATCCCCTACACTCAAGACGCCTTCGGTTTTGCGGGCGGCGATTTCGATGGATTTGAAGTGGCCGCTTTGGTGCCATTCGTTCAGACGGGGGAAGTCGAGGAGCTATCAGACATGGTTCGTCAGCGACCTGATGGTTTTTGTTTGTGTTCTGCAGGACTGCAATCAGGAGATTGTTGTGGGTAGGAACTCACGATCTCTCGAACACGCTCGGGAGGGGCGGCGATTTCGATTTGGGTGGAGATGAGGACCATTTCGAATGGATGCAAAGAAGGTGCACGTTGTCGAGGAATTCGATAAACGACTTACAACCCCTCTCCTTCCCTCGCAGTAGATGTGCCTATGCTATATACTCCCCACAGACCAATCCCTCCCCATGTCTTTCCCTCCGTCGGCGAACAATCCGCACCAACTCGCATCCTGTGCTTTTCAGCTCGCGTGGAAAATACTAGACGACGGAGCAATTTCAGACCACGATCTTCAATCTAACTAGTCCAGCCGTTGGTGAAGAGCACGTCTAAATGGAGCAGGGTCTGGCGGCTGGCCAATTGCACGGCTACGGACGTACCAAGGGTACGAGACATAGCCTGCTGGGGCACAGCTTCAGCCTAAAAGTTCGCATGACTGTCCGAAACGGGGAAGCGATTGCTTTCCCTTTTGAGACACCAAGTAGTTGAAGGAGGATGCAGAGTGTGATAAAGACGTACTAGGGAAAGTTGCAGGAGCGGACCTTGCATTTCGCATCCGCGATCCGCGGTGAGCAAGTCCATATCTTCCTTTTCATCTACCACGTAAGCTGCGTAGCGTTCTTTCTAATCATCGCCCCCACCCATGTTTCCTCCACTCGTCTTCGCCTGCTTGGCTCCCACGATGTCATCCACTCTCAGCAACAAGCACGCACTCTCCACGGCCGTCTTGATGCTCTGCAGCTTAACAGCTTGCGGCTCCCAAATACCAAAGTCCTTCATGTCCACCACCTTACCAGCATCACCGTCGATACCGAAGGTGCTGCCTCCCTCGGCATGTTTCGCCCGCAATTGAGTGAGAATCCGAATGGGTGAGGCACCGGCGTTTTGGATCAGTGTGCGCGGGATGACTTCCATTGCATCGGCAATCGCCTTGTATGGCCACTGCTGCACACCTTCGACGCTCTTCGCCGTCTGCGATAACCGCACAGCACACGCCATCTCCGTTGCACCACCACCAGGCGAGAGATATGGATGGAAGATGACATTCCTCGCAACTGACATGGCATCGAGGAGGTTGCGGTCGATCTCGTTGAGTATGTCTTTCGATGGACCGCGGAGGAGGATGGTGCAAGCCTTGGGGTTCTTGCACTTGGTGAGGAAGGTGAAGTACTCGTCGCCAATCTTCGCAATCTCGAACAGGCCGCAGTGGGTGCCGACGTCGCGTTCAGTCAGATCGTAGACGGAGTTGACGATGGTGGCGCCCGTAGCACGAGCGACTCGGTTGTTGTCGGTCTTTCGTACACGGCGGAGTGCGGTGATGTCGTGCTTGACGAGGAAGTGCTGTGCCAGGTCTGATACGCCCTTCTCGGTGATGACCAGATCTGGCTTGACGGCGATGATGGCATCACACATGGCTCGCACCTGCTCCTCCTCGATCTGCAGGATGCGATTCCAGTCCTCCTCCTTGCTGATCTCGATGTTGGTCTGCGATTCACCCTTCTTGTACTCGAGTGTGCAGTCAAGCAGTACAATACGTGGGTTCTCTATCCGCCTCCTCATCTTGGGGTGTGTGATGTCCTTGTTCAGCATGACGCCGTCCAGCACCGTGCTGTCCTCAATCTCACCGCCCGGCACCTTCTCCACACGCGCATATCTCTTGATATCCACCTCCTTCTTGCCACCTCCTGCGTCATGGCTGACCGTCCGCACTGCTTGAAGAGCGAGATCGCACATGAGGTCTGAGTATCGCGAGGTGAATTTGGTGCCGATGGAGGTGGAGATGAGGTCTCGCATGACGCTGTTGTCGTTGATGTCGACGGGTATCGAGACGTCTTGGATGACCTTGAGGGCGTCGTTCAGCGCCCGCTTGAATGCCTGGATGATGACGACGGGGTGGATGTTGCGCTCGAGCTGTGGTAGTGATAGTGCCAGAATCTCTCCCGCCAGAATGATGACAGTCGTAGTCCCATCTCCGACCTCCTCGTCCTGTGTCCGCGCCAATTCAATCATGCTCTTCGCCGCCGGGTGTGCGACTTCGATCTCGCGCAGGATGGCGTGGCCGTCGTTGGTGAGTACGATGCCGCCCATGGGGTCGAGCAGCATTTTGAGCATCGCCTTGGGCCCCAGACATGACCGGATGATGTCGGCGACCGTCTTTGCCGCGGTGATGTTGGAGACTTGTGCCTGGCGGCCCGTCTTGCGATCGCCCGTCGCCGTGTCTGGAAACAGTATCAGCCCGTACTCTCCATCATATCTTGTTCTTCCCACATACTCATCACCACCACTGGAGCCTGCATCTTGGCGGTTTCTGAGCGCCTCCTGCGCCGGGTGTACGAGTTCTAGCGACAGTCCAGTCTTCTCAGTCGGCCGTATGATTTCGATATCGTCTTTTGGCGGTTATTGGTGGATTGTCGGGTGATATGGCGGCGGTCGTGTGATGTTTGGCGTCGTCCAGAAACTTTTGCTGAAGCTCTTCGCGTCGAGCTCGTGTCGTCTTGTCAGATATCGTGGCGGCGATGGAGACTTCTGACACTGACCCGATATTGACGCCGAAAGCGATAACGGGGAGGGTTAAGTGAAGCTAAGCTGGGGGGTAAGACTTAAGACATTTGCTCTGGTGAGGACCGCATCAGTTGACTTTCCCATCACAACACCCCACTCCCCCTCCCTCCCTTCAACTATATATGATAATGCGGCGACGGTGACCCCGAAGAAACGAAACGAAGCCTCCCCGAGTTATCGCCCAAGATGAAAGACCCGTTCCCGATGCCACCGCAGCCGTGGCTCATCACCCTCACCCAACCGCTCGCCGACGCCCTCGCCCTGCCGACGCTCCCCCTGCACATCCACGAGGCCATCTTCGCCTTCTTGCTGTACACCTCCATCGGCATCTTCGTCTCGCCCGCCATCTCGCGCGCCTTCTTCCCCGAAAAGTACAACAAGTTGAATCGCCGGACGCGCATCAACTGGGACGTCCATGTCGTGTCTCTGGTGCAGTCGGTGATCATCAGCGCCTTCTCGCTGTATGTCATCTTCGTCGATGAAGAGAGGAAGGTCCTGCGGCCGAGGAGCGAGTGGGAGGGTCGGATATGGGAGTACACGGGCATGAGCGGGCTGTGCCAGTCCTTCGCCTTGGGATACTTCCTCTGGGACTTGATCATGTGCAGCGTGCACGTGGACATCTTCGGCTGGGGCATGCTGGCTCACGCCGTCAGCGCCTTGTCCGTCTTTGCGCTGGGATACCGGCCCTTCGTCTATTTCTACGCCCCTATCTTCCTGCTCTACGAGCTCTCCAGCCCCTTCTTGAACGTCCACTGGTTCTGCGATAAGCTGGATCTTACCGGTTCCGCCGTCCAGGCCATTAACGGAGCCTTCCTGGTTGGGACCTTCTTCGGGTGCAGGCTTGTCTGGGGTAATATCAGCAGTTTCTGGACCTTCTACGACATCTTCAAGGCTGTTAGATACGGTCACTCGAATCTCACCAACTTTGAGACTGGAGCCCCTGCTGCATTCACCGTCCAGGAACTGCTCTCGATCTACAGCGATGAACAAGGCCAAAGGCTGGCATTTGCAGGCAGGCAAAACGTCCCCATCTGGCTCGGGCTCGTCTACCTCGCATCGAACTTGACCCTCAACTCCCTCAACATCTTCTGGTTCGGCAAGATGATCGAGACCATCCGCAAGCGCTTCGACCCACCATGGGGCACCAAAGGCATTGGCGATGACGTTGTGCACTATGAGCCACAGGAGAAAGTCGCCAAGGCTGCAGCTGCTTTGGCTGGTTCTTCGCCTGCGAAGCCAAAGGGTAGTGTCAAGGCAGCCAGGCAAAGGGCCGAGGCTGCCATGAATGGTGGCGCTGGCGACAGCACGCACATTCAGAGTGCCGTGTTGGCGGATGGATCGAAGAGTATCGAGGTGACGGAGCAGAGGACCCTGAGGACGAGAAGGAAGGCTTAATGGGGAGAAGCTCATTACGAGGAGCTTGGGTAGATCGTTGGTACTTCTTGGTAGCGTTTAGCGGGTGGTAGGCAGTCATCGCCGGTCTTCGACGACCACCTATACAAGTCGCCAAATCTCGATTGGTGAAAGCACAAAGACAAGTCATTCAAACCCAATGTGGAGAATTTCAACAGGGATACATAACTAGCCCTCCCTCCAGACTGTTGAGAGCTCGCCTGGACCGCTAGCGTCATTCTCGGCACTCGACTGTTGTTTGCACCCGATAAAGCAACCCGCGTCCTCCAGACTCACAGCCCATATTGGCCAGGCATCGTGTTTCAAGATTCCCGAATCATCACTCGTACGTCCGAAGAGATGGGAATGGCACGCTGAACACGCAGCCGTCGTGGTTCAACGAATCTCAAGGTCCATGTAGTCTGGCTCCTGAAATATGTATCGGTTAGTAAATACCACGCGGTCGAGTCCTGGCACCTCATGCTTACCTCTTTCGCAGTGCCAGACGTGTCGGAGTCGAGGATGAAGCACTCCCCGGCGTTCCTAAACCAAGGCTCGGGGCCTTCTGGGCTTTGTTCCTGGCGCAGGGCGAACGTCGCACCACTCGGTGCAAGGGCGAATATGCCGTCTCCTTCGCGAAGTCGTGTGGCCCCTACACCCATTCTACCATTTTCTGTCAAGAAGAAGCGCACGTCAGAAGTGATGAAACGCATTATGTCCAGCATAAGAACGCGGGCTCGTTCTTCGATATCGGCGGCGTGGCTCATGAGCTCGGCTACCTCAAGAAACCTAGCATCAGGAGGCAACAGAGCGCTACCGATTTGTAGAGCAAGGGAACATGTCTCGGGGGCAGTGAGTTCCAGAACCAGCAGCCTCTTTATTAGCGTGGCAAAGAATAGCTCAAGGAGCATTCGATCGTCTCGATGATACACGATGTCTCGTTCTATCCTCGAAAGGCAGTCAAGCTCAGCGAACGCGATGAAGCGATACAGAAGCAGCAGCGGTGACTGTCCTTGGGAGGTACGGGGCGCCAAGACAAAGTCCTTGAAGAACAAACCACGTGACCGCCCTATCGCGTGTTTGTCATTATCTCCTGCGAACAGAAATTGCAATGGTAGCTCCTTGCAAACTTCGTCGATCTTGGTACCTTGTACCCACAGCCTCGAACAGGTGAAAGAGGTGGCTGTGACTCTTGTAGCCTCGTTGTGAGCTGCAACGCCACGCATTGATCGATAGACGGTATCTTTGACAGGACAGCGCCAGTCAATGGCCCAACTGGGAAGATCCTTGTCACCCATAGCAGTTTCGGGCAGGAGCCTGAAACCAGAATGCCGGAGCAATCCATAAGTATCCCCATTTTGAATCGTACATAGCGCGTATTCCAGGTAAACCCGCTCCAAAGTCTTGTTGTAGTCGGGTGTGACGAATTGGTAAGGTGTGAGTCTTGTAGCAGCTCTGCAAGACAGACCGAAAATTCGATCTCGAGGATCTTTTGATCCACGCGAGGTCAAAAAAGTCGCCATGTCAACCGTGACATAGCCTTCGCCGCGCAAGATAGACTGAATTTCCTTCAGAGATCGTAACACGTTGAGCAACGGGTCCGGCTCGTTGACGTCCTGGACATCAGGAAGCTTTAGATGTGCTTGTGTATCTGATTCCGTGATAAATGGCGCACTCAACCCGATCAGGCATGTCCGAACAGCAAAAAGGTCGTCGAGCAGTATCTCCTGTTGGCCGTAATGGATGATGGCGCTATGTGCCAGAGCAAGCTCTTGCAATATCCAGAAGCGCGTCCAATAGTCTCTCTGAGCAAATCTCCTCACAGCTGCTTCATCTGCGGCGCTGACTGCAATATCTTCACGTTTGATTGGGAATGGTATACTGCCACGGCCAAACTCGCCAGGCACTGTGAATGTAGCAGCCCATCTTTTCAGACACACAAGAGGGAACTGGCGGTCGTGATGTGTTGGACCAAGCCACGCGCGCACAGCCTGGCTCTGGCTGTAAATGGAATCCATCTGCTGAATCTGATGATTTTTTTCACTGGTATCCGCCTGATTGATGCAGATAGCATCTACCCAAATGATCAGTTCTCGATCCGGGTAACGCAAATGCCTCAGACCAGATTCCAGAGACAAGCGCACGGTAAGGTCCTGCCCATTGATGTTGACCACGGCGGTGCGGCTCTCATCCCCCCAGCAGTAGGACAGTGCATCGTATCGAAGGCCCGGATCTTGTAGACTTGCATGAAAGAGATCGCATCTTATGACGTCTCTTCCACTCCCTTTTACCCCGGCATGAACTCGAAGTAGTCGAATCTCATAAGTTGCAGGGTCAAGGGGTCGATATGACAGGCCGAGCACCATGTTGTAGAGTTGTCAGTGAGCTCTGTCGGCGAGCGGAGACAAGAGGTGGAAGCATGAGTTGGAGAGTAGGGCGTTGGTTTTCTCTTCCCAGCAAGATATTTAAGCTGGCGAGGCGCAAGACCGACCACCGAGCCACACAGAGTCGCGCCTGAGGCATGAGCGGTGTACAGCCTTTCTGCACCTCCGAAGCTTGCAGGAATCTGGCAGACAGGTCCCCGACCAATCGTTGACGAACGAATGCAGTTTCGGTGCAGCATACGCAGATGGAATTACAGAGAAACAAGGGCTGATAAGGCTGTGCAACAACATAGGAGGGTCGATCCTGCCCAAAACCATGCAATGAACGAGTGAACGGGGGAGTCGCAACAGCATGCCTGAGACAAGCGACTGTGTAGTCCTGAGATTTTCTAAACACTCTCAGGGTGTCATTGAGCTTGCTGGAGGCGGTGTTCCTAAGGACGCAAGCTGAAGGCAGACCAGGCCCCAGGAGAATACGAGAGCTGGAGGGGTCAGCTACTTTCTACCTCAACCTCAGGATATACGCGCCAGTTCGAGCCGTTAGAGTCGCTGTCGAGAACAGCATTCGTCCGTGTGCATTGAATGTGAATGCCTGGTGACCTTATCGCATGGAAATCGAGCCACTGAGATTGATTGATTGATTAAGGCCTGGCTTCGCCCTGTCCGCGGGTTATTGTTGACCTAGCGCTGGAGGTACGCATATGCGGCCATGGAGTCTTGGACTGAGCGCCCCGACGCTTGTGGCAGGATCGGCGCCATCGATGCTCATTGGCATGAATTCATCCTGGTGCCAGCGCGAGGTGAGGTGCGATGTGAGTAATGCTAAGAGGCGGCGCTAGCTCGGGCGTGTCGGGCCGGAGATCCTCACCCAATCAAGTCAGCGTCGAGCCTGCCAGACGACACGCTTCAACTTCCATTCACCTCCCTATCAATAACAACTCCCAAACCTACCCCAAACCCACCTTAAACACCCAGATCAGCTTTTTCAAGATGGCCAACATGTTCGGCGCCCTCAACCGCTTCATCGCCCGGCTAGACTCAGACCCCAACACAACCGCCTCCCCGACCCCCTCCACGCCCTCCCAAAACAACCACTACGGCTTCCAAATCCTCCGCAACACCAACGCGTCCATCCCCCTCGACCCCTGGTTCGACTTCATCATCGGGCTCAACGGCCACAACATCACGCACCCGGACCCGGCACTCTTCAGCACCGAGATCCGGAACTGCGCGGGGAGTACCATTTCCCTCGGCGTGTACGGCGCGAAAGGGTCGTCGATTCGCGAGGTCTACGTGAGTGTGCCTCCCGCGGGGGAGAGTCTCGGATTGGCGCTGCAGTGGGCTCCCCTGAGCAGCGCAGACGACGTCTGGCATATCCTGGACGTGATGCCCAATTCCCCCGCCGACGTGGCCGGCCTCCTGCCGTACTCGGACTACGTCATCGGGTCCCAGGACAGCGCCTCTATCGCACTGCACGGCGACGCGGCGCTGGGTCATCTAGTCGAGCAGTTCGTTAACCAACCGCTGAGGCTGTGGGTGTATAACCAGGAGTACGACGTTACGCGGATCGTGACGATTACGCCCGCGAAGAACTGGGGCGGAGAGGGCAGCTTGGGCTGTGTGTTGGGGTATGGGGCTTTGCATAGGATCCCCGCGCCGTTGACGGAGGGGTCGATGGCCGGGCCTGGTGAGACTTTGTTTGAGAGCGGTGGTGGTGGCGACGGGTATGCGCCTCCCCAGGCACAGCCGATTGATGGCGCGGCGGTACCGAGTGGAGGGGAGTTTCTTGTTCCGGCGAATATGCAACCTTCGACATCGCCTGGTCCTCCTCCGAAGGGTGCTCCGGGTGGCAAGGCGAGGAAGGCGAGAGCTCATCATGCCCCTGCCGCTGGGTTGGATGATTACTTTGCGGAAGGAGAGCAGAAGTCGAGGGAGTTGGATGGGACGTCCACGCCGAAGAAAGATAGCAGTCTACCACCTCCACCACCGAAAGCTGGTGGTCCACCCAAGGCAGAAACGGCGAAGGTGGAAGATGAGGGTGAAGGTGAAGGTGAAGCTTGATCGTCCCCGCAGATGCGAGATAGTAGAGAAATGCAATCAAAGTTCAAAGAGGATCATATTCTCAAACGCTGTACAATCCCGCCGCTCATGCGTCTATCAAGAGTGTATCCACCAACAAAGTCCAGTGCTATGCCGCTCACAAGAGGCGCTCGCTGCAAGAAGCTGAAAAATGCAAAAAGCCCAGTCATCATCTCAAGAGGTCGTCACCGGAAACCTCCATCCAATCCACCCAGAACGCCAAATCCAAATGCACATCCCATCCTTCCAGCTATGCCTTATCCAACAACCCATTACGAAGCATTCGGCTCATACCTCCATCCACCTTCACGAGCAACCCTCTCCCTGATCTCCATATCTTTCCTCTTCTCCGCACTCGTCACGGCATCACCAGTCTCTACCCACATGGCACTGCTGCCACGGTCACGGAACTTCTTGGCCCGCTCTGGGTTCTTGCTGTTCTTGAACACCTCGTCCATCTTCAACTCTCCAATTGGTCCAAACACCGTCTCCGGATCCACGAGTTGCTGCTGCGTGAGCAGATCTCGCAAAGCCGGTGAGGCAACCCATGATGGAGCACGGAAGCCGTCGTTCTCATCCTCCGAATCTTCATCTTCAGAGTCCGTGGCAATATCTGGCAGCTCGATGTTGTCGCCTTGCGGGTAGTGTGGTGTGGAACGGCCTGATTTCGGAGCATGAGCTGGACGAGCAGGCGTCTTGAACTTGTTCGATTGAGCGTTTTCGTAGCCAGGGTGCATCTGCGAATGGGAAGAATGATGCGAGGCAGCGGGTGGGTTGGCATTCTCAGCAAAGGGAATGCGAGCATTGGACATCTGGACCAGCTGGCTGGGGTGCGTCGGCTTCGAGCCGTGCTGCGCCTGGTGTTGGGCAGTGACGGTCGCTTTGAACATGCTGGCGTGGTGAGCCGCGGGAGGAGGAGCATGCGTATAGCCAGAGAACTTGGACAATGTCTCCTGCTTCTTGTTAGGTTGTGGATATTCCAGACGTGGTTGATAACGTACCTTTCGCAGCGTCGACGGCCGCTTTGGTGGAGCCATCACTGACCGACGCTCGTCACCTTCTTCCTGCTCCTCATTCGTACGTCGACGCTTGGCATCAGTCTGCTGATATGATGGAGGTCCGCGAACAATGCCTGGCCTCTGAGGTTGATGAGAGGGTTCATCATCATCGTTGAACAGCATGCGCTTGGCGGGCTTCGCAGTGTTTGGCTGGGCAACAGTGTTCTTGGTCAGTTGGCGGAGAGTGCCGGGAACATCACCACGAGGATGAGCTTGAGCCTGCTGCTGGGTACGCTCGCGTCTGATGGCTTCAGCGAGGTCGTGAGCTTCTCGCTGCTTGCGAGCTTCTTCTTGCTTTCGAGCTTCTTCCTGCTCGCGTCGCTGCTTCTCAATGCGCTCCTGCTCACGTCGTTGTTGCTGTTCCTGTTCTCGCTTCTGCTGGTCAGCTCTCTCCTGCTCGCGCTTGCGAGCTTCAGCAGCAGCCTGGCGCTCGGCCTGCTTCCGTTGTGCAGCAAGTTTGGCTTCTTGAACTCGTTGCTGCTCGGCCGCCTTGCGCTCTTCCTCGGCTCGCTTGTCCTGTTCGGCCTTTTCTGCGCGCTTTCTCTCAAGCTCCCTCTTTTGCTCGACTTTCTTCGCAGCAGCTCGTTCGTCGGCCTCTTTCTTCCTCGCGGCTGCCTCGAGAGCTCTGACACGAGAATTGCCTGGTGCGGCAGAGCCAGGCCGATTGTCCATAGCGGAAGACGCACGAGGACCAGCTTGCTTGGCCGGTGCAGCATTCTCTTGCTGAGGCTTGCCAAAAGTGGTCGTGCTCTGTCCAAGTCTCTGAGATTGTGATGCAACTTTGATCGAAACAGGTGCTGGCTTGGCTTGTTCCCTGGTCGGTCTCATAAGTCTCCCAGGTGCTCTGAGCTTGCCCGTGAGGCCACCCTTTGAAGATTGTGCAGGTGCGTTATCACTCTCGGAAGCCTTGCCACTGTCGGCTGTCCCAGGTCGCTCGGCCTGTGCAGCAGCCTCCTTCTGCCGCTCCTTCTCCACTCGAGCAGCTTCAGCACGCTCTGCCTTTTCTGCCTTGGCTTGCTCCTCGGCTTGCTGTTTGGCAGCTTTCTGGCGCTCTTTCTCTCTTGCCTTCTCCAGCTCGTCGGCAGCTTTTTGCTGAGCCTTTTGCTCTTTCTCCTTCCTCTTGTCGCTTTCGGTAGAGCTGCGTGTCTTTCGGCTTGGGCTGAGCGAGATTATCGATCCATTCTTTGCCGGACTCTGCATGATCTCCTTCTGCGAAAAGAGACCACCCGGCATGTTGAAGATCTTCGACTCGCCAGAGTCCCGCTTCTGGGAGCGAGTTACGGGAGAGTCTCGGTGTGCTTCGATTTTGGCCGCAGCACTTGCACTTGCAGAGGACGCAAAGATGTTCTTTGCGGACTTGAACGCAGACCACAATCGGTTCTTCGATGCACTGAGAGGGCCATCGTTGGTCTTCTTGCCCATTGGTGATCCAACTGGCGTGGTCGACTCAAGTGCTTCCGTCAAGTTGGGATGGGAGACGGATGTTGCTTTCTGATGGCGAGTTTCGGTCGCCATTTCTGGACGCGATGGAGAGGGAATCTGTGTGGTCGAGATCGATTTCTGATGCATCGTTGGTCGGGCTGGTGAAGTTTGCTCGGCAACCTCGTCGACATCGACTTCCTGGAACTTGGACTGTACCGACTTTGTGGGTGCAATCCAGTCGTCGTCCTCGTCCTCGACAGGCGCATTCTTGCCGGCAAGCTTGGCCTGATCAAAGACTTCCGTCGTCTGCGAGTTGGTCGGCTCAGTCTCTGGTAGCTGAGGATATGAAGGATGCGGGATGCTCTTGGACGTGCGTGCGTCTTTCGTCTTGCCCAGCATGTTCAGACGCTCATGAAGCAGCTGTGCTGATGACTTGCTGTGAGCCCTCGCCTCGGCAGTCTTCTCTTGAGGAACGTCATCCTCATCGGGTTGCGAATCAGCCGGCTTGGACACAGATTTGTTGAAGACGCTGCTCCTGTCGCGGGCGATTTGGCCCATGCTGCGCTTAGCACCAAGTGGCTCACGAGCGGGGAGCGAAGAGAAGGTGAAGCTGCTCTTACGCTGCAGCGGCTTCTCCGGGCTCAGACCGTCTGACTGAGGACTTGGCCCGTCCTCCATGTCCATGTCAACATCATTGTCCTGGCCCTCATCCGATGGCTGTGCGTCAACTTTGGCGGCTTGTGGCTCGTTCTCCTCCTCAATCGGCGCAACCTTCTCCACGTTCTCATCTTGCACGGTCTCGTCCAGTTCATGCAGGAGCTGCTCCTCGGCGGGTATCGCGTCTTCCATCTCTTCATCGACAACTCCAGCAACATCGCTCTCCTGCTCCTTGGCGGAGACGAAAGAGTCGTCACTAGCGCCGGTCTCGTCTCCTTTACCATCTCGCAGTCGCTGTGCCGGTGGCTGCTCGTCGCGAAGTGGTACCTTCTGTGGCTCATTGGGTTGCGATGATGTTTCGAGCGAGTCCGCTTGCGTCTGCACATCCAATTCCATCTCGTCTTCAGTCATCATACCATGATATCCAGAGTCTGTATACGGCTTGCCGGCGCGCTGTGGGCTCGTCCCGCGGCTGACCGGCTTGTGGGTCGGGGCATGATTCTCAGTGTCTTCGGGAATCTGAAACTGGGCAACTTTGTTGTAAAAAGGCGTCTTCTTGGCGGAAGCCGGTGCGAGTTGGGTGTTGGGTGCGAAGATATCGGTCAGCGGTTGCCGGGGTGCCTGGGCGTCGCGTTTTCGAGCTGTGCGAGGAGTCTGGCCGCGTAGCTTGCCGGGCGTCTTGAACATGTCGGCGAAGTTGCTATGGAGAATCAGCATGTGCCCATGGCTTATAGTGGTATAGGAGTGTTTACGCCTGTGTTTTGGTGAAGATATCCGCCATGTGCTCGTTCAGCCAGTCCAGGTCATTCCGCACACTGAAGCTGAACTCCTCGACCTGCTCGTCGACATAATCCTTCGCCTGCTCTCTCTCGTTCTGTATCCATTGTGACGAGCCGACGGGCGGCGCCTTGGTTCGGGTGGTCATCGTGGTGTATGTTTGGGCGCGTGTTTACTCGGCGGATTCCTTGTCGCGGTGCGCGAATCGTTCAATTGGTGACTTGTGGGTTAGCTGTACATTGTTTCCAAGCAGTCGTCGATATCGTCCGGTATGCAAGAATCGCGCGGCGGTAGTGGTGGTGGGTGGTGTTGTTGGAGGTTGGCTATGTGAACGCGATTGTTTACTCGAGAAGCTTGGGCGCGGGCGCTCCCGCTTCACCAGATCAGATCGCAGTCACGTGCCACCCCCAACGTTAAACCCGCACCTCCTCACTTCTATTGCCGGCTATGTGCATCCCCACCGATGTCGCCGTCATCTTTCTTAATAAATCAATTCAATTGAACCTATTCATTCATGTTTTCACGAATACATCGCGACAATGGCTAAGAATCTGATTCCCTCACTTCGCACTGCTTCACGTCTCGCCTCTTTTTCACGCTCAAAGGTCCCTCACATCTCACCAATATGCAGCACCAGAGCATTCTCAGTGACGCCTCGAAGAAAGCTGATGGAAACGTCAGGATTCAGCGAAGAGCAATTGACCGTCCGTGACGCCATTGCCAAAATCTGCTCCAACTTCCCAGACGACTACTGGATGGAGAAAGATTACTCAGGCGAATATCCGTACGAACTACATTCAGCGTTATCGAAGGATGGCTGGATTGGCATTGCTTTGCCTGAAGAACTGGGCGGTGGAGGACTAGGTATCTCAGAGGCGACGATGATGCTGCATACCATTGCAGAAAGCGGGGCCGGAATGGCTGGAGCCCAGTCGATACACGCCAATGTCTACGCAACTCAACCTCTCGCCAAATTTGCTACCGAAGACCAGAGAGGTCGCTTCCTGAAAAAGATCATCACTGGTGAATGGCGGACGTGTTTTGGGGTTACAGAGCCGAACACTGGTCTCGACACACTCAAGCTCAAGACCAGTGCCGTTCCAGATGGTGATGGATACCGGGTATCAGGAGCCAAAATCTGGATCACCAACGCCCAAGTTGCCCAGAAGATGGTCCTACTCGCACGAACCACTCCTTTGGAAGATGTGAAGAAGCCGAGCGAAGGCCTGAGCATGTTCTACATCGACCTGGACAAGAGCAATCCCGGCCTCGAGGTCAAGAAGATCACGAAGATGGGCGGCCGAGCTGTCGATGCGAATCAAGTCTTCTTCGATAATTACTGGATTCCCAAAGACTCACTGATTGGTGAAGAAGGCAAGGGATTCAAGATCATCCTTCACGGAATGAACGCCGAGCGATGCCTACTCGCAGGTGAAGCCCTTGGTCTAGGCTACGCAGCACTCAAGAAGTCGACCGAATACGCCCGTGAAAGAGTAGTCTTCGGCAGACCAATTGGTCAGAATCAAGCAATTCAGCATCCTCTGGCATCAGCATACATGCAACTCGAAGCCGCGAAGCTCGCAACATACCATGCAGCAAGGCTCTACGACCGCAGCTCGCCCAATCACCTAGAGTATGATGACAGCATAACGCAACATCAAGTCGGTGTTGCAGCAAACAGTGCCAAGTACGTCGCCGCAGAAGCCGCATTCACGGCATGTGAAAGAAGTGTCATGTCCATGGGCGGCATGGGCTACGCAGCGGAATATCATGTGGAGAGATATTTGAGGGAATGTTTCGTGCCACGTCTGGCACCCGTGAGCAGGGTGAGTTCGAGTCCGATCAAGTGATCGGAAAAAGTATTACGGCTGACATGGCTCATACAGGAAATGATTATGAATTTCATCGGCGAAAAAGCCCTTGGACTGCCACGGAGCTATTGATCGTGGTGAACAATATCGGCTTCTCTATTAGCGTATCCGGTTTGTGCATACTGAGCTCTACAGCATTACCTTCTCGTCGTCAATGCCCGTACTATGCAGTTTTCGGCCCATCTGTATGCAAAGGCATAGCTTTGACCTGTCGCGCCAGCCCCTCCCCACCCGCACCCCGCCGGCTAATGCTCTGCGACTTCACCCTGTCAGCTCTCTCTAGTCAATACAATGGATGACCTCGGTGCCGCTTTGTCAATATTTCTTCGCAATTTCACTCGCATTAGGTACCATATGCGATGACTGAGATTTCAGCCCGCAACACTCACCAAGATCCTTTGACATTTATCATCTGACTCCTGAAGGATTCGTCTCTAGTGGTAGGTAGGGATACCGCCTTTACCACTTCTCTCTGTTTCCCAACTATCTTCGATAACGTTTTACTTCCCATCTCTTGCTATATACGCGACCATGCCTCACGCACAGGTGCCTTCACTCAACATCCCAGACCATCCACAATGCGATCCACAAAAGATTCGCATCATCCACGTCGGTATGGGCGCGGCTGGAATGCTCTGCGCCTACAAGGCCAAGAAGATGCTCACTAACTACGAGCTCGTCTGCTACGAGAAGAACTCCGTACCTGGTGGAACCTGGTACGAAAACCGATATCCCGGATGTGCTTGCGATATGTAAGTTTGCTGACCAAATGCTACTGGCTTCGTGGAAGTTAACGACCGCATTCACTTGCTAGTCCAGCACATACCTATACCCTGCCCTTTCATCCAAACCCAAATTGGAGTTCGTACTATGCCTACGCTCCTGAGATCCAGGAGTACTTGATGGATTTTTACAAACACCACAACCTCCACGAATTCATCAAGCTCAACACAGAAGTCCTCAACGCCCAGTGGGATGATCTCCAAGGCCTGTGGAACGTCGAGCTCAAGAACGTCAAAGACGGCAGCACCTTTCGAGACACCTGCAATGTCCTCATCAACGGCTCCGGCGCCCTGACAAAATGGAAATGGCCAAAGATCGAAGGCCTTCACGATTTCAAAGGCGTACTGGCACATTCTGCGAATTGGCCGCAAGAGCTGGACTGGAGCGGCAAACGAGTGGCGGTTATTGGTTCGGGGTCTTCTTCGATTCAAATGGTACCGCAATTCGCCAAGACAGCCTCCAAACTGACCGTCTTCCTCCGCAACCAGACGTACATCGCCGCCCAGTTCGGGGCCAACGTAACCAACACCGAAGCTGATCCGGAGGCCATGGATCCAGCGGCTGCTGGGAAGCATCAGTACACTGAGAAAGAGAAGCAGCGATTTCGAGACGATCCCGCTTACCTCACCGAATACAGGACAAAACTGGAAAGATCCATCGTGGGCGGGTGGAACATGTTCATTCGAGGCAGCGAGTTGAATGTCATGTTCAAGGAGTTCACCCAGAATCAAATGAAAACAAGACTCGGCGAGAGGGATGATTTGAAGGAACTGATGATCCCAACATGGAGCCCGGGATGTCGAAGGTTGACGCCTGGCGAAGGCTACCTGGAAGCATTGGGGAAGGAAAACGTCGAAGTCGTCTGGGGCGAGATCGAAAAAAGTCACCGAAAAGGGACTCGTCACATCTTCAGGTCAAGAAATCGAAGTCGACATCCTCGCCTGTGCTACCGGATTCGATGTGCAGTACCTTCCACACTTCAAGATTACCGGCCTGGGTGGCCAAATCATGCAAGACCAGACCGCACCCAACGTCTACGCATCCATCACCAGCCCCGGCTTCCCCAACTACTTCGTCATCGGCGGCCCGCGAGGGAACTGGGCGCAAGGAACGGTATTCCCCTCGCATGAGACGCAGATGGTCTACGTTATCCAGTGCTGTCGAAAGATGCAAGAGGACCAGATCAAAAGCATGCACCCGAAGCAGCACATCACCATACAACTCAACGCATATCTAGACACCTGGCACACAAAGGTATCCCACCCTCCCCCTCCCCTTGCCCTCCACAACTAACCCACCCCCCTCCCAGTACTCCATCTGGGCCGAACCCTGCAAATCCTGGTACAAAGCCAAAGACCCACACGGCCAAGTCATGACCTGGGCGGGCTCCCTCCTGCACCTCCTGAAATTCCTCAAACGGCCCCGCTACGAGCACTACGAGATCGAGTACCGCGATCCGGATAATGTATTTGCGTTTTTGGGGAATGGGACCACGATTGGCCAGGTTAGGTATGGGGCTGAGGTGCCTGTGCCGTATATTAGGGATGGGGATGGTGGGGAGTGGGATATTGAGTAGAGGGGTGTCTTTTTGCATGCTCATACGTTCCTAGCTCCTTCATGGTTTCTCTCATCGCTCGCCTAAAGAAGAGGGTTGCAGATCGTCCACCCCTAGCCTTCACTCACTGAAGGCGCGTGAACTTAAGCAACTGCCCTTTTAGGAAGCTCTGTAAACGACCAGCGATCGATTGCTCGTCCATTTGACAAGGATTAATACCGCGTGCTTTGATATTGCTCGTTGTCTCTCAGTCTGGGAGGAGCTAGCAATTGTAGTGCTTGCATATCCAGTGCCAAGAATGGCAGTTTGTGACCTACACGCGGCTTCGTCTTTCCTTGGGCCTGAAATTCCTTGTTCAAGACCGAAGATCAAACTGATATGGTCGTTGTTACTTGACGAGAGCGAAGCAACCTTTGAATCGATTTTGGATGGCCTTCTTCTTCTTCGTTTTGAGCGTGAAGGTGCCTGGATGTTTGCGCTTGTCCAAGAGCTCGTTGGAACGATAATCTGTTGGTATGGGCTGTTGATAAAGCCAAGCCCATAGGCTCACCAGCAGCATCTCCAGTGCTCTTGCAGCACACCGACTCATAAATCCATATCGTTCGTAAAGAACCACCTCTTGCCTTGATGTTCATTCAAACCCCACGCCAGATCATCCGCCATCTAACAACCCCTCTTAAACGTCCTCCTCCTCCTCCTCCCCGCCCTCCTCGTCCGCGCCTTCCCTTCTCTCGCGCACTACAACTCCGCCGCCTGGTCCAAAATTAGCTGCATCAGCCCGAACCTCTACTCCACCACGGGCGACGCGTTCGAAGGCTACCGAGGCAGCGTATGCCTGTTAACCTGTCTTTCTGTCGTTCAGCTTTCTTGACCGCTAGATGGAGGTATGTCCCTATCTTGTCGTTGTTTCTGGTAGTGGTTATAACGCAATGTCGAGGTAAGGAGTGTGAATAAAGGTCCGTTCCCCGTTCCGCGTCCCTGTAGCAAGCAACCAAGCAAGAGAGTGAGGTGTTGGACCCTAAAGGAGAGATGGAGAAAAGACTGGAGGAAGTGCCCTGACCTGACCGGATCATCATCGACTCGACTCATTCTTGCTCCTTAACCCAGGGAGCTGTTCGTCGTGCTCCGGGTATTCTTCGTCTCAAGTACGTCTCGTCTCATCCCATTCTCCAATCGCTCGCGCCGTACAAGACGAGAAGAGAAAGCTACGTGCAAGGTCCAGGCTGGCACGCGATCGGAGGCTCCGCCATGTCGACCAAGCGCGACGGGCTGAAGCTCTGTGCGTCAACGGATTGTACGGCGAGTTGTGTGAGGGCGGATGATGCGAGTGGGTGACGCGTTCTGGGACCGTCGGGTTATGAGGAGATATTGGCAGTTGGGAGGCTGTTCGTGGTTGAGGGTGGAGAGGAGGAAGATGGCGCAGATGAGGAGGAGGGGATGGTGGCCTTTCTGCGATGCGAGACTAGTTTGTCGTTGCTACGTGAGGATGAGGTAGAGTAGCCATGTAACTCGGCGTGATTGCACCGGTAGGAATGTGAGGGCGACGGCGTATTTCGCGTTCGAACCTGACGGACGGACGGCGAAGACGCGTGTTATTTGCCTTCTGCTTCTTTAGACGCTGTACTTCAACTCCAACTTGCCACTCACCAATAAAGCCACATCAACAACCACCACAAACCTCCGGCGAAAGAACGTTTTTAACCTCCCACCATCCCACCATCGTCGTTGAAAACAACCTCCAAACATGTCGGCGCCTTCTACTCCAACACCACTGCTGCAAATCACCAATGGCCACTAGAAACTCACCTTGGGCAACTTCACCCACACCTTCGCCCACCCCGAGCTCCTCAAAGAGGCCCTGACCGTCCCTATCGCCTACCTCCCCTCCAACATGCAAGGCAGACCCACACTACGCAAAGACGGAAAGAAGCTGGCGTTCCTGGGTGACTCAGCCCTGAAGACCATCATGGCGACGTCGTGGGCGGCGGTAGATGGACAGGATTCTCGTAAGTCTAATAATCCATCAGCGAGAGAGACGCGACGCACACAACGGCACTAACATTCATCACCCGCAGTTTTCTGGACGACGCACTTCGACAACGGCATCGGCAAAGACTCCTTCCTGGGGCGCCTGGGCGACGCCATCGGCATCTTGCACCACCTCGTCGCCGCCGACGGAGACCGCATGACGGCCGAGTTTTGGGAGCAGCCGCCCCTCAACCCCAACAAGAACCCGAAGCAAAAGACGAAGCTCGTCAACGAGAAGAACAAGCCCGTGCCGAGCGCGATGGAGGCGTTGCTGGGCGCGATCTGGACGGATTGTTTGCGCGGTGAGCCGAGACGTGAGCCGGTCCAGAGGGTGAAGGCGTTCTTGTGGCATTTGGGCGTTTCGTGGCCTAGAGATGAGGAAGAGCGGGAAGCGGTGAAAGAGATGATTGACATGGCAGACGAGGTGACGAAGGAGAAGAATGAGATTGCTGCGAAAGAGGCTGGTATGGGCGAGGAGGGCAGTGGTCAGGCTGCTGCGGAAGGCGGGTCTTGATCGACAAAGAGCTGGCTTCAAGGAGAACATTCGTTCCTGCTTGAGTTTCCAGTATCAAGCCAGTCTCGACCTCTTCGAAATGGTACCAGGTTCGTTACGACTAGTTCCACCGTCTTCTCTCCTCTTTCCATACTGCTGGTTGTAGACCATTCGCCACTGCTGCTGAATCGCCACAAGACTATCCAGATGCTGTCTCGCGCTCGGGAAAATTGTGCTCAACTCATCCAACGCCCGGAAAAGGGTCGTCAAGTCTGGCAGAATCTCCTTGGCCCGGTTCTCACCTCCTCGACCAGACACGGAAGCAAAGATCAAGATGAGTGCTGCCGAAGGGAGGAGTTGTGATGTCTCAACATCGAGCCGGTGATAGCCCCAATCCTTCTCGAAGATGTGGAGAATTTGAGCCATGGCGCAAGCCGATTCTATGCACGTCTTACGGGCATGACGGAAGCCACGGCCTTGGGCTGGGAGAGGCTGGACGCGGCGTGAGGTCCAGGGACGGTGGACTAGGATTTGGAGATAGTGGTACTCAATACTGTCAATGGCGAGTTAGTACGTCAGCGCAAGAAACATCCGCAGCTGGTTTGGTTACTGCTTACTGCAAGACGAGCAATTGTGGAACGATCGGCGAAGGAGTCACTTCAGAGACTTGAAGATCATCCGCCAGCCGATCTTTCCATTGGAACATCGCGCATGTTGCAGCTTCGGACAGTTCCTGGAGTGGCTTGGCGGCAATCGTTGTGTTTCCGTATCTGAATGTCGTCGATCAGTCTAGAACTCAACGAAACGAGCAAGCATCTTACAAAGCCCGTGCAATGGGCTCAACAGTGTCCAGTAATGCAATTCTTTGCTCGCAGATCGCATCGACTAGATTTGGCATCGGTCTTGCTTGGCTATATCCATCTTTGGGTATATCTGCTGTGCGTGGGAAGGGCGACCATTGCGTCTGTGAGGATGGAGATGCTGGCCGAGGTCCAGAAACGTTCAGCTCCGACGCATCTAGTGTGAATGGTCTTCCTAAGGAGAAGCTCGATCGACTGTACCACATCAGTATTCGCGCAGTCGGTGGAAGTGGAACGACCCACTAGTTCAAGGCGTAAGATGCCCAAAAGACCATGGCCCGGGTATGCGACTCCTCGGCCGTCATAACGCCCTGTGCGGCGTAAAAATCTGTACTGATGTGAAGTCCCAAGTCGAAACAAAGTCGCATCGCCATACCTAGTGAGAACACATGTTAGTAGTAGTCCTTCATCTCGTATCAGTCTAACACATACCACCGTACAGCCATGAACGTGCAGTGCGTTGAACGCCAGCCTCGTAACTGCTCAACAGCAACAACGCCTGAACCGTAGAGACACATGGACTATCCAGCTCGATCTCAAGCAAAATCTTACTCCGCTCAGCGAAGAATTCTGCCAGCGTGCGAGGGAAGGTCACAAGTCTAGCGTGATAACGAGTCTCATGGCTAGCGCCGATAGCACACCTGTTCATGGTATCAGTCTCAAATTTTCACGATGAAGGCTGAAGAGGCGAGACTTACATAGCATTCAGAAGGACGTCGGAATAAAATCCATTGTTCTCTTCACTATCCTTCCACTGCCTCCTTGCATTTGAAAACATCGGTTCGTCTACCACGGCATGGCATGAGTTGTACCAGGAGAAGAATAAGCCCAGGAAGTGCTCTTCGAGATCATCGTCTATTGACTGATCTAGATCTGCATTGCGGAGGAGCCTTCGCCCTTCCCACTTCAAGGAACGTGGTTTTGATGATGCTGCAGAGGGACCACTGCTGTTGAAGAGATAAGTATTCGCTGGAGCGCCAAAATAACGTAGCTTGCCGTCTCGAGCCAGGTGCAGAGCACCTACTCGTGCGGCGATCTGACCAATTAGTTCAGGGTTGACTTCGTCGTCTCCGTCGCTATCTCCTCCGTTGGCTAGGCCTTGTGAGTTCCGCCGTGAGCGTCCGGCGCCATTTGCAGCATCTGCCATGAAGTCGAGCGTCGTGTTGATTGAGTCTGGTTGAAATTCCATCTCAGGTACGAACATCCCCATCCATGGCCAGTCGGGAGAGAGATTGTCATCCCACGAGAGGAGAGACAGGTCAGAGAAGGAGGCCGGTTCTGTGAAGGTGTTTTCTTCGTTGTTGACCAGAGAACCTCCGCCATGCATGAGTGCATTATTGATATCATGTTCAGCCTGAGCAGTATTGCTGGATGACGGCTTAAGGCTATAGTCTGTACCACCAGTCGGCTCGCCGAGGTCAGGCAATGTGGGTATGCCACCAGTGGCAGACACCCTCTCTTCGGCAACGCCGGCAGGCACACTGAGCTTTTCCAGTCCGACGGCATCGAATATACGATTGACAACGTTTTCGTCATCTTCGCACATGGGAGGTACCGTTATCCTATTATCCGCGAGCATACCCTGCAATGTCTGGATGCGGCGATGTAGCACTGCCAGTGCAGGACGAAACGATAGTCTACAGCCGTCAGCTATCGACCGTGGAGTGGACAAGGGTGCTACAATCTACCGGCGGCCATCTTCACGATCTTCATACCGGCACAGCTTGTTTCTACGACGACAGTTAGCACATTGGGGTGTGCTGCCATCGCACTGTCTCTGGTCAGCCAAGTCGGGTTCACGTGAGCAGCTACCTTACTTTTATTTTGCTGTCCCGACAAGGTTTGCACGCGGTAGTGATGTGCTTTCGGCGTGTGTTGGGTGCTGTGGCTGTCGTGCTCTGCATTGTCACTTGTCATTGATCGATTACTAGAAAGTTTAGTCGGTCATAGTTGAAATCGTCTCCATAGTCGCCAACCATGATGAGGGTAAGATGGGGAAAATTGCGGGGAAGGGGCGAGTGAATGTTTTGCCGCCTCGGCCCGACGTTTTTCCGCCGACGCAGACATAACAGCATTTGTCGACAACTGCATCTTCTATCGAAATATAAGAAAATACTACATCCGACAATACAGAACCCGTATGCCATTAAAGCTTGCCGTCTACGTGTGAGCTTTTCACCTATGGCTCAAGGATGTGAGACCACCGAGTCTGGCCTGCATTCCTACACATACGGACGCTGTTTCTAGAGCGTCCCACATCACCAATCTCAAGATCATTCAAGTTCACTGGAGGTACCGAGAAGATGATTTGCTGCTCCATCCCTCCGATGCTTCGTTCGGTTTACTCAGCCTGGCTTCAGCCTCTATCATGGCCCTCGCAATTGTCTCGCATCGAACACTTCAGGTGTTGCACAAGATAGAAGTGGGCATTGAACAGGATTTATCTTTCGTGAGCTACGATAATCCACATGAAGCGAACTCAGCCGATCTTGGTCCAACTGCATGTGCGACTTCGTGAATACCTGAATTCACCCGACGCTCACATAAGACGGCCCGCATGAATTCCCCCCGTGACCAAAACATCCTCCGATGTCTGATACGCACTTGCATCTGAAAGCAGATAAACTGCCAAACCTTTCAAGTCCACTCGGTCCGCCATCCGCCGCATTGGCGGCTCTGTGTCCATGATGTGTCCAAGGTGTGGCATTCGATTGCACAGATCCAATGTCATATCCGTCTCAGTGTAGCTAGTCATGGGTCAGTAACCTCTTCCTTCTCCTTTGTATCATGAAAAACTCTTACCCTGGCGATATACTGTTGACTCGAATATTGTAGGGGCAGAGTTCGACGCCAAGTGCCTTACACAACGAGACGACAGCCCCTTTGCTGGAGCAGTAATCGCTTGTGTTCTGACCCTTGCTCGCCACATAAGCCGCAATGGATGCGATCATCACGATGTTACCACCGCCCTTGTTGAAGGATGTCGGCGCCTGCTTCTTCATCTGTGCACCACACAATTGAGCTGCGTAGTAAGTTCCTAGGACGTTGATGTTGAAGGTCCGGGCGACGGACTCAGGGCTCCGCTCGAAGAATGGCTCGTCGGCGCATATTCCTGCCGCTGTAACACTGCGACTATCAGTATGGGGCCAATAGACGGTTTCAAGCACGCATACAGTCCGTCAATTCGTCCAAAATCTGAGACAATGGCGTCCACTGATCGTTGGAGCATGTCATATGCTGTGACATCAGTTCTGTTGAAGAAATCAGTCCGCAATCTATCAAGTGGCTGGTTGAGACGCACTTGTATATCTTGAACTGTTGTTCAGGGAATCTCTCTTTCAAAAGATGAAAGTGCGCATGTGGCTCATCCGAGACGTCCAAGATGGCAACATTGCCACCGACCTCTGCCACCGCGAAAGCGAAGGCCAGACCAATACCACGACCGCCTCCCGTGATCACAATCGTTCGACCTTCAAGCGAGAACAACTGCTGGACAGTGCGATGAAGAAAGCCATCTGTGCTCTTCTTGACACCATTGGGCGATGTTCCATTCATGATGAAAACAAAAAATCGAATATAGACTGGACAGAGTCAAAACGAAAGCCAGGAATGTCGACAAGCGTCGTGATCGAACAAATGTACAGCACCTGAGGGATTCACGGAGATCGACCCGTTCCATGTGCAAGAGGCTGTCTGAGTTGGAACTCTTTTCCCGCGGCATTCGGCACAACACCGACGAGCATGAGGATACATACAGTTGGATCGAGAAAGCAAGCAAACGGCAATATAGGGCGCAAATATGACGCTACTCGAGGTTTCCCATCCAGCAGGCCTTCACACCGCGAAAGTCCTCCGCGAGCATTCCAAAGGTCGAGCTTCTGTTTCAAACGCCGAAGTCGAGGAACATTCACCACCACGTCCCCATCCCAATACGATTAACGACGACGATTATGCCGTTCTGAGTGCTCGCAACCTACTTTTCGACATCTGCAATCAGAATGGAGGTGGCCATGGTGGTTCAGCCATTGGCATGGCTGCGATTGGCGTTGCTTTGTACAAATACGCAATGCGATATAACCCATCGAATCCAGAATGGTTTGACCGGGACCGGTTTGTTCTATCCAATGGTATGATATCAATGAAGCGCATATGATTTCTGTGATACTGAGATTGCTTAGGTCATGCCGCAATGATCCTCTATGCATTCAATCATCTTGTTGGCTATGATGACTGGACGATGGAAGAGTTGAAAGGATATGGAAGTGCTAAGCTCGATGGCTTCACTACACTATGCCACGCACACCCTGAAATAGAGGTTCCCGGGGTGGAAGTGACTACGGGTCCACTTGGGCAAGGCGTTGCTAACGCAGTCGGTCTTGCGATTGCCTCGAAAAACTTGGCCGCCAAGTTCAACCAGCCGGGCTACGATATCGTTCAATCTCGGATCTTCTGTACCACCGGAGATGGCTGTCTTATGGAAGGCGTGGCTCTCGAGGCTGTGTCTCTTGCTGGCCACTTGCAACTAGATAACTTGGTTCTCATCTATGACAACAACCAAATCACATGTGATGGACCACTGGACTGGATCAACACCGAAGATGTCAACAACAAGATGAGAGCTTGCGGATGGTGCGTCTTGGAAATTGACGATGGTAACCACGATGTATCCAGGATTGTTACTGCTCTCGACTTTGCCCGATCGGTCAAAGGCAAGCCAGTCTTTATCAACATCAGGACGGTGATTGGAGTCGGGACGGGAGTGGCTGGAACTGCCAAAGCACATCACGGCGTCTTTGACAAAGACAGCGTCACCAAGTCCAAGATCGCGGCAGGCGTTGATCCAAACGCAACTCACCAGGTCTCTTCTCGTGCGTTGTCATACTTCCGCGAAAGGAAAGCCCAGGGTGAGCGTCTGAATGCTGAATGGGAACGTCTTGTCCAGCAGTACAGCAAGGAGCACCCAGACCTATACCGAACACTCCAGCGAAGACGAGCTGGCAACATCAATGATGAAATTTTCAAGATGATCGAGTCCATGGACTCATCTACAATGCAGGAACTGGCCACACGTGAGTCGAACGGCTTGATCATGGAGAAATTATGGCCGCTGTGTGAGGCTCTATGTGGAGGAGGAGCAGATCTGGCAAACTCAAACAAGATTTATCAATCGGCGACCGATGTCTTCTTGCCCTCCCACTACGGCGGCAGATATATTCGCTACGGTATCCGCGAACATGCCATGGCGAGCATATCGAACGGCATAGCCGCTTACAATCACGGCACGTTCATTCCCATCACCGCCACGTTTTTGATGTTTTATCTATATGTGAGTCTCTCTCCGTCTCAAAGACCTACCTCCGAGTATATGAGCTTACGAGTCTTGAACAGGCAGCACCTGGTGTTCGCATGGGAGCCTTAAGCCACCTCCAAGCCTTACACTTTGCAACCCACGATTCGTTCGCCGAGGGTCAGAACGGTCCCACACATCAGCCGGTGGAAGTCGACTCACTATATCGTGCCATGCCCAATATTGTCTATTTCCGGCCGTGCGATGGCGAAGAAGTTCTGGCGGCGTGGAAAGCTGGACTTCTCGCCACAAAGCGACCGACTATGGTGTCGCTGGGCCGCGATCCAATGGGTATTATTCCAGGCACAAGTCGTCAATACGCCCTGAAAGGAGCGTACGTATTACGGGAAAACAGTGAGGCAGACATCACACTTGCGAGCTGTGGTACATGCATGCACCACGTGGTTACTGCTGCCGATCGCCTCGAAGCCGCCGGCATACGTACACGACTTGTCAGCGCTCCCAGCTTTGACCTTTTCGAGGAGCAGTCGGAGGAGTACAAGAAGTCTGTCTTCCCAACTGATGGTCGACCCATAGTAAGCGTCGAGGAGTATGTTGCAACAACGTGGGCCAGATATGTGACTGGTAGCATTGGCATGACAACGTATGGATACTCTGCTTCTGGGGCGAGCAACTGCACAAGGTTTGGGCTGGATGCCCCTGCCATTGAACAGAAAGTACAGCGGTACTTGAAGGAAATGAAAGGGGGGAGTGCAAGGCAAGCAGGTTGGAAAAGGCTGGACTGATGGCAGGTCAAGATATGTCTTTGGTGTGAGCATTCAATGTAATACTTCAGACTCTTGGACGTGCCATTATCTCATTATCGACGCCCCTGAAAGGTTGTAGTGCTCTCAGCAGAAGCTGGCAACTTGCACTGCGTCAAAGTTTTGGCAGTACTTTGCTGCCCCTAGGGAACTGAGATTCTCCTTCATTCACCGCCAGAAAGATCGAGGTGTGACGCCTCACCTTCTCAGTTGGATACAATGAGCATGACCAGACAGGGGTTCAGTCTCTCTCAAAGTCACGAGCGATTGTCATTGGTTCGAGTGTACTTGGAATTACCGCCCTTCAAATCGCGGAACCATTGACTTCTAATCATGCAATATCAAGACAAATTCTCGCCACATGGCAAGTCTTTCCTGCTACAATCATAGAATCTGTTGTAAAATGCTCGGGGCTTTTTCTACCGACAAGGCAATCGTCATCGAATGCCGTATGAGGAGACAAACACCGAGCAGCGGCGGTGATATGCTTCAGGTCTCGTCCGCGATGGATTTTCAAACCCTCCAACTGCGGGTACCCGGCCAAGTCAAAAGAGTTCACCTTGGCCATCGTGATCTCGGCCTTGAAACCCGCTCCATTGGGATTTGACTTCCATATCAGAATTCCGAGAGACTGGGCGGGAAATTGATCCCGAACGGGGATCGAACTCCGCTGCAGTTGCCATAGATGTATCAAACAGAGGATTTGTTTGAATTGGATTGAGCAGTCGAACGTTCAGTGACAGTCCCATTGCCATCATGTCTGAGTACGCCTCTAACTTGGATGCTATCATCATCGGCGCCGGCCCTGCCGGCATTGCCATGGCATATCAATTGAAGCACAAGCTTGGGTTCGAGGAGTTCACTGTTTACGAGAAGTTGGACGGCGTTGGTGGGACCTGGTATGGCAGAGATGCTCCAGATCGTCTTTTGCGCTAGAACTAGCTTGCTGACCTCCAATTCTCTAGGCGGACCAACACCTACCCAGGCTGGTAAGCTTTCGTCTGACCGATTTTTGAAGCTTGATATGTTGACAACGACTAGTGGCTGCGACCTGCCCTCACATCTCTATTCATTCAGTTTCAATCTGAACCCCAACTGGTCCAAACAATTGTGCGAGCAACCAGAGATTTTACAGTGTGAGTGCATGAACAGTCCAAAGCCATTGAGTAGAGCCCAGGCTGACAGAAGGCTGCAGATATGGAGGACACGGTCGACAAATTCGATCTACCCAAGCACGTCCACATGCATCGAATGTATTGGCGCAGAGTGGAAAGCTAATCTCAAGAAATGGAAAGTTCACTTGAAAGATATCAGCACTGGAGCAGACTACTATCGGCACGCGTCAGTTTTTGTCTCCGCCGTAGGGGCGATCTCGTTCCCGCGAGACGTCAGGCTCTCGGGTATGGAAGACTTCAAGGGCCCAATGTTTCACACTGCTCGCTGGGATCATTCTGTCTCATGGAAAGGCAAGAGAGTGGCAGTGATTGGGAATGGGTGTAGTGCGGCGCAAGTCGTTCCGGCTATATCAAAGGGCGCAGCTTTCGTCAAGCAATATGCTCGCAGCGCACAATGGTATCACCCTCGACCGAATCATCGGTTTACGGCTTTCGAGAAATGGGCCTTCAGATGGATCCCACTTTGGCAGCGACTTCTTCGGCTGGGTATATTTCTCGAAGCCGACGAACAGACGACGGCGTACTTCCCAACACCAAAAGGCAAACGGGTCCGAGCTGCAGCTGAGAAGGAATCAACTGAATACATTCGATCAAAGGCGCCAAAGAAATACTGGGACTTCATCGTCCCAGACTTTCCGCTGGGCTGCAAACGACGAATCTTCGACCCCGACTACCTCGACGCGCTAGCACAGCCTAACGTCGAGCTGCTCAACCACGGAATCGACCACATAACAGAGACAGGCATCGTCTCTTCTGGTGGCGATGTGGAATCATTCGACATCATAGTTCTCGCCACCGGCTTCCAAGTCGCAAATTTCCTGACACCAATGAAGATCATTGGGGCACACGGAGCAAGCCTGGAAGAGCAGTGGAATGAGAGCCGTGGCGCTCAAGCCTACATGGGCACATACGTCCACAACTTCCCCAACCTTGCCATTATCTTTGGCCCGAACACGTTCCCAGCCAACAACTCCGCCCTATTCGCCTGCGAAACCCAAGTCGACTACGCGGTCAAATCACTCTTTGAGCCATTGGCAGATGGTAGAGCCGACATCATTGAGGTCAAACGAACCGCAGAGGACTCAGCAACGCAGAAGATCCACCATGAGTTGACTGCGTCTGTCTTCGCGGGCGATTGTTCCAACTGGTACATCGGGAAGCATGGGCGAAACGCAGCATCCTGGCCTGGTCTCGCTCGGTCGTTCTGGCTGGCAACCTATTTTCCAAACTGGAAGGCTTTCAATATGAAAGGTGGGACAATCTTCTGGCCTCTTAAGGCTTTCCAGCGTCGCGTGCTCCAAATCCTTACATCTTCCACAACATATCAGCTGTCGGCGATTCTGGTGGTGACGATGATGATGTTTGGAGATCGCCAAGGAGTTTTGAGTGCCATGACGGCGGTCAGACATGGGCTGGGGAACAGACTGCTGGGCTGGCGACGATAGAAGGGACGATCATCTGGAGGCAAAATCAAATCTTTTCCATGACCGCAGAAGTCAACTTTCGTTCCTCCCCCTTAACTTGCACAACCTTTGTGCCAACTTTTTGAAACCCTAAGTGCGCATACAAAAGCTCCCCCATAGGACTCGCAAACACCGTTGTAGGTCAACCTCTTTCTCTGGCAGCGTATAGTCCCCACTCCGTCAGCATTGCACCTGCTCCGAGCGGTCGATAGTCTGGATGGGTGACAAGTAGCCAAAGGTGAATTTGCTTCTCTTCATACTTTGCAAAGTACTTTCGAAAACTTTCTCCGGCAGCTTCTGTAAAGGCCCGGCAGTGTTCTTTGTTGGCATCTCTTCTTTCGTCAAGACCTTTATCTGTTCACACCGATGTTAGCGGAGACGAGATCCAACATGGACAGTCATTCAAACTACCTGTGCCATGTGCTTTGGTCAGAACAGCAGCATCCCACACGGCAATAGCGACTGGGTTTCGACCGCCGTCGCCTACAGAGTCGCCACTTCGAGCCTCGACCAGATGAACCACAAAGTTCTTAACCTGCTCTATATAACCTTCATACTCCATACGTGTCCATTTGAGGTAGTCTTCTGGGAACTCATCACGGCGGGGAAAGCGATAGTGGACTTCAGGATCATCAGGAAACCCGGCGTGAACGATTTGCACAATGCTATCCAGATCGTCTTTGGTGGCAGCTCGCAGGGCCAGGCTGTCTCGCTGATATACTGGCAGCCTGCTTGTGGTATCCATTTGAGGTGCTTTATTCAAAAGAGAACGGTCAATGCCATGAGGAAAGAATTCTTACTTTGAATGGTCTTAGCTCTTTGAGCTTCGCCATTGGTGCACCGTTTCGACAGGATGACAGCCTATTCCTCTCGGTTCCTCGCAAATCTAGCCCCAAAAGCAATGTCTGGTGTTCGCCTTGATCTTGTGATTGAAACGTTTTTCTGGAAACAGACAAAGACCTCAGCAGAACGTTGATGTAGGTTCGAGCATAAAGACGTATGATACGGTGGTGTTCCGGCCAGTTCCAATGCCTGTTAGATCAACACTATCAATCAGTCAGGTATGAAGCCGATATATCGCGACTCCGTCTCCTCGGAGAATCCAGTTTGTTCCTGCTTCCTTCTGCTCGTGAACACGAGCTTGTAGTACCAACGTGTTGGTTGCCATTCCTCGAATCACGCTGCCTGCTGAACCGAATCGAGACCCATGATGGTCACCACTGACGCAAGAATTAGGATAAAAGTACTTTGGTGACACAGAACGTCCTTGGGGTATAGGCTTACCAAGACGAAGCAGAGATTGGACAGAAATAGGATGAGACTTGACCGATGGTAGACTGTACGAGTAGCTCGGCCCGAACGTACTTCGGCTTCAGCCCTATAGTCACTTCCGGCCCCATATCGATCATCTCTCATGCCGGTCCATTGCAGTAAGTGTCGGACCGATCGGGAACTGTGCACTGGGCACCGTAGTAGCTCAATGACGATATTGATTGGCCCAGTACGTTTTTCCTACCGGTCCGCTCATTCTACATATCTCCTCCTAAACGACTCCAAACGAGCTTAGAAGTCAGTGACACAGAAACTTTACGATGATACTCTCGACCATAATGTGTACAATAGAGGCGTCCAACAGAATGATACTTATACCATCAACACGACGTTACAGTCTGAGAGCTCCACTTGTACTACCATTTCATTCGAACTACAGCTCCGTCAATAGACTCATAGCCAACAACCGTACACAAAGACCCACAATATTGACTTGGTAACACGATGTCCGCGAACAGCACAAACATTGCAGACATCCCTTTCCCGAACTACGTTGAGAGCGAATCCCCGATTTCCAGTTCAAGGACGGCAAAAAGCTCGACCAGCTCAAGATCAACTATCGAACAATCGGCGAGCTGAAGAAAGATGAGAACGGCAAGGCGACCAACGCAGTCATGCTCCTCCACGCCACCACAGCAAGTGGTGCGCAGTGGCTCACTCAAACAACCGCCGGTAACCTCTTCCAGAGTGGACAAGCCATTGACGCCTCGAAATACTTCATCGTCATCCCGGACAGCATTGGGCACGGACAGTCCAGCAAACCATCTGACGGTCTACAGTCCGGATACCCTAGTTACGTCTTCGACGACATGATCGAGGCCCAATATCAGCTATTGACTGAAAACCTTGGAGTCGACCACCTCCGCCTCGTAATGGGCACAAGCATGGGCGGAATGCACTCCTAGGTCTGGGCGACCACACACCCAACCTTCATGGACAACTGCTGCGCCGTTGCTTGTGCACCCGCAGAGATCGGAGGCCGCAACCGAGCATTCCGTAAGGCTGCGATGGAGAGCATCACATCCGACCCAGGCTACAACGGCGGCAAATACACGACCCAGCCGCGCGGTTTCGCTCTCGGACTCCCAGATCGTTCTGTATATGATCAGCTCGCCGCTCCGATGGCAGCTAGATGGACCTGACCGTGAGAGTTCCGACGTCATTACGAATAGCTACGTCCAGAATGAACTCGCGAGACAAGATGCCAACGACTTTGTTTACGCTTTCGCTGCGAGTGCAGACTATGACCCTCGGCCTAAGCTTGGAGACATCGAAGCGAGTTTCATGGCTATCAACTTCGAAGACGACCAGACCAATCCGCCGCAGCTCAAGATCCTGGAACGGGAGATCCAGAAGGTAAAGAAGGGCAGCTTTGTGATTGTGCCTGCTTCGGAGAAGACATATGGTCATTCGAATCAGGGACACGCCGAGTTTTGGGAGCAGTATGTGCGTGAGGTGTTGAAGAATTGAGCGTCGTAATCGCAATCAAGGTGTGAAGGTGCAATTGCATTTCTAGGGAGTAGCATTGATAGGCGTTGATATAGCTTGAGTCACATAGATGTTGTTTTGATGGAATTGTCTCAGGATGCATGTTCTTATCGCTGGGGACTCTTGCCATATTCCTTTTCCTCTATCCACCCCGACGTTGACCTTAGCAAAGCCAGACACAAATACCCGAATTTCGTTTCATGACTTCACCAGGCTGTCTATTCTTATAGAAACTTAATCTACAAACGGTCTCCATCAACTTGAAAGGCCATGTGACTTTCCCTGACCTGCCGCTTGACATATGGCCACGATATCTCAGGCAGATCATTCAGACACCTCCAACATTCTGGCAGATCAATCTACCTCCCGGCTCGTCCAAGACGCTCGACGCCGCCACAACGGCGCAAACTACTGATTCAAGATTCCTCCGCCACGAAGCCCCGGATTCTGAGCCCCGAACTCCAGACGCAGCCTTGCCCCCTTTCGGAATTTGACTTCCGACCTCGACGTGTCTCGAAAGATGAGATGTACAAAACACACTGGTACCGACACGAGAATACTATCGAGCTGATCAATATTGTTCCGCAAAAAATGGCTCCCTCCGCGACAAATGGTCTTCAGCATCAGACGCCGGACAATGCGCCGCTTGGAGCTCTCAAGTCGGTATGAAAACAACGTCCCCGAGCGTCTACACAAGACCCATCTAACGACGTGAATACCAGCTTGCAGACCCCTCCCTCTTCATCCAGAAAGCGTTTGTGGGGAATGAATGGACCGAGAAGAGCAAGTCTTTCGATGTCTGGGGTGAGTGGTCACGAGCGAGAGCCCCTTCGAATGTCCGAGTTGGGAAGCTGACGATTTGAGTAAAGAACCTTCGACAGCTACAGTGCTGGGGACGGTAGCCGACTGCGAGGTTGAGGATTTCCGCCGTGCCATTGAGGTGGCTCACGGCAGTCAAAGCCGGTACTTCGAAGAGACGACTGCGGCGCAAAGGGGCGCTTTTCTGAGGCGATGGTACGATGCTATTATGGCGAATCTAGATGATTGTAAGATCTCAATCCACATGAACTCTGAAATTGAGTGAATTTAATCGACGGCAAATGCAGTGGGTGTGATTCTCTCCCTCGAGAACGGCAAAACCCTCTCCGAAGCTAAAGGTGAAGTCTCCTACGCCGCCAGCTTCATCGCTTGGTTCGCAGAGGAAGCGACACGAGCTTACGGGCACACAATCCCGTCGTCCAGCCCCAACGCAACTCTGCACACTGTTCGAGAACCCGTTGGTGTCTGCGGAATAATCACGCCCTGGAACTTCCCCGCTGCGATGATCACGCGGAAAGTCGCGCCGGCGTTGGCGGCAGGCTGTGCGGTGGTCATCAAGCCACCGAGCGAGACACCGTACTCGGCGCTGGCATTGGCAAAGCTGGCTGAGCGCGCGGGCATGTATCCTGGTATCATGCATGTGTGTCCGACGAAGGACCGCTCGGCGAGCTCAGAGCTAGCGACGAACCCGCTCGTGAGGAAGATCAGTTTCACCGGCTCGACGGGTGTGGGCAAGATGCTGGCGAATATGGCCGCAGGGACGCTAAAGAAAGTCAGCCTGGAGTTAGGCGGGAATGCACCGTTCATTGTCTTTGATGACGCTAATGTGGATTTGGCGGTTGAGGGCGCTATGTTCTGCAAGTTCCGATGCTCGGGGCAGACTTGCGTGTGTGCCAATCGGTTCTATGTGCAGAGAGGCGTGGTGGGAGAATTCACGCGGAAGCTCGTCGATGCGGTGGAAACACTGCAGACTGGGCCTGGTCTAGACGGTCGGACGACGCAGGGGCCTCTGGTGAACGAAGCGGCGGTGGCGAAAGTAGCAGAGCATGTGACAGATGCCGTGGAGAAAGGCGCAAAGTTGGAGATTGGTGGCAGTCGTGAGAAACGGGCAGGATACTTCTTTAGTCGCGACGTTGGACGGTGCTCGCGGGTAGCGAGGAAGCTTCAAGTAGGTATGGTGGGCGTCAACACTGGCAAGATTTCCGCCGCAGAGGCGCCGTTTGGGGGAGTTAAAGAGAGTGGGTATGGCCGGGAAGGCAGTCTGTATGGCATGGAAGACTACCAAGTGGTGAAGAGTATCACCATTGGAAACTTAGATCGGTAGACAACTCACGACGTTAGATTGTTGCACGCTCTGCTGTTGTTAGTCTGCGTGACGAGTAGTTGGAGCTCAGATGACTAGTGTGGATGTCGTCGTAATCTGCTATTGTCATGATTGGTATCCTGAAAGCCTCCAGAGGTAGCCGCGTGCGTCCACGAGAACTGTTCGCGAGAACATTGATCCTCAGAAGATACACGTCGACACGAAAGAGGATGTGCATCTGTTCGTCACAGCAAACCAAGGCCGCTTCGCGCAAATTCCCTCACTGGGCGGACCCCCTAGCCTATGACCCGACGCAAGTCCTTCATCCGTGGCTTAGGCCTCTCGGACGAGGCGCCGAGCAAGGCTAGAAGCCAAGGAAAAGGAAACCCAGTCTATGATGCAGCGCCGGATGTTGAATTCCACGCCCCGGATTCGTCCCCGCATGGAGCAATACGTACCCCAGGAGGTAGATCTCTGTGCTACCCTCGGGCCTATTTGAACTCGCCTGACACCGGCCACGTGTGATTCAAACTCAAGTCTAGTCTTTGATCAGTCAACAGCCTCTTCTACATCGTGTTGAATCATAAGACATGAGCGACTCCAAACCATCCCCTACGGAAAAGCCTACAATGCGCGACGACGGTGCCGTCCACGCGGAGATCATTCAAGATGACACCATTCGACGAGGGTCCATTGCCTCTGAGATGCACACCGAAGCACCAGTCTGGGACCTCCGCCGCACATACACCAAGAGTGGCATTGCAGGGCTCTTGAGCTCCCGCTACGTCTTCCTGTGCGCCCTCTTCGCGACGCTGGGCGGTCTGCTGTTTGGCTATGACCAAGGCGTTGTGTCGATTACGCTCGTGATGCCACAATTTCTTCAAGAGTTTCCGGAGGTCTCGCAGGAGGCTGCCGGGTCTGGATTTAAGAAAGGGTTGATGACTGCTGTTCTGGAGCTGGGGGCTTTCATTGGTATGTCGGACATGCGATGATAACGATACGTATGTCGTGGCTGATGTACATCGATAGGGGCGATGAATCCAGGGTGGATCGCGGACAAGATCTCGAGGAAGTGGAGCATCTTGACGGCGGGAATCATCTTCCTCATCGGCGCAGCCATGCAAACCGGGGCCGTCTCATACGGAATGCTCACGGCTGCCCGTGCCATCGGTGGTATTGGGGTTGGGATGTAAGTCGCTCAATTCTATCCGCCTTCCAAAGCTGACAATATCAGGCTTGCCATGGTCGCACCGCTTTACATTTCCGAGATCGCTCCCCCTGAGATCCGCGGCACACTCCTTGTACTTCAAGAGCTCTGCATTGTCACCGGCATTGTCATCGCCTTCTACATCACCTACGGTACTCGCCACATCCAAAGCGAATGGTCGTGGCGGCTGCCGTTCTTGATCCAGATGATCCCCGCCGTGATCATGTGCGTAGGCGTCTGGTGGCTGCCATACTCGCCTCGCTGGCTGTGTCAGCGTGGTCGCGACGACGAAGCTCTCGAAACGTTGGCGAAGATCCGTCAGCTCCCTACATCGGACGAGCGTGTCTTGCAGGAATGGTTCGAGGTGCGAGCTGAGTGCGCCTACCGGCAGGAAATGTCTGCGAACAGGCACCCGAAACTCATGGAGCCTGGCAGGTGGAACGCCATCAAGCTGCAGGTTTCACTCTACGTCGACTGCTGGAAGATGCCGATCTACAAGCGGACTCAGGTCGCTGTCGGTCTGATGTTTTTCCAGCAGTTTGTGGGCATCAACGCACTCATCTATTACTCGCCTACCTTATTCGCAACCATGGGTCTTGACTATGAGATGCAGTTGACCATGTCAGGCGTGCTGAACATCTGCCAAATGGTTGCCTGCATCTGGTCGCTGTGGGGAATGGATCGATTCGGACGGCGAAAGCTGCTGCTTGGAGGTGGAGTCTGCATGTTCCTCGCCCACCTCATCATCTCCATCTTGGTCGGCAAGTTCAATGGCAAGTGGACTGAGAACTCTGGTGCGGGCTGGGCGAGCGTCGCCTTCCTACTGTTTTTCATGTTGACGTTCGGAGCGACATGGGGTCCCATTCCATGGGCGATGCCCGCTGAGATCTTCCCGTCGTCGCCGAGGGCGAAAGTGTGTGCTTACGGGACCATGTCGAATTGGGGCAACAACTTCATCATTGTAAGTCATCATTTCTCAAAAGGATCAGTCCGAGACTAATCTCAATGCAGGGCCTGATCACGCCTCCAATGATCCAGAATATCGGCTTCGGCACATACGTCTTCTTCTGCGCATTCTGCGGCATCGCCCTCGTCTGGGTCTACTTCCTTGTGCCAGAGACCAATGGTCGGACGTTGGAGCAGATGGATTCGGTATTCAAAGACAAGACCACGGCAGAGGAAGCCCAGCGGCGAGCTGCGATTGAGGCTTCGTTATGGGAGTCCCGCCGAGGTCCACATGGGCAGGTCAAAGTTGAGGCCTGATCAATGATTTGAGTTATTTGTGAGTTCTGTTTGTTCTTCACGGCGTGTATAACGAAGGCCCGGTGGAGCCATCGATCGTGAAGGCGATCCGCGTCTTGAAGAGCTCCTACGTCGTTCTGATAGCAAGTCATCGAATTCGTCAAACTTCCTCATTATGAGACCAGCGGTAACCGAGTACCACGAAAAGCCTCACTACAAAGCTGCTGCGACTAGCAAGGCTTGTTATCGTCATACCTCTGGTAATACAAGAACGTTCAGCAGGGCCCATGTAAAGGTATTGTTATGTATTGTCTACTTCGCTGTATAGTCTCTTTCTATACCTGGTAAAGTAACTGCTGTAATACCCCATCTCAAATGGTTGGCCGCTTCACCGCATCCAGCCTGGATTTGCACAATATGCACCCTTAGGCACCATCCTGCGTAACGCTGTAGCCCTGGATAGCTGGCTTCCCAGGCAAAGTGTAGCATCCTGGAGTATCGATCGTTCCTAGAGTGCCTGCGTTCAGGGTGAAGGCTGCCTCGGGTTCAGGAAGACCCTCCTGGCAGTAGTCGTCCGTGAACACAGCAGGATGAAGCTGTCCGTTTGGTCCGGGTCCGGTGAAGGTCAGCTGGAAGCTGCCAAAGTATTCACTCCCAAAGCCGACTGAATGGTAGTTGTCAGGATCGTTCGTGCCTTCGAAACCATAGAACCAGGCACACAGAGAGCTGCCGGTATAAGTCTTGTTCCATGGGTTGCCGTCGGTGAGCTGCTGGCCAGTATCGCCATTGTATCCGCAGTGGTAATCACCCCACCACTGAATGGTGTACCTAAAGTTCCGTTAACAATAGAATTGGCCTTTCCACATTCTGCAGCCACTGACTCGCTTGCTTGAGCCCAGGTAGTGGGTGTCAGACAGGCCAAAGAGACCGCAACGGCGCTGAGTCGGAACATGCTGTATGAATTGTATCTTGTCGTCGACTGATGTTGGTTGCAAAAACTGAAGTGATTGCTTTTGGAGTCTTGCGATGATTATACTCAGTGATGATGGGAAGCATAGCTACTTATATGCCTTTATCTCTTTTTCTAGCGTAGGGTTAGCAGCCAGTACTGACAACACGTGTGTTCAATCACAAATTGTTGATAGGTTCTTGCCCTAGCAAATCTTAGTAACAACTGAATACGACTTTGTCACATTTGTTGCGGCTTTCGCTGCGTCGCTATGCTGCGAGATTCGCCGTGTTAGCATTCCTACAGAGCAGCCTCATACACTAGAGAGCGTCAGAATAGTACAGGTTAGGGCTAGGATTAATAAGAGTCTAGCCGTTTCTGGGTACAATGCAAGGCTTAAAACTGCCATGTGAAAACCAACACAGAGCTAAGATGGGCGCTAGTGTCTTCGAAACTTGGTCAGCATCTGTCCGCTCAAAAAGTCTCCAGCAAATCCATTTCGCTAACCTCGCACAGCGACAGATTCCGACATCTGCATCTGCCTCCACATCCCGCAAAAAAACTGATCGCGGAGCTCGCACTTTGCTATGAGCCTCTCGACTGCTCCATTGAGGCGCAGTCTTTGCGCTCTGAAGTAGCTTCGCATTGGTACCGGCGCCCTCCCCGTGCAGCTCTCATTGCGCGGTGTTACCAAGTTGGACGCAGCCACGTGGAAAACATGTGAAACGCTCGTAGCATGTAGATCGACGGAGACGTCTCCTTGTCAGGCACACTCCAGTCCAACGTTTTGGGTCAGGCTGTCTCAGGGAAGGCAGGTGTCGTCACGGCCAGAGAGCTGCGGCGAGCCTAACTCTCCGTAACTATGCCCTAGTACCGGCGGTGCCTGTGCGTTTACTTAATGCCAAGATCGTATTTCCCGCGAGCGAGACGCTAAGATCGATGATCTGCTTCAATGCGCAACATCCACTCTTTGCATTGAAGCAATGTGATGGCGAAGAATAGGGCAAAACTAGGGCAACGACGAATAGCGAAAATCGCTGCGTAAACAGCATTGCTGTCACGACCAAGGGCGTATAGACTTGGAGCATTTAATGCCAGCCCGTTGTCCAATGCCAACGCATCACCCAGCAAAGAAGCAGCAAGTAACTCTACAAACGCTCGTGCCTGTCTTTCCGCCCGAACCTCAATCATGAAGACCACTCAGATGAGTCTCGCCTGCGCACTCGCGGCCCTGGCGAAGACCTCTCTTGCTCAAATGGCCAATGGTCTTCCCATGAATGCCTACAACAGCAAAAACTGCGACAACGCTGTAGATCACATTGTGGAGGGCGACATCGGCAACCAGTAAGAGGAACATGCGCTACTCGTGTTACTGGGAGACGACTACTGACACGCCATGCGCAGGTACCCCGACTGTGGCACAATCTACTCGAGCGGTATTGGGGACCCGTATTTCGAGACAGACCCCGCCAAGGCGGGCAACTTTTTGGCGTGGTTTGATATACCCCAGGAGATCAGCACAGATCCACATTCGTGCAACATTATTTTGGCCTCTCGTGACACCTCAGGCGGTAGCCTGGTCTGCGGCGCGCCGCTGCACATCTTCACTCAGCCGGGGTGTATCCAAGCTTCTGTTCCAGCCGAGGATTTTGTTGTTACTTGGTGCTGCTCTACCAACTGCCAGGGCATCACCTCAAAGAAGCGATCCGAGCAAATCGAAGCACCCGCCGGGAAGGTCGCCGATGTGGCCGAGGTCAAGCGTAGCAACCCATTTGCTAAACGTCCTTGTGGCGTCACATGGGTAAGTTTGACCTTCATCACGGGGCAGATCCAATCAAGGCAGAGCTGACCATGCATCAGAGTGGCAAGGGCGCTGACGTCTACCCCGATGCCAATACCCCAATTCAAAAGGTTACCCCAACTTTGAGTTGCAACAGCGAAGCAGGTTGCACCTACAGCCAGGCCACTGCTGTCGAGGAGAGCACGACGTAAGCTATCAACCTCTGAAAGTAATACCTCTCACTAATGGACCATCAGCAATACTTTTATGGTCTCCTCGTCCACAGAAGCAGGACTCTTCGACATCATGTCCGAAACTCTCACGCTGGGCTACACCTTCAGCTCCGAGCAATCGCACACCGTCACTAAGACTCTGACTTTCGACTACAGTCAGGGTCAGAGCGGTTACGGTCAATGGATTCCCAACATGATGTGTTCGGACGGAGAGTTTGGCGGGAGCACTGACGGGTGTGTGGATCTCTCAATCGGGTTGTGCATAGGAGTCGAAGAACATTTTGCTAACGTTACTTTCATTAGGTGCGACGGGATTGAGAGCATCCCCAGTGGCCAACAAACTGCGTGCTGGCCGATTAAGCTTGCTGATGGATCTCCTGACGGTACTATTACCTTCCTCCCTATCAACTAGGAGAGTGAAGAGCTTAGAGAGGTCTCAGCAAAGTTATAGCGAGACAAATTGCTAGTTTGGCAGCTGCAGTATACAGGCGACGGAGAAAAATTAAAGGGGCTTGTGGACAATTGATCGTTAGATTTGCAATAGACTTACACTCATTTAAGTACCAGCTTGGCTATTACGTGTTAGGTGGTTTCTTTGGCTCCTTTAACTGGTACTTGTTGTTTACCCCATATAGTAGATACTCTAGCGCCACAATAGGGTCTACTAGCTATCCATTAAGTTATGTTTAGAATCTGGATATTGAGTACTCGCTTCTTGAGACTATAATTCATAAATAGCCTGTATATAGATATTGAGCTTGAGTGTCCCCAACGGAATTGACAAAGGTGCGGAATTTCTGGTCCCGGCGTGTGAGCGCAACGTCGGGCGTAGGCACCGTAATAGTGTGCAAGGCTTGGCTAGTGGCGACATTAGGGCCTTGCAGAAGGCTGGGTAGTGAGTGCCCAATTTTCAGATTGGCAGTCAATTTCTCCACACGAAACATGAGTCCACAGCAAAATTTGACTTCAAGGAACGACAATTGGGTATTCAAGTCGTCGCCGGAAGGCTATGGCATGCAAGGGTCGTCGTCGGCATAACTCTGGCAGTACAAGGATCCTCGGCAGGCCCCGTGCTGCCTTGTGAACCTCCTATTTTTGCAGACTTCTTGGCATCGAGACTTCAATCCATCCACCTCACGTCAACCCAACTTTACCGCCGCCACCATGGCGAAAGTGTGTGAAAACATGGCAGGAATTTGTCGAATCTCGAGAGCAGTGCCTCTCTCACGGCGCATTCTCGCTTCTCATCACACCACGACTCGAACATACGCCACTCCATCAAATATCCATCCAGTGGTCGCACCACCACGCCATCACAAGACTATCGTCATCGGATGCGGCAGCGCTGGGCTCAATGTCAGTCATCAGCTTCTACGAACTGGCCGATTTGCACAAGACGACATCGCCGCAGTCGATCCGGCCGAGTATCATCATTACCAACCAGGATGGACACTTGTCGGCGGCGGCCTTAAAACCAAAGAAGAACTGCGACGCCCTCTCAAGAGCTTGATCGATCCTCAACTCAAGTTCTACAACACTGGGGTAACCTCGTTCTTACCGAGTGACAACACCGTTACGTTGAGCAGCGGCGAAAAGCTTACGTACGATCATCTTGTTGTGGCACCTGGCATCACCTTGAACATCGACGCCATCAAGGGTCTTTCAGATGCCCTCGCAAACCCTGACTCGCACGTGAAGTCCATCTTCAGCTACAGCACTTGCGATCAGGTTTGGAGCGATATCACCAAGTTCCAAGGTGGCAATGCCATCTTCACTCACCCTTCTGGTCCCATCAAATGTGCAGGCGCTCCCCAGAAGATCATGTGGCTGGCACTTGACAAGTGGCAGAAGTCAGGTCTATACAACGTTCGAAACTCGAACTCATCCACCAAGATCTCGTTCGCCACAGCTCTTCCAGTCATGTTTGGCGTGCCAAAGTACAGCAAAGCACTCGATAAGCTTCGCAAAGAGCGAGGTGTTCAAGGATTGTTTGAGCATGATTTGGTGTCGATTGAGGGAAATACGGCGATCTTTGCTCGCCCTGGCAATCAGGATCAGGTCAAGAAGCATTTCGACTTTCTGCACGCAGTACCAAAGATGGGTCCTCATGGTTTCGTCAAGAACAGTGCTCTGGCGAACGCGGCAGGCTTTGTCGATGTAGATGATGCGACCACTCAACACAAGAAGTACTCAAACGTGTGGAGTTTGGGAGACGCCTCAAGCCTACCTACTTCTAAGACCGCCGCCGCCATTACAGCACAAGCACCGGTCTTGGTCAAGAACCTCATCAATGCTATAGACGGCACGCCAAGCGAGTCCAAGTATGACGGCTACACCTCCTGTCCTCTCCTGACAGAGTATGGCAAAGTCATGCTTGCCGAGTTCCGCTATGGTGGTGAGCCAAAAGAGACTTTTGGAAACTGGCTTCGAATCGACCAAGCCACGCCTCGTGGTGCCTTCTACCATCTCAAGAAAGACTTCTTTCCGTGGGTCTACTACAAGTCAATGGTCAAGGGCCAATGGGGCGGACCCAAGGGCTGGCTGCGGGATTGAGATTGAAGGGTCTCAAAGGAAGCGGCGCGCCAGTGGTCAATAATAGGGAATACGAGGATTGTTCTGCTTGTTTGAAAGCATGGTAAGGAGTTGAGGCTCAATACGATCAACTCCGGCAGCTGGCCATCGTCATTGAGAACATGAGAGGTCGGTCGCACCTTTCCTTTACCTCCTGCCAGCAATACAGGTCTTGCATCACTTTTTCCCCTTCAATCCTTGATTGAACATGTATACGATAGAGTCTCTTGTCGCTCCTCCTCCACGTGGAAAACTCATGGCGTTTTTCATCCCCTTGCACGGATTAATCTCTTTGTCGCGTTTGCGAAAGTCGGTCCCCTCGCGCTCCGCCTTTGTCCCATACCGAGAGGATATATCGTCTTGGCATACGTTGTAACTTTGTTGACCCCCCGGGTGGAGATTGGGAACCTCGTATAGTTGGACAAAAACAACCATCTACTTATGCGTTGAACAGCATTCCCCAGCCAGGTCATTTCTCGAGATACCGAAAGGTTTGACCGAAAATGGAGAGGTTTCGATTCATTGCGGCCAGCTTTGCACTTGTTAGTAGCCTGGTGGCTGCTCAGGGGCCATGCAATCCGACCAAAGGTAAGCTCGATGTGAAACTGCGATAAAGCAGTACTGACTAACATTGCAGGCCCTTGCCCACCACTCCCCGGCTTCACACAGGGCTTCACCAATGATTTCACATCACGACCAAATATACCTTCCGACTGGATTGTTGCCGACTACGCAGACCATCTCTTGAGCTTTAGCGACAAAGGCCTGGAGTTTAGACTCACCAAGGGCACAGACGCTCCTTACATCTGGACCAAGAATTACCTACTCTATGGCAAAGTCGAAGTCACACTACAATCGGCTCCCGGCATAGGCGTCATTTCCAGCGCGGTCTTGGTGTCCGACACTCATGACGAGATTGACTGGGAATGGAGCGGCAATGACTTTGCCTACAAAGTGCCTACTATCCAGACGAACTACTTCGGCAAAGGCGTCACAGGAAGTTGGGATCGAGGCACGCAGCCACAGGTCGAAAAGAACATGACGCAGAACTTCATGACCTATACGATTGACTGGAAGCCTGAGTCCATATCCTGGTCAATCGATGGAAACATTATTCGCACGCATTATGCCAAGGATAGCGACAACGATCAGCATCAGTATCCTCAATCGCCCTGCCGCTTCCATTTGGGTGTTTGGGATGCCGGAAATGAAGGCAACGCTTGGTATACGGTTTTATGGGCCGGTGGCCATACCGATTTGACCAAGTTTCCTTACAGCATTTTCATTAAGAGCGATTGCATTACGCCGTATAGATTCTGCGGACAATACAACTTCACGGATACGAGTGGTAGCAGCGACAGCGTGGCTTGCTTGAAAGAAACTCCTTCGTTGAACTCTACTGGTCTCGGTACCGGCACTGGCACTCTACAAACAAAGACGGGCGGCTCAGGTGGCTCGTCTGCTACTTGCTCTGCTGCGACCCCTGAGAAAACTCAACCAGGTACATCTGCAGGCTGCGCCAAGTACTATAACATCAAGGCGAGTAATAGCTGCGACGGCATCGCAAAGGAAGCCGGGATTGATGTGGACGACCTCCTGGATTGGAACCCTCAAATCGATGAGAACTGCTGGAACCTGTGGGCGAACTACGCCATCTGCGTATCACCTCCTGGACAATGCGATGGGTCTGGCAAGCCAGCTCTGCCGACGACATCTGACGGCTCTTCTTTGACTACGGCCACGATCAAGTACACTTCAACGATCACCGTGTTGAAATGTGCTTCGACAATAACGAATTGTCCAGCCGCTAGCAAGGCCGTGCCCGTGGTTTCGACGACCGTCTCAGAGTTCACCACTGTTTGTCCCGTGAGCGAGGTTGAGTCAATCTCATCTGTGGCTGCTGGGTCAGATTTGCCCGTTGGAGCAACTCCAATTCCTGGAGGTGACACGGTGCCTTCGTATCCCACTCCAACTGCAGCGTCAGAGGAAGATGTGGACGATGAAGAAGATTTCCCTGGGGCACCGCCAGCATACGAACATGATGAAGGTGACGAAGAGACTCCGACGCCGCCAATCGAGACCCCACCCTTCTATAAGGAAGATGATGAGGATCAAGATGATCATCCTCCTCCTGGAATGACAACAAGTAAAGTCGCGACGGTCTACACCATGATCTGCCCAGTCGAGAGCACGATCACCACTGGAGGCAGCACGATTACGAGCACTGGCAGTCAATTGACCACTTCGACCATCACGTCGACAAGTACAAAGACTCTGCCGATTGAGTCTGTAAGCTCTACTCTGCCCCCAGCACACACATCAGATGTGCCTGTCGAGTCTGTAGGCGTCTCTACACCACCGCCAGGATACGCCACCTCGGACATCACCACCGTGTACACCACAATCTGCCCAGTCGAAAGTATCATAACTACCAGTGGAACAACAACGACAAGCACAGGCACGAAGCTGACAACCTCGACAAGAACAGAGACGTACCAAACGACGCTGCCAGTCGAGGAATTCTCAACGCCGCCGCCTGGGTACACGACTTCCGATATTACTACGGTTTACACAACTATATGCCCAGTTGAGAGCACCATAATTACCTCAGGAACAACAAGTACAAGCACGGGGACCAAGCTTACCACGTCAACGAGAACGGAAACATTCGAGACGACGATTCCTTGCACAACGTCTTCATCTAGCATCATTCTCACATCGAGTACTGGTAGCTCCTCGATTCCGTATTATAACACGACCTCGTCAACCGTTTCGCAGCAGAACAGTACCTCGCCAGCCACAACTGCACCGCAGACCACGCCCCCAAGTTACGAAGAGTCAACCACAGAGTTGAGCAGCTCGACCTCGACAACGCCGCGGCCTCCAAGTTATGAAGAATCGTCGACGACATCAAGTAGCTCTCGCTCGACCAGCGTCTCCAAGACTACTCCTTCGAGCTATGAAGTGCCACCAACGAGTTCCAGTACCTCCAGCTCCACGAGCGTCTCCAAGACTAGTCCTCCGAGCTACGAAGAATCGTCAACAACATCAAGTAGCTCTAGCTCCACGACTCCTGCTACGAACCCACCACCTAGCTACGAAGAGCCGTCGACCATGCCAAGCAGCTCTAGCTCGACTACTTCTTCCAAGCCCATTCCATCGAGCTACGAAGAGCCGTCCACGATGACCAGCAGCTCCAGTTCCTCGACTTCCCCAACGACTGCTCCATCCAGCTATGTGCCACCCACTAGCAGTTCCTCAAGCACTGTACCTACAACAAGCCCATCGAAGACCACCACAACTTCCTCATCGGCAACAACCTGCATTCCTGCTACCACGGAGATTGTCTGCCCAAAGTGTAATGGCGCTGCATACTCTTGCGGCGATGGAAAAAGCTACGAGATAACCTGCGACGCCGACTACGTTGGGGGCGATCTCAAGTACATCGATTGTGGCGCCGACAAGAACCCGAAAGAAGCTTGTGCCAAAGAATGTGCGAAGACAACCGGCTGTAAGGGGTTCAGCGTCGTCGGATATCACTGCTATCTGAAGAAAAAGCTGTACCCCCTGAAAGCGTATGGTGGCTGTGTTGCTGGCAAGCTCGTCGAAGGACCGATCTGTTCGACTTCTTCGGAGACGCCAATCACCAAGGTCGAGACTCCATCTTCCAGCACCAGCACGAAAGTGTCTGAGACGACGAGCACAACACCAATACCGTCCAGTTATGGCCCACCCTCGTCGAGCACGGAGAGTAGTTCGAGTTCCTCTGCTACATCGCCCAGCAGCACTAAGCCGTTTGAATCGATGACTACTACTCCGATACCATCTAGCTATGGCCCGCCCTCATCAAGCACGTCAAGTAGTTCAAGCTCTTCAACACCAATCACCAAGGCAGAGACTTCGTCTTCCAGCAGTACGTCGACAACGAGCATACCGGCGCCATCCAGCTACGGTCCGCCCTCATCTTCCACAAGCAGTTCAAGCTCTTCAACTGCATCCTCAAGTAGCACGCCAGTGCCTTCAGGCTACGCCCCACCGTCATCGACAAGCCAGAGCAGCTCGTCAAGCCCCTCTTCAACGAAGACTTCGAGCACATCGTCCTCGACGAAGGTAGTCCCGACTACCTGCCCCACTGCTGGCTGCTTCACCTACGTCGATTGCTACAAAGAGATTCCAGGACGTGCTCTCAAAGCCAAATCGTTCGACAACAAGAATCTGACGACCCAGGCCTGTGCCGATTTCTGCCATGGCTACAATTATTTCGCTACGGAACACTCCACGGAATGCTATTGTGGCGACTCGCTCCCTACCGAGTGCACCAAGGCTACGGATGGACGCTGCAACATGCCTTGTGCCGCTGACAAGACGCAGATTTGTGGTGGTCCCGAAGGGTTGAGTCTATTTGAGAACACACTTTGCTCGCCTCCTCTGAGCAATACGACTACGAGCTCTTCATCGCTGTCTTCGTCTTCTTCGAGCACGAGCTCAAAGGCATCAAGCTCATCGTCGAGCATTTCATCCTCGGCCAGCAGCTCCTCCTCCTCGTCATCGTCGAAGGCGTCAACAAGCCGTAGCTCCAGTTCCAGCTCCAGTTCTCAATCCTCAAGCTCATCAACGGTAGCGACAACTCCACCAGTGTACACATCGCCGCCGTCCAGCCGCAGCAGCAGCAGCAAAAGTTCTTCGTGGTCAAGCTCATCAACAGCGCCGACTTCCCCGCCAGCCTACACTCCACCACCGTCAAGCAGCAGTAGCACACCCTCATCAACGTCCATATCGAAGGCCTCAGTACCATCAAGCTCCAGCTCGAGCTCATCCACGACATCAAGCTCGCCACTAGCCTACACTCCACCACCGCTACCCAGCACCAGCAGCACCGGCACCTCCAAACCCCCCTCCACCTCCAAAACAACCACCTCCCCAACCCCCGTCCCCACAGCCAACGAATATACCTACACCGGCTGCTACCTCTGCCCCAAAACTCGTGACGTCCTGCCCACCTACCACCAAACCAGCAACCTAACCGTCGAGCTCTGCGCCTCCAAAGCCAAAACCGCGGGCCACTCCATCTTCGGCATCAAGGACGGCTGGCAATGCTGGTCAGGCAACACGCTGGATTCTGCGGCGGTCAAGACGGGGCAGGAGATGTGTAATGTCGCTTGTCAGGGGAATGCTGGACAGTGTTGTGGTGGAGCGGATGCGTTTAGTGTTTATGAGATTGGCGGTGAGGCTGGGAGTCAGTACAAGCCAAGGGGGATCATGGGGAGAATGTTCGAGGGATTTTTTGCTTAAATGATTGTTATTGTTGTTGCGTTTAAGTAGACTGGAAAAAGGTCATTTTTCTGTACAGGGGTATCTCAAGATTCAATCCTACCTCCTCGACGGCCTCTCTTCCCACCCAACTCTGCCCTGCCTCCGTTTCGGCTTGGCGCTCGTGCTCGTCATCCTGCTCTGCACCCATGCCTCAGTAGGGTCACTATGACTGACAGGCTTGAATCTCCCGTTGAAAGCCACTCCCATAGCACCCGCAAAGAACTTCTGGATGGCAGGGAAAGAATGAATGTGCGGCCGAATCTTCTCCAGGATCCTCCCATCTAGGCCCCTTTCGATCCCTGCTTTGAGAACTTTGACGCCTTTCCGACCGGTCCATTTCCCCGGTTGGCCGTACAGTCGGACTGCTTGGACGAGACAGACAGCGCCAATGGATGTGTATTGCTCGGTGGATAGAGAGCGAGGGTTTTCGGCGACGTCGGATGCTGATGTCGGAAAGCGGTCTCGAACCTGTTTGTCGTTGCGATGTAGACCCAGGACATCGTAGCGGACGAGCTCATCGTACATCTCGTCGTTGTGGCGCTCGGCGGCTAAGTCCAAGACCTCACGGTAGTCTTTTGTCAGCCAGGCGCCTTTCTCCAGCAGAGCGTGTGCCATTTCCACGCGATCGAAGTCGACGGCTTGGTACAGGGCTGAGATATATCTTCCTCCTGGGACGAAGAGTTTGGCGTCATTCCTCAGGAGTAATTTCATGGCGTCGTAGTGACCTTCCACGACGGCTGCAATCAAAGGGTTGCTGTACTGCCCGCCAGGTGCGTTGACCGAAGCCCCCGACTCGATGAGCAGATCCATGATATCTACGTCGCCCTTCGACGCAGCAGCTTGAAGTGCGGTGCCGTACTTGACGGACGGGGCATCAACACACTGATGCTCGCGAAGCATATTCAAAAGTCCGTCTTGGTCGCCACTAAGCACTTTCTCGACGAACTCGTCGCCAGGAAGGACCATCCTCGTTCCGATCGTGTTTGCAATGATTTCTTCCTCCACAATTCGCTTGCCGCCATCGAGCCTGTTCGTCAAAGTGTTGAAGCTCTTGCCGCGCAGAAAACTGTCCATCTCCCAAGGCCGGGCAGTTTCACGCCGATAGGCGTCCTCGACGTTGGACACATAGACCTCTGCTTCGACGTCGACCGACTCGCCACCAACGACATTCAGACGAACTGTCGCTGGTTTACGGACCAGTCGAGTTCTACTCCACTCTGATCTTCCGCTATTGCGTTCATCAAACAGATGCTTAGGCCCCTTCTCTTCGTAAAGATGGTCAAGGCAAGCCAACGCCTCCGAGGAGAGACCGAAGATCAGGAATCCAGGTGTCTCGTCGTCATCTCTTTCAGCTCGCTCAACATACGCCAAGCTGTAACTCGAGAGACGAAATCGTTTGTATCCAGGGAGCGTCGCTGGTGTCATGCACTCTGCGGCGGACTGTATCGATTGGTCGATATTGCACCAGTCGCGAGAGCCAGTCACGATACGCCGGCCTTGTTGCGAGGAGTACGTTCCCTCAGTGTGGATGAATGATTGGGCCTGACAACGTAGTACGCTTGGGAACATCAGTGTTCCATATACAAATAGCGGTTTGCCGAATCTTGTCTGGCTCAGCAGTTCGAGTTGAGAGAAGCGGTTCTTGGCCGCCAGCAAATATGATGGCGTGAAGGTTGTAGGCGGTATCCCGATCTTGGTGCACCTCGCGGTGGTCTCTGCATCTGCCTGCCCTGGCGCAGTTGGCATTTCTGCATTGATGGTGTAGACGCCATTGGTTTCCTTCGGGCGGGCTACTTGCTTAGGTATTGGTTTCGGTCGAGACTCATCAGGTAGCTCTGAAAAGCGAACTTGTCGTTCATCAGTACCGTTCTTCTTCTTCCGTCCTATGGTTTCCAAAGCGCCAGTTTGTGGAGTCAACGTTAGCGGCTTGTAAGGAACATCTCGGCTGCCGTCCAGGAGGCAAATCCTGCCAATGTCGTGCGTGAGATGTACACCGAGAAGATGTTCGTGAAGCGAGTCAAAGCTATCGAAGAGCTGTAGTGCCAACCCTTTGGGTGGGTCGCATCTCGGGTACGGGCAAGCAAGGCCATTGCTCCCAACGTATTGAGTTGACTCAGGGACTGCGACATCTTGGTGTGGGAGCTGTTCGATTCCATTTGAAGCATCGATTTTGTTTGTCTCCTTGGGTACAGACGTCAAGTGTATGCCAGTCTGATCCACTTCGGCGACATCGGTGACTTCGTCTGTCGTAGCAGGTGCTCCTCTTGCATCACTGGCCTCTAGGACCACCGCAAACGAGTCTTCGGAATCCAGTCCTTGCAGCTCCGTGACGTCTTCCAAGACATGATTTGAAAGCTTTGGCGGTTGGTTGTAAGCCACAATCGTCGTCTCAGAGTCTTCAACTATCGGCGAGATGTAGTTCGACGGAGATTCGATCAACGCAGGAGCGGAGTTCAAGTTCACTGGAATCCAGGTACCTTGCTCTGTGATATCTTCCAGCTGTTCAAGACTGCTGTCGCTCTCACTGCTATCGGTGGACATGGAGTCCATCGAATCGGATCTAGCAGGGCTCGACAGCTGTGATCGAGTGCTGCAACATAAGCCGTAATACGGCATCGGGCCATCGAGCTTAAAGATCCGGCGAACGAGATCACGGGAGTCGAGTCTCTTCGCCTCGTCCTGATTGCACATGAACCTGACGATCGTGGTGAGCTGGGCGTCTTCGGGGAAGTCTGACGCCAGCAAGGCCGTGTTGAGCTGCTGCAGCCAGTCATCGATTGCTTTCTGGTTCCGTTGGTACACCGTCGAATTGGAACCGGTGCTTTGGAAGAAGGCTTGGAGATCCTCAATTGATCGCCCCGCAAGCACTGTGACCATCTCGAGGAAAACGCAGCCTAACGACCAGATGTCGCTCGCGAATGTCCTGGTCTGCAGACATGATCAGTGAAGCTCACCACAAGGATAGAGTGCACGGTAACATACGCCAGAAGCTGTTTCCGGGGCAGCATACTTGGTTGTGAAGAACCTATCGGTGTCGCCGACCGTGGACTCTGTATTGTCCTCTGATTCTTCTGTCCGAGGTTTCGCAGTGCCGAAGTCTGCAATCAACACCCTGCTGCCTTTAACGAGGATGTTCGCAGGCTTAATGTCCTTATGCTGGACTCGTGTCGTGTCGTTGTTGTGAAGATAGTTGATTGCAGTGGCAATGCAGCCGAAGAAACTACGCAGTCGAATGACGCGATCGTCAGCTTCATTCGGTCGAGGCACTTGTTTCAAGAACGTCGCTAGATTCTTGTCTGCCACCGGCTGGGTCAAGAGCCCAATGTATCTGTTGTCGGTATATGAGCCGACTAGCTTGACAATATGCTTATGCTTCAGTTTTTGTAGCACGTTGAGCTCGTTCTGGAAGAGTTGCAGGTTTCTCTTTTCTTTTCTCTCATCGAATAAATGGCGGGCCATTCTCTTGAGTGCAAAATGCTGTGCTGTGCTTTTGCCGACCACATCCTCAACTGTGGCGAAGCCTCCGTGACCAAGGACCGTTCTCGGCTTCTCGTGAAAGAACTTGTCGGCGCTGCTATGCTTGAGATGCAAATGCGGTGCGCGACCAGATTCCAGCATCTTACCAGGCCCACAGAACTCTCGCTCTGACAGCACATTGTCTTGATAGTGGAGAAACCGCATCCTGTCCTGGCCTGCCAAAGCATCCGGAAGATTGCCTTCGTGGTACGGCAAATAGAAATCCGTTCGACCTTCTTTGATGAAAACGTCCATGAAACTCTCGAGCCCGGTCTGATGCAGGACCACAAACGTTCGTGGCAGGTACGCCCATTTCTTCCTCCCAATGGCTTGTAGTAACGTTGAAATCTTGTCGTACACCGAGTCGCGAAGATGAATTGCTGCTGGATCTGTGGCATGTCGCGATCGTAAGCCAAAAGTTTCCAGACTGTCGTAAAACTCCTCAATGGGCATGAAGTGGTCGATCGCAGCCTCGGCCAAACCGCTGCATACTCGGGCAATCTTTTGTTTCTTGTGACATCGACGTGGACCATGCCAGGGACCGATGCGTGACTCCATCTTGAGGTTGATGAGGGACGGAGACAACTGGAAGGGAGGATAGAGAGGTTAGAGGTAGGGGAGGGGAAATTATCAGGCCATCTGGCGCAAGTATGTGCCGACTCATCATCATGGCGGTGATGATGATGGGGCCAAGGAATGTGGGAAGCAACTTGACGCCTTGTGGCGGCTGGCTTCTTCACAGTGACTAACAGGCGGCCTCCAGGCCCAGCTGGAGCTGCGCCTCTGGTGCGGTGAGGAGATGTTAGCAGGATACAGAAGATCGGCAGCTTGAGAACGACGCATCTGTGTAGTTAAATAAGGCGGACAACCACGTGTGTGCAGTGCAATGAGGCGAGGTCCTTGCAGCTGCGGCGGATGGAGGGTGGGCGATGCAGCTGTGTGGTCGCCAGCTGCCCTGTACAGCCTCAGGATGAGCAGCAAGCCGCCCATTGCACCAGGCCATTCCGCGTTAGGCCATTCTGCTTTGGTGTGTCGAATGACCTATATGGAAGGGAAGCGATGCCATTGCACAACAGTAAGGCATCTTTGACATTTCTGCCTCATTGAACTCCCTCAAGACTTGCTGATCAGATCGATATGGATCCTGTCACTGCCGCCGGCATTGGTTTGAGTGTGGCATCTCTTGCCCTGCAAGTGTTTTCAGGATGTGTGAAAGGTGAACAATCATTTTATCCCTCCCAGATCGCAGCAGCTGATGTAAGGAAGGGTACCAGATGTTCATCGATGTCAAAGGCATGCCAAAGGAATACGAGCACCTACGAACTCGCATGCGAATAGAGCAGTCTCGATGCCTCCATTGGGGCGAGAGTATCGGACTCATCGAGGAGATGCTTGACGAGCCAAGCAAACTTCTTCAGCTCAATCACAATCTCGTTCTGGACATCCTGCATCAAATACAGACTTCCTTTCGAACGAGCCTAGAGATCAGCTACAAGTACGATGCCGTGGCCAATGGAAAGGGCATCATGATCAACGGGACGCATCATGATTCTGCCAACGGCTCGACAAACGTTCGCGTTGAGGAGTCGCCAAAGCGCCGCCCCTTGATTCTGCAAAAGACTTTGGACCTGTGGGAGAAAGGGGGGCGTGTAGCATCCAAAGTGGAGTGGGCCATGATCAAGAAAGGCGGATTTGAGAAGCTGATCGCCAGATTGATCCAGTACAACGATCGGATGGAGTCCTTCCTCGACAGAAGCGCACTGGAGGATGTCCGATTGATGCAGGCCCAGTCGAATCTCACAATGCTCCAGATGGCAGATAAAGTCGAACAAGTCCGCGCTCTCGTTGAAGCCATGCACATAGCAAGAAGCGATGCAGACGAAGGCGTGTCACTCTCGCGAGCCACGACGTTGAAGGGCGAGCCCAGTCCGGAGGAGGAGAATTTAGTGTCTCTGGCGGTCTTCAAAGCGCATCATCTGAAGATTGAAATGGACCCAGCGCCGGGCGAAGGTCTGCTAATACCACCAAATGCGCTGTTATTCGATGATAATCTCAAGCCCTCCGGCCGCCAGTCTGCAAATCTCAGAGGCCGCCACGTGTGGGTAGAGTGGCGTGAAAGTGTGGAGGAATGTTTGTCGCAAAAGGAGTATCGCGAGACGGTCGAAGGGCGAGTGAAGAAACTCGCAGCAATTCTGACTGCTCCGGACAAGCCCAAGGAGTTCAGATCACCGCAATGCGTCGGCTACTGTCAAAGTCAACAAGGACCAAAGGCAAGATACGGGCTGGTGTACGAGTGGCCACCTGAAGTCGACAACACCAATGCCGAATTCGTGTCCCTGCGCCAACTGTTGTTCTCGCTCAAAAGGCCGCCCACCCTGAACGCTCGAGTAGCGATCGCAAAGATGCTGGCTGCGGCGCTTCTTTGTGTCCACGCAGTGAACTGGATCCACAAAGATATTCGCAGCGAGAATGTGCTCTTCGCATCAGGCCCTGACCATTCCATCGACCTCACGAAGCCCATCCTTTCTGGATTCGAGTTCTCGCGGCCGGCCGTGCCAGAGGCCGTCACCGTTTCCCATCAATTCTCGCCTGAGCACGACTTGTATCGACATCCTGATCTTTTGAAAGTCGATGCTACCAGATCGCTCAAATCTCATGACATCTACAGCCTTGGACTGGTACTCGCGGAGATCGCGTTATGGCAGCCCGTCGAGGACATCGCTCAGATCGAAGTGCGCAGGAGGGAGATTCCATCGGTGAGGGCACGCATGTTGGGTGAAAAGTTACATGTCCTCGAGAGGATCGATGAGCGAGCCGGTTGGACTTACGCCGACGTGGTGAGAGATTGCGTAGAGGGAGGCTCGGCATTGAATCTGGTGGCTGGTATGAACGAGGAGGATCCCGATGTTGGAGCACAGCTTTCCAATGCTCTCTATCAGAAGGTCGTGCAGAAGCTGCAGTCAATCAAGATGTAGTAATAGTATATTATCCGTCAACGGAGAGTGAGGTTTGGCAGAAGATGATGGTGTCCATTGCGTTCGCAGGAGGACCGTGATGTGGAGCCGAACCGGGTCCGTGCCACGCGATTTGACTTCAGCCTCAGAACAACAACAACAAATAATAGAACCACTTTCTCCTCACAGAATGCAATATCCAGCTCCGCAGTAAGAACGAGGCAATGAAGAAAATAAACTTCTGTAAGCAGTCTTATTTGTCATTGACCTGGCATACAATCTCGGTCGAAAAGCAGAATTGTTGATGGAACCGGACACAGTCCTCCAGTCTGGATTGTTTTACTCTTGAGCGTATAATCGCAATGATTCCTGCCGCCGTGGATGTGGAATGAATGATACGCAGAATAGAACCACTGCCTGACGTACCCGGTGTCTAGTATTTCGACCAGCTATCACTCAAGCTTAACCGTGGACACCAACACGTCCGTCGAGCAGTCCACCTTCAAATGATCTGCACGGAACTCGTCGACCTTCACAGAATGGAACTTCCGAGCAGGAACCTTTTGTTCGAACAACACATCCATCTCTCCTGGGCTCAGGCCCTTCGTTTCCGGCAACCGATAGTATGTCCACACCCACGACAGCAGAGCGAAACCACACCACACAAAACCACCCTTGCCTCGAAGATTCCAAGCCGTAGGATTTAACAAGGGATTCTGGAGCTGGTTAGCTGCGATTGATACAATGTTGAAGCAATTCCTAGCCAAGGCCACGGTCTTTATTCTCAGCCGTGTTGAAGGCATCTCGGCTACCAGGCAATAGCACACCGGTCCAACGGTGATGCCGTACGCGAAAGTGAAGATGAACATCAAGGCTCCTGTTGCGTAGGCAATTGCTTCAGACAATGCTGGAATTCCCATAAAGCCGACAATTACCAGAATCCAGAACATGACGAAAAGGCCCCAGAGGTACAACGATCGGCGGCCGACATATTGAAGTATCCACCAGGCTGCAAGTGTTCCCGCAAGGCCCATCAGATTGTGCCCGATTCCGAGATCGAATGACTGAACGGGATCGAGGCCAGCTTGCTCCATGAAGTAAGTGACACTTCCTCCGAACCTGTGTAGAAATGCATATTAGCAGGGGCTCAAGTGCAGCAGTCTCAAAAACGGAGACGATCTACTGCGTAAAACGTACCAGGTACCACAAGTGACTTGGATGATCCAAACAGCACAAGCGATCTCAGTACGGCGTCGATCGGTCCCCTTGAAGCACTCTTTGTATGAAGTCCCTGAGCTGACGGCCTTCTCGTGTGCGTTGGTGTGGATGATCATTGCAATGTTTCGGTCGACGTCGTAGTCGGTGTTCGCCTTGGAGACCAAGCTTTGCAAGGCCTTCTTTGCCTCGTCGATACGGTCATGTCGTACCAACCACCATGGCGACTACGAGCACATCAGCCAGTCAATCTCTCAAGCGACCCGTTGAAAGCATACCTCTGGTGCCAGAAGGACTCCAATTATGATTGGAATTGGCCACACCCACTGAGTAGCATAAGGTATACGCCATCCCCATTGATCGGTACGGTTCAGCAGGCCGCGAAGCACACCCGTGGAAATTGTTTGACCTATCACCCACTGGAACTAAGGTCAGAAGTTTGTCCGCTAGATCCATGCCAAAAGGTCTTACACAGGCATTGTTCCAAGTCGTCAGTATCGGCCGCAGTACCGGCGGTGAGATATCCGCAGCGTATTTCGTCGTCAAGGTCTGAAAGGCTCCCCAGGGCAGGCCGCAGAGAATTTCGCCTGCGAAGAGCATTCCAATGCTCTGTGCGAAGAACATCATGAAGATGACCCCAATCTACGACGTCTTGTCAGCAATCGACTATCAAGCGATCCGAGCAGCACGTCCTACCATCATGACCAGCGCTCCAAGCATAGTTTTCTTGTATCCATAACGCTCTGCAAGAAATCCAGCCACCCAGAGTCCAATGATTTCGCCAATCTGGACGCCATTCTGCAGACCTGACTGCCACGAAGCAGTCAACTGGTACGTGCCATCACCGACCGGCTTTCCAAATCGCTTTTGGAATGACGGATAGCCGAAGAAGCCTCCCAGCAAGGCAGTATCATAGCCTTCCATGATGAGAGACAAGGACAAGACGAACGAGAACATGGTGGCCTTGGGATACATGCGAATGGCTTGGGCGAAGGTCATCTTCTTTTCGAACTCGGTGGCCACGTGGGCGTCTTGGGTGACCTCGCCTATGTTCTTGATACTGTCTGCCATCTTCTCGAGAACGACATCGTCGAGACGGACCGCGGTAACGCCATCTGGATCGTTCGTCGAGTCTGACAGGACCCTTTCGATGGTGGTGTCGGTGTTCAACTCTTCTTTCTTGGACGCCATATTGTTAGTCAACGAAGAGGTGAGGAGAAGCCTTGCGAATCAAGCATGAACGGTGTCTAGGCGACCACGACAAGACCGAAGAGAGTGAGCTAAGAAACGTGCCAATGCTACTTGAGCCCACATATATGGCACTGCCGTCTCCTTCGTGCGGAGCTATGTCCCACTCTGAAGGATCCCACACGGCATTGCCATGAAGAACGACCCCAGGTTTCCTCCGCGTTCTCCTCCACATCGACCAACGCAAAGGGATTCGGGGCTGTCGGGGCCGATCTCAATGCGGCGTGCCGATCTTACCGCCTTTCTGCGGTTTTCGCTCTGATGTGCCCATTGAAAGGCACTCCCTCTGTACTTGCAGTCACGAGGTACAAGCTTGATCTAGGAACGTTCTGGAATATCATTGCACTGGCCCAACACAGCCAGCCATACACTCCCAAACTGACGCATTGGTCTCAAGGAACAGTCAAACACCATGCAAATACGAGCCGAGTCGCCACGAGCCAGCGTTGTTGGTGGCGAGAAAGACCAGCAGTACAGATTTACAGTACTCGGTGATGGCTTACTCCGAATGGAATGGGCTCCAGACTCCGTGTTTGAAGACCGACCATCAGCCTTTGCAATGTACCGAGACAAAGCAAAGATTCCCAAATACAAAGTCGAAGAGTCGGACGACAAGCTCGAGATCATCACCTCCCGTTTCCAGCTCACATATAACAAGCGCGAGTTTGCAGCCCATGGTCTCTATGCCTTGGTTTTCGGCTTCACTAGAAGTCTGTGGCGTTTCAAGGAACAAGGCCAGCCTAATCTGGGAGGAACATACCGCACACTGGACAATTACGACGGACGTATCAATCGAGAGGATGGCACGCCAATACCGCTTGAGGAGGGCGTTGTGTCTCCGAAAGGATATGCACTTCTCGACGACTCAAGCTCTATGCTCTTTAGCGATGATGGCTTCGTGGCATCTCGAAAGCCCGGACCCGATAGAATAGACTGTTACTTGTTTGCATATGGACATGACTATCGCCAGGCTATCAAAGCTCTGTACAGCATCTCTGGACCTCCACCTGTGCTGCCAAGGTGGACGCTGGGTAACTGGTGGAGTCGATACTACGAATATACCACCAAGTCATACCTGGCTCTGATGGATCGATTTCGACAAGAGGGCATCCCTTTGTCTGTGGCTGTGATCGACATGGACTGGCATCTCGTCGACGACCCGAAGGTGATCGAAGCAGGGCAGACGGGATGGACGGGCTATACATGGAACAAGAAGCTCTTCCCAGATCCTCCCAAATTTCTCGAGGAACTACACAAGCGCAATCTCAAGGTCACGCTCAACGACCATCCAGCCGATGGCATTCATAGCTACGAAGATGTGTACGCAGATGTGGCCAAGGCTGTGGGACATGACGCTTCAGATGGTGCCCCAATACCGTTCGATGCAGTCAATAGAGACTACCTGAAGGCTTACTTTGAGATTGTCCTGGGTTCGCTTGAGAAAGATGGATGTGACTTCTGGTGGATTGATTGGCAACAGGGCTCTTTCTCGCTTTTGAAAGATGTTGATCCCTTGTGGGTGCTGAACCATTTTCACTTCCTTCGCAACAGTCAGATCACAACCAACTCAGAGCCGGTGATCTTCTCTAGATATGCAGGACCAGGAAGTCATCGATATCCCGTGGGCTTTTCCGGCGACACGTACACCACCTGGGCCAGCCTCGACTTTCAACCACAGTTCACTGCCATGGCGTCCAACATTGGCTACGGTTGGTGGAGTCACGATATCGGAGGACACATGCTTGGTGTCAAAGATGACGAACTGATCGTACGTTGGATCCAATTCGGTGTCTTCTCGCCCATCATGCGGCTCCACTCGACCAAGAATCGATGGGTCACCAAGGAACCGTGGAGAATGTCTGCCCAGCCACGAAGCATCGTCACGAACTTTCTTCAACTACGACACCGTCTAATACCTTACTTACAGATCATGAACCATCGAGCGGCCTTCCACGGCGAGCCTCTAGTTCAGCCCATGTATTGGTCATATCCCAAGCATGACGAGGCTTACAAAGTACCTAATCAGTACTTCTTCGGCTCTGAAATGATCGTGATGCCAATCACCACACCGCAGGACAAATCACTCGGACTTGGCAAAGTCAAAGGCTGGCTACCCCCTGGAAGATATGTGGATTTCTTCACCGGCATGACGTACACAGGCGGAAGAGAGATGTGGTTCAGCCGTGAGCTCGATCACGTTCCTATGTTATTACCAGCAGGCTCGATCGTACCCATAGAGAGTTCGCTTGTGCCTCTGAATGGAGGAGAAAGACCTGACCCTGTTCAAATCTGCATATATGTTGCCCCTGGCGCAGATGGCTCCTTCGACTTGCTTGAGGAGCCCGGGAACAAGACAAAGTCAGCTTCCGAAGATCCAGCCAACTGGGATCGGATCCCAATCAAGTTTACACAAGCCGACGGTACTCTGCTAATCGGCCCTGCTAAGCTTGCAAGCAAGAACAAAGCCAGCCCTCGGTCCTGGAGTGTACGCGTCTTGGGTATTGAGAGACCTGCAAACGTTCGAGCCACAGCAGATGACGTTTCACTGGAGGTTGAAGTCGTTCAGGAAGGCAACGGTGTTTTGATCAATCTCAAAGACGAGCACTTCTCTCCAACAGCGGCCATCTCCATTGAGCTTGGCTCGAAGTCGGAACTTCAACAAAATCGACCTATGGAGTTGACTGAGAAGATCATTCAGAATGCACAGATTGATTATGATATCAAGGACAAAGTCTGGGCTGTTCTGAGCGATGACACACTGACTTCATCGGCTCGTTTGGTGCGGTTACAGACGTTGGAGATGAGTGAGAATCTACGGCTTGTCTTGACGGAGTATCTGTCAGCCTTGTCTGAAGATTGAGATGGTCTATCGTCAGTCTATATAGATGCATAAAATCTCGTCTAGCTACTTTGAGACCTTTTAAATGGTCTCCAGCAAGAACTCAAATCGATAAGGCTGGCATTTCACCTGATCAACCTCCTTCACCCCTGGACCGCAAGCCGCAGTGCCCACTCCTGCAACCTTTGCATCCAATCGCAACAATGTGGGATCCTCTTCCACTAGATCAGGTGGATGCTTCGCGTTCTGGATATTCTCATCGGTATATCTCGACACCGCGAAGCTGAAGCCATCTGCGTTGCCAGCGTTAGGCTGAGAGGCTCGAATACCTCGCCCAGCCCAGTGAGTTCCAGTAAGTGCCAACCATTTGGTACCCATCCTGTTGCCGTTCTCTTGCGGCACATCATATGGCGTGTGTAGCCTCGCCACGTCGTCAACTTCCCAGATGCCTATCCTTTGGGCTTCTTTCTTATCCGGGTAGCTTTCACCTGGACCGAGACCTAGCCAACGAGCTTGGTCCAAGGCTTTGTTCAGGCGGAGATTGAGCCCGATCCTTGGCACATGTTTGGGTTGCGAGCCAGTTGGTGTCAATGAAGTGAGTATGTGGAGAGATCCAGAGGTATCGATGCGATATTCCACTTCGCAATCCCAACCCCAGGCGAGGACTGGTGGGGAGAGGAAGAGCTTGGTTTTGACGATGATGCCCGCGTTGTCAGAACTCTCGACTGCGAAAGAACGAAGGTTATACGTAAGGCTGTCAACACCGAACCTTTGCCAGTATGGTAGAGTGTTCGAAGCATCGTTATCCGTCGACGGGCGCCAGGAACTGGGCGCGAGGCCAAAACCACGTCCTCCCGTGTTGTCGATTATGGCTTGGTCATTGCAGTGCCACTCAATCAGGGCGCCGCGAGTAGGGTCAAAAGAAAAAACAAAATAGTCGCCTGTGATCGTCACCTTCGTCGGTGTTGATACTACATGTATCTCGTTCTGCGCTTTTTGTAGGGAACGGGAGCCTGTCAGAAGAGTCTTCGATGTTGGCGGAAGTCTGATTTGCTTCCACGCAATCTCGTGGCCGGATTCTGCCCAGTCAGTTGAGTACTTGAGCTTCAGTGAGATGGTCAGGTAGGCTTCTCCGGTGTGATGGCTCTTGAGGATCTCCTCTGGTATGACCATGTCCGCTTTCTGCTTTGCTTTCACTGCAGGTAGTGTCAATTCTTCAGCAGCCAGGATATCACTTCTACATTCCTCAGATTAGCCATTGATTCTTTCGAATCCCACAGTGGACATTACCGATCGCTGAAATCTTCAAGCTTGTACGTGGCACGCAGATCCCCCAAGTCAATAAAATCGTAGCGATTCAGGATGAGTAGTTTCCCATCTTTGTATTCCAGTCCAACAGGTTCAAACGCTTTCTTCAATTCATGCAGCCCGGGTGTTGGTTCGTGCTTGCTGTTGAGTAGTCCGTCCATGACAAAGGTGCCATCTACCGCGTGTCAGTCTTCAGCCTTTCATTCTACCTCAACCAAGCATACCGTTCGGTACGTCTCCAAAGTCTCCACCGTATGCATAGAATCCTTCGTCCTCTTTCCAAAGTCCATGGTTGGCCCACTCCCAGATGAAGCCTCCTTGAAGACGAGGGTTGCTTCTAAACGCTTCTTCATAGTCGTGAAGCAAGCCAGGTCCATTGCCCATGGCATGAGCATACTCGCAGAGCACAACAGGCTTTTCGAATTTGCCGTGCGTAACGCCTTCTTCACTGGCCAATTTCAACAGTCTCTCAACTGACGCATACATGTATGAGAACATGTCTGCGGTCTTAGCTTTCGCGTCCCCTTCGTAGTGAACAAGACGTCCAGGGTCAAAGTCTTTGGCGTAGTGATACATGGCCTCGTGATTGGCGCCGTAGAAAGCTTCATTGCCGAGACTCCACATAATGACCGATGTGTGGTTTTTGTCTCGTTGTACGACGGACCTCATGCGGTCAAGATACGCTTCCTTCCACGCTGGGCTATCAGACGTGAACTTTGCTGCTTGAGGGAAAGCGAGCTTCTTCCTTTCCTCGTAGTCCATGGATTCGGGGATGTCCAGGGGACGAGCGACTGCGTCGTAGAAGCCATGGCATTCCAGATCAGCTGCAAAAGCCAAACATCAGCAAACGTCGTTTGGCTTTGCGTTCACACTCACCTTCAGCCATAACCCACAACCCGAGCTCATCACAGAGATCAAGCAGTCGAGGATCGTTTGGTTGATGCGAGAGACGAAGGGCGTTGATGTTGTGCGTTTTCATTAGCAGCAGGTCTTTCTTAGCAAAGTCGAAGGGTACAGCTCGGCCAAAGAGCGGATGATGTTCGTGACGGTTCACACCCCGAAGCCGGATAGGTACTCCATTCACTGTCATCAGGCCGCGAAGAAGTTCGACCTTGCGGAAGCCAATTCGCTGGTGAACGACGTCTCGCTCATCGGAGCTGTCAGTGCTCCAAGATATCTCAACTTCGTAGAGGTGTGGTGTCTCTGCAGTCCACTTTGTAGGGTTTCTAACGTCCAGAGTGAGTTGGACTCGTTTCGTGTCCGGTTTGATAGTGGCATGAGCTCTTCCAAGCACACTGCCTCCATGTTTGGCCAGCGCAGACAAAGTAAGTGCCACAGTCCCGCCTTTCTCTGTGCGAACGTCAACGGTCGCCCGCAGTGTAGCATGACGGTAATCTTTGTCTAGATCAGTTTCCAAGAAATAGTCATCAATCCTTTCGTCTCTTGGAAACGCTATGAGATGCACGTCACGAAAGACGCCTGCTCAAGATTAATATACAGCGGCCAAGAACGGTCGTCGAATAGCTTACCTGAAAGCCACCATTGATCCTGGTCTTCGATATACGTGCCATCTGACCATTGATAGACCCTGACTTGTAGTTCGTTTGAGTCATTGAAATTGACAAAATCCGAAATGTCGAACTCTGAGGCATTGCGAGAGCCTTGCGCGTATCCAACCAGAGTTCCATTCACCCAAACATGGTAAGCACTGTCAACTCCATCAAACCTGAGCCTGACCTGGTGCTGTTTCCATGCAGACGGGACCTTAAAGTCCCGACGATATGTTCCAGTAGGATTCTCAGTGGGTACTTCTGGAGGACAGACCGGTATTGGGTACTGTACATTCGTGTACCATGGGTTTCCATGGCCTTGGAGCTGCCAGTGTCCGGGAACGACTAGCTTGCCGAATGCCGTAGTTCGGTCGTCCGGACCAGGAGCAGCCAAAGCAGTGGATGCAAGGTGGAAGTCCCAGGTGCCATTGAGGAGTATGGCCGACTCTGGTATCCAGTAAGATCGAGTTGGGAGACAATTCCGTCTCACCACAGCCTCATTGCAGTAGTCTGGTCGGTCTTCGTCCTCACGCTCTGATATACCTCTGGAAGGCATATTCAGAGGTACAAGTGGTGAGGTATACCGCACAACCATCTATGAGAGTCAGTTGCGTTCTCAATCGTTGCCAATGAGGACGTGTACTCAATGTAGCAAACTAAACGAGCTGTGAACAGGTAGCACGGGGATGTCGGAGCCGAGTTGTCGAATTGAGTTCGAGGCGACAATCACGTTGCCGCTTTGCCAGCACCGTAAGGATTCGGAGGATTTTTGAGCATTGCGAGGAGGCCCAAACCCCGCACCTATCCCAAACACCATTTTCTCGTCGGTCCGTCTCGGTGCGATGAAAATGCAAGACAAGACTTTCGCGTGGCTGGCCAAGATGCAACCAGCTCGCAAGCGACAGCGAACCACTCATGCTTGCGACTTCTGCCGAACTCGCAAGACGAGGTATGCCAATGCTTCAGCACCAAAATAGCCAAGAGTTGACCACCGTGAAACAGATGTGACGGTAATCAGCCATGCGAAACTTGCACCACTCTCCAGCAGGAGTGTCTTTTTGGCTCTGAGCCCAACACGTGAGTCTTCCTTGGAGGTGAACACTGGATCTGCCTTCGATTGATTAATATGTTGCAGCAAAGGGAAGAGCGACTTAATCCTTGAGAGCGTGTTACGAGTAGAACAAGCCCTGCAAGATCTCAACCAGAACATATCCAGGAACAGTACCCAAAACGATCATGGGGTACCACCGCCTATCCCAAGCGCAGCGTCGCTGACCACGCCAGCCACGCACCCCGGCGACTCGGCCCATGAAGGGAATGAAGTCGAAAATGCAGTCCTCGATTCCATGCACACTTCGACGACCGAGGCTGTACTCCAGTGGCCACACTTTGATGAGTTTCCTTCGTTGAGAGACAATTACGTCTCCATCTTCCAGCTCGAGCACCAACGGACCCCTCTGGAGTTGGCCAACACAACGATGCAGCCTTACATCGGAGATGAGGAAACGGATGATCTGATGTTTGCATTTGAACAGAACATCAACTTCTGGTATCCGACGATGTCCCAAGATCAACTGGATGACGTTCGAAAAGCTATGCACGGAGATTCGATCCAGGCAGATTCGGTCGATGGATGCCTCACACTGCTGACCTTGGCCCTGGGATGTGCAAGTCAGATTGCTGCCGGTCTGGTCTCGAAGACTGAAATGTCGACTGTGGAAAGTCGAATAAGGAGCTCGCGGCGAAAGTTGGGAAATATGTTCTTCTCGAGTGCCTTGAAGAGGATTTTCGCAGCGCATATGGAGGTCAGCCCCAAGGCTGCTCAGTGCCTCTTATTCACAGCGTAAGTACAATGGCGTTTCACTGTGATTTGAATTGACGGAATAGGTTGTACTTTGCGTCCCTCACGCGACCTCTTCAAGCTCGGGAGTACTTGACCGCTGCGTGCTCGAAGTGTCTTCTGCTCGTCTCATACCTGCCCGATGATGAAGACCAAACGGGGCAAGAGCGAACCCGACGGGTCTTCTGGTCGTGTTATATTCTCGAAAGGTCAACTCGTCTTGATGATCTTCACTGGGACCGTCTGCTGACAATTGAGCAGCGACTATCTTGCTGAGCTCTCTGCATGTCCGCCGTCAGGCATCTCGAGGGTGGAATCGTTGGTATCTCTGCCGCAAACTTACAATACACATGCATCTCAAGATGAAGAAGAGCAAGCATCGCTCTACTTCCTCGCCTGTATTAGCATGAGGAGGCTTCTTAACCGCGTCCACCAGCTGTTGTACGCCCATGATACGGGCGCAGCTCAAGATATGTCCCGTTTCCCATATGTCGTGGCTGAGCTGAACCATCAGCTGGACGAATGGCGCGACGTTCTTCCAGGATACTTCTCGTTCACAGTCGACCTCGCGCCCGCAGCTAACGAGCGAGCTGCGTTCTTGAGACAGAGATACCTTACCTGCCGCAGTGTCATCTATCGACCGTACCTAATGTGGCTTCTTGGTCCAACGCCCAGCTCGGCAGTAAACGAGCAAGATGTACTTGCTAACTGTAAAATCTGCTTGGACTCTTGCGTGATGCATATTCTAAATCTGGGGAGCTTTGCACATACTTTGCTCGTTGACTCGTGGATCTGCTCGCTGTCGTGAGTTCATCCTTCTCTGTGACCCTCATAGTCCGCTGATGATGCTAGTATGGCCGGTGCAATGCTGCTTCTGCTCGCTGCGCATCGAGTTTCAGGACTACGGTCTCTGCTTGGCCCAGAACTGTACGGAACAGGAGAACATCTTCAGAGCTTGCTGGGCAGCTGGGCCTTTCAACTGCACACTTCCACATCACCAAGCGTCGTCCAGAGTATTCGCATAATCCGGGAAGCAGATAAGTTCATCAAGACCGCCGAATCGGATGGCTGGCAAGATCAGATTTGGCAGAGTTCGCGGAACCGGTTTCATGATGCGGCTTCATTGTGAGTGAGATGCTGGTGAAAGTGACCACTCAATCCGGGATACTCGCCTCTTGATGGCCATGGTTGCGAAGAATCAGCCTTCTAGCACAATGTATTGATGAAGGAGGTCTCTAACTTCGATGTCTCGATGAGTTTGTTGTGTGACCTGTTGATGGCAGCGCCGAGTCAACCCGAAAAGAGAAAAGGGGTTTCACTTGCGATGTCTCGGTTATCGGAGTAATGTTACGCCGGACTCCGCTTTCCCCAAAATGAAGAGGCACGGTATCCACTTGCCGACATACTACTGCACCTCCATCCATCAGTGCAACGTGACACGCCGATCCAGTCCAATACCCGACAGTCGCATGCGCGGTAAGATTGTTGAAGATTTCTCATCCTTGATCCCTCCATCCTCTTCCCCTCTCCCCCCATTTCCCCAGATCTTCTCCGCAAGATGGAAGAGCAGAAGCAGGAGGCGCTGCGTGTTGACGATGGCGAAATGGGCAAAGACCAGACCTTCAATCACGACCTCGAGACCGCCTCGTCCAAAGAGAAAGCCCCACATTCTGTTCACGAGGAAGACGCCAATGTGCCGTACGAGGGCAGAGGAACGGCAGCCGAGAGGCGACTGCTGTTCAAGCAGGATCTGCGAATAGTGCCGCTATCCGCCTTCATTTACCTCCTCTGCTCACTTGATCGTTCGGTATGTCAATCCAACTTAAAGATAGCAAATCAATACTTATATGAGTAGAACATAGGCAACGCAAAGGTGCTCAATGAGGACACCGGAAATGATGTGAGTGGCGACCTCTTTTCCAGATCATGCATTCACTAAGCGGTGAATACAGCTTCTCACGGAGACCCACATGACGAATTACCAATACACAATAGCTCTCATGGTGTTTTTGATCGCCTATGCAGTCTTTGAGGTGCCGTCAAACTACATGCTCAAGCGACTGAGTCCGAGCACGTGGATTGCATTTCTCATGCTCGCTTGGGGTGCTTTAACCATGGGCCTTGGTGGTACTCATTCATATGGAGATGTCACAGCTGTGCGTTTTCTGCTGGGGGCTTTCGAAGCTGGGCTATTCCCTGGCCTCGTCTGTAAGATGTTCCCTGAAGCAGACTCGTGTTCTCTGACACTGATATGTTGCAGACTTTCTGACATTCTGGTACCGTACTGAAGAGCGCTCCATCCGAGTTGCTCTTATCCTGGCTTCTGCAACCTTGGCCGGTGCTTTTGGTGGCGCCATCGCCTATGGCGTAGGACACATGAACGGGACCGCTGGTCTATCTGCTTGGAGGTGGCTTCTCATCCTTGAAGGCCTGCCATCTATTGTGTCTGCGTTTTTAGTGTACTTCATCTTGCCCGACTATCCCGAGACGGCAAGATGGCTATCTACTGATGAGAAAGCTCTTGCAACAGAGCGCTTGAAAGTGGAAGGCTCTCATGGCCATACTGGACATATGACTTGGCAAGACGCCAAGGAAACGCTTACGGATTGGCGCTTGTATGGGCATTACGCTGTAAGATTTCCTAAACCTCGTGTATGAGACACGAACTGACTGCTGCTCGCAAGGTCTACTTTGGCATCTCAGCCCCTTTCTCGTCCCTCTCGCTGTTCACACCAACCATAACTGCAGGTTTAGGATACAGCGGTCTTCGCGCTCAGCTCATGGTAAGAATGAATCACCCCGTGCAACGAGAGTGTCACTGATCAAGACTTCTTACTCAGACCGTACCGCCTTACGCTGTTGCTTATGTCGTAACTCTGGCCGTGTCCTGGTCTGCCGATCACTTCAACCGCCGTGGTCTTCACAGCGCTGTCTTCGCCACTATAGGTGCTGTCGGCTTCCTCGCATCAGCAGTCCTACCACCAGATGCCTACAGTCATCGCTATGGCTGTTTGATCGTGGCCGCTTCTGGAGCATTTGCGTGCATTCCTCCTCTTCTTGGCTGGCTCAGTAGCAACTTGTTCAGCACAGCGAGCATTGGGCTAGCCATTGCGATCAACATCTCTACTGGAGCACCAGGCCAAATCTTGGGCGTGTGGATATACAAGGCTGATGAAAAATCCAAGGGCTACCCAACTGGGCACTGGACCAACGCTGCCTTGTTATTCTTCGTTGCCGCCGGCTGCGCGGCGCTGATTCTCTTCTACCACTCAAAGAACAAGGCAATAAGGAGGAATGGCGGTGCAAGACTTTATAAATACTGATTCATACAGATTCCGCTAACAACAATCGAGGGCCAACTCCTCTTCGAAGATTTAGACCGTCATCCATTCCGTGATCTTCCCTTCAGTGAGGTTCACTCCCTTATTGAACCGATTCTCAGGATCGTACCTCCTCTTCACCTGCTTGAGCTTCTCATAGTTCGGACCATACACCTCTTTCAGGTCGCTCCAGTCGTGTAAGAACCCAGCGTGCCATTCGCCGGTATATGCATCCTTTGCAATCTCCTTCCCAGCTTGGCTCATGCGCAACATGGCCAACTCCCTACTATCGCCACCAGCCTTTGTCTTCGACTTCGGCGGACACCCAAGCTGGGTCTGCAATACATGCCTTTGCCCTCTACCATGCGGGAAGGCCGTTGTCTCAGGGCCAGACGTGGAATTGAACGAAGCCTCCTGCATGAACTCTAACAGCACCACGCTTCCAGCCCCAAACCCGGGATGCAACTCATAAGTCTCTTCATACCACTTCCACATCCGGACCAGCATCTCCTCGTCAATCTCGCTAACCAACGGTGCAGCTAACCAAAATTCGTTCCTTCCTTGGAAGGCTTTGAATGTGTCGTTCAACGCATTCACTCCCGTCAGAGTCGTCTCCATTGCTACGGCTTCTTGTGCACCGGTAACTTTCCAAGCCCATCCAAACCCTTCCTCTGATCGAGCGTGCGCTTCGCCACGGAAGTCGATCGGCATGAGGATGATGCCGGGTTTCGAACCTTGGTCTGTCTGACCGGCCCCCAAACCTTGATTCATAATGTGCATGGCGATCTTTGGGTCTGATGGTCGTTTGTCGAAAGCTGCCAGAGCTTTGGAAACTTCGTGGAGGGAAGAGTAGGGTACGAGTATCACGCCGCAGAAGATTTTCGAGGGGACTTTATAGGCCTTGAGTTTTAGACGGGTCACCACTGCGAGGGTCAGTCTTCTATCTCCTTCTGTGTGTGCTTGACTCACCCCCGAAGTTCCCACCACCTCCTCTTAAAGCCCACATCAAGTCCGGATCTTCCTTGACCGCCCATCTACAATTCCCATCACCAGTCACAACCTCGGCGTCAAGCCAATTCTGCGGATCAGAAATCAATCCGTATTCGTGGCTTAACCAGCTCAGACCTCCCACCAACGGACCACCAGTGACGCCGACCCAAGTACATCTTGCACCAACGCAGCCGTAGCCGTCCGTCTTCTGATCCATCAACTGGTCCAACTCTCCCCACGATAGTCCTGCACCAGCAACCACAGTCTCGTCTTCGGGAAAGAATTCCAACTCCTTGAATCCATGCATGGACAGCACAATGTCCGTCGCAGAAGCACCTCCTGTGCCAGTGTTGCGGACGCAGAAATCAATAGATTTGTGAGAGTAAAGGTATTTCACGACTGCTTGCATCGTCTCGATATCCTGTGGTTCGTTCGCAAATTGGGGGTTTCGATCCGCCCAGATCGACCATGGAGCTGCTTTGTCTGGAAAGACGGCATCGTTGCGAGAGTAGAGATTTGGACAGAGTTGGCGGAGTTCTTCAATCTCGTCGTTGGTTATGGACATCCTTTCGATGTACTCTGCTTCTCCTAGGAGTCTCTTTTCTCTTGTGCGATATCACGTTCCACAGATATTGTCGACTTGTCAATGAATCGTCTCGAATCTATCCACTCTACGAAGTAGCCCTCCGAAACATACGAGTTTATGTACCCTCCGTCAGCCTCAAAGCCCTCGATCCAACAAGGCTCACAGCACCATCCTCGGCTTCCCATTGGACGCCGTCCATTCCAACAAGCGTACTTTGCCTCAGCCCCCAGGAATCGCAAGGTCTACCTAACAAGTAAGCACGTCACCGCTCAGAGACTCCTGGGCGACTGTCCATAGGAAGCCTAGTTGAAGGATCGGTTCCTGCAGTAGTAAGAACTTGGCCTCCTCGTTTAAAGCTATACGCCGTATACTACTCCTTCTGTGCGGGATAAGCGAGTTTTCGGACCGTATACGATTATTTTGGCCTGCTTTGAAATGTGATGTAATTATCATCCTAAGCAGAATCTGACAGAGACTAATGTGTCTTCTCGTCAACTGCACCCTCTGTTCCCTCGAGGTCACTATGCAGCTTCCATCCGTAATCCATGCCCGGATCGTTGAACCTCGCTTTCATATCCAGCTCTCCGATCACCGCCGCATCCTCTTCTCTACCGTAGATTCTCCGTCATGCTAGAGCGACAATGGAGGCGAGACGAGACTCAGGACATGCACATCAAGGAGTCGTCTCTTATATGCCGGGGGTTGGGCGACTGAGGCTTAATGCGAGCGAGCCTTTCAAACTTAATGGAGTCATCGTTACTGTATTACTGATTAAGATATCTTCCAGTGTCCTAATAGTGTGTCGAAGCTACTTCGTACTGCGTGCATCATCTGTCCCCTTTCTGCCTTGCAATCTCCTCCTCCGTCTGCCCATCACGAATCTCATCAATGTAACGATCAAACTTCTGACTAACATTAATCGCCCTCTTCAAGTCCTTCAGACTTAGAGGGTTGCCCTGAAATCGTGCCAGCTGTCTTGCAGTGTTGATCGCATTCCGAATTTGTCTCCCATTCATTTCAGTTTTCGCCAGCATCTCGATTTGTAGGAATATGTCGTCGAAGTGCATGGCTTCCTTTACAGATTGGAGTTTGTGGATGAAGTTGGTCCAGATTGCGATTCGTTGGGCGACGGTCAATGGTCGGTATGGCAGAGCGAGTTGGACACGGGACTTGAAAGCTTCGTCGAACTGGCCGACGCGGTTGCTTGTCAGGATGAGGATGCCTGTTAGGATGTCAACCGTCAATTCCTGCTCATTGAGTCACGGCCTGAGGTTAATCTCAACCGACTCGACTTACCATCGTAATACTCAACAGCACGGAGGAATACTGTCTCGACATTAGCAAGAACATAAGTGCAGCCAAGAGAAGAGGATTACCCGAGACCAATGCATTCCGCTCAAGGTTGTCGAGTGAGCGTTCTTCGAGGAAGACGTCTGCCTCGTCAAGAAGGACGACTATTTGCGTTATCCAATCCTTCAGTACTCGAAGCCACAGGGGAACTCACCACAGCCCCATCGTCGACCGAGAGTAAATACTGATTCGAGATACTGGTTTGCATTAGCCGCTTTGGTTCGAAATTGGCCTTTACAGGCGGAATACCTCTTCGACTTGCACAGGGCTAGTCCCTACGTCGCCACATGTTACTCGATAAAGCGGCTTCTCTGCAATTTCAGCTACACTACAAAGTGTATTCGTCAGTTGTCTCAGTATCAACTCCAGAGGTTTCTCTCAAACTTGCCTTTCTGCGGTCAATGTTTTTCCCGTACCAGGCGCCCTGGCCGTAGTTAGTCTCGCAGGCCACATCGCAACTTTAGCTGAGCACGAACCCGTGGAGCAACAGAACCAACCCATTACCTTTCCCATCAACGAAATCTATTCCTTCATCTGACTGGATCTTGTTCTGGACTAACGCCCTGATCAACTGCTTCGTATCGCCGTCATCGTCATCTGCAATGACCAGATCTTTGAAAGCCTGCTTGTTCCAGACGACCGGTTTGATGTCGTCGACTCGAAGGTTCACTATTCCAGCCTTCTATTAGTGAACGGATGCAAGTCTGCTAAAATGGGATCAATCCATACCCCAGCATTTGTCAGACATTCGAAAACCCTGTATCATCGGCGGAAGTCTGAGGATAAAGTCTTCATCTTCGGCACGACTCGCCTCGACCTCTTCGTCTTCGACTTTCTCATCGCCGTGTAACATGTAGTATGCCTTGACATCGACCATGTATCGAACCTCAGCCTAATAGGTAGTTAGTCTATCAAGTCTCGACATAGTGTGGCCGTATGTGTGGGATACCAATTCTCTTTCTGTCTCGCCATGGCTTGTTGCACAGGTGACGTACTGCTGCGAACGACACCAATGGAACCGCCTGCCACGCGTGAGAAGTGACTCTCGACTTGCAGAGTCTAGAAATCGTATTGGGTATACCGCAAGACCGTCGATCCTCGCAGGGGATTTGGGCCTTCTAGGAACTTTCGGCCTGAAGTCCAGTTCTTTGCTGTGAAATTCCCCGTCAAATACCAGCGTAGTCCCTTGAAGTTCCCAAAACGCATCTCTCTCGGTGCTCGAATGCCCAACTATCACAGACGTCTGCATTGAGACTACTGTCTCGTGGCTTTCCTGAGATACCAGGAGATCGTTTGGCTTGAAGAGGTATGGCATGAGGTCGGAGGTCACAAGTCCCTGGGCGAAATGATCTGCTGCCTTGCGGCGCATATCGAGCGATTGACTCTCGAGATAATTCAAGAGTTGCCTTAAGGGTAGAGCTCGATCTTGAGCACAGCTTCTCAAGAAAGCACCGATGTCGTTTTCAAAGTGATCCATCCAGACATGGGGCTCCGCAAGTCGGTTGTTAGCAAAGACGCCGGAATTGTGGTAGATTTCAAGCCCTGTGTTCGACTTGAACAGGCTTTGAAGAGTATGCTGCAACTTCTCATCCAGAACATGGACCTCCTCGTGGCTGGCTTTGGGAACGGGTCCCTTAAGCCTTGCCACATGCTTGCCGCACGCATACGACTTGTATACCACGAATGGTACATCGATTTGCGATTCTTCCCAGGCGATCTCATTGGGCACTCGTCGAAGCGATTGGACGTGCTGATGGTTATACGTTCCGTCTTCAATGATGATCGGGGAGTCTCGGAAGGTGTACACAGTATCGTCTTCAACACATTTGATGCGGTAAAGGACGGGATATGGCAGAGGCCCATCCGTCGCACTGGCTCGTTCTCGAAGCTCAGAATTTTCAGCCTGTAGCCTTGCGTTGTCTCGGAGAAGCGCAGAAAAGTCGTAGGGATCTGGCACCGTTGACCGTGAGTCTTCGAGCTGTGAGGGTGCCGTGGCTACGCCAGACATGACGGACTGATATTGCTCGTATGTCGATTCGTCTGCCACGTCGATCAAGACTTCTGAGTCAGGTGTTGGAGCTTCACTGTACTTCTTGGACGAGCTGTGCGGTCTTGAAACGTCTTCATGTCGGCCCACATGCTCCTCGAGAGGTTGGTAAGTGACTTCGGTCCGGGGGCTCTTGACACTTTTCGGTGGCTCTGCGCTATCAGCCCGGTCACGTTGGAATATTGATGTTCACTCACGGTCCTCGGCGGCAGCAAACCGTTTCCTTGAGTACCCCGATCCGTTCAGGCCTTCATGGTCATGTACGCGCTGCTCCTCTTCCGCCGTAGGAGAGTCCCAGAGATCAGACATGGGACGGTCCATGCTGGCAGACGGAATCGTGAGTGGGCGGTAATGGCTTGGTGACGCGAGGTCGATCGAGGCTCTTATCCGCAGAAAGGTGAGCTTTGTATGCAGGTGGGCGTGTTCCAGCTCGCTTGTGGGTACCGCAGCTCAGCCTCACTCGAGGAGGTAGAACTACTGCACGATGTACGCAATAGATACGTGGCGTTCGTTGCTGGAGCCAAAAGTCATAATGTGCTCTCTCTCGAGCAAGCAATACAGCACCAAGCCCGCGACATTGAACCCAGGCTCTTGGAACACTAGGATCGACAGGAAAAACTTAATCTACATTCAATTTCCGAGTTTCACGAGTGAGAAATGGTGCTCTTCAGAGTCTTGGCCGAAGTTATGGTGCCACCTTGATTGCAATCGAACTGTACGGCATTCAGTGATTGCCTGCTGCTTTCCGCTCATGCTGTCTGCTGCCAACGAACACTCGGCATAAGAGTGCCTCTTCTCTTTCGACCTGACTGGCTGTGTCGTCTTTTGAAATTGTCCTATGCACGGAGCCCGGAATGGCTTTGGAAAATCTCTCGTGGATAAGTAATTGTGCCTTTGCTGCAGGACTAGAAGTAAGAGGTCCGGGGCCGCTGCCGTCTTTCTGCTTGCCTTTCTTATTGCTGCCGCCGAAGGATGCGAAGGGGTCCGGATCAGGCATCGGGCCTGGCATCGGGCCTGGCATTGGGTCTGGCATTGGGTCTGGCATTGGGCTTCGCATTGGGCTTGGATCCTCCATTGGCCACAAGTGCATGGTGATCTCCCAATCAGGCTGAACCATTGTGTCCCAGACTTGCGGCAAGATGATCTCGCCGTCTGGGCCTGTAAGGTCATAGTGGCCTTGGTGAACGTGATCTCCAATAACATCGACATGTAAGAAGGCCTGTTTAATCAGAGTCTCCATGCCTTTCCATGTCTTGCAGATCCGCCACGGAAAACTAAACTTCCTGCCCACTGCATCTTTGAACTTGATAGGCGGCTTTGCCGAGTCTGGGTCGTCCTTCCTCTTTTGTTCTTCTCTTGTCTTCTGCCTCTCTCCCTTTTTCTTGTCAATGTCCTGCTGCAACGCCCGAAGCGCCTGCGCATTCGCACTAGCATCATCGTCCGAGCTTGGACTGACTGTCTCTGACGATGCCCGGCTAACCGAAGGGTCGAATGGATTACGGCTTGCAGTCTTGACGAGTTTGGTCGCTGGGCTTCCGTCCTCACGTTGCTTATAACCCTTCGAACCCAGAGCTGCATGCCGCCTCTTTCCCAAAGCCAAATGTATGCCACTTGTACGGCCTGGCACTGTTCCGCCCTGGCCGTTCTTGTACGCTGATGACAGCATGCCGAGAGCCAACTGAGGCCTTGCCAAAAGGGTACTTGTTTTTCTCTGGAACACAAACGGCTTAGTCGCGGCCGTACATGATCTTTCGAGGTCCTTAAGCACGGGAAGAGAAGGCGGGCTTGGGGACCACGAGCCGTGTGCCGCCGTCGCAATCGTGGAGAAGTTGAGACGGTCTGATTACTTCCACCACGAAGGACGCGGGGAGTGATCGAGCTCTCGACTGATGCAAGGTCAGTAGTACACCCACAGGTTTGTGCGAGGCGACTGTAATGTCGCGAGCAACATGAAGAATGCAGTTGGCAGTCCGGTCGTGCAGGCCCACAGCCACTACGTGCATGAATCGTCTGCAGCTCTCATGCAACCCATCTGCCAGCGGCAGTGCAGCTCAGCCCCATCGACGACCAGAAAATGTAGCCGACTACCCTCATGCTCTGGCGCTGAAGAGTCATGACTGCCAACGGAAAGCAAAAGGAGAAATGCTCGATATAGAGTGAAGTCAAACAGTAGTGAGGTCAAAGCATGAAGACCGGTACGCCGTCTCCTGGCGGCCCGCCGCCGACGTCGCTCTCGACAGCGACATGCGCTTTCCAGGACGCCCTTGAGCTCCTTTGCAACCAACAACCTGCTGGAGGTCATCTCGAAGCGTGGCTCAAAGACAAATATACCCAAGCTGATGTCGAGAAGTCAATTGAGGAAGCAAAATGTCTGTACGAAGCCCGCTCCAACAGCAAGGCCCGAACATGGCTGGGCAAGCTCTCCAGTGGCATCCTAAGCTATGGCAAGGTGATGGACATGCTAGCCCAACATCATCCCGAATATGTCTCCCTGGCTTGGGGAACTACTAAGCTCTTGTTCATTGTAAGTCAGCAGACGATATTCGTGATGTTGTGAGACTGATCTGTCTTCCAAAAGCTCTTCCAACACCATGACGAACTAGTCACCGAACTGGCGAAATCAATGGCCGAGATATCGGATATGCTGCCTCGCACGAACCAGTACCTCGCCATATACAACAGCCCTGTACTCCTGAAAAAAGCAGAGACATTGTTCGGCCTTATAATTCAGCACTTCCATGCTATGATCAAGTTCTATCGAGAAGGCCGACTGAAGCACGCATGGAAGGCCTTTATTCACCCTTACAGCCTTCGCTTCAAAGCTCTCAAGGACGAGATCGATCAGTGCTCGCGATCGATTGATCTTTGTGCGTTGGCGTCGCTTCACGTGAATGTTCACGCCATTGGCAAGGACCAGATAGGACTCAATGACAAAGTCGATCTGATCGACGAGAAGCTCAGTCTTCTGATGTCGAGAATCTTACAGATACAGAGTAAGTATCCCATCAGGTTGAACCAGACTCTTCCTAACGTTCTCGTAGATGACACTGCTCTGCTCCCGTCAATGAGCATCTCCCAGAACCGGCTCGAAATGTCCGACATGATGGCCATGACATCCGCCTCACAACTCAGTCCGCCAACAGAAGTCCTGCGACATCGCCTTTCTTTCTCCCGACGAAACATGGCACGTTATAAGATAGGTCTCAAGACTATATGGTCTGCCCCCGCCCTAAGAGCCTGGAGCACATCACCAAATTCCAGGGCGATCATGGTCCAAGGCTCCTGGTTTTCCCGAAACGAGACCAACGCGATGGGAACGCATATGACTGAATTCGTGCGCCAATCAGACTGCACTTGTCTATGGGCCTTGCAACACATGACGGAGTCCAAGAAGACCAAGGGGACCTGGACGCAGGTCTTGAAGTACCTCGCCATGCAAGCTCTGCAGCGCAATAGCGATGCTATCTCGAAGAGCCTGAACAACGACTTCAACTCACTGGTCGTTGCGAGCGCAGTCAGCGACCAGCAATGGGAAGCGATCCTGCTTCGAGCTTTGAGCGGATCCGGTGCTGCTTATTTGGTGATCGACCTCGCGGTACTGGAAGCTTTAGAGTTGACCGAGTTGGAGGCCATATTGCAGAGTGTCGTCCGCTTGACGTCGGCCAGCAGCAACGAACCCGGCAGTAGCACCGTCAAAATCGCTATTCTGGGATCTGCAAGGATGAATACTGCTTCCTTAACCGGGTTTCATAGACTGGAGATGGATCGCTTTCTTCGGCGTGGACGAAACGTCGGACAAGGCCGGCATACGAATGCTGCCAAAGGTCGGGTCCCGTTGAAATTCCATGTCTCCAAAACTTAACATTTGAGTCGGTCAAACACCCATCCACACAACCTCCGCCATGACTTCTCCGCCTCAACCCATGCCTTGAAATTCTTCAAAAAGGGACACTTCCTCTTCAAACTCTGCATGACGACTCAGGATGCGCCGGCATCGTTCAATCTTCATCAATATCCTATCTTTTCTCCTCCAACTGCGCACTGGACGGTTTTGGCGACAATCTGCAGTAATCATCGAAGGAGTCATTATTGGTCTCGATATCATCGAGTCAAAGATCTTGAGAGGAAAGGAGTCACCAAGGCAGGATTCATCCTCAAGACGGGAGCGTTCCCATCATCAGGGTCAGGACGGGATGATGGGATGTCCCAAATCGATATATCTGCAAGTCCCCGCAGACCACTCACCCACCTTTTCAAGATGACCGTTTTATGACGAAGATAGAAAGGAAGACTTCATCCTCGCCCATTTTTGCGTGGGCCACCAAGCCTCCCATCTTTCCCATAGATGGATCACGAGTCAGAATGAAGCCCGTGCAGGCACGGCGACTGAATGAGGGACGACTTTAGTCAATGATAGCTATTATGAGACACTCTATTGAAAATGATGTGATTTTTCATTTGTCGTTGTGTTTTAGAGCAAGGCTGAAATGAAAGCGAACGTTTGGAACGAAGTTTCACAGGCCAGCTTGCGGGGGATCCGTGCAAGGGATAAGGCGTCACTATCTCATCCACTCAAGCATGCTCCGAAGCGTTCACGCTGTGAATACAGTGCTTTCCGTGGCCCATGAGTGCGAGATAGATCAATGGAACACAGGCATTTCTGAAGCGCAAGGCAAGGCACGTCGTTCAGGGAGGATTATTCTTGTTGAAGACGCAGAAGGCAGAGAATTTGGCTGCCTCTACACTGTAGCGACGAAACAACTCGTGCCGCGTGGAGTTTGGACTTTCTCGTGGACGTTGTGATCGACTGTGGCAGCATGCCGGATCATGAATGCTTCGTATCGTCTCCGACCGGGGAGATGAACTGCAAAACTGTTCCTCCACAGATTTCGGCACTGAATCTTCGATGCCGGATACGTTATACGTTCGCCGCTCTCACAACATTGGATCTTCCATGAACGATCCGTCGCAAATGCTCTTCCCAAGCATCCCCGCGACCTTGGGTTCGTCAAAGTCGTCAAGTGGGTTAACGACGGCGTAGTCACTAGGGTTGGCGTGGAGATAATTTATTCTTGCTGCAAGTGCCTACACATCTTTCCCCGTGCTTCCACATCAACCGCGCTGTCGTGGTCGATATGACCACCGGTCTGGTGTCTCTCGAGCATGCAGGGCAAATTGTTCTGCTGCCATCGATACCACATGTCAATGTGCGTAGCGCCAGGTCACTGGTTCATTGGCAAGTCGACGTCGAACAAGAACACGGATCGGTGCCGCCCAGGTGAAGACAGCTTCGTCCCTGACGTTGACCTTTGTGGAAACAACTTCTACCCTCACCGCCGAAACTACATGTACGGCCACCAAGATGAACATGAGCTGTTGGGAATCCCACCCAATCGTTCAGGCGCTGCGAATTTTGATCTCATTCCACGTGGACACGATGGTTGCGACCGATCATTCAAGAACGCCAGCAAGGAGGCTCGTGGCATCCAGCGTCTCTATCGCCCTTGGCTGCAGGACCAATGTGCCGGCAAAGACCAAATTCTTCCTTGAAGAGTCACCATCGGTAGTATCCACTACATGTATAATGCTACTCTTCTTCATCATGATTCCGACGCTCACTGGCACCTTCACTTGAACACCTAGTTCGACATTGAGCACACTTGCCTACACCACCGCATTGAGTCTTGCCGGCATGGTACTGTGAAGCCGCCGGGGTATACGCAGTATATTAATGCAAGCCATGGTAGCAACGACAAGGCACAGCCCGCACAACAGACAATCTAGCGAACTCCTCCATCCTGTCAACGTGTGAATAAAGACGTTTCTTGCTACGTGCATCTGCGTAGAGGGTGAGTTGTGTTGGACGAGAAACGCGTGCAACCCATGCAAGAAGAAATGTAAAGGCTGGACTCCCCCTCGAAGCTCTGCAGTATTGACGCACGAATAGTGATTTCCTGCCATGGATGCTATCAGCCCAGTAGGACATGTTCCACGCCTATCGCCGCGCATCGTATTTCGACATTTCCTCAAATATCCACTACCCTCATCGCCTTTCTCCTTCATGATTGTTCTTCTTGATCATTGTTGTACAACGTCTTGGCCTCCTTCTCAAGCAATAGGCTCGTATCCAGCGCCGCTGTTGTGCTTGGCTCGGTCGGCAAAGAGCCAGTAGATGATGACACCGACGACGGGCAGGATGAAGATCAAAACACACCACAGGATCTTGTGGAGCGGTGGGCGGTTCGACTTGAGGATTTCCACTGCACGAAATGGTCAGCCGCATGCCACTGAAGCAAGGCGTGTCTGTGTGACTTACTCCATGCCAAAACGTCAATCACGAGGACAATGAAGCCCAGGATGCCGCCTCCAGTGCCATATTGCCATGCATCGGCCTGGACGGTGAAGGTGGGGTCGCTGTCGATGGGAGCGGCCAAGGTGAGAGCCGCGAGGCAGAGCTGGAGGACGAGGCTGAACATGCCGGTGGTGGTGAAGCTGGTGGAGCTGGTGGTGGATATGGGTCCGTGGGATCAGTTTGGAGGGCTTGTTGTTGTTAATGGTAGTGGTAGAGGAGAAGGAGGATGTTTGCAGGCAGCGGCTTTCTGGTGGAGCAGCTGGCTCTGGGGTCACACGACAGCACGTCGTGGTGACGTAGCTGCTTTTTACGCGATGCGCACAATCTCGCCGCTCGCCTACGATAGTGCATTCACCTACCAAACTTCTGCATTGGGAAGATGATATGGGAAGGAAACATTAAGATAGGACAGAGAGGACAGGAAAAGATGAAGTGAGGTCGCCGCCGATCGTGCACGGTCCAGCGTGAAAGTCGATCCCTTGCTGTCCAATCTCCCGCCACATGCCCCTTTCCAATCCATTCACTCACCATCGACGTCGACACGAGCTATGGCGGGCGAGTTTCTTCGAAGCCATGGGATCGACATCGACGTCGAAATGGCACGCATACAAGCCTCGGGCCCCTCGATGTCGTCCACTTCTCGCATACAGAACGTGGCTTTGCCCGGAACGGCGCCAGACACCAAGTGGACAGTCGAACTCGAAGGCGGGACTGTCCGGCAGCTCAGTCCGTATGAAGATAATGCAGAATCATCACAACCCGCAATCGACGGCCAAGGCGGCCTTCTGGCTCCCTCACTATGTCATCCCCACATCCATCTTGACAAGGCATACCTGCTGTCACATCCCAGATACAGCCATCTCCAGATCGAAAGGGGGGACTTTCAGGAAGCCATGGACCTTACCGGCAAGGCCAAGTCCCAATTCGAGCGAGCCGATCTACTGGAACGAGGACAGCGTGTGATTGACGAGAGTGTCACCGCTGGCGTCACTCACATGCGGGCCTTCGTCGAGGTCGATGCTGGTGTCCATACGAAGTGTCTGGATGCCGGTATTGAGCTGAAACAGAATGCGTATAATGATAAAAACTGCTTGATCCAACTTTGTGCTTTTGCTCAGCTGCCACTATTCTCTCCGGCGAAAGACGACAGTAATGGCGATGTGATTCGGAGTCTCATACGCTCTGCCGCTCAGACTGGTCATATCGATGCAGTCGGCAGCACGCCCTATGTTGAAGCGGATGGGAAAAGAATGAAGCAGAATGTTGAATGGATGGTTGACTTGAGCATTGAGTTTGGCCTGCATATGGACTTCCATCTGGACTACAACCTCGACTCGAACACCGAGCCCATGGTCTGGCATGTCGTTCAAACCTTGAAAGATCGTAAATGGAGGCAACGAACCAGCCACAGGACTGTAGTCCTCGGTCATTGCACTCGCCTCACTTTGTGGGATGACGCCCAATGGCGAGAGCTTGCTAATGACATTGCCGAAGCTGATCTTCCAATCTCTTTCGTCGGCCTTCCTACCAGCGATCTTTTCATGATGCGGACCGGCCAGCAACCTGAAGTTCGTGGAACTCTCAACGTTCCAAAACTAATCGACGAGTATGGACTGAATGCCTGCATTGGCATCAACAACATCGGCAATGCATTCACTCCGCAGGGCTCTTGTGACCCATTGGCTTTGGCTTGTCAAGGCGTTGGAATCTACCAGACGGGCACTAAAAGAGACACTGAACTCCTCTACGAATGCATCAGCACCAGAGCGAAAGCTGCTATTGGGGTCCAGCAACAGCGGCGTGATATGGACGTGAACATTCAAGTCGGCGATAAAGCGGATCTTGTCCTACTCAGGGGCTGCGGCGCCGGACAAGCACAGTGGAGGACTAGGAAGTCGGTAAGTGAAGCAGTCTATCTCTATGACCATTGTCAAAGCAGGAGAACGTTTCTCGCCGGCGAGATATCAGCGGCGAAAGAGTAATTGTGATGCTGCTCCCCACAGGAGACTTGCGGGTTTGACCTCGCCAAGACCAGCGTTTGTGCAGAGCAGTATGCGCATGTACATGCAGGCCGCCGTGAACCTCGCCATACTTTGGAAAGCTCGCTTTCGACGTTTCCATTCTTAGCCGACAACTGTCAAGAGATTGGTGATGCGTGAAAATGCCGTTCGTGCTTGACTACGACAGGTGAGGTTGGAAGTCACAGCGAAGGTGAAACATTCACTGACTGCAGCGTTTGCTCGGTAGCCATGGCAACGTCACAGGCGGACATTTTGTCAAGCAGCTCCCCGACCGCCACCTTCAACTGGAACCAATCCATCCCTTCATGGCTCGAGACTCGATCCCGCAAGGACCCTCAGGCCCATGGCCTCCTGGCCACTTCCCGTACGCCCGGCGCAACCTCAGCGGCACACAACCCAATCCCCTGTTGTTCGGCGGCACACCTCAGCTGCGCAACGCACCTCCAACAGCTCCTGTGGCGCTGAGAAACAACTTCCAGGCGCAAGGTCAAGGCTACTACAACCGCCAATTCACTTCTTCACCATTCCGACACCACCCAGCTCGTCCTCGCCACCTTCACACTCCCGGCCGTCCCTATCCGCCAAATCAGCGACAATCGAGCTTTCAGCCAGCTCCTATCCCTCACTTTCAACAATCACAATCGCGTCCTCACCCACTGCCACCATCTGGACCGCGTCATATCCTCCCGAGACCACCGGTGCCGTCCCTCAACGAAGAAAACGACCACGCCGTGCCCCCTGAGGTCCCCCAGTTCGGCGACATCTCGACCAGCTTGGCGTCGTTCGATGTTGCAGTCACTGACGATCAGTCGATACCTTCGAAAGTACCTACGCCACCGGCAGACTTAGTCAACAAGCTTGCAATGGCAAAACAGTTTGTCACACGCTTCTCGACCCATTTTCAAGGCGATGAAGCCGCCGTCGCCTCATTCATGGCCTCGTGTAGCGCCTACAACACGAGAGACATCGACGAGACGGACTTATATACCGAAGTGTATCGCATACTCTACAAACGCAGTTCGCTGCATCTTCTGGACGGCCTTAGGGAGCTTCTGCCATCTCAATGGAGAAGTGCCGATCTCACCTGGCTGAACAAAGCGATTGAGTCTGATTGTCAAAAGAAGCTTGAAGATGATGACAAGGAAAACCAGCAAGGAACCCAGCCTCCCATGCCCAGGAAGAAGCGGCCAATCAATGGATTCAAGACCTCGTACAATCCTGCGACGGTGCCTCAGGGCCGTGCAATGGTGAAGCTGCCGATCAATTTTCAGGATCGAGCTACGCCAAAGTCATCAAAGGAAACGAGCAACACCTTGAGATCGAGTGCGGCGGCACTTCACAACGGGAAGCAGAAACGGGGCCGTGTTGTCAAGTTGCCTGTCCAGGTGCCAGCAGTCGTCGCATCACCGTCTACGAAGAAGGGCAAGATGGCCGAGAACAAGGAAAAGAAGGACAAGAAAGCCACGAAGAAGGTTACCGCAGCCAATCGCACAGCTGTACCATCGCCGGATGATTCAACTGAAGCAATAACCCTCAACATCAAGGGTAAGAACCGGTATACCTTGATGAATGGGGCAGATGTCGTCCACATTGGCCCCGTCTACCCCAACCGTCGGGCTGTCCTTTCTCGCAGCACCAAGCCGTACATCCATGCCGCCTGCGGCCAAGGCTATGCCCACCCACAAGATGTTAAGACGCATGAGCGCAAGGGTCGCGGCGGAGCGGGCTGTCATGCCATGGGAAAGGCCTGGAATCATCACCCGAGCTGCAAAGTGGACTACCCGCAGCTGAATTACGTCCAAGTTAAGGATGGCTACGTGATTCTGGACCAAGAGAGTTTCGACAAGCTCGAGCAGGCAATTGCAGCAGGCCTCGCGCACCATGAGCAGGCTGAAAAGAATGATGGTAGAATCGATGACAAGGCAATGACTAATATGTCGGGAGGCCAACGTGAGGCTAGCGAGGTTGTCGAAGATAACGCGGGCGAAGCTGAGGAAGACATGAACGGCATCGAGTACACCAATATCCACGACGAGGGTGACCTGCGAGCCGCTGCTCTCGGATTGCGGAAGAGAAGCAGACTCTAATGGGGAGAGCAGGAGAGATGTGGAGCTGAATGCATGCAATGAGAGCGGATTGCAGTCGAAGACGGATTCCAGTAGAAGGTAGAAGATAGCAGACGAACTAGGCTTCGGCTCTCAAGGAGATGTTCAACTTACGTCCTATACCTCAGCAGCTCTTGTTCCAGCACAAGTTTTTCCCTTCGTACCTAGGTACCCTCCTTGGTCCGCTCAAAGTGGAACGTATTGAACTGCCGTTTCTCTGTCTTTTCGTAATAGACAGCGCTGCCAATTGCACTCTAAGCTGCTTAGGGGGTTCAGGAGTAATAGGGATAGATCTTCCACATTGAGCAGAACACCGAGGGTACCCTCCTCGATCCGGTCAAAGTGGAACGCGTGGAGATGTTACGTCTCCGAATGACAAGAGGCGACTACGCTGCCGTTCAGCTTTAAGGCACATTAGATGGCCTCCGAGAGATGCGGATGAATCTTCCACTTTGAGCGGAATGCCGATGGTACAATCGATGGAGGGTCTGGTGCTTTTAGGCTTTTAGAGTTTCTTAGCGCGTTCGCTTATCTCTGCCGCTGTCTGAAGCCAAAATTTCCGTCTTGACTTCCAGGTTCGATGAAAGCCTGCAAACCCACAACCTCCATCTTCTCCACCATGGCTGCGACAGCCTCTCTCGTCGAGCTCCTCGCCGACTTCAACACTGCGACCGACTCCGCCAGCCAAGGCCTACCGTCTTCCGAATCCCTGCACGTCCCCGAGAATGGCATCACGCTGTTCGACGCCAGGAACGAAATCTTCCTGGCTTACCTCCAGGCCCTCGCCTTGAGGAACCTGAACGTCATCCGGAGCATCAGAGAAGGAGGCGACGTGGAGGTTGCTCAAGCGCTGAGCAATGACATCACAAAGAAGTTGGTAGAGCATCGTGTGTATCTGGAACGCGGCGTGAGGCCGTTGGAGCAAAAGATCAAATATCAGGTGGACAGAGTCGTCAAAGCGGCTGACGATGAGGGCCGGCTTGCTACTCAAAAAGCTAAGCAGAACTCAGTTGCGAATGGTCATGCCAGCAAGGATGGCAGGGAAGAGTCGGGCGAAGAAGATTCATCCGACGACAGCGATAGCGATTCTGTTGCAGATCTGAACGCATACCAACCGCGCGCTGCAGGCATGCAGTCGACTTTCAATACTGCCGATAAGGATACCGACCGCCGGGGTAAGAGCAGTGAAGACGGCATCTACAGACCACCTCGTATCTCCGCCACCGCCATGCCCACAACCGAAAGCCGCCAGAAGTCAGAGCGCAAGCCCGGCCGCTCAAAGACTCTGGATGAATATGTCTCCACCGAGTTGTCCGCTGCTCCTCTTGCTGAGCCCAGCATTGGCAGCAACCTAGCGGCAGGAGGAAGACAGAGCAAAGACACCCGCCAGTTGCGGGAGGAGGCAGAGAGGAGAAACTACGAAGAGACGAACCTGGTTCGTCTACCTGCCATGTCCAAGAAAGAGCTTGCAAAGAAGGGATTGGGGAAGGCACGGGACGGCGGGTTTGGCGGCGAAGAATGGCGAGGACTGAGTGAGAGCATTGATCGAATTGGAGATCTGACGAGAAGGAAAGGGAAAGACAGTGCATTGGACAAGAGTCGCAAGCGGCGGGCGGTGGAAGATGGACCTCGAGGCGACGGGATTGGGAATACATTCGACATCAAGAGGAGGCGCATGCAGAAGAAGGGACAAATATAGCATACTCAACGCTCTTTCTTGGAGTCGTCACCTTGCAGTCTTGTCCTGAAAGCCGAAAACTTGCACGTCTGCCAGAACATGAGATCAAGCAGCCAAACGGGAGAAAGCGCGCTCAACCACCACATCGACTCGGCCAGATAGCCTCGCCGTACAGCTGCGGGTGGGTTCGTCTTGAGAAGATCTCCAACCACCTCTCTCGCCCATCGCTCGCGTGAGTGTTGACCCGCGGGATTTGTCTCCCCACGCATCATCGCCTCGGCATGATCCTTCATCAAGTTGTACGGAGAAGACGGCGGCAGACCCTTGTCACTGCCTTGCGCATGTCCCTGCTGCCAGAAGCTCGTCCTAACGTCTCCCGTGAAGAGCGTCACAACCTTTCGAATCAGTCTGGTCCAAACTTCACGGATTCAACAATTTCTCACCTTGACACCGAACGGCTCCAGCTCTACCCTCATGGTGTTGCTAAAATCCGTCACCGCCATCTTCGACGCACTGTACGTTCCTATGAAAGGCTGGCATATGCCCGTCATGCCTGCGATAGAGCTCTGGTTGATGACCATCCCCCGGGCGGTGCGAAGGAGGGGAAAGAATGCTTGCGTTACTTCGATCAGACCGAAGACGTTGACGTCAAAGTTCTGCTTGATCTTGGCAATGGATGCGTCGAGTAGAGGCATCATGTAGCCGTAGCCGGCGTTATCTGACACATGTCAGTCGGGAATGTGGACGGGCAAAGGAGGGCTGGGCGGCGAACTGATGAGGAAGTCCAATCCACCACCTGTGATGCGCTGTGTCTCAGCCACGGCGGATGATATGGAAGTCGAGGATGTCACATCGAGCTGCAACCTCTCGAGCCGTCCTTGGCCAGGAGGCTTCAGGTAGTCGAGCGAACCAAGATCTAGTGCCGTCGCGATCACATTAATTCCATGCCCTAGCAGCTCTGTCGCCAATGCATCGCCGAGTCCACCTTCTGATACGCCTGTGATCAGTGCCCACTTGTCACGAGATGAAGCCATAGCGACGAGCACATGCGCAAGTCAGCGAGAGGGAGTGACTCGAGTTTCAGCTACATGGACGTCTTCAATCGCAGCTTTGCCCTCATTCAGCTCTTTGAACGCGAGATGTCTCGCTTCTGCTGCTTGCGTTCAGCTGGGCGCCAAGCTGAATGCTTGCACGTGCTTGATCTTGAGCTGACACGCTGCAAGCCGGTCGGCCACATGCAACGATGTCATCGTCGTCTGAGTGAAGTAGGTCCGTGCATGTGCGCGCCACACCGTGTGGCGGTGCGGGGCTTCCGCCGGTTTCAACTTCTCGAAACCGGCTTCACGACTTGACCTTTCCCTCTCCAGCGTTGTTTAGTACAGCCTCGGTTTTTTCAAACTTTTCCCCTTCCTCCCTGTCAATCTACACAGTCAGAGCACGAGAACTCGAAGCACTTTCCTGTGGGGTGATGTCCGCAGAAAGGTGCTCTTCGAGGGCCGCTGCTTCCCAACAGACTGCGACGATGCGACGAGCACAGCAAATGCAGAGATGGCCGTCCTTTTATTGCATGAAATGTCCAATCGTCTTTTCGTCGTCAACGGCGCAGCAAGTCTCAGCTACCTTTCGACTTCTGGCGAACGCTTTCCATGGCTCGGTCCACACCGCTAATTCGCCGCGCGAGCCTCTCCAAGCCGGCAGGAAGAACATGCATCCACTCAATCAGTTTTGCATAGAGCGGCAAGCTGATCTGGCCACTCTCACCGGCGTCAATCATCTTCGCAATCTCTCTTGCAAGCTCGACCGGCTCGACAACAGGACCAAAAAAGTCAGAGGGTGTTTCGAGGCCTTTGAAAAGCGGTGTAGCAAGCTGGCCAGGCGTCACGAGCAGCATGCGAATGTTGTCAGCTCCTTCTGTGGCAGATGAAGATGCTAGCTCTGATCGCAGTGCGGTATGCATGGCAATAAGCCCAGCCTTTGCAGCGCAGTAATCGGAAAGATGGCTTGCAGCGACCTTCCCAAGCACCGATGCGACCGTGACAATTGTACCACCTGTCTCTGACGCCAGCATCCCGGGAAGGAAGGAGCGAATGGTGTGGAAGTGGGAGAGGAGGTTCACATTGAAGTTTCGCTGGACGTCTGTAGCGGATAGGTCCCAAAGCGGCTTGCCATTGACGACGCCGGCATTGTTGATCAAGATGGTGGGTGTTCCAAGCTATTCAGAGGGTCAACATAGAAGTTCTGTATTCAAGGGTGTGCAACGCACGTCTTTCTCAATTTGAGCCTTTGCCTTCTCTACCGCCGCGGCATCTCCAACATCACATCGATAACTCTGAACCCCAGCAAGCCCTTCACTCCCTTGTTCAGGCTCCACGACGTCCAGGATTGCGACGCTGGCTCCTCTCATGCCATAGATCTCCGCGAGGATCTTGCCAAGCCCACCAGCTCCTCCCGTAATCACGACAACTTCATCATCCCAGTTCACCTCTCGTGGAAGTCCATACGCTAGGCGGTTGTTTATGACACTCAACATCCATAAAAGTGTAATCGCTGAAGCGTACACACACGATGCGATGAACTGTGTGCTTTCGTACGGCGCTTGGACCGAACGCAAGCAGAGCGGGACCATCCAGGCCACGAACGGATGGAAGATGCTGTTCGACAAAACATGCGCAAAGAGATCGATCGTGAGGTGCTGATGCCAGCGCTTGCCGCGTCCGCTTGTGATGTGTGAAGCCATGAAATTTGATTTGAAATTGAGTAAATGTTGGTGTTGATGGAGATGGATATGGGTGTAGACGCGAAGTCGGCGCTTAAATAGAGTTCGGCTAGCGTGTTTGAGTTTGCAGGGGTTGTGGACTGCATCCCGTCTGCTTGTCGACAACATTGCTAGTTCAAATTGATCTGCCATCCAATGCTTGTGAACATGATTGAGCTGTGTACGGTCACGCTACTATGAGGATCGAAATGGCTGGTTAAATGAAGTGAAGCTCCCTCGCCAGCATCAAACATTCACCATACGTCAAACGTCCGCATTCAGTACTGACGCTCCTGTTCAACATGATATGCCTCCAACGAAGCGATGGAATCAAATGGAAATTATCAGCAAGAGACACGTGGCCATAGTCAGTCGCCTTTCTGCGAAGCAACAGTCTCGATCGAGGCACGAGCTAGAAGGCCAAGCGCTGGCAACTTCCTCGCTGTCTGTAACCCTGATTCGGTACCGTTGGAATTTGTATCTTACGAGGGTAGAATGCACAATGTTGCAACATCGCAATTCATGATCGCCCGTGAGAAAGGCTTCAAGTCCACGAAGCTTTGTCGTTTAGCAAGGGTCTGAGCTCCACCGGCGGGCCGTCCAGGAACAGAACCTTGAAGGCGAGTCGGCGATATGCCGATGGACCTTGATGGCACATGTCACAGCCTGATCTATCTGTAATGAGAGAGTCTTCACTTCCACGACTTCACCACGATTTTGCTTAATTTCACATCTGACCAACGAGATGCAGTCGTCCGAAGGTCTTGGCGTGACGTCGCCGCTGCTTGGCAGGGTCCGCGCCACGTTTCGGTCAAGGGTGCGCGTTGGTGGGGTGAAGACAACAAGCAGCAGCTGATGACTTTTCAAACACCACAAACAACACCTTCATTCACTTGACTTCCGACCAGCGAACCACCCAACATGGCAGTCAAATATACCACCTGGCTGCCCGTGCTCGCTCTCCTCCTCGTGCTGTACGCACGCCCGACTCACGCCTTTGGCGCCGGTAATGTAAGTTGGAAGACAGGAGTCATATGAAGAATCACTGCCAGCATGCTGACTGCCGCATAGATCGGCTCAACATCCAAGATCGAAGGCAGCAACTGGCGCCATGGCGATATTGAAGACACCCTCCTCACTCTGCTCACCGCACGTGCCATGGGCGGCAAGAAGTTCAGCAAGCTCGATGTCAAGAGGACTTACTTCGGCAACTGGCTGCGTGACTACTCTCAAGCTATCGACGTGGGCACTGTCAAATATGTCAGCGCTGAAGTAATTCGACTCCTCCTTTGGATCTTGGGCTTCATGAGTTTCGGCTACGGAACAGGCGAGTTTGAAGTTACGGCGCAACGGCTGGGATGTTATCGCCCCGAAGAGCACATTGACAACCCCAAGGACTACGCAGACAATCTCGACGCTCGCCAGTACGATCGTCGTCTTCGTGGCCCAGTTGATGAACGCCGCGAGTTGAGCATTGACGAGCGCAACGGCATGAAAGCGTACATTGCTACTGAGGATCGTGACATCACGACATCTGCTGGCATGATTCGCAACCTGTTCCGCAAGTCCATCGAGCTTGGTCGCCGATACAAGCAGACCCGGGACGAGCGTGACTTTTACGAGGCTCTTCGCTTGCTGGGCACTGGCTGCCACTGCTTGGAGGACTTCTCTGCTCATAGCAACTATACCGAGCTAGCTCTGATTGAGCTTGGCGAGCGCGACATCTTTCCCCATGTTGGCCAGAATACCCAAATGCGTCTCCAAGGCGCTCGTAGTTCCGTCTATCCCCTTGTCACGGGCACTTTCGGTGGCGTTGACTTCTTGCACTCGGTCATGGGCGAGTTCACCGACAAAGCTGCTCAGTCTGAGCTCCAAGAGCTAGAAGGTACAATCCAACAGTCACAAAACGCAGACACGAGTCTGCTGAAGGACCTTCTTGACAAACTCCCTCCTGGCATATTGGGCGACTCTGATCACAAGGGCAAAGCCGACCAGCTCCAGGCCAACGCTCAAGCTGCCCAGATGCAAAACATGCACATTTCTCCCAAGGAACCGGAAGAGTTCACTGCCCAGATTGGTGAGATCTCCAAGCAGATCTATCCCATTCTCGAGTTTCACGACAACATCATGAAGAGCATTTCCGAGGCCATCGACAAGATTCCTGTGCTACCAGATCTCATCGAAGAGTTGCAGAACCAGGTCAGCTTGTTCGTCTTCTCTCTGCTGGCACCATTCATTGTGCCCGTAATTTCGCAAGTCAAGAACGAGCTTCGCACCGGTTCTTCCGAAATCATCCAGTCCAGCCGCGATAAGCAGATGGTTGTCTTCAACGATGATCGATCCACCGACCCGACGCACAGCATGCTTTCCAAGGATCACTTCACCAACGTCCTCAACGAGCCGGCTGGTAAGGTTGGATGTGCGGTCCTGAGGTGGGTCGTCCCACAGATCGTCGCTGCTTGGGACGATGAACGCATTGACATCCGCCGCACCAACGATCGTATCATCCACGGTGTGATGCACCACCCAGCTCAGCGTGAGTACGGCGATGATGGTGCTCGCGACGGCAGGATGGCCATGTTCAGGGTAGTTGAGCAGTGGTGGGGTGAGATGGATGACCGTGTGAGAGACGTTCTCCGTGACAAGCTCAGCCGCGATGGCATTGAGAACTTCCGCAACCACAAAGAAGGCGTCGAAGATTCTGGACATGGATGCTGTAAGCCGCTGGGCATGCCAACTGTCAAGACCAGTCAGAGCTCGGGTGCCATTGGCGGCGTCATGGTTGGTCTGAGTCAGGCACTTGGTGGTGGCTCTGGTGGAGGGCAGGGTAGCCATGTCAGCAACCAGATCAGCGGCACTGTGGGTGATGCTGTTGGCGGTGGAGCGCTCGGTTCCATCGTTGGTGGCCTCGCAGGTGCCGTCGGAGGTGGTCTGCTTGGCGGCGCGTTCGGTGGCGACAAGACCGAGAAGAAGACGTACGAGAGCAGCGAGTATCGCCAAGATGGATCGTACAATACTCGCCTCACCGAGACAGGTCATCGCCCTGGTGGCTATGAACAAGAAGAGCGGTACGGCCAAGCGCAAATGTCGCAGACGCAGTATTCCTCTGGTGGACATCGAGAGGACTACCAACGCTACGAACAGGATGGACAACAAGGGCGCACCGGCTACGGGTTTGAGCAGTCCCACGAAGTTCGGACATCCCACGGCGGTGGCTACGAGCAGCGTACAGAGCAGCGATACGAGCATCCAGGCGGACGTTACGAGGGAGAGTACCAGGAGCAGGGCGTCACGAGCTCTGGCCGGCAGTACGGCCACCAAGAGAGCTACTCAGGCCACCATGGCAAGAAGGATGACAGCGATGACGACGATGATAGCGGCGACGATGATGACTGGGAGAAGAAAGAGAAGAAGCGCCGCAAGAAGGAAGAGAAGCGCTTGAAGAAGCTGCGCGAGGAGGAAGAGGAGCGTCACGGTCGTCGCAGTGGCAGCCATGGGCGCAAGAAGAGCAAGTCTCGCAGCCGAGAGCGGAGACACGATGAAGACTATGGTCGTTCGAGCGGCGGATACGGCGGCGGATACCAGTCTTCTCAGCGCCGTGACGAAAACGAGTCCCGCGGATCATACGGCCAGCAGGAGTACGGTCGATCTGAGAGCCGTTACGAGCAGAGCAGCCACAGCGAGAGCAGATATGAGCGGTCATCTGGCTATGGTGGTGGTCGAGACGAGTATCAGCAGCAGCAAAGCTACAGCGGAGATTCGTATGGCGGAGGAGGCTACAATCAGCGCTCGGAGTATGGCTCGAGTGGGTACGGTGAGCGCCAGGGAGGCCGCGATGAGTACGACAGTGGACTACGCGATGATAACGAGTATGGCTCAGGAGGCTATGGAGGTGGCTCTGGCTATGGCAGTTCTGGCTACGGCGAGCAGCAGGGAGGCTACGAACAGCGCCGATGGTGAGGTTCGAGCTTCTGCCACTTTTGACCAGGACCATGTCGGTTTAGGGTTTCGAGCAGGAACGTAGTGGTCCAGTGGCTCGTAAGTAGTCCGTCGAACAGCTGTCCAGAAAAAGTCGTGTCTTTTGATCTCCACTCGCACATGCATGAATTGTCAAGGAGGTGAAGTCCAGACAGAGCTCCATGTTCCGGAGAATTCCTTGCCCGGCCCAACTCAATCCATCCCCCGTCCTCCTCCTTCTTGGCCACCATCATCATCAACCTTATCGGCATTGTACTGCAGCTTGCCTTGGAGAGCCTCGCCAACTGAGAATTATACCGGAAGTCGACTATCCTGACGGCCAGCACCCCACAGGACGACCATTGATCAGCCGCTGCAGTGGGACGTCGTCGGCGGCGGGATCTACAACACAAGCCCAGGAGATGAACGGGACGACGATGAGACGCGCCGCTTCTGCACACATCACATTATCTATGTTGAATCGGATCTGCGTCTATCGGACCGGCACAACCAGGTGCTTGGAACAGAAGACGGCGAGCAGATTGGTTGTCCGTGACCTCATCGGCCTTCCATGACGATTTGGGTGGGTCGCACTGCGGCTGCGCCGTTTCTGGCTGATGTGCCGCTATATCTCTTTTGGATACTGCACTCTCCAATATGTTTTCCCTCGTTGGCTCACCATCTCTGCGCTGCAGAACTGTAGTGGACCGGACGAGGTGGTCGTTGGGGAAAAGAAGGAGAAGGTAGGCGAAATCTTCCAACATCTCTTCCGTTTCTCCTTCTTTCTGTATCATTTCTGGTCACGAAGTTTTTGAGCACCATGAAAACACACGAATCCCGCGATCACAGCCGCAAGTCCTCGAACGCGAGCGTGGAAGACGAGGAGAAGGCAGGGGAGCAGTCTGGGAGGACAAGCATCGCCGAGTCACCTTCCAGGAGTGCCCCCAAGCCAGAGCAGAAGGTCGATGATTGGGATGGCCCAGATGACCCTGACAACGCTCAAAACTGGCCCAAATCGAAGAAGGTATACCATACTTTGGTACCAGCCAGCATCGCGTTCGTCTGCACCGTGGCTTCTTCGATATACACACCTGGGCGAGGGGACTTGATGCGAGATTTCGGTGTGTCTGCAGAAGTATCGCTCTTGCCGTATGTGCTGTATGTTCTTGGTTTGGCGTTCGGACCTATGCTATCAGCGCCATGCAGCGAAACGTTCGGACGAAGGGCGGTCTATCTGACAGGAATGCCGCTCTTTGCCCTCTTCACTCTGGGATCTGGATTTGCGAACAGTATCACTGCACTCTGTATCCTGCGCTTCCTATCCGGTGTCGCGGGAAGTCCAGGTCTCGCTATCGGCAGTGCGACCCTGTCAGACATGTGGAAACCAGCTGAAAGAGCAACGCCAATGTCCATATACGTTACCACGCCGTTTCTCGGCCCTGCTATCGGCCCTCTAGTCGGTGGATTCACAGCACAAGCCAAAGGATGGCGTTGGACGATGTGGGTGCTCCTCTTCTTCGCCGTCGCCTGCCTGACGCCAGCACTGTTCATGAAAGAGACATACAAATCTGCAATCCTCCGCAAGCGAGCGAAGAAGCGAGGGCTCAAATATCCGACGCTAAATAGGACACCACTGCAGTCTGCCAAGTTCTTTCTCAAGTCTACTTTGACCCGACCGGTGCATATGTGTGCCATGGAACCTGTGGTCCTCCTCTTTACGTTGTACATCGCCATCAATTTCGGAATGCTCTACGGCTTCTTCGCTGCTTTCCCATATGTCTTTGAAACAGTGTACGGCTTCGACGTTGGACAGATTGGCCTCACATTCCTCGGTATCGGCGTTGGTTGCATCGTTGGATGCCTCTTCATCATCCTCTTCTTCCGGCTGTTCTATATACCCAAAGTTGTGCAAGGCGGCAAAGCTGGCAAGGGAGAAACAGTTTCCCCAGAGACTCGACTCTGGATCGCCATGATTGGATCCATCATGCTCCCGGTATCACTCTTCTGGTTCGCATGGACCGCCGAAAATGATGTTCATTGGATGGCTCCCGTCGCCGCTGAAGGTGTCTTCGCCTGCGGGAACTTGATGATCTTCATGGCCGCAGTGCTATATCTCATGGATTTCTACGGACCATTATATGGGGCTTCGGCGATGGGGGCGAACAATCTGGCGAGGTACACACTGGGAGCTGTGCTCCCTCTGTTCATTGTGCAGATGTATGAGGGGCTTGGAATCGGGTGGGCGACGACTCTGCTGGGCTTTGTGAGCTTGGCTTGTACTCCCATCCCTTGGGCTTTCTACTGGTTTGGACCACGGCTGAGGAGTTGCAGTAAATACGCCAAACCTGATGGAAACTGATCTGCAAGCAGACGTACTGTACTTGAAGTATTGATGTCACTGTGCACTGTTTACTCATCGACGAGTGAATGTTCGGCCAGGATGCTGACCAAGCTGCCGTCCATGGCTCACCGTTTTGGAGATGCTCCTTGTTCAATCATGCTTAAGAGGCAATGCAAGTGAGTATTCTCTAGGCTAAGTTTGAAATTTAGGCTGAAAGACATCGTAGGAATATCATTAGGCGGAATCTCCTACCACATTTGGATTCCACGTGAACTGAGGTGGGGATCTTGCATAGGTGATCGCTTTTCATGCATTCAAATAATAAGCCAACAGTGCTTGAACTTCGAAATAGCTATCATGCTACCGACATACAGTATGCGAGCTATAGTCGTGGCGTTGCTGCTCTGTGCATCTACAGCCTTGTCTAACAGCAACTCAACCTACCTCAACCCTATCCTGCCGGGCTTTCACCCGGACCCAAGCTGCATATTCGTTCCCGAGGTCAATCATACATTCTTCTGTGCGACCTCTTCATTCTCGCTGTTCCCTGGCATCCCAATATATGCGTCCAAGGATCTGGCTCACTGGAGACTAGCGTCCCATGCGATATCCCGACCTGAGCAGCTGCCTGACTTGGCCCTGACCAATGGCTCAACATCAGGAGTCTGGGCACCTACGATAAGGTATCGAGATGGCACTTTCTACATCACTTCGACGCTGGTATTTGACGACTTCCGCGACAACAATGCTTCTCGCTTCGTACGTGCTTGCCAGCATAAGCCACTTTTCGATATGCTGACAACTGTACAAGGACAATTTCATCGTGCACTCAAAAGATCCTTTCAGCTCCTCCTCTTGGAGTGACCCAGTACACTTTCCTTTCGTGGGCATCGACACCAGCCTCTTCTGGGACGAAGACGGGGCCACATACTTCCAAGGTGCAAGCCCTACATGGATCAAGAAAGGAATCTATCACTCCAAGATCGACATTCATACTGGTGCTCTGAGTGGTCCTTTGGTAAATCTCTGGAACGGTACTGGAGGCAACTCCCCTGAAGGGCCTCACATCTACCGCAAAGACGGATGGTACTACCTATCCATTGCTGAAGGAGGAACTGGATTACCGCACGAAGAGAACGTTGCTAGATCAAGATCACTCGACGGACCTTACGGGTCATATGTCGGCAATCCCATCTTGACGAACGCCAATACATCGGCGTACTTCCAGACCGTTGGCCACGCCGATATTTTCCAAGACGCCAAGGGCCAGTGGTGGGCAGTGGCTCTTGCAACTCGAAGTGGACCTGAGTATACTGTCTATCCTATGGGCCGTGAGACGATCTTAACACCCGCCGTTTGGCCTGAAGGTGGCTGGCCTCGGTTGAGTAGGGTGAAGGGTGAGATGACTGCCCATCAACTGCCTCCAACAGAGATCATTGAGCGAGGTGAAGGCCAGCTGATTGGAGAGCGGGACATTGTGGACTTTACCCCTGGGACCAGCCTCCCAACTCATTTTCTCCACTGGCGAGCTCCTGTGCCAGAGAACTATGAAGTGTCACCACCTGGACATGATCATCAGCTCGAGCTTAGGAGTTCAATGCTCAACCTCACAGGCTACGATGGCAATACAACCAACCACCACGGAGGCTTGACTTTCGTCGCTCGCCGTCAGGAGGACACGCTCTTCACGTACTCGGTGGACCTAGAGTTCAGTCCTGATGCCGAAGAGCAAGAAGCCGGAGTCTCTATCTTTTTGACGCAGGATCATCACTATGATCTTGGACTGGTTCTACTTCCATCCGCCAATGACAGTGAAGCGTTGACAATGCATCTTCGAGCCGGGGGCATGTCGTTGAGATCGACCCCAGAAACGCTGATCGCGATGAACAGCACATGGCTTGGCCAGGCCATCACCCTCGAGATCAAAGCATTCAACTTCACGCATTATAGTCTCTCAGCCGGACCAACCCAACATGCTCATCTGATGCAGACAATTGCGTATGTCCCGGCCAGTGGAGTTAGCTATCGCTATACAGGTAAGCTTGATCAAATGTCCATGTGGAGCTTCAAAGCAGGCACTAACTCCTTGTGCTATAGGAACATTGGTAGGAGCTTATTGTACCACTAATGGCAGAAATGGTTCCGTTAGTGCCTACTTCAGCAGATGGAGATATTCTAGCAACGGCCAGATACGGAGCTAGTTGGCGGGTGGCTCAGCTGGACTGTGGCATGTTTGCTCTGGACAAAAGCTTCGGCGTTCTCCAGATTGTTGTGTTCTTCCAGGCTAACGATGGTGGTAATGATGGGCTTGCACAGTACTGAGAATATGGAGATCTCGATATCGGGAGTAGATTCTACAGCATCGCTGGCAGCTTCCAGCGCGACCAATTCCCTCAATATCACCCTATCTTACTGCACGAAAGACCATCCCGAATGATAAGTTGCAACGTCAAGTCCCCGGAAATTTTTCCTCCTTCCTAATTGGGAATCTCGCATGTGAAAGGAGGCTCCAAAGGCATATAAGCAAATTGAACTTCTCGTCTTCCAGCAAATGGAGGTCATGGCCCAGTTGGTAATGCGCTTCATATAGAATGTGAGAGGTATCGATACTAATTAATTTCGTAGCAACTTGTCGCTGTGAGCGACTTGGCGGCATAAAACTCCAGGTGCCGCCGCCGACTTGTCATGTGACGTATGGCGCCAAGGCGAGATCCGAGCTTCTCAATTCTATTTGAGCTCGCTTCTTTTCGCTGCTCGGCTTTGTCGCAGACAGCACCACCGATGTTCAAACAACACACACAACCATGAACTACGACGGCAACATCGCCCGTGGCATCGGCTATCAACGTCAGGCCAAATGGACTGTCGCTACTCAGTCCAAGTCGAAGCTTCTCACTCTCCCTGGAGAAGTCCGTACTCGAATCTACGAGCATGTTCTTATTGTGCCACCAAATGAGCAAGGGAACGTGGTATTCGGCTGCCACTTCGACCGACAGTGGCCCAAGCCAGCCACACGACCTGCGACTACCAACAGCACACCTACTACGCGACCCAAGTGCAGCGTCCTCGCACTGATTCAGACCTGCCGCCTGGTCTACCGAGAAGCCGCCGGTATCTTCTACCATCGCAACAAACTCGAGCTATGCGACTCGACGCTTTTCTACTACTTCGTCAATTCCACCAGCTGGCCTCGTCTGCAAGGTCTGCAAACCATGACGTTTGTGGTTTTCAAGATGATGGAAGCTCGTGACCTCATGGCCACACTCATCGGCTCCCGCCAGGATCACTGGCTCAGCAAGGTGGCCATCAAGCAGGATGGGTCGAAGTTGAAGTCCTGGGAGGCGCTGCGAGATTTCGATGGTGAGGTCGGCAGTCTGATGCGCGAGGCAGAGGAGATGTTCTGCGTCAAGACCTTGGTCTTCGAGTTCGACTGTGGCTTCGATCAAGTTCAGAAGCAGAAAGCTGCCCTGCGGGTGCAGAGGATACTGTCGGAGATGCCGAGCAAGGAGGCGAGGGTGAAGTGGAGGAAAGCCATGGTGTGGCACCATGCGAAGCAGAAGGCGATAGTGTTGAAAAAGCTGGGTGCTTTGTCGATCTAGTCGCTGAGTTGATCAACCATTCATCCACACCAAGGGCGGTTTGAAGTCAAGCGTACATTGGCGTGGGAGATCGGAGAGCGACTTTAGGACTCCGGGTCAGGAAGTCATCGGTATCGGCGTACCATCTTCAGGGACCGGTTTAGCGACCAGCTTCACATGATTTCCTTTCACACTTCCTTCCACTGCTCTCTTCTCAATCTTTCCCTTCCCAAAAAGTGGCGTTCTGTCCTTCCCGGTCTACAGGCCTACGCTGTCTGCCGATGATTTTTGATAGCTCGTGGAGAAGATGGAAGAGACATCCCCAGATCGAAGCAGACTTCTTCGAAGCGGAGGGTAATCCGATGGGCTCGTCGAAAGATGTGTGATAGAGAAGAGCATGGCTTTTGAAGGAGGATTCACAGCTTTCAGCACATGGAGTCATCGAGCTTGCTGGGCTCTTTGTATGGGAAGAAGGTATACTGTCATTGGCCTAGCTAATGGTGGCTGTGTTGCCGTTCACACTCAGCACAACAGTGTTGAGCTGTCGCCCAGCGGAAACGTTGCCGCTCTGTATCAGGGAGTGGAAGGTCGCGTGAAGGCTTCCAGGCACAACGTCCAGACCGCCGGGCCTGTCAAGGTGTTAGTCCATCGGATCGCAGACAAGTTCTGACAAGGCACTACTCACCCAAACAACCCGAAATCCCCCGTCTGCAACAGCGTCCTCGGGTTGCTGTACGGGCCATAGATATTGCTGGCGGTCACATAATCCGTCCTGTAATCATTCCCAGCATAACATCCCACCGAGTAGAAGAGGAAGTAGACACCATCCCGCTTCAACAACGCAGGCGCCTCAATCCCCAACACACCCGCGCTCTGCGCATCCCAGACCTGGCGGGCGTCGCCATTAAAGGTATAGCCATCATGCTGCAGTGGCTGCAACATGATCGGCGTGTTGCCTTGCGTCCCACCGCAAGGTCCTTGGCCGTTGAACGGGCCGTCGATCTTGTATGCTAGATATCGACTGTTGTCGTCGTCGAGAAAAGCTTCCGGATCGATGGCACCGCCTTCAGACGCCGGACAGATGAAGGACTGTGTTGATCCATCCGTGAACGGGCCGTTTGGGTTATCCCTGTTTCGTGCAAGGCCCAGACAATGTGGCTGTCCGCCATTGCCGTTGATTTCGGAAGCGTAATACATCGCAAACGAAGAATCGTAATCCGTCAATTGCACCACGTCTGGGGCCCATGATGTACCTGCTTTCGCCCAGCCGCCAGGGCTTTGGGCGGGACTGTCTTGTGGGAAAGAGTTCTCTGGAGCAGCCCAACCGCCGGCGTTGTTGAAGCTGCTGTTGGAGGTCTTGGGAATGGCGCCGCGGTTGGAGGCGGTGCTGTAGGAGTAGCTGATGCCGTTGACCTCGAGGAGGCCCGGGTCGGCGAAGTCTTGGCCGTTTAGGACGTTCAGGTTGATTGCTGATGATGCGGCTGTTAGGAGGGCGACGGGAAGGAAGGAGTGGGTGAGAGAGTGCATCTTGGACGACGGAGGATACACTGCTGATACCTAACCACAGAAAGACGGGTACGGCAGAGGTCAATATATGTTTCTGGAAGGGTAGCCCTGTTGTTGGAATAGAGCCCGAGGGAATGCGAATATTGCGGTCCATAGTGGACGACATTGACGAGTTTCTGCAGATCAATAGGCTTAAAATACGTAAACCGCATTCGTATAGTGTTGGTTTGGGAGCCCAGCTAAGCCGACTGGTTTGGCGTTCTGGGGCCATTCGTGGAGCCGCTCAGGCCTCGAGACCAAGGGCAAAAGATCAGCATCTAGCTGAGAAATCGATCAGCTGATAGTAAAATAGAAGAGTTGTTCGGTCTTTAATGATGTGGAGCCGAGAGTTGGCGTAGACAGAACTGAGGACATCGGGAGCGATGGCTGTTTGCGGTATGTCGAGCGCAATACTATCTGTTAAGGCAAATCTTTAGTGGTCCGGCTGAGGAAGTAATACCCGTGCAGAAACTAGCTTGGTAGCAACACGTAGAGCAAGGTCGACGTAGAAGTCTGCCCTTGATGAATGAGTATGGTACTGCGCTGAGTGAGATCGATAACGGATGGTTTGATTCTTCTTGGCTTCTGTGTCCGAGGTTTGGTCCCGCATCCCACCTCGGGTTGCGCCCAAGAAGCGAGGAGCTGGGGATAGACTTTGACGCACCTTCCTCATTGGGTAATGTTCCAGCGCTTAACACGAGCTTGAGTCCCGCCAAGACTATTTCCGTGATGCCATGTTGGGAGCTCCCGGGCATACATAGCTATAGCTGCTGCCAATGATGTCCTTGGTGGGTTTGTTCCATTCCTTCCAAGTCCCTCGGCCGGTAGGGTCAGTTTGTCCGGTCAGTTTCAGCGGCCCGCTGTTGGACGGTTAAGATGAAAGCTTTCGCTATCAAATCATGTGCGTCCATGACGTCCATAGACCTGATCCATGTCTACAATGTGAATTCTTTATCGACGCCTTGATTGTCACGGAGAGAATACAACATGACATCACTAGTAGTGAAGGTAACATCAGCGATCATCTGTTAGTTCAGTGAGAGTCACTGGCCTTCGTGTTCGACACCCATCTCCTCAACTACGCAAAGGACAGAACTCCTGTGGCCGACTTGATGGCCGTTGACGGGATGAGTTCGATAGAGATAAAGTGACAGTGACAGCGCAGCAAATGATGCCAGCGCGTTCATTGAGGCACAGGCCACGGACAAATTTCCAGGTCGACGGTCCACTAGCAACGCAGATCCTCCGAATGAGAGATCCCTGGCGGTTGACATGATGCTGTAGTGCTTGCAAGGATTTGAAGGACGTTTGCGAGGACGTCTTTCTATTCCCCCGACGAGCCGACCATTTCACCAGCTTGAGTAATATGGCATCACGTTGCGACCTTGGGTGTGGTGCGGTATAGCCAATCGTCTCCCATTTCTCGGAGGATGCACCACATGTTGGAAAGCTTCCGTTCGCGAATGAATCAGGCGACGACTGTAGAGGTAGTGCCAAGACCAAGCCAACATTCCCCAGTTCTTCCTCTCCATCCTCTCCACATGACTCTCAAGCCAGTATCATCTCTCTCGATCCCAGAAGCGACCAGACACAAGATTGCAGCGCCCATCGGTGGCTTGATTTTCTGGCAGTGTGAATACACATCCCAAAGTTGCCCAGCGAGCGTAGACGCAAAGGTCACGAATCACGCATCATCACCATACTCCAAGAAGATGACGAAGCCGAATCCCACGTTGTTCAAGAGAGCTTCTCCGCGCGGCGCGCCCTTGTAGCGTTCACGTTTCAGTCCGCCCGATTTGACCTCGTTGGGGACGGACATTGGCCAGATCTATTCTCATCGCTGTTGGGCCAATCGTTCAGCGCGGCGGATGGAGCTCTCGCGAGGATGTTCGCTGCGTGGAAGATGTCGTGCCATGGCGTTCGCACACGGCGTGGGAGCAGAGGGAACGGAAGGTGGGAGAGAGACGGGGATATCCACGTCTTTAAGGTTTGATATGATTCGTGGTGGAGCGGGATCGGCCGAGGCGGCAAAGTCAATTGACCACGCGCAACCAGCAGATGACGAGTGTGAGTGGTGTTGGGGAGGAGACCTGTGAGACGTGTTTCGTTGAAGGCAGATGACGGGGAGTATTCGAGGGGAGTGTATGCTTTCTATTCATATCAGTGTTTGGGAAGGAGGAGTAGAGGTTGGGGCTAGTGGCGGGCGGAAGCGGAGGGCAGCTGCCACATGCAGGGCCGGCAGGGATGCGGTGGCTTGGCGATGAGGGAAAGCGCCACCTCATCACTCGGAGTCTGGCTGGTCGAGTGGCAGATGGGCGTGTGGTTCTGTGACATGACTACCTGATGCTGCGAGCCATCATCGACGAATCGGAGCCACTCATCAGCTGTGCATGAGGTCGACGACACCCATCATCACCTGACTGAGAGCGACGACGAGGTGTGTGGGACGAAGGCAGAGCAACGCCTCTCACCGCCACGCAGCACAGCACAGCGCAGGTGAAGTGCAGGACATCAGCCTTACGCAGAGTCGAGCGAACCTTGGAAGACTGGACTCGCCGCTCCGCACCGAACCTAATCCACCGCGCCCTCCGCCCCTCCACCACTGCGCGCCCAGTCCGCGTCCGACGACATTGCGCGTTCTTGCCTTCTGCACCGCCGCACCACCCTCGCGCCTTCCCACGCCGACACCACACCCCTCACACTCTTTCCCCCAAGACGGACAGGCAACTGCGACTGACTGACTGCCTGCGACTGTGACTCCTTCCGCCGCTCGTTCACATGCCTCCCTCCTGCCGTGTCACTGCCATCGCTGCTCGTCCGTGCAGTCTGCGTCTCAACCACCGATGAGCGCCGCCATTGGCCTGATCTGTCGCAGCCATGGTCAAACCCGACCTTAAACACAACTGTACGTCAAGAGCCGGTGGATGGGGAGATATCGGGCATACTGATTGACATCCCACAGACTACAGCGACCTCGAGCTGCCCACCACCGCCAGCGTCGACGACATCCGCAAAGCCTACCGCAAACTCGCCCTCCAATACCACCCCGACCGCAACGCCGGCAAGGAGGATGAGTGTGTGCCGCGCTTCCAGGCCATCCAGGCCGCGAACGAGGTGCTGAGCGACCCGACGACCAAGGCGAAGTACGACCAAGACCGCCGCAAGGCCGGCCTCTACCCAACATTCAAGCCGAACCAACCTACGCCGGGCAACCCATATGCCGCCACCTCCAACTACCCACCGCCGCCTCGGCGCACGCAGCCAGGGACATGGCAGCGACCCACTCCCGCCGCTGCGCCTGCAGGTACCGCGCCTTCAGGTGCCGATCGCTTCACCAACTTTCCTCGTCCGGGCAACACAATGCCACGCAAGGATCCTGCAGCAGATCGAGCCCAACAGTTTCAGGCGTGGCAGAATATGAACAGCGGCACCGCCAAGCCGAGATACCCATACAATGCGCCTCCTCCGCCGCAGCCTCCCAAATCTCCCAACCCGCAGACCCAGAACACTGCTCGGCCTAGGATGCCGCGGCAGGACACCAAGATGCCGACCGAGGAGCAGATAAGAGCGGGCATGAGGTACAGCAAGCCCGCTGGGCCTGGTGGTTCGGGAGACAGCCCTGCTGCTGAGAAACAATCCGCATGGCAAGCATTCCAGCAGGCGAATGCCAGCAAGCCAGGCATGGGCAGGAACAGCAGAAGAGCTGCGAACACCACGCCGCGTCGACCTGGTGGCTTTGATCCAAATGCTCCAGGCTCAGATGAGAGGCCAGCTCCTCAATCCACTGGACACTACTCCCACCGCAATCGCTCTGAGGACCTCAGTCCAGGCGGTTTCCCACCTCCTCCTCCCGGCCCTCCTCCAGGATCAGCTCCTCAATCACCAACCGCTGACAAGTTCCAACGCCCTTTCGCGCCTCAAGCTCGAGAGGTCCCATACGCCGAAGGCAACCGCAAGAGCACTCCTTACTCGTCGTTCATCGGCGAGAAGCTTCAGTTCTCCAGTGATGGCCTTCGCCGCTCGGCAAGTACTCGGGACACAACTAGACTACAACCAGAGAGTAACAGTACCAGTACGAACCGCGCCAGGAGCAGCAGCCCGGCTGGCCGCCAGCCCCAACCCACCGACGGCCCCACGAGTGGCACTAAGAAACCCTTCATCCCGGGCGCCTACAGCGACTCTAGCACAGGCACTGAAGGCTCGTCCGAGTTTGAACCAGACGTTACCGAAACGCCAGAAGAGATGGACAGCAGCGCTTCCAATTCAGAGAGACCAAAGAACGCAGGCTTCTCAGTATCGCGCGACAGACCGAAGAAGACCCCAACCCGACCGAGTTCCAAGCTCAACGGATCCAACTACTCATCGAATGCAACGTCGCCTGCGTTTGAAGCTGCCGGTGCCCAGTCTGATGGTGATCATCCTACCATGCAGCAGCGGAAGAGCAGCCAAAACATGTATGCACCCCCCTCTTCTTTTGCTTATCAGTCCCCTTCATTCAGCCGAGGAAAGTGGGTTGCGAATGCTTTTGGTTCTGCTTCAACAACGAGACCAGAGCAACGCAATGCTGCCATTCCAAAGTGGGCTTTCCCCAGTTCTGTCTGTCCAAGCAAGAAGCCCAAGAAGTGGTTCTCCGCCAGCCAAGACGCCACCCAGCGATACTACGACATGGCCAAACAAGACATCTTGTGGGATAACGTGTCAAACACGGTGCAGACGGCGTACTTGCTGTTCTGCCACGAGTTGGCTTCCCGAGGTGTCAAGTTGGACCAAGCAGTCGGCGTAAACCTGACGAATTTCCTTGCTTTGGTCCATCCGCGCATCAGAAAGACTGGAGTGCCACAATGCGATGAAGCCGTCGCCGCCGTCGTTGCTTCTTATCCAGCTGTTTGCCACTTTACCTTGCCAGATCAACAGGCTGACCAAGCATCTTCTGCCAACAGTTTCAACTTCGTCAACAGTGATGCGTTCACATCAGCTGCAAGCAAGAGCCGAAGCTTTGACAATATCAATACCAAGTTCTCCCCCGACGGCTGGAATGGATCTTTCACGAGCACTGCTGCTCCTGATTACTTTGCTGCTGGGCGGAGACCATCACCTGGACGTCGAGCACCTTCGAATCGAGGACACGGTCGAGCCGCAACTGCTGATGTACCACCACGTAGCAATAGCAACACCCCCGGCGATATGGGACCACCACCTCCACCAGAGCAGCCAGCTTCGATGTACACATCTCCATCAGATGTCAAGTTCAATGAGGAGCAGTGGAAGGATACGTTCAAGGACCCATCATGGACGATGCCGCCGGTGGGCTCGCACAGAGGCACAAGCTCGAAAACACCCAGCAGGAAGGGCAGCAGACTCCACACAAAGACGTCAGCAGATGGCGTGGGTGGCGATGGAAGCAAGGCGCAGCCTCACATTGTCGTCGACGATGATGATAACGTCGAAGCGCAAGGCAGCAAAGGGAGACCCGACTCAGGCGGATTTGTGGAAGAGGGCGATGCAATGGACATTGACACAACGCCGCCTACACAGCAGGCTGAGCAAGGTGCAGCATCAACCAAGGAGCCTCGTCTTTACGCTGTCCCCAAGTCGACTTGGCGTGAGAAGGCGGAACAGAACCAGCAAACTGCAGGCGCTCGCAAGGCGTCTTCTCGACACAACAGGCAAAACACTGAGCCGACTTTGAAAACCAACCTCGACGACTTGTCGCACGTCGAACCGATCGCCCAAAGTGCTGCCGGCTTGCAAAACTTGGCAGATCTCAGCTCCACGCTACCGTTCCAGTCATCAACAACGCCTTCCCGAACGACACAGTCTGCTGAGCCACAAAAGCTGCAGACCCCACCGATTCCTCGAGTGCCTGTCCCACCAAATCGCTTGACCAAGGCCAGCTGGCACACATACGCTTTGAGCTTTGCAACATACCTCGAAGCATATCACGCCTTCAACAAGACCATGCTGGCCCACTTCGATGCTCGCGAGAAGCAGGCATCGGCTCGTCTCTTGGGTGGATCTGGTTGGCTCGAGGCTATTGGAGGCGATACCAGCACCAGCTTGGGCTTCACGAGCTATTGGAAGGGCGTTCAAGAGGATGAGAAAGTGCGCGAGACCTGGAACATTGGATGTGAGAAGCATATGGAAGCTGTTCGGCAATTCGATGAGCTGCGTGAGAGGGTGAGGAAATTGTCACTTCAGGGTGCGCTCACCGACTCGTAGGACGAGTTGGAAGAGCATTCACGGAATCTCAGGGTGAGGCTTGCATCGAGATCGAGTGTTTTGGATGAGAGGCTGCCGAGTCTGAGAGAAACTGTGAGGAAAGGAGTTCGACAGACGAGCAACGAAGCGAGGGAACAGTTGAGGCGTTTGGGCGAGGAATTGAAGGCTTCTTCGAATACCGCGAGGCCTGGACGATGATGATGCTTTACGACCGAGCTCCTGTCTGTTGACTGAGTGTGGCACGATTGTGTAATGCGAGTGTTTAGCGATGGCGACGGATGGGTGAGGTTGAAAAAAGAAGGCCGCACTCTGGGCTTCTCGACTCTGTTTACTAGAGGATGGGCAACTGGATGGGTTGTTTTGCTTTGCTTTATACCCGAGCGATAAGATGAGCACAAATACTGTAGTGGTAGTGTATTACTGTTTTCCACCAAGCCGTCCGGTACATCGGATACTCAGAAACTCGTGGCTGCTGGACGTAGACCCTGATGCAAGACTTTTAAGCGCGGGATGGATGAAGATTGTCGAGCAAGATCACCAAGCTTATTCAAATCCTGTTCTGCAAATGGACCCTCGGTGCCGTAGACAAACATCCTCGAGAAGGAAGACACTATCACCAAACAACCCTCTACCTACCCACCGACCCCCTCCCCCTCGGCTTACACTCCTCCTCACCCACGGGATGCAACACAATCCTGCACGGATACCTTGGCGTATTAAACATATACCCCATACTCCAGTCATAACCCACCGCATACGCAAACACATCCCCTTTGCGACTGAAATCCGTCGCCGAAATCGCACCCCCAACTTCCGGGAAACCTTTTAACCGCGTCCGGCTGTCTTTGTCCCAGAAGTGGAAGGTCCCGTCGGAGCCGGCGGTGCTGAAGGTGCCGTGGAGGGGGTGGGTGGAGATGGCGTTGAGGGCGTAGATTTTGGATGTATTCGACGAGGATGGGGGAGTTTGGGGTTGGCGATGGCACCGGAAAGTGTAGTTCTTCGCGGAGTCTTTCTCCTCGATGTATTGAAACGCACAGCGGCCTTCGATGCCGCCGAGCGCGAAGCCTGTTCCGTCGAGGTAGGTTTGCACGATGCGGGTTTGGTGTTTCAGAGGGGAGAGGAGGGTTTTATGGATTCTTGTCGGGTTGTTAAGATCGATGATGTGGATGTTGCGGTCGGCGGTGGCGATGACGAGGAGGGTGTTGTTGCGGATGGAGGTGGAGTAGATTTTGTCTCGGCAGGCGAGGGTGGCGATGGGGTGGCGTTGGCGCAGGTCCCAGTATTTGAGGGTTGTGTCCCAGCTGGCGGTTGTGAGGATTGGGGTGCTGTTTATGGTGAAGGAGTGGATGCTGCGGATGGGTTGGGTGTGGGTTGTGGGGAATTGTTGTTGGGAGTTGGATGAGAGGTCGAGCATGCGGATTGTTTTGTCGATGCCGGCGCCGAAGAGGGTTTGGCCGTCCTGGGATGGTTGTGAGTATTTGCTAGGAAAACGGGACGTTACTTTCTTGATTGTTCACCGGACTCCAACAACAACTCAGAACCGGGCCTTCATGGCTGAACATTGCAACGCCTTTGTTGCCCCCCGTCTGGTTGATGTCGTAGATCCGAACGGTGTTGTCCCAACTCGCCGCGGCCAGTAGATGCTCTACTTGAGGATTGAAACGCAAGTCTGAGATGCTGTCTTGTGGCGAATCTTGAATCGTGATGTCCTTGCTAAGGTCGTTTTGTACAGCCGTCGATGGTTGGGGGTTGATCCGGTTGGCGTTGTTCGCCATGTTGAGGGAGACGCCGCTGATGCTCCGCGAAACGAATGGCCTCTTTGCTGTATTCAAAGACCTATTACTTCAGCTCTGTTCAGATACAGATAGATTCATACGATGTAGTATAATCAAATGAGCAGGCCTCAGTTAGGCTACAGTCGCAGCCTCACAGCCAATCATGTCTTGGGCTGAGGCTCTTTTGACCCCCACGTTGGGGGTGGATGACCAATATACCAACACCAACTGTTGTACATTAAGCAGGTACCTTGATTGGTGATGGAGATGCTTTTTCAATAACATTCATGTATTAGGAATGAGTAAGCGTACGATGGTGATGTTGCTCGTTCTTGCGCGGGCGAACATCCTCCATGTTGGCGTATGTAGACTTGTTGTCGTGGGGGCGGAGGATCCAGCTCGCAGTCGATTTAGCATTCGACCATATGTGTAGCTGTTTCGAGAAGTCTGAGGGTTGGAATAGAAACCAGAGTATAAACCCAGGCTGATCAAGCTGAATAGAGGAGGCGGCCTCGAAAACCAGGAGAGATGTGGGAAAAGAAGCGCGAATTACGACCAGATCTCACACGTTACTACCTTGGCCGTGCGGAGTAGAACTGACCACCGAGTATTGCAAGACATTGCATGAGGGAGACGCAGACGATACCCATCGAGTCACTTCTCCCCCTTGGCGTCCGCACTCTCTGAAGTCGATGAGTAAGGGCTTATCTGGGGAGGCATTTGAGCTGCTCAGCCTGCCGCACTGGCATTCATCATAATCGACATCTCTGTCAGGTCAATTGCCCGTCGTCAACAAATGCTCTGCCAGTCCACCTTGACCGCCCCAGGTATGGTGTACAAAAGCACGCATGGCATCCAAGCCATTCACCAGCGTCCCTGTTGTCCAGATCTTGCCGTCTTGATGCCATCGCTTTTCGAGCCATGTTACTTGCGGGTGCTCCTCCCGCAGTGTCCTGAGCAAGATTGAAGGCGCCGTAGCGGTTTTGCCATCTAATAGTCCAGCTAGCAAGAGAGTGCGAAAGGCTCCGCAAGCGGCTATGAAGGCTTGACAGGATTCGTAACTTTTGCGAGCGAACTCCAGCTCCGCAGAAGTTGGGATGTAGTCCATCTTGTTTGCGCCCATTAAAACGATATCGAGAGGTGGGCATGTTGAGAAGGTGTCCTGACTTGATGGTCAGAACAATTCCATATATGAGTCGAGACTTTCAAGGGCACACCGTGGTATTGACGCTCATGTTCGATGTCAGCTGCGCTGGCTTGCCGGTTTCATTCACCCAGTGACATTCGATATCCATGGCTTGGTCTTTCATTCCTCGCGGCCATGCACTATCTGGAAGATCTTCTGCTCGATCTGATAGGCCGCCCATGATGTGAAATGGTGCGATGTCCAGTATCTCGGTGGTCCTGCCTGGGTTGTGAGAACTTGATGCTGAAGTAGGTCGAGACAGACTTACGAGTTCAGGAGAATGACCCCAGCATGAATCTTGCGATTTGGCCGCGAGAGGTCGAATAGCGGAGACATGATGAGTTTGACAGGCTTTGAAAGGCAAATCAGTGCAGAGAGATCCCTTGCATAAGAAGTATTCCAGGCTGTTCTTAACACTTCGAATCTGATAAGGCCACGGCCCGTTCTCCTCGTGAGGCTGGGCTCAACAGGTCGTCTTACCGGCACGGCTCAAAGTTTGTCTTCCGTGCCGTCTGCACACAGTGCATCGGGAGGGCGTCCTTTCTGTACATCAACCCAAGCTGGATACAAGTAATGCAAGTCTGTCCATAGCTTGTATAAAGAGTAGCCTGGTCCCGAAAGCTACGCCCCATCCTCGCTCCTGATGACAGCCTTCCAAATTCCAGCCAGAACCGCACGGGTTACCGGCAGTTAGACTTTGTGGCTTGGGTGTGACTGGCGGCTGCAAGTCTAGTGAGGGACTGAGTATCATTTACACCTTCTCCTTCCTCGACTATTACCATCACTCGTTTCCTGTGCAACGCTGGTGGGCAGGCGGGCTTGAGTACATCTTTTTTCAACCTACACAGCCATGACTCGGAGTTTGCCCGTGGCCTTGCTGAGTGCATTACTCTTCCTACAATGCGCAGTAGCCCAGCAAACCGTCCAAAGCACCACCATAGTCCAGCTTTACAGCCCTGTTCTGCCCTCACTCGAGGCCTACATCCTCAACGTCCAGAACGGTACCACGACAGCGAAGCTATCATGTCCCTCGAATAGCACAGCAGCGGGATGTGCTGATTACCTGGGCAACACATATACCTTTGGTCCCAGCATATTTCGAGTCCAGGCCTCCTTTGACGGCCAATACACCCTTACCAGCGACTGCTCGACGGCACCCAACACCGCAGTCTGCAAATGCTTCGAAAGTGCCGACTCATTGAAAGTCTCACATTCTGAAACGGTGACCGACTATACGACTTCTTACACGACAACCTACTGCGGGTCAGACGTGGTGCTCTCGACTGTGCCTATCGTTTCTGGAGCAGACAAGCTGCAAGCCATATCGACGTCAGCAGTTTCGATTACCACATCAGTTGTTGCGATCACCACTTCGTCCCTTTCCCCCGGGCAGACGGTGTCAACGAGCAGCACTTCACCAAGCCCCACACAGAGTGTCTCAGGTAGCTCGCCAACGAGTATCGTCTCGTATTTCGGCGAGCTCACCTTGCTCTGCGCAATGATCTTCACATTGATGTACATAGCTGTCTGATAACGATGCTGGTAAAAGATCGACGAGTCCGACGACAAGCCTTGTAGCACTCAGATTAGTACAGTCATGGCCTGAGATTGCCAATTTATTCCGGTGGAAGGACAGTGGGCAGTCTGCAGACAAAGGAACCTCAAATTAAACGACTGTCGTCAACAGGGTCATTGTCAGTCAGCAGTGAACGTTGCTTCCCTTTGTCGTTAGATTTGAGTCCACGGCTATTGCATTCCGTACTTGGAACTGTGTATCATTTCTAAGTCTTTCTAACACCTTGAGTCTCGCAAGGCTACGAGCTGTTCTTGTCGCCTAGCTAAGCTCGATCTCGGACCGCAGCATCGCCGGCACGGCTGAAAGTTCTTGTTCCGTCCCATTCCGTCACCACCTCACTTCATCAACAACCATCGCCCGGATCTCAACTCCCACCTTCGTATTCCACTCCACCGGCATGGATGATAACGCCAATTCCGCAGACGATCGGTCGAAGGTCCGCAGATCCGCTCAGGCCTGCCAGCGCTGTCGGACATTGAAGGCTCGATGTTTGCCGAGTTCAGAAGAAGGGACTTGTCAGAGGTGTGTCGCAGCAGAAGCGAGAGTACCTGCCAGCCACTGACAAGATATCGAGGTGTTTCCGATCGGGATATGAATGTGCTTGGGGCGAGCGCCGCTTGCGGCAAAGGAAGCAAGGTTCATCGTAAGTGGCAAGACCCTCTGCTAGCGATGCCTTTACTGATAATGTATCAGTCGCATTGTCCAAGTCGAAAAGAAGATAGACCGTCTCTTCGCACGAATAGCAGGTGATGATGATGATGATTCCACTGCCCAAAATCAGGCACCCTCAAACAGGAAGACCCTCTGGAAAGGTTCCGTTCTTTCACCGCCTGATACTGTTGATCAACATGTCGAGACTTACGAGGATGACAATGAGTCGAACCACTCCTTGGATGAGGTCTCCAAGCTGCACGAGTTTGATCTGTCCGCTGAGGATGGCAAAGTCTCCGCCCAGCTGAAGAAGCCAGCAAAGGACGATCCACTCTCCAAGACGTTGGCTGCCTACCCAGAAGCGGAAGGACTACTCACGCAGTATAGGTCTATGTCGGTTTCATTTCCCTTCGTCCCTATTGATGACGAATCTACTTTCAACTCCGTGTGCACCGAGAAGCCAATGCTACTACTCGCCATCGTGGCGGTATCATCGTGGCGTAACAAAAAACTGCAGATGCATCTGGAAAAGCAATTTCGTACAGAGCTTGCCAACCGTACTCTAATACAACCACGCAAGGACCTGGCCCTGCTGCAAAGTATCCTCGTTTACGTTGCATGGTACACTCCTAGCTCGTCGTTTACTCTTGAAGCTCGACTGATCAATTTTTCAGGTCACACTGGTATGTTGATGCCAGAGTACGCAATCCAGCGACCATCTTGCATTTGGCAGCAGCGCTCTTGTCGGACCTCAGACTATTGCCCAAGTCTACGACAAACGAATTCGAATTCTTACCATCTGCAAAGACTTCTGCAGACGAGGGCGAGATGCGTCGAGCTGTTCTTGGATGCTACTATCTCTGTGCCTCGTAAGTAATAGGTATCTTCGACAGACTGTCACAACAAAACTGATGAGTTGCAGCGTCAGAGCAGAGTTCTCGGTCTCGACTCTCTTGGAATGCCGGGATTATATGCATGAATGGTCAAGACATTTGTCTGAGAACGGCGAGTACGACACCGATAGCGTTATCGAGCTCCTGATTGAGTCGAGACGAATCTCAGACATGGTACATGCCCAGACATACAGGAACCTCACTCTGCCAACGACATCTGGAGATCAACTGTTGGAAACGTTCCATTTTTGGATCAGTCAGTGCGAAGGTTGGAAGCACCAGCGTGGAAGACGTGAGCAAGCACGTCGTGAGTTACCATACCGAGTCACAGCCTTGGCGATGTAACTGACGCCGTGGCAGTTTTAGACTTGATCCGATATTCATTGGAGACAAAGCTGCACAAGACTTTGACCTCTAACTTGGCGAACGACGCTCGACAGATCAATAACGCAGATCGCATGTATCGCCAGCTTTCTGGTCTTTCCTCTCAACTGGAAGCTGGCAAGATGTTCTTCGACACCCTTGTCGCAGTATCTACGGACACAACTCACCTCGTCTCATTTGCAGAATGGACAACAGTCCCCCGAATGGTCATGGACATGGCTCGACTTTCCATGTTCAGCCCTTCGCACCCACCAGAATGGAACGTCAAGGAAGCCCAAGACCGCATTCGACTGAACTTGTACCTTGATTCGCTGTGCTTCAGAATGCACAATCTCACGACTTACAATCCACCTGAACAGCCACACCCGGATTACTGGACGGTGATGAAAGAGATAATGCAAGCGGTGAACGCCTGGTACGTTAGAAAGATGAAGTCTGGGACTGGAAATCGTATCACGCATTCATCTGCGCAATTCCAGGCCGAGACAGAGGGCGGAAGTGGCACAGCTGGTTTGGAAACAGACAGCTCTCATTCAGTGGGATATGAAGCTCCGACTCCGAACTTGTTCGACGATAGCAGCTTCAATTTCATGGGATACTCAAACGAACATGAAAATAGTCACTGCATGTGGCTACCGATGGACCTGCAGATGAGCATTGATGCAATGAATGGAGACGATCTGGAATGGTAGACAGACTCGTGGATTTTCCCATCTCTTCTATTGCAACGGAATGGACAATTCACCATCGACCACGATCTGTGGTCCTCAGACGAAACTGATAAGATCACTGGTTAGAAAAACTGCAGCACCAATCATATAATCTGGCTCAACAATACGGCTAGGTGTTAACGAATTTGTACCTCTTTGGTTAGACGCTTAAAGACTTATAGGTGTTCTCGGGGTAGCAACATATAGCCCGTTCTACAGTAGCTTAGCACAAATTTAGGTTCGTTAGCGGCTTAAGAGTCGCCTAGACACACACTGTCAGGACCTACCTAATTTGGTAGCTAACGTCTTCTCACTTGCATCGATTAGAAGAAACTGGACTGTAATTGCGCAAATGCGTGTAAAATGGGTCCCACAATTATACTAGTCTTTGCAGAGGCTAACAACGCGGCAAGTTCTTTGTCCAAAAGTTGCTAAATTAAGTGTTGTCTTCGCACAACACCCTGTTTTTGGCGCAGAATGACTACTTGCAGAGGAACTTTGCGCAAAATTGTACATTGTAGTCACCTGTACAGATAGGCCCAAGTTTGACCCGGTGTGCAACTGTTGTCTAGGACTTGGCATTTGCGCAAAGTCTTCCTGCAGGCAGCAATCCATTATTGTCAATGTTTCAGACAATGTCATCGCCTGAGAGATCCCATGCTGTTCAAATACTTCACAAACTTTCGAAGACACAAGTCAAACAGGAGAGGTGTGAGATCCGTTTGAAGCTTCAGTCGGAGGACGCAGTTGCGAACAAAGCCCTTCGCTCTCAATTTGTTAAGTTTCAGAAGAACCGATGAAAGTCAGAAGTTCGAGCTTTCGAGGTCGCAAATCTTAAGATGCGCTCCTTCCAACCTGAACACCACACACGCACTGGTATTTGGAAATTTGGGACTCCATCTCTTTGGCCACATTTCGAGTCAGTCGGTAGATCTCCATGTCGACATACCACTGTCGAAGTATTAGACACTCACATCGCCCAGGGTGGAAGATATGGGCGTTTGAATTTCAAAATCCTAAGCTTGAAGTCGTGCAAAAGGAGGGGAACCTTGCACGAGGAGGTCATGAATCGCCCCACGAATCTCTCTGATGAGGAGCACAACTCCCGCCGCAAAGGGCCTCGACAATAATGAGCACAATGCTCTCGCGATTGGCTGGCAAAATTGGATGGGACTTGAGAACTCCAGATGTGATGTCCGCACTTTCCACGTTCAAGCGCTAGACTGCGGGGACTCGCGATACCCTGGGAAGGCTAGCGTGATGCCGCATGTCCACACGTGGGAATCCGTTGCTCCTTCCCTTCTCGTATCGAGAACCACGTGCGTACTTTGTCTAAGCGGCGGTTTATCCAAGCCCGTTGCTGAACTGGCAGTTACGACGTACGTGCACAAACCCAGCCGTAGAACGTTCCATGTCAGCCTAGATTTCGAACCACGCAACAGTTGAACAGAAAATGTGATGACGGGGTCTTTCTGCTCAAATCTTACTGCAATTGCAATTGAAATGCGGCAGAGAGGCGATGAAAGTTCGAAAATTCGAGCTCTTTGGTCGGGAGATTTTGATCCCATACCTCAATTGGAGCGTGCGAGGATTCTGTCGAGTTCATATCATCGCTCTTTCTCCAACGTCTCAACAAGATAGCCCGCGCGGATCTACGTGTAAACCGCCAATTTACAACATGCTCTCCACAGCTCCAAATGTAGAGTCCCTGTTCTATTAGTTGTCCTGTTACAGACAACGGATGATAACTCTCCTCTATCTAACCACCACCAACTGAGCTTTCGAGCTAAGCATCGCTAAGTGTCTAGCGGTTTCAGATAAGCCGCGGTAAGTGCCTTCTCGCCTAAATGATTCATCAGGGCTGCAACTTAAGATGAGCCCGTTTTGATCTTCTGTGACCCAGAAAGATTTCTCATCTAGACGACATGCGTTCACATATTTCAGTCGACTCCATATCGGTAGCAAGTACAGTCGGATGGGCGCAAGCTTATTTTCGAACTGTGCAAAGTGTGGTCGTACCAGGGCATCGTCTTCATCAGGTTCCCTATCTTGAGGATAGTCCTAGACCCGAATCTTAGTTGTTACATCATGACGTTGTTGGGGAGATGATGTCGCCACGCGAAGCCTGCTGTACTTCTGTATGGAGTAGTAAAAGACTTCAGAGATCCAGAGAGGTCGCCCGATACACACAAGGTCGGCGTAATCCAGAATCTGGTCAACCAGAGGCCCGTGACCGTTTACCAGGGCTGTGTAGAACAGGAGCAGGTGATGATATCGTTGTGACTTACCCGTCCATTCCACTATCGACTTACAAGATGCCCAGTGCCAGGATGGCGCGAATTGGTCCCAACTTGACTGACCCTGTGCGATTGTATTCCAACAAAGGCTGAACGGCCAAGTAGACCTTGGGAACCCAACCAGATACTCCGTACCAAGCAACTCGCAGATCCTCCTCCCGATACCTTCGAATGCGGCAAGTTTGTCCTTATGTGGAAAGCTGAGCCTGCAGGTCGAATACATGCCAATAGCCCGTCCATAAACGTTTTCATAGACTACGGAGCGAGTCTCCGGATCCGGATTCGTAAGTCTTCCGGGCGTCAAAGAGTTCTCCAGGTTGACTTGGCTCTGTGGTGTGAGCTCAGATGCTGAATGAATGCATGCGCAGTCTGTCGCGCACTGAAAGAAAGCATACGCCGAGACAGCAATCTTTCGACTAAACAGAGGCAAGTTGGCTAACCCTTGTGACTTTCTAGCAGCGGCAGAAAACGCAATTGACCTAATGTTCAGCTGTACAGTAGACGACGATGACTCCGACTTGATGTGAAACGGCTGCCAGCGGATAGTGCAGATCCCTCCATCGTTCTCGAGATACAAATAATCCAGCGCGTGAGTCTACTCCATGGGCAGCACCAATGTTGACTATGCCATTGGAGTACACTTTGTGCATGAGGACGGACTGCTCTTTCCAGTCTCGTAGACTTGCTTCGCCTTGCCCTTGAACAATACAGTAGCAGTCGATCCAGATGTAGTGGATACCAAGCTTCTGAGCTGTTATCATCGCGTCGTAGAATGTCGCATCGAACTGGCTGAAGGCAAGCCCCCTTTGAAACTCGCTCATGTTTTGGCTGGTAAGCACGAAGCTAGGCGTCCCTCCCCAACAATGGCTCAGTGTGGCATATGGATCGGTCAAGTCTCGACCAGTTGTTTCGACCAGCTTTGCGAATGATCCATCAAGAGCGAGTAGCCTTCGTGGCCGCCAATCAGGGCCGCTCTCATCGGCACACAAGTTGTGGCGTTCTAAGCAATGCTGAAGTAATCCCTTTGCCATCTGCACCACCTCCTTGCTGCCAGTATTTTCACTTGACAGGGAAAGTTCGCCCAAATGGATCAGCTGAGCATTATTGCCGAAGTTTTCAACAGGGAATGCGAAAATACTCACAGCCTAATATTGATCAGTAAGGATTGTGCGTTTGCGGTGCTTGAGTGAATACCGTTGTGACTATTTTCGAATCGTCCTTGAACACTGAGCTTTTCGGCCGGCCCAGCAGCACGCACAAATTCTGACCATAGCTGAGCTATCGGCAGCAGCAAAACAAAAGAACGTTCCACGTTCTTCTTCGTCCATTGTTGGTATCCATGAGCACGGAATACACCCCTGTGAGACTGCTCGACGGTGGGACACTGAGAAAGATGGTGCGCATGCCATATTTCTAATACTCCGTTGCCAGGACTCTCGGGATCGTCGTCTTCGGGATCGTCGTCTTCGGAATCGACGACGTTGCAATCGCTGAGGGCGTATCTGCCAAAGGACCCATCCGCAAAGACAGCCATGCACGCTTCACAGAGGTCATCCGGGGCCATGACTGCGAAGAGAAAATACGGACGATTTCGAGGTAGAAAGGAGGTCGAGAGGGTATTGGTCGTGAAATGTGCTCACATGTAGTGTAACAAGGTCTAAGCCTCGCAGAGACGCTTTTATTATCGTAGCCAGCATGAGACTCTCTCTTGCCCCTGCTAGTAACATGCTAAAAGAAGCGAAGATGCTGGGCAGTAGCCTAAACCCTTGGCAATAGAAACAACCACCTTTTTGGCCTCGTTTCAATTTTTCAAAGTAATTCTGTGCTTGTGCTGGCTCTAACTTTTGTTTATGCCAATTTACTTCAAATTCTATATACTACTCCCTATTAAGTACGTTATTGTCGCATACGTATAAGGACAGGCAACGGCCCAGGGTTCGCATTAATACGTTCTAGCACAGGCAACTGGAAGCCCTGAGCCGTGAATTCAAAGGCATAACGCGTCACGAGTGTTGACAGAACGACGGTCTGCTCCAGAAACGCTATGTTTCTACCTATGCAAGCGTGTCTGCCCAACGTGAAGGGAATCACATAGTCTTTCAGATTTTGGCGCTCTTTTGCGTTCCCCTCCAGCCATCGCTCGGGCCTGTATGTCCAGGGGTCGGAGAAGAGAGTCGTATCATGATGGATAGTGTAGGTTGGAACTGAGACCGTGACGCCGCCTCTTATCCAGTGACCAGCAATCCGAGCCCCCTCGGGTGGCGTCATCCGTAGGAGACCAATGCTCGTTGGTGGGAGGTGCCGAAGACCTTCATCGAGACAAGCACGCAAATAGTCCACATTCCTCATGGGCGTGTGAGGGAGAACGACGAGATGCTTCGCAGATTTTGTGTCGGGTAGAGCGCTTTCAATTTCAGTGCGGAGTTTCTCCAAGACGTCCGGATGCCGAAGCCAAAGGTAGAGCGTGTTGGTCATTGCTGAGGCTGTAGTATCGCTTCCAGCGCTCAAAAGTACGCCCGCCTCCTGGACCAGCTCCCCAAAAGGCAGGCACCGCTTTTCGCCCTTGCTGTCCGTCAGAAGATGCTGAAAGAAGTCGTTACGGGGATGCGACACTTTTTCAAGCCTCCTTCGCACTTGATGAATGCACATATTCGTGAAGTCATCCCCACGTTTGCTATACATCGACCAACGTGTCAGAGGTTTCGTCACACGAAGAAGAGCCGGCCAGTGACCCAATGTTGCGACATGAACGGTATTGTCTTGGAACGACATAATGGGATCGACCCTGTAGACCTTGCTGCCATTGGTGGTTTCAGCAGCTGCTTGTGCGTTGCCGGAGCGTAGGAAGCCGGGGTCATTTCCAAAAGCCATCATAGAAATCACATCGAAAGTGAAGTAATTCAACCACTGTCGGATATCAATCATCTCGCCGCTCGCGGCCGCAGCATCCAATCGCTCAACAAGCTGCTGAACTTTGGCAGCAACGAGTGACTCCATGCTTAGCACGTTCCGGTGAGAGAAGACATTGGAGATCTGCCGTCGCTTCCTAGCATGCTCGTCGCGATTCCTCGTGCTCACAATGCTCTCGTCCGTGTCCCCAGAGATTGTACGATAAAACTTGTCCTTCCTCATGGGAGACCTGTGACCATAGATTTCCTGTATGGCACGTGGATCTGCAAAAGAAATATGCTGCGGTTGTATGCGTATAATCGGCCCCAGGCGCCGGTGCGCATCAAGGATGGCCCTCGAGCGCCGTAGCTTCCTGGAATGGTACGCGGACCAGAGATTCGTAAACGCAGCACATGACGGAGCCGGAAACTTTCGAAGTTCTAGTGGGTCGCGAAAGAAATTGAGCGAAGCCTGCAATGCCAGAATTGAGACCAGGAGTACCAGAGCCCCAGTGATGAGTCGAATTGCCGTCAAAGTGGTGACCGTTAGCTGTTGGATCCAATGCCTTTCTTGTAGTAGCCAAATATCAACCAGCTGCATGGTCGAATTCATCTTACTGATTCCCCTGCTAATGCTTGGGCGCGCCGTATGATCCTGTAGGCTATCGTTTCGACTTCGCAACTTCAGGCTGTTCTACCTTTTCAATGGGAAAGGTAGGTATACTTAAGTACAGCGCTCGCAAAGTACGATCACCGCGCAAAGTGTGACGGATGATCGTGCGAGCTCGCCATGCTGTGGGGACAGTAGTTTGCAGTCAAAGAGGGCACCACGGTCCTTCGGGATTTGATGGAGAGTACCAGTCAGAGTATTTGTTACGCGATGTATGCTACGCTTGCCGAAACAATCATCGCGTGTGATCCTTCTCGGCAGTTTGTCGAGCTCGGTGGCAGGATTTCCTACACCGCAGACTAGAGTCTCGGCACCCCGAGTGGTTCTTGGACTCTCTTGAGGAATCGATCCTCAACTTTCCGGATCTGAATGTTGGCAGACCCCGGCCACACCATTTCCGGCCGGCCTGCGAAGAGGGCTTGATATGATGGCTTACTCATCAGAGTCTTGGAGTGTCACGACTTCGTCTCGCCTCCTCGCTGTGGCAGGATAGTCGATATACGTGCTGCCATCCGCCGTCTGACCCAACACGAAGCATGTCATTATCGTTCAATACACGGACACTTTGCAGCAGGACTGCGTGGAATGCCTTCACCTCCTGCGTGACATCTACCCGCTGTGCCGACCCATGCGAGTAGATCCGATTGCTCTTCCCGCGGGCTCAGAACCAATTGCGTCAAGATTTGATGAGACTCTGACGAAACTAAGGACCTTCCAACCGATCGAAAGCGACCGTCTTGCGGCTTTAGCACTGGACCAGAGACCGGATCAGGTGGCATTCCTGGATGCCGACATTCTGATCTTGCGAAACATGGACGACATATTCGACATTGAACGGCCTGGGCCGGAATGGATCTCAGCTCACCATGCATGTGCCTGCAACATCGACAGCGATCCAATCGCTCCCCCCGAATTCTCTATCGAAAATTGTCCCTGCACTCCCCTGCGGCACCCGTCAGCTCTGGCGGCACCCATCCTGAGTCCAGAGAACGAAGCGCAGGAGAAGACGCACCGACTCCTAAACTCCGGTGTCTTTGTCTGTACGCCTTCGAGAGACGTCTGGGATCGCATCGGAAACTCTCTGCAAGTGAGTCCAAGTATCGTGAAGTACAAGTATCCGGATCAGGACTTTCTGGTGGAATTTTTCGCTGATCGATGGGTGCCGATTGGCTGGCAGTACAACGCAGTAAAGCTACATCGATATACTCATCCAAACATCTGGCGTGATGAAGAAGTCCGAGCGTTGCACTATACCGTCGACAAGCCGTGGGAGAGACGAAACGAGGCAGACGGTACTGCAGGGTACAGGGGCCGGGACGGATTCACCCACCGGGTATGGTGGACTCATTACGATGCATGGGCTAAAGAGATGGAAGCTCACGATGCAGGGCATCAGGCTTTGCTCAATGTGGAAAGGTACGCACTGGCCTCGCAGCTCTTGTATATACAACTGTCCCACACTAAATGGGATGCCAGATGTCGAAATCCCGCAGATGCAGCTCAAAACAAACTTGGAGGCAGAGAACTCTTAGCTCGACTGGCTGAACAAAGCTGAATCTACTAAAGACAATTCTCTCGAAGTGGCTCTTGTTGTATCTTTCAACGCGCAAACGATGCTTAGCGAACGCGATGCTCTAACAATATCGCAGATTCGATAGAAATCTTCCATGTCACCCTCTCCGAGCTCTTCGTCTTCCGATTAGACACGAGGACAAGGCACGCAAGCATCGCGAGGTCGTCGAGGAGCCATGTTGAACGCCATCTGCTGAGGACATTCATGGGGAAAAACGGGCGTTGAGGATGTCCAGCGTTGCAAACATTGTCGGATTTTTGATGGGCGGTAAGAAACCCATCTGCTGCTGTATGTGAGAACCATTGTATTGTTTGGTGTTTGGGCTCGGTCGTCGCGTCAGTGTTGCTAAGGATAGATGTAATGATGCTAGCATCGTTGCCGACCTATACTGACGCGTCTTGTTAAAAATGTGCTCGTGGTGTTTCGTGGACCAGGCCTACCGCGACCGCGACAGTGAACTCTGCAGGACCCATTCTGACGCGAAGCATGTAGCGTGATACGACTGTTTTCCACAAAGTGAGACACTCGCTGTGCTTGTGTTTTAATCGAGCCGCTCGACGTCGACTCTTCTTTCTTCATGTCTTTCCTCTCTTCCTTATGTAAGCCCTCCTCGCCGACCCTTTCGCCATCTACTCAGTGTACCATCTCGGTGCTTGTGACCTTGTACCACTATGAAAATTAGCAATAGGTATGATGGCCAACATATCATCAAATTATCTATATAAGCTTAGATAATTCCCGTTGGACGATGCCTATCATAGACTCTTGCTTTCCCAAACTTCAACGTCCTTTTAGAGTGTAGGAACTGAACGAACCCCAGTCTTTGGCTTTGTTACGTCGAGCAGCTTCTGGTCGAGCTTATGGCCATGAAAGTCGAAATAGTCGGTGTCAGTGCGCCTGTTGTCCAATATGCCGAACGGACCGCGAAAGTTCCACATAGCGTAGCCAACTCGATATTGGGCGAGGATGTTCATGAGATCTTTGCAGTATGAGATGTAGACATCGTGCGGCAATGCTGAGTACGCTCCCATCTCACCCACGTGAATAGCGTGTCCTGCCTCTGCCAAGTCGAGAAAGGGTTTCAGTTGCTCTCGGATGGTATCACGGTCCCACAGCCTGTCGCCATCCGGTCCAATACCGCTACCATGATACGGCCAAGAGAGCGGCTCGGCGTCCTGGGCTATCGGAACCCATGGGCAACGGTGATGGGTCAACGCAACTGGGCTGTAGAAATGCACCGAGTTAACGACGTTCGGGAGAGTAGCAATGCTAGCTGGCGCCGGGACGAGCTTCAGATTGCCATCGACCATTCGCAGAGGGCCTTCAACATGAATGAGGCGACCGGGGCTGATTTCGTGATTGCATCGATCGCAGGTCTGTATGCTTGCTCAAGCTGGTCATCAGGGATGTTGACTGGATTCACCGGTTCGTTGACAAGATTGAAGCTGAGCGCATCTGCCGGGACATGGCGATACCGTTCGGCCAGCGTTCGCCACCACGTCACAAAATCCTCTTGGTCCTCGCTGTTGCTGAAAAGATCCCCCTTTTCTGGGAAATCAAACGGACTGCTAGCAGTCACGCAGTAGCCCGGAGCACGATGAAAAGCCAGTAGCACGTGAATCTGGTACTTTTTACCATAATCCACGACTCGGTCGATGAGGAACAGCCGCTTCTCGTCCGGGGTGCGGCCAAACATGCCTTTGCCGAAAAACAAGTACGACATCGGAATCCGTACGAAGTTGAAACCAAGCTCCCGAATCATGGCGAAATCTTTTTCAGCAACGACTCCATCGTTCATAGGAAAATGCTCCTTCCACCTGACGCTGGTTGAGAACAGATCAACGACATTGAAGCCTCGCCAGAGTGGTATATCTTTGGCCATTTTGCAATTCGTTTTGCTTCTCGAATAATGGCTGCGTCGTCAAGCCTTGCTTTGTTTTAAGAGCCTCTGGGCGGGGCAGCCCAGGCTTGAATCGTCCAAAAGCGGTTTCGTACTCGTATTTCGACCAGTTCCGGTCACCGGAAGGGTCCATCGTCTTCGAGTATGATATCGCCACGATTGGCTGAGTCCTCGGTTACACCAATACTCACACAGGCACCTTGCCGAGCTCTAACCGAGCCTTTGTCGAGAGAGCACGAAGGCACTACGACGAGCCACCTCCTCTCAAATTCGCTTGTGCATGTAGACCTGTGGAGCCATATAACAACAAGCAAGGCTTTACAAAGAAGGCTATGCTTGTGATTCCTCCCCCAACTGCCCTGGTCACGAACTCTTTGAATAACGTATCAGTTCCCAGGCTAGATCGTCACACTTCTTTAGCGATGGATGAAACGACAGCTGCGAGTAGCAAGGCACCTCCGCAACTAGAGACGACCGCGGTTGCAGACCACAGACAGCAAGTCATTGCAGAGAGCTCCTGCCTAGCAGCCGCCCTCGCTGCATCCAGGCCAGATCCATGGGGACCTGGATATCTGCGCTTGTATCTCATCTGCAGCCTTATTTTCTTGGTCGCCACAATGCTGGGGAAGTCTCGCACTACCCTTGACCACTAATTTGCTCTGCGTCCAACATGGACTGACTTCTGATACAGGCTATGACGGTAGCGTAATGGGCAGCATCAATGCGCTTCCCGAATATACGGCATACTACCATCTTCCAGTCACTGGAAACGCAGGCACGGGCATAGTGTTCTCCATTTTCCAGGTCTGTATTCATTCGCCCGTCTATTGCTCTAGTCTTCGGCGATTACTGATGGCTTCCCAAGTTGGTCAAATGGCTGCGGCCGTTTTCTTCTGGTTTGTGGATTGGCAAGGCCGACGATTGTCCATATTTGTCGGTTGCCTAGGAGCTTGCATCGGCGCCATTGTCACCGCTGTCGCACCAAGCTTGACGGCCTTCATTGGCGGCCGCTTTCTACTGTCGTTCTTTGCCGCTATTGCCACTCAAGGCGCTTCACTCTATCTCGTGGAGATCGCACCGCCCCAGTATCGTGGTACGCTTACCGGGCTGTTCAGCACCTTGTATTTCTTGGTATTTCTCGACTTCGTCTGACTTGTACTGTGTCAAACACTGATCATGGTATTGCAGGGCTCAATCATCGCGACAACGGTCGTCTACGGTGCAAACTTACATCTGGCAGGCCGCGGAAATCTAAGTTGGCGCCTACCCCTATGGCTTCAGATGGTCTGTCCTGCTCTTGCCTGCCTAGGCATTTGGTTCTGCCCGGAGTCTCCGCGATGGTGCATCATAACCCATAGCTGTCGGTTTGAACGGTCGTTAACCCCTGCGCAGGCTCGTTGGGAAAGGGTGGCATACGGACGCGCGGAAGACTCTAACGAAACTTCACGCCAACGGGATGCCGGACAGTCCCCTAGTCAACCTGCAGCTCGCAGAGATGTCTGAATCTCTTGAGCGCGATGGTATGGTGGGTTGGCGAACGATTTTCAACCTCGGGGCACTGTTCAGAACCCGTGCGCGTTTATACCGAACAGGAATCGGACTCGCATTTGCCTGGTTTGCACAATTCTCGGGTAATAAGTGAGTCTTCACTCTCGCAAAGGTGAAGGTCCGACATCATCAGCGGTCCACTGACATACTACATTGGTAGTGTTGCATCCTATTACCTTCCCATTCTGTTGCAGAATGTTGGCATTGTTGATACCAGCACGAAGCTTCTTCTCAACGTCGCCTATGCAATCACTGGATGGATCCCTGCCATTGCCGGAGCTCGTTTCCAATGATATTCTTGGTCGCCGAAAGATGTTCTTAGGATGTACTGTGGGCATGGCAGTCTGTCTGGCAATTGCAGCTGGCACTGCTGCAAGGTATGAGATGACGGGAAGTAAGGCAGCCTCTGGTGCATCCATCGCCTTCATCTTCGTCTTTGGATGCGTCTTCGCCTTTGGATTTACCCCAATGCAACCCATATATCCAAGCGAGGTCCTCTCTAATGATATGCGAGCCAAAGGTTAGTGTGGAACACCTGTTGAAGCGCCTCGTAAACTAATATGAATCTTTCGGCAGGCGGCCTTGTCTTTGGACTGGCCAGCGGTTGCGCTGGATTTGTGAATACACTTGCAGCACCTGTTGCCCTGGAAAAGGTAAACGAGCGAAATCGACGATCTGCGCCTATGCTGATGATGGTACACTTTAGATTGGTTACTGGTTCTATGTGTTCTTCGTCGGATGGGATCTCCTCGAATTTTGTGTCATTTATTTCTTCTTTGTGGAGACCAAGGGACGGACTTTGGAAGAGATGGACGCCGTATTCGAAGCAAATAATCCACGGAAAGCTAGCATGCGAAAGCTAGCATGCGGAAGCCTGAAGTCAATCGTACGGCACAGCCCGACGAAAAAGATCAGGACTGTGAAAAAATTGAGGTGGTAAGCTAATGGTTGCCATATATGCCCGCGAAGAATGCCATGTCGAAAGGAGACTCAGAGGACGAACAGTCAAGACACGAAACTCAGCATCATGAATTTCCGAATGCGACAACACACATATCGGTTCTTTTCGAGTCTCCTGTTTTGAGCGGCAGCTATCAGACAGGGCAGCAAGTGGTGGATTCTCTGGTTGATCAGGCCGGTATTTGGCTTGGGGCTGTTTCGCTTGTGTTTTCCAACTCCAGGAACCAGCCAGTCTGCCTACGTATGTTGTTGAGAGTGTCTTCAATCTCATTTTGCTCCTTCTCACTTGTGAATATGCTCAGGCCTGTAGTCGGTCAATTCAAAGACGATTCAAGTGCTCCGAGGCGATGCGTACAGAAGCGCAAATGCTCGCTAGCATGGATTCGAGCAGCTTCACATGAATTGGTAACACTGAAACCACAAATTTGAGCTGCATGGTAAAGCAAGCTAGCCTTTATGTACAACTCAGCTGCCACTCTACAGGCGCCTTTGAAGATGTTACACTTACTTCTTGTTCCCGCATCGATTGTAGAGCCTCGATACCTCGAGTGGTTATGGGAGGCGCGTGTAGGTTCAAGAGCAATTTTGCCATGTGAAATGTTTGGAGGGCAAACACTGGCGAATATCTATTCGTCAGCACAGGATGCTTCGCCCTTGCGGCAGGGACACCCACCGTGCCAGTCGGCCAAGTACCACAACACAGGGAATTGAGTTTGACGATCGATGAGGTTGGGCCCCTGGAAGACTGGTGCGTAAGCGGGTGGCAGACTTCCAAACCAATTGTCCAACTCATTGGTCAGGGCGTTGAATTCATGATCGTCTCTTTCAGCAGCAGAAGCAAAACAGTAGTTTAAGGTTCGGGCAAATAGGCAAGTGACGTGGTTGGCCGGATTATCATCACAGTTGTTGAGCCAGAGTCTTCCCTCGATGTTTACGAAGCTGTGGTTCAGGTTCAGAAGGGTACAACGCTGATGGCGCTCGGCCATGTGAACATCTTGTCGTAGGTACACCCAGAACGCGGCGACACGGAGCTCGTGGAAGTTGCCTTCTTCAGTAGGAAGCTCGACCAAGGAGCAGGATCCCAGGAGGTGGTGCTGAGGATCGCGGTTGTCCGCTACTTGAACGTCAGTTACGCAGCCACATCTGATGCATCGCACGGGTAAAGGCACGGACTCTGACGTAGCATCTCGAACATTCGCAGTATGACAGTAGCGGCAAGGACACGACCATCCGCGGCGAGCACCTGGTGGCTGAGCGCCGCAATCAGGGCAACTATACATCGTTGGTGAAACAGGTCGGCGATGCCGATGTCGAGCCCATGAAGCATGTGGAGCTGCTGGGCCGAAAGGGCAATGATAGCGTTGAAGAGTATAGGGAATGAGAAAGCTTCGTGCGGCACTACGTGGCGGAAATGCTGGTCAGGATCGGTGAGAGCGAGCTGAGGCGATTCGTCAGGGAGGCAACAGCGAGGCCACGGAGAGGGAGCTATACCCACGGTGCGACAACTTCAGTATAGTGACTAAAGAGGCGAAAGAGAAGCCGATCAGAGCAAGGCCGTGATGGAACCGGCAAACTTGTGTGATCGCTGCCGAGGCAATCAAGCTCGAGAGCACTGACTGTGGTCGATAAGGACTCGAGGGACTGGCGGAAGGGAGGCGAAGTCGCGGAAGGATGACCAACAGTAGGTGGTTGAGGACGTGGTGATGCTCGGTTCTCATTGTCGGCGCCGTCATGGTTGCTCGCAAGGTTCGCTTCCTGCTCTTCAAAGCTCGAGTACTCGCAAATTCGTTTTCCGCGCGCACACCTCTGGCATGATGGGCGTGTCTCGTCGCATTTCACGTGGCGTCTCCGGCATACCAGGCTGTGCACCTATTCAGCACATGAAGATGAGTGGGCTGATTCGAACTCTGTTACCATCCTACCACTGCGTGAGTTTCTGTGCAGTGTACGCTTCGGCAACCAAACACGCACCTTTTTTCGAGCGTGAGAATCGCTGGGGTTTGTGGCTAGGATCTTTCCCTGCCCCTGCTTGCAATTCTAGATTTGAACGAGGATTCATTGTGCGGGTCAAATGGCGGAGTGGCCAGACCACAATGTACACAAAGTTCGTTTCGACGTCGTCACGAGACTACTGGGGAGAAGAAAGGCGGATTGTCTCGGCTGATGTCGGCTAGCTCTAAGGCTACGGCTGTGACCCTCGGCAACGGTGGCTGCAAATGGGGTTCGTGTAGAGTGCCGACTCAATGACCCTTCGAATGGTTGGCGCCTCGTTGATGTTCAGCACGAGTGCGAACAAGCCCCACATGCTTCATGATCTGTCAACGCGACAACATGTCCGGCTACTAGCGAGGCCTCGGCGGCTCGCACGTCCTTTCGTCGAGGTAGTGCGAGCAAGCACTTGAACCAAACGCGTATTTGTTGTTCACCCTACAAATCTCAGCCTGCTGCTCGACTTTCCGTCTTCCCGAATACATTACGTTTTGTGTTCCCACATCCGACGGGCCATGATGAGTGCGAACTCAGCTACAGGATTTATGATCGAGAACCAGAAGGAGTGGCATAATTTCAAGAGACGAGAGGTTCGTTCACTCGGGTCGAGACGGACTGTCGCTGACGACTTGCACAGTTCAAGCTCAAACCATTCGAAGATCACATGTAGACATTGCCATCGATTGCTGTGGTGTCCGCAGCTCAGATGTGCATACAATCACCGGAGGTAAGGTATTTTCTGGTGGTGCTCAACCCATATATCTTGATATACAGCTTTGCGCCGTCTAGCAGGCTGATAGTGTATCCTCAGGCTGGGGTGAATGTCCGCTTCCTATTTGTGTCGGCCACGAGATCGTTGGGAGAGTAGTCGCAGTCGGGAAAACCGTCAAAACCGTCAAGATCGGCGACCGTGTCGGCGTGGGAGCTCAAGTGCAGTCAGATTTGACTTGTACCAATTGCCTGGGGGACCAAGAAAATTACTGCTCTAATATGATCGATACCTACGGTTCGCTATACCCAGATGGAACGATATCTCAAGGGGGCTTCTCGTCACACATCAGGGCTCACGAATATTTTACGTTCAAGATCCCAGATGCAATCGAGAGCGAGGTTGCGGCTCCTATGCTGTGTGCAGGCATCACTGGTGGGTTTTGCAACCTAATATGCCCGTCAACCACCAACCACTCACAACTTGGCAGTGTACAGTCCTCTCGTTAGGTTAGGCGCCGAGCCTGGAAAGAGGCTTGCTGTCGTCGGACTGTATGTTGACCAGAAACGAGGAATTATCAAGCTTGATTGCTGACCAGTACATCAGGGGTGGACTGGGGCACTTTGCCGTAATGTTTGCGGTGGCCCTGGGCGCTGAAGTCTACGTCCTCTCCCATACTCCGTCTAAGAGAGGAGACGCTCTCAAGATGGGCGCGAAGCAGTTCGTCGTGACCGGCACCAAAGACTGGCACAAGCCATACCAATTCACCTTTGATCTCATCCTGAACACTACAGACGCTTTGCACTCGTTTGTGCTTCCGGACTACTTCAGTACGCTGAAAGTCAACGGCCATTTTCATACCGTCGGCTTCGGGGACCACCCACTCCCATCTGTAAGTACCTCCAAGGTGGTCGCCGACTGGCTCTAACAGTAGTGCAGATCATGGCCCAGAGTTTTGCTCCGAATGGGTGCTATTTTGGAGCGTCGCATATTGGAAATCGCCCAGAAATGATTGCGATGTTTGACCTTGCGGCGGCTTGCAATCTTAAGAGTTGGATCCAGCCGGTGCCTATAAGCAGGGACGGCTGTGCTCAGGTTGTTAAGGACGTGCACGCAAACAATGGTCGATATAGGTATGTCCTAGTTGAATATGACAACGAGTTTGGCAAGAGAGCATGAGCTATGACTTCGATAAATTTGGATCATTCGCTCGAAATGTCTCAGATATTTTGTCGGATCCCCCAATATGAATATGGTATCTACCTAGGTATATAAATATTCGACTCATCTTTCGTGATTGACTTTTAATGTGATTCAAAATCGAACAAAGAAGCCGTGCCACCGCGCGTTCCTCACGGATGTGTTGCTTCAAGTTATGCTGTCTACGATCCTAGCCGTGTATAGCACTACCTATAGCAAGCGTCGACTCCGCTTCGTCTCGTTTAGCATGTTATCCTTATCTGGATAACGACTCATTTAGCTGTAGATACTTACGCTAGCTGCCGTTCTTACTAACCAAATTATATTGTTCTTAAAAAGAGCGAAAGTCTACTAATCCTCATTATTAATATTCTAATACTACAAATCTATGTCTATACTCTCCTCGCATACCTGTGTGTCGTCAAATGTCATGCCTCGCGTTCTTACTTCCCATTCTGATCTTCTCCCCGTTCCACCAAATGTAAAAGATGATCGGAATGAACAAGATAGCCAGAAACCCGAGCAGACTGTTGCCCCAGTTGACGCCCAATTTATGAAACATCTGCGTGGCGAACAGCGGGAAGGCTGCACCAAAGCAGGACCGCATAAAGTCGTTACCCGCTGAAATCGAAGCGAAGTTGGTAGGATACGCGTCTCCGAGATAGTTCAGGACGGCCGAGAACTGAATCGTCAGCAACTTCTTCACATTCGCGGAAGAAGAACTCACCGAGAGAAAGGCCCCGATCGTAAAGATCCCAGTCGCAATGACCGGTGCTATCCACAGCACACTCGGATATTGCGCTGTCCACCCAAAGAAGAACAAGCATATCGGCAGGCAGAAGCACCCTACAAGAGCCGTCTCCAAGCGTATCTCCGGCTTTAGATCGCCATTCTTGTTAAATCGCGGCTCGACGTAGTAGTAATTGTAGTACACGAATGGCGGCATGACCAGTAGACCCCCAATGGTCAAGCCGAGGTAGCAAAGACCGGTTATGCCTTGACTGAATCCACGCAATTCCATAAAGGCGATGGGAAGAGACTCGAGCCAGCAGTAGAGAACGGCGTAGATCAGAGCGATGTAGAGGTTGAGCGAGAGAACGATCGGCTCATAAAGCATCAGAGTAAATGGCCTGACCAGCGTCATGTTGACCATATCTTTCACCTGCATCTGCTCGCCGATGATCTCAGGTTCACACTTCAAGATCGCTCCACCTTCGGGTTGGTGTTTTCGTAGCCGTGCCGTCCGTCTGTAGATGATGTTGTCCGCGGACGTCTCTGGCAGGAAGAAACTGAGGAAGACCAGCGCAAAGCCCGACATCCACATTAATTCCCAGATGGGCCATCTCCATCCTTTGAATTCAGCAGCCCAATTCCCAATAACTGGCCCTATGGTAGGTCCGCAGACGTTGGCCAGGCCGTAAGCCGCCATTGCGTACGCGCGTTTGGATGCTTGGAACATGTCTGCAAGAGAAGCGCCGCCGGTTGCCAGTACTGGAGATCCAAACAAGCCGGTCAGGAAGCGGAACGCGAGGAGCGAGATATTGTCAGCGCACAGTCATCCCCTGGACTTTCTCTCTTACCATGCCAATGTTCTTCGCATAGATCACGCCGAAGTTGAGGAAGACAAACACAACCAGCGTAAGGATGTAGACTGGACTTCTTCCAATCATGGGAATTTCCGACAGCGGCGCCCACACCATCGGTCCGCAGCCATAACCAAGTACATAGAGCGTCAGGCCAAGAATTGCGACGGTCTGACTAACGTGAAAGTGCTCCGACACGCCTGCCAACCCCGAGGAGTAGATCGCAGATCCCGCGTAGATGGAGAAAGTTAGGAGACATATCTGGAATGCCACGAAACATTTTTTGGATATTGACCAATTCCGCGGATTCTCTGGATCGTCGTCGAGATATTCGATGAGGATGAAGTCTCGGGGCTTGCTATCTTCCAATTCCTTCTCATTCTCCTTCGATGCTTGGAGGTATCTCCGCCTCAAATCTTCGTCCCGGTCGTCTTGATAAGCGAAAAGCCGTCCTCGTGAGATGTTGCGACAGATGATGCCAAAAAGCGTATCTTGAAAGAGATCAGGCATCTTGATAGGAAATGTTTGCACTTGCCTTGACATGGTGTGTGAAGCGCCAAAAGTCTTATATCTATGCGGGTTGATCATGATCCTTCCCCAGCCGGCCGAAGCTGACGCTGTTGCGATGAATTTCATCATTCCAACCTCCATGACCATCCGCCATCCGTCTGGCAAGGACTTGTTGAGCAGATGGATCAGATCCGTCAGCCATCAAAGAAAGGTGAAAGGCGTGAAGTTGGAAGAAATCCTTCGGGACGCGGAAGTTAGGTGGTGACTCGGCCAGTGCGGAGAGGGAGGGCTTCTCGGGAGCCGCAAACACGAGCTCCGAACATGACTGAGAAATGAGGGACCGACTGGCCAATGAGAGGCAACTTTGAACCCTGTTCTTACTTGTCTCTCGTCATAGAGTGAAGCTTCAACAAGACTCCTAACAACACACCAATCCCTACCCCGGGTATTCAAAATCCCAGGAGAATGGATTGGACTGACTTCCCTATTCTATTCTGACACATCAGCATGGCTTCTATTGCTTGCCACATGGCATGCTACTATTAGTGATTTGTCTTCACACTTCGCTAGCACGTGGCGTAGGTGACCTTATTAGGGAGTTGGTGCGAGTCTGATACCGTGAGCTGCCGTCATAACAAAAGACCAATCTGCCGGGCCTGGAACTCTTCCGTATCTCGACAATATCCCGAACTCAATCTCTCTTCCTGACCTTCAAAACGACATCACCAACCAAGCCATACTCCTTGGGCTGAATTAAAGCGGCCCCGCCGAACAAAGAGGCCATGTCTTCTGGAAGGGATACTGCTGAAGCACCCATCGTCTTTAGCTTATCAATGACTGGGATCATGGCATTCCCCAGCGGCGTGCTGACGACAATGTCGATTGTATTCACGCCTTTCTGCAGGTAGCCAGAGATGTCGACTTCAGGAGCTGTGACATCCAAAGGTGGTGTTTCACGGCCGTTCACGTACAGCACGGCTGTGTGAATGATAGGACTCATCGAGATCACTGCTTCGTTGGCGATGGACTCGCCAGCTAAGAGTGGCCACACGAACGTCGACTGGTAAAAGCCACGCCCTGAAACGAATGTCAAGTTCGTCCCGACAGACAGTCGATTCCAAGGAAGCAGGCGATCGATTGAGTACGTGCTGTTCTCCTTGACAGTACCCTCGATGTCGAAAATATCGTCGGGAGGCATCCAAGACTCGACTGTCAACGTCCAGTTCCGGCTCAGGTCAACTTCACGGACGCCTGTAGCTGCATGCTCTCCAGTTAGCCTCCTTGAGTCATGCTTTTTGAAAGCAATTATTGCCGTTTGGTTGCCAGCCAATGTCAATACCATCGTCGTGGTGTTCCCACTCTGCGAGTACCCCTTCGCTGGATTCTGCACCCCTGTCCAAGCATCGTAAACCCATGGCGTGCTATTAGCGGCGAACTTTACGGTCTTGTTCGATGTTGGAGGAGACGCTGCCAGGGTGTCCCAGTAGATGAATACTGTGGTCTCCTCTGCGCTTTCCCACCACCGAGTGTACCAGATGTCGTTCGATCCTGAAAGCGAGACTCTAGGACGAATACCAAGCGAGGACAGTGACTGCGCAAGTCCAGCAGCAGGCACAACATGCACGTTCCGCAGCTTGGTGATCCGAGCGAGTGATGCATTGATCCTCTGATGATCGCCAGCAGACACCGTACCTGACACATTAACGGGAACGCCACCAGAGAAGATGATCGGAAGTCCATCTTTCGCCCACTCTTCGAGCTTGCTTACACCGAATGCTGTCAAAGTCTCATTGCTACGAACAATCAGAGCCTTGAAAGCTTGCTGTTGGGGTGCTAAAATGCCACCCTCAACATAGGCACCCGGCAAAGAGAAGTCGTCCGGCGACAGATACTCATACGTGTATCCGGCTTGTTCAAGATCTGTTGGCTGATATGACCGGGGCACAGTGGTGTACGAGGTCTTCTTCTGCCAGAACGCGACGTCAGCCTTTGGCACACCGCTCTGAGCTATCTGCTGGCTTCTGGCGGTGTAGTCCATGAACGCTCGATAGTATTGCCATCCAGGTTGGTGACGATTGTGCATCTCGGAGAAGATGTAAGTGAAAGTCGTATACGTGGGCCTGTGGAATGTTAGCCTGTTCTTCCATTGCCGTCAAACGAACCCACCATGTCGTGTTGGGATAAAAACCAGAGTAGGGCATCCCATGGAGAATGAAAGCATTCACACCACCAACTGTGGATCGTTTCAGCTGCCACAATAGCTCATGGACTGTCTGCTGAAATGCATCTAAAGGCGTTGCCCCTGCTTCAGAAGAGATGACCCGTTTGCCAGCAAGGTTGGCAGGCCCTGCGAATTGGCGATAGCTATCAATGGTATGCGAGAAGCCGAGAGTCTCACATTCTGGCGCGTCGACACGAGGCACGTTCGACAGCATATCCAGTGGAAAGTTGTACGCCACTTGAGCAGAAGACTGCATTCCGATTGAGTTTGCAAACTCGGTCAGGCCATTCAAGTAATCCTGGTTCAGGAGGGTCATCTGTCTCCCAGTTAGCCTCATGAACCAAGCACGAAACACAGAGTCGTACCGTCTGTCGAAAGTCAACCACGTGAGAAGCACCAGAATCTGCTTCATCCGTGACGAAAACTGAAGTGGCAGTACTCCCAAAGAGACTGATTCCTCCCGAGTTGTCATGCATTAACAATGGAATGTACTTGCCGATGGGGTATCCATGTTGGACTTTGAAAGCAACCGGCACGTTAGGCGTCCAAAGAATGTTGGCTTTGAACTCTTGGGAGTCTTCCCACATGTAGCGGCCAACTTGTCGTACAAGCTCTGAAGTATGGCCACCTTCCAGCAAATGGGTCTTCCAGAATGTCGACATCTCTTCAGCACCTTTCCGTGAGAAATGGTCGACAACCCAGGAGCCATTTTGGACAAAGGATGTCACTGGTGACTGCTCGACACCTTTGCCCGATACCACAAGCTCAGGTGTCTGTTGCTCCCTGTACTGCGTGTGGACAAGATAGTAGGCGAATATGACATATTGCTCACCCGTGCCATCAGCAGTGAAATCGAGGGCGAGTTGGCCGTCAGGAGCGACCTGATCTGTGACATCGTGGAGAGATTCAGCAGACAAGGTATATGTCATGACAGAGCTGATGTTCGCTGAACGTCTCACCAGACCAGTCGAGGCTGAAACGAGCGGGCCAGTTCCCCATCCAGGTAGAGTGTTGTCGAAACTACCGCCGACTGGAATGGAAACATTGAATGGCTGAAGATCCCACTGCAGTCTGTCGGCATCGACAGGAGCTGGAACGCCTGCTCCTTGATTCGGCCCAAGGGCTAGATCAATGACAAGATTATTGTCCTTGGTTGCCTGCAGTGCTGCATCTTGCAAATCCCCTTGACGAACGGTGAGCAACCACAGCGAAGCCTAGTATGGGCCACACTTACTCCAAGCTGGCGTACCCCAGCCATACTTTGCCCAATCTACGGGTATGACGCCTGCTCCCGATTCAATATCGCCGTAGTTGTAATAGCCAAGCAACTCGACGCCGCCTAAATGATGAGAACTATTAGCAAAGGCAACAATCTGAAACGATCGGCGGGTTTTACCTGCGCCTATCTTGCCTGCATCTTCAATATCTTGTCGAATCGTTGACAGATTCACAGACGCATCTGGCACCCAATATCGGAACCTTGGACGGGCGTATGCAGATGGCTGTTGAAAAGTCCCAAGATTAGGACGACCCTCATGAGTAGCCCCAAAGCAATGTTGAGCGAAAGCAAGGACGAAAGTAAAGGAAAAAGCCGTCTTCATGTCGACAGGAATACGGATATCGGCCCAAACCTCGAACTGGCCCTGACCGGCTGCAAGCTAATATACTTGGGTGCTGTTCCCCAGAGTCTACCCCAGGTTCTCCATGATAGCGATCGACCTCGTACGCACCACGGACGTAGCGACATGCTCGTCGTATTCGTCGTTCTGGCACAGACCTGTCCTAAGTTCGGTGTAACTCGGGGGGAATCGTTCCGGAAGCCGACGACGCCCTCGAGCGGTTGAATCTGCGGTTGAACGCATATCAAGTGTTGCAAGCATTGAAACGAGTTCGAAAGGCGCTAGTTCGAATGATGTGATGACTTCTGGCAGGCTGCAGGTGGCTTCGAGCGATCGGCCAAGTCGGCTGAACAATCCATCGAGACCGAAGGCAGACAGATTCAGCCACCTGAGGCAGAGACATCGTAATGATTTGGCGGGGCCTGGGAAAGGTAAGTCGAGATCATCTCGCTCCGTTTTGATGCGAGCAGGGCGGGGAGGTTTTGTGGCGCGCGGAGAGTGCATGTTTCTACAGTGACGTGGTAACAGGTCAACTTTTTACTCGTCCAGCATGAATGAAGCAGATGTCTGCATTTTTTGGGCCCTTTGCCGCTTCTCTTCTCTTTGACAGATAGATTTGGCTCGGCAGCATGAGTGCGGCTTGATCTGGGAGCGACGTGATCGAATAATATCGATCATCTGGGGCAGATGTATCCATTCGTGATCGAAATCGGAGTGGAAAGGCGGTCCTCTCGACTGTCAAGATGGCGATGTTGCCTCTCCATGGGTCGCTGAGGGTTTCGAGCGTCTGGCTGGGATCTATCAATCAATCGACGTCGTTGACCTTTGAGGTGATAGGACATAGCAAACCTGCCAGCGATTGATATCGGCATCCGCGCGCTCCCCTCGAAGCTCTTCTTACCAAGCTACCCGTAATCGACTGCCGCTCACAGTTAGCGTACGACTTTCCGTCTCGCACACCCCGGCATCGCGTAGAGAATTGTGGAGTCGCCATGCTCCAAGGAGCACCAAAATGCGGCGTGACACAGTCGTGGCGACTTCAACATCTTTTCCAACGTTACTCGAACCAAATTTTGCCACCCGCAGGACCGTACTCTATTCCCTAGAACTTCAAAGGAGCAACCATCGACGCCGATTCACACCATTCGAGGAGATACTTGCGATTAGAATGTCCACGGAACGTTGGCAAAAAATGCCTTGAAAACAGACGTCTCTTGACCCCCATAGCCTGAACTTTCTTTCAACTCGACATCGATATGTTTACTTGGCTGTTTGGCTCTGAGTCGAGCCCGCCGATCTTTTTGAAGTTCCGGAGCTCCAAGACATTTATCATTGTCGTTGTTTCCACCGCGGTCTTTACGGACATTTTCGTAAGTAAACTGCTCTGTTTCGATCAAGTCTGCTGACGTGCCAAACGTAGGCATATGGCATTGTTGTACCAGTCTTCCCATTTGCACTCACCTCTCGAGCCAACATCCAGCAAGACGATGTGCAGACATGGGTTTCGATCTTGTGAGTCCCCAAGATTTTCAACTTATGAACCATTCTGACATACCGCTCTCAGTCTCGCAGTATATGGGGGAGCTTTACTGGTAACCGCGCCGTTGTTCGGTTGGCTGGCAGATCGTATGAAGTCTCGACAATTCATGTTCATGTGAGCACTTGTGCTAGCATTACAATTGTGCGAAGAATTGCTGATGTTATTCAACAGGATCGGTCTGGTGATACTTGGAGGCTCGACTGCCATGCTCTGCGTTGCCGATAGCATTGGGTTGTTCGCGGCTGGCCGCGTCCTACAAGGAGCCAGCGCTGCTGTCGTCTGGGTCGTCGGACTGGCTTTGCTCGTGGATACGGTGGGCCCTGATGAAATAGGAGCTGCAATGGGTTATGTTGGTCTGTCGATGAGTTTGGCCATTTTGCTGGCTCCACTCCTCGGAGGCATTGTATTCGCGAATGCAGGCTACTATTCGGTCTATGCAATGGCATTTGGGCTTATCGTTTTGGACATTATTCTCCGATTCGCCATGATCGAAAGGAAATCAGCTCGTAGGTGGCTCGCGGAAGAACGTCCGTCATCACCACCAACGAAGGCCCAAGCGAAAGAAGATATGCCAGTCGGTGTGGAGAAAGAAACGTTGCCACCAAGCTCAGGAAAGAGCGCCGACATAGACGAAAGCGCCGTCGATGGTCATGCGGTCTATCCAAACGCAGCAGAGGCGGCGGTGCTTCATAGCTCCCCATCGCCGCTAAAAACGCTCATCAGCCATCTTCCCCCGGTGGTCTTCCTCTTTGGCTCTCGCCGAGTGCTGTCCGCTATGTGGGCGTGTGTCATGCAGTCAACCCTGCTGACCGCATTCGACTCGATCTTGCCGTTGTTCGTCAGGGACACCTTCGGCTGGAATTCGACGGGTGCTGGCTTGATATTCTTACCCATTGTCGTGGCGACATTCACGGGTCCAGTCATTGGAAGGTTGTCCGACAAATATGGACCGCGCTGGCTCGCAACATCTGGATTCGTGGTCGCATGTCCATTCCTGATCTTGCTACGACTGGTAGACCACAACACTCTGGGGCAAAAGGTTCTTCTCTGCGCTTTGCTGGCTCTTTGCGGTATCGGATTGACCCTCGCACTGACCCCGATCATGGCGGAGATTGCGTACGCGGTGGAAGCCAAGGCAGCCCGGCGTCCATCTGGGTTCTTTGGCGAGAATGGGGCATATGCTCAAGCCTACGCTCTCTTCAATATGGCGTGGGCGGCCGGGAGTATGATCGGTCCACTGCTGGCAGGCTTGGTCAACCAATCCCACGGTTGGCCCACGGCGACTTTGATCCTGGGATGTGTCTCCATCTTCACAGCGGTGCCCACTGCTATTTGGACAGGAGGAAGTATCTTCAAGGAAAAGCGCCGCGATAGGGAGCAGGGTCAAGTTGCTGTCGAAAACAGCGTACGAGCCGGACCTTGAACCGCCGTTTGCAACGGACGATTTGCTGGACGAAAGTTGAGCAGCTTGTCTCGATAAGCCTTCTTCATCGGCCAGGGGAGTGTTTCTGTTCAGGTCAATGGCTCGTGTGCACACGTGGCCCTCGTGTTCGAGCAGCACTGCCTTGGTAGTGCTTCTGCGGTGCTCGGGCTTTGGCGAAACACTGAAACTCTGTCGCTACCGAATGATGGCAGCAGCAGCAGATACATGCAGATCGGCCCATCCTAAAGTAGGCAGCAGGATAATGCACGTGAATGAATAAATGAATGAATGAATGAATGGAATGAGATGAATGGATCGAGCCAAGTCGGCTCGCACTGCCGCGTGGATGCTCGAATGGACACCGCTCTCCAAGTCAGGAATCAATGGGTGACCACTGGAATGGCTCGGCGAGACTCCGACAGATGGTGATGCTCCATGGAGACGTGCTCATCGCCATCAGGAGTGCTAAACTAAAGCAGCACAGCCTCAGGTTTCGCGCAGTCCGCATTAGAGTTGGCCCTAGCACAAACTCTGTCGGTGATGGTCTTGGCGCAATGAGGTTAAGCGCACGGCACGCTGGTCGTACAGTATCTTCTGCTGCATATCCATGCCCCATCACTTGCTCCGCATCACTTGCGCGCTAATGCCTCTTGGCCACTCGCAAGATCCTTCGAGCGCTCCAGGATGTCACCCCGAAAGCTTCTCGCGCGTGCCTTGCAAGTTGTCGAGGATGTCTTTGTGTCGGTCCGATCCGCCAAAGTCTACCGAGTAGGAAGCCTCCTCGACAGTCTTAATGGCTACCGAATACGTACCGGAGCCTTTTCGACGGTCTCATCGCTGTCTGATCACTTCATCAGACGCTCCAGCAGTGGCAAGCTCCACTGCTTCTATAATAGTAACAAGCAAAATTCACGCTCCGCAGAGTTCCCGCAAGTCGCAACCACTATTTTCCCTACATGTCCCCGGTTGAATACAAGCAAGAGTTTCCGCATTCGGCAGAACTGCACGACATGTGAATTTCCGCATGCTTCAATATGCCTGTACGTAATGAGGACATCCTTCCCAAGTCTCTAACGCCAGGTCCCCTACATCCTTCCGGGCGATTGAATAGGGCATGTGCCGAACCTTGGACATGCACGATTCAAAGTCTCAACCTTCAAGTACATGTGTGCCATTTCTCCACTCGAGACGGCAGTTGACATATTTTCAGAGGCGACAAATAGCCCATAACAGGCCCAAACTCCGCAGGTAACGGGGCAACCCCCGTATTCCTGCGCCTCAGGCTCTGACGCGGCTACGTCTCGCCCCTAAATACCCAATCGCAACACTGCCCCTCAGGTGAAGCACCTCATCGACCCATGAAGCAGATCACTTTCAATAATAGCTGCGTCTAAGATGCAATGAAGCAGTCCGGCTATTCACGCTTCTGGAAGCGGGCAAGCAGCATGGAGCGGACGTTTCACACTGGTCCAATCCATTGAATCACGAACAACATTTTCTCTCCGAAAAGTCACAGCAGAAACTACTCTGTTCCAATAGATATTTCTAAGAATGTGAGCTCCAATCAGCTCGTGCAAATCAAATTCGCTCAGTCGTCGTTAAGGAGAAACATCGTGTGATCGAGTCTTAAGCGGTACACTACTCCAGACTGCATCAGGACACGGCAGAGGGAGGAAATTTATTGGTGTCTTGCCAGCGTAGCGTAGCGCCCTACGATCAATCCTTGGACGATCGTGCGGGTGACCACCTCAATGACAGAAGACAGGCACTCCTGACTAATGGTATGTACAGGACACCGTCTCTCAAAGGATCCAAGGATCAAACCACGATACGAGATGTCCCGGCTACTCTCGATCAGGCAACAACAAATCGACTAGGGTCTCAATCGGCAGTCGATATTGTGCTGGCATCGTAGGGGTTGTACTTTCCAGAATGTAGTATTCGTTCCGCGGACAGCCTCTCTTCGTCCTTCCAAGTCTACCCTACAGCAATGATGTTTCGATGTGGCCGTGGCCTCAAACTCCTGACGCTGGTCGTCCTCATTGTACTGCTCTACGCGGCGACACAGCAATATCTCTTCGAAAGTTTCCTCAGGAGACGATACATCACCTTCGATGACTTCCCTAAAGCATACTCAAACGCCCTGAAGGCCTCCACCGCCGACAACACGCCTCTTGAATACGATTACAACACCTTCCCTCCCTCCACGAACGCCTCCACCTTGATCCCTCCCACCATCCACTTCATCTGGTTCCGCGACCTCTACGCCCATCAACTCGACCGCCCCGATCATCCGTCCCACATCCCCCATGAGGGCTCCAGCGCACCACAACTATGCATCGAACACAATCCTTCCTTCACCGTCAATGTCTGGAACGCCACCGCCGCGCGAAAACTCCTCGAAGACCACTACAGCTGGTTCCTGCCCACGTACGACAACTACCGCTACCCCATCCAACGCGTCGACGCCTTCAAGTACTTCGTCATGTATCACTATGGCGGCGTGTACATGGACATGGACGTCGCGTGTCGACGGTCGCTCATTCCCCTGCTGCAGACGCCAGGATGGTTCCCCAAAGCCGAGCCTTTTGGTGTCAACAATGACCTCTTCGCCGCTAGACAGGGGCATGGCATCATGCAGATGATGATCGAACGGCTTGAGAGTCGCGACTGGAATCTCATCTTTCCCTATGTCACCATCTTCTGGAGCACAGGGCCGCAGTTCGCGAGCGACATGGTCAGACGATGGTACAGCAAGGGCTGGGCGAAGCGCTACAATGCGGGCGACTCGAAGCAGGATTCAGGTCAGTCTAATACGAGAGTGATAACATCACATACACTGACACTTCAAAGATGCCGACGCGTTCTACACCCTCCCTCCCGAGTTCTACTCCGAAAAGTACACCTTCTTTGGCCACAGTCCTGGCGGCACATGGCATGGCGAAGACGTGGCCGTAGTGCTATGGCTTGTGGATCGACCTTGGGTGCTGCTTCTACTCGCAGCAGCTAGCACAACACCATTCATGATTGTGGCGATGAGGATGAGAAGATTGCGCCAAGAGACGTTCAAGGTATAACTTCCATTCATTATAGGACCAGGTCCCTTGCTCAATCTCTATCACAGACTCTGTGAGTCGACCCTCCATGGCGTCGTCATATGTACCAACATCATCTATGTATATACCCCAGTATCGAGCGATGGAAAGTCCTTCCTCCAAATCACGCGAAAGTCGGATACTGCGCCGAAAACACACTCAGACGATTGATCGAACCACAGATCTGCGCCGTATTGCCAGGACACGCCAAACGACACGACGTATCGACCACCAACACCGCCGACTGTGCATTCAAAGCGCTTCCGCAAAAGCACTGCGTCGCATTCTGCACTCCTGCGATGGAGAAGCCAGCGCCAAGGCATCCATTCACGCAGCCCTCGATGCTATTGCCGGCGTTATCATATAACAGAGTCGGTAATGCAGCGGGGGTCACGGGCTGTTGGTTGGTCCAGCATCCTTGATAAGTCATGCCGCCGGCATAGACGTTGTAATTGATGCCAGCATTTGGGACGCTCTCTTGTGCTGGATCGGGATATGGGTCGTCTCCTGCCTGAGCACGCGGATAGCCAAAGTCATAAGCACGATTGCGGGCTCCATAGAAGTTGTCGGTGAAGAGACGGGCAAGACCAGCAGGCGAGTTGAACATCTGGCCGTTGTCGTGGGAGACGTTGATCAGGTCGACGGTATCGCAGTTGTCCGATGCCGGGTCGTCGCATGATGGTCGCCAGGATTGGATAAAGAAGAAGAAACGCTCGTGGCGGTCAGCCCCGGTAGTATTAGCACCGCAATCTGAAGAGTGATCGCCGTGGTCGAGAAGAGCGCGAGCATACGCAATCTGCTTGTTTTGATAGTTTGCTTGGATGGCTTCACGACCCTGGTTGACAAGATCCACGCCGTAGGTCATGGGGTAGTCGCTGTAGTTGCTGTAGCCCGACCGGTACTCGTCGTAGTCTGGGCATGCGGCTGTCGACAATGGGCGATCCTCGTTCAGCCATGCATAGCTGTCTGGGTTACCAATCCAGTATGTCACAGGCACACGAACATTGAGATCGGGACCGACGGCTGCATATCGCTGGAGCATCTGTCCTCCGAGAGAATGGCCAACCAGAACGATTTGGTTCAAGTTGGGAAAGAGCGTTTCATCGGCGAAGTATTGAATGAGAGTGTCCAGCACAAAGTAGCTGGATGTGTTGGTGCTGGTGTAGGGATACTGGTTGTTCCCTCCCGCACTCCACTGCGACCCACTCCAGACAAGAGCACTCGTCTGACTGCCTCTCCCAGCCCGTAAGCCGTCGGTCCAAGGATACGCATAGTACTTGTCGTTTCCATTGGGAAAGTAAGGTGCCAAGACCGCGACAGAGTCGGCGTTGATGTTAGCATCGGAGGCCTTGGCCTGGGCGAGAGCATTCAAGGTGTCGGTCATATAGTTGTTGGGGTCTCTCAACAGTCCGTGCAAAGAGATGACCGCGCGTTTGATGTTGCTTTCAACAATGCGGCCTCCATTGGTGCCGTGGGAATAGTAGTTGATCAGCGTGAGGTTGCTGGCCCCAGTTGGGTCCGGGATCTTGAAAAAGGCGACTTCAGCGCCGGCGATGGTGGGCAAGTTGGCGCTGATGATGTCGCCAGCGTACTGCTGAGCCGTGACGCCAAGCGCCAGAGGCAGCAGAGTCGTGATGAAGCGCATGGTGAACGAGTGAAGGGGCGCAGAGGCAGAAAACGAGCGTCGTGTCGAGATTACGATTAGAAAAGATGTAGCAAAGGCGTCAATTCAACCTCATGGAGCACACTTGCACCCTCACGCCGTACCGTCCAGGTTGACCGCAAGACGAGAAGCACAATCACCACAACATCAGCCGCAGGGGAGAGGGTGGCGGACTTGTAGGCGGGCTCGACTTTCTCTGCAGCGGATGTCGGGCTTCGTCTGCGCGGCAAAATTTCGTTTACTCGTCAAGCAGCAAGGATCGCGATCCGCTCCAGATAAAGAACACGAACCAGCGGAGCCTCGATATTGATGGAGCCAGAGGGACAATTGATTGACCAGTGAGACTGAGGCGGTTACACAGCGTCGTCCTGTTGATTGCCCAAGTCAGCCAAAACCCAGCAGCCATGTCAAAATCTGGAGCGCCCCTTCCCAAACACGTTACACAGCGTCAGCCTTACCAGCCGAGAACAGAAGGAGAGACGCTGGAGAATGTAAAGAGCACGCGAGAGGCTAAATATACACAATGGAATTGCGCTTGTGCTATGCTAGCCTACACAGCTACCAGCGCAACTCTGAGGGGTGGTTGTTTCTATGAGATTACACTGGTTTTTCTCTCTCTCGACACTCCTTTCCCGTCGCGCTTGTGACTCTATGACAAATTCCTGCTCATGTCGCCCCGGATTCTCGCATAGTCCAAAAGACCCTCGATCTGTCCAACGGCCGAAATGGCAATGTCGCGATCCCACAGCTTCTTCTGGGCAAAGTTCATGACATCCTGCGCGGTGATGCTGCCAACCACACGCTCGACTTCTTCGGGTGACAGGCGGCGGCCAGTGGTGATGATCTGCCGGCCAATGTCCTCAGCCACTGAGGTGGTGCCGTCGAGGGAGAGGAGAATGCTGGCCTTGAGTTGCTGCTTGGCACGCTCGGTCTCGGCTTCAGTAACACCAAACGATAGGCGCGACCATTCTCGGAGCGTAAAGTGGACAAGATCGTCAATGCGAGTGAAGGCGTCAGTAACCAGGTAGATACCCCAGAGACCAGTGTCAGAGTATGAGGTGGAGAAGGACATGAACGAGTTGGCGAGCTTGTGGTCGTGGATGAAGGTCGAGAGCTTGGAGCCAAGGTATGGCGAGTTGCCCATCGAGCGGTCCCAGTTTCCAACGATAGCCTGAGTGACGAGCGCGGTGAAGTAGTCGTCATCCTTCCAGCTCACACCCTCGACGGCGATGGCGATGTTTGCGGTTGGCATGGTGTCGTCTCGTATCCGGACCTCAGAGCCAATGAAGTCGGGCTTCGAGTCGAGGCCGCGCACATATGCGTTGTCCTGTGCATTGGGGTTGTAGGCGGGGATGCCGGAGAAGTACTTCTCAGCAAGCTGCACCAGCTGGTCGTGTGGGACACCACCAGCACCAACCAGGACCATGCGGTCGGCAGTGTAGTTGGTCTTTATGTAGTTCTCCAAATCATTGCGAGTGATGCTCTGGATGTTCTCCTTTGGTCCAAGGATCGTGCGGCCGAGGGCCTGGTTCTGGAAAGCAGTAGCGTGCAAGTGGTCGAACACAACCTCCTCCAGCTGCTTGTCCACCTCTTCCTGCTCGCGAAGAATGACGTCTCTTTCACGCTCGATGGCAGAGTTCTCGAGCTTGCTGTTCTGCAGGATATCGGCGAGGATGTCAACGGAGGCTGGGACGTCGCTGTTGAAACTCTTGGCGTAGTAGACGGTGTTTTCGCGGGAGGTGTAGGCGTTGAGGTGGCCGCCCATGTTCTCAATCTCCAACTCCAGCTGGCTCTGACTCCGTCGCTGGGTGCCCTTGAAGGCGAGATGCTCGAGGAAGTGGGCGGTGCCGTTGGTCTTGTCGGTTTCGGCGCGGGAGCCAGCATCAATCCAGACGCCGACGGTGCTCGTTTGCGCAAAGGGGGAGTATTCGGTGGCGATCTGGGATGTAGTCCATCAGTCTGTGGATGCGTGGGGGTAAGTATTGGAGGCCAATGGCTACGTACGGTGAACCCATTGCTCAAGGTGGTGCTCTCGGTGGTGGAGGCATGGCTAACAGGAGTAGCCAGGGCCCGGCGGGTGATGTTGTTGGGCTTGACGGCGTTGATGGCGCGCTGAGCGCGAAGGCCTTGGTGCAGGCTCAGCGCGAGCCTTCGGGATGCCATGGCCGGGGAGATGGACTGGAGACGGCGGTGGTGGTGGGAGTGGATGGGATGCGCGTGAAGCTCTCAAGTTTCTACCACATGCTTCCTCCAGAAAGTCCTGAGCGGGCCGGATAGTTCCGCTTTGCAAATGGTAGGTAGAGGTATACCGACAGATAAGACCGTCACCACCACAACACGCGAGCAATACTATACCCCTAGTACTAAGCATAATACTCACTCCCATGCGAACTATCCCATTGACATTGCATCCTCGTTATACCGCCATGTATAGCGACACAACATGTGAAGTCCGTCTCGACCAATCACATGCGTCTGAATTCGCTGATGGCCCGAGGTCGCGACTTCCCGGGTCGACATGAGGCGGAAGGAACGCTTGCCGGGAATAAGCTCTGCCTTTGACATCGTCGACGTCTTCTCCTTCACCACCGCCGCCCCCTTCGACTCCTCCTCCACCGCCGCGACCATGGCCTCCGCCCTCCGATCATCTGTGCTGCGCCAGGCGCTGGCCGCTCCCTCCAAGCGCGCCTTCTCCTCCGCCGTCCCCGCCTTCAGATCGCAGCAATCGCACGTGAAACCATCATGGCACATCCACCGAGCTGCCTTCCAGACCTCTGCGCGACGACCCATCCTCCCTCCTCTCCCTCAGGTTATCCATGGCTCCGTCAATGACCCCGTCAAGACGCCTGAACCACACCCGTCGCATGGCAGCTACCATTGGACCGCCGAGAGGTGCGATACCATTCGAGCATGGGGTTTTGTGGACCGCGGGTGCTAATTGTTGACAGACTGGTTTCTGCCGCACTCCTCCCAATCACGATAATGCCATTTGCTGTGGGCTCCCTGAACCCGGTGTTGGACGGTACTTTCATTGGCCTAATCATCATCCACACCTATATTGGATTCCAGTATGTACAACTCCACGGCATCTATCTTCGTCCCTAGCCTAACTCATTTCGCCAGGTCTTGCATCACTGACTACATCCCCACCTGGCGCATGCCCACTGTCCGCAAGCTGTTCGACTGGGCCAATGTTTTGGCTGTCTTCGTGGTTGGCTGGGGTTACTACGAATTTGAGACCAACGATGTTGGCTTGACTGAGGCCGTCAAGAGAGTGTGGAGAGCTGGATCAAACGCAAAGGAGGTTGCTGAGAAGGCATCGTAAAATAGAGGATGAAGGAAGAGAGCGGAAGAAGGTGGACAAGCAAGACCACGAACTTGGGACATCGTGCGAAACCAAGAGAAGATGTGAAATGTATGCTTGGCGTGTCTCATACCCGAATCAAGAGGCGGCGTTTAAGTAGGAATACAGAATCAAGGATCTTTCAAACAGCACTCTTTTTCCCGAAGGCAGGTCAAGTGAACCGAGAGCAACCGCTAATAAACATGTGATATGGCATCCAGGTTGTGCTCATTCAACATTTACTTGACGCGCCAACGCACACACTGTAGTCAAAACGAACAGGCTCAAACAGCCGTAATCGAGTTCCCACGTACACCACTCGCCTCGGCCGGGTTAACACTACTCTGCCTCACATCCTTCACATTCTCATACTGCACATTCGTCGCTTCCCCAGCCTCCTCCCTCTTAAGAATGTTGCGACGGCCTCCAGACAACCTCAACCGATCGGCTGTAATGAGATCTTCGCCCTGAGGCGGAGTCCACTTGCTCGACTTCCACGGCTTGACTTCCAGCAAGAACATGGTGTCGATCTCTTCCAGGCTGCGGCCTGCGGTCTCCGGCAGGAAGAAGTAAACGACGAGCACAGCGAGGAAGTTGAATCCTGCGAAGAGGTAGCCGTACGAGAAGCCGATGTCGCGCTCGATGAAGGGCGTCGCGAAACCAATGAAGAAGTTGAAAGTCTTGGCACAAATCGTTAGCGTCAAATTCCGACATGTGCTCGATTTTGCGACTCACCCAGTTCGAAGCAGCACATAGTGCAATGCAAGTACTCCTATACCTCGATGGGTATATCTCCGAAGTCACGGCCCACGCCATTGGACCCCACGTACTCGCGAAGGCTGCGATGAACAGGCAGGCGAAGACAATCATCACGTAGCCAATGGATTGACGATTGTTGCCATTTTCGTCCTCGAGGGCAAAGTACCCCAGCGAAGCAAACACCATGAAGCATAAGAACATCCAGGCTGCTCCGATCCCGAGGCACTTCCTGCGGCCATACTTCTCAACCATGTAGAGGCCCGGAAAGGTGGTGACGACGTTGACGGCACCGAGGATGATCTGCGTGACGAAGGGGTTGCTGAGGCCAACACTAGAGAAGATGGTAGTTCCGAAGTAGAAGAAGAAGTTGGCGCCTTTTGTTTCAAAAACAAGCAGTCAGTGAGTCGGGCAGGTATCGAAGATGACTGAGACACATACCTGTCATCTGCTGCAACATCTGGATGGTCATGCCGAGCAAGGTCCTGTACAGCATTCTCGGACCAGTAAAGACCTCCCAGATAGAGTGCTTTCCACCCTCTTGTTCGATGCGGAGCTTTTCCTGCATTTCCTCGAGTTGCTTTTTGACAACCTTGTGCCGAGGGCTGATGCCGTAGAATTTCGCAATGCTGTTGGCAGCAGAGTCGATGGCTCCATGTCGGAATTCGTGTCGCGGTGTCTCCGGGAAGAGTAGTATACCCAGTCCAAGAACGATGGCCCAAAAGAAGCTGATACCAACGGGGATTCGCCATGACGCGGTTCCCTCGAGTGTCTCCGTGCCAAAGTTGATCAAGTAGGCGATGAGGATGCCAATTGTGATGAAAAGCTGATAACAGCAAACGATGGCTCCTCGAAGATGAGTCGGTGCAGATTCGCCTTGGTATGCAGGCACCATGACTGACAAGCCACCGATTGCAAGACCAGAGATGATTCTCCCCATCATCAGAATCCACCAATATGGGTATTCGGCAGCGATCTGGAAGACGTTGCCAATGATGAAGACTATGCACCAAAGACTGATGGAGTACTTGCGGCCAAGTCTGCGGTTGTTGGCGAGTGGGCCAGCAATAAGTGCACCAACGAGTGTTCCAATGCTGAGCATGGCGACGATCAAGCCCGTTCGGATGGCGCTCAAGGAGAGGTCCTGGCGGTTGTCGGCGAACTGATACTTGAAGTCGTCCATTTCCAAGAATCCGGAGATCTGGCCAGTATCGCTGCGGCCGGTCAGCACTGCATCTAACTTGATCGCGAGAACCACTCACTATCCAAAGCAAATTCCTCCCATTGATACCAACACGGTCATCATGAATGTTCTGAGCGTCAAGAATGGCACCTTGGAATCATCATCGAAGGCCTCTTCCTTGGGAATCTGCGGCACTGCTTGGCTGTTGCCGTCACCAAGGGTCTTCTGCGACGACCTCGATGATTGCACTATATTCGATGCCATGATTGGTATTGTGGAGCAGTTGGGGTCAAAGTCAACTCCAGCTGGAGCAAGAACAAGATGGAGATCACGGGGGTGGTATTTCCAAAAAGAAAATTTCTACCTGTTTTTATAGTACCATGTATCGAGACTACAAGAACGTCATCTACAGCCTTCCATGAGAGCCTCATCGGATGTCCACGCGACTAGCACGTTGCCAAGTGGCCAGCCAAGGGAAGACGACGAAGCCCAAAGAACGACCGCACTTGAAGGCAAAGCTGCGAGACATACTGCAGCAAATCGATGGCGTCGTCATTCCTGATCGATGTGGTATATTAAAGCCGGTTCGACCAATAGGTTTCGTTTGGACGACAGAAACACGTGAGTGGCCATGTTCAAGCATTGGGGCCACGGTCTTGGATGACGATGGACAAGGCCGCGGCGTCAAAATGTTCGCCCCTACTCCGGCCCGACTCTCTATTCTCGAGAAGATGGGGAGGATTCAAAGCTATGGCCGGCATTCTGGGCGAATATGGTGGAGATGTCTCCATCGAAACATGTTTGTGCCTTGTTTGGTGGAAGAACAGGAGGACGTCGTGAGAGAGCTTTGACGTTTTGAGTGCACAGACCATGCACACCGTCTCGGTCTCAACCCGGTTTCGTATCCAACCTCACCTCTTGTTTTGCTCGTCTTCTACTGGTCGCCTTCCTGCACTCAACGAGGTAAACGCGTATCGAAACCACATGATGCACGAGCATCAACACGAAGCCGCTCCGTGGCTCGATGAGGGCTCTCGAACAGAGTGGCACGAATACTTTCTCGGCTGCGCAGCCATGTCACGTTGCACGAGCTCTATCCGCGACAGTGGCTGGTCCTGTCTTTCCGCATCTGCGCATGTGTTTGAGAAAGAGCGGTGATCGCTTCTGGCTCTTCATGGAGCATGCTGATGATCTCTTCTCCGTCCATTGTATTCTTGCTCTGCATTGCCTATGTTTTCTTCGCGTTCTTGTCCGCGCCACGTTATATACACCTTTTGTGAGTTCAATCAACCGATTCAACTCTAGCAGAATACGTGCTAACATCTTAGAGATTGAAAATTTGTATACACACTCCCCATCTCTCGTTGCACCCACGCAGACTCGAGGTCCCCCGCGGCCAGCCGACGAGACAGCCTGATCATCCATGGAAGGCGCTGGACTCTTTACTTCTCCTTGTCTTTGTCAACTAGGCATTCTCACAAAGAACGAGAGTCCTTCTTTGTGAAGTCACAAAGGCAGTGAATCGATACAATGGCCTTGTCACTCGACATGACCCACGACACAAAGGGTTATGCGTCGGCATCAAAGGTGTATATATGTTCGACGGCGGACTGCCATGCGGACCGGTCTTTCTCGATTTTGGTTAACATATTCCCCTGAGCTGCTGTTTGGATACCTTCAGTACTGGTTACGAAGCGTCCAACACAGTATCTCGCCTTCAACTCTTCTTGAACCAACAGCACAACGAAACGATCAACACTGAAACGACCGACAACATGCACCCATCAAGGGATACCACAAGGTCAGAGTCTTCTGCGAGACCTGATACGCCAAAGTCTGCGAACTCGGTATTGACGTTCGCCGAAAGCCTGCGAATCAGCCGATCGCCATCCCCGACTGACGACGAGGCTGAGCGAATTTGGGAAGCAGCAAGAACGGCACCACCCATATTCCCTGATCTCAACCTGCAACGGGTCTACTCATGGGACTTGGCCAGGACTAAGCAGACCGAGCTGCCAGCTAACTTTCAGCTCAGTCGAGGCCAGCGGGCTGTCATTACAGACACCAAGGACAATGCAGGCAATCGCCAGTCTGTAATGCTCGTTTACGAGTCCGATGAGGATGATTTGCGAGCACACTCCAAACACAAATCCACACAGGCGAGTGTGTATGATGAGTGCGTGTCGGATTACTCGCAGTCCCTCGCGGATGGACATCGTGCCCCGTTGGATGATGAGCAGTCTCGTCTAGGACCTTCGATGGCCTTCCCCGCGGCCACCGATAAGGAGTCGAGCAAGGAGAGAGCCCACACCGACAAGGGTAAAAGCAAAGCGAGAGACCGGTTGTACAAGTTGAAGCAGGTCTTCAAGCTACAGCCTCTCGCAAAGCCTGGCACTCAGCCTTCTGGCTCTTATGTCATTGCGAAGAAACCAGTCCACATGCCTGAGGTACGGCCGGTTCAGATCTCGGCGCCTACGACTTCTTCTCCTCAACCGCATCAGCCGGCACCAAAGACAACCGTCGGCCATCCAGACCGAGCGACTAGGTGGGGCGACTTCTCCCAGTACAAACCTGAGGAGAATGCTACAGAACCATCTCGCTCGAGGCCAATGCCGCTGAATCTCAACAAGCCGTTGCCTGAGATTCCCCACCCAAGCTCTCATCTACGACTGACTCGGGCTCCAGAGGCATTTTCGTCCAGTTCTCGAGGCGCAACCTCGCAGCGGAAATCGACCAATCGAAGGACTGCCGTCTATGCTGGGTCGATCTTCTCGTCGCCAGATATGAGCGAGGACGATGAAGTCGTCGACAGGTACGCCTCTTCTCGCGATGGCTCACCAGCGGCTACACATACGCCTGCAACGTCTGGAGGCGAGGAGGATGTCGAGGCCGAGCAACAGGACCTGCTGAACCGTCCGAAACCACTTGGACGCTTGGACACCCAACAAGTCTCTATGCATCTGGACGCACCATACAGGTCGCCACAATTCAGCGACTCAGTCAATGATGAGATCGGACGTCTGGCAGGTGGTTTGCGTCGAGCATTCGATCCGGATGATGAAGACGACAAGAGCCCGATGGTCGATACCTTCGTCCATGCAGGCCATACAAGCTTCGTCATCACGGAGAAACTAGACGAGAATACCATTCGCTCGATGTACGGCACCCAGGAGCGAAGAGACGGCGACTCGCCAACGGATGGCCCTGCGAAGGCCTTGTGGGATCGTCTGACGAGCCAAGTCAGCGGTGGCGGTTGGAGTGCGGATTAGGACTCTGGAGCTTCTTATGAATCATGAAGAAGAGGTATTTTGACATTTGCACAACTTGATAGCGTTCATAGCGACAGCGAAGCGTTTTGCGATTTCTTCCACTTACATTTCAGCTTTTCCCCACCTATCATACTCCTTTCTCAGCCATGACCAGTAAACATTCACTGGACTATGAGCGCGTGCGGTCGAAGTGTTTAGCGTGAAGTCTAAAGCAGCCTCAGGAGAGACTGCCTTTGTTGCTCATCAACTTACAAACCTATACGTGAAGCAACACATTGTACGCCACGGATCTCAGAGTCCTCTGAACGACCATCTGGCTGACCGCCTAGTGGGTGATGTCTTCCCATTAGCCTGAGACGTTACTCAGACGTGTGGAGGTACCACTCTCTTGTCAATGTATAATAGCCAGCGCTAACGTCCACTCCTCATGATCTGTATATCATTATTTTTGTTCGACTGTCTGTATACAGTGTACTTTGTCTACCATGCTTTGTCCACGAGGGCTCGCCGACACGCTGTAGATATCACAGATCTCTCTAACGTTATACACGAGCCTGCTGCAGCTCGCTTTCGACTGCTATGCCCAATCTGCACTCCCTGTGGCAGACAAAGAGGGAGCCTACGATGAACAAGGCGTTGCCAACGTCGACTCAATGCTTTGTTCGACTTGTATCTCCCGCAACTCTGGACAAGCGCCTGAGCACTACACAGCAATGCCATCCAACCCTCCGATCAGGCCCAACAAGGCTTTTCCATGGTCTTGCGCAGCTGGTGAATGCCGTTGCCTCGCCAGTGACTTGGGATGAATGGCGTTGTGACTGGCGAAGATGCACAACACATTCATCCTGGAGTGTTGTGCGTTATCCGACAGATGTATAAATGTCGCGTTCGAGTGCTTGTGCTGGTCTTGATCATTTTCTATCAACCAGTACGAACACCAAGACGAGTCTCGAGCCCAAAAGGTATCACAGCATATCTCAGCAACCTTCGAGGATCTGTTACCAGCAAGGCTACGTTGATCGTAGCCCCAACCCAACCAAGATGACTACCGCTTCATCTTCACGAAGCATCCCAACACCAACTTCACACACAACCGGCCACAACACCCTCAACCAAGGCATCGACATTCCCGCAGAGGTGTTAAGCCACGCTCAGGAGGTCGAGAGCCTGCCAAACATCTCCAAGCTTCGGTCCGACCAGCACATCGCTCAGGTTGACATCCCCAACCTTGATGGCACTACAAAGCGTGTCATCTTGGTGGTCCAGCAGCAGAAGCCTGCCACACAGTCATCCGGTTCGCATCCTGGCGATGCTTCTTACTACGATGACTGTGTGTCTGACTACTCGCATGAGCCGCAATCTCACCAGTCCCAGGCTTCCCAGACTCCGCAGCCGTCTCAAAGCCAACGTTCGAGACGCACATCCGCAGACTATGGCCGCATGCCCGAGATTCTGGCTGGCAATGCAGCCAGAGCCCGGCGTCAAGTGGCCCAGTCCATTGTGTCTGCACCGCTTGGTGACAACTTTGTGCTCATGCCCTCTGGCGTGGGCCACAGAGTTGGTGAGTGGTTCAAGGTCTTGCAAGTGTACACTGTCAAGGCCACCACCAAAGGCAAGGTCATCGGCGCGCAGGCAAAGGCTGGCCTACGACAACACAGCAAGACCGCGGGATCTGTCACCGCTCGTCTCATCTCTCTCGGCAAGGACATTCTCACCGAATTTGAGAACTCTGTTGCGCAGACCTCGTCGAGTGCCTCCGTCCAGCAGTCTAGGGGTTTGGAGATCATTCACATGCCAACTCAGAATGACATCAACCCCGAGATCAAGATGTGGCCGGTAGAGCATGTCCTGGCCAACGACTTGCGCCGACGAGCAGCCTATGGCCTACCGAGATTCCCTCCTCAACAACCAATCTCGAGAAAGCCAGCTCCGTTGCCACAACATGGTCCCCTCGGCGAGATTGCACTTCCTGATGCCTCGTCAGACCGACGAAAGCCTTCCCGCCACCAAACGAAGTGGGAGGAGCCATTCGAGACGACGACACCTCGCGAGTGCAAATCGCAGGCAACCAAGGCCACGGTGAACCCTGCCTTTGACATCCAGTCGCAGCGAGGGTCATTGGGGGCAGTGACTGTGGCCAGCGGTGTCTCTCAGTCGACGGCGAAGTCTCCTGGCTCGACGACTCCGGCACCATTCAGGTGGAAGGTCTGAGGGGAGCCTGAGGCAAGTCTTGGGAGGTAGGTCTTGGGACGAGGAGGCCAAGGACAAAGATGAGGCCAAGCGGGGGTATACACATCTCATTTCCGGGTGGCGGCGTTTTGCATGGGCGGTAATCTCGATTTTCTTGGACAAAAGGGACTGTAGCATAGATAAAGGGAAAGGAAACAATCATCGAAACTCACTTACATTTCAATCTCACGTGACCGTCACATGTTGTTCGCATTTTCTAGAGCGTTCGGAAGGAAGGAGGGAAAGCCTGGGTGGTTGAGGTGGCTCGTATTAGGATAGATTGAATTGGCCCGAGCTTGGTGAGACACACGCGCCAAGAGGTGAGCCGTGTTGGGGACGCGTCACGAGCATTTCAATGCGAAACGCCTTCTGCGGTCGCAACTTGGACGTCCCAAAATCGTCCATATTGCTGTCGTCGCTAGAACGAGTCTTCAACATCGTCGTTTGAGTTTGCTGGCGGCAGAAAGGGAAGCTTTCGCCAAGTGGTCGACGCGGATTTAGCAGCGCATGTGAAGTGGGCGCCATCCCGATCGGGGCATTGAGGAGGCTCGGCAGTGGCTTCACTAGCGCCCGTTCACGATCCATCTCCTTCCTCGACGCCTTTCACGCTTCTAGCCTCCCACTCCACGTCGACCACTACTGTACTCCAATCCACCGGGGGACGGGGCACGAGACATATTGCTGCTGGCGCTGCAGCAACCTCGACGACGACGGTTTGGCCCTTGGGTGCCGCTTCCACTCGCTTCAGCAACAACATTGAACTGCACGCCAACGACGCCTGCACCTTCGAGGACTGCACGCCCGTCAGCACATCCATCGCACCACCCTCTGCGCATTCCCAACCAACCGACGCTGCCGCATAAGCTGCCTATTTCCAGCCAACGCTGCTCGCCGCCCACCACGACCACCGCTTTTCTATCCTATCCTCATTCTCATACCACGACCCGCGAGCTGTCGCATACTCTTCTCATCTCTTCCCCAGCCCGACAGGGTTGCTTCCCCGGATAACCTTCAGACATGGCTGCCGACTACCGGATCTCCAGGGCAAGCTGGGCCACACTATTGCTGTGTCTCCAGCTTGCTCAGGCCTTCTACATACCTGGTACGTATATGATTTGGCTGAAGAAGGCTTGTCGTGCTGACTACAGACAGGCTGGTCGATCAAGTCGTACGCCGAAGGGGAGCGCATTCCCCTCTTCGTCAACAAGGTCTACAGCGACAACACCCAGATCCAATATGCCTACTCCGAACTGCCTTTCGTCTGCCCTTCTTCCGGCAGACACCACCCCGGCACTGGCCTCATCTCTGGCTCCAACGTCGCCCTGAACCTTGGCGAGGTCCTGCGAGGCGACAGAATCACAGTCTCTGATTACGAACTGGAAATGGGAAAAGACGAGGAGGCACGCTATCTTTGCAGTCAAAAGGTGGACAAGGCTGGCTTGAAGAAGGCGATTGAAGTGGTCGATAAGGGTTACGTTGCTGAGTGGATCGTGGACAACCTACCTGGCGCAACCAGCTTTGTTACGGTCGATAAGAGCAGGAAGTACTACGCTTCTGGCTTCAAGATGGGCTATGAGGAGGTCTCGGTCATCACTGGCCAACCACGCTACTTCCTCAACAACCACGTCACACTCGTCATTCGTTACCGTGGAGCTCCTGGCAAGGATGGACAGCAGGGCAAGAAGGTCATTGTTGGCTTTGAAGTGTACGCCAAGTCAATCGAGGCGGAGAACCGCGATGCTTCTGGACTGCCGGCCTCTTTGCACGATGTTGGTGGCCTCGAGCTCAACTTCAACAAGACTTCCACCAATGCCACCACCATCGAAGATATGGACTTACCGTTCGATATCGATAGTGCACCCGACGACGCAACTTTGACTATTCCATACACCTACAGCGTATACTTCCGTGAAGAGGACAAGCTGGACTGGGCCAATCGATGGGACCTCTACTTTGTCAACCAGGAAGACAGTAACAACATCCACTGGCTTGCCATTATCAATTCGCTGGTCATTTCTGGTCTTTTGACGGCTGTTGTTGCAGTCATTCTGGCTCGCACTATCCGCGGCGACTTGAAAGGTTACAAAGAGAGCGGCATGGAAGAAGGCAAGCTACGGATTGGCAAGCGTCGCAAGGGCAGCAGATCGCCACGCAAGACGAGCGCTGAGCATGGTGGCCTACTCGAAAAAGTCGATGCTGAAGTGCAAGCCGATGAAAGTTCCGATGACGAGGTTCCCGAAGATATCACTGGGTGGAAGCTCGTCCACGCAGATGTGTTCCGTCAGCCGCCCCATGGTCTTCTTCTGGCACCGCTTGTTGGTTCTGGCATGCAGCTGGTCTTCATGTCGATTGGACTCGTGGCACTCTCCTGCTTTGGTGTTCTCAACCCATCCTTCCGTGGCGGTTTCATCTCCACCGGCTTTGCGCTTTTCATCGTTGCGGGTGTCTTCTCTGGCTACTTCTCGGCCAGAGTCTACAAAACGTTCGGCGGCAATAACTTCAGACAAAACGCCGTCGTCACGGCTACTTTGTTCCCAGGACTCCTCTTCGCCACGGTCTTCATCCTCAATCTCTTTGTCTGGGCTCACGCATCTTCCACAGCCATCCCGCTCGGCACACTTTTCGGTCTTGTAGCTCTTTGGCTTCTCATCCAGTTGCCGCTCGTCTACGTCGGTAGCTGGTATGGCTTCAACCGCGCCGGAGCGTACTCTCACCCCATCAAGGCATCTACCATCCCTCGACAAATTCCCCAACAAGCATGGTACATGCGCTCACTACAAACCATCCTAATCGCCGGTCTCATTCCATTCGCCGTCATCTTCATCGAGCTGCTCTTCGTCTTTCGCAGTCTTTGGCAAGACAAGAGCGGCTACTACTACGTCTTCGGCTTCCTGGCAGTCGTGTCGACGATTCTGATTCTGGCTGTGATGGAGACGACCGTCATTGCGGTGTACATCCAGCTTTGCTCAGAGGTAAGTTCTTTCAACTTGAACATTCGAACTGTGACTGACTTCGTTTTAGAACTACCACTGGTGGTGGCAATCTTTCTTCATCGGCGGCGCCTCGTCCATTTGGATCTTCCTCTACTGCATTTATTACTACATGAACCACCTCCACATCACTGGGCTCGTCAGCACGATGCTGTTCTTCTCCTACAGCTTCTTGGCATGTTTGGTCTACGGTCTCTTGACTGGCACAATCGGATTCTTGACCGCATACGCCTTTGTCAGAAGAATATACGGAGCCATCAAAGTCGATTGAGCACCCTCAAACGACCTCTTCAAACCTCCCAGCAACGGCCCGACTGCCTGAGCGTCCCATACGCAGAGCTCTCGAAACATGCCATCGATTCGAGACGTCTTCTGGGCCTGGCCAAAGTGCCTGGCAAGCGGTTAGCAAGTGCTGCGAAACCGCTCAACTAGCATTCTCATGGGTTTCAATCAAACCCCGACGATTTCGGTCATTATATGTTCGTTTGCGCATCAAATCAACGACGCATGACAGATGCATAGATCTGGAGTTCGCTGTGTTCGCCGTTGGCACCACTGGGGAGGAGCTCATGGACGCTGTGGGACGCTTTGCGGTGTGCTGGCATTACTGAGGCTTTGATAGACGAAGTTAATGATAATACGACTTCCGATAACACGCCTTTGATCACACTCTCCGCGAAGTCGGACGATGCCAAGAATGCCACGTCGCGAGAGAGTGTCAATGCGCAGATGGGGTTCCAAGGCGCGTTGAGGAGGAGTTTGAACCAGCGTTTTTCTTGGATCTTTTCGACGTATTTCAGGTTTCCGCCGCCGGTGTTTAAGGTCGAGATGAGTTGTTCTGCTGCTTCCTTCGTCCTGGTGGATTCTGTAGGGAATGGGCCGACTTCGAGCATGTTGACGTCGCCGTGCGTGATGTAGCCTGGGGCGGTCTGCGTTGTGGGGATGTATGCTACGCAGGTGAGGAGGGGGTTGGAAGGAAATTTCAAGGCGTATTCTTGTTCGATGTCGATGCCATTCTGGATCAGAACGATCGTCGTATGGCCCTCCGTCACAGCCGTTGCGATGATTTTGCTCGTCTCAAGATCGGGGAGGACTTTACTACATACGAGAATGTAATCGAAAGGTTCTTTTGGCGATGCTGCTGCTTCCTCGGGGGTCTTTACGACTCGAAATTTGGACGGATGGATGTGGATTCCTTTTCCGTAGAGGGCCGAGTCGATGTGGAAGCCTTCTGTTTTCGCTGCGTTGTAGTTGGAGCGGCAGACTGCTGTTATGTTGCAGCCGGCTTGGACGAGGACGTGGATGTAGACTGTTCCTACGGCGCCTGATCCGAAGACGAGGACGTTCAATGGGGCCATCATCGTTCGTGATGCTTGTGAAGAACTGGTGGCTTCCTCTCTCTCTAGCTTTAATGTTTTATTCTGTTGCTTGCTGAAGATGAACCTAGTTGCAGCTCTATCGTTACTCTTCAAGAAGTTGACAGAGAATGATAAGGAAGGATAGTGAGGAAGGATGGTAAGGAATCAAGTTGAAGATATTACTACTCTGGCGATGTCGGCTTCGCCTATCTTAGTACCTCTTGCGTGCTAATCACTGTCGCTCGTATAGCACGGAGACGAATACCCAGAGCATCGTGCTTCTGCCATCGATATCGTCCTTGACTGCCGTGTACAGTTGACCACAAGAAAAGATGTTCCTGGACGAAAGAAGACGTTGAGGGTTGATGACGAGATCGGATGTCTCCTTTCCACCAGATCGGCTCCATCAAACCCAAATTTGGCTGCACGCCTGCAGCAGAGCCCCTCCACGATGGATGTGGTAAATGCAGGGTGGGATGAACGACATCTCCAAGCTTCCTGATGACTTTGTCGAGCGATTGATGTTTGATATACTTCTTTTGCATCAATTCTACGTGCTCGTATGGTAATTTGACCATCCCTTGTCGATAACGTTTGGCAGCATTCCCTCGTCCTCTCGGTATATCAGCCATACCACACTAAAACGCGCCTTATCTTCTCGACTCGGAATCGCAAGCGATATAGTATAAGGGCACGTGGTGCTACAGGATCTCGCACATCCACCTCCCTCGCCCTCGAGTCATGGCAAAGTCAATACCCAACGACATCTTCCAATTCTCGCTCCACTCCGCCTACAACGCCGGCCTCAAAGACGGCGGCCCGCCCGTAGCCTTCCTCACGAACCATGGCAACCACGGCATCGGCGTCTTCGAAGACGAAGAGAGCGAGATGATCCAAGTAGACGGTGTAGCGTACAGCATCGACAAGGATGGCGACGTGGAGCCCGCGGACAAGGAAGACCAGCTACCTTTCGTCATGGTCACCATCTTCCAGCCCAACAAGCGTGTCAAACCGCCGCCCAGCACGACGAGCAAGAAGCTGAAAGAGGTGTTTGAGGCGGGCAAGAATACCACCATGCCGTTCCGGCTGCGAGGGGCATTCAAGTACATCAACACCCAGCAGCAGACGTATTGGGATGTCAAGGGGACGATTTTCGGGTACAGCATACCGACGTGGCAGAAGGCGATTAGTGGGGACGGGCTGCAGTGCAGTTTTCTGAGCGATGACAAAGAGCATGGCGGGAGGGTGATTGATTTCGAGACGGGCAAAGAGGCGGTGCTGGAGTGGGCGAAGTGTGGGAGGTTTCATTTGGGATTTCCTCAAGATGAAGAGTTCGAAGAGCTGCGGCTATGAGTGGGAATGGAATCATCACTCTGAGTGAATACCATGAATAAGCATTTTGTGCGAAATCACAGTACGTTATGACTCTGCCAGACTAACGTCTTCTCATGCCTCCTCTTTCCGCTGTTCTTTATTTCCATGGCGCTCCTCTAGTTTGATTGCCCTCTTCCTTTGGCCCTGTCTCTCAAAAACCTCGACGACGGACTCCTTATCAGTCGCCCGTTCTCACGCCGTTCATTTTCACGACCCTCCCTCTCAGTACCCGCCATCTCACGCCCCTCCCTTTCACGCTTAGTCTGTTCAAATTGTCCGCGACTTTTTCCATGGCCGCGATATCGGTGGCACCAAACGGGGTCGTACGAGGTTGCAATGCCATTCCGATCTTGTACTCCACCTCTTTTCTGCCCAGTAACGTTTCTCGTGTTTCGCCTGCTTGCACATCGCTTGCTTGCGCATCTCGCACACCCTTGTCGGTTACCATGACTTCCTCCAGTTGCTCGTTCAGACTCTCTAGCGCGGGGCGTTCGTCTGGATTGATCAACAAGCATTGTTCAACCTTGTTGCAGATATCCATGCCATACTGCCTTACAGTGTCTTCTCCGAAAGGCTCATACACGGTTCTGTTGGCAATATTTCTCGTTAGGCACCGCACCGGGATTTCGTCATCTTCATAGCTAAGGCACATGAGCGATCTCATTATCATTCCGATTCCAAAGACGTTTGCTGGAGACAGGACTTTGAAACTGTCGACCGGCTGCCGGGATGTGTCGTCCACCCATCGGATCTGCTCCGGTGCCTTGAACCCTCTCGTCCCTTCGCCTGTATTGTATAGCACAGGATTGGTAGTATCATCTTCGCTGGCGAGGATGGCAAGGCCGAAATCCGCAAGCTTTGGTCGTGGGTACAAGGGGAAGTCGCCAGGATCGGGCACATCAAGGAAGACGTTACCCGTCTTCAAGTCGCGATGTACAATCTCTTTCCAATCGTCGACAGCTTCGGTCGTACTTCCTTTCTTCATGAGTAGGCCCCCTTCAACGAGCGCCTTGAAGAGGACCCAAAGGAACGGCAGAGGGACATAGCCCTGTTGCAGATGATAGGCGGAGAAAACATCGTTCAAGTCGCCCTCGCCGCAGTACTCGACATACATGCGCATGATTCTTTGCTGAAGGGATATTCTCGGATACGATCTCACACCAACCACAACCTGAGTATCTGAACGGGACGACAGTTTGGCCTGTGTGAACCACTCAACAGGCACGAGTTCCTTCTCGTCCGACGTCGTGGCAGGCGTCTGTCCCACCCAATTGGTTGTCCTCGCCCATGGGAATTCCTTGAAATAGGTGTTCTTCTCCACGATCCGGTCGACAACCGCGTTGTTGGCATCGGTACGGACGCACAGCCTTATCTTCGTTGTATCGCTGCCCCCGGCAAATGTTTTGGCGATGTTCCAGGGGTGCACGAGGTCAGCAGTCCACCGGTGGTGAGTAACGGCATAATACCCGTGTTTGCGAAAAAACGACGTTTCGCTAGTTGCCGAGTCGCTAGTCGGCGAGTCACTGTCCTTCGGAGTCAAATGATACCGCTTCTCCAAGGTCGGTGGGGGCGGGTCCAATGGTATGCTTCCCAAACCGACAGATGGCGCAGTCCTTGCACGCTCGCGAGCCGTGTAATCTGCAGCTCGGAGCATCGAGTCGGGGTATTTTCCTGCGACCTTGTTGCCCTTGAAGCGCGGTTCTTTGATCGTGCTCGTTGCAGCAATCGAGGCTGTAGTAGCACTCGGTCTGAGCTTCTTCATGATGGTCGCCATGGTCTTCAGAAGTTCATCGAGCCTCATGCGCTCACTAATTCTCTGTATCTGGTCCTGTCGCCAATCCAAGTTAGCATTGATCCAGGCAAGACGGCTCGCGAAGCCGCCAAATCGATTTCGCAGCCTCTCGTGGAATGCCACAAGCCCGTTCCGTCTGATTTTGAATTGCTTTAATCTGTCTTCCAGAGTTTTGGCCTGACTGAATAGGAGTGTGCCGCCTGTATGTTGTCTTGCCCCGTCAGCGACCTCTGTCGGAAGGGTCGTCTCCAGAGGGTTCAAATCTGCATTGATGGTTTCGATATGCTCAATGAGAGCCCGTGCATCTCTGACGAAACTGTTGTAGAGGGGCTCATTATAGGCGAGGTGGTAGTGCCACTCCTCGATTTCGTCTCTTAGCCGCTCTGAGCGGACGTCAGCACCGATGAAACTATGCATTCATTTTCTAATTGGACAACGTGCCTCTCTGTGGATGATTTTCTGGCAGGCCCAAGTGCTCTGAGAAGAACCGGGAAAAGCTGCGTCTGCGCGCGTGGTCGGCCTGTGCAGCGGCATCGTTGGCGCTATCCAACGGCTCCTCAAAAGTGCCTGGCCGCGGTCTGGAGTCGTTTGGCCTGAACATGTTGTGTTGAACAAACGAATTTGGGAGTTATCAGACGGCAACGGTGGACCCCGGTCTTCGAGAAGGTCTCTCGTGTATGCAAGGATGGTCGACTACCGGATCCGGAGCCCCATCTTTGTTGAAGGAAGACTTTTGTTCTCTTTGTTGTGCGACAGGCCTTCCACAGTCCTCTCTGAGAATTTAGCCAAGAGCAGACTGTGACAGATGCAACAGGCACATGCATTGTCATGCATGCTGCGGAGATTAGACAAATCGGGTATCAGCTTGCAGGGAAAGGAGAGACTCGTGGGTGTTACCCAAGAGGGGCACAGTCTTTCCACATACAGTTGACTTCTAGTATCATGTATCTTGCATGACAATCTCCACATCAGTCGAAGGTGGATCAGAAGCACCGGGTGCCTGATCCTCACTTCTTTTCTCCCAAGTGTCGGATGAAGAATCCTGCGCAAGTTCTAGGCGGTATTGATCCGCTTGGTACCAGAGGTCATGATAGTCGTCGGCTTCTTGAACCCCTTTCGCAGCGCGATTGAGGTAGTCCACGGTGTTGATGGCGCTTTCGACTTCTTCCAGAAGAGCATCCAGCGTCTTTCGGTCGGAAGGACGCCATTCGATACATGACATGATGAGATCTCGAAGAGTCCTGCTGTAAAAGTCATCCGCATCGTTAGTGGTCTCCCACTTCTCCCGTTCATCGAGAAAGTCGGGTTGTTGGTGCCTGTGCAAGCCACCGATCAAGAGAGAGTACATCAGCGCCCCGATGCCTACCGCGAAGTCAGTTTTCAAAGAGTCAGTTGTGAGATCTACTTTCAGCTCACCGTAGACATTGGTATAGTCCAGCAGTTGCCAATCGTCCATCGGTTCGTTAGTCTTATCGTTCACGTATGGCATTTGTTCTGGGGCCATATAAGGCCTGGTACCAGCACCACGGTTGTAAAACTGTGGATTCATGGGATCTTTTTCATCGGTCTGAATGGCCAATCCAAAATCACCCTAACTCAAATGTCAACAAGTATCGATCCGGGACACATAGGATGTCTTACCATCTTCGGTGTTGGGTAACGAGGAAAGTATGATTTCGCTGCATCGTCCATGAACACGTTACCTGATTAATGGTCAGCCACCTTGACATCAGATGTGTGAGATCGTACTTACGGGGCTTGATGTCTCTGTGAACAATCTGCTGCCAGTCCGGATCCGCTGTACGGATCCCACCTTGTCGCATGACAAGGCAACATTCGACCAGATGTTTGAAAATCATCCACAATGTTGCTTCTGGGACGAAATGGGCTGGTGGCTCAAGATAGCCCTGCTGGATCGCACCTAGGTCTTCGAAGGAGCAATACTCAACATACAGCGATAGAACCATGTTTTGGTGATCTTGGGACCACGCGCGCATGCGAGCGAAATGCTTGTCAGACACATTGCAGCATTTATTTCGCAGCCAGAATTCGAGCGGTATTCGGTTCTGGAAGTCTTTTGAATGCCCATGCCATAGATCTGTACTGAACCATTTGCGGTAGTCCATGTAGTCATTCTTTCGGACGATGCGCTGTGAGAGCAGACGTCAGTATCAACAAATGGTCTCCCTCATCTGATAGCCTTACATCGATGACTTTACCGTGTTGATTGTGCAGGACCCAGAGCCCAGCTTGGGATATTCCACCGCATAGATAGATCACTGCTTCCCACTGGCCCATGAAGTGATTAGGGTCGAGAGGTTCGTGAACAAAGTTTTGCTTCAGCGACTCTACGCGCCTCTCCCGAGCATCGTGGGGGCGCATCATCTTCCGTCCTCCATCTGCCTTTTGCAAAGCCTGCTCCGCCACTTTGATCTCCTCAAGACGTTGTTCCTCCAGGTTTCCACATTCTCTCAATAAGTTGCGGACCCAGACCAGTCCGGCTTCGGTTGCATGATTGAGTCTAAGATCCAAAATTTGTTGTGCTTCTCGTCGAACAACATGTGCAACGTCTATAACTGCTTCAGCCTGAAGCATGTAGCGTTTGATGCGAGGAATATTCGGGTCCGGCCTCGTGAGCTGTTTGCCTCGTTCAACTTCATCGCGCACAGACTGAAGCCGCTCAATCTGTTCCTCCAGGTTTTCCAATTTAGCCTCAAGTCGCCGGTGGAATTGCAACAAGTTATCGGCCTCCCTGTTTGTCATTGTGCGATACTCTGCGCGGACAGTTGCGATCAACGACGCTGTGATAGTCAGGACATGCATCCGTACACGAAGTGTAGAGACCGACTTATGGTCAATGGGTTTGCTTTGTCGCCGTATAGACCGTGCCATTTCAGTTCGTAATTATGAAGACTCCAGTACTCCGGGTCCATGTTTACGATGGGGGGCATTTTCGAAGGTTCATTCTGTCCTTACAGGATACTCGTGGGTAGATGAACTAATGATTGTCTTTGTTCTCGCTGACCCGAATCCGGACGTTGCCTCCATTGTCTTCATGGCTCATTATGTAGGCGAGTCACACCTAGTCACACCTCTTCGACATGCAAAACGCATGAGGAGTAGTGACTGTGGATGCGGTGTGAGAAAGAGCCCATCGTCGTTGGTCGTGCTGTCACACGTTCTTGCACTGAGCAGACGGCTGAGAGAGGACCCGCGTCTCCATGATCGCATATGGCATTCGTGGCCGGATCGAATCTCAGCATCGACATCTGAGCTCAGACCAAGACGGGGCTCGATGATGCTTTACGGAGGACAGACATTTCATCATTGCAAATTGGAGATGATCGAGCGGGAAAGGAGGTGCAGTCAAATTGACGCGAGATTTAAGCTCCGCGCTAGTCCTCGCTAGTCGATCCCCTGTTTTTCCTCGACTGATGACTTCACGCACCGCCCTCTCTTGTCCATGTACAACCCCCGATTTCCATCCTCTCAGAAAGCCTAGACTTGCACTGAGATAATTGATTCGAGACTTTCCATCTCCGCTGCGTGACATTCCCTGCTCATATCACCGTATTTACTCGGAGCCTCCATCCAGATCAACATATCGAAATCAATCCGCAAAATTAAGAAGATTAACAAGACGAATATGATCCGATAGGGAACTTCTATGAATGAGAAAGAGATATCTTGACAACTGCATATTCTAGGAGTCCTTAGGGTCTATCAATATATATCCCTCTTCTCCAATAAGACCGTCTCAATCCTTCGACAATTTATTCAACCTCCGAATCTCCGACCATCGCGACCACTTGCCCATCTCCAAGATATTCATCCGTCTCATATGCCCCGACGGATTGCCAATAATCACAGGTTTCCATTCCGAATCGAGAGGGTGCCATTCCTTGCTCGGACGTCCTGCATCGGCGGTGTAGCTGGGAATGACTCGAATGTTCTTCCACCTGGTGACGGCGATGAAGAAGAGTAGTGTGACGCCGAGGAGGATACCGGCTACTATTGCCATGGCGTATTGCGCGCCGTGTGCGTTTGTCACGCGGCCGGAGACGACGGTCGCTGCGGCGGCGAAGAAAAAACCGAGAGATTGGGCTGCGAAGAAGCCAGCGCAGACTCGCGGGAAGGATGAGTAGCTCGTTCGTCGCCTTTTGGTACTGGAGGACATCGATTGAGCCCGATGCTTCGTGTTGGCTCCAGGTTGAAGGTCGCAGGTATCAAAAGTCTCCATGATGATTCCAACACACTCGGCAATTCCAAGGTCGGTGAGGAACCCAACGAAACCAGCGAAGATTATGCATGCGCTCCAGTGCAGAGGCGGTCCAGATGCAGTCAGACAGTAGCCCAGTCCAGCAAGCGGGAGGAGTAGTGAGAACAGAAGACGACGCAGGAAGTGGGAACTCCGTGTGATGTGCGTACGCATTGTCATACTGTCTGTTCGTGGAGGCGTGATCCTCGCACGGCTGAACCAGGATGCCTTCGCAAGAGGCATTGCGAGAGCTGCGCCGAGTGGTATGGCAAGCGCTGCAAGCCCAACCCATTGCGGCTTCCATTCGTAGTCTCGAGACAGCAAGGCGCCCAAGAGCTGTGTTGATTAGCAGTGGTCGCTCAAACTTATCACTGGGGAACTCACCAGAATGACGAGCGTCAACTGCGCATTGATCCAAGCCAGATAGATCATCATGACGAAGAATCCAGCCTGGAATATCATGCGTTTCGTGAGAATGAGACCAGCCCACACTTCTTCCCACCACCACGCAGGCCCATCATTGGAGATGTGAAGTTTGACTTCTCCTTTGGCCACTCTTCGTCTGATCTTCTCGGGATCGGTCGAGTCGACGAAGTGGTGGACTGAATGGCGATACACGCCCTTTCTCGTCTCAGGTGCAATCACGTTGACCAGCAAGAAGAACGCCAACAGCATGATGACGATCCAGAATCCCTAGCTCGGATCGAGTTTCGAAATGATGCATGCTCCAACACAGAAGCCGATCGAGAGCGAGCTGCTGAAGCAAAAAGTCCAGAGACCAAGCCATACTCCAACACCACCGCCTTGTCTTCGGACGTCGTCATATGCAACCAGCTCTTGATGTGGGCGCTCCGACATCAAAGAGGCTCCAAACAGATCCCAGAGCGTGGGCAAGAAGTTGATGTTTGCGAAGCCAAGAGCTAGACCTGTTAGAGCTCGAGGTAACAGCAGCCCAAATCGATACAAGATTCCTGGATCGTGTGATGTAGACACAGTAAGGGCCTGAGGTATGTGGCAGGGCAGCATCAGTGCAAAAGCAACAAGCACATGAGGCCGACGGCCGTGGAGCAGAGGAAGCGGCCAAAAGATTACCGTAGTGATTCCCATACCGGCGAAGAGCCTTCACATGTTAGCAATGTCGTCCCGTCAATGCATTATTCCACCTACAGCGTGTTGCCAAAGATGACCCAATGCGATTGGTCTCCCAGCTGATACTGGATACGAGGAACTTCACCGGCCTGCAGAGACAATGAGTATGAAGGAATCCGGTATAACGCTATGGATTGACTCACGTAGATTCCAGCAATGAACCCCGTAAAGATGGTGTTCAAGCATGCGATCCACGCCGTGAGCCGTTTCCTGCCCATCGTCCAATCTCGAGCAATGGGTCGATGCTTGTGAAATTGGTCTGCGTTGAACATGTCGCCATCCTTGAGGCTGACGTGCGTTCTGCCATCAAGAAGTCAGCCATACTCTACAGACCCGCCGTTAAAACAGCCAGTGGACCTACTTAGAGGCTTGCGGTCTGGCAAGCTCTGATGGAGGCGTAGAGTCGTCATCGTCTGCTTGCTCGGCTCCTATATCCCTCACAGCCGCGCTGTCCGAGAATGGGTTTTGGTGGTCAGGTGAGTGTCCAGGCGATTCGCGAGTCGGTGACTCGTTCGGTAGTGGTGGCGATTGGGCTTCATGCAACGAGAAAGCTCGTTCTCCTCCGGCTGATTCACCACTCTGCACATGACGTTGTAAGAGATGCGCACGCACAACGCGGTCTTGCTTCCCTAAAGATCGACGAGCGTTTCGTACCTGAGCTGGCGGAGGTGAGGTAAGTAACTTATCGTATCCTACGATACTTCTGCGTACACCTGGTTGCGCAGCAACCGACTGGCCATGGTCGTCGTAAAAGGAAGCGGCGGCACCGTAGTCAAGAGGTCGCCCAGCTGAGGAGTCCGAATGCCTCCTGGTGAACTTTCGGCCGTATGCAAAGTCACGAACGGTCGAATCTCCAGGTGGCGGAGTATATAACTTAGGTGGCCTGAATGAGGTGGTCCCGCGTTCAAGATTATGCGAATGCGACTCCTGAAATCGGCGCTTGCGTGACTTGCCACTCTGCGTGATGACTATCGGGAGGGTCTCTGAGGAGACTCTTCCACGCGAAGTCGAGGGTGTATTAGATGATACATCGCCTTTGCGAGATTGAGAGGAGTGTGTCGAAGCTTGAGGCGACAGTCGAAGTGGTCCACCACTCATTCCTGACTTCACGGATCCCGCTTCCTTGAGAGCAGATGTCGCTCCGATCAGCACACCAGCAATGTCATCAGCTCGACCAGATTTGGCTGCGTTTCTTGCCATTGTGAGAGCTTCCTGCATGAGGTTTTCGAATTCGCTGACGGCATGGTTGAGAGATTGACCACGGTGACGAGCATCAGCGTCGCTCTTGCGGCGCAACCTTGACTGATCAGGCGAGCCTCGTTTACAACGCGAAGGAGACAGTGATTTGGACGGAACCTTGCGAGGGTTGAACGAGGCATCGCAGGACTTGCAGCGCGGTCGTTGCTCGGACGATGAAGAAGACTCCGCATTTCTCGCATCTAAGCTCGGCTTGGGTTTTGGCTTCGTTGTGCCGTGGTGTCTTTGTCTTGCAGGTTTTGATGACCCTGAAGAGTTTGAGACTTGACTTGGCATTCCTTTGAGTTCCTCCTGATTTCGGTAGTCCAAATTCTGGACTTGAGCCCGCGATGACAATGGATTCATGACCAGTCTTTCGTACGAAGCTGGATCTTGTCGAGGAAGCGTTGCGGGCATTGGATCTTCACCACCCGACGTCTGTGCGCTGTAGTCTGAAGAAGCATAGAAAGCTCGATATGAGCTTGGATCGTCTGCAGGCTGCGTGGAAATGGCAGTATGCTGAATCCCGTTGACACTAGGGGCGGGCTCTGGATTGGACAAAGATGGCGCTGATGTATCTGTAGGTAAGAGTCGAGTATTTGCTCCCAGCGTATGTCCGAGAAGTTCAGCTGAGGTATTTGATGGAGGAGGATTCTGCACGTCACTCAAATGTGTCTCCGAGGGTTGGATATCGAGCCAAGGCAGCTTTTTCCGGACGGCGGTTGGAGTCGACCTCACAGTATTGGCAGTGACTGCTCTCTTGAGAAGACCAGGACCATTGTCTCTGCCATGTCTCTGCTCTACATCCCTCTTCGAAATCGATGGTGCACGATCGTTGGTGCTTCGGCGAAGTCCTCCAACATTGGTATCCGCCGGCGGGACCACGACTTGAGACGACATGATCTCAAGTCGAGCGATTCATCGGCAAGCCTAGGCTTTGTTCAAAGGCGTAGATTCACGCAAGGGCGGATAACGGGCGAGGTGCGTCGCACGATGATGGAACGAGAGAAAAGAGTGACGGCCAGCGTCCTCGAGTGCGAGTCGGTGAGTCAGGACGGGTATGGATGTCGATTCGGCGGGAGGAGATCGAGGGATGGAGGAGCTGGCCAGTGACTGAGGTGTCGAGGGTGGATGTTCGTAGCGTGAACCTGCAGATGAGAATTCAAAGTGCATTAGGCGCCTTGATCTACATAGCTCCTGCCACCACGAATTAGCCAGTTTGGCACGGCAACAACAGCTGAGATGTTTTAGAGCGTAAAGCGGCAGAGACGTAATTGCTAGAAGAAGGTTGGAAAACTCTTTCATTGATTTCCATAGCTGTGTCGCAGAGGATTGCCATACGATTTTATCACTCTTCATACTTCACTTTCCCGGCACTGACATCTGGATAGACGTCAAACCGCCGCTGCGTATAAATAGGAATGCCTTTCCTCGTCTCCTCAATGGTGTCGCCATCAAGGTCGGCATAAGCGATACCCTCCTTTTCATCCAGCTCAGACTGGATGGAAGCATTGGGATTCACAAGCAACGAGTGGCCCCAAGCATTGTAGTCTGCGCTCATGTCTCGTGCAGGACTGCAAAGCCCGACGTAGATCTCATTGTCAATCGCCCGCCCCCGTGCCAGTAACTCCCAATGCATCTCGCCAGTTGTCAGGTTGAAAGCTCCAGGGTACAGCAAGAGGAAGCAATCCTTTCTAGCTGCAATCATTGCAAGCTCAGGGAAACGGATGTCGTAGCAGATAGCAATGGCGATCTTTCCGTACTCGGGTAGATCAACGATCGTCACCTTGTTGCCCGGCGACAGCACTTCGCTCTCGTGGAACGAAATCTTGCCCGGAATATCGATGTCGAACAGATGGACCTTGCGATGTGTTGCAAGGAGCTTTCCATTCGGATCGAATGTCAAAGATGTGTTGTAGTACTTCTTCGTCTCTTCCCAGTACTCGGGTATGCTTCCTCCTACAAGATATGCCTTGGCTTCTTTGGCGAGCTCGGATAGCGCGTGGAAGGACGGCGATTGCTCTTTCGTTGGGGGAGAAGGTAGTAACGTTTCGGCGTAGTTGGGAAAGTGTTTGGTGCCGTATGGAGAGTTGAAGCATTCGGGCAGGACGCAGAGAGTCGCGCCTTTCGAAGTTGCTTCCAAAACCTTGGAACGTGCCCTTGCCAGGTTGGCCGATTTGTCTGGTCCAGTGGACAGCTGGATCAGGGCCAGCTTCAATGGTCTCTTCAACAGCTTTGCCATGACGAATGTTGTTTAGAGGAGATGTTTCCAGCAAATGTCAAGTCCTAGCAGAGCAGGACGTGAAGTTAAGAAGCCGTTGCCAAGACCTTGTCGCTCATCCGACCGGCCAGATAGGGAAGCGATAGGCTAACGCTCCAAACCACTCACTCACTGTCACTCTCTCACGCATCAACCCGACCACGAAGCACGTTGTTGCTTACGACGTATGCCATCGACGAAATGGGCAGCGAGGCCATGCCGGTGTGGATGATGCTGCGATAGCCTGTTCACCATGGCCTTGAGGATGCCCACTGAAGGCTCTGTACTGTCAGACACGGTGTTGAGAGGCAAGATGGAGGCGGCATCCACCTGCAGAATGGCGCGTACTCAGTTCTTGCACACTGTCGACAACTTGCCGAGGAAGTGCTGGTCTGATAGCGAGAAGACTTGCCCAAAATAAAGGTAGGTCCAAGGCTGAGTAAGTATACCATTTCCCACTTTCACACCGAGCCTCGTGACGACCGAACGTGTCACCGGCACATGTCTGTCACGGCCTTTCTTGCCCGTGTCCAGCCAGCACACGTCCAGATGGCAAGGCGTTGGCCGGAGACGTCTTGATCGCAGCGGAGCCGTGCCAATTGGCACAAAGACGAGCCCAGAAAGTCGCAGAGATCAATGACGACATCTTGGTTCGCTCCGCCACTGCAAACCTACGCTGTCTTCACGTCAACTACTCGAACGGCCGAGTGCTTCGCGCTCACGTCAGTTCTAGGCAAGCGTTGCCTGCTGTACATTAGCAGAGAATATAATTGTATATAATCCAGGGGAGTCGCAACTGGTTCGGGCGCCCAGTCCCCAAACCCATCAACGATTTATAACCATGGCGGAGAACGGTGTCCAACGCAACAGCTTGAAGGAATTTCTAGCAGTACGTATCGACGCAGAACTTCTTCTTCTCGTCTAACATCTGCGCAGTCAATTGCAACCATAAGAGGGGATCTGTCCAACATCACCGCGCCCCCATTCGTCCTGGCCGACAAATCGACCACCGAATTCCCGCGATATTGGATCGAACACCCTGATCTATTCGTCGCCCCCGCTCACGAACCAGATCCGGCCAAGAGGATCCTTGCGGTGTTGAAGTGGTTTCTCTCTAGTTTGAAGGGCCAGCAATATGCAGGGCGAGACCCCAAAGATGGCGTGAAGAAGCCTCTGAATGCATTTCTTGGCGAAGTCTTCATTGGCGAATGTGGATCCAAGGACGACGACACGAAACTCATTGCTGAACAAGTCAGCCATCATCCACCAGTTACTGCGTGCTACCTTTGGAACGACAAGCACGGGGTGCACGCAGAGGGTTACACCCGCCAGGAGATAACCTTCAACGGCTCTGTGAACATTCAGCAGATCGGTCATGCCATTCTACACATCGACGAGTTCGACGAGGACTATCTCATACCACTGCCGAACGTGAGAGTCCAGGGAATACTCACAGGCTCGCCTTATCCGGAATTGCAAGGGTCACACTCCATTATATCTTCGTCGGGCTACATCGCAGACGTCGATTTCACCGGCAAGACATTTCTTGGACTTAAAGGGGAGAAGAATCATGTCAGGGCATCGGTCTTCAAGACAGAAGACAGAAACCATAAAGATCCCATCTTTACCGCAGAAGGCAGCTGGTCCGAGAGCTTCGAGGTCAAGAATGAGTCCGGCGAGGTGATCGACACTTACGATGTGGCCTCAGCAGAATCGACAGACTTCCGCGTACCGCCGGTGGAGAAACAAGACCCGTGGGAGTCTCGCAACGCATGGGGCGGCGTCATCAAGTCGATACAGTCGGGCCACATGCAAGGCGTGGCAGACAACAAGAACAAGCTGGAGAACGCGCAACGAGCACTACGAAAGAAGCCCGAGACGAGCGAAGAATCATGGCGGCCGCTGTTCTTCAGTAACGAGACGAGGCATCCTGTTGCGGAAAAGCTGCTGAAAGAAGTCGGCGAAACGCTGGACTCGGAAAGCACTTGTGGTGTGTGGCGATTCGATCGAGGAGCAGCGGAGCGTTTGCAAAGGCCCTGGCGAGGTGAACTGACCCCCTACGGCTGAGAACGTTGAGGACGGGCGAGGGCTGATGTTATGATAACGATTTACACGTGCTGGTCGGCGCGGACATTTAGAGATAGAAGAAGGCACTAAAGCAGTGCAGGTCGTCTAGGCGAGGCGTTTGGGACAGGGATCCATAGCCGGATCCTGGTACAATGTATTTTGCCGGAGCAGGGCTGTCTGAAACGCACGCCACTGCTTGACCTCAATTTTGTGTAGCCACCACTTGCTGCTGGCCTGGCGGAAGATCCACCCATCTAGATCGGTTAGGCATCCGTTCGCATCCAGCGTGAATTTGCTGTTGGTGCCTGACAAGGGATGCAAGCATGAAGCCCTGAGTCCGCCACGGCCAGCTTCCTGCCGACCCTCAGCTGCACCTCACCTGTTCCTCCATCACAACAACAACACCCACACCGTCCCCACCGACGACACCTCCCGCCCGCCTGAACATCGGTGATCGCCGCACAAAGTAACAGAAATTGTTGCAATGGCGGTAGCGTCACACAGAACACCATCAGGCGGCGACGTCGGCGCAGGTGGAATGCTTTTTTCGCGCAACATCCCTGTGCCATCCAGGCGTCTTGGACGAGTCTTGACTGTAAGGCCGGCCGCGACCCACGACTCGCGGAATTGCACCATCTTTTGCCATGCCTGCCGCACGAGAACTACTGCATCTACCCGGAACCGGGCCCGATCATGTCCTCTCTATCGTCAACAGCAGCTTCCCGACTCCGAAAGAGCCCCGTGGCGGCGGTGAACTGTGGCGGAAAGCCAGCCCTGAAACACTGATGAGGGGTTGGTCCGACATGAACGATGGTTAAACTCGCCCACCCGTTCATCTACCGAACGCCGTCTTGAAGAAGAAACAGATGATCAATCACCACCTCTCGACCTGTCCCCGGCGTCATCGCCCATCAAGGCGAGGCGTGCCAAGCTTCACGGCAGGCAGCTTATCCGATACCACTCCGAGCTTGTGATGGCCCATTTCCTAGCTGCGCTGCCAAGTTTGCCTATTTCGATGGGTGATCCACTGGACACAGATTATTGCCAATTGTCCAGAACGTGACACGAGCTTAAGATTACCCCATGGACTTGCAGGTCTTGGATTGCGCCCCCGAATTCCTCCTGCTTCACCTGGCTCTGTTGTCTATGCCGGACGGTCTGAGAAAAGAATTGATTGCCTATGGCCGCACGGGTACCTGCAGCCTGACGCAGCTTGTCCTATTTATCGACTCAGTATTTGGGGTCGGGCCTGCTCTGCGCCACGGTACCACAGTCCATTCCCTGGCGGCATCAGACACATGGACGTACAATGTATTTTCTCCAGATTGGACGAATGACGGTGTCGAAGAGCTTGAAACTTGTTGTGATATGAGCGGGTACTGGGCACAGCAACACCCCCACCACGGCGACCGCAACACCACAATGACATGCGCTTCCATGTGCTCCGGAAAGTATTCGCATTGCATGATAATGCTCTGCATTCACAGCACTAGCCTTCCTGTCACATCCCAGACGGTTCTGGCAAGAACGTCCTCCCGACGATGTACCGCTCGCCGCAGCGCGCTCATATGTAAAGATCTGCGCCGGATTTGACAGACCTTGTCTCGCAATCAGGCAGTACCCGCAAAACTAGCTGGGCATGTTTCCCAGATATCCAATGAAGGCTGGATCCACTGCACAGACATCGATGGTCTGGCCCACATGTGAAGTTCAGCCTCGCACTCAAGGCCGGCGAGTGGTTGACCTTGGGAAAGGAAACGAAAGTGACGCCCTCTCCTTGGGCTCCCCCGAGTACCAGAGCGCCGTACCCCTTGTCTTGCTATTCAGGTCCAGCCAAACGCCAGCTTCAAGCTTTACTCTAGCCAAGGCACACCTCTGACACATGGCAGCAACAGTGACATGAACTGATCGCAAGTTGCTGATCAGCGATGGCTGGTGGGTTGGCCAATTGTGACGGCTGTCACCTCCAGGCCAACATGTACTTGTAAGTCCCACTCTTCCTCATCGTCCTCCCCGGCTCGATGTTTTCTAGTCGTTACGTTCGCTCTGCCTATCACTTCGTGCCGATCTTCAACCTGTCAACTTGACCTTGCTGCCCAGTACCCACGTTGCCCCAACGTTTGGCCGGTGTCCGGGGGCATTGAGCACCTTGTTGTCGGTACGGGTGGTCTGTTCCCTTCACGTCACTCGTTAAGACAGGGCTGGTTATCGATCAATTGCCGACTCCCCTTTCTTCACTCCAGCTGGAGATATCGCCCTCCTCCAGGTCAACACCCCACCAGAGTCATTCGTTCATCATTCATCCCGATCTATGAGGGACCTGCACAGTCATGGCGACTTTCCTCCTGGATCAGACACTGGTCAACGCTGAAGAAGCGCAACAATACCGCCAGTACATCAACAATGCTACTGCTGAGCGAAGTCCAAACTATATCAACATCCTTTCGAACATCCCTCGACCTTGTACGCCATCATATGCTCCCTTCGCAACCTTGTATGCCTTGCTCGAAACCGTGAGTGGGCCATGGCCGGTACTGGACTTGCAGAGGACACACACAGAACTTTGGAAGCTCCTTCCAGAAGATGCAAAGGCTGGCCGTGCATCGACAACTGGCCAACATCTAATCGACCGCTGCCTGCAACAATGCAAGTCATCGTACGCGTCACTACTCGATCTCTACCACCCATCTTCCACGGCAGCTGCCATAATCGACCCCGAAAGCGGGAAGTCATTGCAACATGACAAGCTTCACAAGATTGTACGAGACTTCCAACTACCCGTCCGAGCAACGACCCAGAAAAGGCCAGTCGTCGCCATATCATTGCCAAATGGACCACTGCTGGCGTTGACAGTCCTTGCAACTGCAACATACTACACAGCTGCGCCTGTCGCTCATGGTACCGGCGTTGGCCCAGAACAGACAAAAGCCGACATACTGCAAAGCAAATCCGACCTGGTCCTTGCATCCGCTGCTGATGTCGACCGGCTCGGATTGCGTGATGCGTGGCTCGAGGAAGCCGGCATTTCTGTACTTCTGGTCGAACTTTCCGAGTCCATGGATCTGGTGGTCAAGGATCTTGACGGACACCGCATTCGATGCAATGACACTCCGATTCCAAATACCGCTGACGATGTTGCCATCGTGCTCTTCACAAGCGGCACGAGTGGGACGAAGAAACTTGTTCCTTTGGGCGTTCATTCCATGGTGGCGGGCGTGGCGATGGTCGTCGAATCATGGGGATTGTCACCGTCGATGCGGTGCTTGAACCAGATGGCTTTGAACCATGTTGGAGGATTAGTGAGAAATCTCTTCTCGCCTGTCTTCTCAGGTGGTTCAGTCATCTGCTGCACCGCGTTCGATGCGAATCTGTTCTGGGATTGCGTCGAGGACTTCGCACCAACATGGTACTACGCCTCTCCAAGCATGCATCAAGTCATCCTAGAAGCTAGAGCTGCTCGCCCTGAGAGCGTCGCCAAAAGTCGTATCAAGCTGGTCTGCAACGCTGCTGGGGGCCTACTCCCATCGTTGGCGATTCAATTACGAGAGACTTTCACGACTGCCTCATGTGAGTGCACTGTGTTGCCAAGCTATGGTATGACCGAGTGCATGCCAATTTCGACGCCACCCCTGAACTACCGTCTGGAGAAGACTGGAACCTCAGGCGTCAGCGTTGGTCCGGAGATTACCATCCTCGACGGACGAGACCGACCACAATCATCACAAGCAGAGGTTGGCCGTATCGCAGTACGTGGTGCACCTGTATTTGGCGGATACCTCAAAGCGAACAACGTCATCGACAAGTCTTGCTTCACTTCCGATGGCTGGTTTGACACTGGAGACATGGGATATCTTGACGAACAGGGCTACCTGTACATCACTGGCCGAAGCAAAGAAGTTATCAATCGCGGAGGAGAGCTGATCTCACCCTTCGAAGTCGAGGAAGCCATTGTTGCGGCTGCCTCCAACCCTGAGACACCGATCTATGGCCGTGTCAGCAAGGCTCTGGCATTTTCAGTCACACACGACGTCCTCCAGGAGGTTGTCGGGATTGCAGTGGCCACTCCACCCGGATTCAAACGTCCATGCCTGCGAACCATTCACGACTCTGTCAAGTCCGTTCTGAGCCAAGTCAAGATTCCAGTAGCTATCGTTTACCTGGACGGTGGTGTCCCAACGAACAACAACAAAGTCCTTCGAATCAAACTGGCAGATCGCCTGAATCTTCCTGAGATTTCAGACAATACACCGCCATCTGGACGATGTTTTGAGGCCATCTGCCCGCCACCAAACACCGCGCTCAGCCAATCGATCGAATGCAAACCTCTCACGTTCACGCACAAGTCTCTGAGAGATGCATGCGCTGCTGTAATACCGGACACTCACGACTTCCACATCGAGAATGACCATGCTTTCTGGCCAGAACTTTTCATTGCACCAAAGGGATCGAGCGAAGTCTCAGAGATATCTACACATGACATTACTGAGGCCTTGGCAGCACGTCTTGATGGCTACAACATCCCCTCCAAGATCTCGCAGCTGCCTGACCCGTTCCCTCGCGATGCATACGGCGTGGTCGATCAAGCGACTCTGGAGAAGAAGCTCAACTCAAGCAATGTTACAACGGTCTCCGGCGACTTGAGCCCGATTGAAGCTACGGTCAGCAAAGTGTTTGCTCAAGTGCTCAGCATTCCGGCGAACGGCATCTCTGCTGAATCGGACTTCTTTGAATTGGGGGGTGACAGCATGGGAGCAGGTCGGCTGCTGAACGCACTCAGAAAAGAGTATCCACTGCGACTGCCGATCAACATCCTCTTCATCAACCCGAAGGTCTCCCAACTCGCCAAGGTCATCGAAGAGAAGCTTCCTCGAGACCAAAGTGCTTCAGACGAGAAGGTCATCGTCAAGGAGCCTGAGCTTCTACCTGGATGCGAGGAGACGTGCAGTTCGACCAACCCGCTACTCATGATGCTTCAACTGGTCCCGATGCTGCTTCTCTATCCCATGAGACGGGCTTTGACATGGACCATCTTCATGTACATATTGACAGAGACTCAGGGCTGGATCACCAACAACGCACTGTACGGACGACTCTTCGATCTGGTCATCTCCATCACCATTGGTGGTATGTGCACAAGAATCATCGCTCCACTTCTCGCCATTGCCTTCAAGTGGCTGGTCGTCGGCCGCTACAAGGAGGGCCTGTATCCAATGTGGGGCTCGTATCATACACGATGGTGGCTGGTGCAAAAGACGACTGCAGTCGCTGGACAAGGATTCTTCAGTCTGTTCAACTGGACCAGAGTTCTTTACCTCCGCCTCCTGGGAGTGAAGATTGGGAAGAACGTCGTCGTGCAAAAGGGTGTTACTTCAGGCGAATGGGACCTGATCACAATCGGCGACGGCGTGACTCTCGAACGCTGCATCATCCGGCCCTTCGCCGCCGAGCGAAACACAAGCATGTACTTGGGACGAATTCATATTGGAGCCAACGCCTCGATTGGCCTCGCATCCAACGTCGCAGCTGGCACCACTGTTCCTGAGAATGCTTGCATTGGACCCAACTCCTCAAGCTGGGAAGTTGATGGAGCAGACGAAGGCAACCGTGACCTCGGAGCCAGCAAGATCCCACCGGCTCACTGGATCCTCGACTTCCTCGTCGGCATGCCTCTGCACTTCGTCGTCAAGTTCGTCGGTGCAATCCCCTGGCTCGCAGCCTTGATTGCTCTCGTCAGACACGAGCCCATCAAAGTTCCCGACATGTTGCGTGCCGTCATGATATGGTTCGCCTCGCCGAATCGAGTGGCATTCCACTACCTCGCCTTAGCCGCCAACGTCGCTGTTGGGCCGATCTTCTTGTACGGAGCTACGCTCATCATCAAGAAGTTCTTCGACTTGTGCTGTGGCGGCAAGATCCAGCCTAGCCATGCTGATGGCAGGTCGCAGATGACCAAGTTCAGAATGCAGTGGCTCAGGACGGTAATGCCGGCTCCTCAATTTCACAAGTTGACTGAGCTGTTCGGCACGCATTATGAGGCTACCTCGATCTTTGCTCGAGCACTGGGAAGCTCGGTGGGTAAGAGAGTCTACTGGCCAGGAACCGGTCCTTCAGTTCAAGATTGGGATCTTATCGATGTCGGTGATGATGTTGTCTTCGGTTCTCGATCTCACCTCGTCACTTCGGACGGTACTGGAAGCGATTACGTCCGCATCAAATCTGGGGCCATGGTCGCTGACAGAGTCGTCCTTCTCCCCGGCGTGGAGCTGGGTGAGAAGGTCGTCATGGGCAGTGGTGCTCTAACAACACGTAACCGTCAATACGCCCCTGAAACGACCTGGGTCGGCAGTAAAGGCGGCGAAGCACTGTGCTTGACTGTGGACACTCCTTCAGGCCAAACCACGGGAGCGTCAACACCGGCAGGACCAGGCCGTCTCAGTAGCCAGTACGACGAGAAGCGCGCCGAACTCATCAATATGTCGAGCATCAACTCCACCAGCACGACACTGGCCAAAGACTTCATCAACTCAGAGACTTCCAGCTTAAGCAATATGGAGAAAGGCACTTCCTACAACGACATGAACAAGAACAAGACCGCCGAACCATACATTCGCGAAGTCCCTCCCTCCCGATCCACAACCACTGCCGAAGATTCTTCAACCGTCTCCCCCTTCGGCCGCGCCTTCTACCAAGGGCAAGCCACCTACCGCGTCTGGTCCCAATTCACAATCTTCTGCTACTCGACCCTCATCACCGTCCTCAACGGCGTCTACTGGAACATCGGCTCCGTGTCCGCGGTCCAAATCGTCGCCCGATTGTACAAATCCCACAACGTCCTCGCGCAGTCCTTCCTCGCAGACCACTGGTGGCGACCCCTGGCCATCTACGCCTTCTTCACCGCCCTCATCGTGGGCATCATGGCTTTGCAGAGTGTGTTTGTGATTTTGGCGACCATCGCCGCGAAATGGATCATCATCGGCCGCCGCCAACCGGGCAACTACGACTGGGATAAATCCTCCTACTGTCAACGCTGGCAACTCTTCCTCAAATTCGAGACGTTCCGTCGACACTGCTATGGCGGGTACGGTATTCTCGGACTGCTGACGGGCACGCACTGGATCACTCTGTACTTCCGCGCATTAGGAGCCAATATCGGCAAGGACTGCGCTTTGTTCGCGGGAGGGTTACCGAGTCTCTTCTTCACGGAACCGGATCTCCTCACGCTCGGCGACCGTGTGGCTGTCGATGACGCCTCGCTGGTGGGCCATATCAACACTCGCGGCAAATTCGATCTCAACCCTCTACACGTCGGCGCACGGTCTGTTCTGCGAAGCGGTTCGAGATTGCTGTCCGGTGCGAGGATGGAAGAGGATTCCTGCTTGCTAGAGCATACGCTCGTCATGGCGGGCGATGTGGTTGACGCTCGCGTTACGAGTCAGGGTTGGCCTGCAGAGGAGTTTATGGGGTCGAGGATGTCCACACTGGAGATGGAGAGAAGGTGGAGGGTTAAGAAGGAATGAGTTGATTCTCTCGACACGAGTTTCCGATTTTCGATTCGTGCGATACACCTTCAGGGACGACATGGGAATTCTTCATTTCGAGGAGTAAGAGGATCGGAATGGAATAGATGGATGGATGGATGGACGCAACAGAAAGAAAGAAAGAAAGAAGAGAGAGAAAGAGAGAAAACACTCGATGATGGATCCCTTTTTGTGCATGATACCCTACCCCCAACACTCGCTTGCTTTTACCATCACTCTTCTTCGAGAGAAAGAGCATAATTTTAATATTCAGCACACACACACGCAAACAGCTTACTTACCATTTCATTCAACAGCAGGCATCAGCACCAGCATGATCTCGGACTTGTTTTGGGGGCGATATAGACAGATAGAGTGGATAGAAACTTCAAAGTCTTTCTCAACCGGTGGTTCTCTTATTACCCCCAGCCTTTCTGTCTTTCTACTGTATCAGCAACAACACCTCACCTCCTCGTCCACTTGCTCGCTCCTCTGGGCTGGGTATTATTCAAGCACGTCCCCACCATCTCTCTCCAACGCCTCGCTCTCTCATCAATTTCGTCTGCCGTGATTCTGGATCGTGTCGTTGTGTCTTGTGTACATGCATTCTATAACCGTGAGAATAGTCTCTGTCTAGTCTCTATGCGGGTGCTTCGAAGGGCTTGACGAGCATCTCGCTGAATCTGTAATGATGTTAGTATGCCCAATCACATTCGAAAGAGGTTTTTTCCCGTGCTTACTTCGATATACTCTCCACACCTCGCACCTCCTCCACCAGCAACGGCATCTTGACGACATGGAAGTCCTCGCCGTACAAATCATCAATCTGCTCGAGGTACTTCTTCTGCATCTTTCTGCGTGAATTGCACTGCTCGCACGGGTTGTCCTTCTTGGGGAACAGCAGCTGGTTGACGACCATGGCGTGCGTGTCAATCTCATATGTACCCAACTCTTGGATCATGCGCTCCGTCTCGTACAGCGACAAGAATTCGGGGATCAGGACGGGGATGAAGGTCGTGAGGTCAGCGTTCTTGAATTGCTTGTTCACGTCGCCAATTGTCTCTTGTAAGTCGTTCATGCGCTTGAGGACATCGTCGAACGACTGGCCGTTGGGAAGACCGCCTCGAGCGCCGATGAGGTTGTTGATCATGGGACCAAATTGCTGGCTGAGTTGGCTGAGCTTGTCCAGGGCCTTCTCCAAGACAGTGGGGAACTGCAAAAAGCGCAGCGTATGTCCAGTAGGCGCAGTATCGAAGATGATGAGCTCATACTCCATGCCCTTGACCTGCTTCAACACCTCGGCAAAAGACATGGCCTCGTCGACACCAGGAATGGAGAATGCCATATCTTGGAACATGCTTCCCACACCGCCCAGACCCGCCATCGCATCTTGCGCATCGTCTCCACCCGCTGCAATCAAGTCGTTGATGCTGCCGTTCGGGTCAATTTCCATAGCCGCAAGGCCCTCCACTCCAGGCACCGGTCTCGCGTCCTTGCCGAACTTGACTCCAAAGGCATCTGACAGGTTGTGTGCCGGGTCTGTCGATATCAAAAGCACGCTCTTTCTTGCCTTGGCCATCTGCACCGCCAGCGAGCATGATGTCGTTGTCTTGCCGACACCACCCTTGCCGCCCACAAAGACCCATTTCAAAGACTTCTGCTCGATGATGGGCTTCAAGCTGGGGTCCATCTCTTCGTCGGCCATCGTGTCGTCTGTAGAAACTTGTCGAGGAGAGTGCTGTAAAGCGCGAAGAGAGAGAAGTCGAGAGTGTGGTTTTGTATCAAGCTACGTGACCAGATCACAGATCACAAGCTGCAGTCACAGACCAGGCCAGGACCTCGACCAGCATCGCGGGGCGAGCATAGACGCGGTCGCCGACGTCATGCCGTGCCGCCTCCCGCCCGCTCCTTCTTCACATGACAGCATGAATCTCGCATTGCCTCGATCCAGCAAAGCTCCCGGAGTGAAAGTCGAGTCTCGCCATCATCCAACCACCACCCTCCCAATTACACACCATGCATCACTACCCACGATAGTAATTAATACAATGCCCACCACCCGACCACCCTCCGCTCTTCAGCAAGCCTGGTACAAATGGAAAGCCCTCCGACTTCCCTGGCGGAAACAATGGCTCGTGGGCGCCGACCTAGCAGGAAACACCTTCTGGGAATTCAAAGACGCTCTGAATGCGAATCGGTTAAGGAGGATCGTGCGGTACACACGGAAGATTCATTATGCGGATGTGAAGATTAGTCGTACGTTCAACCCACAATTCAGGGTTATTGGAACATGAGCGAGCGGATGCTGATGAACATGCAGCGCAATGGCATCAATGGCTTCGACACACGCGCGAGGAAGCACCTTCGATTCAAGAGCAGCAGTATGAGATTTCGAGGCAGGCGATGATGAAGAGGTTAGCTGCGGAAGCGGATGAGCGGTGGAAGAGTATACCCTCGTTTCTCGATGCGCCGAGTAAGCAGCAGCCGCAACCAGCGATTGGAGTGGAGGATCCTGGTGGGTACGCGCAGCCGACGGAGCCGGAGGAGAAGCAGGGTGTAAGGAATGCTGTTGAGAGTGAGGAGAAGGTCGCGGCGGCGAGTGAGGGGAGAGTGGAAGATGAAGGGAGGTTTAGGGTAAGGACGAGGGAGAAGAAGGGACCGAAAGAGAACCCTTGGGCACATCTGCAGCCGAAGGGAGCACCAAGTGAGAGCTGGCAGCCGCAGGAATGGACGCCGGGTGTGGCGCAAAGAGGGCGATAACACGAGTCAAAAGAGATGTACCATATGTACAAAGTGAACGCAAGCTGATACTGAGTACTCAACTCTGCAGATTGAATTGCGCCTCCTCAAGTTCCTTTTGAAGGTCTTACTTGTCGAACTACCGTGATATGTCAATCGCGTAGTCGACGGGTCCGTCTTCAGTTTGGCTTGTGATACTTGGCTAAAAGTTTAATTCGACAACTCCTTCAGACAAAGAATCCTAATCAACTCGAATGTCTGCACCAGTACACAGTAGCTATCAATCAGACACTATGCGAACGAATCCCATCTCAAAAGTCCAACTCAACAATGAATATACCCAAACCAATACTTTTGACCGACTCCTTCCCACGCCGAAGTAGCCGCGACGCATCCCACCTCAGCTGTCACACTGTCCAACACACCATCCCACCAGACAACATCATCAACATGTGACCACGCCCCATCTCACGACACTCAGCATTTTAACGGCCTTTCTTGCATGCATTCATTATCGAACCCAAAAACACACCAAAAGACAAGAAGACCCTCACCACCCTAAAAAAACATGACCTACAAAGAAACCCTCCGCGCCATAACCCGACACAATGTGCACACCCTCCGCACCTCGCCCCTAGCAGAACTCTCCGGCTCCCTCGGCGACCTAGGAACGCTCCTCCCACTCATGATCGCCATGACGCTCAACGACTCCATCAACCTAGGCAGCACGCTCGTCTTCTCCGGGCTCGCGAACATCTTCACGGGCGTGTTCTTCGGCGTCCCGCTCCCGGTGCAACCCATGAAAGCCATCGCGGCCGTCGCCATCAGCCAGAGGTTCAGCAGGGAGGAGACGGCCGCGGCGGGGCTGACGATGGGCGTTGCGGTGTTGGTGCTCTCCGCGACGGGGTTGTTGAGGTGGTTGCATCGGGTTGTGCCTGTGCCTGTCGTTAAGGGGATTCAGGTCGGTGCGGGACTGAGTCTGGTGATTAGTGGTGGCGCGAGTATGATCAAGCCTCTGGGGTGGGCGACGCCGGTGTGGGATAATCGGATCTGGGCGATGGGGGCGTTTGTCTTTCTTTTGGTTGCGGTGCTGGCGCCCAGGATCCCTTATGCGTTGATTGTGTTCATCGTTGGGCTTATCATCGCGGCTGCAACGATGCCTGCTTCGGACGATGGACATGGTTTCGCGGCGGGGATCTGGCATCCATCCCCCTTTGTACCCTCTGGCAAGGCGTGGAGAGTCGGCGCCATCGACGCTGCGATTCCACAGTTACCTTTGACGACCCTGAACAGCGTCCTGGCTGTCGTATCGCTCTGCGGCAGCCTCTTCCCAACATTCCCCCCAACGCCCAGCACGACATCCATAGGATTCTCCGTGGCCCTCGCAAACCTGATCGGCTGCTGGTTCGGCGCGATGCCCGTCTGCCACGGCTCCGGAGGCCTCGCAGGCCAATACCGCTTCGGCGCACGGAGCGGCTCCAGCGTCATCATTCTCGGCCTGGTCAAATTCATCTTGGGACTGTTCGTCGGCGAAGCGATAATTCCACTTTTACGAAGCTTCCCGCAAGGCCTCTTGGGGATGATGGTCCTCGCTGCGGGAGTCGAGCTGAGTAAAGTCGGACAGAGCGTCGCCGAGGCTCGCGATTTGTGGGAGCAGGCGGAGGATGATAATGAGAATGGACGGAGGGGGTTGAGCAAGGCGACGGAGCAGGAGAGTAGGGATAGATGGATGGTTATGTTGATTACTGTTGCGGGCTGCCTTGCCTTCAAGAATGATGCAGTGGGCTTCATTGCAGGTCTGGTCTGGCATTGGGGTTTGAGGGTGCCAGAGCTTGTGGAGCGTATCAGACACGGTCACGGATCGGTGAGGTTGAGACAGGATAATCCTGAGCAAGGGGAGACCCTCCTGGGAGTCAATCATGATGGCCCTGAGAGTCGGACAGTCTGATATCTAGCGAGATGACGACAGAAATAGGCGATGCAGACACGTGGAAATGAATGAACGAAAAGTGGAACACAATGTGGAAGGCAAACATCAAGAAGTCATCGTTTCTTCATGCACGAGCACCGCTATCGACCTTTCATCGGTATTGACTGGCCCCCTCCTGCCCACCCCTGAGGACTGGAGGCCAGCAAACCTCGTATCGAGCATCATCGTGCCGCTTTTCATGCCATCACCTCACCTCCCACCAGCTTGTCCATCCTCGCCATACGCTTAGGCGCGGGACATGACACCCCAGGCGCGGATCTTGTTGTCGGTGTAACCGGCGAACAGAGTCTGGCCGTCAGCGGACCAGGCGAGCGACACGCACTCTGGCTCGCGGGCCTTGCCACCACCCTCAAGGAACTCTGGCTTGAGCTCGTCAACCTTGCTCTTCTTCTCGAGATCGAAGATGACAATCTCCTTGGAAGTGGCAGCGCACAGCCAGTAGCGGTTTGGCGAGAAGACGAGAGCGTGGATCTCGTGGACGGCGGAGAGGGAGTACAGGTGCTTGGACTCGTTCAGGTCCCACAGCATGGTGGTTCCGTCCTTGCCGCCGGAAGCGCAGAGAGAGCCATCTGGGGAGATGGTGACGGTGTTGATGTAGCCGGTGTGGCCGATGTGGTCGGTCTGCAGGCGGCAGGTGGAGAGCTCCCAGACCTGGGATGATGCGTTAGCCACATATACTAGACTTGTTCTCGAGTAACGCATGGTAGATGCAAGACGATATCAGTGCGCCGGTGAAGGCAAAGTGTGTCTCATAGCCGATAGGCTCTGAAGTAGCAAATACTTGTATGTAGCATCATTTGAGTCGAAGCACAAATGCAAGGGTTAACAACTCACCTTGACGAACTTGTCCCAGCCGGCAGAGACGATGACTGGGTTCTGTGGGTTTGGCGAGAAGCGAACGCAGGACACCCACTCGGTGTGGCCCTTGTCGGTGATGGTGTACTTGCAGTCACCGAGGGTGTTCCACAGCTTGATGGTGCGGTCGCGGGAGCCGGAGACGATCTGGCGGTTGTCGGCAGAGAAGGAGACGGAGAGGACATCGTTGGTGTGTCCGACGAAGCGGCGGGTGGTCTGGCCGGTGGAGAGCTCCCACAGGCGGAGAGTCTTGTCCCACGAGGCGGAGAGGGCGTAGGCACCGTCAGAGGAGATTACGCAGTCGGACACGATGTGGGAGTGGCCGTGGAGCGAGCGCTTTGGGTAGCCGTAGCTGGTGTCGTCGCGGGTCAAGTTCCAGATGATGAGGGTCTTGTCACGCGAGCCGGACAGGAGCATGTTGGGGCTGCAGTGCGGTCAGTACGATCGGCTTCACATGATCTCGCGTTGGAGGACGACTCACTTCTCGAGCGAGGTAGCCAAGCTGGTGACCCAGCCGGAGTGGCCCTCGAGGGTGCCGCGGAGGACGAGCTGCTCAGCCATGGTTGCGGTGTTTGAAGAGTGAGGTGAGGTGCGGCGAGGGTGTGGTGGTGTTGACGGTGGTCGTTGTTGTCTCGCTGAAAGTTTCAATGGAAATTGAAGTGCCAGCGCCAAGATTGCGGCTCAAAGGCCCGTGCGCGAGTCGCCGCGGCAGTCCCGCTTTCTTCACGTGACGACGACAATTCTACGAGGACTGAGAGGCATTGGATGGATGACATATGACATGGATAGGAAGACGAGACGAAACCAGGAAGTTGCATGTTTTGCTGTCATAACTTTTTTCAAGATACCGCATCTCCTCCACAGACGGTTCTCCAGCGACCTGAGAAACCTGATTCTCGGTCTGTCCATCCTTTTGCGCCTAGCTCCTTCACGGCACACTGCTTGAGTTGCATCGAGTCGCCATGGAACCCTGCCTCATACTCAGCTCAGTATTGAGATCGCTGCTTAGACGCCGGGTCGAGGCGCATCAGTTTGATCGTTCTTCAGGCGTCTCTTGTCTCTTGTCTCGACGAGCAAGGATCGCTTGTTCGGGTGTGCAGTTCGCTGCGTTGCGATGGATGCGGGTATCACTTTGGCTTCAACCTCTTCTGGGAGGCTCCGTCTTCCTGTTACTCTCCGGTCAACCTCAGCGGCGCTTCTAACGTCCGTCTTGTCTGATGCCAGGTGGAGCTGATGGCGGGCCTCCTTGTCTCACACCCGGCGGTGGGCTCATGCCGTTCGCCTGATGCTGACCAGGTGCGGGGCTTGGTCCACCAGGCGCAAATCCTGGTGGAAATCCGCTGGGTGGTGCGAATGGCAAGTTGGCTGGTGGCGAACCTTGGCCTGGAGTTGGTGGGAATGATGGCATGTTGGATGGGTTGAAGCCGGGAGGGAATCCATTTGGCAGCGGCGGGAATCCTGGAGGAAGAGGCGGCATTCCTCGTCCACCTGGGGGCATCGACGGGAAACCTGGCGGCATAGGAGGCATGCCTGCTGGATGTTAGCTCACGTATTTCGTCTCATACTTATGGATGTACGCACCTGGCGGCATTTGGCCTGGCGTACCCCCCATGGGCGGTGGAAAACCTGGCATGCCATTCGGTGGAGGGAAACCTGGGACTCCACTGCCAGGCGCACCCAGCGCACTCAAGCCAGGAGGATTTGGCATCGTCTGTCCTTCTGCAGCATAGCTGCTTGTGATACCGTCGATAACCGCTTGTGCCTTCTCGTGACCTATCTGTTGATAGTATTCGACCACATTTCGTAGGTGATTCCGGCCGCTGTTGTGCGCCTTTCGCACGCTCATGGAATCGTGGGTGAGGTATACATCGCAGTAGTCGCAGAAGAATTTCGGCATCGTGAAGTGTGGACCGCGAGGGTCGGGTGTTGGGAATGGATCGAAGCAGTTATAGCGAGGGGTGTGAGAGGTGGAGAGTTCTCGTGATTTCGTGAAGCGCTGGTATTTGCGAATGTCTTGTGTTGGTGGTGTATGTGTGGAAGAACCCGATGGAGCTGCGGTTCTAGAGCTTTGAGAACCGACTCACGTGTAGTCGCGATTTAAGGTTTGTCAAGCGAGACACGCTAAGACAATGCGCGAGGCGACCCTTCACAGGAAGCTTCACTTCGACCATCTCGCTACCATCGACACCGACATGACCTGAGGACAACCGCCAAGAGCCTACCATGGCGAACCAGGTACCGAAGAACAGCGTCTGGTCGGCGATGGAGTATCAGCCCCCGCGCGGCCGATGCAACTACAAGACCAGCATCTTGTCGTCCTGCCCATGCTTGAGATTCATGCTACACCCGGTCAAGGCAAGTCTTCCATCACCGATGTTTCACACTACAGCTAACAGAGTCTCCAGGCAGCCACCAGCTTTGACTGTGATGGATGCAGCCATCATGCTTCCTTCCATTCTCTGGAAAATGAGAGCGAGGATGCAGTACTGAAGAAGTGGGCGGCCATCGAATCGAGCAACAACCAGTCGCAAGCTACAGGTGGCTCAAACAGGAAGCGACGTCGTATCACTGAGGAGGCTGGTCACGAGATTGAAATTCTGGAGCTCACTGAAGATGACAAGGATCCCGCTTGGGTTGCACCACCAAGTCGCCATCGATCCCAAAAGCAAACACGGAGGACTGCTAAGACCTCCTCCGGTCAAGGCCGTGATCTGTCCTCAATACAGTAAGAGCATGGACAAGCTTCTCACCTGGCAGCCACCGAGATCATACCCCCAGGCCTTTTGCCCAAACGAAGCGTTCCATCCTTGAGATGCAGTCCAAGTACTTCGTGTGACATACTTCACCGCTCGGCATCCTTCTCAGTCACATCAAATCGACGAACAGCATTCGATACTCGCACTCCATGTCATGGATCCTTGCGCAGCTGAGATGCCCACCATCGCTTGTTTTCTAGGTCGCACTACTCTTGCAAAGCCTCGAATACTCGTCCTCAATGCACACGCAATGCCCGCGCCATAGATCAGAGGATGGAAGGTGAAACTTCTCAAGAAGGCATCAGTCTAACTGAACGACGAGAACCATGCAGGCCACCGCGCCACCGACTTTTGTGCCAATCATACTGCAATTCCAATCTAGGAAGGCCAGGCAAATACTTGGAACGCCGCACCAGCTGGGTGGTATAGTAAGGAACGATGGCGGGTGCGAGAAGTAGTGATGATGTCGAGCGAGCTGCCGAGCACGTCGGGTATTTGTCTCGTTCTTACCAATACTGCTGCTCTCCTCCTTTCATGCTGGACGGAAGTCTTCCCGAGAAGGACACTAAACGAGGTGCCACGCAATAACATCATTGGCTCATACCGAGATGCGTCGGCAACGCGGCAGTACCCATGCAGCCGAGCAGGAAGCAAAAGATGCGAGGTTCACGCACATGGACGCCTGCGAATCAGGCAAGGCCATCTCGTTGCCAAACCTCCATTGCGTCGATTCTGCCAGAGCCAAACGAGACCAAAGAGCTATCGGCGAATGTCAGACTGTGACATCTATTGTGGCTGACGACAGTTCCTGACGGCGCTCGGTGAGGCTCTGCAGACAAGATCACCAATTCGCGTGCGGTCCGTCCGGTGACAGACCCAGCCGCTCGAAACCTAAAGGCTAAACCCCAGATGATCCTTCCCCACTTTGCACACTATCCCCGGACCACACTCCCCTGCCGCAATACAGGTATCGATACCAAGCCGCCACTGGAGCTTAGCATTGCTTCGCCGTGCTTCATCAAGACGTGACCGACATAAGCGGCAAGGTCACAAGCGACTGTCAGATTTTGACGTGAAACTTGGGGCTCGGAGCATTTACGAAGTTGTATCAGTGGCAATCGCGTCATCTACAATCTTCAGAAGTAGGGCCAGTCTAGTTGAGTTTGAAGACATTGCTAGCGTCTGGGCAATGTCATTGCAATTATCGCTACGCCGTTGGTCCGAGGAAAACGTGCAAGACACGGACATAACGGAACGATCTCGATGAACGTCAAGGTGTGCTCCGCGGGGAGTGCATCAAGGCGGCATAGGTGGGCATTCACATCTACCGGAGACGACTGCTCTATGGTGCTGCCTCCTCACGCAATCCTGGCTGTAGGATCCACATGTCTACTATGCAAGGCCGACCGGGGCTAGTTCGATGCAGAACGTGCTGCGCCGTGGTGGTGTACGACTACGACCGCATGCAGTAGTGACGCACGAAGCAATTCGTGATCAAACTTGTATTGATGTTGGCAGCCACGCCGAGACCGCTAGTATGCTAATCCACGGGATGGTCGTTGACGCCTCCTGTATGTTGATCGGTAGGCCATTTCCTTGGCGCGTGGTATAAAACCAGGGCGGTTTCCTCGGACTACACCATCAGTCTCATCCACAATTCCGTATCTCCAAGCATCTCTTGGACAACATGCTTTCCAGATCGTTGTTCACAGCGGCCCTTCTGTCACAGGCGTGGGCTGCTCCAAGACCCCAACCTGCCATCTTCCCACGCCCCCATCGAAACGAAGCCAGACAAGAGAATCCATCAGGGGCACCACCAGACTTCGCTTTGGGCGTTCCAACTGCAACTCCCTTCGGCCCACCAGGCGCAAGTGGCTCTCTGCGCGGTCCAACAAACCTCGCCGGCTACGATCCAAGCTTTCCAGTCAACACCGAAGCACCTGGTGTTGTTCCTACCGACCAGTTCCAGGTAGCACCGGAGCAAGAGGCAGACCCGGATCTTGGACTGTATCTCGATCTTTCCGAGGTGGAGAACCCGCAACCGATTCGAGGAGGCACCAATGCGCCTACTGATCCTGGTCCACGCAATGAGGCGATTGAAAAGCAGAACAGTGATTTGTATGCGCCTCCTGGAACGGATGCTGGCGATGTGCCGAATGCGAAGTGGCCGCTTGGTAGGTGATGCAATTCTTGATCGTTGTAAACCGTACTCACGCGTCTTTGTAGCCCTCTCCCACAATCGCCATGGTCTCAAGAGTGCCGGCTGGGCTCGCCAACAAAACGTCGACAACCTCCCCATCGCCACAGCCTTCGCTGGCGTAGATATGCACCTCGAACCCAACGCCTACCGCGAACTCCACTGGCACCAAGCCAACGAATGGAGTCTCATCCTCAACGGCTCCGTGCGCGTCACCGCCGTCGACGAAGCCGGCCGCACCTTCGTCGACGACCTGCAACAAGGCGACGTCTGGTTCTTCCCCGCCGGCGTGCCGCACAACATCCAAGCCTTCGGCGACGGCGTCGAGTTCCTCGTCTTCGACAACGGCGAGTTCAGCGAAGACGGCACGTTCCTCGTCTCCGAACTCTTCCAGCGAAACCCCAAATCCGTCCTCGCCAAGGACCTGCAAGTCGACACCAGCGCTTTCGACAACATCCCCGAAGGCCAGCTTTACATCTTCCCTGGGACGCCCGCGCCCGCCAACATCTCCGAGCAGAACGTCACGGGTCCCGCGGGCAGCATCCCCAACGAGAATACATACTCCTATCATTTCAGCCAGCAGCAGCCGTATGAGGTCCCCGACGGCAGCGTCAAGATCCTGGATACGCAGAGTTTCCCCATCGCGGCGGATTTCGCGGTGGCGCTGTTTACGATTAAGCCCGGGGCAATGAGTGCATTGGCATACGACGAGCGATGAGTGGGATTATTTCATTCAGGGGCAAGGACGGGTGACGGTTTATACGGCGCCGCAGAGTTCGAGGACGTTTGATTTCCAGGCGGGGTGAGTTTGATCATTAGAAGATGGACGTTATGCCGTCTCACCTGCTGAATTGTGCTTTTCAGTGATACCGGCTACGTCCCCGTCGTGACGGCGCATTACCTCGAGAACACGGGCGATACCGACCTCATCTATCTTGGTAAGACACAGCACTCGCAACCCCTTCCACACAAAAGGCTCTTGACCTTGCTAACGATAATTTGAACGGTGTAGAGGTCCTCCAATCCGCCACCTACAACGACATCTCCGTCGCGCAGTGGCTGGGGCTGACGCCCAAGCAAGTCGTCAAAGACCACCTGGGCTTCAGCGAGGATACCCTGAACCGCTTGCCGCAGATCAAGCCTTTCATCCTGCCGGGGTCGACGAATTTGACGCAGACGAACTTTACGACGGAGGCGGTTTAGGACCGATAATGAATATCGAGGGGTGGGTAATCGGTGGGAGATTGAGCGCTTGTTCTTAGTGTCTCTCTGGAAGTGATGAGTTATGGAGTATGAGTATGAAGGAGTCATGATGGTTAATGGTGAATTGTTTCCTTCGATCTATGTCTATTCCCGCCTACAGTCTCTACTTTATCGTAGCCTCTCAGTATAGCCGCAGGACGGCCAAGTAACGATGCAATGCCCGAGCTGCTTTACATTAGATCAAACTCCCGAAAGTGAACTCACACTTTGACGGTCGGAGCACGCTCAATCTACACCCGCGCTTCAAGTCCCTTTTCCAGAAGGCCAACAAGCTCATCGAGCCTCTTGATCACCACATCCGTCCTAGGATCCGTCTCCAGATCCTCCTTGCCCGGACTCGTCAGGAAAACAGTCACAGCACCAGCATCCCGTCCGGCAGCGACATCGTCCTCGCTGTCTCCAACCATGAGCAACGGGAGAGGTCTCTCGGACGGTGGCGTGTCAGGAACATCCGCGCTGTCGACAATTCCCCATGCTTGCGCGATGTGCAAGATCCCAGCGGGGGAAGGTTTCGGTGGTCTGAAACCTCGCGTGACGACTGGAGAGAAGGGAGTGAGATGATTAGGGATGTGGTTCGTTAGGAGGTGGTTGACTGGTGCGCTGGAGAAACCATCAGTACTCATCACATCACGTACAGCTCACGAAAAGGGGGACATACTCGAAATTCCTCGTACAAATCGCCTTCCGCACCCCACACCGATCCAAAAACTCCATCAGCGTCACCAGTCCCGCCTGCGGCGTCTGCTTGACCATGGCATCGCTCTCGATCTGCTGCACCTTCGCGAAAGCCTCGGATTGCTCCGGCTCCGGCAAGGCGTGGATGTGGTCGAGGATGTCGGTTTGCTTGGTGATGTTGAGGGCTTCGCGCATTTGGCCGAACATGTAGTTTTGGGGTTCGCCTTCTGGAGGAATTAGTTTGTGGGCTTCTTGTTGGGGATAGATGGTTGAGGTCAGGTACATAGAGTTCCGTCCATGTCGAAGACGATGCCTTTGAGTTGCAGGCGGTTGTCTGTTGGATCGCCATTGGGACTGCCTAAGGGCGCGAAGGATCGTCTTGAAGACATAGTGCTGGCGGATCTTGTGATGGTCAGTCGTGCAGTAGTCTGGCGAGACTGCACATTTCTCGATGCGATGAGGCGGCGAAGATGGAACATGCCGTTGATAGGGAAAGAATCGAAGACGGAGTGCAAGGATCATTGGATGATGTGCATATCGTGCATAGAATTATGTACAGAAATTCTAAATTTTATGCACGAGCACCTCACTTCCTCAGCTCGACGCCTCTTCTTCTCATCAACAGCACATAAACTCGCCACATCTCCAAGCCAAACTCCTGCATCTTTTTCTCTTCTCAATCGCCATAATGTAGCCCAAGACTCGCTCTACCTCGCCCAGACTTACCGTCTCTCCGCCTATTCCCCAAATCGAATCAGAACGTGCCCCCATCGTGGGTCCGCCTCATGGCGTGCTCGTGGTATCCATCGCTGCTCCAGCACCAACTTCTCAACAACATCCTGGCCTGGTTCAAACGTGTTTGTTATGGATCATCGCGTGCTGTGTTCGGGCAACGTGCCAAGTGGAAAGATTTTTCTTCCTCTGGCCGTGAAGAAAAACGGTGGCTATATCTAGGTCTTTTGCAGTAGGTTTTCGCGGACCATCTCGAGTCTCTTCTGAAGATCTGTTCGAGAAGTCATGGTTTTCGATCGTTTGAAGCTTTTCTATCGCTCTTGTCTGTTTCAGGTCATCATTGTTGGATTGGTTGCTTTTTGTGAGCCAGGGATATGGACGGCGTTGAACAATCTTGGGGCGGGTGGTAACGCGAAGGTATGACTCTCCTTCTAGTCAAATTGGAAAGTACTTCAGGGTACTGACTGGTCCTCTGATTAGCCGTACCTCAACAATGCCGCCAACAGCCTGACGTTCGGGCTCATGTCCATCGGTTGCTTCATCGCTGGCGGTATCACCAACAAAATCACCGCCAAGTGGACCCTCGTCATTGGAGCGGCATTCTACACACCCTATGCCGCTGGGCTGTATTGCAACAACAGATATGGCAACGAGTGGTTCCTCCTGCTGGGAGCTGGACTCTGCGGCGTGGGCGCATCGCTCTTGTGGGCGAGTGAGGCCGCCATTGCTGTGGGATATCCCGAGGATGAGAAGCGAGGGCGGTGAGTTCAAACCCCCAATCTGTTCAAGCTAGTCTTGCCAGCATGCTGATGTACATTGTAGCTACGTCGGCATCTGGATGGGCATCCGACAGATGGGACCGCTGGTCGGCGGCGCCATCTCCCTCGCCCTGAACGTCAACACAAAAGAGAAGGGCAAAGTTTCCTACACCACATACCTTGGACTGGTCGCCATCTCAGCCTTGGGACCGCCCCTAGCTCTACTGCTGTCGCAGCCACAGAAGGTCGTCCGAAGCAACCGCACGCCGATCCCATACATGAAGAAGACATCCTTCAGTATCGAATCCCGGGCGATTTGGAAACAGCTTCGTAACAAGTACATGTTGTTGCTCATTCCTGTCTTTGTAGCTGGGCAGTTTGGCTCGACGTATCAAGGCAACTATCTCACGAGTAAGACCACCAAGACCCCGCAGGGCACAATTTCGCTAACATACGCCTGCAGCCTACTTCACCGTCCGTTCCCGCGCCCTAGCCTCCTTCCTCACCGCCATCGTCGGCTGCATCGCGAACCTCCTAACCGGCATCCTCCTCGACCTCCCCCAATACTCCCGTCCCCTAAAATCCAAAGTAATGTACACATTCCTCATCATCGCCATCACCGCCGCCTGGACCTGGAACTGCGTCATCGAAATCCGCCTCTCGCGTATGGCGGACCCACCATCCTTCGACATCGGCTCCGGCGCCTTCTTCACCTCCGCCTTCACCGTCTACATGCTCTTCAAATTCTTCTACGAAGTCCTGCAGACGTACATCTACTGGCTGATGGCGGAGATCAAAGGCGCGAAGGGGGAAGGGGACGTCGCGCGGACGACGGGGATTTTGAGGTCTTGGGAGAGTGTGGGGAGTACGGTGGCGTATGCGGTGGGGGCGACGCATTGGAGGAATCGGAATCAGATGATTTTGGGGTTTGTGTTGTGGGTGTGTACGGTGCCGCCGACGGTGGCGGCTGTGTTTGGGGAGTGGAATGTTCAAGGGGAGGAGGAGGAGGTGCAAGGGGAGGAGGAGAGCGATGTCGATGTGCAGAGGGTTGTGGTCGTGGGAGGGGATGTGGAGGCTTTGAAACGTTGATTTCATACCGCTACGACTCGATAATGTAGTTATGAGATATACAGATAGATTTGACGTCCCTGCATAAAAAAGCATAACCACCACCCCTGACTAATCTCCTCGGAGGATCCATAACTTCACCTCCCTCTGTCTCCTCTTGCCACCAGGCCGATCCAGACGTCGATTAGGGAATTTTTGACTCGTCCAGACGGAGAATACTCCACTAGGGCATTGCTCGTCTGAACCGTGAGGCGAGGCTTAGTTGATCTTGTGGAGTTGCGAGAAGTCGGGCTTGGTGGTGGATGTGTGAATTGACCGCTTGATGGATATATATTCTAGAGACGGAAGACTTCTTGATTGGAGAGACATCACAACAAGATCCCCTTCAAGTCTTTCCTTTCAGCAATCGATCGATCAATCCAACATCTCCAAACATGTCTTCGTCTCCCAAAATCCGCGTCGGCATAGTCGGCGCCTCAGGCGAAACAGGCACCTCCATCATCAACGGCCTCCTCGAAGCCGGGAAATTCGTCCGTCCCTCCTCCCAAACCCCCCTCCCCAATCCCTCCCCCACTAACACCTCCAAACAGGACCTCATCGCCCTAACCCGCCCCGCCTCCATGACCAAACCCATCAACCTCACCCTCCAATCCCAGGGCGTGACCCTCCGCCCCCGAGACCTCACATCCCCCCAACCCACCCTCGTCGCCGCCCTCAGCGACATCGAAATCCTAATCTCCAGCGTGCCCCCCATGGACCTCCTATCCCAACTCCCCCTGATAACCGCCGCCAAAACCGCCGGCGTGCGCCGCTTCCTGCCCTGCGCCTACGCGCCCGTGATCCCGCCGGGCGGCGTGCACATCATCATCGACGAGAAGGAGAAGGTATACCAGGCGATGAAGCAGGCGCGGCTGCCCTTCACGGTCGTGGATATCGGGTGGTGGTACCAGCTGTGCGTGCCGCGGGTGCCGAGCGGGCGGACGGATGGGTACCAGTTGACCGGGGAGGGCAATACGATTGTCGGGGATGGGGCGATGCCGAGTGCGCTGACGGATTTGAGGGATGTGGGGCGGTATGTTGCAAGGATTGTCGTGGATGAGCGGACGGTGAATCGGTATGTGTTTGTGTGGAATGAGGTGTGGAGTCAGAGGGAGATTTTTGGGGCGGTGGAGAGGGTACTTGGGGAGGAGGTGGAGAGGAAGTTTGTTGGGGAGGAGGAGTTGAGGGAGAAGCTGGAGGGCATGGGCGATGCGATTGATTTGCCGACCATTGCGACCAAGGTGCCGGTGCAGTATCACCTTTCGCTGTATATCCGTGGGGACAATCAGCCGGAGAATGCGGAGTATTTGGGATACTTGTTGGGGAAGGACTTGTATCCGGATTTCGAGGCTCGGTCGTTTGACGCGTATCTGAAGGAGGTGATGGATGGCACGGCCAAGGAGATTTACAAAGGGAGGTATGAGGATCTCAAGAAGATGTTCCGTAAATGATCGACCTACATGTGGGCATCAGTACGATCAGATGGACAGACAGCTTACAGATGCAAGAAGGTGTGGCCAATGGTGGATTTCTGCGCTTTGCGGCATCAATATCAATACAACTCATGCCTGTGTGAGGCTGGCGAAAATGGTGTCTCCCACTTGATCATTCTTCTCCTTCTTCGTCCCGCGCATCCAGGATATTGTAAAAGGAGCGGGTTGGTCGCGAAAGCGCCTGTCAAAGTGGTACAAGTACAAGTTGATGATCCGCTGTGGTGTAACCCGATTTTGTGTCCCATTTTCCCAAACGCCATGCCGAGTCAGCCAACTGTTAACACGCCCGCTATCGATCATCGATCCGTTGGTTCGGGCTCCGGATTGAGAAACGCCAGTCTCATGCGATGTAGCTGCGACAAGTCAGTATGAGTACATTCTATTTCTGTGGTGTCTGATCTTACTGCAGGTAATTTCGGCACCACTACCGCAAGGGTTGCGAGAAAGTTGATCATGAAATATGCCAAGTCGTAATGCGTGTAATGTGTGCTGACGAGGAACAGACATATCGGCACTGCGAGCAGAAACTTCTTGGCCGGTGTGTACTGATCCTCGTTGTCGATCTGCTCCCACATGTTGAGATTGTCATATGCCCCTGCGTTGAATTCGAAAGGGATTCCCCGAACCCAGTGGAACATGAGATATGATCCGAACATGTAGGTGATGTTGACGAGGGTCCATGACGTCTCTTGTGTGACTGAAGGTACGATGTCGTAGACGATTTTGAGGAGGAGGATGATGATGATGTGGATCAACCAGGCGCCTGTTTAAAACATCTCATTAGCACGTGCTCTTTCGTATACTCTTGGCGAAGGTTCCCGCTCTTGTGCATGAACTCACCCTTTGCGTTGACCCACTGAGCATTCAAGTTGGGCAAGACGGCCTGATCACTCTGCTGCTCCAAACTCTCGGGGGGTTCCTGATACATCAGACTGCTACTCCTCCGCCGTCTCCTGTTATCCTTGTCTTTTGAGTTTTTGCTGCTCATCTTGCGCTCGGCCGACTGGACGCAGAGGGGCGGCGAAGGGTTCACCCTGTCGGCGAAGGTGATGCCGCCGCGCTGGAGGATTGTAGAAGACAGTTTGGCGGTGTTGTCGGCGGGACGGTGCCGGTGGGAGGGTAGGAATATCAGGTTGGGCGCCAGTTTGACGCTGGCGCAAGCGTCTTGGTTGTGTATGGTGGTGTGTGTGTTGTCACTCGTCGGCGGTGGTGTCCAAGAGGTGTCGGTGGCCTCTTTGTGCTCGTGACGGAGGGAGGCAGCGGGAACAGCGGCGGCGTGGGTCGGGGACAAACCGGCCGGCGCAGGGCTAGCTTGGAGTGCGCACGCGAGCAGTGGTCGATGCAGGGCCCGGCGGAGATGCAGGCGTGGGGCGGAGGTGAAGGTGCGGCGTGGCAGAGATGTGTGGTTGCGCGGTGGTGATGTTGAGAAGAGAGGAGAAATCAAGGGAGAATTGGTGGGTGAATGGCGAGCGTGTCGCGGGCAAAGCAAAGCAAAGCAAGCCAGCAAGCTCCCTCTCCCACGAGCCAACTGAGGGTCATTTCAGTGGAACTGCTGACGTCTCTCCATCGTTGAGAGTCTGCTGAACTGACCACTTCCCGACACGGACGCCTCTATTTTCGTCCCCCATTCAACACGCCGTACGATCTAGATTCTACCAGACACGCTGCCTATTCCACCACGAAGATGCTTCTGTGCCTTGGCCGTGCAATCTGATTGAAATGCGAGCATCCGTGCTGGCGATGAATTTCTCCAATCCTCCGAGCCGGCCTTGGCGCCGTATCTAGGCCTCCAGCACAGGTAGCTCTTGCGCGGGCCTTCTCGTACGATGCATTACAAAATGGGTCGACGTGAATGGCTCTCTTTGATCAACACCTATTATTCATCGTCGACGTACTGCAGCTGCGTAAGACAGTTGAGCCTTTGTTGTTGCCTGATGACACTTCCATTCCATGCGACAACGGCCGTGTCAAGACTGGCATTTCTGGAGTAGAAAATCCGCATAAAAAACCCTTGGGACGCAGGGTCTCTTCTCCAAGACTACATCCCCGTCTATGCAACGTATGAGGTGTATAATCAGTATCGCAAAGAATTATACGCGGAGAGAGACGGCGGATTCTTCACATGATGCGCTAATCGCAGCCACGACATCTGGCCATCAACAATCCGCGCTAGTGGACTTCAACTTCGCCCTCGCTTGAACATTCCAACAACAACTTCACTCAAACAACATCACCCACGCCACCACCATGTCCGACTCGGAGAACGAGTCCAGAGCGGCCGCAGTAGGCCGAAAGCGCATTCGCACGGGTGAGTCAGGTGACTATGCTATCGCCGCGCTCGCGAGCAGCGCAGCAAGCAACAGCGAGAGCGAAAACAGCAGCAAGGAGTCTGGTGAGATCTCCAGCTCCGAGCGCAGTAGTCGGCGTAGCAGCCGCCAGGTGAGCCTATGCCAAGGGAGTATCGATCATTTCATCATGTTCATTTTCTCTACAGCAAAACCTCTCCGCAGACAGCGAGAGCGACCAGGGCAGCGAGAGCGATGACGGCAGCTCTGAGACGGATGGTTCTTCGGAGACAGACGACAGCGATGAAGAACCTCCCGCTCATTCGTTGGCGTCTCCACAAGGCCAGGCGGATCAACATCACAGCAGCCGTGCTAACAGACCCCAAGACCGCAGTGATGAAGAACTCCGCTTGAGCGACCTCACGGAGAAAGAAGAGGACGACCAGCTTTTCTACTTCCACCGCCACCGCTACGGGGAGAAACACCCCAAAGACTACGTGGTGCGCTGTTTCTGCTGTGGCGCCAAAGGCCACGTCCACGCCACTTGCCCCGAGCGCAAGTGCAAGCACTGCGGCGCGTACGATGCGCACGCCTCCCACGCCTGTCCTCAAGGCCGCAAGTGTGGGCGCTGCCGACAACGGGGACACGATTCCCCAGAATGCACGAACCCGACAAAGCCGCCGAACACCATCGCCGACGCTTGCGATATCTGCGGGGAGATGGGACATGTCGAGGAAGAGTGCATGAAGCTTTGGTGCACCGGCGCCGAGCCCGTGACCATGAGAGCAGTACGACGGATGTGGAGGGCCTGGTAAGTGCACCAAATCTCCCTTCTACAGCCTATCCATCCACTAACTCATCCCCAGCTACAACTGCGGCGCGGAAGGCTACGACGACGCCGACGGCCACTGGGGAGACGACTGCCCGTACCTCGACCGCTACTCGCGCGACGGCCTAGGCAAGCAAATCAAGACGTGGAGCGCAGCCCACGCAAACCAATTCATTGACCCGGAAGTCGAAGACTCTGACGTCGAGGAAAGCGAAGACGACGACAGCCGCAGCGAGAGGAGCCAGAGCAACGACAGTCGGTACGATCCCATGGAGGATCTCGAAGACTACGTCAACGATACGGCTAGCAGCAAGCGGGTCGAGGAGAAAGGTGGTAAGAGCGAAGGGGAAGAAGGAGAGCTTGAGGAGAGTACGCCGCCGCCGCCGTCGAGATCAAATTGGTATGATTGGTTTTCCTCCCCTTGAATATCTGCCATTTCACCGGCCAATGATTGCTCTACAGGCAAATGTCAATATTCGACGATGCGAGGGATTGAAAGGAAAGAAAGCGAATGATTGATGAGAAGAGAGACGGGCCAACAGAGTACCGATCAGGCACGAGAGCAGCCATGCATACAGGAGAGGGTATCAAAAATGGAGCATGAAACACATGCATTCACGAAACAGCCATCAAATCCAACAAAACCCGCATCCGCTCCGCCGAGCACCGCAGCGTCGTCCTCGCCTGTTCGTCAAGAAAACCGTTCCTACCAGTCTTCTTCCGTCCATCGAACGCGACCTTGTCCTCCCGCGCCGCGATGCCCCTCTCCACGCTCTCCCTCAACGAAACCCCGTCCCCGGAGAGGATGTTCGCATTCCACAACGCCCGCAATAAACTCTCCACGAGCAGACTGACCTTGGCGTTGTCGACTGCCAACGTCGTAATAGCAGCGTGAGGCGCAAAGTCATTCTCGAAAGCATTCTGGTCGACCCATCCGTTTCCGTTGTTCGTGCCTAGTAACGGTCGGAAGAGCATCTCCGTGAGGGTCGCCGAGTACTTTGGGCTTAGGAAAGGGGTCAGCGGCATGGCGAAATGCTGGAAGATGGCGAGCGGGAGGGGTCGTAGGAATTCGGTGAAGAGGGAGAAGAGTTCGTCGATGTCCATGAACTTGTCTGGGGCGACTTCGCTGAAGCGGGTTAGGAGGGTTAGGAGGCGCTGGCGGAGGCGGATGGAGTCCATGTCTCCGAAGGTGAGGGTTGATGTGCTGCCGATATCGTCTTCGTCGACATCATCGCTTTTGGAGGCTCGTTTGCCCCTTCTGCTAGACCCTTCGTCCAGAGATCCAGATTTCCGTTTCTTTCCATCCGATGACACCTCGTCTTCCGAATCCGGGTCTCCATAATCGCCAAACTGGTTGTTGTCGAGATCAAGCTTGCGCCGCTTAGACGAATAATCGACTTCCTTCTTCTTCGTCGGAGGCTTCGTCTCGTCCTTCCAGACCTCCCCAAACTCCGCCGCCATCTTCTTGGTGCCGTCTGCAGTGATAGCACGCATGATCCTGCGTCTGTTATTCCGCCCCTCTCCCACCACTGAAATATATTGCGCGAGCAGACTTTCCCCAACATCCACGCCCTCGTCCTTATGCAGTTGGACATGCCTCTCCAAATCGTTATGCAGAAGATCAAGCATCTGCTCCAACCAAGCCTTCCACCTCTCCCACCTCGCCTTATGCAGCACACTACAATTAAACGCCCACCCCACGATCGCCCAGAAATCCTCCGCATGGCTCCAGAGAGATTGTTTCTGGTAGTAATCGCTGCGTATGAATCCCGGCTTGTCGACCTCTTCATCCTCAGCACTATTCGCGTCCGAACGCCTCGTATTCGCCCTCCTCGACCTTTCACTCAATCCCTCCCTCTGCTCAAAACGAAACGCCGTCTTCATCTCCGCATCTCTCGCACCGAGCGTGTTGACCGCCTGTCTGAGATACTTCAAAGCGTCATTCGACGCAACATGTCGCTCCGCCTTCACCGTCCTGGTCGTGAAGCTCGGGTGCACCGTCAGCGTCGACGCGAAGGTGAGGTGTGGAGGAGGTGGTACGCGTGCGGGAGTTTGTGTTTCGACGCCGGACTCGAGACATCGCGATTGGAGGGCGAAGCCTTGGGAGTAGAGCCCTTCTTCGAAGCAGATGGTGCTGTGGTCGAGGAGGCTGTTTGGGATTGGCTTGACGTCGCGGAAAGGTGGGAGCGTTGCTGGGATGTCGGACGAAGGGGGAGGGGCGTAGTGCATTTTGGAGTTGATGAGGTTGGTGGTTCGGACGCGAGGTTGAAGAGGTGTAGATCGCCAGACGCGATGGGAAACACGCCATCACGTGACGGGTCGGACTCTCAAATGCCACTTCCTTGCCGGTGTGAATCTTTCAACTTCTCAAACACTTCATTTTGGAAGAAAAGCTGCAAAGATGAGAACTGAGGCCGTGCTCCTTTTATCGTTGCTGGTATGGCTGACATATGCTGAACATCTAACTCTTACCGCCCTCCTCTCAGACGACGACGGCAAGCTATTCTACGAATGTTGGGAGATTGACTCATTCACCAAGTATCCAACTGTAGGCATGGCGGTGCCCGACTTTGCTCAGGTCTCGAATATCTCTTGGGTTGTTCTGCCTCCTCGCTCGACCGAGGGCTATCACAAGCCGCCACATCCGATGTCAGTTGATGCTCGACAATCAAAAAGAATGACAAGCTAACATCCAGTCAGGCTTTTCGTGCTTCTCTCCGGCCTGGCCCATGTAACGGTCCCAGCGAGCGGTCTCGAAGAACTGTGGATTGGTGAGGGCGATGTCATGATCGCGGCTGACACCATTGGGAAAGGCCACATCACAGACTACCCCCTCGATAAAGAGTCGCACGCTCTGCAGATACCGTTCAAAGATGGCACTCTGCCAGCTCACCGCGTGATCAAGGCTGGCATATGTCATTCGACTGTCACGGTTGAAGATGGATCACGTCCTACAAGCCCTGAAATGCTCGGGGACCAACAGCCTCTGACGAACTCGGCTTGAATGACGGACTACAAATTCTCTAGCCCATATCTCACGAGATACAAACCACTACCGTCTCAGCGTCAATCTTCTCAACAACTTGCCAGTGACCACTGCAATTCTGCTGGGAGACGGAGCAGCCGTGTATTGCTCGTACTCATCAATCTCTTGCACCAATCCGTTGACCTCAAGATCGGCATTTCCAGCCCGAACGTACGTCGTACGCTTGATGATCTTCCAGAATGCCAGTGCCAGTGGAAATGCTGCCAGAAATGTGTAGTCCAAGAAGAAGTACGTGACATCCCAGCCCCCGGTAATGAAGAGGTCGTAACCAAGCAGTAACAGCATCAGTCCGCACCCGCTCATGGCCACATAGGCCGTGTATGGCTGGAACTTTCCGCGATAAGGTAATGTCCGCCGATCGATCCCTTGCTTCTTGACAGCCGCATGGAAGTGAAGGTAGGTGAAGGCGACCGATCCGTAATTCAACAACTGGCAGGCCGTGATCAGATCCACCAGCCATGTCAAGACCTCAGCGCTCGAGCTGTTGACTTGGAGGAATGCCAGACAGCAGAATGCCAGGGCCATGAGGACTGTGTATATCGGCACACCGTTTCTCAGGGTCTTTGAGAAGAATTTCGGCGCTGTCCCATCGATCGCCATACCATACAACGTCCGTGTGGCCGCCAAGAAGATTCCATTCCCTGAGCTGAACACAGACGTCATGATGAGGGCGTTGACGACATGCGGCAAGCCAGATACCTTGAGTCGATCCATTCCAATCACATACGGCGATGCGGCACCTGTTCCGCTTCCTCCAATGTTTCCATCCAGGACCGCGTTCAATGTCGGATCATTGTATGGAATGATGATACCCATCGCGAGGGAAGACGAGACGAAGAAGAGCAGGATCCTCCATACGAACGATCGGAACGCTTTTGGAAGGACTTTCCGGGGCATGGCGGTCTCGCCGGCTACCATTGAGATGTATTCTGGTCCGCAGATCGAGAATGTGGCCTGCACGATACACGAAAGGACGCCCAGAAAGCGGCCTGTTGAGCCAGGGACCAGGTGTTCGACGAAGGCTCCCTGCTCTCGTCAGTCTGCGCTCGACTCCGTCCTGAGGACGACTTACTGGGTCATTCCAGTACCGGAATCCGATCGACAGATAGAACTCAGCGACACCAAAGTACTTAACAGAGACGACGTTCAAAACCCTGTCACGAATCGTCAGTTGTGTCTCACTATGTTCGATCGTCCTTCACCTTACGCATATGCCACCATAATGGCGACGATAATCGCTTCGACGGGTACAGAATCAGTCCAGAATCCCAGCAGGATGTTGAAGGCGACAATCTCGAACGGGATCAACAGAGCCATGTTCAAGAACAAATTCCATCCCATGGCGAATTCCAAGCTCTTATCAACGAAGTGCCCTGCCAGGCGAATGAACGGCGATGGTATCGGAGCATAGCAAACCATTTCGGCTACCTCGAATGTCAGCCATGAGCAGATTTCCCAACATCCTTCCGTCAACTCACCGAAGCATTCATTCACACACAACATAACGGCGCCCCAAACGACGAAGCCTATGAACAGCCCAGCCGGTCCTCCCTTTGGTAGAGCCGAGCCCATTTGCACGTACAGACTCGTCCCAATGGCGCCTCCTATCGCGAAGAGTTGGACTTCCTTGGATTCTAATTTGCGATGGAGTTGTTGGGATCCGGCTGTGATGAGTTGAGCGCTGCCGACTTCGACGTCGGCTTCGGTGGTGACTTCGCCAAACGTGGGCTTTTTGTTCGATGCATCGTCGGAATGTTGACTTGGTTTCTCAGAGTCGACTTCCATTGTGAGCGTTCGAGAAGATTTAGTTAACCACCGCGTTGGATGAGAAACGCGATTACCTCCTCAGCGTGAAGGACTGCAAATGGGTAAGCAAGTCATCCATTATGGCTCTCATGGATCCTTGGCCGTCGGGTATCTCCTCGATGGATCTCCCTATCGTGGGTTTGCCTTCCCTGCAACATACAGAGGAACTTTATCAGCTACACAAGCTCCGCCTATCTTGCATCGCGGGGAATGGCCAACCCGGACCAACTCTTGACCACTTCACACCACTCTTGCTGACTTTGACTTGACAATGAGTGGTTGAATGAACATTGCTGCCATACACACACGATGGCGCTGCTCTCACTCCTTATCGGCGCAGTCACCCTTGGGATAATACATCACTATCTGCTACAGCCTCTTTACTTCAGTCCGCTCAGTCGAATCCCAGGGCCGACAATCTATGCCCTGACGAAATGGCGTCTAGCATGGGAAGACTGGTGTGGCCGTCGAACAAGGACCATTCACAAACTCCACGAACAATATGGCCCCGTCGTCCGTATCGGACCCAATGAAGTCCACTTCAACTCCCTCTCTGCTCTACGAACGATCTATGGACCGGGTAGTGGCTTTGGTAGAACAGATTTCTACTGGATGTTCGATGTTTATGGAAAGCAGAATCTCTTCACGTTCCATTCATCGCAGGACCACGGGGATCGTAAGAAGCTGCTGGCTAATGCTTATAGCAAGTCGAACGTCATTAGAGGCCCTGTTGCCGAGATGGTCTCCGAGAGGATCCAGGATTATTTGTCGTTGATCGAAGACAAGAAAGGGGAGCCTGATGAGATTTTCTCCTCGCTGCATTATTACTCTCTCGACTCGATCACCAACTTCCTGTACGGACCGAGCAGTGGCGGGACGGAGGCGATGAAAGGCAACCAAACCCACAGAGCACTGCTAGGTGACATCCTAGATCCGGCGAGGCGAAGGCTGAGTTGGTTTGCCGTGCACTGTCCAGCGTTCACGAAGTGGCTCTACACAAGAATCGGACTGCTTGGAAGAGTTGTCGCGCCGCTTCTGCCTATGAGGAAGCCGGCTACGTATACAGGCATCAGAGCACACGCGCTCAAGGCTATGCAGGACTGTAAAACTGAGGCTAAGAGTGGTGCTTTGAGCGGCAATACCATCATCGGACGATTGTTCAAAGCTGTATCAGCCGGCATGGCGGACTTGAATGATCTTGAGATCGCGTCTGAGGTGGCGGATCACTTCCTCGCCGGTACGTCTTCCTCATCCTCCCGACAACATAAAGAAATCTGCTGCTGAAACTCTGATCATACAGGAATCGACACGACAAGCGACACCCTCATGTTCCTCATCTGGGCGCTCTCCCTCCCCGAAAACCACCACTTCCAACACCGCCTCATCGCCGAAGCCCAAAAAATCCCCCAATCCTCCCTCGACATCCACGGCGCACCCACCGTCGAAGCCGCGGACAGACTCCCCTTCCTCGACGCCGTCATCAAGGAGACGCTTCGCCTCTACGCCCCTCTCCCAGCTTCCGAACCACGGCAGTCCTCGGTCGACACCACCATCGACGACTACGAGATCCCAGCGGGAACGGTCGTGTGCATGGCTCCGTACAGTCTTCATCGGAACGCGGAGGTTTTTCCGGAGCCTTGGAAGTTCGATCCGGATCGTTGGTTGGGGGAGCCGGAGCAGGTGGCGGAGATGAAGAAGTGGTGGTGGGCGTTTTCGTCGGGCGGGAGGATGTGTATCGGGATGCAGTGAGTTGCCATATGTCCCTGAGGATTTGAGATTTGTGAGGACTGATGATCGATGCAGTCTCGCTTTGGCGGAGATGACGTTGGTTCCTACGGTTTATCGCAAGTACAAGACGCGCATCGCGCCGTCGTCGAGCGGGCTTGCTACTGGTATTACTTCGAGGTTTGAGATTTTTGCTGATGATACGTATGAGCGTGTGGAGGTAAGAACGTTTTGGTCCACGAATGAGAAATGGATGAGGGCTGACGATTGTGAAGGAACATACCTGCAACATTGAGTTCGTAAGGAATTAAAGGCAAGACGGGGGCGACAGGCCTACATGTATACCAACGCCAGGAGGACGTGCAGGTTAAGAAAGTGAAACGATCATTGCGAGAACAAAGTACATTCTTCGTTTTTCCATTCTCATATCTCATCGCACATGGCCATATATACATCTATACACATCATATCAAACAACATTTTCCGAATCAGACTTCAAAAACGCTTTTATCGACGACTCAGCGCCCCTCTAGATGGGGAGAGGTGGCAGCGCAATGACACCACCAGCGTTCGAGAAGAGCGCAATAGCCTCGTTGAACTTGGAGAAGATGGGGCCAGTGACGGTGCCGGCAAGACTTGGGTATGGATCCGCGAGCTTGGCGACGACGGCGTCGGAGAAGGCGGCGGTGGATGCGTTCTGGTTCTTGAGGTCCTGCTCGACCTGCGGGGTGACGGAGACGAGGTTGAGGATGGCGGCGTCGAAGGCCGGCTTGTGCTGCTCAATGTTGTCGAGGAGGGAGATGACCTGGGGTTGGAGGGTCAGGACGGCCGATGCGACGGTGAAGGAGTCGTCGGCGTTGAGGGGTTCGGAGGCCTGGGCGGTCGAGGTGCCGCTGTCGATGGAGTCGCCCAGTGTGTTGGTCTGGCTCTGGATCTTGAGAACCTTGAGGCCGGAGTCGAGGTCGCCCTTGTTGAAGGTGTTGAGGGTGGAGTTGAGGGTGGCGATGTTGCTCTCGATGGTGTTGATCGAGGCGACGATGCTGTTGACGTCGCGGGCGATGGGGCTGGCCAAGGAGAATGGCAGCAGAGCGCCGAGGAGGAGAGTGGGCAACATCTTGGCGGTTGTGGGTTGATGTGAAGATAGGTGAGCTGGTATGTGGTCGTTGTTGCGCAAGAGCTAGGGATATCTTCTCACATCTGATCAACAAAAACAGGGAGAGTCTTGACCCCTAATATATACCACTTTCCTCATAAGGCGAGACAGCAGAAACGCAAACCCACACGTGAAGATCTGACACCGTCATCTCCATGCCGAACTGTGGTTAGTGTGCGAATCTTGTCCCCAGAGCGGGGACGTGCAAAATGCAACCCAAGACGATCCAAGTGAGAACTCAAGCGCAACACACCTTGCGACCGTCGAGGTTCCCACGAGAAGTCCATCCAATGACGGACGTCTCGAATCGTGAGTTCCCTCGGTCTCCCGCTGCGGTCGTTGATCTTGACCACAACTCGGCATCGGTCAGGAACCACTCTTCGTTTAAACTTACTCTTTAGCCTTAAACCTTGGGTGCTGTTTCGTCTGCCCAGGTTCCTCGGCGAGGCTTGGGGATGAAGAGATGGTGGCGTTGATGGGGTACAGAGGCGTGCTGCGATGGCGTATATATGTTCGTCAGGCGAGAGGACGGGCTCGTCGTCATGTGCGTTGTTTTGAAGCTGAAAATGCCGAGAGATGGGAGTCATTTCCTGGCCGAGCAGACTTCGGTCGATCCGCTTCCACCTTCTCACTGCGGGGAAGATGGAGTCTGGGGTTCAATAGTACATCCGGCGAACTACTACTAGGTTACTAGCCTTCAGACGGACTGCAAAGTCCACGAGATCGCAATAATAAATCAAGAGACCGTCTAGATGCTGGATATGTACATGCAGCGTCCATCTCATCCACGTGGTGACGAAAGTTGGCAGCCAAAAGTCAATAAAGGCCGTAGCTGGTATATCGAGTCCTCTATCATTAAGTGGCGGCTACAAGGAGCTCGGCACGTCACGAAATGGCATCACGTCGCTGCGTATGTTCATTACTATACATGTCTGGTTTTTCTGTCCAAGTTTTTCTCACTTCATCGCTCTCACTCTCGTCTCTTCACCGTATGCATTCGATTGTCTACTAAATGGCTGGCTGTCGTGACGACTTTACAGCGCATAGGCGAGAGCGACGAAGCCGGCGGCCAGGAGCAACCATGAGTTGAGGCTGATGCTTGTGCTTGCAGCGCCAGTGTTGGCTCCGGTAGCGACGCTGTCAGCCTTGACGGAGGAGTTGACTCTCATGCAGAGAGGAGTGTAGGTGCTTCCTGTGTTGAAATCAGCATGCTGTGAGATTTTCTTCGCTCAAGCATATCTTACCAGAGTCAATGATGATCATGTGCATACGCAGGTCCTCTTGCTCGAACCAGGTCCTGTTGGTGGCGTCGTACACTGGCGAAGTCACATGGGTGAAGCCACCACCGCTGCGAATGGGGAAGGAGCTGTTGTCTGCGGCAGATTGGTTGCCGACGAGGTCTGTGTAATCACATAAGCATGCAATCTCCAATTCATCTTATTTCACTCATACTCACTGTAGGTCGAGGCCTGGTAACCGCCATCGAAAGCCCACTCGCACTGCCTAACGCGGGAGAGGTCCACGTTGGAGCCACGGCAGCCATTCTCATCTGGTTCCGCGTTCCTGATCTGTTCTTCAATGGCACCCGTGCAACGCTTTCGCAAGGGCGTTTGGCAGCTCTCTTCCTCGCTGCCGTTGCTCAGGACGTCCTCGTTCCACTTGTTGATGACGTTCGCTGGGAAGAGACTTTCCACGACTGTGACACAGAAGGCGGTTTGATTGAGCTGGCCGCTGTTGTCTGCCACGGCCTGGTTCAGAGTGTCGCCGCTGGGGAAGCTGAAATCGTAGACCGTGTTCAAGACGCGTGCGTTGGGGACGTCGGAATCGGTCGCGTCAGCTTCGTTGAGGCTGATCCTCCATTGCCAGACTGGAGGTGCTGGGGAGTTGTCGGGTGCTGGCCAGTACAGCGAGAAGCCCATCGTCTGCGATGCGGTGGTGCTGGAGCTAGACGCATCGAAGTCTGAGCTGTTGCCACTGGGAGCTGGGCCGACGCCAATGTTGACATTCTCGACGACAGTCTGGGCCAAGGCTGCGCTCGCAGAGAGCACGGCGGCGTATGTGTACTTCATCTTGACGACCTTGGAGATGCTTGGAACTGTCGAGCCTTGTGGACGAGGAAGTGAGAGACTGTGGGAGGGGAGATTTTTCTTCGACGGAGCTCACGCGAGCTACCTATATGACCGGATCCTCCGGCTGACGTTCTGCAGGTGGCGCTTACATAGCATTCGCGATTCTCTCGCGCTCCCGCGCCCTTCCGCCGGTCTCGACGAATGGATTGGTTACACAGGAATCCTCATGGCCAGAGGCGGTTTAGATTGAGAGTCAATGGCGGTATCCGTGACGTCGCCCTGCGGTGTTTCTGGTCGTGCATTCGTTTGAGCTTCAAGCTTCCAGGAACCGGCCGGGTAATGGTCATCGTCTCATCAAATTCCATCAAGACATTGAATCCTGCCAATGCCCAGCAGCCTGACATAGACCACAGCTCGTCGAGAGGCTCGTTTGGATGTCTTCTGTCTGTGTGTTTGGCTATGAGGACAAGACGACAAGGCTGGGCGTGAAGCTGAGCTTTGGCGTGGCTTGCGGTGCACCGGGCCAGTCGGGCCGAACGGCAACATCTGAACTCTCTAGAGGTGAAAGATTACAGACCTGACGTCGCCTCGCACGGTGAGCACGGAGGCCAGTGGCCCAATGTTCCTCTTTCCCTGCTCACACCTCGTGTGATAACGGGTGTCTGCCGGATGAAAATGCCTCAATGCAGCATCCCGATCGAGAGATGCACGTCGGGTTGAAAAAGAGGCTCTTTCTGCGAGCGCCGAGATCCATGCCATTGCTGCCGTTGTCTTGGCAACCCTTCCCCAAGACCTCGCTCGACGATAATAATAAATCTCTCAATCTCCCTAGCAAGCGATGAACGAACGCGCCATTCAGTTGCATTCGTGACCTATCTCGCTGCCACCAAACGATTCGGGTACTTGGTAGCTCGGAAATCGATCAAAACGTTGCGGCTCGAGAACGGATGAGTCGGCCGGAAGAAGGCCGTGATCTGACTATTATTTCGGACAGCAATCAAAACACCGGGCCTTCCTCGAGACTGAATGCAGAAACGATGATACAAAAGCACTGGGCTTGCCATGGCGTTCAAGTCCTCCAAGATGTGCGACTAAGGAAGCCCTGTTGGCAAGCTGACCCCCAAACCCCCCAAATTGACTAATTCGGCCACGCATGATCAAGCCATTGAGCACGAAAGGTAAGTCATATATACAGAAAGACTTCCTACCTAACCAACAAGACCTTTCCTCGAGAACGCGATCCTCATCGTTTCTTTCATTCCTCAAAATTTCGTTTCCACACCACAACCACCATGTCCTCCCCAACAATCACGCTCTACACGCGCCAAACCCCCAACGGCATCAAAATCTCCGTCACCCTCGCCGAGCTGGACCTCCAATACAACGTCTACAACATCAACCCGCACACGCAAGAGCAGAAATCCCCCTGGTTCCTGGACATCAACCCCAACGGCCGCATCCCGGCCATCACCGACACGCACCCGGACGACGACGGCAAGGAGATTCGAGTTTTCGAGAGCGGAAGCATCATGCAGTACCTCGTGGAGAGGTACGATACGGAGTATAGGATTTCGTATCCGAGGGGGAGTCGGGAGTAGGTGGAGATGAATTCGTGGTTGTTCTTTTTGAATGCTGGGGTGGGACCGAGTACGACTTTTGAACGTTTCCTGTCGCCGTGAGATATATACTGGACTGATCAATGATTGGTGGTTTGCGAATTACAGTGCAGTAAGTGGTGAATGAGAATAGATCGACAATGGCTCAAGAGGTGCGGAGAGCTATGGCTGACATTCTTGGGTTCATGACAGAGGCCAAGCAAACCACTTCTTCAGATACTGCACCGAACACAGCCCCTACGCCATCCAGCGGTACCAAGACGAAACGCGCCGTCTCTATGGAGTCCTAGACAAACACCTCCACGACGCCGGGACAGACTACCTCGTCGGAAACAAGTGCACCATCGCCGACATCGCCACCTGGCCCTGGGTCACACTGGCGAGATGGTCTTTGGGCGGCGAACACCATCCCGTCAGCCCGTTGGATGAGTTTCCGGCTTTGAAGGAGTGGGAGGAGAGGATGTTTAAGAGGGAAGGGGTGGAGAAGGGGAGACATGTGCCTGAGCCGCATCAGAGGGAGATTTTGCGGGATCCGGTGAAGATGGAGGCTTTTGAGGAGAGGGGAAGGGAGTTTTATAAGAAGACGGCGGACGAGAAGGAGGCGACGGCGAAGGCAAATGAGTAGTGCCTCTTGGGAGGAAGAGGGTTTAAGAGTGTCGACGAACAGATTGGAAAAAAATGTCAACGGCGTTGAGGTCTTGGGTATCGTAATCTATTCTTTCTTCGTCGCTTTCACCAGCACCGGTATCATCCCGCCAGTGACCAGACGAAACTCCTGATGGCCCAGGACCCGGAGATGACTCGCAATGGCACCAGAATGCGTGGTCAACGAGACATACACATTCTGATTATGTGAGAAGACATCATCAAGGAACTCCGTCGTCCTGACATCATGCTCGTCATGCGTCTCGCGATGATCCGCCTTCCATAACTCATCCTGCTCTGTCAATCCCTCCTCAATTCTCCACGTCGGAAAATGCTCGTGGATATACGACTTCGTACTCCTCCGATCGCAGGTATGTTCACCCAGAACCTCCCTCAAAAGCTCCTTGATCAAAGGATCAAAAGGCGCCTCATCCGGGAGCTTCAACCCGGAGAACGTAAGATTCGCCGTCTGAAGACACCTGTACATCGAACTGACATAGTAACTCTGCGACGCCGGCATTTTCGCCCACGCAAGCTGCTCGCCAATAAACGCGTGAGCTTCCAGAGCCTGCTCCTTGCCCTTGTCCGTTAAATGAGCATCGGACCAGAAGAGCTCGCCATCGCCCTCGAGCTTCGACCAGTAATCGTCCCAGTCCTTAGTTCCGTATTTCGCTTCCGCGACGTTGTGATAGCCCTCGCCGTGGCGGCCGAAGTAAAGTAATTTGTAGGATGTTCCCGCGGGTGCCGAAGTTTGCAGGTGTTGGATATACCGGCCGAAGCGCTCCCAAAGCGGTGCTGAAGGATCGGAGTCTGTGGGATAGGAACGGGGGATCAGGCCGAAGTTGTGCTTGGTCTGGAAACTGTCAATCTCCGAGGACTTTGAACTACCGGCTGGTGAAGGAGAGATATTGGGGACGTACGTATTCGAACCCATTCCAATCCGTCTTCGGATCGTCTTGGAGAAAGAAGCCCTTCACAGTCTCATACTTGTACTTCGCCTTGTACGTCGACGGATCGGTACTCCCCATCTCTGGTGAATTGGACGATAGAGTGCCACCAAGAAGAAACCAGGATATGACAAGGGCGAGAAGAATAGCAGATCTGTCGGTGTCTCCTATTAGACCGCGTCACGGGTGCAGTAATCTTGCTGGACTTACGTCGTAACCGCAAGCTTTCGAACGTCTGGGTGGCTGAATCTAGCTCTATTCATTTTCTATCTTGAGGAGAACGTCATAGTGAAGAAAGATAAACAGGGGGAAGAGTCAATGCTTGCTGGGGACAAAGAGAAGGTGCATGTGAGAAGTTGGGCAAGACGTCGGACTGCAACAAGTCGTGGTCGAAAATGGCCATATTTTGTAGGTATGGACCACAGGCTATTTTCTAGTAGCACGTAAATTTCTGCACTACAACCGCAAATCTTGATTCGATCTCCTTTCGATCGCTCATCGAAACTCAATAGCCGGCACCGGCAGCTCTCTTCGCAAAGGCGCCTCGTCTTCCACCTCATCGCTACCCACGACACTCTCCTCGCTCGACTCAGTCTCGCTTTCAGACTCATAATAAAGATCCGCCTGCTCTTGCCCGCGTCGCGGCGGACTGAGCAGGCGATTGTAGGCTTCCACATTCCTCTGGACTCTACGACCGAAATCAAGGTCGACGTCTTCGTTGGAGGTGGGTGCAGAGTATGCACTTGGCGCAGCGGAGGTGTCCGTTGGGCCTTGTGAGTTTGAGGAACGTCCATGATGTCGTGATGGGTATGTTAGAGGATGTCTTGGTGCTTCCTCGTCTCGCATGAGCGATGAGGCTGCTCTTGATGCGTCGAGTGTCGTGAAGTCGGGCTCCCCAGTCTCATGATTGCTCTCAAGAGGATCTCGCCACTCTAGGTGAGCTCCCCGTTGCAGATCTCGAGGCCGGCCGATATCGATCATTTCACCACGGCGATAATCGATATCACCTCGTTCATTCGACGTAGTCGTTCGCTGAGTCTGGGAGACGCTGCTCTCAGACCTGGGAAAACTACGCTCCCACCGTCGGTAGTATCTCACGCAGACACCGTGCTCTCCTGATAGATGGAGGTGGTCCAGCAACTCCATAGCGTCGGCATGAATATCCTTCCACCGTCCCAGCTCCGCTCCATTCAGCTCAAACACCAGAACCATCATGCGATCGCGATGCTTGTCTTCCATCTCGGTCTCGGAACCTGCAATGTACAAGCCGGCCTTGTACCGTACGTTGTACGTGATGCCATCTGAAAGCAAGATATCAGTACAACAACAATCGTCACAACCCGACAGTCTCGCCATCACTCACAGTTGCGATAGATCCGCTGAGCCGAATTCTTAGCTTCCAGCGAGATCGGCTTCCACCTGCTCTTCTGATGGCGGTTGCCATAGTTGGAGTAGACCTTGCCGACATTGGTGAGATCAGGCGTGGGCGAAAAGTGAGGCGGGACCAAATCTTGGTGCTTGTCGTATGCGTCGGGAGGCGGCTCCTCGTTGTCTTCAGCCGCCCATTCATCCAGAGTTCTTCTGACGTGTGGTGGCATGGAGATTCGTATCATAGCCTGCCAGGCCGACAAGGCGTCGTGAGGTTGCGAGGTGTCTCGACGGCGTCTGGATGGACTTCGAGCCGCAGTGGTGTGGAAGTGAGCGGGTTGAAGATACCATCCGCTTGGTAAGTTTGGATTACGCAGAGTGTCAGTGGACCCAAGGAAGTGGAGATATATACCAATGACTCCAAGACTGATGGCAGTCGTTCGATGTGCTCTCGATTCTCACATGAAATTTGTACATGATGATTGCGTCTCTTCACCCATTGTTCCTCGCCTGCGCATCCAGCTCTTTCAACCTCTCGACCAACTTCGTCCTCAAATAGGAGCTCAACCCCAGTATCCCCTCCCTCGTCACCACCCGATACGTATTACTCGCCTGATACCGTCCATTCCCATCCACGAAAGCGCCCTTCCCATCGATCTCCAGACTCCCAAAGATATCCTCCGGCCACGCGACTCGTCCATAGTCAGGAGGATTCCTCTGATCGCTCACATGGATATAGCCTCCTCGTCCCGCACCGCCGATGCCGCCTTGTGAGCTCGCTCCACCGGCACCATCACCACCCGAACCACCTCCGCCTCCGAACTGTCTGGTGCTGCGATCTCGCCGTTTCATGTTCGCTTGCTTTTGCTGCGGGAAAAAGACTCCTCCACTGCCCAGTGCCGAGCCTGCCTGAGAGGCGTAGACCTGAGCTTGGGATTGGACGTCTGGATCATTGACTGCATGCTCTTTGATCACCCAATGCAGGATGTTCAAAAACTCGTGGTTCTCCGTGAACGATTCGGGTGTGGGAGGTATGTCGGTCGTGGTCCCGATTGCGAGTGAGGCGATGGGAGGCGTGTTGGAGAGGTATGAAAGGAGGGATTGTCTCGAGTCTGGTTGTTTGTGGACGTACTATATACCCAGTCAATTGATATACTATTTCTCGTGGACTCGTGGGTTAACTACTTACGATATGCTCATTGTTCGGCAGCGTGGAGAGAGCTCTCCTCAGCGTCGAAGGTGAAGTCCGTGCAATGAGACGAAGACTCTGAAAAGACAACGCAGACCTCGCCGGTGCCAACCTCGTCGCCATGGTTTGATATAATGAATGGCACGATGTGTATTCTTGATACTCGAAGGAAGCAGAAGATGGATTGCAGTCCAATGGAAATGTGCTGACGTCGAAGACACGCCGCACGGACGTGCTCTAGCGGTGACTTCACCTCCCAACTCAACTTCTTTCCAAATCTTTATTGTCTACAAAATATATCTAGATGCAAGAGGAAACCCATAGTGAACTACTGTTCCAAGGCTCCGGTCAATGACTATACGACTACCAGGATCCACATCGCACCATAGGTACATGAGGTCCAGAATGCATTCAAGTACGGACATGTAGAACTCTTGAGAACAGCCAAAGTACACACAGTATTCAAAGCCACCGCAAGGTATCACCAGACCTAAACTCCAACCATCACGCCTTTACCCCCCTATCCTACCTCGAAATCAAAGCCTGCACCTGCCCCGGATCCCCCATCGTCAACACCCCAAGATCAGGACTAACACCCCTAACCTGCGCCCCCGCCACCCCCTTCAAATTCCCTCCCTCAAAATACACCGGCGGCCCACCACCCGGCACGTGTATCACCCCACCACCACCACCCACCTGCGCAACCCCATACTGCACCTTCTTTCCCCCAGCATCCTTAACCATCTCCTCCACCTCCGCATTAGGATGCTCCTGCGCGAGCAACGGCGCATCAAACGCCTTAGCAATCTCCACAGGACTCATGGAGACTTTGCGGCCGAGCAGCCAGAACTGGTTGAAGGTGGCTAGGACGATGAGGACGGCGAGGAGGGACACGGCGGCGGCGGCGCCGAGGTAGGCGTAGTTGGATTGGTAGACGCCGGCGGTGCGGACCTGGTTGAGCTCGAGGGTTTGGAGGTGGGTGGTGGGCTTGGAGGAGGCTGTGAGGGCGGTGCGGAACATGAGCTCGCGGGCTTGTTGGAGGAGGTCGGGCACGGGGTCGTTGAAGAAGATGTTGCAGAGGCCTTGGGTGAGGCCGTTTTGTTGTTTTTGTGCTTCTGTGAGGTTGGCGAAGCGGGTTCCTGAGGGGCCTGTGGAGAGAACTTCGTAGCCGACTGCGCCCGCCCAGCGGATGTGGGAGACGCCGTAGAAGATGTCGCTCAAGGCGTGAGCGTAACCCCCGAGTTGGGTGGGGCCTTGGATGCCGGGGTCTTTGTAGTTGCCGAGGGATTCGACGACGTCGTCGAAGATGGACGACTTGGGGTCAAGGGTGATGGTGGAGCTGTTGCCGTCGATGATGACGGGGTATTGGACAGTGGCTGCCCGCAGGGTACAGTTCTGGATCATCATTTCGCCTGTACAAGCCGATTGATCTTTGTACTGGACGTCCAAGTTCAGTTGTCCGGGCTTGTCGTAGAACCAGGAGATGTTCGATCTGAACATGATGAATCCAGCTTGGGCGTCGATGCACTGCTGACTGCTGCCAGTGACCGAGTTGCATCCCTCGTCAGGGACAACATTGTAAGGAACAGTATACGTCGAACAGTTGACAGCCAGCCCAGCAGCAGCAAGATGGCCCGAACAAACCCCGTCACCAGCACAACCAGTATGATTCGCCGCAATACTCTGTCCAGCCTGATGCGCCTGCTCCACGTCAGCCTACACTCAACATCCTCATTCGAAGAGAAATCTAACCTGGAAAACCGGCGTAAACGCCTCGCTCAACAACGGCACAACCCTCAACCGTCCAGACATATACCCCGTCGGGAAATCAATCTCCCTCGCCGCCCTAACCGTAACATTCGCCCTGCTCTCCGTCCTTCTCACCTCGACCTCACCCGACCTCTGCAACAGCGGCCCATTGATCGGCGTGATAGCGAGGAACAAAGCCGCGAAAGCCACGAAGTTGAAATGACGACCGCTCCGCACAGCCGCGAGGGCGCTATGTCCGTAGTCCCAGGTATTGTGCAGATCGCGAATCGTCGTGCCGTCGCGGATGGCCGTCGTCCACCATGCGACGACGACGCCGCGGCCGAGGGCGTCCTGCAGGAGGACGTTGGCGATGGTGTAGGCGATGGAGACGTAGACTGAGGGTGAGTATTTCCAGCTGGATATGGGCTTTCCGTCAGAGTAGGCGAGGACTGCAATGGCTGCTAAGATGCAGGCTAGGGCGCCTAGGAGGGCGAGGATCCCGATCCAGGGGAAGCGACGGAGGATGCCACCTCGCCAGGCATGTTTGTTGTGTTTGGTTGTTTGGGAGTATTGTTGGGCGGCGATGGAGGATTTCGCAGGCATCGTGAGGATTGTAGGAGGTGGGATGTGAGGTTCGTGAGCTAGGGGTTGACATTGGATCCCAGCGTCTATATCTCTTCCCAAGGCCATTCTGCAGCTGACTTACGAGAAACGTTGCTTAGGAGCCATTGCATCTGCTTTCCGCCAAGACCAATAGACCCATCGGCGAGACCGTCGACATTCATGCTCTTCTTACATGGTCTTGGTACAACCCCTTCGAGACCCAACCCGCCAAGCCAAAGTACCTTCCCAAAGCGGAAGTCACGATTTAAGGTTCAGCTCACGTTAGCATGCCATTCGTAAGCCACATTTCAGCCTTATAGCAACCAGACACACGCCGCAGCAACATCCTCCACGCCAAACAATTCATGTGGTGATGCAGAGAATTGGAGTTGGTTTGGGCTGGGAATAGCTGATCAACCCCCGGCCCGTAAACGCAAAGGCATTTTCGCACGCATGCGGCTCTCGGCCGCACTTTGCTTACGCGCGAGAGTTACTACTCACAATTACAACGCCGTGACAATATGTCATGCCACACCGCTGTGACCCGTGTGGTGCATTGTCTTGTGCGTGCATGCGACTCTGTCGAGAAGTGCGTAGCGTAAGCGAAACATTTCGTCGCTGCGCGCATGGATGGCGAGGATACATACCTGAGATAGCTGGCTCTGCCTGCATTTTCAAATCACACCCAGATCTGTTCGTTCAGACTCCAGAATCTCAATCGCTGCTCTTACGATGTTTCTTGTCCTCCGAGCTTGCAATCTTTTCAAGATGTTCTCCATCTTCGCCATCCTCATCGCTCTGTTCTCCTCTCCCAAAGCTTCTGCGAGCGGCTTGCCACAACTGCCAGCACGAACGCTCCATGCAAAGGACGCCTTCGACATCGCCGGTTGGACACCCAAACCCACCTCAGCCCCGAAACTCGATCTCTTCCGCAGACAAGATTCAGACCTGTCGCCTCTCTGCGGTTTCGTCAACGGAAACGTTTGTACGTGCTCTTTCTCCTCTCCTTGCAGCCTCAGAATGCCTACCTGACATGCCAATTTCCCAGCACAAATCCTCTCCTGCACCGCCCAAACCGAATACTGCAACTTTGACGTCCCCTCTTCAGCGTTCGGCTGCTGCACCGGAAGCGAACTCACAGGCTGCGGATACTTCACCTCTTGTCTCGACTCTACTGCCCCTTGCGATGCGGCTTGTCAACGCAACACGGCGATTCAGAGATGTTCAGAGAGCCTGTTCCCGAGCTGCGTCAAGTATACGTATGATATCGCGGGAGCGATATTTAGCAATTTCGGGTGTCAGGATGTCGCGAGCACGCCGACGCCGGTGGTGGAGGTTTTGGCTACGACAGTTGATGAGACGGAGGCGGAGGAGACGGGCGCGGCGGTCGAGACGTCGAGTGCGGCGGGTTCGGATTCAGTTTCGAGCGAAGAGTCTGCTGCATTGTCGTCGTCGCCAACGTTGTCCTCCTCTTCTCTCGACAGGAGTAGCAGCGAGCCTACAATCGCGGCCTCCTCGTCGAGCAACGGGCGCCCAAGCCTAACCTCTTCGACTCCAGCATCTTCACGAGTCGCTTTCACACAGACTCAAGCAAGTGCCGGTGGGAACCAAGCAGAAAGCACATCGTCGCCCGCAGCGAGTTCGTCGGCGCCCGCATCTGAGGGATCTGCTTCAAAATCAATGGAGCACAGACGAATTTCGGTATTGGGCCTGTGTCTGGGTATATTTGCGTTGTGCCTTGCAGTTTGAGTGTACCTAATGTTAGGGGTGTCAATAGAGCTCCGTACAAATTTCCAGCTTTCTGCCCGTTCCGATTTAGCTGCTTTATTATAGACGACGATTCCTCCTGTGATCGCAAGGCGCATCGTATGCTTCGAAGCTGTTAGGAGAGGTGATAAAAGCGTCGCCCGAATCAGACACCAATGCCTCGTTTTCGCTAGTCCTCAGACCCAGACGGGCCCGACATTCTCGTGATGAATTCTCGTTCATTGATTGTTGTGCTCTCATCTGTGGCCTGTCGGAGATGGAATGCCGCATCTCGCATCGCGGAAGAGCTCGTCAGCGCATTTGCAGTCGCTGTGTTTGGTTTCTTGGCATTGGCCTTTTTGGTCCTGAATCGACTTCAAAAATTGTAAAGTCAGGGTCCAGCCGCCTCCCAATACTGAATTGCATCGTTCTGCTCACCGCGAGAGCGCGAAGGTGCTGGTCGATCCTCCTCGAGTGGAGATGTTGTGACTGCTGCTCTGTCGAAGGTCCAACTGCGCGTCCAAGTTCATGTGTCGCCCTGCCGGCAGGAATCACGGATTTCGAACGAACCTCCTCGCGGTTCTCATCCTAATCTAGCGCTTCACGCACAAATCTGTCCTGATGACCCACTTTTCACCATCTGTGACCTCCTGGCCCTCGTGAAGTAAGCACTCCTTCCCATGTCTATGTAGCAGCGCTAGCCCGACTTCCAGCTCGGCAACGATCGGGTCTGGCGCGGCTTGTCGCTTACTACTCGGCTCGGGGTGAAAAATCGTCGCGCCTCCCTGGCAGCCAGTCGCGGGAGACGAAAGGTAAAGCAGGAGCGTCCATGTCGTCTTCGCAGGCTGTGCATTAGGCGAAGACGACGATGGGAAGGAGACGTTGTTGGAGTCATCATCTGGCACGTCAACGTGTCAGTAGAAGCGGAATACTGCGATGCGAGTATTGCTCACAGTGCTGATCGAAAAATTGGCCCTTGCTGTACCTGTATATGCGTATGTTGCTGTTGAGGCCAAGTACGTCGCCGCCCCAGAGATTTCTCTTGTCGGCGTCTCCAAGTTGAACGCCATTGATTACGGGATTCGTGATAAGCGCTTGCAACGCAGTCTGACTCCACAGCTTGGCCGCAAAATCCTCGTCGTCCACGTGAAAGCGGTCGTTGACCCTGGTAGCTTCGCCGCGCTTGGGCCTTCCCGGCGTTGTTACCAGAGGCAGCGTCGCTAAAAATGTCCTGTATGATTTGCATAGGGCGACTGTCCAGAGCTTGACGGTCAATATCTGGTCCGCCAGCAGAGTATCAAGAGCCAAGTCGCCCGCGACCATCACGGGCTCCATGCTCGGCCAATTGAGGGATGTAGAATTTCCTTTGCGCGCCTGGTCGCTGGGTGTTGCGGCGGCTGAGTCTGCTTTTGGCCTCCTCGCCTTTGCCTTCGGTGCCATGGTAATGGGATCGATGTTGGAGGTAGGAGGGCGACCGACAGATGAGGATAGCTTGCTCCCTCTTCCGCCTTCGCTCTGCAGTCGACCTTCAAAATATTTTCGCTCTTGGGCTGCTGTGCGCTTTCCTTTCCCACCCTGAGATCACTGAAGCAGTCAGCCCACGAACGCACGATATCGAATATCCCTTGATCGACCGTCTCCCTCACATAGTGAAGATTCTCTTCTTTGTGAGGATATTGGCCAAGCGGAGTAGGCCGCGATGTGCGTCCTTTACCGGGACCCTGCCCTTCCATTAGGTGAGTCCTCTCTGCTCGAGAACATCTCCAACGCTGACCAGATGATCACAGTACCTCCACCAGGATTTAGACACGCAGACGAGAGCCTCAACGAGGCCGCACGCAGTGCTGCTGCGCTCGAACAAGAAGAACTGCCTGACCTCGGACCAGTTTTCGAAGTGGTTCAGGCCTATCGCCAACAAGAAGAGAGGCGAAAGCAGATCAAGGTAGTCTTGCGAGGCCAGCCAAGTGTTGCATTCCTCGAGATCGGGCAGCAGAAGGGAAGTGAGATTGCTGGTACGTACATTTCAGCTATCTCTTCTACTGTTAAAAGCCGCGGGACCGCGCCGTCAATCCCTCAGGTTTGAAGACCACCCTCGACCGAATGACTGGAGTATCCCCGGATCGATCCCAGGTTCAAGCAGACCAGAATCGTCGCCGTTGGTGTAGCCATTGCTGGCTTCGGGGAGACGTGAGGTCGAATTTGGACGAGACGAATGGCCGAAAGTCGCAGGGTGAACGATCCGACCGCGAAGCGCTTCTCCAGGGCATCAAGGGAGTAGGAGGAGCATGCTCCTATTCACCTTCTTATATCGCCACTTTCGGACGCATTTTGCATATAATTCTTCAGTGTGAGATTCGTCACCTGTCTTTTTGCCCGGGATATCCAATGGTCGTGGAAATAATCAGACGTGAATGAAAAGAGACCACGGATCTTGGACTGCCAGCCTTAGTCAGGCCAATTAATTTGCCGCCAGTCATCCCTGCTAGCGGCGCCGCCTTCCTGCGGGATCATATGAAGGCATGCAGCATTCCTTCACCGACCAGAGGCTAACGTCGCTGCAGATCCAGATGCGAACAAGAACATCCACCACCACCACCCCTCCCCCTCCATCTCTGCCACCGACGGCAGGGCCATCCCCACCGAGCAACCCCTACCTCACCTCAACCTCGCCCGCGACGCCGCCATCGTCCACCTCGAACCCCGACCCAACGGCGGCTTTGCTATTGGCGCCGCTCCTGTCCCTACGCTCTCGCCCACCCCGGTCGGCGTTCTTTGGCCCTCCCAGCTTCAGCGCCTGTTCGGTGGCCACTTCCAACCCAAGTTCAAGGGCCCAGTCAACCGAACTCCCCCGCGTCTGGTCTCTCGAGCGTACACCGCGGCGAAGCTGAGCCTCCTCCGCCTGAAGACGAGCATTCAGAATTATGAAGCCGGCCCGCCTCTACTACCACAAACGATGGAAAGCGCCGGCCTTCATGAGACACCCCTCCAACACCGCCACCACTCCCCAAATCTCCACGTGATGCCTTCCGACTTGGGCACGCCGGCCCATGTCACCGACCATGGCGTCCCCAGCAACCTCCGCAGCACGGAGGACAACCTGTTCGATCAACCTTTCCCTCCAGAGCTCGATCCTGTGGGCGCCAACGATCTGCCCCTCGACCATCCTACCCTCTTCACCACCTCCTCCCACGACCACGAGCCTGCGACGCCTGTGCCCAACAGCCTCGAACATGATGCAACCTCGGTCGCCTTGGACAGTGTCCTTGAAGCTCAGCCAGGACCACTCACTAGCGAACAGCTGCAGGAGAGCGGGTATGCCATGCTGTCCTTCGCCGACAGCTACCACGTGTTGAAGCATCCCAACCTTGTCATCGTTCGGGATGAAAACTACCAGCGACGCGCTCAAGCCGAGAAGAAGATGGAGAAGCGTGAGGCCAGACGGCGAGAGATACAGGAACGGCACACACAACAAGCTCTGAATGACTATGCTCAAGAGCCCAGTCAGCCGTCTCAGACCGGCGACGATGTGGCTCCTTATCCGTCGTCTGGATCCGGCGATGGCGATGCCCTCGAAGGACGTCCTGCCCGTGGCTTGCTGAGCCACTACAGCGAGCAAGGCGGTCCTGTCGCCTACTACCCTCCATCAGATGACGACGCGGAACGCTTTCGAAGACGGGAGCGCCGTCGCATAAAGCCCAGCTCCTCGTCTGCCACTTCCATTGCCCCCAACGACCTGCATCAGTTCGACACAATAACAATGTCTGCACGGGACGGTGAAGCCTACACTGGATCGGCAGCCACCGACGATGGAGAGAACTGGGCACAACTACCAGTCCACACTGCGAATCCAGACGACATCAAGCAGATCTCACGCGAGCACCTTATCTTCAGCTACGACCCCGAGAACCTCCGCTGGGTCTTGCATGTTGTGGGAAATAATGCATATGTCGGCGACCAGCTGTACAGGAAAGGCGACAAAGATATTCCACTGGAAAGTGGCACCGAGATTTTCATCTCGACTCTACGAATAGTATTCAGACTCCCAATCCAACTCGACAATTTCGAATCAGTCGACTCGGACGAGGAAGTCGATGAGCTAGACGAAGCGGCTACCGATGCGGACTCTACTCCCGAACGACCCCTCTCCAAGAGCTCAGAGGTCGATGTCGACGACGAGGATGCCGAGGAGCCGGAGCGCAAAACACAGAAACCCATCAAGCTGAAACTGAAAGCACCCAAAGCCCCTGCGAAAGAACCAAGTGCAGGCAAGGACAAAGGCAAGGGTAAGGGTAAGGGTAAGGGCAAGGAGCCTCCTGCGAAAGCAAGCGGCAAGTCGAAGGCTATCGAGGCCAAAGCGTCTGAACAGCCCGATTCAGCAAAGCCGGCCGATAAAGGCAAGGAAAAGGAAGCCTTGGAAGCCGCTGCTGCTAGATTCGGTCCTGAAGCTGTAGCCAAAACGCTAGAGCAGAATGGCTCCCGGCCTGCTAACATCCTGCCCGGCTCGATACTAGAGGGTCTTGCGCCGAACGAAATGCCAGAGAAGCGAAAAGGTCCAGGACGCCCGCCTAAGAATGGTTTTCTATCCAAGCGTGACGAGAGAGCTGTCATGCGCCGCCAGAAAGAATACGAGCGTCGTGGCTTGACAGTACCAGAGTTCAACGCCATCCTTGCAGAGGTTCGTGAAGAACAAAAGGCCAAGGATGCGGCAGCCAAGGGAAACAAGCTACGGCCCGAGGGCGTGCCTGATGCAGTGGAGAGCATTGAAGCTGCAGATCAGCCTCAAGATGGCGTTGGAGGCCAGACTCAGCCAGGAGATTCGCACACCTCTCAAAGTGCTGATCCTGCAGCGGGACTGGCGGGACCATCGGGACTCACCAGACGACCATTGAGATCGCCATCGCCGATGAAGCCGGCGGAGGAATTCACCGAAGAAGAGCTAAAGAAACCCCAGGCATCCTACTTTTACCTCCTGGACGAGATTTTGCAGGCGGTCGGCCAGGCAGACTTGCAGACGATCTATGACAAGTTCCAGAAGCGTTGGCCATACTACAAGTACAGTGTCACCACCAACGGCTGGCAGAGCAGCATCAGACACAACTTGAGTCAGTTTTCGAGATTCAAGCCCGTGGGCAAGGTTGGCAAGGGTCAGCTGTGGGCAATCGACTACAATGCGCCTCGCGAGGAGAACACCAAGAAGAAGAAAACACCGCCTCCACCGCGTCACCCTCAAGGGCCTATGCAGAATGGATCCATGCCTCCCGGCATGCCACCTCCATACCAGCATGGGCAGCATCCACCACAGCAATACCCGCCTCGATACAACCAGGGTGTTTACAACCCCGGACAAGGCCAGTACAGCAGTCCGTATGGATCCCAAGGAGGACAGTATCAACCGCATGGCAATCCTGGCCCTGCTGGCTACAACCAGATCATGCCACAGGTGAATGGAAGGCCGGTCAATCCTCAGGCTCACATGCAGCCGCCGCCAGCACCGATGCCACAACCCGTCCCGCCTGCAAACCCCGTTCAAGCGATTACAGCGGACATCATGCAGTTTCGGAATGTCCACATGGAACGCTTCCCACCGGAGGGGCCCCTCTACGACGCAGAAAGCAAGAAGTTCTTCCAGGGTGTGGATTATTTCTCCGCCATCTTTCATGGCCAAGGGAAGAAGGAGGAGCACTATCCTGGCGAAGAGGCTCTTCAGACTGAGCCTTGGGTGACGCTCAAGGCTATCTTCGACCGGCACGATACACGGGGTAGCATAGGAGCGAACTCGCAATCGGCCGAGTCGAATGGCGCAACGAACGGGCAGGGGCAGAGTCAGGTCGAAGGCCAGAGACCGGGTGACAATGGTGTCGCGAGCGGCCAAACCAACGGTCAAACCATGCCTCCACAGCAGCCACATCCTGCCCCGCAACAGGTCCCACAGCAAGTGCAGCAGCAAAGTGGCCATCAGGGGGCGCCTAACATGGCACCGCCGACTCACGTCATGCCAAACGTGGCTCAAGGTGTGCAGAACAGTGTGGCATCTCAGAATGCAGCCGCTGCAGCACAGACAGCTCAAATGCCACCTGTCAATCCTGCAGGCCCCAACGTACAGCCAGGCCCCCAACAGGCGATCCATCCTTCGCCTATCCAACCTGACGTGCAAATGTCCGATGGGCCAACTGGCGTCAATGGTGCCCAGCAGCCTACTGCGACGCAAGTAGCCACGGCGCCAACACCTGTTCAGCCTGCATTGCAAAGGCCCGACGGGCAATTTGGCGTGAGTACTGCGCAGCAGCCTATGGTGGCGCCAGCGTCAACATCTGTTCAGCCTGACATGCAGAAATCCGGTGCACAACTCGACATAAAGAATGAGCAGCAGCCTGCCGTGACGACCCCTGTCCTCGCTGAGGTCCTACCACAACAGACGCCAACAGCATCTCAGCCTGCACCTCCTGCAGACCAAAGCAAGCAGTCGTCGCCATCAGGGGAACAACCTCGTCCAGTGTCAGCCGGTGTCAAGCGTAGCGCTGCAGACGTCGAGATGCAGGACGCCGAGACGGAGGCTAAGCGTCTGCGAACAGAATGAGACACGACAGGGTATGCGACAACGATGGGAATGGGGCATGGCATGGCATGGCGTTGTGAAGATTGATGGCTCGAGCTTCCTCCGCCACAAGGGCATGGGAGGTTAATGAAATTTTGCTTTTTTCTGCTTTTTGCTTTGGGAGGGAGGGAAACACTGTTAGCAAGCGTAGGTGCTTTGGAGTTTCTGTTGGACAAAAAGTCTCTTTGCTTGGTTTGGGGGCGTAAATGATCGATGTGAGGGAGGGACTGGAGGAGCATTTGGGTGCGTGTGTTTTTGTTTCGGCATGGGAACATGGGAACGAGTCAAAAGAAGCATGAACAAAGTCTTTGTATCGATACACGTGACGCAGGCATTCCGGATGAATTGAATGATGATTTTGAATTGAATTGAAAGTTCAAAGGTCTCTTCGTCGTCTCCTTCATTCGTTGGGACCATTCCGTCTCTGCCTTTTACGGGGTCTTTTGCAGTTCTGAATTATCATCTATCATCTATCTCCTCTAGCCCTTCTAATCCCACCTCTCGTCCTCGTCTCGAGAAAATGGGGTACCACGACATCCTGAGCTCTCTTTTAAACTCAAGACACATTCCCTTACTTCAACTTCATGCTCATCTAATCAGAACGTGTGTCTTTCGCCAGAGAAAGCTTTGCGGTGCGGTCTTTTTTCGACCAGCAATACACTCATTCATGCACTTAGCGTTAGTCAGTCCCTGGGAGATCTCGCCCTCCCATGCATGCTCTTCAGCCGTCTTTGTACCGCACCCTTCTGCTTTTGATTTATGTGCAGTATCGAGTTCGTGTCTCGTCACACTTGGGTTGTGGTCTTTCAACCCCCCTCCTTCTTTTCAGGGTTCTGCTTCTTCTTCTTCTTCCGCAAACTATTATAATGCTCCCCCAACCCAAAGCCATGTTTATAGTATCCTAGCCAGAGCTCCTTCTTCCCTTCGCCATCACCCCCTTGTCCATCCCCGCCTTCAATCCTCTCCACCCTTCCATAATCCTGCAAAACACAAACCTCCACCCCATACGTTTTCGCGAGCGCCAAAAGCTCCAACTGTCCGCCCCATTCCGCCGTATCGCGGATCTTGTGCACGTACGTCTCGAGGGGTTCTTCGAGGAAAGGCTCGAAATCTCCAGCATGCGAGGAGATATACTCCGCCGCAGCCGTGCGGATGATCTTATAACTCGGCTCTGACGATTCTGTCGTCGTAGTGGTGGTCGTGGATATCGGTATGGAGAGGTATTTCAGCTGATCGGCGACGGCGGAGTAGAGGCAGTGGCCGTCAGCGCGGATTTCGATCTCGGAGAGGTGGTGCGCGGACATGCTGGCGAGCATGCGCGTGCGTTCGAGGGACTTGAGGTCGGGGAGGGATTGCGCTTCGAGGGAGGCTTGTTGCGCGAGGGCTTCTTGTTCGGCGGCGCGGCGGGCGAGGCGGTCTTTTTGGCGGTTGCGTTTTTTGGCGGCTCCTCCGTTGGGTTGTTGTTCTGTGTGGTCTTGTTGTGATGATGGGGGTTCTTCTGTGCCATTCGTCTTCTCTTGCGCTTCCTCCTCCCCACCGACCTTTAACGTCAACTCCTCCAACTTCCCACTCACTCCCTCCCCTCCATCATCACCATCACCAACAACCTCCCCACTGAACTCTCTAATCTCATATTCCTGCCTCTCCTTCAACTCCCTCTCCAACCGCTCACACTCCTCATTCACCGCCTTGCGCGTCTTCTTACTCGCCTGCTTCTTCTTCTGCGTCACACGGCTCTGCAAGTCGCGTAGTTCTTTGCGGTGCCGCGATTGGAGCTCTTCCATCCTCGCCGGAGGAGAAGATCAACAGGCACACCGTCGCCGGATGCTGTTGTTCGCGGGATCGACCGGTCCGTCCGAATGTATGTACAGTATCGTCGATCAAGATCATCAGGTCCTGTCCTGGATTGTAATCAGGCACCTTCCCAATTGAACCACAACTTCACCACGAGAGTTTTGTACGAGTGAAGGTTGGCTGCAGGTCTCACATGCAAAGCCAAGAAAGCGCGGGCCCAGCCAGAACGCCCCCCACCACGTGCGGTCGAATCCCGCCGAGCAAGCCACCACTACACGCCAAACTCTCACCTCGTCTTTTCTCCTCCATTACGCTTTCTGACTACTGCACACGCCGGCGCACTTGTAACAAGCAAACAAGGCTAATAAGAGGTGAAGGCTTGAGAGGTCATGCAGGTTAGACCTTGGGTCGGGGCCCAGACTTTGAAGCCTGACCTGCAGTAGTAGTAAGCTTCCACAGACTCCTCGGCTTGTTCGGTAGCGAGGAAGATGGGTCCCTTGGTGAGAAGAGAGGATTTTTTGTTGAAGACTTTGAAGGGTGTTTAGTGTGCTGCTTGCTTGGTACTATCGAAGTGTATGCGTCAGGGACGATCAATAGGTCGAGATAGAACGAGGGAGCGTCGGTCAATAGATGAGTCGTTGAGGGTGAGGAGAGAGAGGTTCAGACGAATGGGTGGGTTTGGGAGTAAGGACAGGAACATGGGTACGCTCAACAGCAAGTGAGTAGAGTGAAAGGTGATGAAGTCAACGGGTATGAAATGAAGCTGGTGAATGAGCGTCGTGTTTGTCATTCGCATATCATCGTACTATCCGTTCAATCCCAAGACCCATAAGATCGTACAGACACATTGACCCGTTGTCCCCTCTATTATGGTAAAGACCTCTATATTCGCTTCTTGTCATTCAAAAGCGAGCATCAAAAGAAAAGAGAAGATAGACCACACTCTACCAAGTGAATCTCATCAGACCCCTGCTCAGATAGTTAGCATACGATCTTTCATCAGTGGAAGAGGGTATCAAAACTTACGGGTTAAGAAGCACCGGCAGTCCGAAATGTCCCACCACAATCGAGCACAGAGGGTAAATCGCCACAAACGTATCAATCTTCCAGAACGCGGGCGCGAACACGGCCAACGCAATCATCATGACGGTGCAGAACGCACAGAAAATGAACGTCCCCTTGAAGTTCTTGAGCACCTTGGGAATTTCCTTGAAGAAGGTCGTGTTCTCGGCTTCCTTGCTCGTGGCACCCCACGACATGTCGATGCTGCAGAGATGGGAGAGGATAGCTTGCGAGACGTGCAAGGAGACACCGCCGAGGAAGATGGTGAGAAGCGGCACCCACGAGAAGTTCTCAATTATGCAGCCGAACAGTGTGCCTTCGCCGATGCGGTAGCGCAAGACTGCGAGGGCGAGGTTGCCGAGCCCGGAGAAGATGATGATGATGGCGAAGTAGATCTTGAAACTGTCCATATAGTAGTGGTCCAGCGCACCGTTGTACCAGCCCATAAGGAAGTAGTTTGCCAGCGTGAAGAGCCAGGCGGAGCCTAAAGCGAAGTAGGTACCGACGTAGGCCATGATAGTGAACTTGGAAGGCAGGGGCATGCGGGAGCCGAGGAAGCGTAGGAAGAGTTTGGTGAAGGGACCACGAGTGAACCAGTAGCGGAAGGGCTGGAAGATGAGCTCTGAGCAGCCGTAGGCGTACTTTTCCCATCGAGCCAATTCGTCGTAGACGGTGAGGGAGACACCTTCCTGGAAGCCGTCGCCGGTGTAGCCGCCCAGACGGACGACGTAGCCAACGGTCTGGAGACGGAGGGCCATGTCGAAATCTTCGGAAACCGTGTCCTCGGACCAAAACTTCTCGCGCTCGTCGAGCTTGCAGTCGTAGCCGATGGCTTGCACCGCAGACCAGCGGAGGACAGCGTTGTGGCCGACGAAGGGGGCCACGTCACCGTTGGCCACGGCGAATCTGATAGCGGTGTAAATGAGGTGAGTGAAGAAAGTGATACCACGCTCGAAGAAGGAGTCGGTAACGTTCATGACACCGGACGAGTACTGGATGATCGCGACTTGTGGGGATTGCTCCATTTCAGACACAGCGTCGAGGAAGCAGTCGGTAGGCACACGAGTGTCAGAGTCGATCAGAAGGATGTAGTCACCCATACGGATGTTGCCATCAGCCCAGGTACGGCCTTCGTCGGCCTCAACGACGGCGGCCAGAGCATCGCGGTAGGCATGTGCTTCGTCCTCTTGAGTCCAGCCCTGGTGGCGCTCGAGCGTCTCCAGCATTTCTTCGACACGGTTGCTGACCCAGAGAGCGTAGTTCATGTTCGAGGCCTTCTTGAACTTTCCTCTTCGTTGGAAAACCTCCTCGCCCTCAGCTGGCTTCGGGTTGTGTTTGGGACGAGCAACCCAGCCGATGTTGTGCTCATCGTAGAAATCTTGGCGACCCCGGGCGTCATCTTCAGAAATCAACTGCATACCATCGTCGTTGACAAAGATGTTGGCAGTTCCACCTTGCATTTCATAAGTGGAGATGGCAGCCTTAAGAGAGCGAACAGTAGGCTCAATGACAGCGTGAAGACCTTCCTTGTAGACTGGCATTTGAATGGTGACGTGAGGGAGCTGGCCAGCGCCTCTTCGCAGGCGGCGTGGTTTGAGACCGGAGTAGAACTTCGTATTCTCGTTCATTTGCGAGATGGGTCCAATGAGCTGAGCGAGGTTGCCGACGATCGACTGGAAGAAGAACAGGGCCAGCCACATCTGCAGGGGCACGACGAAGATGAAGGCGCATCGAATGTAGTTCTTGTCGACCAGAGTCTCAATGGCGATCTTCTGGAAACCGGTACCAATGCAGAAGAAGGTAAGGCACATGGTGAGGCCAGAGAGGATGGCTTGCCAGAGGATGATTTTTCGGGGTTGTTCGACGGCACCGCGCTCAACGAAGTCGTCATCGTCTGACACCTCCTGGACAGCAACGCTGCCTTCTTTCTTTTCGTCTCCCTCTTCACTCTGGTCGTCCCAGATCATCTCCATGAGCGACTTCTCAATCTTGTGTGCACGGTCGAGTAGGTGACGAGGCTCATCGTCCCAGACGACCAAGAGACCACGATCGGCAATGAATGCAGCGAACTGATGCTTCTGGCAACGTGGGAGGTAGGAGATGTCAGGGAGGACTTGAAGGCGGAGACCGTTCTTGAGAGGAACGTATGGGCGCTCGTTGTTGTGGAGGAAGAGCTTGATCACACGGGTGTTGACCGTCATTGCAACCTGGTTTAGAAGTCAGTGCTGATACGACGCAATGTGAAGATTCATCAACTTACTCGGACGTTCAGCGTCTCAATGGCTCTGTAGAAGCCGTAGGGCTCCTCAATAATGTCGCCGGGGCAGCAAGTGTACTGTCCTCGGGACTTCTTCAAAACCACACCCTCGTCAATGCCACCAGCAGTCCACAGTCTCTCCATTTGCTGTTGGTAGAGCCAGTTGACCATGACATCGCACTTGATCTCATTGATGTCGTCGGCCTGAGAGTTTCGGAAGTCGCCCACTGGGTAGAGCGAGGCTGGTCGAGACCATCCTGGAGTTGCAGTGCCGGGTGTTGTAGCAGCGGTACCTGCTGGAGCTTCTTCCTTCTCGGACATCTCAGGTTGAGCATGTTCAGGCTCTTCCTTCTTGCCCTTCTTGGGCTTCATGTACGAAAGCAAGCCCATTTTGGCGGTGTTGGAGAAGTCGAAGTGTTTCCCCAGGGGTTGTGAGTTTGGTTATGTGTTCTGGGCTGGGGGATATTCTTGATACTGCGAGCCTCTTGAAGCGAGCTGCCTCAATGACCTGACAATATGGAGCGAGCGAAAAGACGGCAGTGACAGCGAGGCGAGCCCCGTTGCACGCGCTTGGAAACGAAAGGATGCAGACACAAAGGTCTTGTCAGGCACGAGTACAGCAAGAGATTCGGAAGGAAACAGAAACGCTGGGCGTCTATCACCTGTATATGAGCACGGCCTTGGGTCGTCTGTCCGTCTACGCATCGATGGGCTGAACTCTGGCAGGCCCCAGTTCCAAGCTCGTGTGAGAGAGCCTGTGATTCTGGAACGCCACGAACATTGTAGCGGCGCAGTAGGTTTGAGGCGTTTGGGCGGGAGTCCAGAAGGCGTCCCAGAGTGTGCAACACGCTCACGGGCAGAGGTCGAAGGACGGCAAAGCGATGCCATTCTGGGTCGCCCGGCCGCTAACGCTAATCGCGTGCCAGAGATAGGGTTTGCTGTACCTTTCCAAGATAGCTGGAACGTTGACTCTTTGCGACAGGCGCTAGGCGGCTTCGGGATGGGCCCGTCCAAACAGCGTAAGGCCTGGGAAGCATTGATCCAGCTATGGAAAAAGCCAGTCCTCGGGTGGTGAAATCCACGACTGGCAGGCGCCGAGAAAGCAAGGCGAGACGGCCGATTTGCAACAAGCGTGCGTTGGGACGATTCAACAGCGCTGTCGTCGATGGCGCGACGTTCATCGCGGTTCGACGGCCATAGCACAATCTCGATATGAGACGAGGTTGTCGTGAGGACATGGTCGGCCATGGTGTGAGGTGTAGCCGTCCGCCACGCAGGCCCAGACAGGCGAGCGAAACTGAGCATCAGTCGACGAGGCGATGGCCCCCGCCAGTTATCAGTGTCAGCGCAGGAGTGGCAGCGAGGCGAGAATTCGAGTGGCCGGATGGCTGCAGCGAGATGCGTAAGGTGCGGCGCCCTCTGGATTGCCCACGTTTTGCGCTGTGTGAGAGGCGTTCCCAGCTGCATGTGTAGCGGCAACTCAGCGACAGCAGTCCACCGCAGCGGAGCAGCACCGGCGATGCGCTGCGAGGGCAGTCTGGAAGGACATCCGGGCCTGTCGACTGCATCCAGCGCTTGTCCTGTTCTCCTTCACTCGCAGCGGCATGCAGCGCTGGTGCAAGACACGGTGGACCTCGAGCTTCCACTGTGCTCTGACGGCCAAAGTCTAATCCTTTAACACACCGAGCAAGCAAAGCAGCTGCCGCGGCCAATCGAAGCACCGCCGAGCAGGCGGATAGCTGCATCGAACAATATTTCTCTCACATTTCTACCAGGATGTCCTCGGGCGAGAGCCCTATTTGTAGACGCGGGTGCTTGCAGCAGTGTGTGTCGAGCGCTGTCTTCGATTCAGCACTACTGGGCGGGCCTAGCTCCATTCTGCTCCTTGAACGGGCAGGATTCTGTTTGAGCCTGTTCGCTTCGCGCGACGATTACTCGCTGCGGGTATTCTGGGCCATCCGGTCGATGTGTAGAGGTGATGTTGATGGAAGACAGGAGGAGGTGCGGTCCAGGAGCAGTTGCGATGATCCCGGCACGTTCGCCCGTGATCTTGTGCTACCAAACTTCCAACGTGAACAGGGCGCTCGAACGCTCTGCCACGCCATGTCTCAGATCAACCGGCCCAACGATCGGGCACCGCAACAGTCGGTAACGTGCTTTTCTGGAAGCCGTACCGACTTTTGCTGCTGACGTGGGACTACAACCGCTACACGTCGCTACACGGTGGACATCACCATACCAGCTTGACAGAAAGACTCTATCCTACATTTCCCAACCACGCCATTGAACCTCCCACGCCATGAAGACCATGGCTTGCGGTGTCGCGGCTGCGGAAAGCGAAACCACCAGCAGCCAACCGCCATAGTGTACGCCTTGCCTCCACCATAGCAAGAGCCACATATGCTGGGGTCAAACATTCGAGGCGTTCCCCAAACAGCACTCGCATGAGTCCAACACACGCCAGGACGCCACGTACAGGGCGGTGACACAGAATTTCTCCGATTCAGCATCGTACAACTATAGCCTGTCTCGTTGACATTTTGGCGAGGTCAACACGAGTCCTAAGCATAACTCGGACTGACCGTTCGCTTCTTCATCGTCAGCCAAGAGTGGTAGTTGCAACACTCGTTTACTGCCCAGGTTCGCGCCACAAGCAAGTACCCGTTCGGTCTCTCTCCATCCAAACTCCTAGCTACTGATCCCCGAGGTTCCCCATACCCACACAGCCTTGAACGCCACAAGCAATGACGAAAGTACGAAATCATCCTAGCACTCCATTCGAGATCACTCTGCTAATCTGTTGGCGTTGTCAGTCTAGGCCTTGGAAGTTGATCGACTCGACTCACCTGTACTGAACCACGGTGTCGATGCGATGCGAGTTGGTCGAGAAACTTCTCAATTGCACCTTCTCTGCATTCTTGACCTCCTTTGCGTCACTGTCGCCCCACTCGAGTGGCACTTCGCTGTCGGCATCCGCGTAGACCAACACGTTGAAGGTATGATTGCCATCAAGCATCGGCAGGAAAGTGATCGAGGCAGTGATCTGTCGGAACAGTGCCTGGATCTCGGACTGGATCTCTGATTCCGCTTTCTCTGACTCTGGAGCAGCTTGGGCATTGGAGTCTGGAGCTGAGTTCTCCTTGTCTCCAGACGAGTGGCCGCGCTTCTTGTTGCCGTCATCGTTGAAGATGTTGACCTTTCAAGAGTCAGCATTCTGAGGCTCACGATGCACCACACACTTTGCTCCATAGCAAACACTTACGTCAAATTGCCACCGTTCGACATGCTCTCCTGTCTCCTTGCTGGTGACGACAATGACGAGCTTGGAGATCTTGGATTTTTGCATCCACTTGCTAAGCTGGCTCATAATTTTCTTGATGTACGCTTTGACTTGGTCGTCAAGCGACACCATCATGTTCAAGCCATACTTCTTGACCCTGAACTCAGTGTTAGCTAGATCGCGCTCCCCTCGTCTATCATCTCTACGTACACCGTGAAGTCTTCCGATGGGTACACGCCGCGCTGGAATAGTATAGTGTTGATCGAGTACTCGAAGAATTCCGTGACCAGTTTCGAGCTGCCCTTCAGCGAAAGTTTATGCGTTTGCGCCTTATCGGTGGAGGACGAGGATTTCTTCTCGGTAGACGACGATGTCTTCTTCGCCGTTGATGACGATGGCTTCTTTTGTGCTGGCATTCTGGATGAAATTGGCATCGTGATGGTGTGGTTGTGCGATCAAAGTCTCGAGAGGAAGTTGGATGTTTACCTCAGGCGTTTCCACGGCAGCGTCGGCAAACCTTCCTTTTCCGCCAACTTCTACCACTCGACTTGTGAATTTCACGAACGACACACGACCAACGATGATCTCGAATGGGCCTGATGCGACGATGCTTACCGGCGACTGAGAGCATCTTGAGCCTCGTACAGCCTTTCACACCTCGCAATGCGACATTCACGGCTCGAATCGCTTTCAATCGCCAACGAACATTAAGCACCAATCCTCGCCTCCGTGCCTCTGCCAAACCCGTCTCATCACTGGAAGAACGGATCTCGAAGATCCCCATCGAACGATTCCGTAATTTCTGTATCGTCGCACATGTCGACCATGGCAAGAGCACGCTCTCAGACCGGTTGTTGGAGCTCACGGGAACGATTCAGAAGGGAGGCAAGCATCAGATCTTGGACAAGCTCGATGTGGAGAGGGAACGAGGCATCACGGTCAAGGCGCAGACGTGTTCCATGATATACAATCACGAAGGTGAAGACTATCTGCTGCACCTGGTCGATACACCGGGCCACGTCGACTTCAGAGCTGAAGTCAGTCGCAGTTATGCGAGCTGTGGAGGAGGTACGTTGACAATTACGCTGTGGACGAGTGTATATTGACATTGTACAGCCCTACTCCTTGTGGACGCCTCGCAGGGTATCCAGGCACAGACGGTCTCCAACTTCTACCTTGCATTCGCCCAATCGCTCGCCTTGGTACCGGTCCTGAACAAGGTAGATCTGCCATCTGCAGATACCAAGCGCGTGCTTGAACAGCTCAACGATACATTCGAGATCGATGCGACGAACGCCGTCATGGTGTCAGCGAAGACTGGTCTAAACGTAGAAAAGCTCTTGCCCACAATCGTGAACGACATCCCCGCTCCAATAGGTGACGAAAATGCGCCGCTCAAGATTCTGTTGGTGGACAGCTGGTACGACAACTACAAAGGCGTGATTCTGCTTGTTCGAATATTTGAGGGTAAAGTGAAGGCCGGCGATCGAGTCGTCTCCTTCGCGACAGACATTGAGTACATCGTGGGAGAGGTTGGCATGATGTATCCTCTCGAGACCCCACAGACTTGTCTTCGTGCAGGGCAGGTGGGATACATATACATGAATCCTGGCATGAAGCGCAGTAAAGAGGCTAAGATTGGTGACACTTACACTACTGTTGGCAGCCGTGACAAGGTGGAGCCACTTCCAGGCTTCGAAGAGCCGAAGAGCATGGTTTTCGTGGCTGCTTTCCCCACAGACCAGGGTGACTACGCACATCTTGAGGACAGCATCAACCAGGTCACGTTGAACGATCGGTCTGTCACTGTCACGAAGGAAAGCAGTGAAGCGCTTGGAGCGGGCTGGCGGCTCGGATTCCTGGGCACGTTGCATTGCTCAGTCTTCGAGGATCGGCTACGACAAGAACATGGTGCGAATATCATCATCACACCACCGAGTGTACCGTTCAAGGTCGTGAAGAGGGACGACAGCGAAGAAATCATCAGCAATCCGAACAAGTTTCCTGAAGGACAGGAGGTTCATCAGACCGTAAAGTCACTTGAGGAGCCGTACGTTACTACGACTATAACGACTCCTGAAGAGTACCTCGGGAAAGTCATTGAGCTATGTGAGGGAAACAGAGGCCAACAAGAGACGATATCGTTCTTCACGGCCACGCAGGTGATTGTCAAATATCTCTTACCTCTCGAGAGGCTTGTCGACGACTTCTTTGGCAAGCTGAAAGGTCTGACGAAAGGATATGCATCACTCGATTACGAAGATGCTGGGTACCGTCAGGCAAACATCGTCAAACTCCAACTGCACGTTAACAAGGTCCCGGTCGATGCGGTGGCGCGGGTCATTCACTATTCCGAGGCCGAACGGATTGGAAAGCAATGGGTCACCAAGTTCAAGGAGCATGTCGACCGGCAGATGTTCGAGGTCGTCATCCAGGCAGTCGCAGGCAAGAGGGTTGTGGCTCGAGAGACTATCAAGCCTTTCCGGAAAGACGTGCTCCAGAAGCTCCATGCCGCTGATGTGAGTCGTCGCCGGAAGTTGCTCGAGAAGCAGAAGGAAGGCCGACGAAAACTGCGAGCTGTGGGAAATGTTGCTATCGACAACAAAGCCTTCCAAAACTTTTTGGCTAAGTGAGGACCGCCTTCAACTCGGATGCCATTGACTTGCGAGTCGCATGCTATTCATGCACCTCAGGTGCCTCGGACCGGCCACCAGGTCACTATCTCCCTCTTGCCAACGTTACTGCGCCTCGTCTGCCCGCCGCCCTCCTTGTCCTCCTCAACAGCCTTTTCGTAACCTCTCGTTCTTCTTGACTGGACGAGGACGACGATTACATAGATGAAACTTGCGTAGAAAGAGATTCTACTCAAGCATATTAGTCAAGGATACTTTGGCATGCAACGGGAAACCCATACGCAGTCGGAATGGCCATCCAAGTGAGGACTCTCACTATGATCGGAAGGTACTCTCCAAATATCCCGCCTGGAAAAATGGGAATTGGCAAAGTATCGACAATGAACAGTGGAGCCCACACGCTCCAAAATAGGGCCTTTAAGGACTGCAGGACGAGGTACAGCCAGGGTTCCAGTACGTCCTGGCTCCACAGCACCACTTCGAACGGCTCCGCTACGAAGTTGACGAAAGCGAGAGGCAATCCGACAGTATAGCCAATAGTTCAATATCAGCGCAATTTTACCGTGCTTTGCCAACAACCTCGACCACTTACGGCGGAAAATGCTGTTCCTCACGACCTTGCAAATCCATTATCCAGGTCGCAGTGACCAGCATTTGGCTAACGAGTAGCAGGATGTGAACTATCCACAGGGCCCACAACAGAACAGGTGAGTATAAGTCTGGACGGTACATTGCCGCTGACCCGACTGAGAAGATGGAGTTGTAAGAGGTATTCGCTCTTTGTATGATTCAGCTTCGGTCCCTTTAGACATCTTGCGCCTCTTATCCAACGACTGTACTCATGAGACGACATGTTGGTAACCAAATTTGGCAATTTAGGGTGGCACTGTACGTCTCTACAGCGAGTGCTGCCGTCAGCGCCGCGCTGTTGTGCTGATTCTTGGCTGTCCGCCTGCTGCGAAGGGCTGAGTTGGCACAAAAGCAGCCCTTTGAAGCACCAGTGCCTTGCGCACACCCACCAGACATACACCGCGCTTTGTCTATTTCGACTACACGGACGTAATGGCGTCTGATCAACTGGGCTACAGATTCGATCTACTATCGAGAAACTTCTTGGGTATCGGCACATGCACATCGCGAATGAATTCAGCGAACCCTTTGCCCAAGCTGTCCAGCAACCTCGAACTGGTCACACCTCGCCCTAGAGGTCCATAGACGACGAAGTGCACGGCTTTGATCTCTGGCATCTCGACACGCTCGAGGTGATACCAGTGTTTCCAGTCGGTGCCCATCATTTCGCGCATCTTAGCTTTCGTCATGAGAGTCCGCAACCATTCCCATTCTTCTTGGGTGTGGACGAAGAGACCGCAGTTGACATTTGCGCCTTTGTCGCCTGATCGACCGAGCGCGATGTCCCCCAGTGGTGCCATGACGGTTTCGCCGAAGGACTCTAGGCCTATTGGATTGCTGGTCTCGTAGTCTTCTCTCGGCTCGAGGGGTTCTGATTTCTCAGGCGGTCCGACAGCGAACCTTTGGACTTGTGAGTTGGTCTCGCCGATGATACTGACGGCCTCGTCTAGTTCCGATTGTTCTAGGATTGCGGGATAGAAGGCAAGGAAGGGCTTCGGGGCGGCTGTTCGTAGATCAAGTGAGCAATGGAATCCTGGCAAGGAGGTTAGTGAAAGAGCATGAAGCTGACGAGACAAGACACAGACCTGCAAAATGCTGCATCGAGTTCGTCGCCCAAGCAGGCAGAACTTTGGCAACGACGTCCTTATCCTGGGCCTGAGCAAACACGCGAAGATACGTCGTGCTCGCCAATTGGCAAGACGGGTTCGACTCCGGCCTTCCAACCCATTGAAAATCGAGGATGTCGAATTTATCCAGGACCCCCCAATCTTTGAGCTTCGTCTTCAACTGCGCTTCCTGAAGAGCAAACTTCTTGGCCGTCGCATACCCACTCGCATTCAGCAATAGCTCGCACTGCCATCCGCCCTTATAGAAGATGGCGAGTTTGGTCGTTGGAGGGGGCGGGTGGCCTTTGATACCGGAGACTTTGACTCGATCTTTCCCGACGTCCTCGATGGAGATGTGAGTGGTGTCGGCTTTGACGTCGCTGTTGAGGTAGATGTTTCCCTGGAGTTCGTACAGAAACTGACACTTGACAGTGTCTGCGTTCACGAAGCCGTTGAGCGCCTCGTGCTTGGTCACGATGCAGTCGCCGTTTGCGTCGACTTCGACGATGCCAAAGCCTAGATTGAGCAGTTCGGCTATGTCGTGCTTAAAGAATCCACTGAAGTTCGCCCCGGTGATATAGCTCGAGCATTCGATCAGATGTCCAGCGACTAAGGCCCCAGCGAGAGCGTCGAAATCGTCGGAAGCCCAACTGTGCCACCAAGCCGCAGCACCGATCACAGGAGAAGCATCAGCGACACGGCCACAGATGATGATATCAGCTCCCTCTTCGAGTCCACGGCGAATCGCTCTCCCGCCCAAGTACGCATTCGCAGAGACGATCTTATTCTGCTCCCGATCCTCAAGAAAGACCTGAGTATCTTTCGCCAGCTGAACATTCCCATTATCCCTATCAAGATGCGGCAACGACGATTGAGACTTCAAGATATCATCAATCCTGTGCATCAAATCATCGCCTTCGACCCAGGCGACTTTGAGGTTGAGGTTCTGCGATTTGCAGAACTCGTGGACTTTCTCTGCGAGGCCTTTGGGGTTCAGGGCGCCGCCGTTGATGACGAGCTTGATGCGTTTGGAGTCGAGGAGGGAGGCGGTTTGTTCGATGCCGTCCCAGGCGGTTTGGATCCAGCCGGGGTGTTCGCCTTTGGACATGGCTTCGGCATCGTTGCCTAGGTTGATTTCTGGACGGACTTGTTAATCACTACGCGGTGGTGATGATCGTGGACGACTGACCTGCGAGGTAGTCTCCTGTGATTACATCGACGGGACCGTATTTGGCTTGATTGTCTTCTCAACGAGACAACATCAGCATTGTCCAGGAATAGGAAGCTTGCCGCTTGATGCACATACACATCTGGTAGCCAGGATCCGGTACTGCGCCTGAGCAGTTTGCGATTCTGACTGGTCTTTGCATGGAACCCATCTTGCACAATACGTCTTACTCGCGGTAACCTATAGGATCTATAGGATGATGTTTGCAACGACCAAGGGCAAGAAGTCAAAAGCCAAATCATGGACAACGTGCGTAACAAGACTCTCGCCAATGACGAGTCGCCCACCTTCGGTCAACAAGTTCCATTTCACCATTGCCGGACCCCTCTTCGAACTGGAGCACACGGGTACTTCGACCTCACTGCCCAGCTATCATGATACGCTATCGACATCTTGTCCCACTTTACGGCCCGAGGTGATGGAGGATTTTACGCTGATGCTTATGCGGGGCCATAGCTATTTTACCGCGACGACTACTGTCTTTGAACGTCGTAACCGCTAACCGCATGTTGTGTTAGACACGCATAAAAACCAGTCGGTTCTTGTCTGTCATTGTTTTCGACACGGGATCAATCGAGCGTCGCCCAATAGCTACTTAAGAACACGAGTACATCTACCCAGCATTAGCTCTCCGTCTCTCCTTTACAGCAAACGACATCAAGCGCTACACCTCCAAGAAGCAGAATCAACAAGATGGGTTCCGTTGGCGAAACGACATACTCCATCCCCAAGGAAACCAAAAAGATCTTCGAGAACGAAATCCTGAACAACCCCCTGATCCCGTCTCTCCCATCGGAAATCCACGAAGCAGGCAAACTCGTCCATTTCACCGGCAACGACGCCCCAAGCATCCCCATCAACTGGCGTTTCGCAGAGAGCGCCACCGCGTTGAAAGCCTTCGAGGCCAGTCTGCTTAACGTGCTACGCATCCGCAAGTACAAAGACCAGTGCAAACTCTCCGAAGTCGAGATAAACACGGACCATGCCTCGCTGTTTGTGATGAGCCCCTTCCTCGCACAGGTCGTGGAGAAAGATGGCAAGCCAAAGTCGAGTGGAGTAAACTTCCTGGACGCGAAAGCTGCTGAGAAGATCGGGATCAAGAATACGGATCTCCACCGTGCGGGCGCGACGTTGCAGAGGCAGCTTGCGACGAATATTTATCAGACTAAGGATGGGAGGTACTATCATGTGCACGGGAGTATGAACCCCGAGCCGACGTTGACGGCGTTGGGGATGGATTTGGAGGGTGATCCTAACGGGGAGAAGGACTATATCATCAAGGGTTTTGAGGAGGTTGTCGGCAAGATTGATTCCAAGGACCTGGATGCGCTGATGAACGAGAAATATCGCCAGGCGGGCACGATCTGTTGGTCGACGGAGGAGTTCAAGCAGAGCGAGCATGGGAAGGCGAATGCGCATGTGGGGTTGTATGAGTTGGAGAGGGATGCGGGTACAGAGCAGCCGCCTTCGTGGTGGCCTGAAAATAGTTCGGTGCCTTCGTCGCCGAGCAGGCCTTTGGCTGGGTTGAAGGTTGTTGATCTCACGAGGATTATCGCGGCGCCTACGATTACGAGATGTCTTGCCGAGATGGGGGCCAGCGTGATGAGAGTGACATCGCCTCATGTCACGGATATGTCGACTCTGCATCAGGACTTGAATTGGGGTTGGTCCTCACTCACTCCCCTATCAGGAATGCCGACTGACAATTCTAAACAGGCAAATGGACACCTCACCTCCACCTCAAAGACGAATTCGACCGCCTCAAACTCCTCGAACTAATCAAAGAAGCCGACGTCGTGGTCGAAGGCTACCGCCCCGAAGTCATGAAGAAATACGGTCTCAGCCGTCAAGAGATCTTCGAACTCGTCAAAGGCCGTGGAAGAGGTATCATCCACGTCAAGGAGAACTGTTACGGCTGGAACGGCCCCTGGCAGCATCGTAGTGGATGGCAGCAGATCAGTGATGCCGTTCGTCCCCACCAAGCCGCTTTTCCTCCACACTCAAATCCTCCGGCCAGTACGCCTGATCAACCCCATTCCCCCTCGTGCCCACATTATACCTCAACTCGACCCCATCCGCAAACCTCGCCACCGGCATAACTCCGACAAACTCCAACCCACCCAACGCCTTACTGACCCTCCTCTCAAAAAACTCCTCCCTAAACAACGTCTCCGCATCAAACTTATGCAACATCCCCAACATGACCGGCAACGTCTGCAACATCGAATCATAATTCTTGAACACGTACTTGCCGTGGCGCGACCACACGTCCTGCCAGATTGGGGCGGGGTACTCCCCGACGGAGTTGACGAGCCATTGCGAGTAGTAGTTGAGGGCGACGTTGATGCCGTAGGAGCCGCCTTGGGTGCCTCGGTTGATGAGCGCGTGCAAGATCGCGGAGGAGCCGATTATGCCGGTGCAGTAGTCGGAGTTGGGAAAGACGGGGGTTACGGCGGCGGTGTGGCCCATTGCGTGGCCGTAGGCGAGAGACGCCGCAGCACTGTTATTACTTGTTAGCGGGAATAGATGGAGGTCGTTGCTTAGGTGGGAAAGGGGTAATTGCTATTAGATCTGGTATCGTCTTGGAAGTTCTTTTGTCCTCAAAGCTGACGATCTCTCAGGCTATGCAGTCGGCTGTATGACACGCTTTAGTTGACTTTCATTCACTTGATCTCTACCGGGCCTGATTTGTTCACTACGGGACGACGCCAATGCCGTGAAACACATTCAGTTCAGCTTCGTCCTCGCTGCCCACGCCCCATTAGAAGCGATCCAATCGTAGCCATCTTCGTATCAAAAAGGCTACCCTGGCCACCTTCAGCTGGATTCGTGGATCCAATGGCCAGCTTCGGGACATGCATGCCCAGATTGTGGCTGTCCCGAATTAGATGCCCCGCGACAAGGCTGAGACATGAGCCCAAGAGGTGGGTGTAGGTATATTCGGCTTACTTTCAGTCTACTATCTCAATCTTCCTCTAAGCAAGCAGGATCGCTGTAAGCGTAGCCGCTATCGACCAATCCTACACGCACTATTCACTATCATGGGGATTTCGATGAGAGATCACCCAGAACTCGAGGATTTGGATGACATCTGGCTTTTTGCCACTGACGACTCGACCTTGGACGAATCTGACAGCGAACGCGAGACAGCCACTGACACAAGCTCAAATGTCCCACGACGAAGACCTCGAAAATTCAGCAATACGAGATCGACGCTCAGCCCACGTGTCACAATATCACACGTGACGGATCACTTCGATCAATATGGGCCTTCTCAAGCCAATTTGCACGCTCTTGTGGACCAGATCAAAAGGTGGAAACATGCCGCCAACCCGGGATTTCGGTTCCTTCGTTTGATCTTGATCGTGGCATACATTCTTCTTAGCGGCTCGTGCTGCATCAAGGCGCGAGCATGGGACACTGTTGCGTACATCGTGCAGGTCCTCGTCAGCCTGGCCGTCGTGTCCTGGCACCTGAACGGCAGACAGCTTCGATGGGCCAAGGAAGAATTGATGTTCTCCCTCAGGCCTTTTTCGTACGAGCGCTCGTCTCAAAGGCAGAACTTCAAAGGCCTCATGAAGGAAATTCTACGGTATCATCAATTGGAGATCCTGTGCAGGTACGGCGACTACCTTGCTGAGAGGCTGAAGGTCCTTCGACAACACATTCTCAAGTCTTATTCGAAGGAGAAACATCACGTGGCAGGGCTGTGGACAGACACGTCGGCGACGCTTCGTCACGAAGAAGGAAAAGACTCTACAATTTGCCACGATCTGATCCACAAAGCCGCCAAAGATCTCAAATGGGACCCGGCAATGACAGTCTTCATGATACACACTTACGGCGCAAGAAACAGCCTCATGCACTCCGAATTCCCCCGACTCGTGAGCAAGAAGGACTGGCCCAAAATCGCGGAGCATTGCGACGACGACATTGTCAAGCTGCTCGAGCTATTCATCGCCTCTAACGATACATCGGAAGACGCCATCGGTCACTGGAGACAGATCATTCGCGAATTCAAAGATTCTTGGGTACGCCAAGTGGATGCGTCGTTGTCCTGGGAGGCCCAACCGATTATCCAGGAGGCGCTCGCGGTGGGCATACGAGAGCCGTTGCTGCTGTACGAGTTGTCAATGAAACACAGACACGACGACGCTCAGGCGCGTAAGCAGGCCGTTGCGGACCTCCTGAAGGAGCAAAATGCAAAGGAGCCATCAATCAAGGAGCTTCAAGCAGAGATCGAGCGTCTCAAAGGCACATTAGCAGTGGGGGGAACGCAGAAGTCTACGATGGACTTGCTCAATCAAAGAAATGAGGAGATCAAGAAGCTCAAGAGGGACACGGAGAAGATGCAGAGAGAGATGGAGAAGATCAAGGAACGATTGACCACAGCACGCAAGAAACCGTACATCAGCACGGCGATGGCGAATTCGAAGAAGGAGAAGAGACGACGTTCCTGGCCCACGGCCACGGCCACGAGAACAGAGGTCGAGAGTCTAACGTCGAGATTAGGCACGACCGCCAGCGATGTGTGGACAAAGTGTATCGGCCTCGAGCTAAGGAATATAAAGTACGTGCAGGATAACAAGAAGCTGAAGAACGAGCTCGAGGAAAGCCAGAAGCGATGCGAGGGCCTGTTCTCTCGTTTCTCCGCTGCTCAACACATCCTCGAGGCGCGAGGCGTTGCGGCCTCGTCGGAAGCGGCCAGGAAGATGATTGATGATGAGCATAAGAGGATGCCGAGAGTGACGATGAGACAGGCTACAGTCAGTATGTCTAACAACAACGAAGAGCCGGATGGGGATGGGGATGAAAACAAGAAGAGGCCGAGATCTCGCAGCTTTTGATGTAGCTAAAGGCCTTGCAAGTTCTGGAGACAGCTTTCGCGAACGAGCTCGTGCAGGCATCTTCGTACAGACATGTTCGTACAGTTTCCTGTAGACGGCTTGTATGAGGTGGTTGAGAATGTGGAGGAGGCGAAAGCACGCATCGATGCTGAGGATGCAGAAGCACGGGTGAACAGAGCGGAAGGGAGAAGGAAGAGGCAGGAAGCAGAAGAGAGGAAACGAGCCCAAAGAAAGGGGGATGGAAAGAAGACGAGGCCGAGATCGTCGAGTGTTTAGATCGTCCAAAAGTTGAAATCAAGGGAAGAAGATGGGAGGGCAGGAGAAGGGTGTCACTACTGTAATCAATCTGACGCTAGCAGCAGCCACCTAACACCAATAGCCACCAAAAAACATACTTTTCTGTACGCATTTTTTCCGAATTCCTTCGACTTATTGGGACGCAATTAAGTTGAACAAGTCTACCCAACCCCCTAACCGCGATCCTTACCACAAAGCCGAACTCCTAACCTTTCCTAAGTACTAACCCCGACCCTAACTACCTAACAGGTTGCTCCAGAGCCTAAGGTAGCGAGATTTGTGTGAGGCAAGTAAGGGTGTCGGGTGGCTGCTGGTGTCAGATTTAGTGACTGGCAGGAGGAGAAGAATAGAAAGACGCGCACTTTACGCAGACCCCTGAAGTGCTAAGAAACTCGAAGTGAATGGACCCACTTCCCATGTGACTGCCAAGCTGGCTGGCTCTGTAAGAGAGACTGGCTGCTTCTACTTCTTAGACACAGACAAGAAATGACTCTTTGACTTGGGTTGAACTAAGAAATATGAAGGGAAGACGCACAGGTCGAGTATGAAGTTTTGAGCACACGCAAAGCCCTCTTGTTGGGTTGGCTCTTTCGAGAGTAGCTCCATCATCATCGTTCTTCTTGGAGGGGACCGCGATTTCAGTTGATTGACCCCTATATTCTAGTATCGCAACGCGCATAGGTGGTTATACAAGCTTAGGGTCTCAGAGACAACTACACAGAGGCAGACGTAGATTCTGTTGAGGGGAGGTGATGGGTAATGGACGAGAGACTGATACATCAAGAAAGGAAGGCTAGAAGAGTTGCAGGACGTACATTTGGGGGTATATGGCATGAAGATCAACGAAGCCCACAAAAACACCATCTCCTCCACACACATTCACATTCACATCGTATCACATTCACATCACATCACATCATCAAAATCATTTACTCCTCCCACGGCAAATCCCTCTCCTCGACCCTCATACAAGTCAAATACCCCAACCCGCCACTCCCAAAATCCCTCAGATCCAGCTCCAAGAAATTCCGCATCAGCGGCTTCACCGCATCCCGCGCCAGATTCTTAATCTCCTCGATGCGGCGCTCGAAGCGTTTGAGGTTGTCGCGCGTGTAGAAATCCATGCCGAGTTGGCCCGAGGGGGATTTGAGGAAGCGTTTGAGCTCGTCGCGGGTGAGGTAGCCGGAGGGGTCGGGGGAGCCGAGAATGCGGTAGATGCGGCCAGTGGGGATGGGGGGTGGTTGGGGGGCGGGGTGTTGTTGGACGCGTTGGGAGGCGACGTGGTTGCTGCTGCGGCTGGCGGCGCGGGTGGTTTGGGGGCCTGCGTTGCTTCCTGGTCTGGTGGGTTCTTTTAGGATGCCTGTTGGGCCTGGTGTTGTGTTTTCTGCTAGCCATTGCCTGAACAGGGACATTGCGAGCCAGCTTAGAAAGTCGTTGCTTGGGTTCACTCTTTCGCCTCTGCTTGTTGTGAGGTTCAATCGCCAGAGCTTGGATTCGACTCGCTCCTCTAACTCGCGCAGTTCGTCGACCTTGTCCTCAAGAAGCTCCATCACGTTGGTCTCCACCTGACCACGCAATTGAGGTGCTGCGGCTGGCCACTGTCCTACGACGTGTATCATCGCTTCTGTGAAGATTGTCCGTGATCGAGCCAGGTAGCCTAACTTCAGGTATGATGGAGGGTACTTTGCGATCTGCTTGAACAGTCTGCTGCCGAATCGTAACAGGTGATGATCGATCCTGGGACCAGCAATCTCAAGCGCATCGTACATGTCGGCCAGGTGGAGTAGTGCTTTGCATTCGGTATAGGCGGTGGCGATATTGACAGAGTCAAGCACAGGGTTATACTGGTACATGGTCCTGAACAGGTTATCGTAATCCTTCAAGACCTCATCTCCAGGTTCGGCGGGGACGCTAGGTTGGTTGCGCTCGTTCAGGTTCAAGCTGGAGAAATTCGATACACTGCGAAAGAAGTTCTCGTTCGACGTGGGAGGCTTGTTGCGTACTGGTGGAGGACCTGTCGAGTCGCCGAATATCGATGTCGGCGCATTGTCTCTTTGCACGAGCATTGGCATGTCCTCGCTTCCTGCCCCTTCCCAATCCAGTTCATACCGCCATTTTCGCTTTTCTAACTCGTAAGATTGCCTCCTCTCTTGACTGCTCGCCCTGGAGCTACTACCAGCCGTAACACTCTCATTTTCACTGATACGCGGTAGACCACCTCCTAAACCCGAACCGTTCTCTAACGCTCTCCCACTCCACTCCGCACTCGTGCTCGCCGCGAAGAAGCCAGAACACTGACTCAGGATGAGCCTGTGCAGGAGATATCTGTTCTCTTTCCTTCCACTCTCGTTCTTGATGACAATCTCGACATCTCCAGTATGCGAGAAGACGGGGAACTCGTTCTGAGGGAGGTGCGAATTGGAGCCGCCGTGATGGGATCGAGTATGGCGATGTCGTCGCGTGTGAGAACGTCCTGAGGTAACCGAAGCTGCGCGACCTGCTGCCGGAGGAGCGCTGGGAGCTAGAGAGGGGATGGGAGGTCGAGGAAGGTCCGTGTACGGTGGAGGATGATGGGACACCATTTGACTTGTGGACTGGGTGCTGGTGGGAGGGAGCGTATCTCTTCAAGACGCGACCTGGCGCCTGTATCGAGGGTGTTGCGAGTCGACAAGCAATCTGCGCATCACCGTGGATGTGTACACTGTCTTGCGATGTCTGTCGTCTTGTCTTGCGTCTCAGCCTCGTGGCTCTCGATCACGCGCTGTCTCTTGACTCTCGTCGCCCGGCTGCTTCGCTCACGCGGTCCAGGACACAGTGAGGCGGGAGGGAGTGGACTTGCCTTGCCAGCCGGGCAGACTTGATTCACCTGAACCACCAACAAGACCTGCTCAGCGGCCTCGTCGCAGCCAGTCAAGGCGCTGCTGCCCTCCAAAGGCGCGGCACCACCGAGGTGCATATGCCCGCAGCTAGCCGCATGGTGGCGAGCTGGGAGGAGGCAGGCACTGGCTTGTGATTGGATGTGACTCGTCTTGGCACTCAGGGTTCACGAACTCTGCCTCTGAGCTCTGTTGCTCCGTGAATCGTTCTGTATACAAACGTCACTATGAAACCCGAACGACTACCTAGGAATACGGCGAGTTCTTCGCCCGGTCCACTGCGATCTCGGTGTACTTGTCAAGCGCAGCCTCCTCCTTCGGCAACCCGATCAGCTCGTTGATCGTCCCACGACGCGTCTCGAAATCGCCGTTGCCATCAGGGTAGAAGATGCGGGTATACATCATCTTCGCGAAGCCTTGTCTATCACCCTTCTGCATGGCCTCGACACCTTCAGTATACCGCGTCTGCGCTGGCTCCTTCGTGATCTTCCAGTCGCTCTCTTTGGTGCCAGTCACACGGTATGCAGACGCCAACATCTCCTTTTGGCTGATGGTGAACGAGTTGCAGTACACCACCTTGTTCTTGAGACCGTTGAGACCCTGCTTGGAGCCCTCGCCTTGGAGAGGGAGACTCAGGATGCCAGCCACTGCTTTGCCGACCTAAAAACAAATCAGCAAGGTCATGTCTTCAAGCGGTGCTCCAACTCACCTGAGGCCAAGTCGAAACTGAGATCTTGACATCTCCTTCGTCGATGAGTGTAGCCTCGTGCTTGAGCAAGTCGATACCGAACGCGACCTACAATTTGATGAGCATGTACTCTGGAGAACAAGGCCTTGCCCACTTACTGGAATTGCCAAACTCCACTCATACCAGAATCCGCAGCAGATGCCAATGAATGCAGCTCGACCATCCTTCTGGATCTTCTCGCGGGTTGTGACTTGATGTTGGAAAACGAAGACATCCTTGACAACACCCTCGTCTTGGGTATCAGGACTCCATCCATTTGGAATGATCCACTTTACGCCGGCTTCAAGGGCTGCGTCGACCAACTTCTCCTCGGTGTCTCTAGGTGCGGTGACACTGAGGGTGATGATCAATGCATCCTTTCCCTTGAGCGCTTCCACAATCGTCTCCGGCTTGTCGTAGTCGATGTTCTTTGCGATGATGCCATCTGGAAGTTTGGCTTCACTGTCGGCTCTCGTGAGTGCGGTCACGGTATGCTTGCCAGTCTTGAGGAGCTCTTGAGCCATTGGCCCGCCGCTTCTGCCGCCAGCCTGAGAACATATTAGCACGTGTTGATGGTGCACATCTACTTCGTACGACTTACGCCAACGATGGCGATCTTGGTGAGGTAATTGGAGGTCGACATTGTGTTGATGTTGAGTAAGTGCGTCGGGTCAGTTTGAGATGTTCCTCTAAATGGATTGACCACCTGAATCTTGGCTGGTGGCACCAATGCCTTTTATCTCTTCTTACTCTCAGCACGGACGGACGTACGGGAGCCGCCGATTCACTAGATCCGCCCAATGTCGTCCGTTAGGTTACACAGTGTTAATGCATTACACTCGATGTAAACTTGGACCCACAGGACCCTAACTCCCACAAGTCAGTGCTTCTGCGGATACCCACAAATCAACGAATCTACGGCTGAGATCGACCTCAATTGGGGCCGAAGCTGTGCGACTTTAGCAACAGATTTCGGTGTCATACCCGAGATGTTACAGACGGTTTTCGAATCCTCTCGACCTTGAGGAACAGCTGCGAACAGTCCAATGGCATCATCCTCGACCTGGCGACCACGCCTTACCTCATCTCGTAAACTCCAGCCATTCAAGGACGACGGGCATGACGGGAGCTAACCCGACTTCGTTTGTGCTGAATGAAGAGTGGAAGCTTGACTGGGCTTAATTCACGATCTATGTCCGATACCACCCCCATGGGCTTGTAGAGTAGACCAGGCTGAAGCCAAGTGTGGGATTCCAAGCTCCTAACGCCGACAGTCGACGGACGAAGAGACACTCTTATGCCCTTGGATCCTGGCCGACAATATGATACAAGAATAACAGCTATCTGTACCCCAGCTTCGCCTGAAGACGAGAGGAACAAGTTTGGATACGACATACTGTCTTCCAGGTTGCGACATTCGACTTCAGCGCACCTGGCGCCCATGTCCGACATCTGCTTTACAGCTGAAATCACTAGCTATCACGGTCGATAGATGTCCTTGTCCTCCGCAGTCGTAGCACTCGCCGCAGAACCACGACCGTACGAGTGTGCTGGCGCAACTCTTCGCTTCTCTGCCCTCCTGACTACAAAATAAGTGTAGAGCACGATCGGTATGCATACAGTGAGGAAGACAAAAGCAGCCACAACACACCACATCACTGGACCGGACTGGCCCTCCATATCGCTGTTCTGGCCATGATCATCCAACCTCTTCTTCACGATCCCCCGAACTGTAAAGTCGATGGCCATTGCCACCATGACGAAGACCCAAGCGAGCACGGCTGTGATGCCGCCGATGAGTGACCCAGCAAAGCCTGCTGCCATGGACATGAAGGCTGCGATGAAGGCTACCGCGCTGGCGATTGGGTGCATGACCACTGGAGTTTCATGTCTTCGTTAGCATCATGGCCATCTTGTATGAGTTCTGGTGTTGAGCTTACTGGCATGTGTCAAACTCTCAGCCGTGCCACACTTCTCACCGTCGAAAGGCCCATCAATCAAGAAGTCCACCGCGGCGAAAACATCACATCCGATCGAGACGGGCTGGCATGTGTTGCCTTCTCTGCAAGAATAATCAGCACCCGGCTCTTTTTATGCTGTACTTCTGAATGTTCTTACTCAGAAAAAGTACAAAACCCAAACGTCCCGAACCCGACCACTGTCACCTCCTCGTCTTCCTGGCCTCTGTGCTGTATCAAGTTGAAGAGACTCAAGTCGTCCACGACGGGGGCCGTGAGGGTTGCGACGATGAGGAGGAGGGCGGCGAGGAAGATGAAGAAGACGCCGAAACTGGGGATTCGATCCAGTCAGCGTTCTTTGACGGACGTCTGGTTAGGATTTCATGTTGTTGTTGGAGTCTTGGAGAATGACACGTACCAGTGGCTACTCCTCGTCGCGTGCATATTCGATTTCGGTTCGTGGCGCGGTTGGGAATAGTGGTTGGTGGAAGGAGTCGAATCGAGACTGTGAGTCTGGATGTTGTAGAAAATGGCTCGCTTCCTTGACGATTCCTCGACAACATTGAAAATGTTTGCTCTCCGCACGCTGCTGTACCGTGTGGTGGTACATGTTCCTGGAACCTGTTTCTGATCGACCACCGACTGCTGCTGATAATAGCTCTGGGTGTCAGAAAGGATCGCAGTGGTACGGTCTGCGGGCATTTGTGCCTTGTTATTGACAGGTTGGACGGGTAACCTGCACATATAGCCCGTGTAATGGACGCCGTTGGTCTGCCTAGAACTCTTCATCACATCACATCCGTATTTCAAGACGACGACGCATGATATCGATTCTCCAAACACACCCTCGAGGCCAAGACATATCTGCTCAGCATGTTCGTCTCCCTGGGAAAATTCATGGAGGCATTTGGGACTGATAGCAGACGTGGGCGCTGTACATCCTTTCCCAAGACTGCGGAGAGGCAACTAACTGGACCAGCCACAATGTAGCTTCTCGACGACCTACCTGCTACACGGTTGACCGCATGGAGCAGAGCAGTAAACCTGACCATGAATCCGTCTTGGAATGTCTCCTTTACAATAAGTTTCGTCTCTTCTACTCTTGACAGAAATATCGTGCGCAAACTCTTCCCCGTTCCATTAACATCCCGTCTATGAGGCGAATGACATGGAAGGGAGGTGGACATCCCCTACAATCGCACAAATCCGACCGCGAGCACGGAAGAATTGAGCTATATATCCCACAACGAACCTTCCTATGCCACCTAAGGGTCGGTGGGTTCCTGTGGAAGGTAGGTAGAAGGTAGGTCCTATTCTTCGATCTTTTGCAGGGGTTGTTGGCAATAATGGCAGGGCAAATCGTCTCTTATATTTGCAAATTCTGGTAGACAAGACTTCTCCTGACATTTAATTCAAGAAAGAACTACGGCTTCCTCGCCATCACCACCCAAAAATCACAATACGTCTCCTTCGGCGCCCTCCCCACAGTCTCCAAATAATCCCCCTTAACACCTTCCACACCCCCAAGCCCTTCCAGCTCCCCCAGCCCCAACCCCGACGTCTCCACCACCCTCCCCAGCAGACCAACAAACGTCGGGTGCAACACATTCGCCGTATACCGCGCAATCTCCTCGTCATCCTCCGGGGAGATAAGCCACTTAAACGTCCTAACCTCAACGTCCACGAACCCGCACTCGCGCAGCTGCGCAGGGAATTTTCGCGGCCCCCAGAAGTCCAGGCCGAGTTTGGGGCCGGCTTTCCGCATCACATGCATCCAGCGCCAGTCCTGAGAGAGCTCCGCGCTCGAGGCGTCGTACCAGCCGAAACAGGCTTCTTGGAGTTCGATCCGGCCGCCGGGTTTGAGGAGGTCGAAGCTTGTGCGGAGGTAGGCGGGCCAGTCGGTGATGGCGACGCCGAGCATGCGCGAGGTGAGGAAGTCGAAGGTTGCTGGGGGGAAGCGTGCGGAGGGGCCGGTAGCGAGGTCCATGATGTTGCCTTGCACGAACGAGACGGTCGGGGGCTGCTCGTGTAGGGCTGGGATTGGGGAGAGGTCGACGCCGTAGATTTTGGCGTTGGCGTCTGAGGGGGCGATTTGGCGGGCCAGTACGGCGGTCCGCAGGCCTGTGCCGGCGCCGACTTCGATTGCTTGGAAAGGGGAGGTGTCGTCGCCACGAGCGGCGAGGGAGGAGATGTCGGTGACGAAGTTGTGGCCGCCCATCATGGATGTGAGGGCGCGGGTTTGTTGGTCGAGACGGTCGAATTCTGTTGATACGTTCGAAGGGACTGTGGATGATTGTTAGGCCTTCAAGTTTGGTCGAGTTTGGGGAAAACGATTCTACTCACGCAGTTCCCGGTATGGACCTTCGTCGGCCATGGTGTTTTGGTTTGCCATTGTTGCTGATGGGCTGGAGGTATTACAGATCAGAGGAAATGTAGTTGAGTGGACAGTAGCAAGACGCCAAAAACCTGTGCGTAATCAAACATGAAGCCCTATTTGTGAACTTTTGGCCACGGTACCTATTAATTAATAAATTGTGGGAGAATAGCAAATACCATTCAGTTACTTGTCGTCGGAACCCTACTACCCGCTCTCCCACTCAGGAGGCGTTCAGATGTCGATATTGAGCTGCGAATCCGGAAGGAATTTGGGAGGCATCGGTGACGGCACGCTCTTCCAGCCGGCGCCTAAGAGTATGTGAATTATCCGGTCGTCTCCGCTGTTGTTCTGTGTAACCGTCTCTCTCGTTGAATCACTTTTTTCTCCCCGTCGTCGCAAGCCAAGTTGGCTTTTCTTACTGGCATTTTTCGGCTATTTCGACGGACCGTAGGATGGACTCCATTGCTGTCTCCAGTATGCTCCTCATTACTGTTCCAGGCTCGTCTTGGTGAGGGGTATCTGTCAGTGCCCTCCATCGCGCGTGAACGCCGAACAAGTTCCAGATGGGTACTGAGCAACAGCCAAGCTCCGCAAGAAACGAACACATGACCATCACTCCTCCTCCTCATCTCCTTTCACCCCCTCAGCCTCCCTCCTCTCCCTCCTCCTCTGACTGACCCACTCTCCAAACGGCCTCCAAATCGCCTCCTTCTCATGCGGCCTCAGTCCAGCAGCAAGCCCACTAGTAGCAGTCGCCACAAAAACCCAGGCTCCCTCCCACCCATCCCCATTCCCCATCCTCTCTCCCTCGTCCTGCCATCCGTACCGAAACTCGTCCTTCTTGATCGGCCTGCCATACCTCCACCGCCAAATCGCCTCCCAAATCCCCTTGCCCACAAGACACACACTCTCCGGCTTGAACTCCCGAACTTTCGATTCCAGGATAGGCGTCCCCGCCGCCATCTCACTTTTACTCAATTCCCCTGCATCCTTGCTCGGTCTCGACACGATGTTCGTATTACCCATGCTGTACAACTGCGGTAAGTCAACATCTTGTTCCGGCTTGAGGCGTTCGTCTGTGCAGCCGGAGCTGTGCAGGAGTTTCCAGAAGAGATTCGAAGGGTGCGCGTAGGCGTGGCCGGATGTCGCGGTTTTGATGCCTGGATTGAAGCCTACGAAGATTGTGATGAGGTTTGGGGCGAGGACGTCTACGAGGGGCGAGAGGTGGGCGTAAGTTGTGGGCGGAGCGTATTTTGAGGAGGATTTCCTTTTGCGTTTGGTTGGGGGTGTGGTGGTGGGATCCTCTGTGGAGCGCAGTTGTCGTTTTCGAGTGCTTCTCCGTATGGGTGATGGGACGGTGGGAGTGGTTTCTCCAGCATTGCCACTGCTGTGTTTGAATCTTTCTAGGCTTGCTTTGAAGGCGGCTGCTGAGGCCTCGGACACCTCATTACCATCGAGCTTGGTATTCTCTTCTTCAGGAAGGTCGGCCATGCTGTCTTGATGGCCATCTGTTGTCTTCATCTTGAACCTACTGCTTTGAAGTCAGGGTCTGTGCTTCCCATGCTTGCTTCACTTGTAGCCTTCACGTGGTCGCGAGAAAGGCCCGGTCCTCGTCAAACGACAGAAATGTAGCATGTCGGTGAGATAACAGACAGCCCTGTTCACTTGCATAGTAGTCGCAATGGCATGGTGATGATGGAACAAGAAGTTGTGTGAAAGTGAGGTGTCTGGCGGGGTCATTCGCTAACCACCCTCCACGCCGTCCAACCCCCTTGTGACTTTGGATGCACGTTCGCGTCCTCTCTCCACTCCACGCGTCACAGCACCCATCGCCATCTCTCCATCACCCTCACCTTCGCCATCATCAACGACAATTCACCCTCCGTCGCGACGTCCATCTAGACTTTCGGAGCCAAGCTTGGCACCGCGATCGGCGAATCGAAATGCAGAACTTCCGCAGCCCTCATGCCGCCAGACGAGGCCCAGGTACGATCGCACATTTATTTCTTCACTGTTCACCCTTTCGTTGGAGCATTGGAGGCATTGTTTGTTTGCATTGATTCCTTGCTACATGCGCGGCTTTCACAACACTGCGCGCGATCATGGAACAAGCCCGCGCGCATAGGCGCAAGATCAGCTTCGCTGACATTGAGCGCACCTGGCGCGCCGCAGGTCCTATGGTAGCACCTCCTCAGGCACATGCCGCGCAACCGCAATTGACCCAGGCGCAAATACAACAACAGCATCTCGAGCAAATCCGCCGCCAAGACCACGCCCGACGCCAGGCCAAGAAGCCGACCGATCGCGACATCCCAGACGACATTAGCGAGGCCGTAGTGGGAGATGGAGTCGAGCGGTGCAAGAAGTTGCGTGAGGTGGAGAGGAGACTGGACGCGGTCATGATGCGCAAGAGACTGGATATCAGCGACAACTTGCAGCGGCGATACACCCGACGGGAAGGTGTTCTGAGGATATGGATATCGAATACTGCGGAAGGGCAGCCGTGGCAGGTCATGGAGGAGGGAACGGCCATCGAGGATGGCATGTTTGAGTTGGGTGAGAACCAGGCCACTTTCCGGGTCAAGATCGAGGGACGGCTGCTGGAGGAGCCCGAGGATGAGGATGACAAGCCGCCAACGTCACATCGCCCACGACTGAGCTCTTTCTTCAAGGCTATCACCATCGACTTCGACCGCGACTCGAATCTCAACCCAGACGGCTTCAGTCAGATCGAATGGCGGAAACCGCAACCCAGCCAGCAGAACCCCAACTTCGACCCGAATAGCCCAGAGGCCTCATTTGACACGCTCGAATTCACACGGAAGGCGGATGAGAACATCAACATCACCATCAATTTGACGCGCGACGAGAAGAACGAGCGTTTCAAGCTGAGCCCGGAACTTGCCGAGATCCTCGACACTGAGGAAGAGGATCGTGCTGGTGCTGTGCAGGGCATTTGGGAGTACTGCCGTGCTATGGGCCTGCAAGAAGATGATGACAAGCGCAAAGTCGTTTGCGATGAGCCATTGCGCAAGGTGAGCATCGAATATCAACATGTAATGGGGATGTCCACTAACTTTTCCACAGCTCTTCAAGCAAGATCATGTCTACTTCCCATACGTGCCAGATCTCTTGGTGCCACACTTGCAGCCGCTTCCACCCGTCCAGCTCCAATACACCATTCGCGTCGACAAGCCGTACATCACAGGCACGAAGGACGCCGAATCTCCGTCAGAGAATGAGGAAGACGAGGAGCGCAAGCCAAGCCGCGCAACCATCTACGACATCCGTGTGCCAATGCCAAACCCTCTCCTCCACCAGCTGACCCGCTTTCATACTTCAAAAGCGCACATCGGTGACCTGCAAACGATCGTACGCACCGATGACGAGCTAGCGGTGCTGGTCCAGAAGATCCACCAAACCAACGCCAAGCGCAAGTTTTACGACAACCTGGCGAAAGACCCTACTTCTTTCGTCAAGCGATGGATCAGCAGCCAACAGCGCGATCTCGAGGTCATTCTCGCCGAAGCGACTCGAGGAGGCGGCGAAGATGCCACGAACGAGGAGTTCCGCCGTGGCGGCAGAGATGGCGTTTGGGGATCGGAATTGGCGAAGGAGAGCGTGGGACTTTGGCTTGCGCGCAATAATCAGAATCAGAAGGTGCACTGAGATGGTTAAGATTTTGCTCAAAAGCAGAATGATCTACAGGGCATTAAAAGGACGAGCAGGTCCCAGATGAGACGACTCTTATCGGCGTGAGCTGAAGCAAGTCACGGTCGGATGACTGTTCTAAAAACAGCATCAAAAAGCTGCAGAGAAGGAATAGACAGTCTCGCGAATGGTGAAACTGGCCCGCAAGGGCTTGTGGACGTCTCAAGCAGGCAGTCTTGGCCTTCAAGAAACAAGCCGGTCACAGAAAGGCATCGTTGGGCTTCTCGAACGTAGCAGAGACATGGACGGAGAGTGCGATGATGCGTGTGCATGGGAGAGGGACAGAATCGATCGATTAACATCAAAATTTGCAATGGATTGACTGGTCGGGGATGTGTCTTCCAATACTCTCCAACAAACGCTCTTCAGGTTGTCTTTTCACGCGGTGATCACAAAGAGGTTTTGGGAAGTGCCGATTCTCAATGATTTCGTTCCTTTTCCCTTCAACGTAGGCAGAGAAAGGGCTTCATATTCATCTCCATCTCCATCTCCATACCCCCTCATCCATCATCCATCATCCATCATCCATCATCCATCATCCATCATCCATCATCCATCATCCATCATCCATCATCCATCATCCATCATCCATCATCCATCATCCATCCATTTCAAACCCCCTCCCAACCCGCACCCCAATACTCCCCCAACCCATCAAAGTCCCACTCCACCACCCCACCATCCACATCCACATCCACCCCCAACCCGTCAACCCTCACCACCCCCTCCCCCTCCCCCTCCCCATCCCTCCAAACCCTCAAACCCCCCAACATGGGAACCCTCAACCTCATCCCTTCCCCTTCCCCTTCCTCCCCACCTTCCTCCACAAACCTCTGCAACTCCCCCAAACACTCCACCATCCTTCCGCTTAAATCCCGGTCGGAAGAATACCCCTTCCTCCGCAAAGGAGCATGCAACATCGCCGTCTTGGCATTCTCGACCAACGCCGCGTCGTCGCTCGTGGATTTGCGGTCGCCGTGGAGGAGTAAGATGACGCACGCGGTGAAGGCGTGGACCTCGAAGGAGCGGGAGAGGAAGGAGCCGTTCAGGAGCTTCGTGCGGACGGCGAAGTAGCGGCGGAGGATCTCGCGGCAGGAGGTGAGGCATTCTTGCGCGGTGGGCACGTGGGAGGAGGAGGAGGGTGAGGTGGTGGAGGGGTTTTGGAGGAGGTAAGGGACCGTTGCGCGCAGAATGAGGTAGGATTGTGTGCTTTGTAGCATGACGCTGGAGGCTGTTCGCGCGTCGTAGGTGGCCCAGCGGTCGACGGTTTTGCATTCTGGCGGGAAAGTGCGGGCGAGGGCGTGGCATTTGGAGAGGATGGAGTGGGTTTCCGAGAGGGCGGGCGGGGAGTCGTAGGGGAGGAGGTGGGAGTCGCGGTGGACGATTTGGTTGTGGATGGAGGAGGCGACCCAGATGATGCGTTTTGTGGAGGCGTTGGGGTCGTTTGGGGTGATGATGGAGGAGGTGGGTAGGTCGGGGGTGCCGCAGGGTGTGCCGAGGAGGAGACACAGGAGGCGGTCGATGGCGCAGACGGAAAGGTAGATGTTGGCGCGGCGGGCGAGGAGGGCGAGTTGTGAGTCGTCTGCGGGAGGTTTTTCCTGTTGTAGTTGCAGAAGAGTGCTTCTTGACGAGGACAACTTGAGAAGTTCGGCGAAGGCTATCGCCCGCCTGACCACGAGCCAGCCTTTCTTGGGACGACCGATGAACTTCTGACTGTGCGTGTGCAGTTAGCTCAAACGTACGCCCCCACGATTTGTATCCAACACACATCTGAGCGAACATGGTTGCACACTCGATGCCTTCCAGACTGCCCGCAAGCTCGTCGTGCGCTAGCATCTCCTCGACTTGTTTGACGGTACGAGGTAAAAATTGAGTAGGCTCTGGGATAGACTCTAGTGCTGAGTAGTCGAATGATGTTGGTAATTGCAAAAACGATATCGCCAGACATAGCAGCCATGTCGCGATGGCAGCAGGATGTGTCGATGGGTGGGATAGTCCTTCGTGCCGCTCAATTAACTCAATTCGGCTATTGATAGGAGGATCCGGCATTAAAGCCTTGTGGATCTGCCACCAGTCGATCGAAGAAGCCGTTACAACAAGCACATCGCTTCGTGATGGAACGGCCGACGTGAGCTGTGCCTTTATCCGATCGTGGGAGCTTTCTCCAAAGTCCTGCGGGATGTTCGATAGGATTCTCTCCCGAATCGTTTGCGCCTGTTGATGTGACGATTCCACTCGCTCGGTACAGCCCACACAACCCGCCTCGTCGCCCTGGACGCTGTCGAAGTACCCATACCCACTACCACCACACTCCTCAGTTCGACAAAGTGGGATAGGTGTAGTGGTCCGGTTCGAGCTCTGCAGCCTCGAGCTTTGCAACTCAGCCACCGTCTCAGATAGGCTCCTGACAGTGGCCTCCAAACGATCGACACGATCTCGAGTAGGCTCACGGATCTGGCCGAGATCTAATGCCTGTGCCTGAGATTCGCATGTCGTTTGTCGAGCAACGCATGCGTCACACGGTGGCTTTCCCAGATGCCCATCGTACGTGCATTTCACTTTCCGTCGTCGACACTCGAGGCAGCTCTTAGTTCCTTGCCGCAATTTCTTCCTCGGCGGTTGAGACATCGTAAAAGATCTCCATCCTCACGGGGAGAGAAGAGAAGTCGGATTCGGCCGCGGGTGGGGTGACAACGGGGTAGTCATACCGGACCACCGAACGCCCTTCGCATTGCGCAAACTGGAGTTATGTCGAGACATGGGTGTGGTATATCCATTCGACCGCACTTCATCCGACAGGTTCTCGGGCGTGTCAATCCCGGCTTTAGAGTAAGCTTCGGTGGGATGTGGTCCTCTCGCATCGGAGTTATTATTTATGCCCGAACGGAATCCTTGGGTGCAGAAGCACGCGACATGTGCATCACTTTCGTTTATCGTTTTCCTTTCCGAATAGGCTTGTTTGAAGTAGCCTGGGGGGTATCTTATCGCTCATGTAATCGAGTCCTTCCTGGCTGCTTCGGCTTCGGCTGGGTTACTGTAGCTGCCTTCGCTGATTGAAGGCAAGAGACATAGATCTGATGCTCGACTGGGCGGTGACCTGACTACTGCAGGCGCAGGCTGGGTGATCGTCGGGGATAGAGTCTCGCTGGAGACCTCGAACGTCGTATCGACTCTTATATTTCCTTGGGGATATCCCAACTCGACATCCCAGTCTTGCGGTCGAGAGTCTGTCTTGAACGATACGGATTGCGTGCGATCAACAGAGATATCATCGCTTGCTCGACTAGATGATATCTTACTGTCCACTTCTGTCTTCTTGATGATGGTGGTGATGCTGTCGTCCTTCTTCTCGTCCCGATCATCGAACAGGCTCTGTAGCTGTAAGTCAAACATCTCGTACTGATTGACCTTGTTCTTCTGCTCTGCCGATCCGATAGTGCGATGAGGATTTGGGCTGTGATCCATTGGCGATGCTGAGACACGGGGTGATGATGGCCATCCTCGCTTCCAGAAGCTTTTTTTGAAGACTGTGCAAGTCAGTAAACTTTCACAGCATATGTGTATGGCAAGACTTACGAGGCGTTAATATTGGTGCATTGACAGCAATGATACCAGCAATCGTCTCCCTCGTACCCCATCGATTGATGTTGAGCGCGTTGACGCCTGCCAACGTAAACGAAATACGCATGATAGCAGCTGTGATGACGAAGATTCCCGAGCACAGCAAGAGCATCAAGGCAACCTTCCTAGTCCAACGAACTCTCATGCCCCAAAGCAAAGGCACAGGAATGACGAGAATCATGGCGTCGGTCAGAACATTCAAGACTGTCGTGACGTAGAAGTTCTGCAGCTTCATCGTGCATTTCTTGGGCGGCTGAGGAAGGACCTGCCAGTTCCTTTGGATTGGGAAGCAACCGCAGCTGATGGTGAGAAACACGGCGGCGTAGGTAACGCCGCAGATGACGGCGAAGATTTTGACGAGGCGTTGTTGGTAGAGACCGAATGTGAGTCGGTTGAAGAAGAATAGCATCATTGCTTTCAGTGCCCAGATGAGGCCGGTATAGGTATACCTCGAGAATGTTAGCAGTGTTCATTCACATTCCATCGACAGACTCACCATGCCAGTAATTGCATCTGACTTCCAATCCTGATCTTCTCAATCTCGCAATGGCTCATCTGTTGTAAACGATCCGCGGTGAAGTCGAGGTTGGATCCGAACTCGTACACGATCGTGACCGTGACCGAGTCGCAAATGAAGCACAGCCAAACAGCCACAGCCATATAATCATCGCCCTGGAGTTTTCGCCATCCAACCGTTCGTAACCGTATAGCCGTTCTCGCGAACAGGACAATCGTTCCCACGACGAACCAAGCCCAGATCTCTCCAAGGTACGCGCCTTTCTCATGATAGGCCTGCGTGCTTGGACAGGCCATTGTGTGAGGAGATGTTAGCTCGCCCAGCTAAAGGGAGCATAAGCAACGAAAGCGAAAAGACTGAAAGACCTAGCAATGCGAACCCATGAAGAGATGACGAAGGCATTATAACAATCTCACCTGATGTTGTCTGGGAAAGTATAATAAGAACTCACACTGATGCGGTCGCGAGGAAACGGCAAGATAGAGTTCGTGCAGCACGACAGCCGGTAGACATTCCATCGACCGGGTAATTATCGCTTCTCCAGTTCTGAGGCAGGGTCGAGGCGTGAAGACAGGTGAGCCTGCACGCGATCGAGCAGCGGGAGGTACACCGACGAGGCGTGCATCCTTTGGGTGGGAGCAGGGTTGGGTTGGACCTCGTCCGAAAGCAACGATCAAGGTAGAACGCCATGTGTTCGACATGCCTGATGAGGAGAAGCAACCGACATGCGGCTCAACGTTGTTCGCGAGTCGAGGACGAGGCGGCATAAGACGGGCCAAAGCGCATGCTGAGGTTGGGGAAGTCCAGCATGAGTGGTGTACATGCAAACTCTATTGAGTCAAGCATTGAGTTTCGTAGTTCTGCCGGAGAACTCTCGCAGTGGTGCCGTCTTCGAGAAGGAATGTAGAGTTTCACGTTGCTGCGTCTGCTTGACTTGTTCTGCAGTGTTCTGCAGGTGGAAAAGAGGGCACCAATTCCAGAGATTGATGGGCAATGGTGGCGCTATGGGAGTGCGTCTCGTTCATGACACGGCGTCGAGATTGCGGTCTGCAGTCCGTGATACGTGGAGCCGTAGATGAATCCTCGAAGATTTCGGACTGGGCGCTGCAGCAATGGCTGAGGCTCGGTGGTCTCGATGAAAGAACAGGTGATGTTGATGGAAGGATGAAAGAGGAAGTGGCATTGCACAAAAAGGAGATGGCTCGAACCTACGCTAGCAGGTACGCTAGTCTCGCTATTCAACTTCAGCCTCCATCGACGACACAAATCATGAGATCGCTTGCATCAAGAGGCCGTCGATAAATGAGCTTCTCCAATAACTCCTCTCAACCCCAACTCAAACAACCCAAAAACTCGCATTCCTCCCCAAATCCGCACTACTCGCCCCCAAATACACCACAAACTGCCCCTTCTCTACCACATACTCCATCTTCTTATCCCACAGGCCAACATCGCCCACATCCAAATCAATGCTCACCTCTCTCATCTCCCCAGCCTCGAGAAAGACCTTGTCAAACCCTTTCAGCTGAATATTCGGAATGTCAACGCTTGCGAGCACGTCTTTGACGTAGAGCTGGACGACTTCTGCGCCTGGTCTGTCTCCGCTGTTTGTGAGGGATATAGAGGCTGTGATGGTATCGGATGAGGAGACATTTGTGGCCGAGAGGGAGACGTTTGACCAGGTGAAGTTTGTGTAGGAGAGACCGTAGCCGAAGGGGAACCATGGCTGGGGTGTGTTGAGGACATATTGGTGGCCGAAGTAGAGAATCCCGTCTTCGCCGAGGAATCCGGGATCCGTGGTACGGCCGGAGTTGAGATAGTCGTAGTAGACTGGGAGAGTGCCTACGTCGTGAGGGAAGCTTACGCTCAGCTTACCACTGGGGTTCACGTCGCCGAAAAGGATGTCGGCGAGTGCATGGCCGCCTTCCTCGGAGGGGTAGAATTGCTGGACGAGGCTGGCGGTGGTGTTGGAGATCCAGGATTCTGTGACAGGTTTCCCTGAGGAGAATACCACTACGGTGGGCGTGGTGGTGTTGATGATGGCTTGGACGAGGGGTCGCATGGCGCCTACAAGGTCGAGGGAGGAGACGTCCACGTGTTCGCCTGTGGTTGCATTGAGGCCCGCCCAGAGCTCCACCTGGTCGCGGGACCAGGTCCCTACCACTATGACCGCAACATCGGCCTCTGAGGCGGCGGAGATGGCTTCTGGAAAGCCACTTTGGTCGAGGCTCCAACGTTCGCAGCCTCGGGCGTAGGTTACGCTGGAAGAGTCGATTGCGGCGCGGATGCCATCCAGGGGCGTCACGCCGCGGTATTGGGAGGCGTTGACAACATAATCGCCGTAGTTCATGTATCCGTGGGCCATGGGGCCGATGACTGCTACCTAGCAAAACGTGTTAGATCGATATCGGCAGCGGAGTGGTTGAATACATGCCTTCTTATCTTTACTGATCGGAAGGATGTTGTGATCATTCTTCAACAGAACAATACTATCCCTATCGACTTCCCTCGCAAGCTGCTTAGCTTCAGGTGTGTTGATGATGCCGCCCCACTGCTCCTTCGGGGCAATCTGATAAGGTCTCTCAAACAGTCCCATCGTGAACTTTGTCCTCAACACCCGGCTCACAGCTCGATCGACAATATCCTCACTCAGACGTCCAGAGGCAACCAGGTCCGGTATGGATCGATAATTGAAGCTCCCACCACCCATTTCGACATCGCCTCCAGCAGGCAGCGCGTTGAGGGTTACGCACTCGTTGCCCTCTGTGATTGGGTTGTTGTACTTGTTCAACGGCGTTGGACAGATGTAGAACGGATTGGCTAATCGATCAGTAGCACCCGCATCGGACGACACGAAGTATTCGTATCCCCACTCGTCTCTCAGAATCTCTGTCAAGGTATGTTCATCTGCAACTTGAGGTATGCCGTCGTAGCTGCTGTAAGCACTCATAATAGCCCACGCTCCAGCATCGATGATGGCTTTCTTGAAGGCTGGGAACCAGGTCGTTCGAAGCTGTCTTTCGCCGCCATGGACTGGACCTGTGTTCAGACCTTGCTCTGGCTCGCTGGAGCCTATGAAGTGCTTGACCATGGAGCTGACATTAAGGGATTGCACGCCTTTGATGTAGGCGGCGGAGATTTCCCCAGCGAGATAGCCGTCTTCGCCGAATGTCTCTTCGACTCGACCATAACGGAGTTCCCTGGCTAGATCTGTGACGGGTGCGAAGAGTTGGGAGACCCCGAGCGCTTGCGCTTCTTTAGCAATCTGGACAGCCATGTCGTGAACTTGGGACGTGTTCCAAGAGCATGCATAGGCAATGGGACTGTTGAAGATTGTAGCATTTCTGATCAGAAAGCCGTGGATGCCTTCGGTCTGCACAATGGCAGGAATGCCCAATCTCGTCTCGTTGACAGCGTAATCCTGTCCTCGCTTGATGTTCGTAGCAAGCCACTCCCAGGAGATGGGATATCCGACGTAGAACATGCCGGCTTTCTGCTCGAAGTTTTGCACCAGCCCTGATCGGTTGAAAACACCCGTGGTCGTGTTCAGCCAGTTGGAGATGTCGCCTTGCATCAATTGGGCTGCTTTCTCATTGATAGTCATGTGAGAGAGGAGGTCTTGCACGCGAGTCTCGACTGGAAGGGAAGGGTCCTTGTAAGGTGCATTCGCTAGAGATGAGTTTGGCGAGACATTGCTGGAAGACTGGCCACTGACCAAGCCTATTGCGCTTACGACTATCAAGTAGAGGGTGTAGGAAAAGGCCATGATGGCTGTTACAAATGCAACCTGCTGAATATGGGGAACAAGACATACTTACCTTTTTAACACTCCTACACATGCGAGATATCCTTCTGGGCAAGGAGGACAATGGCCCGGTGGTGTTGAATTGTAGCGAGAGAGACGGAGAAATGTCAAGTCGTTCGAGATCCCCGCATTTGACTGCAGCATCCTGTTCCTGAAGCCGGCTGAATGCCATGCTGGAGCTGATCCCTGCCGGGAGGTGCTCTCATCTAGCGAAGGATGTGAGACCTGAGGGGATGCATAATCGTGCTATCGCGCCAACAACCAAAAGCTTCAGTGAGAAGTCGAATGATTCTGCAGCTAGCACACTGTAGCTTTCACGAAGCTATCCAGAAGGTTGATCCAGTCGTGCCTGGAGAGTGAAGCTGAAGGTAAGACCAGTAGCTCAGTGGACTGCCGTGTAATGTAGAGTCCAGAGGCAGTGATTAGGCAGCTCATTTGCGTGCCGGGACAAAGCGAAGCCCAGTGCGTGAAACGCAATAGTCGCAGACGGTGTGATGTGCGCGGTGTCATTGTGGTGTAAAAAATGGAGGAGGCGTGGGAAAGGAGAGGAGGAAGTACAGCCGGATCAAAGTTTAAGCGATGTCGGAGAGTCGGCGATTGAGAGATGGCCTTCACTCACGCGCCGCCGTCATCTGCCCTGCTTCCAGACACTGCCATTTTGCATTTGCGGCTGCTCTTGTCCCTCTGCTCTACCACCACTCAATCTACTTGTTGACAACGCCAATGTAGCTGTCCACTTCCCGCCATATCCATCCTGCGTGCGAAAGTCGAGCAGTCCACTGAAGCCTGCTGCCACCGTCCTTGCATCTGGGCGACAGCGCACTTCCGATCTTTCCAGCTCCTCTTCTTCGCCAGCTCCTCCCTTTCCCTCGACACCACCGCCCCTTCCACCGCCAGTACGACACCACCGACAATCACGTGCGTCTGACGCACCGTCATCGCCGCCATGGCCGTTACAAACCGACATGCCTCGCCCTTCGAGCCCTCGACCTCACCACAACCGCAACCCCTCACAAAGCGCGACGTCCGGCGGAACCGTATCATGGAGAAGCTGCAGAGCATGATCAATACCTTCAATTCCAACCATCATGCACACTACCGGGCCCAACTGCAGGGTGTCCAGGTCGATATGACCATGGTCCTCCGCGCAGACCCCTATGGCCCAGATGCGCCGCTCTCAGAGAACGCCGACGACATCCACGAGCTGATAGCCCTGACCATGAAGGGTAATGCTAATGGCGAAGGGGCTGTCAGCTTACCGAATGATGAGGCTGCCCGGCAAGATTACTATAGTATGGCTGGGAAGCGATACACCGAGTTTGTCAGGGAGGTCAACGATGCCGTTGAGCAACGAGATGCCGATTTGACTGCTTTACACGTATGTCATGGATTAAGTATGGATATGTTGCATATACTAAAAGGTTTCGCAGAACAACTACCATTCTTCTCTATCCGAGCTCGATCGCATCTACCAGCAGCGACTCCACCAGGCCGAGGAAGAGCACAAAGCCCTCTCCCAAACAATCCGCCAACGACTCGTGACCACACTCAATAAGAAACGCCAGCAACTGTTGCGTGACAAAGAGCAGTTAGATATTTCGGACAGCAATTCGATGCTTCTCCACCCCAACCACTTCAGCATTGGCAACAATCCGGGTTCGCCTAGTCACAACGGCAATGCAATCAACAAGAGAACGAGACACTTGAGACACCACCGGGGTGCTAGTCCAGCGCCGGGCAACAACGATGTTGTCGAGAATGGCAAACGGAAGAGAAAGTTTGGACAGTTGGAAGACGATCAAGGGAACGAATCGCCTTTACCACCATACCTTGCAGGAGGAAGAAGCCCATTCAAAGACGCACGCGGTCAACGAGAATATGCACAATTCGATGCGCCAGCGTACAGCATGGACAGGCTGTTCACCGAGAAAGAGCTTGCATTGGCGACAGATACTGCAAAAGTGGCCACATACAAATACTTCCACCAGCCGCCGCAAGAGCAAGGGTCGAACAGCAATGGCACAGCTGTCCCATCAGTGGACGGCGAGGTTGTAGAATCTGCGGAAGCCGTTCCAGATGAGCAGATGCTGGACGTGCCAGCCAATGGAACAAACACTCCACCTCCGTCAGAACCTCCTGCTGCAGCTCCAGGCATGGAACGAAGCGCGTCACACCAAGTCCTTACGAGAGGTGGAGCCAAGGCCAATCCATTGGCGGCACTGTCAGATTTGGCGAATGCGGCGGCCGCAGCTTCATCGACCGCCCCCATCATCCGACAAAATCCATTCACTCCCGTTGCACCACACTATCATGCTGTCACTCGCAGCGAGAAGTCTGGAGCTCCAGCACCACCACCCGTTAACAGCGTGGACATGGACAACGACTTCAACATGATGCGTCATGCCGGCGATGGCGATGCGGACGGAGACGACGATATGAACGCGGATCCTGACGCAGGGGAAAAGGCACGAGATCTTCGACGCCAGCTTTTGGATCAGGCTTTGGGAGTGTCTGGCGTACAAGCACCGTACAGATTACCACAACTCGAACCGGGCCCAGGAGCGATGATCGATCGACGAGGTGTAGAGCGCGAGCCTCGGACAGGATTTGCGCCGCTGCTACCTGCTGTCGCCCGGATCGAATCCAGACTGCACGGCACGACCACCGTCCCAATCGGCAGCATGGCAGCCGCGTTGGGCGGAAGACTGGGCGGTGCGCCGATGAGTCGAACCACGAGTGCTGGAGGTATGAGCGAGCTTGGAGACGTCGCCCCAGGCCCTGCTAGGAGAGGTGGACGAGGCAAGCTGGTGTAAGCAAGGCTTTTTGAGAAATTTGGATGCGTAAAGCGTGGAGTTTTTGGGAGGAATCAGGAAGGAAGATACCGCTCCTCATGAAACATTACCATAACGAATGAACAAGACTTGGCTTTATAAATCACACGACGTAGAGGTCCCACAAGGTGGAGGACTTTGATGGCTTCGCTTGGGAACGAGGTTAAAGCGAGGACATGATCACATGTCGATTGTTGCCTCCGTCAGTGTGGACTATGTATGCTTCGAGCGCAGCATCTCGACGCCATCCCCTACTCAATCGCTATTCCTGTGCCCTGGTGGATCTTCGTCTCGCATCTCTGTGTACTTCTCGTCGTTTCCATCCGCTCGTACGCTGTGCTTTCCTTCGATTTCGTTTCTCATCCCAATGTGCTCGTGCCGTCCGCGGTGTTCCTCTATCGTACAGATCGTTTGTTCAGTGATCTGGTTCATTCAGCAGCAAGGCTCCTTGATTCCCTTTGTGAGCAGCCACCAGTTCATAGGCACGGCTGTGGCATATCCGAGATTCATGCCCATTTGCATGAGCCACCTGCACGACTTTTAGCAAGACTGACATAATTCCCCAAAAGACTGGCACTCACCAATACGTCCAAGTGGTCATCTCAAGTTTGTACTCGAAAATTCCAACCTGGTAGATGATCATCCACGCAAAAGCACCCACCTCGAAACTCGTCAACGACAGGATATCCGCCTTGGCCGCGCGCCAGACCGTCTTCACGCCGTACTCTCCGCTCATGGGAGCGATGGAGAAGTACTGGAACGCAACGCCGAACAGCAGGGCGAAGGCGTAGTCCACGAGCAAGCAAGGCCATATCATCTGGCCATTGATCGTGGCGTTCGTGCCATGTACGAGCCATTCACCGACCACATCGCCCAAGACGCAACCCGCTCCGCAGTGTGCTACGCCCACGAAGACAGTCACCCACATGGGGCGTGAAGCAGCAGCGGCATGGTGGTGACAGTGCGGCGCATCTATACGCTCGTCCACCGCAGAAGGAATAGCAATCGCCGTGGCGGGCCCGCACGCGGACTTGGCCTTCTCGGAGTCAGCCTCGCAGCATCCGTAATCAGAGCTTCCGATGTCAGCGGTTCGTCCAAGTGCCTTTTCCGAGTCGGGAGGAGTGCCGTTTGCATTGTTGTGCATAAGGGACCCGTCTGCGGGGCATTGGTCGTTGTTATTGGCGGATGGATGACATTCTGCTTCTTGTGAAGTGTGGCAACTGTTCTTGTGCCGGAGCTGACCACCATACGCTCCAACACCCCGGTTTTCGGATACGGACTTTGGCAGGGCTGCAGGTGTTGCAGGGGTGGTAGACGAGATGGTTTGTGGATCTACGACTCCACTGTCGTTGCGTGAGTCATGTCGACTGCATTTGTTATCACCTCCCTCTCGGTCGTCAGCCTGTTGCAGGGGTGCCGTCGGCCGTCCAAACTTCCAGTAGAGAAGAACAGTCGGAAAGGCATAGAGGGCGTTGATGGGATAGACTAAGCTTTTCAGAAAAGTCGCCCATTAGCGTTTGTGCGTGACGCGTGGGATCAAAGTCTATTTCAACCACTCACATCATAATCCCCATCATGCTCCTCCATCCTCGCCGCCAGACGATATCTCCCAAGACAGCCAAGCCGCACAAGGCCCCCAGCAGCAAGAAGACGCCGCTGACAATCGTCAGCGCAAGGGGGACGTGGTAATGTGCTCCGCTTCCGTGGTGCATCGTCGCGTGGTCCATTTCAAAGCGTTCAATTTCGAAGGAGGCGTCTGAGCTTCCCCGGAGAGATCGTCGAGTTGTCGATAGAGCCAGTTGCCTGGACGGGCAAGTGGTGCTCTTGCGTGTGCGTTTTTATGCCCCAGCGTCATTTGTGCGGTTTGCGCGGTTTGTGCGCTCTTGCGCAGGAGTCACAGATACATAGCAGGTGCTGCCCAATCAACATCTTTCACATTGATGGCGAGAAAATTACAGCTTCTGTTCGAAGAGGCGAGGCAGAGACATCAGGCCATCCTCATGCAAAAGTGATCCGTCGGCATTCACATTTACACTTTGAACGCCGTCAGCTTTTAGACTTTTTGCCAATGCCGGTCAACCCATAGCGACGGACGATCCGCGGGTCAGCAACAGCTTCGAAGCTGTCGAACATCTTCCTACAGCGAGTCATGCAGCACAATTGGACGATTTGGTTGAGAGCTAGTCCACATTTCGGCGTCGACACCGCTCGTCCGCCACCAAGGGCAGAAGACGGGAAGGGTGTCTCGCTATGGGTTTTATGACGTTGCCGCAGAGCCAAGCGTTGGGTGTGGACCTCATCGCGTCTGCTGCGTTTGTAATTATTCAGCCCATTCATCGTCCACCCCGACCTTAACTCCGTCTGCTTTAAAACAACTGTACCTGCCCGCGGAACTTCTTCTTCTGCTGCTGGCGCAACGGGTGCATCAGGTCGGTTTCTCTCGTGCGTCTGGAAAACGTGCTTTCAAACACCGTTTCTTGCTGGTGCCCGTTTCCAATCTCCCCTCCTCTCTGTTTGCTTTCCGGCTATCCAAAGTCTAACACGCGGAGACCCGGGCTCTCCGCTGCTATTACCTGTGTCTGCCGTCCATTGAAGAGACGCGCATTCCTCGCATTGTCCAGAAGAGAGACGCACAGGCATTCTCTTCACAATGTGGGGATCATCGGTCAACGAGCAAAAGCTCACCCGGGCAGATACCAGCAACGCCCCCGCAAACCAATGGCATCGTGGGGACAACGAACCGGATGCTGGTCGACTCCACGAACCATTGCACCCAACCGAAGAAGTCGAGAGCGATGAGGACAATCGCACTACAGCCGGAACATGGGGAGAGCGCGATGTGGGCGGTTTCAGCGAGGAAGATGCTATGCAGAACTATGAGGCCCTGCGAAGAGATCTAACTCAGCTGGAAAAGACGCGATCGAAGGATACGCAAGCCAACTCGCTCCGACGGACTGTGACTGGCGCCAGTGGGAAAAGCAAGAGACAACAGTCTCGACCATCCAGCAGACCTCGCAGTCGTACTGAAGAGCAACGGGGCCAAGAAGCAGAGGAGAAGGACGAGCTTGGCGATGTCGAAGCTGGTCGACCAGAAGAGGATGAAGGTGAATTCGAATTGGATCAATTCATGAGAGGCGGTCATTTCGAGAAGCGATCGGAGAATGGTGCAACGAAGAGAGTTGGTGTGATCTTCAAAGACCTCACGGTAAAAGGTCTGGGATCGACAACTGCGTTCGTCAGGACGCTTCCAGATGCGATCATTGGAACTTTTGGTCCAGATCTCTACCACATCATTTCACGGTTCATCCCTGCGCTCGCACGTCGGAAAGGCGAGACCAGAACGCTGCTCAATGGCTTTACTGGTTGTGTGCGCGACGGAGAGATGATGCTCGTGCTGGGACGACCAGGTTCTGGATGTTCGACTTTCCTCAAGACGATCGCCAACAACCGTGAGGGCTACGCTGAAGTTTCTGGCGAGGTCTCATACGGTGGTATCGCAGCAGACAAGCAGAAGAAGATGTATCGCGGCGAGGTCAACTACAACCAGGAGGACGATGTCCATTTCGCCTCCCTCAACGTGTGGCAGACCTTCACCTTTGCCCTCATGAACAAGACGAAGAAGAAGGCTCGTGAGGACATTCCAATCATTGCGAACGCGCTTCTCAGGATGTTTGGAATCTCGCATACCAAGTACACCCTCGTTGGAGACGAATACACCCGAGGTGTGTCTGGTGGTGAGCGAAAGCGAGTCTCCATTGCAGAGACATTGGCATCAAAGTCAACAGTTATTTGCTGGGATAACAGCACTCGCGGTCTCGATGCATCGACTGCCCTGGACTATGCTCGGAGTCTACGCATCATGACTGACGTTTCCAACCGCACGACTTTGGTGACCCTTTACCAAGCTGGTGAGGGCATCTATGAGCTTATGGACAAAGTCTTGGTCATCGACGAAGGACGACAGATCTATTTAGGCCGAGCAAACGAGGCGAAACAGTACTTCTTCGACCTTGGCTATCAGTGCCCCGAGAGGCAGACCACAGCCGACTTCTTGACCGCTATCACCGATCCAGTCGAGCGCCGTTTCCGACCTGGCTTCGAGGACAGTGCACCAAAGACTCCTGAGGATCTCGAGCGTACATTCCGTCAATCACCCAGCTACCAAAAGGTCTTGGACGATATCTCCCACTACGAGAGATACCTGAAGGAGTCCAACTACGAAGATGCTCAACGCTTCGAGACCGCCGTGCAAGAAGGCAAGTCGAAACGTGTGCCAAAGAAGTCTCCATACACCGTCTCTTTCCCACGCCAGGTCATGGCCTGCACGAAGCGCGAGTTCTGGCTGCTCTTCGGCGATACCACAACTCTATGGACCAAGGTCTTCATCATCATCTCGAACGGTCTCATCGTTGGCTCTCTCTTCTATGGTCAAACGGAAGAAACTGCGGGCACTTTCTCTCGCGGCGGTGCCCTCTTCTTCTCGATTCTCTTCCTGGGATGGCTTCAGCTTACGGAACTCATGAAGGCCGTCAGCGGTCGAGCTGTGGTTGCCAGACACAAGGACTACGCCTTCTACCACCCCTCAGCCGTCTCTATGGCTCGTGTCATCGCTGACGCGCCAGTCATACTGGTGCAAGTCATACTCTTTGGCATCATCATGTACTTCATGTGCAACCTGACTATCACCGCCGGCCGCTTCTTCATCTACATGCTGTTCGTGTACATCACAACCATCATGTTGACAGCACTCTACCGCATGTTCGCATCCGTCTCGCCTGAGATTGACACGGCCGTTCGGTTCTCTGGTATCGCCCTGAACTTGCTCGTCATCTACACCGGATACGTGATCACCAAGACCCAGCTTTTGGGTGACTACATCTGGTTCGGCTGGATTTTCTGGATCAATCCGATTGCATACGCTTTCGAGGCTGTCCTGACGAATGAGTTCTCCGGCCGAACTATGCAGTGCTCTGAGTCTCAGCTGGTTCCGCAGGGCCCTGGTGCCGACCCCAGGTACCAGGGATGTGCTATTGCTGGAGCCGCCATCAACGCCCACCAGGTTTCTGGAGAAGCCTACGTAGAGGCAATGTACAATTACAGCAGATCTAACCTGTGGCGCGACTTTGGGGTGCTGATTGCGTGGACTGTGCTTTACTTGCTGGTGACGCTGCTTTTTACCGAGCTTTTCTCCTTCGCTACGACCGGAGGCGGCGCCCTCGTTTTCAAGAAGACCAAGCGAGCGAAGAAGGCTGTCCAAGCTGCTCCACCGGGCGATGAGGAGAAGGCTGGTGCTACTGAAGACAGTTCGAGCTCAACCAAGAAGGAGGCCGGTCTAGGTGCTACTTCATCTGGCGAAGACAAGGAACAAGAGGCTTTGGACCAACTCACCAAGAGTGACAGTATCTTCACCTGGCGAAACGTCGAATACACTGTGCCTTATCTCGGTGGCGAGCGAAAACTGCTCAACAATGTCAACGGCTACGCTAAGCCTGGAGTTATGGTGGCTTTGATGGGTGCATCTGGCGCGGGAAAGACCACGCTTCTCAACACGCTCGCTCAACGACAAACGATGGGTGTTGTATCCGGAGAGATGTTCGTCGACGGCCGCGCGCTGGGACCCGAGTTCCAACGTAACACTGGCTTCTGTTTGCAAGGCGATCTTCATGACGGCACTGCAACCATTCGAGAGGCTCTGGAGTTTTCTGCAATCCTTCGTCAAGATTCCAGCGTCCCTCGATCTGAGAAGCTGGCATACGTGGACAAGATCATTGATCTTCTCGAGTTGAACGACCTGCAAGACGCCATCATTATGAGTCTCGGCGTCGAGCAGCGCAAGCGTCTCACCATCGGTGTAGAACTTGCTGCCAAGCCGTCATTGCTTCTCTTCCTCGACGAGCCAACTTCTGGGTTGGACTCCCAGAGCGCCTACTCGATCGTCCGTTTCTTGAAGAAGCTCGCCCACGCGGGTCAAGCCATCGTCTGTACCATTCATCAGCCTTCCAGTGTGCTCATCCAGCAATTCGACATGATCCTTGCTCTCAACCCCGGTGGCAACACTTTTTACTTTGGACCTGTTGGAGAAAATGGCAAGGACGTGATCAACTACTTCTCCGAGCGAGGAGTGCAGTGCCCGCCCGAGAAGAACGTGGCAGAGTTCATTCTCGAGACTGCAGCTCGACCACACAGACGCGAGGACGGCACCAAGATCGATTGGAACGAGGAGTGGAGGAAATCGCAACAAGCCGAAGATGTCATTCAGGAAATCGAGGGTCTCAAACTCACTCGCAGTCGCACGGTCCCGGAGGATGTGCGGAGAGAACAGCAGAAAGAGTTTGCCGCTGGTGTCGTACTCCAGTGCACCGAGCTGCTCAAGCGTACCTTCAAGCAGTACTGGCGGGACCCGTCCTACATCTACGGCAAGCTCTTCGTATCGGTCATCATCGGTATCTTCAACGGCTTCACCTTCTGGCAACTCGGCAGCACCGTTCAAGACATGCAGAACCGCATGTTCACGGCCTTCTTGATCATCACCATCCCACCTACGGTCGTCAACGCCGTCGTGCCCAAGTTCTTCACCAACATGGCGCTTTGGCAGGCTAGAGAGTACCCATCTCGTATATACGGCTGGTTCGCTTTCTGCACTGCGCAGACTGTTGCTGAGATCCCGCCAGCGATCATCTCGGCCGTCATCTACTGGGTTCTGTGGTACTGGCCAACGGGACTGCCATCCGAGAGTTCCGTCTCAGGCTACGTCTTCCTGATGACTATGCTGTTCTTCCTGTTCCAAGCCAGCTGGGGCCAGTGGATCTGTGCCTTCGCACCGTCCTTCACCGTCATCTCCAACGTCCTGCCCTTCTTCTTCGTCATGTTCTCCCTCTTCAACGGCGTCGTCAGACCCTACAGCATGCTGCCCGTCTTCTGGCGCTACTGGATGTACTGGGTCAACCCAGCGACTTACTGGATCGGTGGCGTGCTCGCCGCAACGCTCGACGGCATCCCCGTGACATGTACGTCGAACGAAGCCGCCCACTTCGACGCTCCTCCAGGCCAGACTTGCTCTTCGTACGCCGGCGCATTCGCTCAGTCGGCCGGCGGCTACCTCCTCAACCCCGACGCCTCGCAGGATTGCCAGTACTGCCAATACACGATCGGCAACCAGTACCTCTCGACGCTCAACATCGACGCCTCCGACAAGTGGAGAGACTTCGGCATCTTCCTTGTCTTTGTCTTTACGAATTACTTCTTGGTAAGTCCTACACATCCCCACTACCAAGTTTCTCCAAACGGAATACTAACGTGTGTGATAGGTCTACTTCTTCATCTGGAGCGTCCGCGTCAAGGGCTGGGCGTTCGGCTTCGACTACATCTTTGGCTTCTTGGGCAACTTGGTGGGCTTCGTCAAGAAGCCTATCGATCGTTTCATGAGCAAGAAGAAGGCGTAGAGGTGGTAGTACGAGGGCATCTTCTATAAAAGCGGTTTTAATACTTTTGCTGGTCTTTAGCGTTGGCGTCTTGCGTGTTGGATGAGATAGAGCATAGATGGCTGTGGTGGGATGCATGGACGGCAGATTCTCGTGGACGGCCGTGGGAAGACCAGAGTTTCAAACGATAAGTAGACTTTGTAATATCTTCTGCGACGTGTACGCTTTTGTTGTTCTTCTTGCAAGCAATGGATGTAGAGTAGGAGCAATTGACAGGGGGCTCCACTTTGCCAAGGACAAGGGTGAACTTTGTCTCACCTCACTTCGCCGATCGCTCGACATCTTCTCGCGTTCATCAAGCAATACGGTACTGATACCATCAAGACGGCGAGCAGACTGACAGTGTCACATGCATGAGCTCATCGGCCATGCTCATGGATGACAGAGACTACGTTCGCAGCCCTCAAACGATCCAATCTCCGCCACGGAAAAGTTGGGAGCGAGAACTCACCAAACAGTGGCTGTCACTGTTCAGTCTGCTCTTGTTGATACGATCGCTTCGATGGCCAATTCGCACGATGCCGCGATGCCGCGATGCCAGTCTTGCCACGACGACTTTTGACAGCCCGGCCGCACAGCGACGACCACACCTGCACGTATCCGCACGGAAGGCTGCTGCAACAAGCTGGGGTCATGGCTGCCATATGCCGCTTGGTTCTGGTCTTGCAAAGCGGTCAGTGTGGAACGTACATGTGCGTTGCTCGGCGAGCGGATGGCGACCTCGATGGAAGCCCCAGGTGATGGGCTAAAATCTCAGCTGGCACCGATACTGGAGATGTTTCTGAGGGTGGGAATGCGCTATCTTTTGCGACGAGAGCGGCGACGCCTGATGTGGACGAGGCAAGTATTGACGAACAACAGCATTCAGTGTCGCGAGCGAAATTGCGAGTCAAACAGTGTACTGATGCACCAACCTCGCTCGGTGTTGTATGGTCACCTCGGGCACGACGACGACATCGAGTCCAGCGAGCGCAATCACCGATGACGATGGAAACTCTCGCTTAACAGGAAAGTGGACTAATATATGGTGTTCGGAATCCTATTCCATCACCACACCAGCAGACTGGTGTGGGAGGGACATGCAGCTGACAAAAAATTCCCAGGATCGAATGGCGCAATCGTAGCGCGTTTGACTTTGTTAACAATCTAGGTTCTAGGTTCGAATCCGGCGGGCAGAAACAAAAGTAAAATCACAAAGTGGTTTTCTCTAGAAACTCTACAATGGGTCCTAGTTCTTTTGCATTTTTGTTGGGATAGTTTTGGCCTTTTTGACTTTAAGTGGGCGCGGGTTCGATCTTCGCACTGCCGCGGCAACTCGTTCATTTTCTTTTTGTGCGATTTCATGGGGATGGAGGTTGGACTTTCTGGCTTCGGGCGCAATGCTTCCTCATTCCCACCTTCATGCTACAGAACGGGGAGCAATAGCTCGGTCGCGGCTACCTGCGAGCACCCGTTCGGCGGGTGGTATCCACCAAACGCCTTGAAGCCGCGCTGGATGCTCCACAATTGCTGCTTCGCTGAATGTTTGGACCATCGAATATCCAATGAGACGTGGGGTGCCTGGTGAGTGGACCGAAATCTCTCTCCATGATGACTTTTGCTTGTTCAATAAGCATTCAATGGCTACACCTGAACTCTTCATCAACCGGGTGGGCTACTCGAGTGGATCTACAGCATGGACGAGTGCGACCCTGTCTTCGTCTGCCCATGCATACGGCTCGAACACCTTGCCGCGGGACTTGTGTCACCCATCCAGATGACTTCAGGCCACGCTACTGTCATCTCGATGGGAACAGCCATGGCAACAGCCATTTCTCCAGCCTTTCCCGAGAATTGAAAGACATTGCTTGACCTTGACTGAGGCCACGGGGAGGTCGAAGAATCGATGCCAGATGCTGAGTGCGGTCCTTGCTTTCGAACCCTCCAACCACCTGCTATGGATTCGTTTGCTCGATCGCTGTCTGACCGACCACTCGGGGCCTTTTCATACGATGATTATGCCAGCGACATCGTCTCGTTCTCGCATCTCGAAAAGATCTGGCCAATGGAACAAGCATGTCACTTCTTGCTGTCCATGCACAGGCCCTTGCTCTACGCCATGCTGGATCCCACTGGCAAACGCGGCTCTGCATACCTCTGCAGATGGCGAGGAAAGGCCCATTGAGACATTCGTCGACGCTATCTTTGTCTCATACTGCAAACTCCGTGTCCCGATGGCTGGACTGCCGGACGCGAGGCAAATAGGTTCTTTGCACGATGTCCATGTCCTGCCCGCGCCGCAGACTGCCAGTCTTTCTCCCTCTGCTGCAGCATCTGCGTTGTTAGCGCTCTTCTGCTTTCTTCTGAACACCTTCGCGGCCTTTCTTTCCTTTCTCCCCTCGTTCTTCGGGGTGGCAGTGAGACATGCGGGCCACGGCTGCCAGCTCTTTGGCGGACGATTGTGGACGATGCTAGCCCGCATAGTGCATGACTGGGCCCATGTCCTTGGGACTTCTCTATAAGGCCTTCGCCCTCGCTCTCTCGTTCATCTCACCGCTTCTTGGTTGCAGTACACGATCGCTCCGACCCCGTTTGTCACTGCGTCTCCCAAGGCCAGCTGTGACATATAATCTCCCCTCGTACAGTCGCCTCTTCTCTCTTCACACCACTCGAAAGTGTATCACCTGAGCACAAGCCTCGCATATCGTCGGCTGCTACGATGTTGAAGATCAACTCCTTGCTCAACCCTGCCTCCGAGCACGACAGATACGGGTTCGCCCACTCCGTCACCCCTCCCAGCACGCCCGCCGACTCCGCACACGCCTACTCACCAACATCGACCTTGACGTCTCAACCCACCACACCGCTGACACCCACCCCCAAACGCCAGAAGCGAGCCAAGGATGCCTCCAACTTCACCCCCGGTCCTGCCCGAGGCCCAGTCAACTACCCCCCTTTCGAATGCAACGAACCAAGCGTCTGCCTCAGCAACAGCCAGCAACGCGAACTGGAGATGCAGCACCGCCTGTTCAAAGTCCAGCCGACGGGTCGTGACGAGGAGGGTGGACTGATCTCGAGGAATGTGCACCATATTCCGTACTCGAGCGAGAAGAGGGGTTTCATGGACAAGACTGGGCGGGGTGGATTCGATGGTGAGTGACAACATGATACACTACCTCCCTGAGTATGACTGTTGCTGACGTGATGTTTCAGTGTTCAAGTACTTCTTCGTCGTCTCTCTGCTGAACCCGAAGACCAAGGTCTACGAGGAACGTAGGTTCCCCGTCATGTGGGATTATCAGGTCGGTTTGGTCCGCATCACGCCTTTCTTCAAGGCGTGCAAGTACACCAAGGTAAGTTGTGATACCAACACTCGATACGTGGCTTCATACTAATGATGATAACAGACGATACCCAACAAATCCCTCGTTGCAAACCCCGGCCTGAAAGACCTCTCCCACTCCGTCACTGGAGGCTCCGTCGAAGCCCAAGGCTACTGGGTGCCATACTCCTGCGCCCGTGCCCTGTGCCTCACCTTCTGCTACCCCATCCGCTGGGCCCTCACACCAGTCTTCGGTCCATCCTTCATCAAGGAGTGTCTCGCCCCCGACCACCCCGGCTACGGACGCTTCAAGATCGACCCCGAGGTCATCCGCATCTCCGCCCTGGAACAGCAGGACTGGCGTGTTGATACGGCGAGTCGCGATGCCACGCCAGCGTACCCGCAAGCTGGGCGTGAGATCCCGCGAAGTGCACCAGCGGCTCACGAGCATGTTGACCACAGCAAGCCGCAGTTCAAGCAGGGCTCGCCGTTCTCCGAGGCATCTTCTGATCGCAACTACGTCTACTCGTCGCCGATGACTGACTCACCCGCTCTGTCGCCCAAGAGCAAACATCGCCCTCTCATGCCCGTCCAAAGCCCCACCTGGACCAGCATCAACCGCTCCGGCTACGACAGCCCCATGTACTCTCACCGCGACAGCCCACCAACCCCTCTATCCGGTCCACTTCAGACGAACCCCAACTTCTCCCCCAACATCTCCTGGCGCAACGCAGAACCAGCCCTAGTCCAACTCCCGACCAACACCCGCCGCATATCCACCTGTCGCAGCGTCGTCGACGCACCTCCCACCGACGCCGATTACTCCCCACCTGTATCCGTCGCTTCGAGCGACCGCAGCAGCAGTGACATCCAACCCCCTCCTGCGAAGAAGAGGAAGACGTCCAAGTCCGGCAAGCGCAAGTCATCCACGAGGGCGAAGAACTTGGGTGGGAGGACGGAGTGGACGGAGGAGGATATGAATGCTGCGCGGTGGTTGTTGCGGTTGCACGAGCAGCCGAGGAGTTTTGCTGGTGTTGGGGATGGGAAGAGTGGTGGGGTGTGATGTTGAGGGATGATCGAGAATTGCAGAAGGAGGAAGAAGGATGGAGGTGGACATTGCGGGATGGAGAACGCTCATGACTTTATGATGGCGAAGGGGTATGATGACGATATGCATTATTGGATAACGACATCATGAAATGGGTTGTACATTACCGAGGATGATGATGACGGGGATATATGTAGACAGTCGTGTGTGTGCATGCAATTGAGTGTGCTTGGGTTTCTTACGTCTCTCTCTTGAAGTCTTGAAGACCAATGAGTGAATGCCAAGTCTGGAGACGTGCGCAAGAAGTTGACACTGGGAAGTGTCTAGGCACAAGAGGACAAGACGATAGATGTGTCGCTCGCAGTCTTGCTGTTGTGCCGTGCCGCGTCTACTTGCATCTTTGGAATGTTTCTACTTGTTGGCCGGAAACGATGCAGCATATCCGTGGAGTGTGGAACGCATCCGGATGGGCCAACACGCGATCGCAACCTCAGTGAGGAAGAGGACTCATTGACTGATGAATGCACAGCCCTACCTCGCTCACATGCTAGGCGCTGGGCTGAGGTGATGAAGTGAAGTCAAGGAGATGTCGGCAAGGGAACGGCTGAAGTCGAGACCAAGCAAGGGGTAAATCTGCGCCACAGCCGCCACGATTTCGACCTTGATGATCATCAGACGACGTACGACGAGCGGGACGAAGTCCTGTCGTCGAGGGTAGTTGCTTTCATAATTGTATATAGATATAGAAGATGCTGCAGTGACGATCTGTTGTGTCATGCGGCATTCTCGTTGGAGGAAGTGTCACGAATACGATTCCTGCACACCAGAACCCGAGTGGCTTGCGAAGTCGTGGTAGGGCGAGCAGCAGTTTGATTGCGCTGGGGCCCAGAGGCGTTGGAAGGATGCGAGCCTCTCTCGCAAATGGACAAGTTCGTCCGGCCCTCTCCTTTGCCCCATCATAATTTGATGGATAGGAATGCGCAGCGCGGAGTTTGGGGTTTGGAGAAATGGCTGACGACCAGCATTCCATGTCGTGCTGGCGGCGCGGTGAGGGAGGAGCACAAAGCGCACATCTTCCTGGTTTCGGATAAGTCGGGACGAGGAGGTGTCGCCATCTTGGCTGTGCTGCCCAGTTTCGTTGCTGGCGTTGAAGCTCCGCCCAATTATTGATTAACGCGTTGAATGATGCTGCCGTCAGGTGCCGAGCCGTAGAGGGCGGATCTTCGCTTGCAAACGCTTGCTTCCTGGCGCCAATCCTGCTGGCTGCTCTCATCTGGCTGTGTCTCTATTAACTGGTCTCTCCTGCCTGCGTTTCACCTCTTCCGCCTTCTCGCGTGTCCTCCACACCCTCGACCACCTCCCCCGAACCCACCATTATCATCCACACCATGGGGACCGCAAACGGTGAGAAGATCGAGTTGGAAGACGACGTCAATTCCCCCAGTCCCGACCGCAGCGAGAGCTCCAAAAGATCCAGCTCTGAATCCACACTTGCACCCTCAGAAGGCGGCCTGCTCAAGGAGGAGCGCGACATCGAAGCCCAGTCACCTGCGCCCGCCGAACACTACGTCTCAACGAGAGCGAAGTTATCTTTCCTGGCCGCTTATTTCTTTCTCAACCTGTTCCTCACCCTCTCCAACAAATCTGTCCTCGGAAAGGTGCGCGCTGCAGAGGATTGAACGAAGTTTGCGACTTACTGACTTTGACCAGGCCAAATTGCCATGGCTGCTCACGGCATGTCACGCCTCAGCGACGAGCATAGGATGTTTCGCCATGTTGGGCTTCGGCGCCATCAAGCTCACCCAACTTGGAACGCGAGAAAACCTGGTTCTGGTGGCCTTTTCCTTCCTCTTCACCATCAACATCGCCGTTTCGAACGTGTCCCTAGCCATGGTGTCCGTCCCATTCCACCAGATTATGCGATCCACCTGCCCCGTGGTCACGATTCTTATCTACCGATTTGTATACGGACGGACATACTCCACCCCAACCTACCTGACCATGATTCCCTTGATCTTTGGAGTTGCCCTCTCGACAGCTGGCGACTACTACTTCACCCTTATTGGCTTTACTATGACTCTCCTTGGTGTTATTCTGGCATCGGTCAAGACGGTGGCTACGAACCGCCTCATGACCGGGACATTGAAGCTTTCCGCATTGGAGGTACTTACTGGCTTTTTGACAAGGTGCGAAATCTTGTGGCTGACATGACATAGGTCCTCCTGCGAATGTCACCCCTTGCTGCGATACAATGCGTGGCATACGCTGTGATTAGTGGGGAAGCAGATCAATTCCGAACCTCCTACGCCAATGGCGAATTCTCCAACACCCTCGGTGCCGCGCTGCTGGTCAACGCCATCACCGCCTTCCTGCTCAACATTGTCGGATTCCAAGCCAACAAAATGGCTGGAGCACTCACGATCACCGTTTGCGGAAATGTCAAGCAAGCCCTGACAATCCTCTTCGGAATCGTCCTCTTCCACGTCGAAGTCGGCATCACGAACGCAGTGGGAATGCTCATAACGATTGCTGGCGCGGTCTGGTACAGCAAAGTGGAACTGGACAACAAACGTGCCGCTCGGCCTCGGTCTTGATTATTGATTTGACGGGAAGCGTGGAGTTTGGGCGGGTTTTGTATAGACTTTTTGGGCATGATTTTACCCATTGCATGGCATTGTGGCACGAGTATTGATGCCAAAGACCTGGAATATGCCATGGAAGATGATGCTAATGGCTAATTGTACATAATAGAGAGAGGGAAGTTGGAGATATCGATATCTGCAAGCGACACTGTCGCACGAATGCAAGAAGCTCCAACGAGAGCATGTCGGAATAGAAGGTCAACTCGATCTCATTCCAGATGCCTGATCTGGAAACTATTGAGCACTCTCCCGACCACCTGCATTGTCGCTCTCCCGTTCCCGTATCACGGAAATAGTTACTCTTTGTAAGAGGTGACGTGGATAGAGTTTGTACTTTTGAGTATTCTTGGTTCTGAAGGCTCAATGTTTCACTGCGAACTCTCGGTGAATATGCCTTGACTGTTCAAGATTCAGATGTGAGGGTTCATATATATAACAGACTGGAACAGGAATGGAGTCACGTGGGTACTGAACGCCACATCTCGAATTATGTCAGCATAACTGACGCTAAGCCCTATGAATCCAATCTTTTTTCGACTTCGCCCCAAGCATCAATTGTCAACATTTCCAAAGACCAATCAAACAAACCAACACTCACAAGTTCAACCATGGCCCCAGACCCCAGCATAGAGAAAAACAAACCCAAATCCTTCGAAGCCCTCACCCCAGAACTCTCCTCATGGATCCTCGACTTCACCACCTCCAGCGGCTTCACACGCACAACGCCGGTGCAAGCCATGGCCATCCCGTTACTCATGGGCAACAAAGACCTCGTCGTCGAAGCCGTGACGGGCAGCGGCAAAACGCTGAGTTTTCTGATCCCGATGGTTGAGAGGATTTTGCGCGCGGAGGAGCCGAATAAGAAGGGGTATGTGCGGGGGGTGGTGGTGGCGCCGACGAAGGAGTTGACGAGTCAGATTTGGGAGGTGTTGAGGGGGTTGGTGGGGTTTCATGCGCCTAGTCGGGGTTTTTTGAGGAAAGTTGAGGGGATGGGGGATGGGGTGGAGGATGATGAGGATGAGGTGATGGGGGATGGCGAGGAGCAGGAGGAGGTTTTGCCGGGGCCGTATGTGATTCCTCAGTTACTTGTTGGTGGGAGGACGAAGTTACCCGAGGATCTGGCGACTTTCTCGAAACTGAATCCGAATATTTTGATCGGGACGCCGAAGCGGATGGTGGAGGTTTTGTCGTCGTCGAAAGTGCAGCTGAAACGGCATTGGTTTGATCTCCTGGTTTTGGACGAGGCTGATCGATTGCTGGATCCGAATTTCCAGCCGGATTTGCAGAGGATCCTGGAGTTGGTGCCGAAGGAACGGAGGACGGGACTTTTCAGTGCGTCGGTTTCGGAGGCTGTGGATGAGCTGGTGAGGGTGGGGATGAGGTATCCGTTTAAGATCAGTGCGAAGGTGAGGAGTAAATCTGGAGCGCTGGATAAGAGGACGCCGGAGAGTTTGAAGCTTTATCATTTGGTTACGAAGCCGACGCACAAGTTGCCGATGCTGAAAGGGATTTTGGAGGAGAAGCAGGCGGAGAAAAGTATCGTCTACGTCTCGACCCGAGCTGGTGTGGATTACTGGAATCATGTCCTTCCTTCATTACTCGGCGTTTCCGTCTTTCCAGTCCACGGAGATCACAAACACGCCATCCGAGAGAAGAATCTCCAACGATTCCGCGACTGCGTTACTCCAGCTATCCTCCTCACAACAGACGTCCTCGCCCGAGGAATCGATATCCCAGACATCGACCTCGTGGTCCAACTCGACCCCCCATCCCAACCCAAAGACTTCATCCACCGCTGCGGTCGCTCCGGCCGCGCAGGCAAACGCGGCGCAGCCATCACCTTCCTCCACCAAGGCAGCGAAGAGGACTACATCAAATACCTCGACATGCAAGGCACCAAGCTCGACCCTTACCCCTCCCCACCCACAATCTCAGACGAAGAAGCCTCCGCCACCACCTCCCAAATCCACTCCACCCTCCACTCCAAACACGAACTGCACGACCGCTCCCAGAAAGCCTTTGTGAGCTGGGTCCAAGCCTACAACAAGACCCTCCCCGCGGATATCTTCAGCGTGCGCAAAATCTCCTGGGCAGAGCTGGGGAAAAGCTGGGGACTCCTCCGCTGGCCCAAAATGCCCGAGCTGAAAAAACACTGCCCGGAAGCCGTCTCCGATCGGACCTGGTCCCTCGACCTCCCATCAGATTTCCACCTTGACAGCATCCCTTACGCCGACAAAGTCCGCGAGGAGAAACGCCTCACGGACAACGCGGCGCGCGCGAGGGGGGAGAAAGTCGAACTTCCCGCCAAATTCGCAGGCAAACTCGCGGAGGCGAGGAAGAGGAAGGAGAGGGCTTGGAGTGCGCAAAAGGGGGCGAAGGCGGTAAGGGAGGGGAGGAGGGAGAGGAAGGAGGTCAGGCGGGTTGCGGATAAGAAGGGGAAGATGACGGATCAGCAGCGGGTGGAGGCGAGGGAGTTGGAGGCGTTGATTGGGAAGGTGAGGGAGAGGAATGCGAGGGAGAGGGAGGGGGAGGAGGCGGAGGGGGTGTTTGAGGGGTTTGAGGATTGAGGAGTGAGGAGTGAGGATGTACGTGTAGTCTTGCTGTCTATGATGGATTCGATACCCCCTTTCTTGCTTTGCTTCGCCCGTGTATGTCCCATTTCCAAGGCTGCAAGCTCGTCATATGTCTATGGTTGGCCTCGATTTACTTACATACATACTGTCCTCCGAACCCAGCACCGCCAATCTCCTCGTCCTCGAAAGGCTCCATGGTGCAGCGGTCAAGCACGTCCAACACAGAAGGGCTTGTCGCGTGCGGACCTTAGCTCCGGCCATTGCCCCGGCCATTGCTCCGTACGCGCTTCCCGATTGTATCACCGCACAACTCCGGTTGAGCTGTGTGTTTGGGAGATCCTCCGTTCGACTCGGAGTGGGACCATGATTCGCTGTCTGTGTCTTTTCGTTTTCTTTTTGCTGTTCGAGAGACGTTCGCCGTTGCTGGGGGAGTCTGCATGGATATCAGCACCTCCTGTGTTGTCACGAGCGCTGGCTTTGAGCGAAGAGAAAGTATGAACAATGGAAGTGACAGTACTCCTGAGAAAGTCTACAAAACGCTGGTATCCCTGCTTCTCTCGATTTCAATATACAGATAGTAAGTTTTCGTCTCATGCTCCATACTCAAAACACGCAGACTCCTCCACCTCAAAACACGCTGATGAAGTTGTTGACGCGGTCTTTCTGGTTCTGCGCGATGCATTCTGATATCCAGGTGATGTTTCGGATTTCCTGTAGCCATTCATTAGCACGACCATCTCGATCCACTGGTGATATTGACTGACCTGCTCCCTCAGCTTCACCCACGCATACACGACCGCGTGCGTGAACTGGTATGTAAACGCCAGCTTGCAGATCTCCATTTCCTTCTGGTAGAAGAGGTCCTCCAAGCTCTTGCCCTCGTCACCTCCAATGCCGCCAGACTGGTTGCCTAGACCGCCGCCACCCATGCCCGTCTGGTCGAGCATCGTCCTGTAGTCATGCACGCCATCCACCGCTATCCTCACACCCTCGACATCATCCGCTCGTGACAGCATAAGAGTACCTTCTGGATGCAGACGGCCGAAGTTGGGGTACAGCTTCTTGCGATCTTGCTTGGAGAGCTCCGTGCCAAAAGAGTTGATGGTGATGTTGATACTTCTCCGATCCGCCTCGAATTCTAGAACCTCGCTCATGACAGTCTGTGTCGGTGTGCCCTTGATTCCTGGCTCTTCGTTCACGAATCGGTGGAAGTCTTCGAGGTAGTTCTTGTATAGGGTGTTTCGGATGATTTCGATGTTCAGCTCGTCGAGATCATGGTGGCTTATTGAGCCTTTGAAGTATGGTGCCAAAGGTGTCTCAATAAGGACTGAGTTGTACAGCTCTTCAATATTGGTCGCAACGCAGAGGACGGGCATCGTCTCAAACCATCCTAGCGGATGACATCGCTCTAAAAGCTCCTTCGTGTCGCGCTCGTGCAGGGTACCAGTGATGAGGAGGGCCACGTTGTCGATCATGTAGGCGTAGGTGAGGTACTCCATGAACTTGGCCAGGCTCCCAGTCGCATTCGCCTGGAGATATCTGAACTCAGCTACCAGCTTGTCGAGCGTCTTGTCGGCGAGGGCGGAGGTAGATGGGTTGGGAGGGAGCGCTGCGAGATAGTCGCCATATGCTGGGCCGAGTTGTAGCTTGACATCTGCCGGCTATTGTCAGTCCCCTGCCATCTTCCACATACTCATAGCCATTGATCCGTGCATACCGTCGATATTCTCGCATTGTGTCAGGTTTCCGTAGTTCTGGCCAGAGAGGAGGGCGCTTCTGTAGCCACGTACGATGCCCTCGACGTAGCCGTTGGTCGCATTCTGAGTGGCAGTGTTAGCTGCACGTCCGAGTGATGCAAGAGTTGCAGGCTGCAAGATCAGCTTACATAGAACATTCCCTCTGCCATCTTGACGGTATTGAGAGGGGGTTATGCGTGGTGGAAACGGTACAGAGTGCAGAAGTGCAGTTGGTGATGGTGGCAGGCCCCAGCCAGAGGTCGGAGCTCCAAGCAAAGCGGCGATCCGTCTTGCCAAGAACGACGTGTCGGCGTCATGAAAGTCCTTACTACTCTCACTACTCCTTTCACCATCTACAAAGACACGACTTCACTCGTATCCTGATTAGGAATGCGAATCTCCTTGCTGTGGAGTGAAAGAAGATATGAAATACTGAAGGTTTGATTGATACCATGTACGTCGTTAGTAATATAATACAGCAACAGCAGCAGAAGCAATACACAAGGCTCTAATAAGCCATGATCTTTTCGAATCGCATCACCCCCTCGTCGACTCGAGCGGCCGTCGCGCGAGACTCATCCCTCCCAACCGACCGCGACTTTTAGCCACCCAGAAACGCCGTCCCAGTAACTCGAGAGCAAATTCACAAGAGATGGAAAGCAAAATTGTCAGATATCGTTGCGATCCTCCTCAGTCGAGCTCCATCGCGTGGGCAGCACAGGCGCCGTCTGGCTGACTGTGGTCTGCAGTGCCATTGATCATATCAGCCTGGACGCCGTTCAGCTCATTCTGAGCTGCCGTGATGGGGTCTGTCTCGGCGATGATGCAGCCGCCTGGAGCTGCGAGTTCAAGTGCTGGCAGCATTCTGAGGCGTGGAATGAGCTGACTTGGTTCGGTCGTGACCAGGCGAGCTTCGGTCAGGTCGTGGGAGAAGATGTAGTACTCGTGCTGGCCATTGTATGCGTTGAGTGCGGCGACGAGGTAAGCTGGAAGGCCCTTGTTCTCGAACCAGATGGCGATATCCTTAAGGCCTGGATAGTGATTCTGGATCCACTTGCTGTAGGCTTTCTCCTGGATTTGATGAGCTTCGTCAGAGTCCATGCGCGTCCAGCTGATGCCCAAGGCACGCGTCGCTTCGTCGATCAGCGGCTCGGATGTGACATCTCGCATTGATGCTGGGAGTACGAGTTGAGCGAGATCGTCTGGACCAGAGGCAGTGGTGTTCATGCGCTGCGACTTGCGGCTGGTGACGGATGGTCGCTTTGCGTGCGCGAGTTGGAATGGCTTACGCTCTGCGCGCTCCTCGACCCATGTACCACTCTGGCTCTCAGCACACATATCGTAGCCGGGATCTTCGGGATATATGAGTGTCATGCCGGGCCCGTAGACTGGCTTGCCTCGCGGCTTCTTGAGCTCTTCAGTCGTCGGGGTCGAGACCGAGCCATCACCGAGACGATCGTCTTCTCCTTCGTTCTCGTCGAAGACATCAGCGCGGGATCGCTTGCGACCAGCGAGTGAGCCAGGAGTGGAGGCTGCAGCGGTTCCGTTGGAAGTGAACGCGTTTGGAGTGGTTCCGTTTGGCGTGAAGCCGTTGGCATTGGAAAGACCGTTGGGCGAGATGCCATTGATGGCCGGAGCGCTGGCCTGGTGGTCGGTGTAATGGCTGTTGGCGAAGTACTGATTCGGCGCATTGGGTGGAAGGACGACAGTCGGCGAAGAAGTGAAGAAGCTGTTGGATGACATGGCGGTGAATGGAGCTGCGTCAGTTAGATGATCTAACAACATCAATTGCTTATCCTGATGGAGCGACCGGACAAGCTCGATGAGAGCCTGCGATGCACCTATTTTGAAGGTTGTTGAGAGTTGGTCGCGTGAGAGTGGTGGTTGTTGGCGGTGAGGCTGGTCTGGATCGGTCGACCAGATTGCGCAGGGTATATGGATGAATGTGGTGAGCAATGGCGAGCTCGTGTTGGGATGGAACGAGTTGGCTCAGAATGAGGGCGGTGTTGCTGAGCGGTTGGCGACGATAGTGTTGCTTGGCATGAATGGTATGGCGAAAGACGGGTGGAGTGATGAGGCCGCAAAGGCGTGAGAGCTGCGAAGCCAGTGGTGAGTGAAGGAAGAGGAAGCAGGTCGCGAAGCAAGAGCGAATGGCCGTTTCGCTCTGTCCGTTGCCGGGTAGAAGCGCACGCTAGCAATGCACCCCACATTCGACTGGCCTCTCACTTTCTCGCGCAGCGACGAGCTCCGGCCGCCGCATGCAGTCGCCATTTCGCATTATTGGACGCTTGCTGAAGATCAGGCACGTCTGCAGAACTGTTGGCACACTTGCTGAGACCCTGAAGTTTGCGACATGTGAAAAATTGCAGCTGAAAGACGTTGTTTGGCGGACATGTGATCTTGCACGTGACAGGATCTTGCCCCTCGCCGTTCCGCGCAAGGCGCAAAAGGTACCACTACAGGTGTCGTCTCTCCAAGCGTCATAACGAGCAAGGCGATGTTTGCAGCTCGAGACGGCCGGGCTATCTTGTACGTATGGGGAATGCATTCCACTTCGAGCAAAGGGGGTTGAGGTTGTAGAGCAAGCCTAACAGATCTGCCACGTCGTTCGTATGGCCAGGTTGGACACCTCAACGCAACAGTATGAGAAGAGTGCATATTCTCAAAGAATCTGATTTGGTCCCCTGTCCTTATGACGACTTCACCGAATTCAGGTGGCTGGGCGATGGATATGACGCAGCTTGTCTCGTTTTCCCAGATTGCAGCCAGTCAATATGGCATCTACAGTATCCTTCCTACCGCATATGATGGGTCTGTGACAATGAGTAGATGGTTCTCATGTCTGTCTGAGGCGCTTTGCCGAGAGAAGAGCTCTGGCAACAGTCGGAATGGGTCGCTGCCCTCACTGCCGCCAACCGGCGAGGAAGGTCAAGTAACATCGACTCGGCCAATCTCATGAGCGTCGCATAGTGTGTATCACTTCATGAGCTTCATGAGCCTTCGTAGGGTGTAGAATCACATGTAAAAGTGACGAGTGATGCTGTGGGTAGAAGTGAGGTCAGATCTGGCGTCAAGCTTGTGAAGCTCGGATCACAAAATTTCGAAATGCGATCCGCCATTATTTGACCAATCGACATCATCCACTGTCTCGCGAGATCGTGACAGCTTCTCGAGGCTACATTCTGGTAGCAATCATGTCGCGTGGAAGATTCAAGAGAGGCGGCGGCGGTGGACGTGGTAGAGGCAGAGGTCGTGGAGGTGGAGGTGGAAGAGGGAATGGCCATCGACAATTCCAAGACGACCGCCTGTCCTTCGACCAAGTGAACAAGCACAACGACAACTTCGAGAAGTTCTACAACACCCTCGATATCGTGCCTGCAGGTCCTGACCGAGACTCATTCTGGGCGACGCTTCGCAAAGAACTCCCCAACTCATTTCGCTTCACTGGATCGAAGGGCCACGCACTCAGCGTCCGCGAAAACCTCGTTACTCGATTCTTCCCCCTAATCAAGGACATCAAGCATGAAGGTCGGCCGGTTGAGCTGCCCAAGCAGATTCCTTGGTTTCCTGATGGCCTCGCATACAGCATGGCGACGCCGAAGAACGTCATTCGAAAGTACGAGCCGTTCAAGGAATTCCAAAAGTTCTTGGTCAGCGAGACTGGCGTTGGCAATATCAGCAGACAAGAGGAGGTTAGTATGATACCACCGATGCTGTTGGACGTTCAGCCACATCACACTGTCCTGGATCTCTGCGCAGCTCCTGGCAGTAAGAGTGCGCAACTGGTAGAGCTCATTCACGCAGGAGAAGAAGACAGAGTGGACAAGGCGATCAAGCTCGCTAAGGGCGAGATAGCACTATCCGAGGATTCTTCGAACGGACAAAACATGGAGGACGGTGGTCGTGCGACTGGTATGCTGGTCGCCAACGACGTCAACTACCAGCGAGCGCAGATGTTGGTTCACCAGGTCAAGCGACTCAATTCGCCCAATTTGGTTGTGATGAACCACGATGCGACCATGTTCCCATCCATCGAGCTGCCTGCGGTACGAATACCTGGACAACAGAAGCGTGGCAAGTACCTCAAATTCGACCGCATCTTGGCGGATGTTCCGTGCAGTGGAGATGGCACCTGTCGAAAGAACCCGAGCATCTGGAAAGAATGGACTCCACAAAACGGGCTTGGTCTTTACCTTACTCAAGTACGAATCCTCACGAGGGCCTTGCAGATGCTGAAAGTGGGTGGAAGAGTCGTGTACAGCACTTGCAGCTTGAATCCAGTCGAGAATGAAGCAGTCATATCTTCAGCTATCGAGCGCTGTGGAGGCGTATCCAAGGTCAGGATCGTAGACTGCTCAGACAAGCTGCCGAACCTGAAGCGCAATCCCGGTCTCAAGGATTGGAGTATCATGAACCGTCAAGGAACCATCTACGAATCTTGGCCAGAAGCCCAGCAGTACGAGGATGAAAGCAGCAGGATCGTGCCAGGTATGTTCGCTCCTGAGTCAGAAGAGAACATACCACTCGAGCATTGCATGCGTGTCTACCCACACCAACAGGACACTGGAGGCTTCTTCATTGTTGCGTTGGAGAAGCTGAGTGAGATCAAGGCGAAGCCTGAAAATCAGAGCAAGTCAGGCAACCGGAATTGGACTTTTGAGAAGCCAGATGCCTTCGGCGAACTTTTGAACGAAGTCTCACAGGAGCCCAAGGAACCAGTCATGGTTCCAGAAAGCGCGAATGCAGACGCCTCTGCTGCCCAGCGGTCAAATGCACCCGAGGAGACCAATGGCGGAGCTCTCAAGCGCAAGGCAGTCGAGGACGAAGAGGCTGCGGCTCCGAAGAAGACGAAGCTGGAAGTCACTGAAAACGGAGATCAGATTGCGATCACTGGAGAAGTTAAGGATGCCGCAGAGAATGCTCCTTTCGAGAAGGCAGTGCCTGAAGAGGCCATCCAACAACCTCAAGCACCCAGGAAAAGGAGAGACGACTCCGGAAACGACGAGGCATTCAAATACCTTTCGCCTGAGCATCCTGAGCTGGTTTCCATCTACGACTTCTACGAGCTGCATCCATCCTTCCCTCGAGACCGTTTCCTTGTCCGCAATCCGGCCGGTGATCCAGTCAAGGGTATCTACTACTCTTCACAGCTTGTCAGGGACATTTTGATCACGAACGAGAATCGTGGCATGAAGTTTGTGCATGCAGGCGTGAAGATGTTCATGAAGCAAGATTCACAGGGTCAGAACATATGCCGCTGGCGTATCCAGACTGAAGGTTTGCCCATCATCGAAGGCTGGGTTGGCGATGGGCGGGTTGTGAGGTTACGAAAGAAGAGCACCTTGCGCAGACTGCTGATCGAGATGTTCCCAAAGCTCACCACTACAAAGAATGAGGATGGCACTGAGAGCGGAGGCTGGAAGGACCTTGGGGAGATTGGTGAACAGATCAAAGACCTGGGCATGGGTTGTTGTGTCCTACGTGTGGAAGCGTCGCCTGATGCGGGCGAGGATGAGTTTAAGGAACCTCTGACGCTACCCCTCTGGCGAAGCATGCACAGCGTGAACCTCATGCTGCCCAAAGAGGACCGACGGGCGATGCTACTCCGGATCTTCAACGAGGACACCGAACTCATCAATCATAGTGACCCAAAACAGCAGAGATCAGACCCAAAGAGCAAGCAGGAGCCTCAGGGCAGCATACCGGCTGAGAACGATGCAAGCCGCGTGGAGAGGGATATCAAGAATGATGTCGAAGACGATGGGCTTGACGATGCGGCTGGCGGCGCAGCAGTGCCCAACACCGAAGACGGCGCCATGGCTTTGGAGCAGGATGCCGTCAGTAAGAAGGATGCCATTGATATCAAGCGGTTGGAAGTTCTTGAGGACGAGGACCGGAAGATCGCTGAGGCGATGCCTGAGCGAGAAGGCGAGGGTGATGACTATAACACGACTGTGTAGGATATACGGATAGACCAGGCTCTAAAAGCGAATGTACTTGGAGCGTTTAACATTTAAATCCATCTTTGACTGTTTCAATATCGTGCTACGTTATCGTGATGGCTTTCTCGAGGATGCCTTGGCTTTGCTTCGCTTCGCCGCCCAGGCCATCTTGTCGCATGATTCAACCGTCACTGCAACAGATTGAGTTCAATCGTCAGTAAGGATCGAAGCGTCCATCCTTGACCAACGTCGCGAGTCCGACGCTGCGGTTGAAGGTTCCCTTGTGCTGGAGCCAGGAATTCGCTGCGCTACCACCTGATCCGCACGTGGCAGCAGTGGGGAAGGCAAACTCACGCACGGATGCCGTTCGCAGAAGAGCACCTCACTTTGAAAGCCTTGCTCACCTTTGCACGAGAGACATGCTCGAAAATAGCGCTGACATGCAGCTGCACGGCGATCCGAAGGGCGACGATAACAGCTCCAGGCACGAGGGCATGCTCTGCCAATGCCCAGGCCAAGCTGGAGAGTGACGACGAGTGCTGCTGCGCCGCCGCGGTCGAGATGCAGCAGCGCGCTCTGGGCCGAGCGGCAATCCTCCAGTCGCTGGCGCTGTCTGCACGCCACCATCGGACACGGGTTCCCTCGAGTTGTTCGCCCGTCCCTGCAGCGAAGCGTCCTCTCTCTCGTCTGGACGATTGAGCGAGCGCCCTGATATCCTGCGGGAAAACTCGATAGCGATACGAAGCAGCGACCGGCATCACCACATGGCAATTTCTGGGTTATTGGCATAGCCCGCACGAGCGCAGGCGGCGGTTCTACGGCCGAGCGTTATCAAAGACCAGTGGAGCCTCCAGTCGCCAAGTTGGGGGAGGTGTGAGTCTGGGTGGGAGGTATCGGCACCAAGCGAGGCGACCTTATCGTAGCACACCAGCGCTGCTCGTCTTTCTCACGCTCATCATCCACGCTCGACTCTCGAAGGATCTCGGTTGTACAACACCTTCTGGTCTCGGCGGCGGCGGCGCATCTGCTTTCTTTCATCTTGGAGATTTCGTGTTCTTTGCTGGCCGTCAGCCTCGTCGTCTTTTCAACTGTTATTTGTTCTTGTTCGTGCCTATGCTGCGGTGACGGGACGCGATGATGAAAGAAGGCTGGGCATTCGCTTCGTCATATCTGGGAGAGCTGCAACTTCGACATTACTCGCCGAGATAACACCCATATCACGCCTGCAGACTGCTCACAAACCCGCCCAGCGCACGCCCTCTGAGGGCTGTGTGCAACCGTCCCCGCTGGAGACCTCGAGATGCTCGAAGACCGAGCGCTCTGGGGCACCGCGCCGCCGGAACCTCGAAGTCGACTCGAAAACTGGCCCACGGTACTCTTCTCGTGGTGGTGCACGAGTTTCGCGGCGGTAATCATCATCACGAGATTATGCGGCCGCAAAGTCAGAAGTAACCGCTTATTTCGAGAGGACTGGATCATGATGATATCGCTGATACCGCTGTTCATCCGGATGATCTTCATCCATTTTGTGCTAATCTATGGAACGAACAATATCGATACTGTTGGACACACATACTCCCCATCGAAAATCTATCACAAGGAAATCGGCTCGAGATTGGTTCTGGCGGCGAGGATCTTCTATGCGATGTTCATCTGGATCTCCAAGCTTACGGTCTCCGAGTTCCTCAAGCGTATCACGATAAGAGTCTGGAGAAGGAGTTGGGAGATTATGCTTCAGATCATTCGCATATTCCTGTTTCTCACGTTTGCTGGAGTGGTTGTAGCCACCTTGACGGAGTGCCAGCCCTTCGACCACTACTGGCAAGTTGTGCCCGACCCAGGACCGCACTGCAGACAAGGTTTCGCGCAACTACTGACCATGGGCATCTGCGATATTATCACCGACATTCTTCTCATTGCATTCCCCATTCCAGTCGTGCTGAACTCTGGCCAAAGTTGGAAACGGAAGCTCCAGATGGTGTTGCTGTTCAGCATGTCAATCATCATGATCGGGATCACCGCGACTCGCATGCCCATGGTTATCGACCATCATGGACGACAACAATACCGCACAGTATGGGCTTCGTGTGAGATTCTGGCATCGGCCTCGGTATCGAACGCGGTTATCCTCGGCTCTTTCCTGAGAGACAAAGGTACCAAGAAGAACAAGTACAAGACGTTCAGCGTATCGGATTCGATCGATCGGGTGTCCACGCGGAGACCGACCTTAGTTGCGCTACAGACCATCGACAGTGACGAAGACCTGTTTAGAACTCTTGGCTGCGGGAGGTTGCCAGACCACCTACAACACAAAGAAGCCACATCACCTCGACCTGCTCCTCCTGCTCTGCCGGCACCGCAATCTCCTCTCCACGGCCCTTCAGAGCGCATACGATCCCCCATCGAGGCAAGATTAGAGGAAGGGAGCAGCATCGGCAGCGAGGACTCCTTACACAAGCCGGCCATCCATCAAGTCATACCTCCTTCACCATCGACTACACGCAGTGTGAGCTTTTTCGATGTGGGCAACCTGCTGGATCATAATGACCGTTCGAAGGGCGCTTCGCGGCCAGGAGCGATAGACGAAGAAGTTGGCCCCCATACCGTATTGTCACAGGACTTCGCATCTGCATCGCGACATCACCACTCCCGTTCTGAGGCTCGTGCTTTCCTGCGGGATGTCGGCGAACGGTTGAGGGTACGCGGCGAGGGTCATGATCGAAGTGCATCGCCAAGGTATGTTGAGCAAGATATGGAGTATACATGCCCCAGCTAATGTGACAACAGACCCTCAGATAGCCGGTCACGATCGCGTAACCCTCCAATGGGTGTCCCTAGTCCTAAGCTGGAGCGGCAAGAGACGCAAATGTCCTTGCAGGATGCAGGAGGGCTGCTTGGTCCAGCAGAGGTATACAGCATGACACCGGCGGTGTCTGGCCCACAGCAGAGTGATGCAGGGCCAAGACGGCCCTATGGCTCTGCACCCGCAAACGGCAATAGCTGGGAGGATGATATCGAACTCGATGACATAGGTGGACTGCTGTCCCACGAACGGACGATGGATCGCACAGCGGTGTCTTTGCAAGAGATCCTCAGCCGCAGCCGCAGCGAGCGAGCGGCTTCGTCGCCTTTGCCCTCGTCGCAGGAAGAACCTGACGATATGATACTTCACGATCCTGGAGGGCTGATGAAGTCTTGACGTGTGCGATACGATGTTAAATGAGTGCGTTCGGTTGCTTGGCGGGGAGTTCTAACGGTGGAAGAGATACCCAAGTGTTAGCGGTTGTAAGCTGGAGTCTTTTTATCAGACAACATCAAATGTAATATATTCACTACTGTTTTCCGCGCGAATCGTGTTGTTGTCCTTGGTCGATCATCCCATGCCTCATCCCATTCTCGAAGTTGATGCCTAAGGCTCGTGACACGCCGAGTTTGGTCACACTATCGACTGTGCGATAAGCAACCTCGCGACATGATTTGCGCAAAGATCGACCACAAGGCAAAGTGCAAGTCGCACGTTCTCGCTCCATCCCGTGCGACAGAACCCACACCGCAAAAAAGCATGCGCAAAACTTACTGACCCATGCTTTGAGAACCCCCATGTGCTTGGACTTGATATCCTCGCCCGTCGGAGCCCGCCGTCGAGAAAGTCCTCGCCTGCCTGCCCTTTCACACCAGCCAGCCAGCCAGACTTTCAACTTTGCCTGGCGCTGGCCCCCGCTACCGCTCTTACCGAACGAGCCCTCGTGACTGGACTGGAGAACTGGCTGGCAGACAGGGCTTGGCCGAGCCGCCTCCTCCTCCCTCCTAGGAAATGCCACCTTCCGCTGGCAAGAAGCGCGAGCGAGATGTAGTCGACGTCGGCGCCTCCGCCGCCGCTACCACTGTGCTGGACGACGACCTTTCGAATCCGGCGGGGTCGCCTGGGAATGGGGAAGGGGGACCTGGAGCCGCGTCGACGACCAATTTTCGTAATGTGTCGGCGTGTAATCGGTGTCGGAATCGAAAGGTAGGGAAACATACATCGGCAATGGGTGTGGATGGGGGGATTGATTTGGGGGATTGTGTGTTTTTGGCTGATGGGGTGTTTTTGTTTAGAATCGCTGCGATCAGAAATTGCCCAAGTGCTCGAATTGCGAAAAGGCGCAGGTGAGGTGTGTGGGCTTTGATCCGGTTAGCAAGAGGGAGATTCCGAGGAGTTGTAGGTTCGCACTGTCTTCTTGTATGTCACTTGATGCTGATCGCTTTCTTCCTGTCTAGATGTATATTACCTGGAAACGCGAGTGAACAACCTCGAAGCCCTCCTGGCTTCCAGCAATATCCCCTTTCCGCCACCTAGTGAGGACTTCGCCATCAGTGAGACGATCAAGCCGGGGATTAATGTTCCTTACCCGATCCAGGATGATGATGGTCCTCCGCCGAAGCCTGTCAAGCGGGAGGCACCCCAAGATGATAGGAGTATGCTGGATCCCGCTCTCAAGGCCCGCGATGACAGTGAGAGGCTTGACAAGTTGGTCAACGATGTTGGTATGGTTTCAGTGCAAGGCGCTTCGGATTCACGCTTTCTCGGCTCCACGTCTGGTATCTCGTTTGCTAGAGTTGTTTTCGCGGCTGTGAAAAGATCTGTCCATCAGACGCCGACGCCTTCTGAGAAGGGTGGATCGAAAGGTTCGAGAGCGCCTTTGAGTGAAGCATCTGCGGGTGGCACGACGATGAGGGATTCGTTCTTTGGACTGCATTCAAAACCTACAATCAAGCCTGCGCCTTTCCCGGAGAAGGAGCTGGGGTCCAGATTGACGGAGCTCTACTTCGAGCATGCTAATCCTCAGATACCTGTCCTGCATCGGGGGGAGTTCATGTCACTCTTTGAGCGGGTCTATGCTACGGATCCGAAGAAGCGGACTGCGAGAGAGCTGTATATGCTGAACATTGTTTTTGCAATTGGGTCGGGCATCATCATGGACTCTTCGAATGTCGAGCAGACTATGTCAGCGACAGAGACTTCCAAAGATGGATCGAGACCGCCGAGCAACAAACGACAGAGACTTGCAAGTCATCAGCATCAGCCAGAGGAGTACCACTCATCGGCGATCATTCATCTCGAAAGCTTCTTAGGATCTTCGCCTGCTGCTGAAGGCGTGGGTGGCGGACTCGAAGAACTACAAGCTGTACTGCTTCTCGCAGGATTGGCGTTACTAAGACCCGTTGCACCTGGCTTGTGGTACATCATCGGAGTTGCAGTGCGACTGAGCATCGATCTTGGACTTCATTTTGAAGATATCGATCACGAACTCGACACGCGAGCTACTCACCCTGAAGTCGGAGAGCCTCCCTCCAGCGGACTTGGTAGGAAGCAGTGGACTCGAGATCTAAGGAGAAGACTATGGTGGTGCGTCTTTAATCTGGATAGACTGGTCTCGTCTTGCGTGGGAAGGCCTGTCTCGATCAACGAAGCCGTCGTCACAGCCGAGTTCCCCAGCTTACTCGATGATGTTTATATCAAACCGTCAGGCTTCTTAAAGCCTCCAAACACCGAGGAAGTGCCCAGCTACAAGCTCGTCAGTCGGCACTACATACGATTGCGATTACTTCAGTCAGAAATACTGCAAGTCCTGCAGCATCGACAAGCTGATCAGGCTCGTCAAATGGGTGCTCATCACAACAATGGATTTGTACAGTCAGATCTCGAATCGCCCTTCTTGCGCAAATTCAGATCATTCCGTGAGTGGCGTGCATACATCGACATGAAACTGGTGGAGTGGAAGGAGAGCGCACCGCAGCCTTACCAGACAGGAGTGGCGTTTAATCCGCTCTTCTTAGAACTCAACTACTGGCAGGCAGTGATTATGCTCTACAGGCAATCGTTGTCGGTACCAGAACCCCTTGCGAATGAGCTCAGCCCTGCGACTGGCGACGATGTCCAAAGTCCAGGCGCTGTCAACCTTGAAAACGAAGAAGACAAGCAGATCGTCTTCCTCAAGGTCGCCCAAGCAGGACAGACTGTCCTCAAGATCTATCGTCAGCTTCACCGACTGAAGCTCGTCAACTACACGTTCCTCGCAACGCATCATCTCTTCATGAGCGGTAAGACCGATCTCGATGAGTCGGATTTGGATCCGTGACTGACCTTGGTCTCAGGCATATCCTTCCTATACGCAATCTGGCATTCGACCCTTGTCCGCTCACAACTCACGATTGATGACGTCGACTTCACCGTCCTGGCTGCGACTTCTGTATTGAGCGATCTGTCAGAAACGTGTCCGCCGGCAGAAGCGTGCCGAGATGCGTTTGTTCGCATGAGCAAAGCCACCATATCCATGGTAATGAGCACCACTGGTACGTATGAGACATGTCTGGGGGGATCCCTTCTTCACAACTCCTCGGCCCTTGCCCCCGTCTTCCCCATTATGGAAGTCACATGCTTACGGTTTTGAATCTCAACAGGGTTTGGCAATGCCTCGACGCTGGGGACGCAGCAGCTGAACAACAGTCCAGAAGGCTACTTCGCCGGCCAGAGCAACGTCCGAAGGGCACCGACACAGCCCACGGAACCCAAACGACCCATGCCCAAGTTTGACATGAACCTCAAAGACCTCTTCTCCGAGGAAGAGATCGCGAGCCGCCCTCTAACGCACCAACCCAAGATCCAGCTCCAGCAGGGTCTCAACATCCGACCCGAACAACAGCAGCAACAACAACACCCGCCTCCACCGCCCGCCATGTCCCCCATCAGCAACCCCCACACCAGCCCCCAGAGCACCGAAGGAGCCTACCCACCCCTCCAACGCACCCCCTCCAACACCATCTCCTACCAAACCGCCAACCAACAACCCTACCAACCCTTCGCCGACACAATCTCCCAAGCCCAGCCCGACTTCTCCTTCGACAACCTCGACTTCCTCAACGACTTCCCCGTCTCCGACCCCAACGCGGGAGGTTTCTGGGGTCATAACAGTAACAATAGCAACAACAGCAACGCGAACAACACCACCACCGGCGGAATGCCCGACTTCACCTTCGACATGGGCTTCGGCGGCGGGAACGGAGCCGCAGGAGGCGGCTTCGATGGCAGCGGAGCGTGGGAGGCGAATGGCGAGTTATTCGATTCGTTTTTCTTCGGGAGCAGTGGTGGCGCGGCGGGGAATGGTGGGAGTGGCGGGTGGTGATGAACCGAGATTTGGAAGAAGATGCAGAATGGAAGACGAGTCCCTGGTACTGGGCCTCACACTTGCGTCTCGTGAGAGTACATCCGATCCAGACAATCGACACCGTGTGATGAACCAGATATGCAAGCAAGCAAGACTGTCCCGACTCCCGCTCGTGATCAAGAGAAGATGAGCGGGTCTGGGGAAGCATGAGTCGAAGCGTCGTTTCGACCCGAACTTGAGACATCGGAGTCGAAGCGCAGGTCACGTACCTTTTATGGTACGATGCGACGCAGTACGTGCTGGACTTATTATTTGACATTCCTTGCAGAGGGAAAAGTCTATCTTGCATGACTGACGCTGTCATGTATGTATGCATGCATGGGAAGGGCGGTTGAGTGGGTTCCGTGGATGGAGGTGGCCTGGACTTTCTGTCCCTCGGGTGGATGGGTTCTTGGAGGGTCACGCGAGCGGAGGAGGGATGTCGCTTTCGCTGTGCTGTAGTGTGGTGTGTTGTGGTGTGGTGAGATGATGTTGTAGGGAGGCTGTATGAATATTATCATAGCACATGAATGAGAATAGTGCAAACCAGTCAAATACATGACAAATCTATCTGGTTGGACATGTCGAAACTGGAACGAGGAAAGAAGTCATTTGGATATCTTTCATCTTTTTTGATTTTCTCCTTTCTATCCATCAGTAGGTAGGTAGGTACTATCACACCACAACACTAGTAGCTGGGGGTTTTGTCTTCAGAAAACACTCATACAATTCTGCCATACAACAGCAACAACACACACAAAAGTTAAAAAAGGGTATCATAGTAGCGCCTGGTCCAATGCTCGGGGAAAAAGTAAAGCAATCAAACCGCCCAAACAGCCTCCCAGTTTCGCAAAAACACCAAAAGTTCCCCAAAAAGAGTTGCACACTCCAATCCCAAAGTCTTTCTCTCTCTCTCCAAATGCCAACGTGAGTTGTTATTGTTCCACACCAAACCCAAAGCCGTCATGTTTGATTTTGCCGCCGCCCCTTTCCCACCGTCTTTCTTTTTGTCATCATCACAAAGTGTTCTTGTTGACGCCGTTGTATCGATGCTCGGATGTAAGGTATATGCAGAATCTCTTGTTTCTTGCTTGCGCGTTCGCTCAGATAGCCGTCCCAGGAAGAGGAAAGGAAAAAAAAAAACAGAAGTTTGCTTCCGCGCTTTCGTATAATCAAAACATGAGGGGGAAGCCAAAAAAGGGTTCGTACTTTCATCATCTGTAATTGGGTTGTTGCATTCAGGGGCATCCGGCCTTCTTCATGATCGACTGTCGCGGTGCGAGTTTCTCCGGATGTCCATGGAGAATCGGGTGAGTAAGGGGGAGCTCGGTGCGGTGTGGGAGAGGAGGTTCTCGTTGCTCTCGGCGGCGGCGACCATGCCGGAGCCGTACTCGGCGGTGCCTGCCACGTCGGATGCGGCAGGAAGGGGTTCGGGGATCTCCTTTTCGGATTCGAATGTGCGTCGCTTCTCTTCGATCATGCACATGCTGATAGCGGCACCTATCGAGGCGACCAGCACGTTCACCCACCATGGAAGTCCCAGGGTGTTGATGGAGAGGCCGGCGGTTTGAAGGACACCTGAGACGGTTGGTCCAAACGCTCGACACGCGCTTGCCGCTGATGCCGCGGCGCCGTTCAGGGTGCCCAGAACCTTGCTGGATGGAGCCGAGTTTGCCAGCATGATGCTGCTTGAGGGGAATGCGAAGGCTTGTGCGGTGACTTTCCAGACCAGGGCCACGTAGATAAGCGGCAGCTTGAGCGAGTCAGGCGCGAGCGAGATGTATGGCACCAGGAAGTAGAGCAGCGGGTAGGACATGACCACGCTGCGGTATGTCCACAGACTCCCAATCTTGCGGTTGACGAGCGGGAACACCACGATGGTTGCTATCATCTGGATTATGCCCTGCACGGAGAGGATTCCGCCGATGGCTTTTGTGGAAAGCGCGAATCCGCCGGTGAATTGGAAGGGTAGGTGCGGTGGAGTGTCGGACTTGGGCATGCTCAGCAGCACGGGAAGAAGCTGTTCGGCTGAGATGGTATGGCTGTTGGACCTGCGTTAGCGTCTGCCCATGGCACATGCGTGCATTAGATGCGCATGAACTTACTAAGCTAGAATGCCGTAGCCCACAATATTCAACACGACCTGCTTGGTGAATGCGTTCTTAACGCCGGCTTTCGCCTTTGCACTTTGCTGGGAGCGGTTGATGGCTTCTTCGACGTCCAGTGCTGCCAAATCTTCGTTGGAAGCTGTGAGGGAGTTTCGAGGGGATCCATCGATCGATCGGTAGGCTGGTGGTGGCAGACCTGCGACGGACGTGGGAGAGAGTTCTGGCGAAGAAGCCGTACTTCGGTAGTCTGGCGGAAGGTCGTCGATCAAGACCAACGTCTCATCGCTCAGCTCGCCCTTGCGATCCGAGATTCGCTCCACAGGGGCTCTCCTGAAGCAGCACAAGATCCAGTCTCCAATCTCCAAGCCAATGTCTCTTCGGTGTTTCAAGTCTTCGTGCGTCTCTTCCAAGAACAGAATGCCTACTATCATGCTGAACACGACAACTCCAGTGCAGACCAGATTCGTGAGGAGATATGGGAATTTGTCGAAGATCGTCCCAGGGTGGAACATGCCAGGGTAGTTTCGCACGGGATCTGCGAGAGTACCACCCAAGCCAGATCCAATGAACGCTCCCATGCACCAGACGGTTGGCATGATTGCGTAGGCACGCGCTTGGTGTGCTTCCACCTTGACCACCTCATTCACGGTCGTTTGGAGGACACCGATATTGCCATTCAATGCACCGCCAACGGCACGAGCAATCAAAGCGACTGCCAAGTTGGACGCAAAGCCGAACATGAGCATGCTGAGGCCCGTACCCGCGAGGCCTGTGAGCAGAATTGGCTTGCGGCCAATGCGGTCACTCAGGCCTCCCCAAAATCCTGCACCCAAGCATTCTGCACCGGCGAAGACGGAGGTTACGAGACCGGCGTAGAGGGCGATGCGGTTTTGGTCGTTGGTGATGTTGAAGGACTCGATCATGTAGTAGATGTATGGGAAAATGGACATGAAGGCGATCGGCTCGCATATTCGGCAGAGACCTGGACACAGTCAGAAAGTGTGGCGGTGGTGGTGGCCAGCGAGCATGTGACATACCTAATACCAGCAGCTGCCGAAACGGGAAAGCTTTAGAGTCCTGCCGACTGGCAAACGAAGCGTGCGACATGGTGAGGGTTGCGGCACACGAATGGCCTTGGGAGGTGGTCAGGAGAGGTTGTACCAGACGAGGAGAGTCGGAGCAGGCGGCGGTGTGGTATATTAGTGGGTGCGGGTTGAGCGGTCAGGCGTGGGAAACATCCAGCTCGCAGGGCAAACACACAGGCGGCTTTGTTCGCAGGAAGGGAATATTATTATGTTCGTAGTTCGGCGTCAGATAGAGTGGATGTGACGCAGGTAGGCGGACTAGGTATCGACGGCGGGCCCAGGAGGGTGGTGACACATGGAGGGATAGAATCGACGGCGTGCTGCAGCAGCAGGAGACGGTCTGGTCGATGTGTTGCACGGCGGCGGTAGTAGGTGTCAGGAAGGCACAGGTCCGGTGGTGAATTCAGCAATCGATAAGGCAAGAAGACAGGTGCAGCAGGAGGAGAGGGTGTGCATGGACTGCTGGGCGACGCAGAGGTTTAAACCAGCAGCAGCAGCAGCAGGAGTGGTCGCAGCAGGGCCGGCGGGAGATTTACGATACGGTCAACAACGTTCACGGTGGCACTACTCACACATGGAGGGTACCTCAGATTCGGCAGCCCTGGCGTCGCCAGCGCGCATCCGCCGAGTGGAGAGGCAAGATCCAAGGCGGACGGTACATGGATGCCCCTGACGGGCATCGAAAGCAGACGGATGCAGCATCTGGGAGCCGGGAATGACGGTGTGGGAGCCATGACCCGAGAGCCGCTCATTGGAGACATGGCACAATGGGCTAGTGTCGAGCCTGTGTCGAGCCTGACGGGCAGCGCACGACGGGGGCGGAACAAAACTTCCAGCAGCGCACAGCTCAGCGCTGCTCCGTCATCGAGGCAGATCACCCACCTGCAGCCCGCTTCCACAGAGCCTCCGCCTCCCTTGTTAGCTCCAACTAAATCGTAACCCGCTCCAGGGAGCTGGGTTCTGCTGCCAGTAGCGTTGTCCGCGGCCCACGCCCCGTGTGGCTAACGCAACAACGCTCGTCGGCACATACGACCTCTCCCCCGTGCTAGCCCCAACACCACCGCTGCCTCCCAGGCCGTCACATCGTGCCCGCCCGCGTGAGATGAACAGCGAGGCGAGCGGCGCGGCCTGCAGCAAGCACCAGGTCAGCAGCCCACACTCGCATCTCCACCAGAGCCCCTTCAGCCCTACATTTGCCGCGGAATCCATCACCTGGCCTGCTACTGTACGCCTGCAGCTCCCGCGTCCATCGCTCGCTGCACCGCGCATATGCATTCGTGATGTCTCGCGAGTACCAAACACTGCGCCCCGAATCCCAATCGTATCGCTCGCACGACGAGTGCTGTGAGTCCACTGCTGCCTCAGGCACCGCCCCATCCAGCAGCTCCCACTCCCAGCGGCGGCACCTTCGCCGCGGGCCTGCGGTCCGGCAGAGCTCTGACATTCATCACATCCGTGGCCCATCAGTCATGGTCACCGGCGGGGGAGGGAGGCACCGCTGACGATGGTCGGTGGATGAGTGCAATAGTCGGTGGGAGGCTGCAGCGCGCAACGGGGCGAGTCAAACAGCGCAAGTGTAACTGCTGGCCAGACGCCAGGCCCGAAGCATGTTCTGGCGGTGAAAAACTTCCTCGTCGCCGTCCAGTCTTCTCCTGAGCAAAAGGCAAGGATAGGCTCCGGGCTGGGCGACTAAGGTTCGTCACTGGGCCTCTGGTAACTCGTAGCACGATGTCGCGGGATGCCCATCCCGATGAGCCGGCTCCTTTCCAATCATCTCTCACATTTGCGCCCGAAATCATCTCCCACCGAGGCACCGCCCAGCGCCCGCCGCACTGCCGCACACACACATCCAGCACTCCACGTCGCCGGCCCGTGACTCGTCCACCGCCCCGACGACTCGCATGCCAGCGAGCAGCATCCGTGACTCGCATGAGCACTGCGGCGACGGCGATGGACCTGGCAGCCGCGCCTTCGCCGCATGTTCTATTTCCACAGGCCGTGCAGCACGACAGGGACGCACCTGGCGCCACGCGAGCCGCTACGGTTAGGCTCATCGGCTTCACATTAGCGCATATTCCTGCATCCTGGCTCCCTGCGTGTCGCGCGCCTCTGATTCGCGCGCCTCCTGAGACGAGCGCCGTCTGCAAAGCTTCTCCTGACTTCTCTGGCGTCTAACTGCCGGTCATCTGATCATATGACCGTTGGTGTAGGTCCCGGGGATGCGGTGCGGACGGTTTCTGCCAGCCAGCCTGCAGGACGTCATCGCTAGGCGCAATGCCGGTCATCGTGAAGAGCGTCCATCCATCTGGTGGGCGGCCTCACGCGCAGCCCGCTCTGCATATATTCGCTGCAGTCCTGCGTCTGTTGCGCGCGCGGGTCCTGACACTGCTGCTGCAGGATGTCTTGGATCCAAGCACACGTCGACCGACCCTGCACGCCCGCACAGGATTTGCGAGCGGTCACGCGGGGCGATTTCTCACAATGAGATGCACGTCGCACCGCAGCGACCGAAAGATGGATGCCGGAGTCGACTAATGCTACACGGAGACAACGCACAGACTCCCGCCAAGCGACCCCCGATGCGACCGTTCATAAACCAGTCCATCAGTCAGTCAATCAAAACGAGCAGTCGCCTTCTCGTCGCCCTTCCCTCGCCATCCGATCCGCCGTCTGCCTGTGCACGCCAGCCTGTAGACACATCTATCGGCGACGCAGGATGCGAGCGACGTGTCGAACTCGAGCGTGACCAGCTCCTGCCTTGCCGATGTGCGCTGGCACTGGTTACCGGCCCGCTTGGCCTTCACGAATTCCACTGTGCCGGGCGGATTGGATTGGCCGGCTTGGCCGTGTCGACGTCGTTTGGCAAACTTGACAGGTCAATCACTCGACGCTGTTGCACCACATGATCACGTCCCGGAGGCTCCTCACTCAATGTGAAGCGTAAGCGGTGTGATGTGGCTCAACACCAATGGATCACCACTCCGAACGCAGGAATCTGACGTCGCGATGGATATGCGACTGTCATCAACCCTTCCAAGGCAACCGGCTCGAGTCAAGATTAAGAGAGAGTCATTTTGAGGCTTTTGATTGTGGCGGCGTGTCGCATCCAACATTGGCCCAGGGGCGACCGATCCTACGCCGTGTTCCAGCTCATTTTTCATAATTTCGGTCAAATAAGACCTGATACTCGATGCCTGAGCACTTCAAGCAGGCATATACCACGTTCTGTGACCACACCTCGAGTCCTCCGACCGGGGGTGGCAATCAGCACCTTGTAGTGTTCGCATTTATCCTTGCGCTCTGCCCCTCGCTTCCGCAACACGTGACGTCGCCGAACCTTCTGCGAGGCTTCTTTTGTTGTTGATCGATTTGGTGGGACACTCGCACGATCTCCAACATCATCTGACGACGACGACATGTTACCATGTCTTTCAGCTCGGCCGCGTTCGTCCGGCAGAAGCTCTGCGTGGACTACGCAGCCTTGAAACATGCCTGTCCCAAGGGCGTCTACGTGGCTCCCGTGCCAGATCATCCACTCCTGTGGACAGGCGTGCTCTTCGTCCGCAAAGGTGAGCGACGCAATCATGCTGGACGCCAACTCTACGCGCAGACAGACTCATCAAACCGCCAGGACCGTACATGAACGCCGTGCTCCGTTTCCAAATTGACTTTGGCGACGACTATCCCCAGCGGCCGCCAGTCGTTACATTCCAAAGTGATGTCTTCCACCCACTTGTAACACCTCTCACCACGTACACGTACTCCAGCAGGGATTTCACCACGGACCCGGCATTTAGTGCCGTCGACAATCACCGACTCCCTCCGGGCGGCCTCAGTCTGCGTCATGGCTTCCCAGAATGGTTCCAATCTGCAAGCGACGTTGCAAGCCGCGCAGACGTGAAAGAGTCTGGTGTAGCACGAGAGCACCACGAAGACGGAGGCGCTCCGCCCGAGCAACATGAACAAGGCAACCCGAAGCACCAGCAGCTACCGCATGTCGTTGAGCTGCTGCAGTTCATTCGGGTGGTGTTTGATACGGAGGAGGTGTTGGATTCGATACCTATGGATGCTGCGGCCAACAATGGCGCCTGGCATGCATGGAGAAGCTACCGCTCCAAGACGCCAGCGGCCAGCAGAGCAACATCTGTGGCACGCTCGCTTGGGGAGAGCAGGGACCAGAGTAAAGAGCGAAGTGCTTCTCCAAGACAGCAGCCAGGAGGGGCACGTAGGCCAGGTGAGTGGAACTGGCAGGGCGTGTGGGAGGATAGAGTGAGGAAGAGTGTCAATGCGAGTCTGTCAGAGCCGGTGCTCTATGGTGGTGACAGCAACGATGTGGTAAAGCAGATTCATGTTCGTCTTCACGTGTGCAATGCGTGCTAACGTGGCTACAGATCAACTTCTTCAAGATAGACCAAGAGACACTCAGCCAAATCTCGCCAATACGGCAGGTCGAGACTTCAAGCTGAAACAGGATTGCTGTACTCGTAGATGGATATACCCAGAACGATTCTATGAAGCCTGCGTCCAGATCTCAGTCTCAATGGTAATGCCTCCTGAAATTCGGTCACCGAGCCACGAGTTTCAATGCCAAGCTGAGATCCAGCAGATGGAGCAGCAACACCTCTCGCTCTGTCCACGATTCTGCCGGCATTGACTTCCAAATCGCCATTGCAGCCATCATGGTTTCCCTGTCTTGGAATAACGTGCTCGATTGGAAAGGACTGAACGTTGCAGCGTCCACGTCCTCACACCTGCGCCCTTCGAAACGCCAACTCATTTCGTCTTCGCATGTTCTCAAACAGAGCAGTTCGAGCTTTCAGTTTCGCTCTCCAATCTCAGCATCAGGGCAGACAGAATCATGGCGAACAAAGAGGTGAGTGACCAAGCCATCCAAACGATTCATACGTCTGACAATCCAGAACATGTCCCCTCGAGCAGATCCAGGCCTCTACATCCGCGATGGCTCTACACCACCTGGAAACCTGTCTGGTGCACTGGGTATGCGTCACTGGCAGCATTCGGCACTGAATCACTCGCCTCCCTTTGCCATGCTCTCACCGAACAGCAAACCATCGCTTGCTAGGCAAAGAGATCACTCGGCTTGCAGGAGGACTGACTCGCCACTGAAAGTTCGCAAGACGCGGGAAAACTTGAAGCAAACAAGCAGTATATCCGCTGATGTCGCGCCACCATGTGTGCATTCTGGGAATGATGGTAGTTGCTTGTCGCCAGGGTGTGGCTCACCACCAGTTCCACCTCCGCCGATGTCGAGCAGCATCACCTCGCCTGTCCCGTTTGACTCGGGCACTACTTTGACGGCGAATCCCAATGATGACCGCCCAACCGCTATCTCGACTCCAGGCAAGATGCTGAGGCACAAGTCTGTCAGCAGACGCATGCTTTCGAAGGTGAAGGAAGGGATATCGAATCGATCGCGCAGTTCACATTCCGTGAGGAATACAGAACCAGAGCCAGGCCTCATCCGACGCATCTCGAATCGGCGAAAGCAAAGTTCTGAAGAGCAACACCGCTTGAGAAGTTTTGAAGTCTCCAGAGACAGCATCGAGAGTCAGGATGTGGATGTAGATACGTCTGCGTCGCAGCGGTCTTTTACCGATTCGAGTATCTCGACTGATGAGCTTATGGCAAGTGGAACGCTGATGACACCTCCTTCGATGGCATCGAATTCAAGGCCTATTCCAGATCACCAGTTCTCAGATCGACTGCTATCACCTTCACCTACACCACACTCACCGACGCCAGATCCAACGCCACGTCCCCATTCGAGGTATATGAGTCTGGCAGTGGACAAGGACATAACTGATGTACAGGCGACGGTGCCGTACATGGACCTGAAGATCTCACTCGATCGCGACTCTGTTAATGTCGGTCTGGCGAGAGATGTATGGGTTTCCATTGAGGCAACTGTGCGCACGAAATCTGTCGAAGCGAATTCTTCTTCAACATACTCATCCACGTTGCGAAGTCGGCCATTGGATGCTATCATTGTCATCGATCAGAGCGTGTCGACCACTGCTGGCAGTGTTGCACATCAATGCATCGTGGAACTTTGCTCGAGGCAAGATATACCTGGCGACAAACTGGCTGTGTTATTCGCAAGGCAACAGAGTAACGCTGCGGGCTGTGAATACGCGCTATTGCATGCTCTGATGCCTCCAAGCACGGCGTTGGTCTTGGAGAGGCTTGGCCTGGTCCCTTCGACGACTGGAGACGATCCCACAGATGGCATACTTGAACATCAATTCCAGCCAATGCAACAGCTCTTTGGAGCCTTCCTGAACCAAGGCCTCCAGCACGAAAACGTCCACGTCTTCGTCGTTTCAAGAGCCCCGTCATCGCTCGTGCAGTCGATTGGCAGCATGGTCAACTGGCCAGTCCACACTCTCAAGATCGAGCTGGGCGCGGACGAGAATGCATCGAACGTCGTGCCAGCTCGGTACAATTGGGCGTTGGATTTCAGGGGCACGGCAGACTTCAACGCCGACTTGATCGACAACATGTTCAGAGACCTTCGCCATGGCTGTTCGCTTGGCAGTGTCACGAGTCTTCGTCTCTGCTTCAAACCCCTGGAACGCTGTCGAATCTTAGAAGTCATCGGCCAGAAGGCTGTCAAGGACTTGAGATTTGGCCAGCGCACGTCACTGTTCCTCAAAGTTCACGTTCCGCGACTGCAGCAGGCATCTGAGTCTGCGGTCGCAGAGAAGATGAGTGATTCAGATTCATTGTTCGTCGAGTTGGAGAGTATGCTTGGCACGCTTGAGTCCAACTTCCTTCATGTCGAAGCTCGATATCGACACACTGCCCTGCCGACCGAGAATGTTGTCACAGTTCGGGAGATTTGCACCATCAAGCGACCCAAGACTGACTCGAGATGGAGTATCGTGGGCGACGCCACGACCTTCGCCATGCAATCTGGCGTTCACACGAAGCTCGCTCATTTCCTCGCCACGTACTACGCTCCAAATCGAGCTTTGAAGATGATCGATCGATGGACACTGCAACAGTCTACAGCCGCTGCCGCTGTACAGCAAGTCCGGCGCTTTCTTGAAGGTCATTCGAAGAAAGACAGCCAGCAGGAAGAGGAGTCGTGGACAGCTACATCCTCAAGTGGCGACAAGCCATCAGTCGTGATCACGGATATCGATACTATGACAAACAGCTCAACACAGATCTCCTCGACTTCCCAACTCCACCAACCACCAACAACACTCCCCACCCCTCTCCCACCGACAACAACAACAACCCCCAAACTCCCCACCTCCCCCTCAACCACCACAATCCTCACCGCCCCGAAAACAACCACCGCCCTCACCCCCTCCCTCGCCTCAAGCGAAGAAGACTCCGCGCGCCAACTCTGGCACCACCTCCGCCGCAACTCGCAATCCGCCTCTCAGATGTTGCAGCTCTCCTCGCCGGAGCAACTCGAGGCGAGCGATGAGTCTGGGATGGTCAGGATGTTGAGGCAGAGGGCGCTGGTGAATAAGAGGAGTGTGGGCGCGGAGACGTTGAGGGGGTGGCGGTGGGAGGGGAGTGTGAGTGGGGGTGGGGAGGCGCCTTGGTTGTGATGTGGATGGGTAGGATGGGTTGGGTTGAGAGGGGGTGGGAGATGGATTTGGGATAGTAGAAGACTGGTTATGGTATGCTATGATGTATCAAGATCCTATTTCCAGAAGAACGACGAGCATCGAAATGGACGCGTTGCTTAGAGACTCGAATACCGAAACCCCATCAAAGTCCCGTTCGATCATACATGTCCAGATTTCGAGACCAACTGAAATTGCAAACGCATCCCATCAAGAGATCCATTGACACACCAATCACACAACATGCAGGTAAGACGAACCAACGCATTCACTGGGGAGCCAGACCGTACCGTCATCGATATTCCATCATAGTGGTAAATCCAATCTTCCATCAGGGTGGTCCTGTCCATTCTATCCTATTCTCATTGACCCACGATGTCCACAAACTCCACTGGACAACAATGTCTCTCACGCAAGAAATTGCATTGCATACATCTGTCCGACTCGGGCACGGCCACGACTCCCGAGTCACACGGCTTGTCAATGCCGCCGTCGTTCGTATAAGAAAGGTGGATCTCAAATCAGGTAATGCATGCATGCATGAGCTATACACGCAGGTGTATGTATCTACCGACCAAATCCCACAAAGATGATCTGTCACTCTCGATGCGAACCGTCCGTTCGCTCCCGTCGCACCACGGACGCGGACGCTGCCCAGGTTCCACAGCACGACCACGCTCACGGGGCGGGGATTGTGAGGGAGTGGGTACCGATGGTGACACCGAGTCCACCGGCCTCTGGTCACACAACACAACCGCTAGACGCGCTGTCATTACACGGACGAGGGCAGAGATTTTTTCCCTCGTGCCAGCGCACAAGATCCTCACACCCTACTCCCGCTGTGGGTCGTCGGTAGATTATCCGCTAGAATGGGTGGGCTACTCTGTCCGTTTTCTACGGTGGCACAGGTCATAGAACGCTAGTTTGGCCATTCGGGTCGTGACATGTCGGTGTAATCGTGTTGTGGGTTCAGGAGCCGGGCGATTGGGATTCTTGTTCGAAGCGATCGGGTTCGGGATCGAAGGGGGCCATCCAGTTGTTGCACGAGCAGTGGATTGTCGGTCGATGGTGTTGTGATACCCTGGGCCCGTCCATGGTTGCTGTCGTGGCACAGAAAAGTGGCGGTCAGCTGGCTCCCGAGGAATGTGTCTTGAGCTTCATCATGTGGTGGAAGATGTGATGAGGTAAAAGGACAATCTCGGTCCTTGATTCCGTGAAGGGTGGTCATTTCATCGTCAGAGCGAAGAGGTCTGTTGTGACATGCTACTGCGTGATGTGACGATTGCACAGTACCACGGTAGATCTGGTGAATCTTCTTTGTTCAGCGTAGCATGGTGAGGTCTTTCTACCGTCATCTCCTTTTTCACGCCGCTGCTGTTCGCCGTTCAATAGAGGCAACGTTGCCCGGCATATATGCCCTCAAGCACTCGGGCACCTGCACCGCACCTTGATCCTCCTTCCAGTGGTTCTCGAGGATACACGCGAGTATCCGTGGGATGGCCATGGCGGTACCGTTGACTGTATGAGGCCAGCCGAGTTTGGCTGCACTACCAGGCATCTTGAGCCGTGTGTTCAGTCGTCGTGACTGGTAATCGGTGCAGATCGATGCGGAAGTCACCTCGCCGTAGCCGTCCTCGATCGACTGACGAGATGGGAAGAACGCTTCCATGTCTATCTTCCGAGTTGCACTGGCGCCGAGGTCGGAGCTGGGCATCTCGAGGACCTTGGCGTGTAGGTTGAGGGATGTGAGAATCTCCTTCTGGATGTCGAGCACTTCGGTGAAGACGTCTTCTGTCTGCGGAAGTTGTTCATCGTCGCCGAATCGATCGCCCTCAGAGTTGGTAGCAGGTAGCGTCCAGGCAAACATCTCAACCTTGGTGAATTCATGCACGCGGTAAAGTCCTTTCGTGTCGACTCCTCGAGCACCGGCTTCAGCACGATAACTCCTCGAAGGACCGATGACCTTCAAAGGTAGGTCCTCTGCCTTCAAGGTCTTGCTCGCCTGTGATCCAGCAAAGGGTATCTCAGCTGTCCCTGCAAGAACAAGACCAGGCTTATCAGAAGTACGATCATGCTCAATTTGAGCGACACCGTAGATCTGCGTCTCGCCGTGTTGATCCCTAGGCATAAACCCACACGCATTCGCAATATGCGAGTAGACCAAGCTAGGCGGCGTCATGACCTTCCATCCTCTCTTCATCGCCACAGACAGTGCATACTGAATCAGAGCCTGCTCCAGGAGGGCACCCTCATTCTTGAGAAAGTACCATCCCCATCCACTTGTAGTCGCACTTGCCTCAAAGTCGATAATGTCCAGCTCTTTCCCAATATCCACATGGCTCTTCGACAGCATACTCCGCGAAATGTCCAGATCCTCATTGATCACCTCAATCACCTGCGACTCTTTACCGACAGGCGTATGGTGTGAGCTCAGATTCGGCAGCTCCGACGCCAACTTCTCCATGTCATCTTGAATCTCCTTCTCCGTATCCTCAAACGCAGACAACAACTCTTTCAGCTTCCTGGCCTCGTCCAGCAACGTCTCTTTCTTCCCAGCACCAGCAGCGGCTTGCTTCCCGACTTCCTTCCCAATCGCATTGCTCCGCTGCCTTGCCTGGATCACATGTTTCTGTTTTTCAACAAGGCTCTCGTGGAGCTCCAGTATCCGCCATCCGTTCTTGGCTTGCTCGTTATAGTTGCGATCGATGCAATTCTGCTCGTACAGGCCTGGATTCTGCCGTATGTGCTTCAAGTCCAAGACTGGCTTCGGTGCGAAGGAAGGGCGAGTATAACGTCTCTTGGAGGAGACATTGGCAGTAATCGATCGTGCACTGCGACGGCAGGCGAGGCAGATGTATGAGGCGTTCATTGGCGATGAGACATGGATGGGAGAAGGTGAGGTGAGGTTCACGCGAAAGTTTCGGTTGATGATTTACGCTAGTACACGACGTCACGAGACCGATTTTCACATGCCAACGCCTCGTTCGTTGGAATGAATCTCATACAGTTTTGTTGCTGCTCGATGGAATAACTTGATAGCAAAGTATGAATGGTGTGGGGGGCATGAACAGCTCTTCTGAAGGATCAAGCGATCGCCAGGTCTCATGAGCTCCTACGTGCACTTGCTATCAAACATGCTCGGCCTGCATTGGTTTCAATAGTACTGCATTAAGGCTTTACTCGCTCGCCGCACGTTTCAACAGCTTGGGCTCTTGCATCGACGTCCACACAAGAACATCCTCGAGTTCCTCATCCTCGTCATCACTCAGACCCTCCATCTCAAACTTGCTGTAAATGCGATTACCCTCGCCATCGTACTCCTTAGGCCGCTTGTCGCGGATCGAAAAAGTGACGTTCCAGGCACCGTCATCCGACTTGTTCTGAAGCCGGGCGGTGCGGTTGACGGTGGTCGGCATCCAATTGGTGGCAGCAGAGCAAACGAGCTGTTTGTATGTGATGAAGTCGCCCTCGCGTGCGTCGGTCTCGAGAACATCAGGGAGTCCCGCCAGATCCGCAGGCAAAGCTGGAAAGCCATCATCGACAGGCTGGTCCATCTCATTCTCCTCGTCGTCGAGGAGAGCACCTTCTTCCCAGTACGAGTCATCCTCTTCATCATCCTCAGGGTCGTCGTAGTTCAGCGCGTCACCCTCGCCATTGGTGTTGTACTTGTCGTATGATTCGACGTAGCCAGCACCAGAGCCGTTCACAAGTTTCCTTGATTTGGTCGCTCTTGAGTTGGCAGACTTCTTGCGCTTCTTGCCATACTGGTATTGGGGATCCCAGCGCTGCTTGAAGGGAAAAGGCGGAGCAGAAAGCTCTACACCGTCATCAGAACATTCCACGGCAGACAACTCGATCTTTGCTCGCCAAGCTTCTGGATCTTCATCCTCCTCAGCTTCTGGGTTAGCAGGCTCGACCTCCTTGCTAGGCACGTTGCGTGAAGCTCGTGCGGAAAGCTTCTTCTGCAAGGCGTCTTTGTCGGCTTGGGTTCGTGGAGTTCTGACGCCCAACGACCCAAACACGAGGCGATTGGCACTAGTTAGATTGACATGTGCTCGGCGCGCCGTAGAAGCGTCTTCGGAGTCGATTTCCCCGTTCTTCTCTTCCATGTCGGTAAATGCAAAAGTTGGACGGACGGATGATTCTTCCTCTGGCGCTTCGTCTTCGTCAGAGACTTCTTCACCAGGTGAGGCATCTTGCCGTCTTTGATCGCTGTTCGTCAATGCACTCTTGGCTGCCACAATCGCCTCATCGTTGTGTGCAACCTCAGCTGCTGAAGTCGCTTGACCATTGCTCGTGATCAAAGTCTCAGGCCCCGAAGCTGCATGACCACTATCAATATCAGGTGCTGGACCATTCTGGAGTTGAACGTTCTCTTGGACATCAACCCCACCAGCAGCAATTGACTCCACAAGCCTTTGCCGAGCCTTTTCCATTTTCTGTTGCTCATTCGGATCCTTCGCTTTGGTCTTGTTGATTCGACTGGTCTTCTTCAAGTCATTCCCGTCGCTGGCGCCGTGCTGTTGTATCCACAACCGCATGTCATCCATAGTGGCATTTGGTGCCAGCGCCCCGGTTTCTTTGAGATGCTTCATCCTTCGTTGTTCACGACGTCTCGCATTACGCATTCTTGTATGCTCGGCTCCTTCGAAGGGTGGTGTGAAAGAGATCGTGTCGGAAGAGATCAATTTCGTCGTGGTTGTCGGTAAGCTACCGTCATGACCATTGACGATAGGCGCTGTCTTTGGTTTGGTAGGGCTGGACTCAATTCCGTTCCAGGACGTCTCGCTCGAGGCATCGTCTGAGTCGCTCGATGAGGTGTCAGTACTCTCCGAAACATCAGTATCCTCCGAAGTATCGCTCTCCTCTTCTGAAGAATTGTCGTCTGACTCGTCCGTGTCATCTTCGTCGACTTCTTCGGCTTCGTCGTCAACCAGCTGCCGCCGCCGGCTTCTCCTTGGTCTGACTGGCGATCGGTCTTCATCGCTATCTTCTTCATCCTCTTCAATCTCTTGCTCGTCTTCATTCTCATCCTCACCCATGTCGAAGTCCTCGTCGTCCTCTTCGTCTTCCTCTTCATCATCCTCCTCAGCACCCTGACCCGTCATCATTATGGCCAAAGCCTGCTCATCTTCTCCCTCATCCTCCCCATCCCCATCCTCAATCTCAAGCCTCGCCCTCTTCCTCGGCGGAATCCTCACATCCGGCCGTCTCGGCCGCTTGAGCAACGGCTTCCCAAAAGCGACCCCATCCAGCAAATGCATCCCGTTGCTCGAAATCTGATCCCGGCCCGTCATACTCCTCGCCCTCACATCGACACACTGCAGCGGCTTGATGACCACCTCGTCCTCATTCTGGAAGACCTGGCCCACCTCGCTGTAGTGAAACGCCTCGTAGCCGCCAACCGCCACAGCATAGTCCTCCAGTCCCCATGACTCACCTTCGAGGGGCACGCGTTCGTCTACGCGTTGGAGGAACTGGGAGATGGTTTGCTTGAGGGCGGTGGGGTCGACGGTCCAGAGGACGTTCACGGCGGGTAGTTCGTTGCGCTCGATGCGCAGCCGGAGACGCATGTTGGCGGGTGGGTGAGGCTGCTATGCTTGCATGATGGTGTGTGTGATTGTTTGTACAGGAATTGAAGAAAGGGCATTCATGTGCAGTGATTGCTTGAAGCTCAAAAGTCTAAAGCGCAGGATCCCTGCATGTGCGGGACTGCCCGATGCTAGCGTTGTTTTCGTCTTCGACGTCTTCTCGTCTTCTCGTCGTTCACCCCTGCGAAAATCATAGTCACGACCAGACGACATCTCCCCCCAAAGACAGGAATACCCCGAGTGCGAAGATAGCGTGATGGCTAAGCTATCCAACAAACTCTGCGAAGACCAAAGACAAGCCTCTGGCGAAAGCGCTGTGACAAGGACATCCAAGCGATGGGGAATAGAAGGATCGCTGTCTTACGTTCACGAATCAAGCAGAGACCATGGCTCTTCATGAGTCCTAGCTGTGCGGTGGATTGAGCTTAATCTCTACCTTTCCGACGACGCGTTTCCCTGATTCAGGCTCAACTATACCCACACTTCCTTAACTCCGTCCCTTCAATCTCAGCCAACTCCAGTCGATTCTCTACAACCTACCATTCGCGTCCCTTGACTACTTATTCCCCATATCCCTCCCACAAGACCAACCCCACCATGCGTGATCTCCAGGCATGGGAATCTTCTTCGGACCAGAACGAGCCGTCGTTCGCTTCATCACGAAATCGAAAAGACTGCCAGCGATAGAAGCCGAGCTCGAACGCATCCACGAGCTGACACACCACACCGTCAACAACAAACTTTTCGGTCCTGAGGACGAACTATGGCAACACTTCGCCGACAGCATTGCCGTCACCGTCGAAATGCCGCACATGGTGGATCAAATTCCGCACTTCATCCCGGAGCAGTTCCGGAGGCAGCAGATTGACTGCTACAAGCAGTTTCTTGACACTAAGCTCCATTGCATAAGGTGAGTCTTCAACAACCGACGGTGTTTGCGCCAAGCTCAAATGAATTCTATTAGTAGAGTGACGAGAGCCGACGAGAGCACTGGGAGAGCCCGAATCACTTCTGTGTCTGAGATTGAAGGGACTCGGTTCGGACTGAGGGGCATGATGATGGGTTTTACGGATTTCCGTCTGATAGATGGGAGATGGCGCATAACAGGCATCACTTCCTTGCTGGGGGTCGATATGCTGTGTTGTAGCGGGATATAAATCCAAGATCGAAAGGCGATTCGGCCCACGACTCGCGCATGAGATCTGAAATTCCTCATCGATAACCAAAACACCTCCAGACAAGCTTCCTTATCGTCATCAAAGGCTACTAAGACACAAAATATTTCTTCGCGCTGACCCTCATTCTCCACGCCCCCATGAAGGCACAACCCAAACCCGAATTGTCCAACCCAGGAGTCGTAAGCACATTCTTCGGACCAGAACTACCACCAACCAAGCGCCCCAAAAAGAACAAGAAAACAAGAAAGAAGGAAGCGCAGCTTGAACGGCTCTGTACGAGTGGTTTCCAGGCTGATGAGCAGGAGTACTAGCCAGGAAATCCAGCTCGACAACAGAAACAGCAGAGCGAGGCTCACTTGCGTCTCGCAAATCACGACAGAACTCGACCCAGGAACGAACGGTATGGCGATTACGGTTTTGACTTTCCAGTCCGTAGGGGACGCATGGGTCCTGATAGGTTTCCACAGTGTGCTAGGACCCGACTTGCTGTGTTTTAATGGAATTTGAACCTCAGCACTCGATGTGAACGTCGTATCTATCAACAAAGGTCATCGTCTATGGTGGGCAGCCTCGTCCATGTTGTCCGTGCTTGGTGGGTTCAGATCGTACTTCCATGCTATGCCGCCGCACTTCCCTGGAGACCTCCCCAGGATTCTCATCTCTCTTTGAACCGAGGACTGGGAACAGGGATTCATTTTCCCCACGGTTCACGACTCGATCAGAAAGTTCGAAGCTCGTACATCATCCGAACCGTGAGGCAGTGAGACTTATGGATGTCGACTTACCTCGGAAAGGATGGCAAGTCAAGTATTACAATGCAGTTGCGTGTCGCGAGGAACGGGCGCGGTCATGGCGGAGTTTCCGGAGACGAATTTCGAGTGTCTGTGAGTGAGTGGTGGTGCACGTTTTGGCGAGCAAAGATCCTCTGATTGGTATGGCTAGTATGGATACGAAGGTCGACGAGAAGGCAGGCAGAGCAAAGGTCACAGCTCTCTCGAGATGTACCGGTCTTTTCGCCAAGACGGCCAGTCTGGCGGTCGGTATCTACAACTTTGAGTTGAGAGAAGACAAATGGCTCATTACAGGATTCCGCGGTATGCATGGAATCGACATGCTATGTTTTAATGGCGTGTGACTGGCACGCGCTCAATGCGACTACCCTTGTTTCGTTGAGATCCAGTTGTCGGTCCTGTCCCGCCGTCCGTGATTCCACGTCTTGTCCTCCTCCGTGTAGTGTTCGGCGCCCACGGCTGGACCGATCTTCGATAAAATGCCTTCCGCAGGCAATACTGCGTCGGCATTTTGACGCCTGCCTCGCGTCAAGCGCAGGGCGTAGGGTCTGCGGCTTGCAATTCGTGCAGTTCGTGACCTGGGCTTTCAGCCAGTAGAGGCTTGATTCATCATTTTGCTGGACGATGTTGTTGCGATTCAACCGTTCTTCATGGTGCCCATGATCGTGATGCTATCTTGCCCACTTGCCTCGAAGTCTTCCACTTTGAACGTGATTCGCCCTTGGATCTGTTCGCCATCCCCATCGACCCACTTCTCTCCATCCCAATTCCACTCAGAGGGCAGCTTCTCCCGATCAATGGCAGCATTGAAGTAGTTGTAGCACATGAGCCCAAGCACACTCTCGCTTTGTAGATTGACGTCTCCTTCCAGTGTTGAGCCACGGACAGGTCGGAAGATGGTGAACTGGCATGTCAACCAGACGTATGAGACCGCATATTCAGCAATGCTCTGCGCCATGACTGTCTTGGCTTCTTCGCTCGAGTGTGCTTTGATCGCATCGTCTGGGTTTTCGGAAAGTCGAGGGTTACTGTATCCAAGGAGGATGCCGCGGAGAGGTGAGAAGTAGGAGAGGAGATGCGGTGAGATGTGTTCAGCACAGAGGCCTTCGAGAGGAAAGTTGTAGGCGCATGGCGAGAGCGTGAGGTACAGTGACCTTGTCAGCTGTACGAAGGGTGTTTGAAGGGCGGGCTTGCTAGCTTTGGAGGACTTCGTTTTCTGTAGAGTTGTTAGCGGAAATGCTCAGAAGTAGCCGCCGAAGTAGTAGTTTACTTTGCCCATTCTGTTCTCTATGTGTTGCGCTATAGGAGGCTGAGAGCAGTACTAGGAAACGTTTCAATCGCGCGTTCAAATGCTCGAAGCAGAGGTCTTGAAACAGAAGCATGTGAAAGTCGGAATTTCTCCAGGAATGTCAAAATTTATCGCCCGAGCGCGACTTCTGTCATGATTGCCTCAGGCACGAACGAAGATGCCAGCTACATCCTCCGAGGACAAGTGACTTTTGACAAATGTCAACACCGTCGCAAACACATCTTTCAGCAATTAACCAACCAGGTCCTTCAATCTATTCGACATGACCGGAATTCAATCTGGAATCGCTTCACGGCATCGGCCATCTATTTTCGCAAAATAGCTGAATCAAATCGCAACGGCCGCGGAAGAATCACAGAATACGACAGGAAGCAGCAAGAATTGCCTTGCCAAAGTGTCAGGAAACAAATCAGATTCGACAGCAGGAACGTCGAGCTGTTTAGAGTTTAGAAGACCAACAGAACATTCACTTGAGCGGAGTGACAACACCCCTGCATTGACCCAGAAGAGGAAGCTACGACCACCATTGCCAAGTGCACCTACATACAACATGTCGACAAACGGCCTCGTGTCACTAGCCGGCTGGTACTTCCTTCCAGGCGTACGTTCTAATCCTCTACCAAGAAACCCACCTACTGATCATCTCATAGCTCGTTACCGGCTACGTACAAACCGCCCTCTACGCCATCTTCATCCGCGCGGGCGACCCCAAACCCACACCAGGCAGTCCAGCCTTCACCAAACACCGCCGCTACATCCAAATCACAGTGATAGTGCTCTACCTCCTCTACACAATCTACGAAGCCGACTACCAGCTCCTCCAAGAAGGCGACTTCTACACCCTCCTCGGCGTGCCCCACAACGTCGAAGAACGCACCCTCCAATCCAAATTCCGCAGACTCACCGTCCAATACCACCCGGACAAAGCCTCTCTCGCGGACAAACCCGCCCACGAACAGATCTACATCCGCCTCAAACTCGCCCGCGACACGCTCGTCGACCCCGCCAAACGCTTCGCCTACGACCGCTTCGGCGCCGACATCCTCGCCTGGCAGAAAGCGAGCACAATCCGAGACTTCGTCTACGCCGGCCTGCAGCAACTCGGCGTCTACTACATCGGCAGCACGACGGGCCTCGTCCTCCTTTCCGTGCTCGGCTACCTCAAACAGGGAACCTACTGGCGCTACTTCGCCGTCGCCGCCCTCCTCCTCGTCGAACTGCACACCATCACGCGCCCGACCTTCCCCTTCGCCCTCACGCACATCCTCAACCCGCTCCTCGTCCGCACAGGGTTCCGGAATCCTTACCTCCCGTACCAACTCATCACCCTCCTCCGCAAGCTCACCGTCACTTTCTTCATCGCCATGTCGCAACTCGGGCCCCTCCTCCAAGACGCGCAGCAGACCGCCCAAGCAGCCGCGACGGACGGCTCCGGGGGCGTGAATCCCAAATTGCTGGACAGGATAGATAATGTGACGGCCGCTGCGGATTCGGAAATCACGAGACTGATGGGGTTGGAGTTGATGCCTTTCGCCACGGATCCTGGTGTGGCGAGGGAGTTGAGGGGCACGGTCAAGGAGTGGTTGGTGCAGAATACGGTGCGGAATGATCCGGAGGTGAAGGGGGCGGTGGGGAGGGTGTTGGAGAGGCGGAGGAGGCAGGAGGGGGAGGGTCAGGGACAATAGTATGCAACGACACAGGAGGGCAGATGATAGATAGACGATGCATAGATCGATATTTGGGAGGTTATTGAAAGAAAGCACGTTGAGTGCTGCTACTTCTCTACCTACCGCATAAACCCCATCCCCAACCCCCTCACAAACCTCACCTCATCCGCATTCCTCTCCAACGCCCTCCGCATCGCCATCCCATACTGTCTCTCCGCATCCGCTTTCGCGCTCTGCTCCGCCGTCTGCGCCTGCTCCTCCACCGCATCGTGCCACTCGTCCTCCCCAAAGACACTCCCGTGTCCGAAACCCAACACACCCAGCCGTCCATCGCCCGTCCAGAGGAGGAGATTGGATTGGGAGATATCCAATCTTCCGTGCTCGATGGCTGTGATGGAAGAAAGGGTTTGCAAGGGGACGATTTTCTGCACGATGTCGCCTTGCCCGGGCACTTCGGAGGCGGTGGAGGAGAAGATGCCGGAGGTTGTGGCGTCTGTGGTGCTGTCTGAGGGGAGTGTGTCGTTGATGTTGAACGTCCTGACGTGCGAGAAACCGTCCCGTTCCATCCACTTCAGATGGCCGTCCCCGTCGCTGAAGACAATGCGCCCGCCGTGGGGTGCCGCGCAGAGGAGTTTGGATGCGGAAGCGGTTTGGCGGTTCATGTAGGATTGGAGATCTGGCGAGCCGAAGAGTTCTAGCGAGCCTTTGCCTTTGTACTCGCCTGCTGCGAGGATGCTCGTGCCGATTCTGCTTTTGGCTGCCTGCAGTTCGGAGATGGTGGCGCTGGGGTTTCGTATGAGGTCTAGACTTCGTGGGATGAAGGGGTAGGGGAGTGGGCTGAGGCTGGCGATGCGGGCGCCGCTAAAGACTGTGCCGCGTAGTCGGGGAAAGAAGCGTCGGTCGTAGTTTAGGAGGGAAGTAAAGCGGCCAGCGACCCAGATTGATTCGTCTGAGGGCCCAAATCCGTCGTGGTGGAGGATTGAGAGGGGCCCTGGTTGGGCGAGGGTTGCGTGGGAGTAGAGAGATCCGCCGATGAGCTCGCCTGCTGAGCCTGATTCTGCCGCTGCGAATGCTGGGTCTCGCGGGTCGTGGAGGTGGATGGTCATGTTGGTGCCTACTGTGAGAGGTATCTTGTTTTTCTGCTCTGATAGTGCCGTGATGGGGAATGGGTACTGTTTCGTTGAGGAGATTTGCAGGGTGTTCAAGTCGACCTCTTGAAGGAGGTTCTGCACCGCGAAATACCCTTTCGTGGCCGAGCTGTCGATGGACACGCATTCTACTGCGCCTGTTTCTGTCATGATGGCATGACTCTCCGAGGTAGCGTCTGCCGCCTGACCTGTGAGAAGGCCAGGTTTGGTCTGAGCAACCAAGCGGCCACCACCTCCCCTTAAGTAAGTTGATCGGGCAGACACATCCCAAATACATACGCTGCCGTCGTCCAGAGGAGCTATCACATGTTCGCTGGACTGCTGATCGATATGCATACCAACTCCTGTAGCTTCGCGCACCTCGTCTCTGTCAAGGGTCTTGGGTAGGTCCATCCATGCCATGGAGATTGGAGCATGTCGGTGGATGTACTCATCATAATAGTTCAGCCTTTCGTTTGGATAGCCTGGCTCCCAGCTTGCTAGCGCTCTACTGCGTTGAATGCGTTCTTCAGCCTCTGGGTCATTTGATGCTAGTGGTTGTCTTCTACCCATGAGGTGAGCAACATCCAACGGTGTGAGGTCGCTGCCGGGCAGAGCAGCATATGCATTTCGTAATTCAGCCAGACTGGCATCTTGGACATTCAGACGTTGCTGCCGTAGCCGCAGAGCCTCTGCTTTGGAGTGATTGAAGCATTCCATCTTCCACAAGGCGTTATCGCGACCGAGAGTCAGGTAGCGCTGTGACACGAGCTGCAGCTGCACGAGATGTTCTACGTCAAGGTCTGATGATGGCGGTTAGCACTCACAATCTATAGGCCTGTAATGACGGCCATACATGACAATATCTGGAGGACGACCTCGTCCGGCAGACGATCCATCATGTTCGCGTTACGTGTAGGCATCCTGATGAATGTCCCCAGTAGAGGTCTCCTCGACAGCATGGGTGGACAGCTGGCTGAAGCGTGCTACACTGGCGGGGACATGGCGTCAGGCGGAGAGATGATGAGATATTCACCATTGCCGAGCATGGAGTGCCATGGTGCAGTGCAGAGTTGGCTGGGCGGCGGCGACGACAGGATTTTCGTATGGCACGGCAATGATGGGTCTACGGGCGTGGTGCCAGCTCTCGCCGGTTGGTCGATCGCGCCTCGCCTCCAGATGCTTTCGAAGCCGTATTCGGCTGATGGGACGGAGAGCGTGTATCAAAGACCCGACACGCCCCGAGTCAGAAGCGGATCGAGCACGATTGGGAGCGTGTAGATTGAAGGAGTTTGATGATCGAGTGTTCGAATTGATGAGGATACATTACATTTGGTGAGGAATAGCCAAGACTCGCTGGTGATGCAGGAGCGCCCGAAACAGGATAGCGCCAACTCCTTGAGTGGCAGGCACGAGCCAAGTTGACTTCGTGGCGATGGATAGGAACCTCACGCAAGCTTGGGTCGATTGTTGGACTGGAGTTCATCCCGCCTTGCGAGAAGCCTCTTTACCACGCGATCCAGCGTCAACCTTTCTCCACCATGCATCATCGTCCGCCCACACGCCCTCTGCCCACCTCACCGTCGCCGACTGCACGCACTCCCGTAAAATAATATCCACGCCAAACACAACGCCGCCGCACCCAACCAAGGAGCGAGAAGGAGGTCAGCCAGCCAAGGCTAAAACCAGCCGACTCACGGGCGCATCTTTGCGACGCTACCGAACACCCTCCTCCGTCCATCACCCACAACCCCAACCACCATCGTCGGCATCCCCATAAATGTCGACGACGGCGACCACCACCAAGTCGACGGCGAAGATGGCCAAGAAGAGCAAGATAGTCACGCTGCGCCTGTCGCCAGATAGTCTCGCGCAGTATCCAGCCGCCAGTCCACCACCCAACCCACAAGCCATCAAGGCAGAGGCATCGCCATCAGCACAACCTTCAGACACCGTCGACAAGACATCCGACTCCAACGCGACGCCCATACCGCCCACCAACACCGATGCCGCCGACCCCAACTCGCTGGCACCACCCAAAGTCGATGGCAGGAAGAAGAGAGGCGGCGCGGCCGTCACGGGTCGCAAGAGAGCACCACCTTCCATCGACCCCAATGCACCGATGAGGGAAAGAGGCAGGCCAGGCCCGAAGAAGAAACCCAGATTGTGAGTACACATATCATTCAACACTTACCTCCCATCACATGCTGACTGTTCCGCAGACCTGACGGCACAATCGACCGCTCAGGAGAGAAGAATGGTGTCGCAAGCGCCATACCCGCCCACAAGCTCGGCCCCAAAGCCAACACTGGAGCCATCAACGCCGGCCTACGTGCACTCGACCGCACTGGTAAGCCCTGCCGCAAGTGGAACAAGAAACCCCTCCAGCTCAAGTCCTTCACTGGCGCTGTCTGGGGCATGGCGTCGTGGGGAGCACCTCCCAAGGATGCTGGCTTCGCTGGCGACGTCAAGAGTGACAGCACTGGATCCAGCGAGGTTAAGCCAGTGCACGAGAGCAGTGCTGTGCCTAGTGAGCGCAGTCACAGCCATGTTGACGGCGACACCACCATGATGAACGGCATCGAAAGCTCGCCGGCTCCACCCATCGCTGCTTGAGTACGTTCCTCAGTACACGGCACACATCAACATCTTGAAAGCAGAACGCTGCTCGTGTTCTCGTCAACCAGCAATGCCACATTGGCGAAGACTTGAAAAGGGACCAAGACGACGTCCTAGCGTTTGCATATCTACCGCGTCCACCTTGATGGATGCCGCACGCACTTCTTGTCAGGCTGGTCGCCACCTTTGTATTAATAGTACGACTACTTTGAATGAGCATATCCAGCAAGGCGTTTGGGAGGATACCACGGAGGACAGCGGCTTCGGCAGCATGGTTTGGATTCACGGACTACTGCACGGCGTTAATGAGAGCAAGCCTTGGACCGGGTGCTTGCAGAGATAGTCACAGCCACAGCTCGCCACCTGCGGCATAGACCAGCAGGACCAAAAATTGATTATATATCTCACACTTCCATACCTTCTTGTCTGTCTGTGGGCTTCACCGTCTGGTAATGCGTCGAGTTGATGGCATCATGTCAAGCGGGCAAGGGACGCGGGGGCCGCAGCTGCACCACGAATCACCTCATGACCACTTCCAAGTCGAAACAACAGCACTTCCTGCCTTCTTCCAACTTGCTGTTCACTCCAACAACTCCCAACTATCTCCATTGCTACTGTTGAATAATGTCGCAAACTGTCACGCAATCGGTCTCAAAGGCGCATCCTCGGTAACGGATTGATTCCACAGGACCGACCTCACCTCTCCGATCCGGCTTTGAGAGACTCGTCGAGATAAGCACACTTACACGCCATTTGCCCGCGCAAACCATCCTTCCGACACTGGACGCGTCGTTGCTTGTTGTGGATAACGTGACGGAGAGTCTGCGGCGAAGAGGGTTTGCTGGGGCTGGCCATCTCAGTCCGATTGCCCGCTCGTGACCTGGCCGCGGACGATGAGCAATCATTATCCAGGCTCAGCGTCTTGGTTTTCTCCTGAAACGCAATCGAACCCACGGCCATCGTATGCGAACGTAGCGGCGGGAGGCGCGAGCTCTACAGCGAACACAACATCATCTGGACGGTCAGCGGCGAACTCGGCAAGAGAAGGCGCGATGAATCCTTCGAGGAGTATGCACATTCACACGGGTGGTGGAGGAGGTACATATGGGCAGGATAGTGGTGAGAGGAGGCCAGAGACTAGCAGCGGGCCCTCTGGAGCTGCTGGCGCGAGTTGGGCGAGCGATGCGATGCGGTATAATGCGGATCGTCTGGGCGAAGACTACCCACCATTCTTCACGCCATCATACCTCAAACACTCGAGACACGTGCAACGACTACGAAAGGCATGGAAAGAGCATGTAGCGGAATTGCAAGAGCACGCGAGTCGGAACACAGGCATGAGGCAGCCGTCATTATCGGCCAGCTCTAGTAGGGTCAATCTGAGCAAGCTGCCTGCGGATTATCAGCGTGGGGCGGTGCAGGATGTCATTGAGAGGCTACCTCCACCATCAGCAGCAAATGAAGATCGATTACATCCTCTGCCGAGCAGATGGAGTGAAGAGGACAAGATGAATGGACTCGAGATTATGGCCGATGGGACGGAAGTACGGTTCAATGGAGTCACAAAGTCGACAGATGAGGCAGCTGCGGTTAGGAGCGACTATCCGATGCCGAAAGAGTGTGGGATATTCTACTTCGAGGTGACGATACTGTCACGAGGTAAGGACGGTTTGATCGGGATCGGGTTCTCTGGTAGGAAAGCGAACTTGAATCGACTACCCGGATGGGAGACAGATTCGTGGGCGTATCATGGTGACGACGGCTTTGTCTTTGCTTGTACTGCAAGCGGCAAGCAGTACGGACCAAAGTTTGCATCCCAGGATGTCGTCGGATGTGGTGTGAACTTTCGAACAGGCCAAGCCTTCTTTACAAAGAACGGAAACTATCTCGGTACGTGGACATTACGAAAAGCTGTATGCTTCTGCTAACATGTCCCAGGAATGGCGTTCCCAAACATCAAAGGCGATACATTATACCCGTCTGTCGGAATGAAGAAGCCTGGCGAACATCTACGCATCAACTTCGGCAAGACGCCGTTCGTCTTTGACATCGACAGCATGGTCGAGCAGGAACGACGTAGCATCATCTCGGACATCAACAAAGCCGACGTGTCGAATCTGCATCCTCCTGACGACGAGAACGCGCTGATCTACAACCTTGTCGGACAGTATCTTGCCCATGAAGGGTATGTGGAGACGGCGAGAGCTTTCACAAGGGATGTGCAGGAACGACAAATACCCGGTCAATCCCAAACATATCAGCTCACCAGTGAAGACGACGACATCCATGCCATCAACAGGCAGAAGATTCGAAAGAGCATATTGGATGGCGATATCGATCGAGCGCTGAAGTACACCTCGACCTATTACCCTCGCCTCTTCCAAGACGGACGAAACAAGGACATCTACTTCCGACTTCGATGTCGAAAGTTCATTGAGATGATGAGGCGGTATACTGAATTAGGCACAGCGGCATCATCACCAACTACGGTTACGAAATCAGTCGAGTCGTTAGGGAGCAACGGCCATGCTGATGCTGCAGAAGAGCAAGAAGAGCCAGACGAACCACCTGACACTCAAATGGAGCTGGACGACCAGATTCAACGAGAGACATCCAAGAGCCTCGAGCCGCCATCTGCCACTGCCGCCGCCGACGATGTCGACATGGATGCATCACAGGAACTATCGCCGAAGATCACATTCATGAAAGCTGACCAGTTACTATCGGAAGCAGTCAAGTATGGCCAGGAGCTTCGTGAGGAATTCGGAAGAGATCCCCGACCGGGCGTGCAGAAGCAGCTGCAGGACATATTCGCCATTGTCGCCTACCAGAATGTCAGTGTCAGTCCGATTGGGCATTTGTTCGATGCGAGAGGCAGAGGCGAGATCGCTGAGGAGGTGAATGGAGCTGTTTTGGGTGAGTTGATCCAATCTTTAAAATCTGTGAACCGATACTAACGAGATGACAGTCTCGCTCGGCAAACCCTCGTCAGCAGCACTGGAGAAAGTCTGCGCTCAGACGGAGACTTTACTGGACGAAACAGCCAACAAGACTGGTGGCGCGGCGGCTTTTATCAACGTCAGGCAGGATTTCCTGCAGCCGGAACAGAGTCTGTCTTTCAAGACGACTTTCGAATCATGATCTATTGCACTCATTGAGCGAGGAAGGAGGAAATGGCGTAGGTCTTAGATTGGATGTGGTGAAGGAGGCTGGCTTATCGACTGCAAGTACAGCCAAAGCAATAGCAGGGCATAGATGAGGTGGGACGCATGGTCGGTCACTTGCAGATGTGTACATAACTCATCGTATGACGCGATCCTGCTGTAGGAATCGTACCTCAAATGGCATGTTCCATGTCGTCGTTATCATACAACCAACTGCTCCCTCCAACGCCAGCTCGTATGCTTTGTCCCCATCTTACACCCTTCTCCCATCCATCTCCTCCAAGAACCCCCATCTCACTCCTTCCCATCCACCGCAAAAGCCCTCAAATCCTCCAGTCTCACCTTCCCAAGCGCCTTCTCATTCGTCGCACTCAACCACACCTTGGGCACAATCTTCTCCCCGCTGGGATCCCTCTCCCGCGCCTCAAACGCCTCCAACCACCGACTCGCGCAGAGACACCATTTACAGCCGCCCTTCATGCCCGGGATCGGCCGCAGGTCGTTGCCCTGCTTCGCGGTGAAGTCGAGGAATTCTTCGGTGACTTCGGCCGCGATGGCGTGGTTGCCGAAGTCGCTGGCGGGGACTTCGCAGTAGCCTGTGCGGAGGTAGCCCGTGAGGGGGGTGGTGGAGTGCAAGGTTAGGGGTTGTTTGAAGACTGGATGAGAGGTTAGGTGGGATGGAGGTGAGATGGGGTTGGGGGGAGGGGAGGGGGTACCGTTGAGGGATTTGGACATTTTGAGGGGTTGTTGGTGGTTGTTGTGGGCGTGGGGGTTTGTGCTGATGGCGATGGTGAGTAGGGTTGTGAGGATGAGTAGGATGTTGTTGGTCGAAGAGAAGAAGTTCATGAGTTTGTGGTTGTGAGGGAGAAGGAGCTCTCGCATGGATGAATGGAGCTATAGGTACATGTACATATCGATTGCAGGGATTCCGATGACGTAACGTTGATCATTAGAACGTGAGATCGAGAAATCGATCTTTGGGGTCCATTAATGGTCCGACGGACAAAGGACCGAGCACTTTGTTCAAACATGACGGAGTTTCTTCGATGACTTTTATCCCTTCCTTCGATGCAGATATTGGAGACGCCACCCTTCACCTACCAAAAGTCATGGCCGAGATAGGCGGGGCCACGCTCTTGCCGCTTTCGGAAGGAGCAGATGATCCGTGCACTATGTAAGCCTTGCGAGCCTTATGTAAGATTGTACTTCATCTGTGTTTCGTTTTTGCCCTGTCAGCATTCCAATCGCTCTTTGGTTTTTGTTGAGATGGTAATCAGGTACAAGCAAGAGATCATGAGCGTGGCGAGGATCTACGTTGGTCGTGTCGTGCATTCTAAGTCGTTGAAATGTCTTGAAATCTTACCACAAGCTGCGCTGGGCGTTCGTGGGGATGGGAAGATTTCTTTTCTCAAAGACAATGTTGGTGATATCGCAGCATTGAGGCGTGAGTATGCATCAGAAGGATTTGCAGGCGCAACGACGATCTACCTCAAACCGCACGAGTTCCTCTTCCCCGGGATGATTGACACCCATCTCCATGCATCGCAATGGCCAAACCTCGCGCTGGGAATGGAAGGAGAATTGAGAGATTGGGTTGAGAACTACACGGATCCTATGGAGGTACACATCTCACAAGCAGAGCTCCGCATTCCGGCGATTCACTGGCTTCTAGGCATCCTACAGCGACAACGACAAAGCCCGCAGAGTCTACTCAGATGTCGTCTCCACCACCCTCCGACTCGGCTCGACGACCGTCGCATACAACACCACGATCCACGCTGAAGCATCCAACATCCTGGCGCAGACGGCTTTCGATAAAGGGCAGCGAGCTATCGTGGGCAAAATGTGCATTACGATGGGATCTACGCATAACAACTGGGAGGACTCGGTAGACGTCTCTTTGGCGGAGGATGAGAAATGTCTCGAGTTTATGAGGAATTTGGATTCTGAGAGACGGCTCGTGCATCCTTGTGTTCAGCCTAGAGGGGGGCCGTATTGTCCGCCGGAATTGATGGCGGGGCTGGGAGAGCACAGGGAGAAGTATGATACTTATGTGCAAGGTGCGGTCGTATCCAATCGTTCATGAAGGTCTAAACTAACGTCGCCAGCCCACATGTGCGAGACCCAGTCCGACATAGGTACATCCAGACACCCCCAACCCCTCCCCAACAACTCCTAACAACCCACCACAGACCGCACCCTTGCCCTCCACACCCCCTTCACGAGCTACAGCGCCATGTACGCAGCCCACAACCTCCTCACGCCCAAAACGATCCTCGCACACTGCATCCACCTCCAACCCGCCGACCTCTCCAACATCGCCACCACCGGCGCCGGCGTCGCCCACAACCCCAACAGCAACACCTGCCTCCGCGACGGCATCTGCCGCGTGCGCGACCTCCTCTCCGCCGGCATCCACGTCGGCCTCGGCACCGACTGCTCCGCGGGCTACATGCCGTCCATCCACTCGGCCATGCGGGACGCCTCGAACGTCTCCCGCAACCTCGCCATGCAGACCGGCGAGGACCGGTATATCTTAGCTTTCAGCGAGCTGGTCTACCTCGCGACGTTAGGGGGCGCGGAGGTTGTGGGGATGGGGGAGAGGATTGGGAATTTTGAGGTGGGCAAGGAGTTTGATGCGTTGGTGGTCGATGTTAAGGAGGTGATTAGTGTGGAGGAGGGAATGTGGGAGGCGGGGAGCGAGAGGGATGAGGATTTGGTGAAGAAGTGGGTGTTTTTGGGGGATGATAGGACGGTGAGGAGGGTTTTTGTTGGGGGGAGGTTGGTTGGTGGATGGGGATGTTGATTGAGGGGGGTGAAGTTTGAGGATGGAGCATCGACGTTTTCGATACGTCAAGCTATTGGCACCGTGTCCGCAGCATCATTGGTCTTGCTTTCCTTGAGAAGCTAATCCCATCCAGTATCTCCATCGCTCCTCCGGCATTATTCGTCAGGGAACCGAAACCCCCAAGCCACTTCCTTGAGATCCTTGAGCGTGAAGCCCTTGAATCCATCTCGACCCTCAATGCCGCGTGCAACTTGGATCGCTCTATCCACAGCCTCATCGATGTCCTCTACCTGAATGAGCGTAGTTCTCCGCAGCAGTGGGAGATTCTCATCGCAACGATGGCGAGGATGAAGTGGCGTCTCCTCGACAGATATGTCGAGCTTCTTTCCCGCAACGGCGAGGTGCAGGTCGAAGAATCCATAGAAATGCTGATGTTGATGCCACTGCGTAAGATGCACACCATCGTGGACGTGGGTGTCGTGGACATGTGCCTCATAGACCTGGAACGTGATATTCCTGAACAGGGCCGACTCGCCATCGGCGGACTGCAGCAAGACGCTCACGACGCCCTGGAAGTCCAGCTTGCCTGCGAACCCTCGAGTCCGCTGATAATCTCTGCAGGGGTTGCCGTGGCGTCTGTAGTGGGGCGTCAAGAGATCTGAGGATACCTGGCAGAGGAAAATGTTTTCGGCGAATAGAATCGGAAGCAATTCCTTGCGGATCTGCTTCGAGACTTGAGCGATGCCTGGGATGCGAAAGCCGCCGAGATCGCCGCTCTTGCGTGCAGTCGCGTACGAGTAGATACGGTTGCGAAGTTCCGCTGGAAGATCGAGGAAGCGGAAGTGATGATGGTCGTTTGCGTCGGCGGAGTGACCGTTTGCGGCGGTGTCGTCTCGTGGCGCATCCATCGCTGATGAGATGATGTTGTTCGTGGTGGGTGTGCTGGGCATCTCTGCGGCACCAGGATGGTTGTTGCGTGGCATGATGTTGTTGGTTGGCTGTGTAGGAAATGAAGTCGGTGAGATGAAGTTTGTTTTGAAAAGGACAGGCGTTTCACTTGACGCGGGGTGATCACATGCAAATTTCGCGCTAGTCAGTGCACGCTAAGAGTGAGAAATTAATGAAGTCCTCTCGACGTCAAATACTCGAAGACAGGATCCCAAACAGGATCCGAAGAAGGGAGCGGAGGCGCTGCTCTAGAGACACGGTCCCAGACGACAGGGCTCTTTCCAGAAGTCAGCAAAAGGCTGACAATCCGCCACTTTACGGTGACCAGAAACAGTATCGTTGGAGCTCGTTTAGAGATTGTCTTCTGGTCAGAATGTCAACGAGAAGGAGAGCATTTGGGAGGTGACGTTGGGGCTGCTGAAGATCGTGAGGTGGCCCGAGCGTTTCAGCTTGGGTGAGTTTGCCCAACCTCACGTCTTCGCCGCAGCATCAACATAATCAGCCTCGTCGGCCTAGACATGGCGCTGACAGATATTCGATTCGAGGTCTCTTATCAGATGAGGCTTGATGAAATGAAGCATCACTCCGATGTCTTGCTTCGAGCCAAGCAAGGCTCAGCAGCGTGCATCAGTAGCTGGAACTCAGCCGCGCGCGGGCGCCGCGGTCCCGTTCTTTGATATTCAACCTGCTCGCCAAGTCTGCAGAGGCAAGAGTTAAGTGGTGTTACCGATGAGACTTCGAAGATGAGTGCAGAACAGGACGAAGGTGCTGTTGGCGAGCCTGTATCGTTTCGGCTGTCGGCGGTACGTACGTTCTTGTACCCCTAATGCCTGCGGCTCTTGACGATGGCTTCAGTGCGACAACTGCCAACGACGCAAGGTGAAATGCGATAGAAAGAGTAAAGCCCCTCTACCCAACACGAAGTCTGCTCGAAGTTGCTAACTTGCTGCCAACAAGATCCTTGCTCAAGTTGCGTGACATCTCGGGTGCCATGCGTGAGTTCGAATAGATCCACGGAGAAGCGACCGCGTGTCGTCCTCTCTTCACGATATGACCAGACGGTTGAAGAGGTTCGAGAAGAAATCCGAGAAGTGTCGGAAAAGCTTCAGCTTGTCCTGGATAGAGGGCTTTTTTCGGATGGTTCGAATCGTGCCTGCGGTCCAACTCCTCCCCATCAGGTATCACCACGAACACCGCTGGGGACTTACCAAAACTCTATTGAGTATGAAGGAGATTCGTCCTTCACTGCGCATGTCAGGCATATCACGGACGCGTTGGAGAACAGGCTTCTGCAACCCAACGGCAGAAGTTTCAAGCCATTACATCAAACGAACATGGGCTCTCACCCTGCCGTGACAATGTCAACGAGTCCTGATATCTCTTTAGATTATCCTGAGCTGTTGGGTCTGGATCTGCCGCCAACGGACATTGCTTTGAAGCTACTAAACCTGTCGAAAACCACACAACAGAATTTCTTCTCAAAGCACCAGATCATCGACGAGACTGAGTTTACTCAAATCTGCACAAGAGTTTACTTTCCAACCAGTCCGTACGACATTTTCACATGGATCATGCTCAACATTGGTCTGTTTGGCCTTCTGATGGGATGCAAGAAGGTCGACTGCATGTCGACTGGTATACAACAGATTCGTTCCTGGTCGAGGCTCTGAATGTATAGCGCTGACCATAGCAGGGATTTCTGAAAGCGACACCGATTCTTATATGAAGCTGTGTGCTCGTAATATCGATGCCGCAACCTTGAGTCTTCGCGTATTATCAGAAGCGTCCTTGAGCGCATGCCAGGCTCTTGCAGCTTGTGTGAGTCTGCTTCCATGTTCATGTTTCTTTACTTGACTAATTTTGCCAGTCATCGCACTACATGAGGAACGGCTCGAATGACAGAGCATGGCGACTTACGACTATCGCGGCAAGGATGTCTCTTGATCTTGGTCTTCATCGTGTACCGATTGGGTCAAGATCCGCAGAGTGCTCGAAGAAGCGAGTGATCTTTTACTATGTTTATCTACTGGACATGAGCTTTGCCTTCAGCTTCGGCATGACCCCCAACATTCATGATTACGACGTGACAACCGAGAGACCAGTCTTCCCGAACGATCTACCAGGATTTCGTGGAAGGTAGGTCACGAATTTAAAACTCTCACAGGACTCTGACCGAAAATCTCAGATACATGGCCCTATTCCTCAACTTTGCCGCTGTGGAGAAGCAGATGTATCTTCAGGTACGTCAATATCAGCATCAAGACGTCTGAATGCTTCAACTTCAGTCGAATGAATACGCTTCGAAGCATCTCGTCATCTGAAAACATCAATTCTGCATTACCACCATGGTAGTATTTGCACACTGACACCTTACTAGCTCTTCTCTGCTCTGGCTCTGAAAGAGCCGAAGCATGTTCGCACGGAACGAGCTCAACGAATCGCCAGCGAATTGATTCGATCGCACAACCGTCTAGCCTCACTGCACTCAGATACCTTCCCAGATCAACTCTACGTCCAAGAATCACTACTGTCTCTTGACGTGGTGAAGTACGGATTACTCACCATATTGCTCAGACTGGTCCCTCCTCCTGAACCAGACGCGAACCCGTTACAGTCCTGTCCTGAATGTGTAGATGATGCGAGGAGTTCGCTTCTGGCAATTGTCAAAGGCGGAGATGACTTGACGAAAGACTCCAAAGAGGAGGCAAGATGGTTCCTGAACTGGTAAGTACGATTCGAATGTCTTGATGATTCTGGCTGACAAACTAGGACACTATCATTTGTGCCACCAGTCTCGTTCGTTGTGATTGTGTCGCAGACAATCATGACAGGCAACATCGAAGACTTGAGTCTGTTACATCGAGTGGTCAGCACTATTGAGTCAGCCACCGAAGAGTCGCCTTCGATGCAGAAGCTTCACACAGCTTGTCAGGGATTGTACAACATGACACAACAAGTTCTTGCTCAAGCTGGTCCACGAGAAGGACGCGAGCAACAAAAGCATCAAGAGTCTCATGACCCTGTACACGCTAATGCTTGGAATGAGTCGAGCGGTGCAGACTGGCAGCATCTTACCTTGACGGAGGCGGACTGGAATTCTGTGCTGAATGTAAGTGCAACCATCATCGTTAGTGGAAGCTGGTGTGTTGACCGCCTGATAGGAGTTTGATTTTGGCATGGCCGTCGAGAACTCCGATAAGCTAGCGACACATTTCAGCATCGCCACTGGCCAACATCAGCTTCATGGTCCGTCCTAAATGATGGATACTTACCGAGAGCTGTCCTCAGTTTGACAAGAGCTTGCGACACTGGAGAGCAACTACAGCATTGTAAACGAATCGAGGTAGCTGCCTGGCGCAAGCGATTCCTGAGGAAAGTATGCGACGAGTATAGCGACCAGAGGGAGCTTCTACCTGACCACAACGACAAATGCACTCCTTTGGAGCCTATCATTGATGGCAACGCCTTGAGCGCTCTGGTTACCCTTTCCTCCAGGAGGCTTTAACAACGCGAATCGATACTAGTTTTCGATCCCAGGTCCTGATCACGGAGGTCGGAGGCTACCTTAGGTTCATCGCCGACCTCATTCCAAGGAGGCTGCTGTCAGACTGATTGCCAATTCGGCACCGAAAGAAGGGAGCATTTATCTTGCACGTGACAGTGACCCACAAATTTCGCGCCCGTCCGCTCTTGCCGCTTGTCCGCTCTACAACGACGACACTTCATTGCCTCGCATTCCTTGCCATCTGTATGAGACACCGGCGCCGTATGCATGGACAGCCTGCGCATTGGGCGTTGTGATGTTACGCCAACATCGGCTGGAAATTGGTATAAGAGGTTGCCCCTTGGCAGGTCGCCGCAATGAGAATGATTACAAGTGATTGACCACGAACGAATTCGAACTCGAACTCCAACTCCAACTCTCTGGAGAAATCATGTCAAATGCGAATAATGCCGTCATTGGCGCGGGGTTGACATTCGCTCGCCTCCTGCAACAAAATGGCATTTCGGTCACTGTCTACGAGGCCGAATCGGACCGACACTCTCGCAATCAGGGCGGGAGTCTCGACCTCCATCCCAAGTATGGGCAAAAGGCTCTTTCTGAGGTGCGTACTAAACGACTCGCTGTAGAACACCTTGAAAGGCATAGATGTGGCTGATATCCTCGCAGGCTGGCCTACTGAACGAGTTCCGAAAAATCGCTCGTCCGGAAGGCGAATGCATCAAGCTGATCGACAAGGACGGCAACGTCTTGGCTGATGAGAACGTCGATGGAAACCGCAGGCCAGCGGATGACACCGACAAGCCGGAAGTGGATCGTACTGCGTTGAGAGACCTGCTTCTTGATTCCCTGAAGCCGGATACAGTACAGTGGGGCTGCAGAGTTGACCACATCGAGGAGGCAGCCAATGGCACGCACGACGTTCACTTCACAAACGGTGCTGTCACGACTGGTATCACGCTGCTAATAGGCGCTGATGGTGCGTTCTCGAAAGTCCGTCCACTTGTCACAGATGTCGAACCATTCTATTCCGGAATCACGATGGTCACCCAATGGGTTATGGATGCCTCTACCAAGAAGCCTTGGCTCGATAGATACGTGGGCGCTGGGAGTCTGATGATGTTCGACGAGGGCCGACTGTTGATCTGCCAGCGTCAGAGCGGAGATTCTATAAGAACATATGCTTCGCCGCGGAAGCCATTGTCTTGGACCAAGGAGAGCGGTATAGATTGGAACGATTATACCGCTGTGAGGAAGGCCTTTGCGGAAGATTACTTTGGCAACTGCGGCGACGATGTCAAGCGAGTGCTCAACGAATGTGACGACGATGCACACTTGGACATGCGGCATCTGTACATGCTGCCCATCGGATTGACATGGTCATCGAAGCCGAGCGTGACGCTCTTGGGGGACGCTGCTCACCTCATGACTCCTTTCGGGTAAGTTAATCAATCAACAAGAAGACCAAACGCTGACACACCACCAGAGGAGTAGGCGTGAACGCCGCCATGGCCGACTCCCTATACCTAGCCAAAGCACTCATCACGCAGAAGAGCAACCTCCACACCCAAGAAGGTATCTCCCGAGCCATTGAAGCTTACGAACAAGACATGTTCCCTCGCGCCGAGTTCTTCGCCAAGAAGACCTACGACGGTCTCGAGCACCATTTCAGAGCCACGGGAGGACAGGAGTGGTCGGAGAAGTTCAAGAAGAGGAATTCGTGAGCATGCTCGAGAGACTATGCTATTGGTCTTGTGATTTACATGATATGTGAGAATGCTGATTGTTGTTAGCTTGGTGCATTCGATTATGCATAAGTTGGGTTACATACGCAATGCCGCCCGCTCCATGGTCGCTACCTCTCCCAAAAACCGCACGCCTGAAGTAACAGCTTGATGGTCGTGTCGAGTCTTGGTAGAGTCGACTTATTTTGGTGGTGGTAGAGGTCTCGGTGGCTTCTCCGTGCCCGTCGTGTCGTAACCTCCGCCGCGGCCCATTGTGTTTCTTGTTTGGTCGAAAGTCGATAGTTGAAGGAGTTGATAGCGTGGGTGATGATCAGGATCTCGAATGGTGGATCTTATGCTTGCGTTGCTCCGGTTGATCTCTGAATCCTAAGAACGCTCCTCAACCCAATTCGAATTTATATGCGCATCTCGCCAACATCGTGAATGCACTTTCAAATTAGACATAGCAAAAGAAGAAAAGAAAGAAAAGAGACAAGATCGTGCATAAAAGAATGGGTGACGGGAAAAGTTAGAGAGAGAGACAGACCAACAACACAAAATGTCGGTGAATAGGGTCCTTGCTTTTTTGTGCAGGGGTAGCGCTGACATTTTCCTCGAGCATCAGTCCACAATGATATTTGACTTACCAAGTGTCCATGTCAGCTGTGACCAAACAGACGACATATCCAATACGATCCTGCAAGGGATGTGTATCGTGTTGTTGGAATCGAGCGAGGATGTCACTTGGAAGGAACAGCGGGAAGATGTTTCGAGCCCTAGACTGTGCCGAGAGTTTGGGGGTTTGTTTCTATTCACCTCTGAACTGGCGGTGGCCATGGTATCGCTAACTGCATCCTACGGAAAGGCTAAATTCAGAAGTGTCGTTAGCGAACAAAGGCTTCCCGTGTTGGTGCTCCTATTAGAGCGTGGGAGTTGTTGGTGATCAGCCCTTGGCCTTCAGCTCGTTCAGCCTTTCCAGCACTCGCTTCAACGATACGCAGGCGCCTTTAGACATGACCGTAAGTCCATTTGGTTCTGAAGATCCGTCACTCCTCTGCAAAACCTCTTCGACGTTCTTGATGGTGGCGTCGAGTAGCTTCGGCCCATCGGCACGGCGGTACAGCCAGTTGACTACGTCTTCGAATCCTTTCAATCCAGCCGTGTCGTTCACCGATGTTATCGCGGTGATGAGGAAGCCTTTTGCACGAAGGAAGATCCGCTCGCTGTATAGTGCGCTTGGTCGTTTTGTCGACTCCGTGCCTACAAGCGCCTCGTAGCCGGCTTCGTTGTAGTACGGCTCGCGAACCAGGACGAGGCCCAGGAGCGATACGATCACCTGCAGAAGGGTGCTTCTTGCTGCATTCCACCCCTCTCCTTTGTTGCCTTCCCACGTTCCCAGAAGTGACAAGCATATCTTGCCGTCTTCGTACAGATTCGGGTTCACTCGGCCAAGAGCTCCAATCGAAGCGTGAGCTGGCCAAGAGTGAAAGAACGACTGAGGTGGCTCTGTCGGAAAGGCGGGTGGAAGGTAGAAGTCAACGACGAATGGTGCGTTCTCGTAGGGTGTCTCTGTTGGCCCTACAAGCAATACACGAAGCAAGTCGAGTCGTGTCTCGTACGTCCGGATGTAGACTCCCTGGGGAAGTGTTGAAGGATTGCGAAGAATCTTGTGTTCTTTCTGAGTGCGTCTCATGTGGTTGGACGAAGTGGTGGCAGGCTCGTTCGCGAAATGGTGATCTGAGGGCGGATCGCCATCAAGGACCGAATACGAAAGCGGGCCACCTGCGGGTTGAAGGTTGAGGTGTGTGAGTTGCGACGCTTGGTTGACCGTTCGATCGCTGGTATCAGTCGGTGTAGCTGATTGTGAGGTCGGTGGTGTTTGATGCTCTGGGGCGTCTTGCATCTCCGCGTCCTCTTCGTCCGCCGACTCCCACTCCTCGTTCTCGACCTCCTCCTCGTCCATTGGATCCCCATTCTCGTCCTCGTAGCGAGCAATCATCTCCTCGTCGCCGCTCTCCCACTCGTCAATGCTCTCGCCCTCGTCGTCATCCGAAAATTCCTCATCCTCCTCATCTTCGTCCATTTCGTTTTGACCCCACGGATCCCCCAGATCATCAGTGCCGTCTGATCGAACTGCTACCACGGCTTCCTCACGGAACATGACAACATCTCTCACTTCAGATGCCGCCCCTAAGCGAACCACGAAGGTGCCATCAAGCGGCGTGTCGACGATCTCCCCAAGCCAAGGGGCGTCCCCAGGTTGTGAAGAGGTAGCTGGCTTCGTGATTAACACAATGTCGCCGCGGCGAACATTCAGGGGCGCTGGAGCCTCAATGTCGTACAAGCTGACTTCTTCCTCGAATACAGGGGTCCTGATTGCATGCGCGACAATGGGCCGGATCTCGCCCTCGTCGTCCGCATCCCCTGAATAGTGAATGTATGAGTCGGGCGACCACTTCACCGTGGCCATACGCTCGGCCGCATTTACGGCATGAACTATGCCCACCTTTTCGGGCTGCTCGATGCCGTCCATACCGAGTACAGGTTGGAGATTCAGACTGTGTGTAATCTCGCTTGGCCATGCAGCATGCTCATCGTCGATATTGCCATCTGGAACAAGGTCTATGCTTCTATCTGTCGTGATTGTGAGATCCTGCCATTGAACGACAACCTCCGTCGAGAATGCTACGATATCGAACACGTTAAGATCGTAGCCAAGATTGTCCATCCGGTCAAGCTTAGGTATTCGATTGGGGTGCGAGGGCGTATTGTACTTGAGGCAGGCGCCGGTGAGATCCTTGAAGCGCACTCTGGTATCCAGCTTCACGTCAATTTCAGAGTTCGAGATCGTGTTGTACGACAGGTTTGAGTCCCGTTGCGTCGGACGTCTGGTTCGGTCGTAGACCTGGAAATCGGGAGATTCAAGCTCTGGCCGCTCCAGCGAAGAGGGAGGCTCATCCGCCAGACTTCCTACCCGTTTTTGCAGCCATGAAATCTCTGCTTCCACAGTGCGGACGCTGACGACAGTACCGACTGGAGGGGTGTTCGCATTGTATTGCCCGAAGATCCAATGACCCCTGCGTAGATTGCCTTTCTTCGTTTTTGCGATGTCTCCAATCGCAAAAGTACCAAGGGCTCCATCAACGTGCTCCCCAGATTCGTCTGGAATCTCGACCACGCAGTTATCAGACAGTCTGATCTGAATGTTATTCGTGATAGCTTCCACTCGACCAATCCAGTCTTTGTAGACCACCAGATCTTCCTCCGTCGGCGAGTCAGTAACCCGCAATTCGGAAGATGGTATCTCAGTCACAATGTCCGGTTTGCCATTTGGATATACGCAGAATTGTGATGTGGTGGGGTTGTACTTTCCAGGAGGTAGTATTCCCTTGAAGGTCTGAGTGCCTTGAAAGGTAACATCGCACATCGGCTGCAGCGAACATTTAGTCGATGTCTGGAGAATGACACCACTCACTGCATCGCTTGAGGACCGTTTCACGATATCCCCTATCAGAAGTGAACGATCGATGAGCTTGACTTTTGAGGTAGGAAGCAGCTCCATGCTTGTGTCGTCCCGCAGACGGATGAGGACCGTGTCCTTTGGTGGTATACCATCTCTCAAGAATCGCCCAAAGGCAGATTGGGATATGCTTCGGTCGCGGATGATTGGTTCTTGGCCTTGACCAGGATATGGAGTGTGGGAGTCGATGTCTTCGACCGTGCGTTCGACAACCGCCAGCTGCATCAAGTCGGATTTTCTGGCAACGATGTCGTCGGGGTACAAAGGTCGTGTTTCCATGATGTGGGTGAGGGCCGGGTGGCGGCTGCGGAAAGGTTGAGGTTGACAGCCAGGTCTTATCGAGACAGGTGACTCATGCTGGGGATTGTTCTCCACGCAGAACGGGTGTTCTATTCAATGCGATTTGTTTTCCGGTCTTGCACAGTGGTTGTGGTCAATTCTGTTGTCTAAGGATCGTAGTCGGACAAGCATGCGAAAGAGCGCGGTCGAAACAGACGTCGAGTGTCGAGAAGGATCCACAAAAGCGGGCGGCAGGGGCGGCCCGTAACGTCAAAGCGAAAGCCAGCATGTGAACCTTTGATCACCATTTGGACCTCCAACGAGACCGCAACAGGAGGGTTGGTCGAGAGCTGGACACAATGGCCGACCCTCTTTACGAGCTGCTCGCTCCGTACTTCGACAATGCTGAATCACCGCCGGCGCCGCGAGACCTTCAAACAAGTGGCTACTTGACGCGACTCAGCACCCTCTCCTTCGCCGACCTCACTTCCACTGAGCCAGCTTCCCTGCTGCAATCCGCTCAGTCCCACCTACGCAACCTCCAGGCACTGTCGAAGCGATCACACAAAGCTGTCATCTCCTCGTCCCAACACCTCAGCAATCTCTCAGCTCTCCTTCCATCCCTCGGTTCACAAGCACAGGCGTTGAGTCAAGATGTCCCAGCTTTGGAGACTGCAGCCACGAAGTTCGCAGAGAAATATGACAGAAGTACAGAGAATGCAGTACTGGATAGGCGGAAACGGGCGGCATTGCTGTCTCGCAATGTGGACAGGATATCCGATGTGCTAGACCTCCCGTCACTGCTATCTTCTACAGTAGCGGCTGCACAGAATGCTGGCGCAGGAGGCTCTGGAGCAGCCAGTTCCACCACTTCGTATGCGTCTGCACTCGACTTGCATGCGCATATCAAGCGATTGAAAGCGCTGTACCCTCAGTCGGATCTGATCGCCAGTATCCAGACGCAGTCAGAGGACGAGATGCAGAATCTCGCGACCATTCTGATAACTTCCTTGCACAGCCCTTCACTGAAACTCGCTGCAGCCATGCGTACCATTGGCCTTTTGAGACGAGTGGCACCGGAGTTAGGAGAAGACGACTTCTTCATCTCTACACCGGCCGCTCTGTCAACAAAGTCGTTGAACTTGTCGCCCAATGCTACAAACAATGATGGTGCTCTAGGATCGCTGCTTTTAATCTGCCGCCTGCATACGATGCACGCGACGTTGGATGCACTGGAACCCTTACGAGAATTGGCAGATCAAGAAACGATACAACGACAGGCACCTAACGGCAAGGCCAACAAACAACAGACATCTAATTCGACCTCTCTCGGAACGCAAAGCGAACGATACCTGAAACGATACATCGAGATTTTCCGAGAACAGAGTTTTGCAATCCTCAGCATGTACAAAAGTATATTCCCGGGCAACCTACCTGAACCCGATCCGAGCACTGCCGAGGAGAGTCACAAACCTCAACAAATTCACGACCCGTTACTGCCGCTACCATCCCCCGTTTCGTCGTTCACGCTTCACCTTGTCGATATGCTGGAGAAAACTCTGCGCGAGTACCTTCCTAATGTCGGCGACGAGTCTGCCAGGGAATCCTTGCTCACGCAGGTTTTGTACTGCGGAAGTAGCCTGGGTCGTCTAGGAGCTGAGTTTGGCATGGTGGTAGCACTTCTTGAGGAGGACATGGCGGAAGAAGTAGACCTTGCCGAAGACGAGGAGAAGGAGCCTGAATGGGTGGCTGTCATGAAGAAGCATCGTGTTCAGGCTAGCAGGCTGGAAGTACTAGCCAGGGGTGTGGGAACAAACAGGAAGACGAGCATGGACGTTCAGTCGCCGTCGTCTGCCCTGCCAGCTTGAGAAGTCATGCAGGAGTTGTGACAAGCGAAGCTGAGCGAATGACTAGATTGTGGCCGCATGACTGGACAGCAATGACTGTGCCACATCATCAGAGGAGAGCCATATCCAAGCCACAGTTGAATGTAAACGAAAGAGACACTCCCCAAAAGAGTCAAATCTCATTCGGGCAACCACTGCCGCAGATCGCACATGAAAGCCACGCGCAAAGTGAAACCAACTTTCTTCCTTCTTCCAACTTCCATGCATCACAAACTCACCGCTGTGATCACTCGCCCATCATCTTGCGGACTCCGTAAACCATCATCAGCTTCACAGGCTATGCCAGTCTTTCGCGCATACTTTGAAGCAATCTCAAATCACATCCGCAGAGACAGATGGATGACGTTCCCAAGCGCGACGTTCTGGAGTCTAGACCGCTAAACGCACGCACACCGTCAACGACACGACTTTGCTCCGAGACATCACAAAGCAAAATGGACGATGGATAGAGCGGATATAGCATCATAGACGGACTCGAATGATTCCGCACGACGGTTTGGCAGGTAGCAGTGTTGTTGACGAAATCTGCTCTACTCATCAGCATTTCGTGAGCATGACAATATTGTTGACGACAACACGGCAACAGCAGCGAAGAGAATCAAGCCGCGATGTTCCTGTATCCATGTCTGCTGCTCTCGCCCTGTCGGAGCCTGTATAGCACAAAGTCTATTTCTGGTAGACGTATGCTGTGGGACCTCGAGTATTTGCTGGGCTAGAAGTGGCCGTATTGGCGATCTAGAAGCTTGGCTCAACGCATGCGACGACGGACGAGCGAGCTAGAACTCGTACATCGATGATGGGGGTGCTATTCTGAGTAGCATGCGAGTATACCCTCCATCAAGAACAGAGAGTCGCAGTCGCAGTGTCAATCTCATGTCACTTCCTTGCACAAAACATGTCGTTGAGGACAAGGAACAGAAAAAGAAGGTGGTCACCCGGTTGTGTTCGGATTCTCACAGTCTCTCTTTTTCCGCACTCCGGCTAAAATCGACAAGGGCATCCTCGGATAGCTCGGTTGCGCGGAACGAGGAGATCTTGCAGATCATGCCTAGAACGGCCCCGATCGGCGGAATCCGTGCCAAGTTCGTAGCTTTCTCGTGAGTTGTGCTGCTATTCTTTGTTCTGGATCGACATAGCCCATGCAAGTTGTTACGAGTATTGCAGGTAGGCTTGCGATGCGCGTATAGGGTGTGTCCATGGCCGGAAGCATCGTGGCATTGCGCTGCATACGGTGCAGTACGTGGATAGCGTAGGAAGTTGTCGTCTGGTCAGCCCATGGAAGCAGGTTGGACTGCAGATCCTCTAAACGGCAGTTGGATGCATGATTGGTGTGCGACGGGCCAATGTCAAAATCTGGACACGCAATGCCTTGTCCTACGTCCCTGTGAGACTTGGCGACCTTACTCATCCGCAGAAGGGGGTGGTCAGCTTGGGGTGCAACGCAGGAGAGGGAGGACTGCCCTACGAGTGAAGCCGACAAGGGCTATCGGTAAGGCCGTCAGGGCTGTGGCTGGTGAGATCCGGAGAAAGGGAAGAAACAGAGTCTTCTCCAATCAACTCGAAGCAGCCACAGTGAAATTTTGAGTATAAGCCACTCTTCTAGAAGCATCATCCCTTCCACGTGGTGAAATGCAATGCCGACGACGTCACCCGGCCCGATTCTTTGTCTTGGCTCCAATCAGAGGTCGCACATTCGTTGTGGCTTGCAGCACGACGGCAGCACAGAGCCCGCCAAGCCGCCCTATAGCGCCAGGTACGATGAATTCCTGTCTGCAAGAAGCCGGCCGTCGGGCCTACGGCTTAGTACTTTGTGCATCGTTTGGCGGCCGCATAGTCACGGCATCCTCGTGCTCGCATTACTGTATGTAGCAAGGCCGGTTACTCGGAGACTGATGGCATTTGATTTTTCAGCCGGAGAAAGGACTTTTCATCTTGCGACAAGGAGATGCCGAGAGGACGACGTAATCTTGATTGGGCTTTTGCGACCACAAAGGGTTGGCAATTGGGCTGTACGGTGCTGAGTGTAGATGCACAGTGACGGCAGAAACGGACGGCAGTCGTCCGAGTGAACATGTCGAACGGTGGATGTTCAGAGTCGATGAAGGTATTCGGACGTAAACACCGCCTCTCCCGAGCCTTCGAAGCGGCCACGCTTGCGTGTGCAGTGCGAGACGGTTAGCTACTTCGTAATGGGGATGCCTGTTCATAGTACCAGTCCTCGAAACGGCAGTCAGCCAGCCAGTCGTATGACTGGTAAGGGTCAGTCTGGAGAGGTGAAGTGAGCCATGGCCAACCAGATTACGGACGCTAGCATCTGAATCTTGGACAGAGCCAGCTGGAGCAGGCAGTCGACTGACTCCCACGTACGATCCTGCGGCTGAGCAGACGGTGATTCGGTCGCGTGCCTGCGTTGCACGGGACCTAGCAATAAGCATATCCCCCAAACGCAGGCATCGAGCGTGCCATGAGGAAGATGCATGCTCGGTTGGACTCTGGGCGTAGATCGGGGATGAGGGAGACCAACCGTGGCAGTGGTGCGGATGGAGTGCTGCCGAGAGAGATCCCTGTCCGCCTGATGGCACGTTGTGAGCGCTGTGTGGAGGAGGGAGGACGCAAGAGGGCTGCCGGTGTCTGCACAGTCTGCAGCCGAAACATGCAGGGCCGTTGCATCTGGGCCCGAGCAGCAAGTAGTGGCTGTGCAGGCGGCTAAACCGCTTTCGCCAGTCGCTCCCGGCTGGATCTTACTCAAAAGTCTCTACCGCCCGCAACTTCCGTTTGGGCATCGAGCGACGACAACACGACCTGCGAGAGACATACGACGCCGAGGGACGCTCTTTCTAATCGGCTTTACATACACCTTGTGCTGCCGCTGGAAAGGCTCGGAATTGAATTCGAACCCCCTCGCTCACTTTATCCCCCGGCTCAGATGACAAACGCCCGCCGATAAAGCGAAAGCCAGCCGACGCCCGCCAAGGAACTCTGGACCCTGCTCTTCTTTAACACTATGACGTCTGCATGCTCGACCTCCCTCGATTTCTCTTCATCAACAACTTCAACTCCTCCACATTCCCACCCCTACTACGCCACCACGAACCACAACCACAACAACAACATCGCCACGCACATCGACTATTCGCAGCTCGACGCCACCGCATACAACGACGCATTGGCCTATTTACAGCACTCGGCCGCGCCATCAGTAAACAATCCCCCGAGCGCGCCCAACAACGCAATCCATCACCCGACGCCCGTACCAGCGACCCAGCGCCACAAACTCGTCGGCCTTAGGCACGACTCTGCCATAACCTCCGCCGGCGTGGACACACACGACTGGCAGACGCCCATGTTCCAGTCGCAGGCCTATAACAGTGTGGGAGGACCTGTCGTTGGCCACACCCGGGGAGTCAAGAGAGCGCGTGTTCACCAGCGCACACCATCGGCCTCGACGGTTGCATCCACCGGCCCGGCGTCACCGTACATGCAAAACGGGTCATACCCTCTCATCGCCAACACGGATCACGCTCCAAATTCGCCCGCCTTCTACGCTGACCAAGCCGCGTACCTGCCGAAGAATCTTCCAACACCCTCGCAAACGCCTACCGATAGCGGCTTTGCGAATATCGCGCACATGCCAAGCCAGGCTGCGCACATGCCCAACGCTCATCTGGCTATGAAAGACTTTGGTATCGGCCATCACACCTCAGAAGACTACCTCTCAGACTTTGTGCCTTCAAGACAGTCCATGTCGAGCTACGGCAACGACTCGCCTGCCACGCCGCAATCTGGCGCTGGCGACGTCGACGCAAAGCAGTACAGCATACCTCCGAATGGTGAGATTGGCGCAGACATGGCATTCGATAACCCTTCGTTCGATTACTTACTATTCGATGACGCAGACTACCGACAAACCAACCCAAACGTTCAGCTCTTCCGAACAGAATCGCAAGCCTTCCAAGACGAACTCTACAACCCGAACTTCGTCCACACGTCTGCGCCATCGAAACCAGCCAACTCCTACCTCTCGCCACACCGAAATCTAGTCACGGAACGACTACAGACTGCAAACTTGGCGCGATCTGCATCGCCTGCTTCTGCAATGTCAAGAGAACGCTCTCCCTTCAGAGATGGGTCGCCACTCGCACCGGCGAGGGACTGGCGGCCACAGGCTGGTCCAGCAGTGACTGCGGCTGGAATGCGACAACAGCAAAAGGACGAGGTAGTTGAAGCAGAATATGCGCAACACCGTGCGACTCTGCGAAGAGAGCCTACCAAGACCATCTCTCCAAAGGATGCAGTGTTGGACTATCACGAGGGCGACCAGCCACCGCTCTTTCAGGATAGCATACCCGCAGGCTACGAGAAGCACATGGGTGGGACAGAGCAGTGGCCAACAAACAACTATTTCAGCCAGCCAAGCAACGGATTTGGAGACATGTCAACCACTGGTCAGCAGAGCATGAGTTTCAGGAACGCCACCGCTGACGGCTATTCCGGTGCTGGATTTGACTTTAACACATTGCCACAGGGGACGGACCAAATACAAAACGTACCCTTCCAGGCAAACTACCAGGCTGCTGTCCAGGCCAAGATGAACAACTTCTCCGAGCCAACACCCAACTTCAACCCACCCAGCATGCCTTCCATGGAGACCTCCATCAGCGATGCCGGGTTCCCTCAGTCATCGCAAGACAGTGGCGCAAACATTACGCCTCAGCGACCTGATGACACTCGTGCGAATACGGGAACCTATACTTGCACCTACCATGGCTGCACGCAACGCTTCGGAAGCCACAACGACCTGCAAAGGCACAAGCGCGACTACCATCGCACACAGCAGCCGGTCAGAGACGGTGCGTCAACATCAGGCACGGCGTCCACGTCACCTCGCTCGACCGAGTCACCGGAACGAACTGGAGGTATGACCTCCGCCGCTATCCTGGCGCGGAACTCTCAGGCCGGGCCTCACAAGTGCACGCGCATCAACCCATCGACGAATAAGCCGTGCAACACCATCTTCTCGCGCCCTTACGATCTGACGAGACACGAGGACACCATCCACAACAACCGCAAGCAAAAAGTGCGATGTCCCATGTGTCGCGAGGAGAAGACGTTCTCACGTAACGATGCGCTTACGAGGCATATGCGCGTGGTGCATCCTGAAGTCGAAACTTTTGGCAAACGCGGAAGGCGAAGCGACTAAGCCGATCTACTCATCACGGACCATGACTACACTCGACGGATCTCGTAAGATGTTGCGCCAGACAGTCGGCTGCCTTGTAGGGTATGGCTGGCTGGCGTGAGGCGTCGAAATACAGTCACGAGGCCTTCATAAGCCGGATCTGACCTCACATTTGTGCGGCTCAGCCAGGCTTGGCAGGATGCGACCTTCCAATCCGACCTTTACGACCCGTTCTCTTCCACGGATACCTTTGGAAACTGTCATGACACCGACACGCAGTATTTTCGGCCGCGAAGAGTACATGTTGCGTGGGTGGCGTTGACGGAGTCCAGAGGATCGGCGCTCGCCGAGCGAACCCTACGGTGTTGGGCCGCCGCGCCGCGGATCCGGGCGAGTGGACCCCGAACGACATCATTCTTCTGTCTTTTTACGGTTATGGTTGCACTTGGCATGGAGCGATTGGGCATGCATCATTTACGACGGTGGCGGCAGTATGTCACGGCGACGACAGCAAAAGGGTGTACGATGATGAATGAGAGAACGTGTGTCCGGCACCTCCGGACGGCAAATGCATGCAAGGGCGTTTCTGTTGAATGGGTGTCATCCTCATTGCTGTACAAAAAAATGGTTTTCTGTCAGGGTTTCACGGCTTCTTCTCGTCATTACAGCAGCAGCAGCATTGCATGGCGAGGAGCGAACGAAAGCGAAGCATGGATGAGAGCGTTATTACTTTGTAACAATTAGCTACGACGGAACTGTGAGAGGAATGATTGATTGACTGGGAGCGACTGGCTCGTCTCCTTTGCTACATGCAATGCGTAATAATGGAAACTATACATGTACTACTACTACTACTACTACTACCACTACCACTACCACACCTTGATTCAGAATCGTTCGATCAGCGCAACACTTCATGCAAGTCATTCGCAGCAGAGCCTCAACCACGTTCCAAAGCTCAACGCTCATCCGCAGAATGTCACTCCCCGAATCTGATTGGTCGACACAATTTTTCTCTTCCTGCATGCACAAGTGCAAGCTTCTTCCGTCTTGCATCTGAGACATTCATTGTGGCGAAGTCACCACCACGCATCACCACCACGCATCACCACCACCAATTATGCATCGCTCGACTGTGGCGTCGAGATCCAATTGGAACTGTGATTTCTCGTTCGAGGAATAGCACGCACGTACATATGGCAAGTATACCTGGCTATACAGGACTCAGAAAGAGCTGTGGCGAACCACTCTCCTCTACACAACTGCGAGTTCTACTTCTGTCTTGACCTGTCACGAGATACCTGCAGACCTCGCCGCGCTGAACTCCATACGTAAGTAAAAATATACGTCCTCCGCAGACATTGGCCGAGCGTGCCAAGCAGGACGTGTGACTGCCGTTTTCGACTGCCGTGCCGTGGAACGTGGAACGTGAACGTGGTCGTGATGATGGTGGCGAACCAATGCTATTGCCAAGATGTATCGCTTCTTCTTCTTTCGTGTACCAAGGAAGTTTGGGAATATGTTTACACTGGCATGTTGTCTTTGGTGGCGATCGAGTCAGTGATGGCTCTGGTGGGGTTGGGCACGTTTTTCTGTGGTTGGGGTTCCCTTTCTCGGAGGTGACGATTGTGGAACGATGGAGATGGAGGGGAGAGGTTTGACGGGTTGGTGGTGAAATCTCAGTGGCGATGTCGTCGTTGCTATACTCAGTCGATTTTATGGCACTGTGATTGGTTCAGAGGACTTCTTGTGTGCCCTCCGCTTTGGGAAGGAGTGGTGGCGAATAAGGTAACTTTCACAGGCCTGAATATCACATGTTCCTGGGCATGTGTAGTATCTATCGCTCACGCCTACCAGTAGATGGCTCACCGTGGTCAAACGAACCTCCTTAGAGTACCTTCCTCCCCTTCGACCATTAGCAGAGCCAACCATTCACACCCTCTGACCCCCCTGAATGACTTCCGGCGGCGCATGCTCCTCATGAAACGCCTTATCCACATCCTTTACCTCGCCCTCCACCTGCTGAATTTCATTGGCAATAACCTGATCCGAAACCTGAGCATGTAGAGCATCCTCGAGTGCTCGTGAAGGCATAGTATGCCCTGTAGCCTTCTTGCGCTGATTCGCTTCCATGGCGAGCCAGAAAGGTAGGGATGCGTAGCCCACGATGGCGACTGACAGGACGACACAAGAGGTCGTGAAGCCTGTGAAGTACCAGGGTTTTTGGGATGCGGAGTGGATCTGGGTCATGTCAGTGGTAAGACCTTACGCTCGTTGGGAAGTGGTTGTTACCTGTGGACCGATAATGCTCGCGATCGATATCCCTGCAAGGGTGATAGCACCCCCGATGGCCTGCTCAGATGCACCGTATAGCGTGGCACTCCTATAGCTGAGCATTGGCGGGTTCCACAAATTCAGATTGTGCCCAATGAACGCCATTCCATAGAGTGAAAGCGGACTGATGCTGCCGTAGGACTTGTTCGAAGCGACGTATGTCCACACGGCGAAACACGGCAGTGATGCCACAAGCGGAATGATGATGTGCCAGACTCTCTCTCGTGTGTAGTCCGAGTGCCATGCCCATAGCCAGTAGCATGGGATGATGACGAAGTAGACGATCGACGTGTAGGCAGTTGCTTTGTGCGGTGGGAAGTCGGCGAACTATGTAGCAAAGGTCAGTGTCCAGTCTCGTTGCCTCTCCTTTCAAGGGCCGGTAGCTTACCGTGTTCAGAATGATGGGGAGGAAGGTACTGAAAGAGGACGCCACAATCTGCACGCAAAGATATGAGACGAAGAAGATGTAAGTGCTCGGCCGAGTCATGATCTATTTGAAGGAGGATGTGTCCCAGGTTGCGTCTGTGGATCGAGGAGTACCGCGCCCGAATCGATTGATTGCGATGTGGCGTTCGCGTTCTGTGAGAGCTTTCGATGTCTCTGGATAAGTGAGCAGTAGCCATGCAATCGGGAACGCAATACCAATGGCTATGAGGCCTTCCTGTTCGACAATGTCAGTAGTCGATCGAATCGTCATTTGCTTCACGAGCACTAACGATGAGGAACAGCCATCTAATACAACGTTAGCAATTCTGATAGAAAGGCGTAGATGCATTTCATTCTCACCTCCACGAATCCATGCCACCCTTTCCGTTCAGACTATCCACGCCGATAGAGATGAAGCCACCGACTGCCGTTGCAAGTGCATTCGATGCTTCGAAGATACCGACACGGAGAGCCCTCTCAGATGGCTTGTACCAGAATGCAAAGTACATGATACCTTCGATTGATCAGCTCGGGCTCTCATGGAAGGAGGGGAGAGAGCCAGCACTTACACGCTGACGGAATTGCAGCTTCTGGGACACCAAGGAAGAAGCGTGCTGCCAGAATACCACCATAACTTTTGACCGCTGACATCGATGCCACAATTACTCCCAGAAGGAGTATGGCGACGGGAAAGAAGTACTTTCCCGACACTCGTTTCATCAACAAGTTTGAGGGCACGAGAAGCACCGTCACAGCGAAAAACGTGATTGATACGGCCCAGCTGAAATCGCTGCCATGGAGGTCCAGGGCTGACGAGAGACTGTACTTCGTTTCTGCTCGAAGGGTGTTGGCATAGCCCATATCTGCAACGGAAAAAAGGTCAGCAAGTGTGAGAAGACCTGAAACGCATGCCACTCACTTGATCGATCCAGGTAAGCGATGAAGTACAGCAAGCAACAAGGAAGGAGGATACGAAAGTCCAGTTTCCAGATCAACTTTCGTTCTTCCTCTTTAGTCCAGTCCTCGATCACGTTGACATGTTCGGAGTCGGGGTGTAACGTCCCTACAAGACACGGAGGTCAGCCAAACTTCAGCGGTCGATTCAATGTGTCGACAGACTCAACTAACCTTGACGTTTCGCTGGCCAGAATGCCTCCTTCAATGACCAACCGCCTATTAGGACTCCCTCTGATTCAGCGGTAGCTCGCACTTCTTTGGACGAAAACATGACTTGGCTGTCGATCAGGCGTGCAAGACAAGCCTTTGGAACCAAGAAGACCAAGAAGTACAAGCACGTGGATCGAAGAGAACGTCGAGGCAAGGCGTATTAGATATCTGGGGTAGTGACCATATAGACTTCGAAGTGGGCCATTCCTTCGCTGGGGATACCAACTCTGGCATGGCGGCCTGAGTCCGAAGGATGCGGACTGGCTCCGTTTAGATAGGTTTATGGCTTCCCAATCAGCCCCATTCAGTACTCAGCTCTTTGACGCACAGGATCCGCCTTCTGTGCAAAACGCCCACGGACTTTGGAATCTTCCCCACGGGGCCCCGGTTATATCGACTGCCGATTCTTTGAGTATGGCCGATTCTACAGCTCTAGTACCAACAAATGCGTGGGAAACGCACATCCACGTTTTCGAGCCAGAGAAGTTCCCATTTTCGCCTACTCGAGCCTACACCCCGGCGACTGCCACTCTCAAGCAATACTCAGCATCAGCGACTGGATGCACCAACATTGTCATTGTTCACGCCACCGTTCAGGGCCTCGATCCGGCACCAGTTCTTGATGTACTGGCTGCGAAGTCCGTGCAAGGAGAGCCACAAGGCTTGCGAAGAGGACTTGTGGTGCTTGATCTGAAGAAGCATACGGACGAAGACCTAGACAAGCTCCACGCAGCGGGAGTTCGCGGCATCCGCATGCATATGGTGTCCTGGGGTTTCGGCGCTCAGCCGACGGACTCTGAAGTGGCTGAAAGGCTCCGATATGCCGCTGGACGTCTCAACCGTTTGAACTGGGTCGTCGACGTATACGTTCACCCCAAGACATGGCTCGCTCTGGCGCCTACCATTGAAGACCTGCCGCCTTCCACTAGAATCGTCGCAGACCATTGGGCTTGTCTTCGACCTGGCGATGAAGAGTCGGCGGAATGCCAGGCGATTCTTCATCTACTGCGCAGCAAACGCATCTTCGTAAAGTTGTCCTCGACAGAGCGACAAAGTTCGAAACCAGAAAGCATAGAATCTACGAGGCACCTGACCAAGCTTCTCGCCGAAGCTGGGCCCGACAGGCTCCTCTATGGCTCTGACTGGCCGCATACAGCGTTGCCGGGACCACGCCTAAGCAAGACTCACGAACAGCGGCTGACAGATGTGGAGGAGTTCCGCAAGGTGGATCTCGCCTCTCATATCCGTCATCTTCGAGAATGGATCCAGGATGAGCAGGTGTGGCAGGATCTATGGGTTAACACTCCACGTAGACTGTTTGAATGATAGTATTGTTCTTTCTTTCATGGAGTACTTCAGCAGCTCTCAGGGCCGAACATTCGTGCTTCTAGCAACAGCGTCTTCGCAGCCTGAGAGACCCGGTGTGTTGCAAGCCGAATTAATACCGCTACCGGACATGCAGCGTCAACTGAAGTTGCTGAGCGGACATAGACCGAAGAGCGCCGGATGGCTTCCGTCACGCCTGTGACAACCACATGGCAACCCGAAACCCCGACTCCATGTAAGCATCCTTCTGCATCTGGTGTTGGCACCCTGTAGTCCGGAATGGTCATCCGAAAGTTCTTGGAAAAGCAGGCCGGAGAATGCGTTCGTGGAGGAAGTACTCTAGACTCTTCAGCATCTTTGCCAGACTCTGTCGAGCGTCTTGGAAGGGCTTCAAGCCGTTGGTAGGGTCGTACGACATCGGTCGTTCCAGATGGACCGTACAATGTTGTCAGGGTAAGGCTCTCGAATGACCAAAGCCCAGAGTCTTCATTGCGGCTGGAGCAATGCCGTGCTGGGCACCGTGCCTTCCACAGATTTGCATGTCATCTGCATGGCCATCTGTGCTGAAGCTCCCAGACTGTCAAGTGAAGATGAAGAACTTGTTGTGAAAGAGAGGAAAGGTTTGTACGACGCGTTGTACAAAAGGCAGGAGCGTTAACGTTGTCAAAAGTCCTGTCACACTGCCAGAAGTCTTGATTCTGAAAATGCCCCAATCAAATGCTTTGAACCGTGACCTGATCCTGAGACTGATCGATCCGTAGGGCTGAAGGGGCTGTATTCAGCAGCATTTTGTACAAGTATAAAGCGAGGACGTGATGTCAATGGTCTTTACATTTGACTGATATAAAGTTTCGCCTCCAAGGAAACATTTGTTGAAGAATCCCTGGAGCTGGGTGCCGTCTTGAAGAAGCCATTGAAGCTGAACATACCGAGCAAGAAGTCTTCGAGATCATGAGCATCCCAATCGTCGTGCTCGGCATGACCGGTTCCATAGGAGCCAGAGTCACAGCACGCCTCAAGCCAGAATATGACAGTAAGTCCATACCCACCAGTAATAAGGCTTCAGATGAATTGACCTTCCACCAGCCATCCAATTCATCACCTCCATCGCCCGCGCCAAATCCGAAATCTCCACTCTCCAAGCAGGCAAATCACCACCGTCGGACACGGACAACGTCGGGTCGCACAATTTCTCTCAACGGCCTCAGGCTGTGATTTTCGGGCGGGCGTATTCTGACGAGGCTGTGGAAGAACTCAGACAGCACTGTGGTGGGAGTGAGTCTGGGTTGGCGTGGGTGCTGTCGACGAAGGAGTCGAGGAATCGTGCGGCGAAGGCGTTTCCTTATGGTGGTGATCAGGATGCTTTTAATCGGTATGCGGATAAGACGACGGCGGTTACGAAGAGTTTGCTGGATCAGTTGAAGAGGGAAGGGAAGTTGGGGAAGGATGGGGTTTATCATTATGGAGAGTAGGAGCGATATGTGTAGGAGACGTTAATGCAAGAGATATTGCTTTGTTTCTTCTCGACAGCCTGACAGTCGAGACTAGATCTCCGTCAGCACCAGAAGGAATGAAATGACTTACCATTAACGTTCTGCTTGAGCGTTGCAACGACCCTAACAGAGACAATATCAATACCACAGCATCCGTCTTACACTTACTGATCATGGCAAAAGTCATGACTGTCAGCAATAATGCTGCTCATACTCGATGTCCTACCTGACATTCACTACTCCTGGACGATGACTCGGCATAACCCGAGGAGTCTCGCGGCCCGTCAACGCATACTTCATGCTGTCGCGAGCTCGCATTCCTGAAGAGTCTGACTACATGACAAGGCGCTCCTTGCTTTTGCTCTCGGTGATCATCGTGATCCGATGAAGCTTTCCGTCGAGAGCAGCGCCGTTCTAGTCGCGTGAGAAGTTGCCTCTGCCGAGCAGTGACATCGATTGCATTCCAGTATGACCCCAGCAGCATGGTGGCCGGACTCCGACCTTGCCGGCTTCGAGAGCTTGTACGTAGGCGATATTGTCCAATGGCGAGCATGGCACAGCGTAAGTGCATTGGAATTGTTGCGTACGTTGGCGGTGCGACCTGCAGGCGGCGTGCTCAAACACTGAAAACAAGGCCGCTGTCAAGCGATGCTGTACACCAACATGTCGGTTCTGGCAGCTAGACCAACCGAGCAAAGCAGATCTTAGATGGTGACTAGTTGGAGCAGGCCACCCTAGAGCACAGCAGCTGCAACCCATTGTGGGGTGCATGTCAAGGATTCTGGACCTTGGCCGTTGGGTGAGAGTCGATGAATTTCGGTGCAGTGCGGTCGCGCAAGCATTCTCGAAGCCCGGTCGAGCCTCAGGCCTAGGCTCATCGCTTGTCAGGCTTCGAAAATCTGGAAGAAGAGCGAAGCATTTCGATGTACATTCCAGAGCATGGCCAGACGGTTGATGGGTGGGTGTGACGATGTGTGATGATGGGCGTCGAGGTATTTTCGTACCCGATCAGAGCCCCTCATCAAAAGTGAGTAGTGAGCGTCGCAGAAGCAAGCTACGGCTAGGTTCTCCTCTCCCACTTTGGGTCTGCGGCCCATTGGAAATGCAGCCGGAGGAAGGTCTCGTGCCACGCATGCTACACGTTCCATGGTTTGCTGCGTGCCTTGGTCTTGGAATAGTGGGGTGTTTCTCCGCACAGAAGACTCCTTCGGATGTGCGGTGCGTAAGAGGTTGTTGGGAGCGGTCTGAACAGCGAGAAGCGCCACTGGATTGGGGTTGCTGGAGGGTCTGCATGCATACGAGCATGATGAAAATGGAGATGAGGCTCGCCGTGCCGTTTGGCGAAATTGCGTCTTGGACCAGCGCTATCGATACGCCAGGTCGTGCGAACACCTACCCCAGAGGAGGGATGGGCGAGGGTGTGATTGGTGCGCAGGAGAATTTCTGGGTGCTTGAGTGTGCGCTGTTGCCCGCTCTCGTGACAGGCGCCGACCAAAGGGTACTGTCAGTGGCCACTTGTTGCATGCAGAGCAGGCCCTGGAGGTCTTTCTCCGCAGTATGTACCTCAGCCCCTGGATCCTAGGTCGACGGCCGGCTGGCTGCTGCTACTGCTCCTGCTTATTAGCTGCATGTTAAGACCCCGTCGCCGCCGTCCGTCATCATCAATATACTCTTCTTGAAAGTGCACACGCACCAGCAGGAACAATACCTCATCACGGCGCACAGCCAGGCGCCATATCTCGCCACACCTCAGCAGCAGTGCCCACAGGCAGCGGCAACAGGTCAGCAGCACGGCCAGCGATCTGCGAAGGAGCACGGTGAACTGGTGACACGCGATCCACACAGTGGGACGTGAGCCAGCCAAACCTTGCCAATCATCGATTGCTCGGCCTGCAACCTTACCCTCCGCTGGCGCTTCCCCACAAGAGCCAGCCGTTTCAGAGACTTGGGTTTTCGTCCCTCGAGTCCTCCACAGCGCATTTCGCTTTCCCGCTACCCCAACCTCACCTCGTCCGCCGGAAGCGCTTTGCGGACAGCAGAGCCAAGGGCAATCGACCGGCAACACCCTCTGCGAACCGCCCGATATACACACGCCTGAGGCCGTGAGCCGCGCAGGCGCATCCGATCATACAGGGCAGCGACGAGAGGGCTGGGAGAGCAGCGTGTCTGCCACGCTCCACGCTTCTCGCCTTCCCCACACGAAACGAATCCAACGACCCATCGCTTCTCCGACTGAGCTCGCTTCTGGACATTACTCCGGGAGAAAAGGCCCAACAAGAGAAGTCCAGGCTCTTCGCATTTCTCTCTTCTTCACCCCCAGGCGCCGTCTGTTGCGCCTTCCGAGACAACAAGTCTCTTGGTCCAATGTGAGGCTCAAAACGTCCAGCAAAAGACCCTCTGTTGTTCTTGGTGATAGACTGGCGGAACCGCGGGCGTTGGGAATGATCATAGGTTTGTGTGTGTTTGTCGTATCTTCAGAGTCATCGCTAACGCTTGCTGCAGACTCATATACGGCTTAAAAGTATTGTGATTGCTTGCTTTCGAACATGTAATAGTAGCTGACGACATATAACACCGGTGAGTGTCTGGTCGTGTTGTACTTTTGAATCGCATTGCGCTGACATACCTATCGTATAGCACCGAACCTGTAGACATAGACTAGAGGCTGGACGACTGCTTACGACCCCAAAAAGACTTTGTTTCAGGTGTGTAATCGATTTCCTTCTCTTTTGGCGGTCGAGCGGGGAATGTGGGCGTGGTATACTTTGGTCTATTCTGGAGTCCTGCGATCAGGATATGCAGCCACACGAGAGGGCCTTGTGGACTTTGGCCAGCCTAGTGTTTATCCAGGCCATATATCTCTTTCTCCGTGGCTGGCTGTCCGTCCCTGGCACCTCGAAGACCTCCAGCTGCCCCAATGTATGCGTATGTGGCGGCGATGGCGGCGAAGAGTGAGGTTGCTCTTCTCTCATCTGGATTGGCGGACCCAAGGCTATCGGTTGCTCGGCCAGGGGCTCATCCTCTATCACCCCAAGGGCATCTTGCAGTCTCCAGGAGGCCTCGCGCGCTTGAGGTATGTGACCTCTTATATGTTGCCGCAGTCGTTCTGGCCTTCGAATTGGAGACTCCTCTACCCTCCGAGGTCGCCCTCGCTGCTGCTCTTGTGGAGTTTCCATGCCCTCGATACCGCCGTCCTTCTCTTCTTGTTGTGATGCTCTCCTGCGCTCTTCCCAGCTCTTTCTCCGCCACTCTAGATAGTTCTTGTTGTGCCAATATGCTGATCAGTCGCACAGATAATCTTGCCCTGATTGTATTCCTTCTCACTCTTGTGAGGCTCTTGTTTCCACCATGAATGTATGATTACCGCGGTCTGTAAGGCTGTTTTGTATGTTGCTAATGTTGTATAGCCTGCGCGCAGAGCTACGCCGGACTCAGAGGCGGTTGCTTCGTCGGAGGATGAAAGACCGTGGCCTTCGTCAACGACGTTCGGGCAGTTCACGATGAAGGAGAATAGTGTGCCTGGCCTTCCTGGTGGTATCTGGTCGACTGGCAAGCGAGGTAGCTTCAAGTTGGATGGGGCGCCACGGAGTGCTGGTCGAGATGCTGCTCGTCTGGGTGCTGCGGTAAATCCAGCGCATGCGGCATTGAGAGCCACTCCCTCTCCATCCACCAGCGAAGGAGCTTCCCTACCGTTTGCTATTCCTCTGCAACCGACTCCCAAGACTGGTCGTTCATTGTCTCATTCGCATGGACAGCGTGAGGCACCGCAAACAACTGGAGCTCCGCACTCTGGCGTCGGTGGAGGACCAGCTTTGCCACTGGGACTACTTGCGGAGGAGGTTGACACAGAGTCCGAGCCCGACGAGGGCGGCAAGCTCACGCATACGACTTCACACCCACCGATAGGATCGTTGATGCGAACGGCTACCTTGCCAGCTAACTATGATCATTCAGGGGCTAGCAATGGGAGAGATCATTTGGGTGACCACTCTCCTCCACCACAGCCAGGCCTTATGCGCGGAAGAACGTTTGAATCGGCCTTCCAGAACTTGTCTCTCGGTGAGTCTACCTGGTGGATGAATTTCTGGCCGCTACCGAACACTATCTCACTGAAATCGATCTACAGAACAGTCGCATCGTCGTGCTCAATGGCAGAGTCACCTTGGCTGGGACGATGTGCCCAAAGTTAATGAGTCAAGGAGGCACTCTCTCGCTGATATTCCGACGCGCAGAGGGTCTCTCGCCGCCGGAGAGCCTAGCCATCTCAGCAGGGCCTTTACGCATGATGATATCGAAGAAGAGCAAACTCGTAAGTCTTCGCTGTCTCCCTTCACTGCCTCCAACGCGTGCCATTGATCCCGTGACTGTCTCTTGATTGCCGTCACTTCAACATTCACTGTCGTTGAGGCAGCAGTCCACGTGCTGCTTTCACAGAGATTATAATCACGTCACTCCACTTCCTCCAACTCATTCCACCACCACGCACACCGCCGAACACCTTCTGCAACCAACACGACGCGTCCGCACAAAGCAATACAGCATGCACTAAGCGTTTATCCGCATCGTCGACATCGACATCATCAATTTCTGACCGTTCTAATCCCAACAGACTATCACCCCAACTTCGCACTCGACAGAACACGCGATACAGCCAACGACACCATGCGCGCTCAAGAGTCCGGCGCCGCGAACATCATTCCTTTGATGTACCGCGTGCCACACGTCCAGCTCACCGACAATGAACAGAGCGAGATTGACGCTCGTCGGGGTGGCGCTCAGGCTGCGGTCGCGAACGTCCAGTGGGGACCTGGTGGCACCGGCCGCCCTCGCAAGCAGCTCTACGTTGTGAGCTTCAAGTGCTCTCGCGTCGACGTTTTCTACCTCCTGGACAACACTGGCCTGCACATTCGCGAGGGCGACATGGTCATTGTCGAAGCCGACCGCGGCCAGGATCTCGGCACCGTCCAGCACGCCAAGGTGACGCCTGACGCCGCGCGTCTCCTCAAGAAGAAGTACTCTGAGGAGCAATACAAGTGGTTGATGATGTACTCTCGTAATAAGGATGGCGGATTCAACCCAAACGCGCAGTTCCATGGCGAGAGCGGCGGCACGTCCAACAACCTCTTCCCTGACGCGCCACCAACCATGCAGGGCAGCATTCCACGCGACAACTATAACAATCTGAAGCCAAAGGCGATCAAGCGTCTTGCCAACGACCACGAGATTAAGATGCTCGCAGAGAAGGAGGGCAACGAGGCCAAGGCGAAGCGCACTTGCCAGCAGAAGGTGGCTCATCTCCGTCTTCAGATGGAGATTCTCGACGCCGAGTGGCAGTGGTAAGTTGATGTAGTCGTTATCGATGGCACAGCACTAACAAACGTTCCAGGGATTTCCAGAAGCTCATCTTCTACTACTACGCGGATCACTACATCAACTTCAAGGATCTCATTACGGAGCTCTACCGCATCTACAAGACGCGCATTTGGCTCTCCGCCATCAATCCAGCCTCCTTCTCGCAACACGCCATGGGACAGCCACCAACTGGCATCGGTCCAGGTGCTGTCGGTCCCTATAACCCATACGCCGTCAACAACAACTACACGATGGCCTACGGTGAGGATCGTGACCCATACGGCGCTCAAATGCCATACCGCATTCCATACGACACGTACAACCCGAACTACCCAGCCATTCCAGGCGTGGCCAACAGCTTCGCGCCGTCATTTGGTGGTCAGAACTTCATGTTCTACGGTCAGGGTGGACCACAAGCTCAGGAGGTCGCTGAGGCTCCAACTCCAACGACTGAGCCAAACCCACCAACTCCGCTCACCGGCGCGATGACCGACTACAACTTCTTCTACGATCGCACCGGCAACAACGAGCACCATGCTCTTGACCGCATGCATCCAGAGCTGGCGCTGAGGCAGTCTTTGGCGAACAATGGACAAGCGGTCGATCGCATGAACTCGACGTTCGGCCTCCTCTCCATGGGCGACAACAGCTGGAACACGCGTTATGGCGCTGCGAACAATGGGAACATGGGCCAGCAGGCTCCCATCGGCACTGCTCGTCCAACTTCTCAAGGCAACAACGACTATGGCGTTCCAACCGACGAGCAGCGCCAGCACGCCAACCTCGACTTCCGCACCACCCAGTTCCGCAATCTCGACCCCGAGCAGCGCGTCTACACCCGCCAGAGCGTCCTCAACGACTCTGCCAACCCTAACAGCGAAGGCAGCCGTTCCGCGGACCTCATGCTCGACCGTCTCCGCCGCATGGATGGCGGCAAGGCTGAGCAAGTCGCCTCGCGCGTGCAGAACGTTGACCGTTACCTCGCCACTCTGCCCACCCCAGCCGAGATGCGTGCAGATGAGATGTCTCGCGAGCGTTAGGACCTTCGCGAGTACCTTTTCAATATGACTGCTTTCATGGGTGTCGAGCCAGCGATGGTCCCATCCGTGATGCAGGCTTGGGAGGAGAGCCTGTTGGAGGAGCAGTGAAGCGGTACCACGAAAAATTATACAAGATTGCGACTCACTCACACCACGACCACTACTACGATTCTACAACACCCTCCAAGACTTGAAGCCACAGATTTCGACTTCAAGATGGGACACATGGCGTTTACATCCAACATTCACAAACTCAAACATCACGGAAAATGGGACAAGACAAGACAGACGGATCAGGCGTCGTTTACTACTTGCTACTTTTTGCTTGCAGCAGCTGGGTCATGATTCTCCAGCTTTCCTTTTTCTCTTTGTGGGGACATGGGCATCATCACGACACCAAACTCGGAAACGATCGATTGCATGCAGCGGGAAGTGAAGCAGCCCTAGTGGTTCTGCCTGGTACTCTTCGGCTCTGCAATCGTCAACTTCTTACTTTTTTCTTCTTCTTTGGAACGATGCGATGGAATGGAACGGAACGGATGAGATTGGGGTTTTGCTTTTGAGGTAGTCTAGTTTAACTATGACGATGAATGATATGGATGTCTTGAGTGAAGAGCCACTTTTTCTTGTCGTTATCTCTCGTGATGTGTTGGACTGGTTTCGTGCTGAGGTGGCTTTGCTGTCGATGTCAAATCGCGAAAGAGTACATGGTCAATCTCTCATCGAGAAGCAGATCTCATGAGGGGAATCGTTGTTGCTACTGAGGCGTCGTATCTGCTGAAACTGCCGCCTCTTTCTGTCACATGTCAGCGGCCAGTACCGTGCCCAAGACGAATGCGGAAAGAACGACTACGAATCACAGCCATCGGGATAAGTGAATGAACCAACGAAAGGGCTGCTCTAGCATGCGACATTCAAGAACTCTAGCTCAACTCAGTGCTACTGGACTCTCACATCATCAAAAAGCGTGAACTCGTAACCTCATCACAAAAACCCATTGCCTCTAATAAACACTCCCCCTCAAACTCCGATCCTCCCTCTCCGCCTTCTCGATATCCTCAATCCCCACCGCGGAATCCTTCACCATCTTCTCAGCATCACGTCCATCATCCGACGAATCATTCGGCTCATCACCCAGAGCATCCGCTTTCCTTCCATTTCCCATTCCACTTTCCCTCGCCCACCGCTCGATATCTTCCGGCGTGGCTTTTCGTTGAGGGGCTTTTCGGATTGCTTCTGCCATTGCGCGGCCGCGTTGGGCTTCAGGGGGGAAGTACTCGGATGTGTCTTCTTCGTCGCTCATTTCGTGGGGTGTCGCGGCTCCTGAGGCTGTGCCGCCTCCGTCGCGGCCGGGGTGGAGGTAGGAGGGGACACTGGGGCGGAAGGGGAGTTTGAATTGGATGGGTGGTGAGTCGGCGGAGACGTCATTTTGAGTCTGTGGTTCGTTCTTGGATGAGGGCTCAGCCGGAGTCACAGCCTGATCTGGAACATCGTTCTTGGACGTTTTTGATGCTTCTGCCGCTGGTGGTAGTTGAAGTTCTTGCTGTACTTGTTCCTTCCGTTGTGCTACTCGTCTGGGATATTGATCGTGGTCGTGGTTGCAGCCGTCTTCACATCCGCCCCATTTCCGGGGTGGAATATTCGGACTCTCTTGCGCTTTCGCTGAGAGGAAGGCAGAGAGCGTATTCCGCCTTTGAGGATCTTGCCTGGCTGCTTGCTCTCTTCGTTGACGTTTTAACTCTGACCACGTCCGTAGATTATTCTCCAGGATGTACTTCCCGTTCTCTGGGTTCTTGTTCATCAGAACGAACTCGCAGTGGTCCACGTTCCTGAGGTCCTCAAAGTACTCCACAGACCAGTGATACCACTTCATCAGAAACACTCTTGTCATCAGACCGTGTGTGACCAAAACACAAACGCTCGGGAAGTCTGCGTCCCCAAACTGCCGCCACAGGCTCTCGTTGAAGCCCGATATACGATCGTACGCATCAGCAGCACTCTCGCCGTCCGGTATCCGGTAGAAGAAGTGCCCATAGTCTGCTCTCTCTGCCCACATGCGGGTCATAGCTTCAGAGCACGGCTGGAAGTTCCCAAAGTCCTGCTCCCTTATGCGAGGCTCTTCATATACCTTGATCTTCGATCGACTGAATGGACTAGGGGCCGCAGAGGGATCGTCCGGGTCATCGCGGGCAGTGAGCGTCTTGAGAATGCCTTCGGTGGTTTCTCTCGTTCGTCGATATGGTGAGGTGAAGATCTGAAGCGTGTCGTCTGGTTTCAGCAAGGATCGTAGTCGTCGTCCGGCTTCTTCTGCCTGTGTCGTTAGTCAGGTATGCTCTTAAGCTGGGGGAGGCTGGCAGGCGCACTTGCTTGTGCCCGTCTTCTGTGAGCTTCACTCTATGATCTGGGATCATCTGGTGGACCTCGCGGTTCTTGTTGCCCTCTGACTGAGCATGGCGGATGAGGATGATCAACTACAGAACGTTAGGGATGTGTACAGAGAGAGTTGAACGTTTTGGTGAGACCGACTCTTGGTTTGACCATCTTGTACAGTTCCACAAGTTTGAAGAACAGGTTTGAAACAGTTGGGAGAGGGAAAGGAAGAGAGGAGACTTGGAGAGTGTTTGTCTACGGACGGACTGCTCGGCGCGTACGTGTGGCGTAAATGCTAATCTAATCAAAACCCCCATCAATATTTGAACGGCTTACCTACACCTGCCCCGCCACGGGCGATCTCCATGTGATCCAATTCCAACTTTTTGCAACACACCTCCATAGGATTTCGCCGTCCAGGGCACAACGACATCGCGATCATGTCGGAGAACATCCCAGAGTCAATACCAACCTCGGTCTCAAACAAGTCGAATCGTCCGACCAAGAAGCGCGCTCTCACTCCATCCACGCAACAGTCTGCAAATGTTGAGGCGCTCTTCGCAAACCCAGACAAGGCAGATGCCAGCCTCGCGATAGGACCAAAGCCAAGGCTAGCCAATGCGCCGCCGGAAATTGTTGCCAACGTTCAAGGTTCTTCGGCGGGCGCAGGCAGTGGAGAGTTCCACGTCTACAAGGCCAGCAGACGGCGAGAGTATGAGCGATTACGTGCCATGGACGAAGAGGTGAAGGCAGAGGAGGCCGAGAAAGAGTACCAGGCGAAGAAGGAGGAGTTGGAGAGGAAGGATGAGGAGAAGCTGAGCAAGAATCGGGCGAAGCGAGAGAAGGCTAAGAAGAGGCAGGAGAAGAAGAAAGCGAGCGAGAAGGGTGCCATGGAGGTGGATGGTGATCAGACGAAGCAGAATGGAGGTATTACGAAGAAGAAGTTGGGGCCGGCGAAGGTAGCACTGCCTACCAATGGTGATGTTGGAGACGGACAGGAAGAAGGCGAGGCGCCACAGGAAGAAGCGGGCATCACCATCCACGACGATGATTGAGCTTAATCACTCCTTGGACAAAGTCTTGAAGAAGTCTGGAACCAGGCTGTGATTGCAGGATGAACTGGCATACCAATCAAGCCCAGATGAAGGTATCAACACAGTCCTACCCTACCATCGAAGCGGAGCCTTCACCGCACACCGCCCATTGCCCACCGAAGGAAAGGTCCAAACCGCTCCTGTGTGGCTTGCCGTCTCCCCAAATAGCCATATCGTGGTTAATGAGGTCCACTGAGACGTATTGTATGTACGCAGCTCGGCGAAAGGATAGGGCTTCTTACTGACACATTCACCTCAAGCGAACATACCCTACCGCATTAGGCAGGTAACATACGGCAGAAACCCTACGAGAACAACTTCGTGAAGAGGTTTCTTCTCTGTCAACCAATGAAGCAGGTTATATTTCCACGACTGCTCACCCGCAGCGTAGCTGAAAAGCCAGACCGTGGCTGTCGCTACCAACGCCGCTATTATATGATCAACCTGCATGAAATCGCTTCAGATAAGCTTAAACCAGATCGCTCGAACCCTTACCCATTGGCTGGTCACGAAATCAAGAAGAGACGATTCGATTTCGAAACCCCTGTGTGGCGCCTGATCACAGCCCTGAAGTTGGCAATGTACTGAATTGGCTAGTATTGCCCGTAACGACTGTCTCGTGAACACCCACAAGACGGAAATTATGCTTCAAGACCTCATGGTGTCAAGCGACAACTACCAAGCTTCAGCTATATCGAGGGACGGGGTGGTCTTCGTGAAGTGTCGACCAGGCCAAAGATACAAAAGCAGACGACCAACAATCCTCAAAATGGACATACCAACTGTCGACGAGAAAGTTGACTCTCGCGCAAGCACAGAAGTCCTTGGCTCCTCTCACCGACTTCATCGCTACACTACCGCAAGGCAATGTCGCTGCCAATGTTCTTTTGACCTATCCAAGCTATTTGCCTGTCTGGAACGAAACAGCGACCATTGCCGACAATCTCCAAGGCGGCGGCGTCTCCCTCTCTTCGCGACTTGTCCCAGTCGACAACTTTCGTGGCGCGCAAAATCAGCAGAATCTATTCAACGCCATTGCACCCATCATGAATGCTTTCGGACCCCTCGCGAACAAGCCGTTGTTTATGTGCTTTACCGCACCTTATGGATACGATGCTGGAGACGATGCGAAGACTTCATCGGTCACCCCTGCTTGGCGCACTGCTCTCTGGCATGTCATTGCACTTGACGAGTGGGATCCAAATGAGGACCAAGCCACCATCGAAGCAGAGTTCAAGAAGACGCACGACATTATACAGCCCTTGATCAAGTTAACTCCAGGCAGTGGAGCATACCAGAACGAGGCGGATACGTTTGAGACTGATCCTATTGGGGCATACTGGGGACAAGACAACTACAACAAGCTGTTGTCAATCAAGCAAAAGTACGACCCATCGAACGTGTTGACTTGCTGGCACTGCGTGGGCTGGAACAGCGCAGACAGCAGATACAGCTGCTACCCTGATGCATAGTTGAACGATACATTGTCCAGATGATCAAATGAACGTCATTCTGCACAAGTCTCAAAGAAATGTAGAGCTCTCGACCGGACGGCGGGAACGACGACAAACTAGTTTGTCCAACAGCTCTTTTAAGCTTCCCATGCCCCCTCTTCCAGACGTGCCAGACAACGCCTCCCAAGAGAGGACCCCCTCTTCAATACAAGAGGATCTGTACCGAAGGTGTGCCTCGAGACGGTCGTGCGAACGCATTATAGAAGCTGGATAATACAAAGCTTCAGCGTGAAGCTGGACCTCACCTCGACGATACACAACCGACTGATTAACAGAAGATGGCATACGACCAAGCTCCTATTGAAGGCTCGCTGAAGTTGCAGCCCTTCAAAGCTCACGTCTCAGACGAAGACCTCAATGACTTCAAACAACTCGTGAAGCTCTCCAAGATCGGACCCAAAACTTACGAAAATCAAACAGCCAATGTAAACAACTGCTTGCTTCAACTTCAAACGTCAACGAGTCCAAGCTGATGCAAGGAGGCAGGTCAAAGATTACACCCATTTTGGAATCGACCGCCAATGGCTCAGCGACGCAAAGCAACACTGGGAGACGGCGTACGACTGGCGAAAGTGCGAAGACCGCATTAACAGTTTCCCCAACTTCACGGCTGAGATCGATGAAGAGGGATATAAATTTAATATCCACTTCATCGCTCTCTTCTCGCAAAAGGCTGGCGCTGTGCCGCTCTTGCTCCTCCATGGCTGGCCTGGTAGTGTTCTCGAGTTCCTAGACTCCCTCGATATCCTCAGGAAGAAGTACAAACCGGAAGAACTCCCTTTCCATGTTATTGTCCCTTCGCTTCCGGGATATGGCTACTCCTCTGGCCCACCCCTCGACAGGAATTTCAACACTGAAGGCATCGCCTCCGTCATGGACAAGCTCATGGTCGGCCTAGGTTTCGGCGACGGCTATATCCCCCAAGGAGGCGACGTCGGCAGCTTCGTGACCAGAGTCCTAGCTGTGACATCCCCCTCGGTCAAAGCCGCCCACATCCACCTGTGCATCGGCCAACAAGGCCTCCCCACCGAAGGCCTCACGGAAGCTGAGTTAAAAGGCCTCCAACGCGTCCAAGACTTCAGCACCGTCGGCAACGCCTACGCCCGACACCACGGCACGCGGCCCTCGACCATCGGCCTCGTCCTCTCCGCCAGCCCCGTCTCCCTCCTCGCGTGGATCGGCGAGAAATTCCTGCAATGGTCCGACAAGAACCCCTCCGTCGACGCCGTCCTCGACTCCGTCACGCTCTACTGGTTCACGCAGTCCTTCCCGCGGGCGATTTACGTCTACCGCCAGTTCTTTGGGGACAAGCCCCAGTTCTTTCATAATGATCCGGAGTTTTATATTAAGAAGCCCATGGGGTATTCGTGGCATCCGGAGGAGTTGGCGCCGGTGCCGAAGGCGTGGGTGAAGGAGACGGGGAATTTGGTTTGGTATCGCGGGCATGAGGAGGGAGGGCATTTTGCGGCGATGGAGAAGCCGGAACTTTTTGTGAAGGATATGGAGGACTTTGTGGGCGAGGTTTGGCCGACTGTCAAGTAGTGTGGATCGTTTTGTGTTGTCGATGATGTGTGTATTGACGGCCTCTGTGTGTATGTGTACGTCTTCAATCAATCCATCCACCCTTCCAAAATCTCCAGCACCTCATCCCTCCACCCCATCCTCTCCCCCTCCCTCTGCCCCCTCGGACTAACCTCCACAATCGCCCTCACCAAATCCACCACCTCCTGCATCTCCTCCTGATCCTCAGACACATACCCAAACCTCTCCACCACATCCCCTCCCCCCTCTTCCTGACTCCTCTCCCTCAAAACCTCCAACATCTTCCCCTTCCTCTCCCCCCACCCCCCATCATCCACAAGATCATGCATAAACGCCCTCGACAACTCCCCCTGCTGCACCGGCATCACTACACTAAACTCCCAATCCAAGATTCCCGTGACTGTATGTCCTTCGACATCGTACATGATATTCCCCATATGCAAATCCCGATGCGCCAGGCAGAGGTTCGTGCGGTTGAGTTTCTTGCTGTCTTCTCTCAACGCTTCGATGAAGTCCTCTAGGAGCGGGAGGTGTGGTCTCATAAACGCCAAAGATTCATGTTTGCGAATGGCGTGCATGGACTTCTCCAGTCTCGCGATAGAAAACTCCACGTACGAGGAATACGGGCCTAGGGGGTTGAGCGATTCGACGGTTTCGCCGGGTGGGAAGTACTTCTCGATATCCCGCGCTTCCCAGAAGCGTTCGTCGAGGACGGGACCTGGCACGATTTCACCCTCGGCAGTGAGTCGTAGACTCGCGATGTGCTTCCATTCGTGAGACGTGAGTTCTCGTAAAACTTCGACCATGAAATCGTAGATTTTCAATTTCTCATCTTCGGTCAGAGAGGGCCAGACGAGATCGAGACTTTGTCCCTTCAAACGCTTCTGAAGGACGTATTCACATCCCAACGGATTGTCGGTGCTAGAATCGTGATGAACGACGGCCGGGACGGGGATTTTGGTGTTTCGCTGTAGCCAGGTTATAACAGCGACTTCGTTCTCTGTTTTGGTTCTGGGGACGTGGGGGCCTGCGATTCGGAGGATGAGGTCTTCTTGGTCGTTCCATGTGAGGAGGGCGATGACGTGGTATTCGGCTTTTGTGTTTAGGATGGTGATGGTCTTTGCTGGGGGGAGGTTGATTGTCGGGAGGAGTTGTTCGATTGCGGGTACGGAGACGGTTGGTAGGGCTTCGAGTGGTGTGCCCATGGTTGATGTGAGGTGTTGTCGAATGTTGAAGTGATCTGTTATGATGTTCTGTAGGACTGATATAGTAGATGGAGTTTCCCTGCGTCACTTCAGCTGCTCAACTCTATGCCCCACACGGCGCAAGAGTTTACTGATTCTTCTTTGGATCACCGCAAGTAGAGCTGAACGAATGCCTTACTTTTCAGCATCGTTTCGATGACAAGAGAGTTAAGTGTTTCATGAACTTATCTGGTAATCAAGTACATACCACCACCATTACCTCCAACCCACTCATATCGACTCATCCCCCCAACATCTAAGAAGTAATGTTGTACTTCTTCTTGAACTCCCTGACCTGCTCCGACTTATCACCCTCCGCAGCAACCCTGCGAAACTCATCGAAGAACTTCGACGTGTGGCCGGAGTCGACAAACTCGTCAATGCGGGTCAACTTCTTGCCGCTCTCGTCGAACGAAAGGAAAAAAGAGTATTCGTTGGTGAAGTGACCGATGGGTGTCTCCCCTGCACCTGTAGCGTAGAATGCCGAGCGGCGATTCTCGACGTCGTAGGTCAATGTGTCGCGGTCGGGTGTGTACTGGGAATGAAGGAGTGAGTGAATGCTAGAGGGACAAGGTTAGGTAGACTGACCTTGAATTCCTTCATAGCCCAAGCCATGCTGTTGACATAGGCGCGGTACTCTTCCTTGTTTCTCTTCTGTCGTCCCAAGGAATCAGGTCGAATCTTGTGGACACAGTTGTCCGCCCAATGCTCCAGGATCTCGTCAGCGTTCAGCGTGTCGTAGCTTGCAAAGAACGCCTCGGTGGTCTTCTTGATGTTTTCGAGGAGAGTGGAAGACATATTGTTGGGAAGGTGCTTTCTTGGTTAGGGGAAAGATTTGGCTGTCTCGTTCGAGGTAGTTCTTCTGTGTGCTGCGATCTCTGGACAAGTTCAATCCTGGCCAAGAGTGCCTACTTATACCATCGACTTTGACCTCATGTACCGTCATGTTCGGCCCGATCATGTCTATCGCTTTCGCAGCCTCGTGACTGCAAACACTTCTCAAAGCAGTATGCCACATCATAGTCGGATGAATGTTCAGAGGCACTGACGTGGACCGTAAGTCCGACCGGGTAGACTCCTTGGGGCCATTTTCGTCAGCGTAGTTGGGGGCCTTCACTGTCGGTCCTTGCCCGAGTGTCCAATGGCATAACAAGCTTGAGATGTCTGCAATGGCTTTGCCTTCATGTTACGCTGTGTTCGAGAAGGGACCTGCATTGTCCTGTCTCCGTTAAGTCCGTGATATGCAGCGAGCTGGGGCTGAACGGAAGGTCGGTCGGCATGCTCGCCGGTTTCCTTGTTCGAGTTGAGCTTGCGGTGTTGTAGGCTGCGTGAAAAAGACTAGGCAGCACCGTATATCGTCACGGTCAGTCTTGAAGACGAGGCCGAAGGGCGAGCAAAGGCGTTGTCCTCAGCCTCGGAGCTCGTGATGGCGTGCTGTCGTCACCCTCTCGTGTTCTACAGGCAGCCCCTGGCACATTCAAACGACGGCGAGCAGCAAGAGACCAACAATCAAGGGTACCGAAGTTTTCCAGAAATACAGGGGCTGTCCAATGGATGCCGCGAAGAACATTTCTTCAGCCCCTCGTTGGTCCCTTTTTCCCTCACCAGCACGCGCAATCGTCTCCCTGACCGCAAGCAGCTAGCGCCCGTCAAATCTGTGTTGTTAGCCGAGATCCGCTCATCTACTTCCCAGCTTCAGATGTGGAGGATGGAGATGGCGCTGCGTGGAGAAAAGTTCGAAAGGGCACCCCTGCAGCGTGCAGATTGCCAGAGACTTCACACGGCCAACATTTTGCCCAAGTAACATGCGGTTATGCCTGAAGAGTCACCGCCATTGTGAGCGTTTTCGTTGAGGAGGATGGAGAGTCGAGAGAGTTGTGTCTTGGCCATGTCCGCCGGCTTCGAGCTCCCTGGCCCGGACAGTTGTTCCTTCCGAAACGGGCCTGACATGCAGCCACGTCTTCCCAAAGAGTGCGGTGATGGCTCTGCTGGCTGCCACTAGCGGGAGCTTCCACGCTGCAGAAAGACTGTCTTCCTCAGAGTCAGGAAGAGGAGAGCTGTCGGGAGAGGTAGCTGGTGGGATGGAGGGTCGTCAAGCGAGCAATCGACTAGGGGGCTGTAGATACGCAATAAGTATGATAGATGAAATACTGGCGGGCGTTGGCTGCTAATCTCGGACGCGTCAACGCCGTTGCAACGCAAACAGATTGATCTCAGACATTCATGTCATTCCGCACATGCTCGCCACGACCCTCCCCGGTTCATCACACCACAGCAGCAAGCATCAACAACCAGCCGCTGTACATACCACGACGCATGCACTGAACAGCTAGCGACGTGACCCATTGCATCCGCGGCGGCCATCGCACCCGCCGTCACTCCCGGCATCGCCAACTCCCAGCCCGCTGGACAGTGCTCGCGGTGGATGAGATTGAGAGCGAGGTACCGGCGCCGCGCAGTGATCGGCCCTGCAGGCGTCCACTAGGGATCGGCCAGCATCAACCACTTCACACCCCAATCCAGCCCAGGCCTCCGTCGTTGCGTGTCTTGTCGAACTTTTTGGCACTTTTCAGAAAAGGGCATTTGCAGCGCAAGATTGGGCGGGTCTGTGTTTGACGTCTCTCAATCTATGTGCCGTGTCCGCCGGTGCTACTGCAGCTCGCCCACCCAGCGACCCACCGCCGCCCGCCAGCCTGGTTTGGGCGACTCGCCCGGCGAATGGCTCGTTCCTCCTACTACGAGCCTCGTGCGGAGACGCCTGTGTCACCGCTTCTACCAGCGTTTCCCATCCCCAAGTCCAGTAATGCGCATTTGCGACACCAGGCTGCGCGCCCTGGCGATGCCTTCGACATGAGCCCGCACCTCTACGGCTCGCCCAACATGGCCGCGCGCAGCCCCAGCATCTCGAGCTACTCCAGCACCTCGCAGTGGACCAGCGGCATGCCGGCGAACCCCAGCAATGTCCATCCCGCCCCGGCCTACGTCGCGGCCTTTGGCGCATCGCAGGTGGTGAGCGAGCGCAAACGCCGCTTCAGCGACGACGACGATGAGGGTGGAGGAGGCGGGACGGCAATGTCCAGCCGGGACGACATGCAGTTCTCGCAGAATGCGCTGGCACTGGTCAATGCGTTTCTAGATCAATTGCTCTACAGCTTCCTGGGCAATGCCATGTCGACGAGCCTGACCGCATTGCGGCCGGCGGTGCGCGATGTGCTGCGATCACGGCTAGCTACAGAGGCCATTGCGAGCGCCGAGGAGGAGCTCCAAGAGCTGCTCGCAGGGGGCGACGAGGAGGAAGAGGAGATGAATCAGCGACAGACGGTGGCAGAACGCAATCGCAAGTGGGACACGGAGCTGGTATGGAAGCGCACGCGGTTGCGAGTCATGGTGTATACCAGACTCGGCGAAATGGAAGACGACGACGAAGAGCGGTATGTGCGCGAGGACGAGCTGTTCCACGGCAGCGACCGTCGCTTCTCGCACTCGAGCGGGTTGGTATCGTGGGCGGCGGCCATCTTCCTGACTTCAGTGCTGGAGTACATCGCGGAGCAGGTGTTGCAGGTGGCTGGACACGCGGCGGACTCTCGTGCACGACGGCAGAGCAAGAATCCGCGGGTGTCAATGTCCGCATCAGGCATGGTGACACCGGTGGACGGGGTGACGGTCGAGGATCATGACATGGAGAAGGTTGCACTGAACTCCACCCTGGGACGACTCTGGCGGACGTGGCGAAAATCTTTGCGCGGCGGCAACAGCAACCCACCGCACGCTCCGCCCACGCCCACCACCGCCGCCAGCAACAACAACAACTTCTCGCGTCGCTTCAGCCGTGATCCCTTCGGTGCGGCCATGAGCCCCAGACGGAGCAGCTTCGGCACGGCGGGGCCTGAATCAGTCGTCTCCGCACTTGACGAATCCCGGCGACCATCGATGAGCACCAACAACGACAGGGGCTCGCCCAGTGCGGGTGACGACGAGCTGCCAGAAGCGCAATACCCCGAACACGTCCTGGCCGCCAACATCCCTCTGCCCATTGGCGACGCCAAGCGCGATGTCGACGAGATTGAAGTTCCCGGCCTGGCGAGGGACCCAGACGAGCTTGAAACACATGAAGAACTGACTCCCATGGACAGCGAACCCAAGCGCAGAAATAGCCACCACGCAGGCGCCACGCCTTTCAGCCTTATAGGCAGTCTTATAGGCGGCGCTATGTACATGACTGGCCGCAGCCGCAGGGACTCGTCTCAGACGACGATCCAAGAAAAGCCCATCTTGACTCGCCAACGTTCAGCGTCCGTGCCAACGCGTGCGAAACCAGTGCAGCGAGAGGAGAAGGCGAAGGACGAGACTGATGAGACCCAGGATCCTGAAGCTGCCGACGTTACAGCTGAGGCCGAGACCGAGGAAAAGGACGATAAGCCTGAAGAGAAGGCCAATGCCGCTGAAATGGAACCTCGCAAACGCGACGATTCCCCACACGTCAAGCCCGTCCTCGATAAACTCGCTGCGAACGCTCCTCCCGACGACGACGCCGAGAAGAAGGAAGCGAGAGGCATTCTGGGAAGTGCGGCTGCTGGGAGTGCTGCAGCGGCCGCGGCGGCGCTAGCTCTGGTGTATGGGCCAAAGTTTGACAAGAAGGAGGCACGAAAGAGCTCGCCTGCGAAGGACACAGACATTGAAGAGCGTGACAAGCAGAAGCATCTGATTGATATGAAGCGTTTCAGCGTGCCGCCGTCTGGCAGTCGTGTTGTACAGCCAGAGAAGGACGATGAGGTAGAGAAGGACGCAGAATCCAAGCCAGCGGTGCCAAAGACAGTCTTGCGGCCAGCCACTGCGGACAGTGACGAGAGCTTCTCGTTGAATGACAAGAACGAGACGGAAGTGGTACAACAGCCCTTGGCCAAGCCAAGACACCTGTCTGGCGACTTTACGCCTGTGGAAGTTGAAGAAGAGAAGGCAGCGGAAGAGGAAGAGCCGGTGGAAGAAGAGGAGCCACCTGTTGACATTGGAGTTGCCAGGACATCAGACACTGCGGTGTCCACGCCGCGAACAGAGGAGCCCCCAGTGGAGTATCACCAAGCAAGGGACAGTTTCACGAATCCAGCCCCTCGGCGACCGTCCAGACTCATTCTGGGCGCCAACGAGCCAGACGAGCCATCACCGCTACGGAAGGAAAGCCAAAACGTCCAGGAAGAGGATACTGGCATTCCTGAGGTGACGCCGGAGAGCTTCCTGTCAAAGCGATCACTCTCGCTAACGGTGTCGCCAAAGCAACAGGTTGAAAAGTCGAAATCACAACCTCCACCACAGAATCGCAGCCTGCGCGAATCGCCCAAGAGAGCAAGTGTACCCAGTGCTCTTGTGCTCAGTCCCGATGGCGGTAGTCACGGCCCAGTATCGCCAGCTTTCGAAAAGACTCCTTCGCCATGGAGGCAATCGTTCGCTGCACCAGAGAAGAGTTCGCAGTGGGCATACTCACCGAAGAAACCCATGTCTGTCTCCGAGCCATCACCGACGATCCAAGAGCATCCCGTCATTCAGAAGATCATGAAGAGACAGGAGAACAAGGTGAGGGAGGAAGAGGAGAGCAAAGTTTTGACAAGTGCGAGCATCAAAGGTCCCGAAGACTTTGAGATGTTTGTGCAAGGAGGCGATACCGTCAAGTACACCCTTACGCCGGAGAATGTACGGGACGATCCTGTGAGTTGGGTTGATTCTGCTGAATGTGTGGCTACTGACAATATTGTGCAGTCGCAGGCAGATGCCGTGCTGTATCCGAAGACGACACGAAACGTAGAAAGAGTGGCTCCATCTCCTCCACCAAAGCAGTCACCACCTCTGGACTCTCGAATGGGGAGGAGCCAGACATCCAAGCAAGCAACTTCCGCAAACCCTATTGCTATTCCACCCGAACCTGAAGACGAGCGGGAGGAAGAGACGTCAAGAGAAAGAGAAAGCAGGAGAGAAAAGCGAAGATCAATCAGTCGTCCGCCTGTGCGCAATACCAGCATTCACAGAAAGAGTGGCTTGGTGGCTCGTGAGCCGCAGGTTATGACTGAGTCGACACGAGACTTTGCTGATTTCATTCGCTCAACTGGACCCAACAAGGAGCAAGAAGTGCTGCCTATCCTCAACAATCGCTCGACAACGTCTCTTAACTCACTACGACAAGCTCACATCAATGGCTCGCGGTCGTCATCACCAGGGGCAGCTTCAGCTCGAAGCCTGAACCGGACTGCCCTGCATAGCGAGAATGTACCTCCAGTGCCGCCGATGCCCAACAAAGGAAAGAACAGCATAATGCAGCCACGAGGACCAGCATCAACAGCAGATGGCACGTCTGAGCTGATAGATTTCATTCGCACAGGACCTAACGGATCAGAGCAAGCCGGACAGCCTAGGCAGCACCGGATTTCACGGACCGTGGCCCCGTTCCGAACAACGATGGACTCTGACCAGTTTAATGAATGGGGCGAACGTCTCGCCGCGCAACCAGACTTGAAATTGAACACCAGCGTGCCATCCGCACCGAGTGTGAAGAGCGCCTCATCCATGAAGTCTTCAGTCAGAACGTCGGCCAATTCGAGGGCGCCGCTCCTGAATGGGTCGAACGCCGGCGAGACCGTACATCCAGCTCATAGTGGTGTACCACAACGGTCGTCCTCGCTATCCGCGCCTGATGCGTCACCGAAGCCATTGCAAACCACCACAAGCGAGCCCGCGGTGAAGCGGTACCGCAACAAGGACCCCTACGCCCTCGACTTCGACGATGAAGACGACGACCTCCTCACAGCCCTGCCAAGGAACCGACGAGAAGAAGAAAGCCTCATCGACTTCCTCCGCCACAGCGAGCCCCCCGCCAACAACTACCCTCGCGGCATGAACAACACCAACGGCACCAGCAGCCCCCAAACCGCCAACAAAGGCGCCCCTCGCCGAGGCAGCACACCCGGCCTCCAAACCCACGGCGCCGACGCTGTCAGCATGGGCCCCCGTCGAGGTTCCATGCCCAACCGTGACGGGCCCCAACCCACCAACAAAACCGCTAACAGCAGCGCCCCGCGCCAACCCCAAGGAACCACCACCATCGCCGTCGGCCCCATCACCAAGCCCCGCCCACGAATGGAAGCCCGCACCAACACGGCCACCCGCGACGCCGGCACGACAGACCTCGCCGACTTTTTGCGTAGTTCAGGACCACCGCCTTCCTCCAACCACGCTTCTTCCGGACCTGGCACTGGGATGACGACGAGAGGCCATTCGAGCAAGACGTCGATTACGAGTGACAAGGCCAGCAAGAAGTCTGGACGGAGGAGTTTGTTCGGCGGGTTGTTTTCGAGGAATAGTGCGCCGAAGCAGAGGGGGTATTTGGATATGTGATGAGATAAGCTTCATCACGTCTAAGAGATGGATGGGATGGGAATGGGAATGGAATGGAACGGAGTTTTGGAGTTTTCGCTCAGACCACTGATACCTCATGCTTTTTTCGATGCGCTCCTTTTTGGATAACCTCTGTCGCTGGCTCTGGCTGGTCTGTGTGGCTTAGATTAGATGGAGGAGGGGGAGTTTTTAAGGTCTCGTTGTTCTTTTGTTGCTTGCTTTTGCTAGCTAGATCACAGCACTCGTGTAAGAGAGAGGAACTAGAAGACGAGAAGAGTCATCATCGAAGAAGAAAGGAGATGGAATGAAAGACGGAAGAGGATTCTGTACAGCTGTAATAGTATACAATGTCGGTGCCACACCCAACCGCACATGCAATCCTCACTTTCAAGTTCCCTACCAGCTATACCACTGCCTCTGGATCTGAATCGGTTTATCCGGCAACATCTTCCACGCTTTCGCCTTCAACTGCCTCTGCCTCTTCGCCTCCCTCTGCTCCCACTCCCTTACCCTCGTCGCCTCCTCCTTCAACACCACGCTCAGACTCGTCCAGGGTGTCCGCATCATGTATATCCGCCCTCTCGCCCGGTAATCTGGCAGTTTGCCGTACGGACCTCGCCCGACCCACGCTTGGTCGATGTAGATCTTGGAGCGGTCGGAGACGGTGTGCCGTTGGCCGGATTTGAGCTGGATGTCGACGGTGTGGGGCTTTCGTTCGAGGGATGCGGTTTCTTCGAGTGTTTGGGAGGTTGTACCTGTCACGCTTGAGGAGGACTCGTTGAAGTCTTCGGCCTCCTTCCTTGCACCGTTTCCTAGACCCATCCCGCGCATCACGACGGCTTCGTCCCGTGCGGCTTCGAGTTGTTTCAGGACTTCCTGCGCGACCTTTTTCTTGCTGAAGCGCATTTGCACGATGGCGTCGTCGATGGTTTTGCCGGCGATTTGGCGCGCGAGCATGCCTAGCTTCTTGACTGATGTTTTCATGTTGTGGCTCTTTGCGAGATGTTCCCTCTCTGTCCGCTTGATAAATTGCTCTTTCGTTAGACGCCCGTTCTTGCGGATCATTTTCACGACTTGTCGTTTTTCCCACTGTTCGCGGGCGGAGGGGTTGGGGTCGAGGACGGTGGCCATGGCTCGTGGGTCGCGTGCGATACCGCCTACTCGGACGCTGTCGCCATCTACCCCGTCTTTGGACTCGCTGTCGGTCTGTTTCTGTGCGCGGCGTTCGTCTTCGAAGATGGAGCTGTTGGCGATGTCTCCTGCTTGGCCCATTCCCTCAGGTATTTTAATCCTGCCGCTCTGGGCCTCTTGCGGGTTGTTGCGCAGGTACTCTTCCAGGACGGGATTGGAGCCGGATGAGCTGCCATCGTTGTTTGAACTGGATGCTGCTGTTCTTCGCTGGTACTGTGCGATTGGAGTTTGTCTAGGGGCATTGGCCAGGCCTGTATATCCACGATTAGCTCTTTCACCCTACATGGCAGGCGCAATCAGGCTACGCACATCTGATGGGCAGGCGCCATGACGGCGCTGACAGGGCCATGACGGGGCAATGGATGTGGATGTCTCCTCACTTGCACTTCGAGACGATGCTGGAAGTCGAAGTTGTGAGGTTTACGACCGGGATCTCGGAGCGAGCCGTACCTTCAAAGCGTCAAAGAGTTGGTCGTGCCAAGGCCCCGTGCATGCATGATGCCGGACATGGGTAAAGCAGAAAAAGACATGATCGTCATCTCTAGGGGGGACGAGCACCGGGGCGCTGCCGAATGTCATAAACACACGTGCGCGCTGTCACGATAGCTCTCACCGTGTCCCCTCTTGTTGTTCTGCTCCGATAAAGCACGTCGTGTAGGAGGATTCTTGTGTGTTTGTCCCGCGCGATCCTGGCCAGACTGCCGGCGAAGGAGCGGATACGCAGGGCTTGGATCATCTTTGACACCAGCCCGCCAGCAAGCCGCTGCAAACACTTGCCTCCTCCTCCTCCTCGCCTACTCTACTCTACCTAGCTCTGATCCTCCGCTCCTCGCGCCCCCTCATCCTGTTCATCATCGCTCTGGCAGCAGCAGGTAGGCTTTCACGGCAAGCTGCCGAGCCGCATCAAGCGCTCGCTAGGGCATGTCGCAAGTTTCCCTGCAGGCGGGACGGCTACTGTTTTGGTGCGATTGATTCATATATTGCATCCATCAAGCAATGAACATCAATGCCCTGCTCTCCCCAGACGAGGGCGCTGCATCCCCGGGCGGCGAGAACAGCGATCGAAGAGCCCAGGACGACTCGCAAAGTCCATCGCCCAAGAAAACCTCTTCACGAGCTCGGCCAGCGCTCGCGGGTGGCAAGAGGACTGCTTCTGGATTGAGCCAGGAGGTCAGGCGCTCGCCGGACAGAGCAGTCGCATCGCCAACGTCGAATCCAGCATCGATACAAGGGACGCCTTCGATTCCGCGGCAGTCTTTCAACGTGCAGCCTGGGTCGATAGCTGCGCCAAACTTTCGCCCTCTGCCTCCAACCAGCGTTCCTGCGCCGGAGTCACAGGGTCAATATGGCATCGCACAAAGACCTGTAGCCGCACACCGTCCGTCGTCGACCCCGCAGATGGAGACTTTGGCTGGTAAGTTGAGATGGAAGAAATTGTCGTGTGTCCAAAACTGACGCGCATTCCAGATTTGGCTTCGATGCAGCAACGCCAGCAAACAACACGGACCTATTCCGCAAACAACGTCCGCGGCGAAGCCCAACGCCGACAAGAGCAGCACTCGCCACTACACACACCATTGAGTACTATCCACAGTCCTCCCATCGCGCGCGGCATCTCGCGACAGTCCCTCGCCGACATCACCATGGCGGAGGCACCCTCTCAAACGCCGCCTCCTCGCGACTTCACCTCTAATGCTCTATCTGACACTGAATCCAAGACCGTCACCGATCTACTAAACTTCCTCACCGACAACTCCTACGCCTACGAACAACATGCCCAGCTTATCAGCCTCCTGCACAAGGGCTTTCTCGCCCACGTCTATCCACCGGCGGATTCTGAAGAACCCGCACCTCCTGGTAACCCGCACAGCTATGCTTTACTGACTGAGATGCGCCAAGCGCGTGAAGCCATGGACACTCGATTTGCTGTCGGGGAGGACATCTGGCTTGACTGGCTGTCGGATGAAGTACTTCTGGCCCGGACTAGTGAAGAGCGCATCACTGTGCTGGAGCTTTTCCAAAAGGCTGTCCAAGACGAACCAGCTTCAGTCAAGCTCTGGACGACCTACGTGGACTGGGTTTCTGCTAACTATGCCGCATGCAACGACCTGCCGGGTTCTGATCAGCAGAGTTGGACAGACGAAGACAAGGAGATGTGCAGGGAGCTCTTCACGAAAGATATGATGCTGAACGTGCTCGAACAAGCTGTGGCCGCGACCCGATGGCGCATTGACGAAAGCCATCACATCTGGACTCGTTATGCGCAAGCTGTTCAGGAGGAGTTTCCCGAGAACCCTCTCGAGACTGATGTGAAGCGCCTTCATGGGTTGTTCGTTCAGCGCCTGCAACAACCTCATGCTGCCTGGGAGGATACGATGCAACTGTATTGGCCCATCATCTCCAAGTTCGAAGGAAGCAATTGGGAAGCAGCGATCGCGCAGGTCCATCAAATGGCTGAACCTGCGAAAATCGCCATGGGACTTCGTGCCGAGTATGAACTCAAGCTTCAACGGACTATCGAGAGCGGCGACCAGGAGCAGGTACGACATCAGTTTGAAAAGTACCTGAAGAGTGAGAAGTTCAGCTACAACAAGAAGCCCCGTCCATTCGACTACGATTTGAGGTGTGCTTTGTACGAGCGTGCCCTCTTACGGTTTCCAACCGCGACTGAGTGGTGGCTCGATTATGTCGACTTTACCACGACTGCTCCAAATGCAGCTACACAGTCCCTCCTCCCTCTCATCGAGCGGGCCACTCGCCATTGTTCTTGGTCTGGTCAGCTCTGGGCACGCCGTATTCTACGAGCAGATGTTGAGCAGAAGTCCAGAGAGGAGATTGAGAACACCAAACATCGAGCCACTAATGCTGGACTCCTGGATGTGGGTGGGATGGAAGAGCTGGTGACCATGCTGCAGCAATGGTGTAGCTACCTTCGCCGCCACGCATTCCAGCCTACCGCTACCGAAGACGACGTTGACACTGCTGAAGTTGGCATCACCGCTGCACTTGAAGATGTGTATGAAGCGGGCAGAAAGATCTACGGCAATGACTTCAAAGGCGATCCTCTGTTCCGGCTCGAACAGATCCAAATCAAATTCTACACCGAAGCACGCCGGATCAACGATGCAAGAGAGATTTTCCGCAAGTTAGGCTCGCAACACGGTAATTCGTATGACTACTGGGCCAAGTACTACAACTGGGAGTTGTGGTTCTGGGGCTACGATCGACTTAGGGAGGCACGACGGGTGGAGACCCCTGACAACGGACCACATCTGGCATCTGAGGTGTGCCAGCAGGCTCTTCGCCAGAAGAATCTGGACTGGCCTGAGAAGGCGCTTGAGATGTACCTCTACCACTTCCAACAGCATGAATCTGGAGTGAGACTGCAGGCTGCTCTGGCCGATGCGAGGGACTTCTCGAACCGACTGGCCGCGAAGCGAGCGAAGGAGGCTGAAGAGGCAGCAGCCGTGGCGGCACAACAACAAGAGCAGTACACCGCTGCTATGCAAGCTGCGGAGGGGGTAGATGTTGCGGCTGGAGAGAAGAGAAAGCGGGAAGAAGAGGACAGTCTTGTCAATGGAGAAAGTCACAAGAAGGCGAAAACGGCCGAACTTCAGGAACCGTCGGCTTCAGCAAGTGACCAGATCAAGCGCGATCGAGAGCATCTCACAATCACTGCACGGAACCTTCCCGCTGATGTGGAAGAAAAGGACGTCAAGAAGTTCTTCAGCGATTGCGGCGATATCCTCTCGATCTATATCCTTCGAGATGAGAGCAATACCTCTGCAGCCGCGACGGTCGAGTTCAGCGCAGATGAGGACGTCCTTGCAGCGAAGACTCGCAATGGCAAGCAGCTGAACGGCCGAGAAGTGCGAATACACAGCGGCGGGCAGAACACGCTCTACGTCACCAACTACCCAGCATCTCACGACGAAAATGGCATTCGGGACTTGTTCAAGAGTTATGGGGAGATTATCAGTGTTCGATTCCCTTCGCTCAAGTTCAACTCTCGGCGCCGCTTCTGCTACGTGCAGTTCTTGACGCCTGATATGGCGAAGAAAGCTGAAAATGCAATGGATGGGAAGAAGCTGGATGGTATGCATGTGCTGCTGGCCAAGATTTCAGATCCAGACGCAAAAAAGCAGCGCGGTGGTGCACAAGTCGAAGGTCGGGAAATCATTGTGAAGAACATCGACCGTGAAGCCAAAGAGGAGGAAGTGAAGGAGCTGTTCGCACAGTATGGTCGTCTGGAGAAGGTCAACTTGCTCAGACTGGTCAACAACAAACTGACTGGAACTGGCTTCTTTGTCTATTCAAGCACCGACGAGGCCAGCAAAGCTATCGAAGCGACGAACAACACGCCTTTCCACGACCGAATCTTACATGTTCAGCTGTCAGATCCCAAGGGACGAGCGGCACCGACTGACCGAGCGAGAAGAGAGGATGTGATTGTGAAGAAGGGTGGCGCTTCTGCTTCGCCTGAACCATCAGCTCCACGTGGTTCTGATGTGGAGATGAAGGAATCTGGCCAGGGAGAACAGGAGAGGCTCGACGCAAAAGAGAGAAAGGTCGCCATCCTCAACCTTCCGGATACCGTCAACGACGCACGCATCCAGACTGCAATGGAGCATTTCGGTCCTGTCAAGAAGATCCAGCTACGTCGGGAGAAGGAGGGTGCGATTATTGAATTTGAGAATGTCAACGACGCTTTCAAGGCAAAGATGGGTGGTGACCTGAGCAGCCTTGGACCGCAAGCACGCATTGGGCCGGTGAGCACTCTGATGAAAATCGGAACATTCAGCCATGAGCACAAGAAACTCAACGGATCTGGCGCAGCGCCTTCATCTGGCAGTGCCCTCGCCTTTGTCCCTGCTTCTACCTCCCGCCCAGGCCGCGGCAGAGGTGGTCGCAGAGGAGGACTAGGATTCAAGGCTCGAGGCGGCGGTTTCGCCAGCGCTTCTTCCCACGAGGCGGGCCAGGGAGAAGGCAGCAAGAAGAGCAACTCGGATTTCAGGAGCATGCTGGAAGCTAGCAAGAAACCCGCCACGAAGCCCGCTGATGAGGATATCTACGATGCGTAGATTGTATCATATCAAAATGGATGGATGGATGGATGGAAGGGCATGGTGTAGCATAGCGTAGCATCGAATAGCATAGCGTTTCGTGTAGTACTTGTAGCTGTTTAATGGATGGGCACCTGTGATGGATTCGGTAGTAGGGTGAGCTTAAAGTGACTCCACGACTGATGAAGTAGTAGGAGGTGAGGAGAGTACATCACGGATTGCCTGCGATCTTCGGTTGAGGTGGAGGGATCGAGTCAGGACCAGGACCACATAGTGCCATCTCACTTCATCTCGTCCATGACTTATCATTCACAACAAAAGACGGATCTAACAGCACGAAAGCCGCTTCTCAACACCGACAGACTCGAGCATACCACGACTTCCAACGAGGGACCCAACATAAGCCGCATCAGGATCCCCCATCACCACCACACACCACCCTCCAAACATCCACCATGGCATCCCACCTCCCCCCTCGCCTCCCCCGCTCCCTCTTCCTCCAATACATCTCCCACTTCAACACGCGCTCCTACGCCCTCCAACACGCCTTCTACTCCCCCACCATCACCATGACCCTCCCGGACCCCCTCGTCCCGACTTTGCACGGCCCCGAGGAAATCTCGCGGCATTACGCCCAGGTGCACTCCGTCGCGGAGGAGACGGTCGTGCCGGTGAAGGTGCTGTGTGAGGGGGAAGGGGTGTTTTTGGAGATGGAGGTTTTTTTTCGGTGGGTACTAACTTCTCGTCTCTGTTGTTTGTGTTGTTTGGTGGGTCTGGGTTGCTGATGTTGTGGTGTCATGTGTTAGGTACATCGTCGACACGGACCAGGGCGTTCATGGGAGGACGGCGAGGGAAGGGGATGTGTTTAAAGTGGTTGTTTGGGCGGTTTATGATATTGATGCCGTGGGGAAGATGAGGAGGATTCGGTGTAGTCTTTGGGATGAGAGGATGTTGGGGCAGGTGGATGTGGGGGAGTGTGTGAGGGAGGCGAGGGGGAGGGCGATGGGGGATTTGAGGGGGGAGTCGTAGAAGTCTTAGTTCTGGATGTGTTCTTTTTGGTATTAGATCTGGTATTGATTGCTGTGATATCTGCTGCTGCTCTGTTGGGTATCGTTAGCAGGAACGCCTAATCGCTTTAACTAGAATCCGAGATTTGCGCCTGGTACAAAATGCCTCCAGCTTCGTCCGTATATGTATAGCCTTTATCCCCATGTGCTGTTCGTTATGCGAAAGATTGAATTTCTCCTCTCGTCCTGCTCTTTTCTCCTACGATCTCGGTTCGGGAATGGGTTCGTAGTCGTCCTCGGGAGGTAATATGAACGCAGCCAATACAACACCCAATGCATTGATAGCCAGCACAGACCAGCTCACACTGCAGAGGACGAAGGACTTGTCCAATTCCCAGCCAACAAAGAAGCGGCTATCGTTCTCGTAAAGGTGTGCCTATACAGCATGTCAGTCTCCTCCCACCCACTCCCAATCTCTCCCCTCGACATACCACAAGCGACATAGCAATACACTCTCCAACAGCCACAACCCCCAACAACCCCGCCAAAACCTTCCACCCACTCTCCCTCGTCGCCCTCCCCCCAACAAGTATCGTAATATACGCAACCAACACCGCCAACTCCAGCACCACGCTGAAGTTCATAAAAAACCCCGTACTCCTCCATACACTACAGAAATCCCTCTGGTCGCCCACGCAGTCGTCCGGGAACTTCGTGCATTCTCCGGTTATGCTCGAGCAGCGCTTGTGGAGGCCGTAGGTGAGGCGGATGGGGTGGTGGGTGGTGGGCGCGGTGTAGGAGACCCAGTTGGGGAGGGCGATGGCGGCGATGGTGCAGGCGGCGGCGCCGAGGAAGATCCAGAGGGAGACGCCGTAGACGATGCGGCGGGTCATGGTGGGTGAGTGAGTGAGTGAGGGTGGAGGTGGTGGTGTTGCCTTCGCTGGCGGGGATTGCGTGCGTGAGTGATTTTCGTGGTTGGAGGGCCAATTGGGTGTTGTTCAGGTCGGGCAGCTGCTGGATGTTGTCGCCTTGAGAGCTTGTTGCTGGCACGTCATTGTCGATCGACCGTGGAGGATCGAATGGGAGTCGGTCACGTGCAGATCTGCGGACTCGGCCGTGGTTTCCCCGCCGGAGTTGATCAAGACGACATGGGTGTTTTGGGAAGAACGACAGCGCTTCGTGAGCAACAACTTCCCCTTGTACACAGCCATACAGCCATTTTCCCGATATTCGCCAAAGCAATATGTTCCGCATCCAGACCGAGTGATAGTATCCCATCACAACGCCGCAACGTCCCAAGCCTGGCGACACAGCCAGCCAATTCAGAGCGGCCTGCATCCAGAATCTCGGGAGGCGTCAGGCACATTCTGGCTGTCGCTATTCTGCGACTCAGCGCCGCCATCATCTTTCCATATCCCGTCTCCCGCACCAGGCTGTGGACTGTGGTTCTCCCCATCGAAGATCATCTCTCGTCAGAACGTCCGTGTCCATCATCGCCCTTTCGAGATGCGGAGCGGCTAGCGTTCAATAGCGCCGCGGTGCTGCATGTGATCCACGCTTCTGTACGGTAGGGGTTTCTGTGGATGGCGTGCGACAAGCAAAAGTCACCCTACACACTTTCAACATGCATTCCTAACAGCCTTTCCTTTACGTATGCCATGCAAATTCTACCGTCCTAACAGCTCCAATGACCATTGCACCTATATAGGACTGCCTCCCCGGCTAGCCTTATGGTGCATGTTTACTCGACCCTGTCCAAAATCTTCGCTATGTGGTCTGCCATGGTTTTGCTCCCTATAGGAGCTACACTTACACATCAATCGCCGCTGTCAATACTGGATCTCCAGAGCGATTCGCTGGCCCTCACTGTCCCTACAACAGCACCGAGTGGAACTTCTCATGTCGTCGACCAATCATACCTAGGACTAGCCATTTCTCAGCACTCATTTCAGGAATACGCCGGCAACAAGTCTTCCCCAAACAAGTTCTCTGCCAATCTCATCAACGCGATTTCACAAAGGACAGGCACTGCAGTGCATATCAGAGTTGGGGGTACTTCTGGAGACTTTTCAACTTTCGATCCGAATCAGAAAGAATCAATCGTATTCCCGCCCGGATACAAACCTGGAGGCATTCCAAAGGGAATGAAGCTTGGCCCTGCGTGGTATGAAGGGTTTACGAGCTTTCCCGGAGTTCAATGGACGTATATGACACATCTAGCGAACAACTCGGATGGCCAGAAAGCGAACTCCGTTGCTGGTACGAAAGAGGCAATCAAAAACATTGGATCGAATCTCGAAGCGTTGGAGATTGGCAATGAGATCAACTTCTACCCGAATGTCAACCGCAATGGCAGCTATAGCGTCGTCAACTACCTCAACGAGTGGAACGACTACCAGGAGGCGATTGATGCTGCAGCTGGGAAACAGAAGTATCAAGCTCCAGTCTACTTTGGCAACAATTGCCCATGGTGCATCTCGAATACCTTTCAAAGAGGGCAGAACTCGAAGAACAATGTCGTCTCGGCAGCTCTCCACCATTACATGGACGGATCCAATGTACCAGTTACGGCTCTACAGAGCAACTACATGAATCACACCCGAATCGCAAACCAGCTCGATCCATTCAAAAAACCAGTCGCGTGGCTGGCAGACAACGCCCCAAGCGTTAAAGTCGACCTCGCAGAAGACAACAGCAACACCTACAGCACCAACAACTACGACGTCCTCGGCGTCTTCGGCTCCACCCTCTGGCTGGCGGACTATCTGCTGTACGGCACAACCCTAGGCATCCGACGCATGAACATCCAACAAAGCACGGGCTTCAGCTACGCCTCCTGGCGCGGCGTCGACTACAACGGCCTGCCCGCCGCCGTCCTCCCACCCTACTACGCCCACCCCTTCGTCGCCGACGTCCTCGGCAAAACCGGCAGCACGCGCGTCGTCAACATCGCCACCGGCAGGGACACCTTCTCCGCCTACGGCATCTACGACGGCAGCACCCTAAAGCGAATCGTCCTCATCAACTTCCGCGAATACAACTCCGCCAGCAGCTCCTCCCGCCCTGCCACGACCGTCTCCCTCACCGCGGGGAGCTACAACGGCAAAGTCACCGTCGAGCGCCTCACTGCTCCCGACGCGCATGTTCAGGACGCGAGCAAGATTTCTTGGAGGGGTTTGAGCTGGACGAAGCAGAGTAATGGGCAGGCGTATCAGAGTGCGCAGACGACGGGGTCTGCGACGGCGAAGAGTGGGAAGTTTTCCGTGGATTTGCCGGATAGTTCGGCGGTGTTGTTGACGTTGGGGTGATTGTTGGGTTTGCATTGCGAGGGTTTTCGTATTTCCTATTTTGTGTCATATACTGCTGCCAGAATGGCAGGTAGAATGAGATGAGATTATGAAAAGCTCAAAGAGCAGATTTGAATTGAATTGAAAGGCGAAATGAAGTGTATCATGTCCGTCCAAGGCCCGCTCTTGACTTCGATTTAAGAACCCATCTACGAGGTTGGGTATGTAGGAATGAGACGTGGCGCTCTTGTATGAGTTTGGCATGTTGGCATGAATGATGGGTTGTGTTGTACATTTCTTCGTATCGCAAGGTAGGAAGCTCGTATGCTGAGAACCTTGTCGACGTCGTACTGGGAACGAGCTTGCTCCACGTGAAAGTTGCGTAGTTGTGCAACGCCACGGTATTGATAAAGTTGTGTCGATGCTCCGACGAACGCACCTTCTAGCGACGCACTGGCTCCTCATGCTGTCATGCTCCAAGAGGACGTGGGCCGCCACAGAAAGCACCGCCAAGGCTGGCCAGGATATCGTGCTTGAACAAGTTGTGGATCCGACCGAGCTCCTCACTCAGTCACGTCCACCTTTGCCTTCTTCGCGCTGCCACTCGCTGTGGATGCGACATCCTCTCCGCTCCTCTTCCTCTTGCCCTTTCCAGCACCGGTCTTGCCGCCCTTGACTCTGTAGGTGCCGTCAACGTCTCCTTTGCCGCGCTTCTTACTCGAGCCTGGGTTTTCATCAACGAATGCAAAGTCCTCGTCGTCTCCAAAGCCCGCGCTAGCTGCACCCGGACTGAAGCCTTCCCTGGCTCTGCCCACGGCACGATCGCCCACTTGTTTGGCAAGATCTCTCTTCCCCTTGCCACCCCTGCCAGTAGCGGGCTTCGTATCATGCGACGCCAGACTCTCATTATCGTCAACATCCATCCCAGCGCCATTCTTCGCATGTGTCTTGAGCCAATTGTGTTGACTCTGCGGATTCTGCAACTCAATCTGACGCTCAACCTCCCGCGCCGTAAGGTCTGCCCAGTGCTTCTCATCCGCACCTTCCTCCTTCTTCTCTTTCATGCGGTCGAGACTAACAGGATCGCCAAGCTTGGCGTCTAACCGTAGGAGATGCGCGTCTTCCTCCTCTGCAGTCAAGAAGCTTGGTGGATGTGATCCGCGCATGTCCTCGGGATAGTCGCGTTCGCTGGCTGGCACAATCGTGTGGGTGGTCGCTTGGTCGAGGGTTTCAACGGGAGTCACGCCCTGTGCTGTGAGAGTCTTGTCGAGCTGATGACGGATCACGTTGAGGTCCAGGTGTGGAATCTGCCCACGCTGGACGGCAAGTGTGTACTCTAACAGCATCTCGTTCGCCGTTTCAGGTAGTATGTCTTCTGGAACCACGCTAGGGATGGAGGCTATAGCTGAGTGGGACTCCTTCAGTGAGATATTGAACCGCAATTCGGGGGGAAGGGCTGGGTTGGAGTTGACGTCTAGCAGCAGGTCAAGCAGTTCGCTGTAGATACCCGTCAGTAGTGATCTCCTTACTAGATCGTGGCCTGACTTACTCCAGCTCCTCTCTAAGTCTCCTGGCAATACCCTCCAGCTTCTGCTCTTCCTTGAATAGTTTCCTATTCCCTTCAAGAACGCCATCAAACTTGTGTCGCATCTTGCGATACTTCTTGCGCCATGACTTGTAACGCGGTCGTTCGACGTTGGCCAGTGACTTCCCGCCTGTGGTCGCGTGCGGTGTTGGTAATGGCGCATTGCTCTCCGAGTCCGACATGATGGTAGTATTGATGTAGTTTCAACCGTGCAGCGTCGAGTGAGTGCCTGACGGATGGTATAGAGGAGATGTGAATGGAGGTCGTGTGGAATGGACAGGAGGTTGTCGCGGATGTGGAAGTGTGGTTGCTGGCGCGAGTCGAGGCCAATCAATATTTGATTAGCTCCTTCCCCGGCTCACGTGGGGCCGGAGTTCCGATCACCGACAACTTCCCCAAAATTTCATGTGACAGCTTGGAAAGTGCAACGACATGTCCAGGATCAACATGTCGTCCTCCCCAGAGATGGCCGACTCGGACAAGAAGCGCAAGAGAAAGGTCGAATCCGACGACGACGATGACAAACTCGAAATCGACATCAACCTCCCAGAACCGCCGTCGAAGAAGGCCAAGCGCAAAGAGAAAAAGCAAGCGAAAGTCAAGTCGAAGAAACCAGCCGACGAGACGACTGTCGATGGTGCAGACTCCGTGAAGAACGAGTTTGATGCTGAGAAGAAGCCTGCGCCTGCTGATGCGACAGAACCCGCAAAGCGCTCAGACTATGGCATTTGGATAGGCAACCTGCCTTTCAACGCGACCAAGGACACTCTACGTCAGTTCCTCCTCAGAGAGGGTGGCATCGATGAAGGGGAGGTCACCCGGGTACACATGCCAACAGGTGCAAGAGCGCAGAACAAGGGATTCGCCTATATCGACTTCAAGTCACCTGCGATTCTGGAGGTCGCGTTGACTCTGAGTGAGAGGTTGGAGGGAGGAAGAAGGTTGTTGATCAAGAATGCAAAGAGTTTCGAGGGAAGGCCCAAGGAAAGTGCAGCATCGAAGACAGCCGAGTCGACCAAAGAACCGAGCAAAAGGGTTTTTGTTGGCAATTTGAGCTTCGACGTCACCAAAGACCACCTGGCAGAGCACTTTGGCCAAGCTGGCAAGGTAGATGACGTGTTCATGGCGACGTTCGAGGACAGTGGCAAATCCAAAGGCTTCGCGTGGGTCACATTTGCCGATCTCGAAGCTGCGAAGAACGCTGTGCAGGGCTACATCTGGAAAGAACCTGAGGTGGAAGAAGACGATGCTGACGATGGCGACGAGCCGCATCCAAAGTCCAAGAAGCACAAGCCGAGAAAGTGGTTCATCAATCGCTTTCAAGGAAGAGAGCTACGATGCGAGTATGCTGAAGATGCTCAGACTCGATACAAGAAGCGATATGGATCTGCGAAGGGTGCGACAAAAACATCCGACTCTGCCCAAGATGCTGCCCCAGGTGCCGAAGACACGCTTGAAGGACTCGCTCAGGAAGCTGCAGGCGCAAGAAGTACTGCTCCACGGAAGAACCCCAGGATGAAGCATCTTGACAAAGATCAACGACAGGAAGAGCGCAGAAAGCGGTTCGACGCTCGTACAATCGCTCCTGGCAAAGCTCTTGCCAATACGCAACGTGCAACTGGCGCCATTGTTGCTGGCAAAGGCAGCAAGGTGACCTTTGACTGATCGATGTCGTTGGTGTTTTCTTTGCATATGGTGCTCTATTCACCCAGATATACGTCGATAGCCTCAAAAAGTTCGACACTCGACGTTATGCACCGTCTCTTCGTGTCAGCATCAACACCTCTTGCAATTTTGTCGGCCGTCTAGAACCGCGGATTCAGCCCCTTGATCACGGCTTGGCTCGTTATCGATAGAGCTTTTTGGTATCTCGGCTTTCGTTCTTGTGCAGTCGTTTTCGGTTGCCTCAGGAGAGAGCATACCTGTCCGAGATCTCCTGAGTTGAGCGCCGACATTCTTGTATCAGGCCTCGAGCACCACTGAAGCGGTCTGCCACCACAAGGGATTCGCGCCCTTTCAGTCTTCCTCACTGCAACTCAAGAGCAAAGAGACCTTCGACCTCGTGATACTTCCAGTTTGCAAGGTCCGTCATGTATCCTTTGCTGACGAGAGTCGGCGCCCAACAACTAAGTTGTAAGTCAGCAAAACCTGAGTGATGTCAATGTCACTGCACGCGCTTGCTGATGCGTGCATTGAGCGGCAGAGCCTTGGCTTCTTCTCACTGCTGAGCAGGACTTCTGGTTGAAAGACAAGTTATCTGCCCTTGGAGCGCCGTTGCCGCTGCGGAAAAAGACTCCTCTAAGATTTACGAAACAACGACGATAGATCCAAGACATAATCACACGTCGCTGCTAGGAGTTTGTCAGCCAACGAGGGTTGCCAGTCATTTTCGTGTGTGATAAAACACGCACGCTCCGCCAGACAAAATTCTCCGACATTGAACCGTCTCCAACCAAAACCATAATCTTCGCACTGATGGAACGTTACCAACTACTGTACTACGAAACCTTCATTCAATGTCTAACATCACAAATAAGGATTGCTGCCGTCGGGCCCGAGAGGTTTATCCTGAAGAAAACCGAAAAGTCGGTCTTGGGTCGATGTTTATTCTGGATCTGCGATGGAGATTCACCCAAAGATCAACCTTCTTCACCACAGCACCCCAATCCCTGCTCAATATCATCCCCTCTCTGTGTGCTTGCGTAGAGGCTCGCACAGCATCCTTCACCTAACAATGCGTATCACCAAGCCGTTCTTCAACCGCCAAATTGCCCATGCATTGCGACACTTCCGGTCGCGAAGAATCAACTCCTCCCGAAGACATTCCCACAGATGACAACTCTTGGATTCAAGTCCAGTTCTTCTTTGCTCGTTGTTGTGGATCGAGTCTGAAGCTGCCTATGCTGCCGTCGTTACTGGTTGAGGAGATGACGTTGGGGAATATCGAGCCCTTGGGTTGGGACGAACGGAGTGGACTACTCTATGCGAATGCCTGGGCTCAGCCATGCAGTTCATGTTTAAGAAGGCTGCGGGATGCATTGAGTAGGGCATTCACGGGTTTTGAATACGACGACCGTGAAAATGAGGAGGATGACGGGGGAGGGGAGTGGTCTAGCGAATGACGCCCAACGAAGAGGGCGAGGATGGACGCTGACGACTGGACCAAAACGACGACGACGAGGAGGTGATTGAAAGAAAGAGTCCTGGTATGTTTTGGACTGAAGACATTCGCTACATCGAACTCGTTTGAATGGCGTCCAGCTCGCCAAGACTCAACACACCGCCCAAGACATCACTCGTTGAACCATCGATCATCCTCTTCACTCTCTTCCGTCTCTTCGGTGGCTGCATCACGTCAGTACGTCTTCGGCCCAGCGACGAAATAGAGACCACGCACGCGAGAAAGTTCCTTCACCTTCATCATCCTCGTCAACGTCCGGCACGATGTCTCTCTTGGCCTGGAGTGGCTTGCCTACGAGAACAGTCGGCTCTGGATCGAGTTCCACATAACGAGCATTGCGACGCTCATCCTGGTACCACTCGTCTGTCGACCCTTCGAAATCTTCGTCTGCGTCCGCCGCGATGTCGCGCTCCGAGATGTGAGCTCCTGAAGCACTGGCTGGGGAGTCTGGAGATTCGCTGAGGAACGAGTGGAAGTCGAAAGTCTCTTCATCGAACTCGTCATCATCGTCTTCTCCACGACGGAGAATGCTTGGATCATAGCCTTCGAGCGAGTAGTCGATTTCCTCATCCTCGGAATCAAGTCCAAAGGAGCGCTCGTAGAGGCCGGAGTCGTAACTGCCAGGCTCCCCTTGTTCGACTTCCTCATCGTCTTCTTCGTCGTCAAAGACCTCTTCGAAGTCCTCATCGTCGTCTCCAGCGGCCCGCTCAGCGATAGGTGGTTGCGATACCTTATCGGCGTCGCCAACTGGATCAGGCTCATCGTCCGCGAATGGCGCGTCGGCATCTTCATCATCGTCTTCGTCTTCAGGGTCCAGGTCGACATACGGTGTAACATCATCTTGGTCATCCTCGTCATCTCGCGCATGATGCTGGACGTGATGCGGCTTCATGCGACCCAGCTTGCGCAGTGCTTCATAGTCCAGACCGGCGTCACGGCCTTCGAGACCTTCGATTGTCGGCTCATCTTCGAGATCTCTCGCGACAAGATCGTGATCATATCCATCGAGACTGACATCGACCTTCTCTCCATGTTCGTCGAGTACACCCAGAGCTTCTTCTGCAAGTGCGCTACGGACTTTGAGCGGCACGTCGTCCGATTCTTCGTCGTATTCGTTCGAAGATTGGGCCAGCACCGCGATAATGGCAATGGCGAGCCACGCGAGGAACAAACGGGCGTGCATGATCGAGAAAACGCGCCTATTGGAGCCGATGTCGTGGTCAAAGAGCGTGGAGTGTAGTCACTGCGAAGGTCGACATTCAGATACAACCCGACGCGCGACGAGGAGTCAAGTCATACTGCCAATGTCTATTGAGGACCGTTCGCGAAACCCGTTTTCGTCCATTGTGTTTCCCGCGGGAATGCGGTCACCGGATGTTGAGACAAAGACAGGACGAACAACTGATTGATCTCCTGACGAGCACGTGCTGGCGATGGCAATCAGGGCTACACGATGTCGAACATGTCTGTCGTCGCGTACTGCAAAGGTGGTGCTGGCTAGGAGATGCAATGTCTGCTCATGGCTTCGCAATGAGTTGCGATGCCGTCGAGGAGACCCGCATTCCAGCTATCACGACTGGAATGTGGATTGCTGAGGCTTGTACGACCATGTCCACCTCGCATGTTGCACACGGCGAAGGGGTCGCAACTTGGACTGGATGCTGGCCTCCTAACCATCATCTCTCCATTCGCTGATAGCTTCGCAATCGAGTTGGCGCATTTATGGATCGCCAACCTTGAGATGTATTCCGACTTGCGCCTTACAGTCTGTCTAGCATGAAGAGTGCTCGATCAGGAAGCCATGGACGCGGCCAAAGCGAAAGCGAAGGATACGCCCATACTTGAGCCTCGCGACATTCTCTATACATATCCAGTGATGCACTCGACTTGTTTGTTTTGGTTCAATTGACGTCTCATGAACCACAATGGCCGATCAAACATTCGACACTATCATTGTCGGCGCAGGCATCGTCGGCTCAGCACTCGCGGCTTTCCTCTCCAAGGACAATGAGCACGAGTCGATACTTCTCATCGATCGTTCGTTCCATGCTCTCAGTGGCTCGACAGGCTCTGCACCTGGACTCGTTGGCCAGTTGAATGTCTCCCAAACGTTGACGACGCTAGCTCAGGAAAGTGTGCAGGAGTATGCTTCCATGGCTGGCGCTTTCAAGAAGGTCGGATGTCTGGAACTGGCGAGCAGTGATGCGGGCTTGTCTGAGCAGCAAGAACGTCTTGCAATGGCGACAGATCGTGGGATGAAAGCAAGCATTGTGGATCATGACGAATCAGCCAAGTTGCTGCCGCCGATTGTGAAGAAGGACTCGTTTCGACAAGCACTGTACTTCCCTGACGATGGCTTGGCTGACCCTGGCGTGATCACGCATGCGTATCGATCACAGGCCAAGTCGCGGGGAGTACAATTCGAAGAGGCCGATGTCGTAGAGATCAAACAGTCTGGAGATGCAGTCACTGGCGTTGTCACAGCAGATGGACGCTCTTTCCAAGCTAGGCAAATCGTGGTCGCCAGCGGCATCTGGACCACTTCACTGCTGTTGGAGACCATCCAGAAACAGATCCCTTTGGTTCCTGTTGCGCATCCATACGTCTACTCGAGCGCACGAGACAGCAGACATATCGACTACCCGTTCGTCAGATGGCCGGAAAGACTCGTCTATGCGCGAGATCATGGCGAACGGGATGGCTTTGGAACATATGATCATCCTCCATTGGCGGTGGACAATCCTGGTGCGTCTGCTGTGTCTGACTGGCAAGGATCTGGCTTCGACACAGCAGTCTCGAAGGCTCTGAAGGAATGCTTCTCATCTGGCTTCGGCTCTGCAGAGACAGACCTATCTAGTGACTCCTTGGAACTCAAGCTGCAAGAGAAGATCAGCGGCATCTTCACCTTGACACCTGACAATCTGCCGGTCGTGGGCGCCATTGGACCAGAAGGCTTGTGGATCGCTGCTGCGATATGGGTTACTACTGCAGCTGGGTGTGCCAAGTTCCTGACGAAGCTGCTGAAGGGCGAGGATGTCGATGACCATATGAAGAGTGCGTTGGATCCTGGCCGCTTTGGGTCGTCTGTGCCTGTGGAGGAGCTGAAGAAGCAGGCTCTCAAGACTTACAATCATATCTATGGCGCCGATGAGAGTGGCGGCGGTTCCTAAATTCTTGGGGAGGGAGAGTGACCACGTGCTTGCGGTGAGGATGGCACGTGGCCACTCTTCTACGGCAGCAATCTTCTGATCAGCAGACCCCTTTCACAAGCACATCTGGACCTTGAGCGGTCGACATGAGGACTACTTAAGCAGAATTTTGCTGCTTTGAACTTCCTCCACACTACAACATCTTCACACAACCTCTTCCGTCATACCACATCCTTCAACGTGGCCCATTGATATTGGCCACCAGGTCTCTTGACAAACCAGCTGCTACATCGTCCCGATACCCCGACCGGATCACAATGACACGACTCAAGACGCTTCACGCAGCCTTGGGCCTCCTCATCGGCGTCATGGCCACACTCTCGTCGGCTGCTCCTCCGTATATGTCCTTCTCGTTCTGGCCCATGAACACAAGTTCAGGTGTTCATGCTCAACCGACTAGCACGATCCATTCGCACACCTGGACCCTGAACTCGAGCCTTAGCTTCCACACTTCTCCCACTGGCACGACTCGTTCGCAGACCACAATCAGCCGAGTTACCAGCGGTGGGGGTCAAGAAGTCACATTTCAACTCGACTACAACTTCGCAGGCCATCAGTTGGGATCGAGCTTTGGCCTTGGACAAGATGCTTGCATTGAAGGATTTACTCATGCGCTGTCGTATTGCGATGACAAGGATGGCAATCTTTTTCAGAATGGACTGGTTCACGCTTCGGTTCAGGCTGTCCCGGTGACTTTCTTGACTTTTGTGGTGGAGAGTGGCAGTGAGAAGCGATCTGTTCGCAGTGAAGCTCGCGAAGCTTTGGAGCAACAAGGCCCATGTCATGGCGACGGAGTTGGAAGAGGTTTCTGAATTTGGAAGCGACTTGATTTGAGCGTCTGTTTTCCAACAAAAGCGTGAGGCAAAGATTCAGCCTGGCCATTTGATCGAAGTACATACTATACAGCTTGTACCATACCAGATCCTTGACGATCGTCTCTTCATGGCAGCTCAGATGATCCATTCGAAGGCGAAGATGTATCCCCGTTGTATTCAAGCAACTAACACTGCATTCGTAAGCCGAGCCTCTCTCTCAGAATCAAGGACACCAATACTCTACCTCGAGCACGACGACCAACGTAAGAGAAGGACATCGGGACGTGATGTCCGACACATTTAAACTCTGAACCTCATTCCTCCAAGCTTTGTCATCGTCTCCACTAGCCCCGGTCTTTCACATGATTCGCCAATCCTCACGGCACTTCATGGAAGCTTGCTAGAAGTGGACGTTGATCCCGTAAACAATCATCACGACAACATGTTTGGCAGAGCACACGATCAGTCTGACACTCCCTTACTCCTTCCCCACAAACCTCGTCACCGACCGCCTTAGATACGTCAAAACCATGGGCGTCGTGATCTCCAAAACCGCTCTTTCTCCCTTCTCCCTCGTGACAGGCGTGATCGGTCTCGTCTCGTTCGTCTTCACCCTCGGAACGTTCTTCAAAGTTGTCTGGGTGAATCTCGAAACGATGTCCGAAGCTCCCCACGAGATCCATGGATACCTGACGGGGTTACGGACGGAATTGCTTGAGGAGAAAGCGAGTATACGAATCATGCGTAAACAAGCGAAACAATACCATCGGTCGATACGGAAAGATGAGAGGGAGAGTTTTCTGGGCATTGAGTTGGATGATGTGACGTTGAAGACGATGGGTGATCAGGTCAGGTCTTTGATTAAGAAGTTCAAAGAGTTGGAGAAACCTTTTCTCGCGCCGGGGAGTGAAGGGATTGGGGATTGGAAGGATCACAGGAATCGCAGGAGGAGGGATTCCTCCGTCTCGCCATACGAGCATTCAGCATACGCGAGTCCGCCGGAGAAAGGGCAGGGTAATGGGAGAGAAAGAGGGCGGAGGATCGCCGAAGACGACGACGATATTTTCTGGGCGCAGAGGACGCAGTATGCCAAGTTTACGCTCAGGAGGAGGTTCCAGTGGTTGGCGAGGAAGGCCGAGGCGCAGAATCTGTTTGAGACGTTGAGTCGGGTGCAGATTCGACGGATTGCGAGGCAGGTCGGGGGGATGAGTTGGTTGATGCATGAGTATGGGGGGAAGACTTGTGAGATGGAGGAGGTGATGAGGAGGATTGATGAGAGGACGAGTCGGATTGTTGGCGTGAGGAGGGTGGAGTGAATGTGGAGATGATGAATGCGCTTGGATGTGTAAGGAGAAGGCGACTCCTTCACTCCTTCCATTTGAAGAAATCTTGACGACGAGGGAAGGAGCAGGTTTCGCTGATATTGAACTGCTGATGGAAGCCAACGACTGCCTCAAATCGCAAACAATCTCGGAAACGGATGCCTGTGACGAGATCAACGACGATACCGCGACGACGACGACGACAGGGAAGAATGGCCGCAACATCCCCCAACATCCCCCAATATCGCTCCCCACGGCGGAAGTTCGGAGTCCAAATTCAAGGCATTATAATCAATCCGAAAGCACAACCCTCGAACTTCACCATCGAGACCAGATCCGTCCGGTAAGATGGTGTAGTGGGTTAAGCGCAACCATCACTTCGGTGAAAACTGCAGCGTCGGCATAAAAAGTAAGACAAAGAATAAACTCAGATGGATTGAGCCCTTCTTAAGTCTTCTCTAGATCACCCGTCTGGGGGTGGGATAGTTGTTCTTGTTTCTTGGGCGGGCTCGGGGGCAAAAAAGAATGGGCGAGGGTCTGTTCTTTTTTGGACTTTTTGATTGATCATGCTGTGGCCCGGGTTCGAGTCGTGGACTTGGGAGGGTAATGTTTTGTCATATCGATTTGACTAAGATAGAACGAATGTGAAGTTGTCAAACATTGATATCAAGCAGATGTATATGCGTCTATTCCCATTATACATGACGACTGCTTTTGTGAAGCCATTCACCCCTGACAAAACGAGAACGAAGACATCGTCGCTATCGTTCTCGTAGCGACTTCTCTCCCACCCCAGCAAATTCTACAGCTACAGCGCATTCTCCACTTCATTTGGCACACCCGGCTCCGTAATGACCTTCTCAATCAGCTGCAGTGTGGCCCTCAGCGGCAAACCAACCACATTGTCAAACGTGCCATTGATCTTCTCCACCAGAATGCTGCCCAATCCTTGAATACCATATCCACCAGCTTTATCTGCCCCCTCTCTCGTCCGCACATACGACATGATCAGATCATCTGTGACGTCTTCATCAAACTTGACCAGCGTCTCTTCCACATGCGTCTCCATCGCGTAGCCAGGATTCATGAGACTCTCCAGCGGCGCCATACACACCACAGCGGTGTAGACCTTGTGCCAGCCATTGTTCTGATCCCTCAACATCTTCAACGTCGCAAAATGCTCCCTCTCATTCTTCGGCTTCTCCAGAATCTGCCCAAAATGCGAGCTCACCACCGTATCCGCCGCAATCACCAACGCAGGTTCGCCTTGCTTGTCGTTGATCGTAGCTTCGTAGACATTCCTCGCTTTCTGCTCCGCCGTCTCCAGGACATACGCGAAAGGTGGCAGGTTCTTGTCCTTGTCTTCGGGAGCGGTGGATGGGATGATTTCGAGACTCGTCAAGCCAATCTGTTCACGGCGGCTGTCATTGGCGCCGCTCAGCTTCCAGTGACAGTGTTCCTCGCATGGTTACGACTTACCTGAGCGAGTAGCTGTCTCCGTCGGGGTGACGCTGATGCCAGGATGACTCTCTTGCCCCGGATCATATTCAATGCTGGGAGGTCTAGGGGTAGCGGCATTCTGGGGCCTCCTTGCGGCCGTGGGGGCGCTGGTGATGCTGATTTCTGGGAGGTCTCATCGTATGCTGGAGGAGGTTCCAGCGGCATCTTTTCGTCTGCCATGGCTGCGTGTATCGACGTTGGACGTGAAGCTCAACAGTGACGACGTCCTTTCCCGTTGCGAAGACCCTGGTACGGGCCGATCCGTCCTGCGGCAATCGCCCTTTCAACTCTCACCACTCTGTACGAAGGTAAAGGATTGGGAGGTCAGATTGACAAGCCATCTGACGACCTATTTTCTGATTACCTACGGCGGGCGCGGGCCCGATTCCTCCTACGCACGAGAAGCTCTACCCAAAACGTCACCTTTCTAGACCGTTTCCAAGCCAAGCTACACGCCAGCAGCCATTGGGGCGTCACCGGAGAGCGTCCTTCATCGAGATACTGCCCCGCGGAGGGGTGAGTTGTGCACAGCAGAGAAACAACGGGCGTAACCAATCTATGCGCCATGCCGTCTCGTCCATTGCCCGAACCACCCTCGACCATAACCATGACGGGTTCAAGCTCCGAGGTTGATGACACAATCCCGAATGTACGCCGACCGCCAACATAGAATCTTCTCTCTCGCGTGAGGCGAGTCGAGGTTGCACGTACCCGGTTGTTGCGTGTACATAGCTTGTTCGCCTCTGGTTTTTCTCTGTTTGTAATCTTCCATTTGTAAGTTTGCCCGCCGCGCTCCTGCTACTTGATCCTTCTTCACTCCAAGCTATATCTACGACCTCTCACCAGCCAAATTTCCTCATTTGAACAACGCAACACTCCCAATTCGACACAATGGTTCAAAACAAGGCTCTTATCTTCGCGGATTACCCTACAGGTTGGCCTGAATCGGGCAAGCATCTCAAGATTGAGGCCAGAGAGTTCGACACTCAGCAACAACCTCCAAAGGGTGGAATCACAGCCAAGGTTCACTATGTCTCCTTCGATCCGTACCAGCGTGGCCGTATGAGGAAGCCAGAGATCAAGAGCTACGCCGCACCGTTCGAGATCGGCAAGCCTGTCACGAACTCAGCCATCCTCACCGTACTCAAGAGCGACAACGAGAAGTTCAAGGCCGGCGATGTCATTTACGCGCCACGAGGAAACACCGAAGAGTACAGCGCGTACGAGAAGGAGGTGGCAGACACTTTCACTCCCATCCCACTCGGCAACCCCCACAACCTGGACCTCAAGTACTTCATTGGTGCTCTTGGCATGCCAGGCTTGACTGCCTACAGCTCATTCTACGAGATTGGTCAACCAAAGAAGGGCGAGACCATCTTCATCTCTGCGGCCTCAGGTGCCGTCGGCCAGATTGTTGGCCAGCTCGCCAAGCACGAGGGGTTGACTGTGATTGGCAGTGTTGGCGACGACAAGAAGCTGGAGTTCATCACCAAGGATCTTGGGTTCGATGGCGGCTTCAACTACAAGGCGGAGAAGCCCATCGATGCGTTGAGGAGACTGGCACCGAACGGAATCGACATCTACTACGAGAACGTTGGTGGCGAGCAATTGGAGGCTGCCATCACGCACATCACCAACTTTGGCCGTATCGTTGCATGCGGGATGGTCTCGCAGTACAACACCCCTCCTGCCGAGGTAAGCATACATCTCATACCCTTTTCGACTACAGATACTGATCCATATCCCAGGCCTACCCAATCCGCAATCTCATGCAAGTAGTCGGCAAGCGCTTGAAGATGCAAGGCTTCATCGTCTCCGACTCAAACATGGGCCCCAAGTACGCCAAGGAGCACCAAGAAAACGTGCAGAAATGGATCGCAGAGGGCAAGTTCAAGGCGGTCATGAGCGAGACGAATGGTATCGATAACGCGGCGGAGGCTCTGATTGGGATGCTGGCAGGCAAGAACTTTGGAAAGGCGGTGCTTGTCGTCAACCCGTTGTAAATGTAGTAGAGGAGGAATCAATACCCAGTTATGTCAAGAGAGAGAAAGTCCCTACACTAAAGATCCTCGTTCATGTTCCAGTAAGAAGGTAGACTCCAATACGTAGAGCAGATCCCATCTGGGAGTAACCTTGATCGCCGTCAGCAAGCGATGCCCCATTTAGCTCGAAGTGCGAAAGCTGAATGATGAAAAGGCAACTGCCTTTTAAGAGCTGACCTTATAGAACACACGATCTGACGCATCTTCAGCTATGCTATGTAAGTCAAGCTTCGTTGACTACATCTTATCAGTATCATTCCTGCGTCCGTCAACGGCCTCTAACGGCTATGGACCAAGTATCTGAGATGGAAGTAAGCATTTTGTCGATTTGTGCAAGTTCATGACGATGGGTTGATCTATCGATGGCAGGGTAGCCGATTGAAGGTTGTTATTGTTGGTTGTGGCCTCGGTAAGGGCGTAGAGATACGAGAGGGTCACGCATCCAATGCTAACGACCTCGTAGGAGGCCTCGCCTGTGCGATACAATGCCGCGAAGAAGGACTACACGTCTTGGTTTTAGAAAAGACAGCCGAGTTGAGTGAGATTGGCGCTGGAATACAGGTTCCTGTATGCCATCAAAACCAGGAAAGACAAGGCAAGGCTGATTTGAGAGGAACAGCCCAACGCAGGTCGCATGATCGACTCCTTCGGTTTGACGGAGAAGATGTTCGAAGCCGGGATGGTGGCGAAGACGAATGAGTTCTTTCTGAGGTGGCAGGACGGGAGCGTGATCGGAAAGAGACCTGGATCGGCGTGGGCGAGGGAGAAATGGGGATATGGGTCTTGGTGAGTGAGGTAAGGCCACGCCGAGGGAGGAGAGCTGAACGAGGCAGTACGATCCATCGAGCGGATTACCAACGAGTCGTCTTCGAAGAAGCACGCCGCCTAGGCGCCTCGATCCGCTTCGACGCCGACGTCGTCCAGACCGACTGCAGAGCCATCAAACCCACAGTAACACTCGCAACCGGCGAGAAAGTCTCCGCCGACATCCTCGTAGGCGCCGACGGCCTACGCTCTTCCGTCCGCCACGGCGTGCTCGGATTCATCAAAGAGCCCCAGGAGTCCAACGACCTCGCATACCGGATTACGATCCCTCGCGAGGCGTTGGAGGGCGAAGAGGATGAGATGATCCGGAGGATTCTGGATGAGGCGGTGAATTGTTTGTGGTTTGGGGGCGATGTTCATGTTGTGCTGTATGGGATTCGTGGGGGGAGGGAGATTAATCTTGTGCTTATGTGGGTGCTTCGTAAGTTTTGTTGAAATGGGGACTTGCTGATGGTTTCTCTGAAGATGTCCGGATGATCTTCCGCATGAGGTTTCGAAGCAGCCTGGGGATTTGGCTCAGATGCATAAGTTGTTTGAGAGTTGGGTGAGTAGTGGACGGATGCCAGATCTCTTGTTGATTGCTGATAATGTATGATTGTAGGATCCGACGCTCAAGATCCTGTTGAGCAAAGTCAACAAAGCCTTGAAGTGGAAGATTTGGGGCATGGAGGAGCTCGACACCTGGGTAAAGGGCTCCGTTGCACTGCTAGGAGACGCCTGCCATCCCAGCGTCCCATATCTGGCACAGGGCGCCGCACAAGCTGTGGAGGATGCTGTGGTGTTGGGGAGACTGCTGGGCCTGTTCTCTCGCTCTGGTCAACCAAAATCGTCTCTACCTGAACTGTTGAAACTGTACCAGCATATCCGAAAGGAAAGAGCAATGCCCATCGTCAGAGCCGCCGACAGCATGCGAGACATGTATCACGCCCCTGACGGCCCTAAGCAGGAAGAAAGGGATCGTTTGCTCCGCGAGCACGACTGGTGGGATGAGGATCGATCGTTCCCATGGGCGTTGGCTGATTTGAAGACGTTGCATGGGATATATGGCTACGATGCGGTGAAAGGCGCTGACGAGGGATTTGATAAGAGTCAGTTTGGTAAAGCCCAAGGTCGGCTATGATGACAGCGGCAATCACTCAACAGAGTCCAAGTGATACTCTCCCTTCGTCCTTCTCACACTGTCCGTCATCTTCCTCGACCATGGAAGGGATTGGCTTCTCGGCGAGTGGCGTCAGTCGAAAAGCGTGCCTTCTCTCGCCAGCGGGATAGTCGAGCGTCTGGGAATGATTTGTGACTCGTTGATCCCACACCAGCACCGTTCCAGCTTCGTAGCGGAATCGACATTGGAAGTCTGCTCTCTTCGCTATGTGATCGAACAGGAAGCCTAGGAGGTAGTCTGATTCTTCCTGATCGAAACCCACGATGCGTTTGGTGTAGACTGGATTGACGTCTGGGAACAGATTAGCACGTAACAATGGAGATCTTGTTGGACGCACATAAAGCTTTCTCTCCTGTGACGGGATGGACTCTAACCACAGGGTGGACTGCCTCCAACTCCTGCCTTCTCATCACCGCTTGCTCGCCATTCTTCATTTCCTGCTTCACGCCGTCATTGTTCGAATGCACAGCCTGCAGCCCTTCCAGCCTCTTCCTAAATCTGGGAGACAAAGCTTTGAAAGCAGCGACACTGCTACTGATCAACGTGTCTCCTCCAGCCTGGGCAGGACTCTCTAGCATGCAAATGAATGTCGTGCCTGGAGGTTGCTGTTCCGGTGATTGATCCGTGTGCCATTGAATGGGGCTACGTCCTCTCCACGAACGACGTACTCGCAAGTCAGAGGCGTGGTCGTAGATTATCATGTGTTCGTGAGAACCCGCGTCTGGATGTGGTGCCCAGCCATGGACGTGCAAGGGGCCGAAGTGTGAGACAATCCGTTTCTGTGCGGAGAAGCCGATGTCTGCGAAGTCTTGCGAACGGAAGACGAGAGCTCCACATTGAGCTGCGAGTAGAGCGAGTTCGTCAAGACCGCTTTGTGTGAGTTGGGAGAGCTGGACGCCTTCGATCTCGGTTCCTACATTTGGCGAGAGGTCGTAGAACTTAGTCGCATTCTTGAGAAGATTTGGGAATGTAGGGTCTGCTCTATGACCTGGGTCGTGGTGCTCGAAGGAGCCTATGTCTTCTACTTTCTCCAAGGGGTCGTAGAAAGCTGGTCCGAACATTTGATCAGTGGGCTACTTACAAACGAGAAGACCGGGACACTCAACATACGCATGTAATCTGGGTAGAGCGGTGATCCATCTTGCTTCTTCTCCCGTATGACTGCCTTTGTGAGGTCTGAAAGGCTCGGCATTGTGTCGTGGCTTGTGTGAGAGTGTAGGGATGGCGGCACAGTGGGCTTGCTTTATCTACATCGATTGTCAGCTCGACCACCGGCCAGGTATGTGCATGCAGACACTCACAAGATGTACTGTGCGTGTTCTGGCAAGGGTAGCCCATCAACCAATGATTTAGGCGTTTTCGCTTGGCTATCAGCCTTGTCGATAGCTGATGCCCTATCGAGATCAGACGCATTGCATCAGTATCCCATGTCTTTCAGCTATCATGCAGCGGCCAAGTCAGACCATGCGCTGGCATTGCTTGTTGATACTTAAAGTCTTGTAAATATCAACCGCACTCCCACGCATTGTCGGTCGAAGCAAGATGTCGATGCCGTGGTCGACGATGCCAGAGGTTGAGAAAGACACAAAACCGGCAGATCAGGCTTCCATCGACGCAGGCGAAGTCGTGGAAACTGACGCAGAGTATGAACGGTATCTTCAACTCCACCAAGAGTTCGCAGTCAACCATGGAGCTCAAAATCGCAGGCTACTGCGCAAGCGTACGTCTTTCAGCCACGCATCCTTATCTTTCACTGACAATTACAGTCGACTGGCGACTCTTGCCGACTTTGAGCTTCCTCTACCTCATGTGCTCTTTGGACAAATCCAATGCTGGCAACGCCAAGTTGTTCGGTTTCCTGGAAGATGTCGGAATGACTTCTGAGCAGTTCAATCTGGCGCTCATGTACCTCTTCTTCACATATGGACTTTGCGAACCGATCTCGAATATCGCCTTGAGACGACTTGGTCCGAAGATGTGGTTTCCGTTCATCGTCACGGCGTGGGGACTGGTCACAACTCTGACTTGTCTCGTCTCCAGCTATGGCGGTTACATCGTGATCCGGCCGATGCTGGGAATGACCGAAGCTGGCCTGTATCCTGGATCGTACTTCATCCTGAGTATGTGGTACACGCCTGCTGAGCTAGCCACTCGAATGGCCATCTTCTATGGAGCCAACACGGCTGCCGGTGCTTTTGGAGGAGTGATCGCATACGGCGTCGGCAATCTTGATGGCGTTCATGGAATGCGAGCTTGGAAGTGGCTGTTCTTGATCGAAGGCGTCGTTACGATTGCTGCTGGACTGTGCTGTTTCATATTCCTGCCCCAGTTCCCCCATCAATACAGTGGGGCCAAGCGCAGCAAATGGCTTACTGAAGCTGAGTTGGAGTACGCCAAGTTGAGAGTGAAGTATGCGGCAGGACCCAACCCACCGACTTACAGGTTCCGATGGAGCGATGTCACTGCCGCGCTGAAAGATCGAAAGACATACTTTATGATGATGCTGTTTTGGTGGGGAGGAAGCGTGCCAACTTACTCACTTTCTTACACCTTGCCGACGATGGTGAAGAACCTGGGATACAGTGCCGTGCGGGCACAAGCACTTACAACACCGCCTTACATCTTCGCGACGTGTATTTGCGTGCTAGTAGGCTGGCTGTCTGATCGATACCAGAAGCGTTATCTGGCAATCATGGGGTCGTACACGCTGGGATTGATGTGAGTGAAGCCGCTCAAGCTATGATTCTGCGGCTGACAACGTGCAGTGGTATCATCGTGTTATGGATCACGACTCACTACGAGCATCTTGCCGGCGTGAGTTACTTTGCCATATTCCTCGCCGCGGCTGGGTACTCAGCACAAGCTCCCATTGTAGGCGCTTGGGCGTCTGTCAATATCCCCAACCCTTCAAAGCGGGCTGCCGCAATCGGATTCTTGATGTTGGTGGGTTCCGTCGGTGGTGGGAGTATCGGGTCGAACATCTATCTCGACTCGGAGGCGCCAGTCTATCCGTTGGGGTTCGGGTTTAGTGTGGCATGTACAGTCATCGGTGCCATGATTCCTGCTACGATCCATTGGTGGCTGATGAAGAGGGAGAATTCTAGGAGGAGTCAGATGGATGGAATTCAGGTCCGGCAGCAGTATTCTGACAGCGCGCTCAGCGATATGGGCGAGGACTCGCCGCTGTTCAGATATACACTGTGATGGTTGAAGGCAGGTGGAAGTGAAGACGTCGACGCGAAGATGGCAAGTCGTCTCGCGCGGACCCCGCGTGGGATGTGCTGTTCCAGATCGGGAAGGTCCAGCCAGCTACCTGTGCTCCTTCCATTGACTCGATGATAAGGTGAACCACTTCTTCAAGATAGGCGACAGCTTCCATTGTATATCATCTTCAACGTCTCGCCTCATTCCACGTTCTCCTAATGTTGCACAATCATGGAGCCTCGAAGTAGATCTTTCATTTACCTCTCTTCTTTCCTCTTCTTCGTTGCCATTGCGACATGGTTCATACTTCCTACAAACTATCACTATGATGCATATTATGCTACCGAGAGCAAGCCATCTTTCAGTGCACCAAAGCAGAATGTTTGGGCTGAGTTGACGGAGACTGAGGCTCAAGATATCTACGACTTTGTCTATGCTCAACGGCCTGAGCTCAATCTAGTACGAAGGCCAAAATCTGCATTGGAGAATTCCATCTACATCTTGGAGACACTGAGGCCGAATAAGTCTGATGTCGTACCTTATCTGTTCGAGGATGGTGATGCTCCGCAGAGGTGGGCGAAAGCAGTGCTTGCTCTCAATGTCGACGACACACCTTCTCTGGTATATCATGCAGTTGGACCTCTACCTATCTCGAAAGAATCACAGATCCTCCCATTGACGTATCCCTTCAACTCGGGCCGGAATGATGTCAAAAGCGAGATCAAGGACTACCAGGCTATCATCGAATTTGGCGACGCTCTTGGTCAAAGCATCTCGGATATTACCCAGGAACTTCTTGGAGCTGCTACCGACCCAGATAGCAAGGATGGACTGCTGTGCCTTCCAAGACCTAGCCGAGTGGCAACTGGTGGACTTGTTCTGTGGTTTCAGTTCTTCAGACCTGGCCTTGGCTCTGGTGGAAGAACCCTCTTACCGCAAGGTGTCTATGTCAAGGTCAATGCCACTAGTCTTGACCAGGACGATTGGACTGCCGGCCCTTATTTCTACAATGGCGTTATCTACGACGACGTTGAAGACTTCCGCGCCGCAATCAAGCACGCGAACTTCAAGAAGACTCCACCAAATCTTGATGGTTCGTGGACAGATACCGAAGACTTTGATGCCAAAACAGAGGGCCGCGAACTACCACCTCCGATCTCAGTTCAACCATATGGACCCAGGTACAAGCTTGACAAAAACGAGCGGTTCGTATCTTGGTTTGGCTTCGAGTTCTACATTACGACAGCTCAAGCGACTGGTCTCACTCTTTACGACATTCGTTTCAAGGGAGAACGTGTGATCTACGAGCTTGGTCTACAAGAAGCAATGGCTCACTATGCTGGTGATGATCCGATGGCAGGTGGTCAAGAATTCCTTGATACATTCTTCGGTATGGGCAAGAACATGTATGAGCTGCTTCCAGGCTATGACTGTCCCGCGTATGCCGACTATATGGATACGCACTACCATATGGCTCATGAGACTCACGAGCTTCCTAACAGCATCTGCGTGTTCGAATACACTGCTGATCACTTGCTGTCTCGTCATACAGCAGAGTTCTCGGTGACTGCTTCAAGGAATACCTATCTTATCGTCCGCTCTACCTCCACGGTTGGCAACTACGACTACGCCATCGACTACATTTTCTACATGGACGGCGCTGTCGAAGTCAAAGTGCGTGCATCAGGTTACATCTTCGCTGCCTTCTACCGCTCCAACAAGACCGAAGGCGAAGACGAGTATGGCCATCGCATTGGTGAAGCTGTATCCAGCAGCGTCCACGACCACGTCATCAACTTCAAAGCCGACCTCGACGTAGCAGGTCCAACAAACGATATGGTCCGTCTGGCATTAGAGCCCCTAACCAAATCGTACAACTGGGACCAGCCAGAAGTCAAAGAGCGCAACACAATGCATCTAGTGGAATACGGCGTCAACCAAGAAACCGGCCTCGACTGGCCCAAAAACAGCGGCGAATTCTTCATCGTCTACAACTCCGAAGAACGCAACGCCTGGAGTCAGCGACGAGGCTACAGAATCACCTCCGGCACAGGCATGGGCTCAACACCGCACCTCACGATCGAAAACTCCACCACCCTCGGCGACAGCGCCCGCTGGGCCGAACACGACATCTGGGTCCTCCGGCAGAAAGACACCGAACCTCGCTCCGCCGATCCCCTGAACTACCTCGCTCCCATCGACCCGATCATCAACTTCAACGACATGGCCGATCATGAAAGTTTGGAGCATGGAGCGCCTGATACGACGTATGACGGCGATCTCGTCGTCTACTTCAACCTCGGATCACATCATATCCCTCACAGTGGAGACATTCCCAACACGCTCATGCATACAAGTGGAAGCAGCGTCATGTTCATCCCGCATAACTTCCACGATAGGGATCCAAGTCGGGAGAGTGTGCAGGGTGTGCGATTGCAGCTTGATGGGAAGAAGTTTGGTGGTGGGTTTAGAGGACAGGAGGAGGACGATGATGCGAGGGTTGATCTGAGGACGAGGTTGAATCGTCGTGGTGAGAAGGATCCGAAGGTGAATTATTTTGGGGGAACGTATGAGGAGGGCGTGAAGGTGCCGTTGGAGGCTTTGGAGCCGGATTTGGAGAAGGGGTATAGGACGAAAAGGCATGAGGTGACGGATTTGAATTTCAATGGAAGTGCGGCGGGGGTGTGGATGGTTGGTTAGATGTGAGATGACATGAAAGGGAGGTGTACAGTGACTTTTGGCCGCCTCTGAGCAGCTTAGGGTGTATTATGAACATACCACGCTCATTATTAGACATTTACAGCTCGCCCACGCCAAACGACCCTCCCGTATCTACACCAATGGCCGCCAACACCGCTGCTCCAGCATCTTTCCCTTCCTTTCCCTTTCCTGCAGCAAGAATGCCAAATCTTAAGAACACTTCCGTGCAGGTCACCAAGATACTCAGCACAATCAGGACGATAATGATCCAGGTGATCCTCGTCATCTTGACGTCTGCAATAGAGTCGGACAAGATTTCGGCGAGATCCAGGAAGACTCGACATCGCTCGTTCAGGACTTGGATGCGTGGTTTGATTTCGAGGTATTCGCGAACGGCGGCATAGAGAGGGTGGAGGGTCGGTTCTGAATCCCAGAAGAAGTTGGGTGTGTCGAGCATGTTGGACGCTGGACATAGTCAGTAGAGGTCATATACAAAGCGCTTCTGAACTTACAAAGATTGACGTCGACTCTGCCTTCGAATAGTCTCCCAACCAAGCCGACAACCTCTTTCCGGTTCATGCCAAGCCTTCCCTCCAATGCCAGCCTTCTCGGTACGTACTGTGCTTCTGACATCGTTCTCTGCATCTTCTCCTCAAAGAATGAAAGCTTAGTCGATTGCCCAATAGCGTGAGACATTGCAAGTTTGATCATGTGGTCGCTAGTCCTTAGCGTAATCATGTCGTTGTATATTCGAGGCTTGTCCGCTGTCTCGTCGTATTGGAAGTGAAACTCTTCCGTTTCGAAGTCGCTTTCGTCTAGAGGTCGAGTGACCAGAGGTAACGTCAACGGAGGAGCGAGTGCTGCTGCTTTTTGAGAGAAGTGGGTCGAATGCTTCCCAGATGGTGTGTTGGATTGTGATGAGAAGGTCATATCTGCGAGGACGTCCTTTTCCTGATTCGGGCTGAAGTTCCACAACACTGCCACACCGTAGCTGAAGATGAAGAGTTCGGCCACTGTATGGGCATCGGGTGATATCGATGCATGTGGTGATGTGAAGCTGAAGGCTGACGAATCGCTGCTCTCTCTACGACCAGCTTGTTGCTCTTCATTCCATGTGTCCGAGTCTTGTACTCCATTCGTTGTGCCCTCATCCGGTACTTGCTGCATATCAGGTGTAGGTTCCGAGTTGAATTCTCGGACAGAGTATTCTTCACTTTCCTCGCCCCACCCCTCGCGGTACTGTCTTCTCTCGTTTGCTTCAATCTGCTCGTCCAGCACACTCCTGCCGCCTGGGTGCTTCACCACTGGACTACTCCTAACTCGATAGCCGTCGCTGCCACCCAGGAGAGGAAGTTTGTAGACGCAGTACAGACAGTCGTCGTAGAGCTTCGTCTTGGCACCGTGCTGATCTCGCACGAAAGCCGCAGTACTCCTCAATTTGTAACTCTGCGCTGTACAATACGCTGTGACTCTTGCCAGTTGAGGATCCGCTACTCGCTGTGATTTGGGCAATCTCTCCGCTTCACTCCTACCACCACCGCCTGGCTTTCTCCTCTTCTTCAGCTCTTCATCCTTTGGAGGCGCAGTGTCATCTTCCTCTTCAAACCCGTCACGATCCTCATCTTCCTCTGTCGTTTCCGGCAGTAATACCAGCTTCTCGCTCGTCTTGCTGCTGCGCGCGGGAATGTGGGCTGTGGTCAGAGGTACACCGCGGCCGCTCAGCTTCGGATCGAGGGGATATCGTCCAGACGGCGTACGATTATGCGATTTCGGTCGGGCTCCTGGAGTCTCGCGTCGCTGGGCGGATGGGATCTCGCTGGCGTATTGCAGGACATTGTCGACCGAAATCAAGCGGGTGCCCGCTCGCTGGGGCTGAGGACGTGGTGGTTGAGGGCGGACTTCGCGTGCGTCGGTGACCTGCTCAGAGCTCAGTATTGCTGCCATTGGTATTGACGAGCGTGTTGGCGCATACAAGGACCGTTGGGCCGCGTTTCTGACCGCGTGGTCCGGCAACAGACATGTTTCGCTAGCGGCAGGGATCAAGGGCCTGACGTGGTGTTGGGCAGCAATCAACATTCACTTGATTTACACTCCATCATGTGAAAATCAGATCTGGTGGGAGACATTCGCGCCATCGTGGTCGATCTGTGAAAGACGACTGGAAAGCTGCTGAGCTCAATGCGGGTGGACGTCATTGCCGAGTGCCGAGTCGACTTCACCTCCTGGAACGCTTCGTCTTCCTCTTCTGTTTCTCCAGCACTGTCGTTCTAACAAATGGATGATGTAGCCACCGATAGCATGGCCCAGGTGAGATTCACTGGGAGATAGAATTGTGCGTTGCACAACTCATACGGTAACCCGAGAAGTTCAGCTGCAGCCATTCCCCTGCAAGCCCATATGGAGGCGCAGGAAGGCTGAAGTATCCATGCAAATTCTTTCGATTACTTGAACAGTATCACGGCATAGCTGGTTTTGATTTCGTTCAGAAACGATGTGGCTTGCTAAACACGACGACCCTCCTCTTGAAGCACTTCAGCGACGACCGCCAGGCACACGAGCAAGGCTATGCCATCCTCTCTCACACATGGGGCGAGGATGAAGTGTCGTTTCGTGATATGACCCGAGAGAGCTTGCTAGATGACTACAAGCGCCGAAAGACTAGGAAGAAGGCTGACTTCATGAAAATCGAAAAGGCCTGCGATCAAGCAAAGCGGGACGGGCATACCTGGGTTTGGATCGACACATGCTGTATTGACAAAGAAAGCAGCGCGGATCTGAGTGAGGTCGTCAACTCAATGTACCGATGGTACGCGGATGCGACTGTATGTTATGTCTACCTGGCAGATGTCACTATCGAAAGCCACAGGCGAGGGGACATCCACAAGCTCCCACAAGATGTTGACTATCTTCGTCTCAAATTCGCAGCAGGCCGATGGTTCACGAGAGGCTGGGTGAGTGAAAGCAATTGCGAATTTGAAGCATGCGCTGAAAAATTCGATAGACACTGCAAGAATCGATAGCTCCTAAGGAAGTGAGGTTTTACGACTCTGAATGGTTCTTTATTACGACCAAAACCCAAAGCACAGCTGCATTAGCCAAGGTCAGCGGCATTGATGAGATAGTACTTCGTCGTAGCTATCAGGCCAAGCACTTCTCTGTTGCGACCCGCTTCTCATGGGCAGCAAAGCGGCAAACCACCAGAGTGGAAGACGAGGCCTATTCTCTGGTCGGTTAGTACGTCATTTACTGTTGCGATTGTTACTGACTTAGTCAATCAGGCCTTTTTGATGTTAGTGAGATCTTGCTAAGCTTCTGTATGTGCTAATGTCATACCATACAGGTCAACATGCCGATGATCTACGGAGAGGGCCAGAAAGCTTTCATCAGGCTTCAGGAGGAGATCATAAAAACGTGAAATATCGCGGCAGAACTCATATCTGTCCAGGGCTGACTCTTTGCCAGGTCCACAGATCACAGCATATTCGCCTGGTCAAAATTTAGCAGAGACAGGGATCGCTTCCAAAGAACATTACTGGCTCCTGCTGCTCAATACTTCGCAGATGCTAGTGCGATCGAAGCAAGCGCTGATGCAGCTCTTGGCGACTCTTATGAAATGTCGAACAGTGGCCTTCGAATCTCTCTGCCTACGAGGAACATTGGCGTTTACCTGCTTGCGGAGCTGAATTGCTGTATCGACGGCGCCCCAGCGGTACTGCGACTTCAAAACTACGCTAGTCGACAAGGCCGCCCAGCAAATCAGAGGAGCGGGCGCATCGTCTGTGAAGTTGTGCGAGCTCTTGATGTTAATGCACACTACACAGGCCGGCAGGCCCTTGACCCAGGAATAATTAGCGATCTGATTATATTGAGGGAATCGTTCAGCACCGTTCTCAATGCACGTGGTGGTCCGTCACGAGTCGCACCGAAATGGTCAGCGGCCCCGAAAAAGGAGGCGAATGCATCCACGCCTGGGGACCACAGCAGGGATTACATTGTGATTTAGACGAGGGCACTGGCAGGAGCGAAGACTTCGTCAGGTACGTCTATTCTGCTCACCTCCATTTGGAGCAATATCACGTTGCCCGCAGCAATCAGTTGATTGGCAGCCTCTGTGTCGCCTCCTGAAGTGCACATTCAGCTTGTCAATCAAATGATGAATGTGGCTAAGGCCTGAAATCCCACTTTCTGCAAAGGCAACGATCCTATCGGTGTTGTACCTGCTCGAGTGCCTGCTATCAAGGTCTTAAGAACAAGGTTCCACAAAGAGAGTAGCAGATTTCTACCTCTGTGCTAATACGTTTCGTTCTAGAATCGAATGGGATCGTCGGCGTCTACGTCCGCAATCACGATAGCTGCAACTCTTACATCGTCGGGGAATCGACTTCTGCAGCAGGTCAAACCTTGAGAAGTACCCGTTTTGAAGACAGGACCGACTGACCTATGTCTCGCGTTAGTACTACCACAAAAAAATTTGAAGCCTTTCGCGAGGATCATTCCCTTATGGGCGGATGTGAGTAGTTTTGTGTGCTCTTTCTTTCTGCACCCCTACCTTGATTGATGCAGCTTGAAAGCTTCTTGTGAGTGTGATGGGGGATGATGAGACTGTCGACGAGGTCGACAACGCAGTCAAGATAAGAAACCCCCAATCATCATCTTCCCATGATACAGCCCCGATTGCAGGCCGCCATATCAGTACACATCAGCAATCAGAGAGGCGAAACAGCAGCAAGTGCCCAAGACCCTAGCCACGGAAGAATGTTGGGTCAATGTCGATTGCGAATTACTTTCATGAAGGCCGAGTATCCATCTTACCCACGAACGATATGAAGTTCTCACGTCGAGCACAACATCATGGACATGCGAGAAGGACTTGCGAGAAGGACTTCAAAAGAGGAGGGTTGAAATGTGAGCAATTTGATTGGTCAGTAAGCGAGAGATTGAGTCGCTGAGTCGAGAATGGCAGGTCTCGGCGTCAACTTCCTCTTCCTTCTCTCTCACTACACACACATCAATATAGCAGCCTGCCAATCTTCACGTGCAACGTCAAGATGAGTGGATACCCAAACAACTCGGGGCTGCCGTCACAGCCAACCTACCAACCTTTCGCTGGCGCCCTGGCGCAACAAACCTTCCCGGCTCTCCAGAGTAACAACCAGCAACTTGGCCCTGTGGGTCCGCAACACAACATGGCTCGAACGAGCTATCAACAGCATGAGCCACCGGCCCCTCCAAGCTTCCCACGGGCGCCTCAACATGGCAACATCAACAATTGGGACGATTTTGACGCTGTCGAGGCGGAGATGAAGTCGTTCGCCTGGCAGTCCAAAGCCTGCAGACCAAGAGGCCAACACAATGACGCAGCGTTCTGGCTGCACTGGGCACAGCATTTTCACCGTGATATCTCGATGGCTGGTTGAATTTAGCTGATGTCGATCTAGGGAGCTCGATCGGCGTCTGACCCAGGCGGAGGATAGCCTCATCCGCGATTGGGAGGAGTTTTATGCCCTGGATGAGGAGATGGTGTCATTGTGCCATCAATCGAACGCCTGCAAAGCAGCAGGCCAATTCGATCAATCTGAGCAGCTGCTTCAACAAGCACGGTATGCTCATATTAGGATTTGGACGTCTGCACAAACCATGCTAATGTCGCTTTAGGGACATCGACACTCGATTAGTTGCTGCGGAGTCATATCTCCCACCTGAATCGAACGAGGTATGCCTTCCCGCTACATTCGGCTCGAGCATCTTGGTCAAATGATTTACTGACAGTATCCCCGGCAGGCTCTACAATCTCAACAACAGCCGGGGACCAACAACGAGGCTCAACAGCATGTTGTTGTACAGCAGCAGACTGTTGCATCCCGCCCTTGAGGCAATACGTTCTGATTACCGTATTGCCAACACGGCAACACGCTGAGAAACAGCATGTCGGCCATTCCATGTCAGCCTTCGGGCAGTCATGTTAAGGTCAAGCCTTCCGCCCTCGAGCTACACTCTCAGACCTCGGTCAGTGTAGTTGAAGCTCGTATACAGTTGTATCGTCTCTCATCTTCGGCAGTGAGATGGAAGCTCTGAGCCCACGTCTTGACGACCCATTGGAGACGACAGACGTGGTTGAATTGAATTTGTAGCATTATCTGTATGGATACCATTCCATTTTCACGCGCACTTTAATATACATGACAAGCCGCCATTGTAGCTGATCTTTGACGACTGCAACCGCCGACTGCTGCGTGAGCCCTCATGCCGTTCTTAACCCATCTCCCTCTCCTCGCAAGCTGTGCAACGATAGATGAGCGTCTCGCCGCAGTAGCCTACTTGGACTGCTAATTGAGACAATTTCAAAGATCACATTCGATCGTGAGTATACTGTGTGATTCAGTTGCAATGGAGTCTGTGCCTGTGACCACTGGTCCCGTGACAGAAGATCAGCCTGAAAATGTTTCATTCAGGTGTGCTACATACAAATAATAGGGAGTGTTTGATGGGAGCCAGCTGCTGTTGATGATCAATCATCAGCAAGAGTTGCCAGCCATCAGCACACGCCGCGGCTTGAGTCCCGGACAATTCACGGCATACACGTACATAATCGAGCAGACCTGTTTTGATGACAACTGGCATCAAGAGGTCGTATGGGTGCTGGTGATCGAGCAGGCCTGTTTTGATACCTTTTGGCATCAAGACAAGCTTGGTCGTATGGTTGCGAGATTACGGGTTGGTTTTGATGCCGAGAGGGCTTCAAACCATACCTCACGCAAGATGAAGCTTGATGACGATGCCAAACGGCTTCGCCCCATGCAGCATCTGCCGAAAGCGATCATGATGCCCATCAGGGCTTCAGACGTTTTCGACACCATTTATGGCCTCCGACTCGTGCAAAATTACACCTCCATGGGCTTCGTCCGAGTCCTGTACGCTGGCCTCCTGCTCAGACTCGTTTGCTGCGTTGGCGGCTTGTTGAGCTGTGGTTGACACATCGGGGTGTTCGTGGGCTGGCATAGGCATAGGAGCGAAAAATTCCTCTTCGTCTTCGACTAAACCCGTGTCCCAGAGCTTCGTTGAGAAGTCAGAGCCGGCTTCGAGGCGCCGACAGAGGTTCTCGAAGGTGCCCTCTTCTTGTTGTGGTTGCCAAAAGCTCCAAAGTCTCGAGACTGTTGGTACCAGCATCCGCTTGACCCACTTGCCGATACTATATACGCGGTCGTGCAAATCGTTGAGCAGCTGGCCATGGGTAGACACGGTTGCCTCCAGCTTCTCCAGCTCCTTGAAGTGGTTAAGCATGCTGGTTATCTGCTTCTTTTGAATCTTGACCGCCATACATTCGGCCATTATGTACATGTTGAGCGGTGTCGCATGGAAAGTGAGCTCTTCGTTGGTGAGGTTGCTGTGAAGTGTTACGGTCTTGCAATGTGCGTTAGTACTGGGTCGTGGGGCTGAACTCGGATCGTTGGGATGCCCCAGGAGAGCACCACTGCTTGTAGCAGCAATCAAATCTGCCTGTAGTTTGTTGTATTTCTCCTCCAGTAGTTCGAATTTGAAATCGAGGTCTGAGGCAATGTTGTTGGCCTTGAGTTTGGCTTCCGCTGATCGCATAAACTCCATAAAGTCGTTGCACTTGCTCACAAGCGAGTCATGCTCAGCTGCGATTATCTTTTGCTCCTCAAGAACCTGATGAATCTTCATTCCCAGACATTCTAGGGGCAGTTGGTTTACGGTGGCACTGGTTGAGGGTTGGGTTGCACCGATGTTGGGCGGCGAATTGGTTGCGCGGCTGGGGTTGGTTGCAGCGTTCGTTGAGGCGGAAGTGCCTTGCGGGTGGTTGTTTGATAAACGTGATGTAGGCCTCGTGCTAGGCATTCTTATGGCTTGTATTTTCTGAGAGTGGCAAGCGAAAAGTACGTCAATGTGGATGATGTGTGTCAAGATTGTTGCTGGTGGAATTTGGCGGACGTTGCGCAGCAGATGCCACACGGGCCAAATTTCCGTAGGGACAGCCGAGCACCCGCATAGGAGGCTTCAAGTAAACAGAGCCTGGTGGCAACTTCACTTTGACCAAGGCCTTTCGAAGCAGGCTTGATCAGTTCGTCGCTTGCATCGTAGTGGACACTCTCCCAGAGCCTCTTGATTCCAAGCCTAAATGTCCAAAGACGCGTGCAGAATGGTCCGCGCGTTCGCGCGAGCGGTAATCCATGCGTTGTTCGTTTTTAGTGCCTTTGCCCTAGCACAAACTTCTAGAATTTGATACGAAAGATGGAAAACGCCTACCACGGCATGCTGCATTAGAGGTGTGACTATGGGGAAAGCGAAGCTACATCTATACCTAGGTATCAATCTGTGCCAGAACAGTGACCCGCCAACAAGCCGTCACCTGTGCTGAACAAAGTAACACAGTACGAAGTAATGGGACGATCGACTCACTTCAACGCTACTAATCTCTTCAAGCCCAAGCGGCGAACATAAAGTCGCTGTAAGGAACATCTTAATACCTTATAGCCTTGCTGAGTGGCTTAAATTGATTCTCAGGCATTCTCATGACAATTCTGGATGTTTGTTCATGCCTTGTGAAAGGAGTTGAGTGAAGTGTTGTGCCTGGGGATCACGTGAGTGCCAAGAAGGCCACATCTTCTGAATTCACAGTCCTTGTAGATACCTGCTCCCGTAATCAATCATCTAT